GCGCACCCATTCGAGCTAGAGGTCATCAGTTCAGGGTACTCCGGTGAGTGTCTACCTCGCGGATAGTCGACGTTCCAGACTCTTGATGTCGTCCAGGACGATCCGCCATCGAGCGTTACATTCAAGTCATCTCGCAATGTCCGTCGCTGGCCGTGCTGGCTTTTCAAGCAGCGCTCCAGCTCGTGTTGCAGATGAGCGATACCAATCTGTACCGTGCGCTGCTTTCGGCGTACGAACAGACTGCGGCTACTTCCAACGGGGAGCTACCAGCTTTATCTGACATCCATGCGCTCAACCAGGAGTGGATCGATGAGACCACGCAAAGGAACCAGGCGCAGCGTAATAAGCTCGAGACAGAGCTGAAGACGTACACGAGTAACATGATCAAAGAGAGCATTCGGGTGCGTGCGCGGTCGACTCGTCCATCTACTTTATACCCATATACACCTTGTACACGTAGATGGCCTACCGCGATCTGGGCGACTTCCATCGCAACAGCGGGGACCAGACAGCTGCGCTGAAGCATTACACAAAGTCGCGTGAGTTCTGCACGACCAGCCAGCATGTTCTTGAGATGTGCCTTTCTGTCCTAGAGGTGAGAGTTCATCTTCGGTCTATCTGCGCGCCAACAGAGCCACTCGTGTGAAGTGTTTGTACAGCGCTTGAAAGGCTGTTTCCCTGTCTCTAAGCCGAGACGGGATGCCTAACCTTGCAAGGCACGTTCCCTTACAACCTGGCGTCCAACGTGAAGTCTCCAGCTGTATGCGATGATCGAATCCTCGACTCAGCACTTCATACAAGGTGGTTTGCCTGCAATGCTAACAGCAGACTTGTATTGCCATACGTGTGGGACGAGCGTCCAGCTTTGTTCAGAGGGGCCCCCACTGTCTAGGACCATGCCACTCTATTGCGTTGCGAACAGCGGTACAGTCTGTTGTTCACTGCTTGCCTCCTTAACCATCACCCTTCAACAGTGTACGCCGATCTCTGACGCTGACGCTGCCTCCAGCTCCTCATCGAGCATCGCAACTATGCACACATGTCTACCTACGTATTCAAAGCCGACGCCGCACTGGACGCAACATCCAGCGCGCGCGCCCCAGGTCCAGGCCCGACTGCCCCCGCTTCAGCAGCCGCCACAGGTAGGGACAAAGCGGCGGCAGAGAGGGAGAGGGTGCAGAGCAAGCTCGACGTTAGTATCGCGCTGTCCTACCTGGGGCAAGGGAACTTCGAGAAGGCATCGCAGGCCTTCCTCAAAGTGGGCCCCGTGAAGTCTCTCGGCGACTGGGCTGGCAGGGTGAGTCGGTCCCTAAGCTATTTGCCTATGTACTGACGCGAGAAAGCACAGCTGATAGCGCCAGGCGACATCGCGATCTACACGACGCTCTGTGCGCTGTCGACGTTCAGCCGACAGCAGATTCGTACGCAGATCCTGGACAACGACAACTTCGGCGTCTACATCGAGCAGGAGCCATACGTGCGCGAGCTGCTAGAGTCGTACATGGGCAACCGTTTCAAGCTGATGCTCGAGATCCTCGACCGCCACTCCGTGCGTCCCTTTGCTCTCCCGTGTCCTATTGACTGACTGAGAGTATGGCGAGCAGACTCGCCACACACTGGACCTGCACCTGTCGAGCCACATGGCGAACCTGACGAACCAAATCCGCAGCCGTGCGCTCGTACAGTACTTCCAGCCGTTCGCGTCGATAAAACTCGAACGGATGAGCACTGCATTCGGGTGGACCATCGAGGAGCTCGAGCGGCAGGTCGTCCTGCTCATCCAGGCGGGCGAGATCCAGGCGCGCGTCGACAGGCAGAACAAGGTGCGCTCCTGGCGGGTGGACTGCTCGCTGACTGGAATGCTGACGATGAGGTGCAGATCCTCAAGGCAAAGGAGACGGACCAGCGCAGCGCGCTGTTCGCTCGCGCGATCAAGTCCGGCGAGTTTATGCAGGTCGCGAACCGCAAGCTGCTGCTCCGCATGCGGCTGTACGTACGAGCCCTGTGTCTGCCGTTCCGAAGCTGATCTTGAGCTCCAGGCAACAAGCAGACCTCATCGTGAAGGCGCCGCGCGGTCAGCTCACTGGGCATGCCAGCGAATTCATGCTCCCCGACATTTACGGCTAGACAGCTCTGTAGAGTTTCAATACACGACTCCGCCACACCACTGTACCGATACGACACTCCACATTTGTTCGCTTGCTTTGTGTCAATGGATCAACAACGTTGTATGTACCACATCTGCTGGCAATTCAGGTTGTCTCAGCGAGTTGTAGACTAAGAGTGCATTTCTGGACATGGACCGGTGTCCCCATCTGCATGCATACCAGAGAAATACAGATACAGCAAACCCGAACGAACCACGGGCTGAATTATTGATCCCTGTCGAACCGTTTGTACGAGTGCTTCTCGTACTCCTTGATCTTCATCTTGCGCCTCCTCGGTCTATTAAAGATGTCAGTAAGCCATGCATGGCAATCAGTGTGAGAGACATACAGGACTGGCACGCGAGGCTCTATGAGCGCGCGATGTTGCATACTCAGGAAGCGATCGCGGAACAGGTTGCCTTCGGGCTACACATGCGCAGTGAGCTCCTTACGGGCACAGCAATTATGCAGCCACGCACCTTCAACGCCCGTAAGCTCTCAGTGAGTTCCTCACCCAGCTGCACATCCACCTCGCCTTCGGGTACCTTGTGCTTTCCCAAACGCTGGCCCGCCAGACCCTGTCTTAGCTTCTCCTGCATCTTCTCCTGCTTCTGCACGCGCAGCCTCTCCCTGGCTGCCAAGTTCCGGCCAAAGGCCTTCCGCAACGCTTTTGCAGAGTCCACCGACGCGAGCATGCGTTTCCTGGCGGCCCGTTCGGCAAGTGCACGTTTCTCCGCACGCAGCCGCGACGCCTTCCTGCGCTCTTGCTTTGTCTTCCGCTCGGGCATCTTCTTCACCGGTGGAAGCTCCTTGCCGTCATCTGCCTCCAGCTCGGCGTCGGCGTCGTCGATGAGCTGGACGGTCATCCCCCGGGCGACACCCTCCGCGTCCTCGAGCACCGCAGCGGTCCGCGCGGCGTCTATCTTACGCTTCATCTCTGCGAGCTTCTCAGTCTCCTTCAGCCGGCGCTCCTCGATCTCGTGCGCGGTGCGTAAGAGTTCTAGGTGCGAGGTGACAAGCGGGTTGTACGAGGTACCCTCATGCGGTGTGGGGACGGCGGGGAGAGCGATGAGTGAGCGGGGGTTGGGTGTCTTCGGATGCTGGTGTACAGTTAATTCGTTGATCCTCAAAACCGTTCAGCGGAAGGACAGCACATACCTTCACTTTCGTCCCTTGCACAGAACTGTCCCCCCAGACATCATGAGTCCCACTGTTCTTCGCCGCCTCGCTGACCTCGAGCATCGCGCTACCCGCGCCCATCTCCGTATGGTCGATGACCGCATTGAAGGGGCCCTTCCTGGGCCGCTTGCCCATCCGAAGGAGGCGGCCCTTCTCTTCATATGTCAAGTTTTTGCGCTTGAGCGGGTTAGCGGTAGTACGCGTGATGACAGCGGGGACGGCGGATCGCTGTGCGAGAATTTTGGTGGAGGTGAGGAGGGCTTTGGAGAACTTTGGCTGTGTTCTCCGGACTAAGCATGAATGGACTTAGCACCCAGTGAGCACGTCAGGTAGCTAATACGCACCGTGTTCGTCTCCTTTTACGTCGACTTGAAAAAGCTCCTCATTTGTTTTCTTCTGGAGGATCGACCTAGGTTCAACGCAAGATGAGCTCACACGCCTCAAGTCAGTCGAGCTATCCACCAGGAACAACGCTCACCCAGTAACTCTTTCTTCCTCACGTAATTCCTCCATTCCCACTTCGACGTCCCCGATGTCGACGTTTTTCCTCCATGCTTTCTTCCCCTTGCGACTGCTCTGGTTATGTTGCGCTGGAGCTCCTATCGAGGAAGCTGCCTTCTTTCCTTTGTTACTGGGTGAATTGTGCATGGCTTTGGTCGTCGGTTTCACGGCCATGATGGCAGTAGAGGTATAAAGCTTGAAGTTCGGAGTCGTGAAGTACAGTACAGTACAAGCTGTATCCGGCCGCCAGGCAAGGCAGGCATTCCTGGGGACCGCTAACAGGATCAATAAAATACCAGAGCCTTTTCTTACAAGCATTAATGGGGTAGTGGTAACCTGGGTCGTTGCCACTGATGCGGGTTCGACCCGCCGGGGGTTCGATTCCCCCTTAATGCATGTTTTTTTACACACAACGACCTGCCACTATGCAGGTTTGTTCATTCGCAAATCCTGTTTATTGTCAGTTGAGGTCAAGCCCATGTAGACGCTACCTATCTGAGTGAATTACGAAACGTTGGTCTGTTCTACGACGACTCGGTACACCTCTGTAGAGGTGACTCCGCCGGGTGCGAAGGCAATATCGTAAGGGGCTACGGTGCATGTACATCAGGACTGTTGCGCAGTGAGCGTAGCATGGTCTATGTACTTAAGTTACAGTGCGAACTAGAGAGTACTAGTCCGTGTGTGACGAGACGCAGTAGAGGTAGGTAGGACCCGCGGGCCGAACAAGTACTATGTATTAGCAATTTGTTCGAGAGAACACACGGCGGGAGTGGGTACACCACCAGAGCCCAGTATTATTAATTCGGACCCCTGTCTAGTCTCCAGGCACTGCCTCCTCCAATCAAAGATCATCCACCTCAGGGCCTCTCAGTCATAAGAATATGCAGAATAAGTCACAGTATGTATCGATACACTCGTTTAAAACATAGTCTATAGTAAGTAGAGCACATAGTCCGACTTCCAACACCAAAAATGTAGCAGAATCTTCTTTACCGCATGTATGACGCGGATTCTCCTCCTCCACAAACGACGGACTACTGAGTCAAGGTTGCAATCAGCGGCACGGAGTTGACGCCATTACTAGTAGTTCGCGTTTTGTAGAGACTGTCGCGCGGAGGTGGGGTCAGTCGGTGGCAGGGCACATACGAGCATAGTAAGACGCACTTCTCGAAGTGTGACCCGCGTTTCGGGTCTGCGCGACGCTTCGCCATCGTCTTGCGCACCTTCTCTTCCGGCCGTACAACGATAATAGGCACGGGCGAGTGACTCAAGCAGTATCTACGAACGCCCACTTCAGCGAAGCGTCACGGCAAGATGATAGTATGACACACCTCGATACGCTCCCCAGCTTGCCAGGCGCGCCAAACGCAGCTCCCCATGCCTGCATCATGCCCCGTTGGCCCCGCGTGCCGACGACGATCGAGTCGGGGCGGTAGAGCGATATGAGACGGTCGATGGTCTGGGGCACTTTGCCTGCGATGTACTCGACAATGATCGAGAGCTGTGGACACGTACATTGAGACCGGAGCCAGGGCTGAGCAGGTTTGAGACGTACCTTTCGCTCTGCATCGTCCTCGACGCACTTCTCCTGGATATATCGCATCAGGTCGCGTGCGTCCTCGCGGTATTGGTCATGCTCCTTCTCTGTAGACGTAACTCAGAGAGAGCCCAGTGTGAGGAACGATCACAACGCACCCAGCTCCTCTGAATCCACTCCCCGGAACACGATCAGTTCATCCCCATCCTGCACCAAGCTCTCCAGCGCCCAGTCCAGCGCCTGCTTGCCACTCTCGTCCGGACCGCTCGCGCACAGAAACACGCGCGTGCCGCGGTTCCTGGAATAACCCTCGCTCTGAACGTGGAGCGTATAACAGAACATGCTCGCCTGGGGGTTCTCGAGCGTGTCGAACGAGACCTTGGGTGTGTACCCCTGCCCGGCGATGAGCGTACTGGGCGGCGCGAGCGGGGACACGGCGAACGGCGGGGTAGCGCTCGGGGACGCGAGGAGCGTGGAGGTGGAGGGCGAGCCGGACGGCGAGGACGTGACGGTCGAGGTTGAGGGTACGAGCGGCGAGGAGCGCGTGGGTGGAGATCCGGGTGTGCATGGGCGCGACGAAGGATACTTCATCGCCGAGCGTAGGGGCGGGAGGGGGATGTAATGCGGGGGCTCGCGCTCGGGCGAGGACGGCATGTTGGGCGGAATGTGGGGTTGGCGTTCGCGGCTGCTGTGCTGGGACGCGTTCTTAAGCTGGCTGATGGGGGCGCTCTGTGTGATAGTACGCGTCAGATCACGGCCCCTTTGAAGCATTGGACTACTGCCAAGACGCGTAGCGTCTGGCGCGAATGAATGGAGAGACTATCTGAGCAATCAGAGAGCACTTCTTGAGCACTTCCGACTTGGGGTATCGATCCCCACACCGTGTAAGAAGTCGTCTTACGTGCTCGCAGTGTGGGGTAGACACGAAGCGAAGCGACCAGCCGAAGCACGCAGGGGTCACGCTTCGAGTGCAACACCATTCATTACGACCTCCACGGACGGCTCGTGTGAAGGGCCAGGACATCGGAGTAAGGCCGCGCACGACCGTGTACGCAGTACCCGGAATGTGTCCTCCAGGAGACCCTTCCGAGTACTTAGGTTTGCCTGAAGCACAATGTACCTGAGAGAGACCACCTCGGCTCGCCCAAGGCTACATTTGTGGGAAGAAGGATGTCGTCCTGGGCAATGTTGCTTGGACTCGAAGCCATGAAGAAACGGTAACCAGTCCGGGATTGTATCACGCACCTGAGTACTGTCGACCGTGGACCCAGTGGCAGCGCCTACGAGGACTGCCTCGATATACGTCTACGACTCTGCTTCCCCCGCCGGATCAGATGTCTGTTCGTCTGCAAGACAGGGAAGCGAATAGCGTTCGAGTGAAGCTGCGATAGAGAGGCGGGGTGATGTGGTAGCTGAGGGAGAGATGATGAAGTCGGAGTTCGAATACATCTTGACCTTGACCTCGATGGCCACCTCGACCACCGCCGCCCCGTCCTCACCCCCTCCTCCTCATTCCGCAGACAGTAAGCAGTCTGATGGCCCCGAAGTACCACCGTCTTCGCAGCCGCACGAGGAGGCCAGCCCCGACGCAAAGGGGAAGGGCAAGGACATCGACCCTGAGCCCCAGGCCGGGGACAGCTCTGCTTCTCCATCCGACTCTGCTGGTTCTCCCACCCCTGCTGCCTCCTCATCGACGACGCCAGCACCCGCAGCGCCCGCAGTGACAGCCAGCGCGGGCGACTGGCAGGCGATCTTTTCGCCCGCACACAACGCGTACTACTTCTACAACACACAGACGCAAGAGACGACATGGACGAATCCGCTCCAGCCCGCGCCTCCAGCCGGTGCGTCCGCTGACCCCTCCGCCCCAGGCTCCTCCGCGTTGCCGGTCTCGGCGTCGGCGCCAGCAATCGCCGCGATGTACGACCTCCAGGCCGCTGCGGCTGCCCAGGGCATCGACCCCGCGCTCGCACACCTCGACCCGTCGCTCGCCGCAGGCCCGTCCAACCCCGCAGCGTTCACGTATACGGCCAAGTTCAATGCACGCACGGGGACATTCGCCCGCCCGGATGGCCGTGACCCGTCGCACTTGTCCGAGTATGAACGGGCGAAGCGGATGAGCGAGTTCTACTTTGACGTCAACGCTTGGGAGCAGGAGGTAGAGGCACGCAAGCTTGAGGAAGCACACGAAGAGGAGAGTAAGAAGCGGAAGAGGCCAACGAAAAAGGACCTGGTGAGCATCATCTGCGTTGGCTTCGCTAAAACAGTTAACTGATTTCTGAGCAGGAGCGGTTCAAAGAACAGAAAAAACAGAAGAAGATCGCGAAAACCGCTTGGTTGCGTACATGATGCGTAGAGTAGACGGTTGGACAGACATTCCTCGGCCATGGGCAACGCAATGATTGAATGACCGGCTAAATGCTTCTTGGACGGGTTACTTGAGCGTTCACGGCTAGGAACATGATGATCTGCGGTCACGATGACTCTGAACAAGTGCAAGTACGAAACTAAAGCTGCAGACTTGCTGCAGACCATCAACGTCCGAGTCCTCCCCATACCGGCGGTTTGGTCATCACGTGCCAGTGAGTGTGAGTATCTTTCACTCTCGCTCATTTGGCTCATGCCTCGTACTAGACTTTACCGAGGCAATTCGCACTCCATCCTTGCTCATTCCCCACGTTTTTCTTCATCCTAGCGATGGTTAAGCTGTTGCCGAAGCAAAACGTGGTCGTACAAGCCACACTACAGTAACACTCGAAACGTCAAGTCCGTGGTCTGCAGCTGCATATCGCTCACAACATAGTCAGCCAGCCTCAGACATCGCTACAAGGGTGTTCAGACTCGCAGGAAGCTTGGCCGGGTAATGTTGCAGCCACTTAGTTCTTGTGTACGTCTTGTGTAACCCATCCACAACATCGATTGCAGGACGGATGTATACCATGCGGTGACTGCTCTATTGTGCTTCCCATCGAGCGTGGATGACCAATGTAGATCATCGATACCACGGCCTCACCGATTTCCGCGAGCCCTCGAGACCGAGCGTCGTATATATACCGTGATAAATTTGCTTTGAACGCCAACCCTCTTCCCCACCTCTCTTCTCTTGACCTGAATTATATCAACGCGTTTTCTCGACAGGCGACCCAGCAACGGTGGCCAGGCCTTCGCCGTGCGTGCGGTAGGCAACGTATTGCACGGTACCGGCAAATCTGTCTCTCAATTGACTGGAAGGCCTGACTGAAGTAGGTGGGTCTCGATTTGCACTCCATCGACCTTATAGCTGAGCTGGCGTAAGATCTGGGGAACGTATCGGCCGGAATTGTCTTCGTAGAGGCTCTCGCAATATGCACAAGGACCGACCCGTTTGGATGTCGTCCTTCCCTCAAGAATACGCCGTCCGATGTGGAGACCTCCCGCATCCGACGAATCGCCATGGAGCACTGGTGTGTGCTGCAACCGGATCCTCAATTGTTATGAGTGGTACACGCTGTCTGCGTGTACCATTTGTAACATGTTAATGCCCGGCTCTATACTTCTGTGGATTTGGCTCTCGGGTGGGCGACATTTGTCAGGCTTCCTTCAATTAATCGACCCCTCAGCGACAGAATGCACCATCATCCACTACTACGGATGTCCGCTGATTTCACCACAAAGAGCTTCTATGTTCCGTTACCGGCTCGTCGCCTCTGTCGTAGGGGAGCGATGTATGCGGAGACCGGACCCTTGCTTGCTATGAGCAATACACTGTAACAGTGTATGCATATGCGATCCCTTGTAACATGCCAGTGTCCTGTCGAGTGCACTACTGTGAGACAGTCGCAGGCCTGATTTGTACGAGCAGGCGAGGGACTGTCGTCCCTCAGTCAATACGATACCACGCTGCTTTCGACGCTGATCCAGCGAATGCACTACGTCCATGCTTCCACGCGTTATTGCTTTTGTCGACTACGGACTGCACAGTGAGCGATCATTAGAGAGTATGATAGAATGCAAACAGAACTTCCACTTAGTTACATGAACAGAATAAAACTGATATCACGGAACAGCGACGGAGGCATTATGAGTAGTACACGCTATCCAGTACCTTGTGAAAGGATGGCCGAGAAGTGACTAGTGAAGTTTGCGATGCGATGGTGGAGTAGGTCTGAGACGTCTTCCGAATCTCGTCCAACTTCACGAGGAGCACGTCCATGAGACCATGCCGCCGCACCAGCGGCCACTTCACCGCAGCGGCTTCCCCAACAGCGACTTCCCTTGCAGCACCTGCCCCTGCAACGCCTTCCCCTGCAGCAGCGACTTCACCAGGTGGCGCTATAGCCGCAGAGCAGCCACAGCTCCGAGTCGAATCCTCGGCCGACGATGATTTCAGCAATAGCCTTGGCTCGCGCGACGTACTGCGTTATCTCGTCTTCCAGCTCCCGTGTGCTCGTTTCGGGTAAATTAATGTGAAATACACCACCGTATAATAGTAGTCGCACTCGTCGGTGGCACACAGAACCCGGCAACTGTGGCGCGTTACAGACGTCGTCGGGACAGGGTGCCCACAACACGTTCGTCTCGTTCGGGCACCTTCCGTCACCAACCCAGGTGTCAAAGCCTATGTGCTCCGGTTTCGGGCACTTTGTGAAGAACGCTGAGAGTGCCGTCATGGCGTCCCCATTTTGGTGGACTCTGTTCGTCTTGAGATGCGTCTCGGCGGAGGCGAGAGTGTTGATGTTGTCGCAACGAAGGGTGATTGGGGGTAGACCGAGGGGAAGATAGCGCGGGTTGCGCAGTTGCAGGAGTGGCCGCAGGGTATGTATGGAGAACGTTAGTGTTCTTGGGCTGGGATTGATGGGCTCTAATTGAGATACCCTCAATACAACAAAGGTAAAATTCCTGAGCGCGTCGCAGAACGGGCTCTTGGTCAGACCCTCGTAGAATGCGCGTTTTCCCTGCATCGAGGGGTGAATCCGTGACGTACACTGACAGATCGGCCAGACAGATGGACTCGATGCTATCCAAATCGCAGGTGCACATTATCACGAGCGCGTCTTCATCGATGCTTTCGCGGAAGGAGTCCCTAAACACGGTGTAAAACCACTCGGATTCGCCGAGCCCCCGTTCGGTGGTCCACCTCGGCTCGGCCCCCCGTATGTGCAGACTTTGGAGGGCGCGACAGCGCGACGGCAGCTCATCGAACATCGCCGTTAGGGCCTCTTCCTTGACGAGCGACGCAGTCACCCAGAGGTCCTAGAGGTTGGGCGAGGCGAAAAGTGCGAACGATGGAATGGTGTGGAGCAAGAGATATTCTGAGACGCACACAGCAGGGATCCATGGCGTATCGAGCGACGATAACGCTTTTATAAAGCAGGACAGCGCCCTTGGCGTCAGGTCCTTGTCGGTCCAGGTGAACGTCGTGACGTAGCGGGAGTATCGTTCAGATTGGACGGTGTCGACGCCAAAGATCCCGCGAGCCCCCTGTGATGGTCGATGTCGTTGTTTGTGAGTCGACAGCACAGGAGATAGTCGAGCTACGCAAGCCGTACCTCATCGGACCCTATGTTCTTGAAAGGATCGATGCCCGTATTCGTAATCTTGTTCACCATGGCGCTTCGATGCTCGACCATTTATGAATTCTAGGATGGTAGCTGAGAGAGCCGTCGTGCAATGGTCGACACGAGCCGCACCAGTGGCAGTGGTATGAAAGAGAAATACAAGTGGCTTGCCATGTTCAAGGCAGCGGTGTTGGTATAAGTATCTTTCTTTTGAGCGTATCTGATTGGTCAATCAATTCATCTGTCCGCCAAACTGTTCGGTGAGCCTATCAGTACTCAGCACTCTGTCCATTGTCCCAAGTGGCCCAGCGTAAATGAACATCCGTGGCCACAAAGTGTGGCTGTTGGGCCGGTCTCGGCGCTGTCCGCCAGTGGCTTTTACTTATGAGTCTGTCGAAGTCGCCAAATTTCTTCGCGATAAGATTGAAGAGTCTGTCTGTGTCTTTCCATGAGCCCCGCGGCCGGACAACATTTGCTAAGACGTACATTGGAAAACCTCAGCTTTATGGAGTCTTTATGGTCGGCAACGGAGACTAGCCACCCAGTGGAGCGACACGTGTGGCTGAGCGCCACGCGCCACCGCCACATCGCGTCTCCGATCTCGCGACGACCTCCGGGAATGCCATGTGTCTTTCTCGCTCAAATCCTATGACAGGAATGCAAGAGCGGCTTCATTAAATGCACGTTATCCTACTACGTCCAACCTCGGGTTAACACGAACGTATTCATGCAGCAGACAACAGACGCGGACAACAGCAGAGCCAAGACGACAGGAACGCAGTAAGGATACAACAATGGGTGTGGCAATACACGGGGGTATAGTCAGAGGCGGGCGAGTGCGAAGACGGGGACGACACCTATATGGATATGAAGTTTTGGAGGGGGTGCGAAGATTAGCGGCAAGGTGTACTAGAACGACGAACAGTCCATGAGGCAATGACAATGACACGGAACCGGAACCCATATGCAAGTGTAGAGTGAGAGGAGACAGTGTTTTGGACGAGGCCCGCCCGTCGAGGATGGGGGTGGCCGTTCACGCACGCTCGCGCTCGACGACGCGGGTCAGCGCGGCGAGCACGATCTCCCAGGCGACGTCCATGACGCCCCACAGCTCCGCGTCGCTCACGCCGAGCGCGCAGACGTTCCTCCAGAGCCCGTTGATGACCTTCACGTGCGCCATGAGCCCGCCGAGCGCGCCCTGGGGCCCGGCGTGGGCCGCGGCGTTGTGCGCGAGCGCGTGTGCGAGGCGGAGGAGGCTCTCGCTGGAGAAGTTGCTCACGTACGAGCGTTGGTGCGAGGACGACGACGAAGCGGCGTGCGCGGGCGGGAGGGACGACGCGAGCGAGGGGAGGAGCGCGGCGAGGAGCGTGTCCGGGCGGCGGGTGTGCAGGTACGCGTGCAGAAGGTGGAACGTCTCCGCGCTGGGCACTGCGAGGGGGACGAGGGGGAGGCTGACGGCAGCACTGCCGCGCTGGCCCGCAGATCGCGGGAGCTGGGGCAGCAGCGGGCAGTACGCGGCGAGGACGAGTGCGTGCGCGGGGAAGAGCGGCACGGTGGTGGTAGGAGAGTTTGACGCGAGGAACGACGCGGCGGTGGGTGTGTTTGGCTGGGAGGGGGACGCCCTTGAGGAAGAGACGGCGAGCATGTGCGTCGGGAAGGCACGTGGCGGAGACGAGGCCGTCGGGCGGACGGGTACGTCGATCGTGGGTGGTAGGTGTGCTTTCGGGAGGGAAGCCGGATACGTGAGCAGGGAGAGTGCGGAGAGCATCCTGTTGCGCGAAAAGTCAGGATAGGAGAGGCGAAGAAAGGCGGGAGACGCACTCATTAGCCTGGCCAGCCAGGTGTTTTCTAACAAACTCAACGGGAACGTTCGCGAGCTCCGGCTCGAGCGCGGCGATGGCATTGCGAGAGACCTCTGTGAAGGCTGGGCGCGACAGGGTTCGCGGAAGCTGGAGGTTCTGGGGCGCGTTCGGGTGCCCGCCGTACGAGTGGGACATGGGGAGCGAGAGCTCCGGGACGGGGCGAGAGGCGACCTGGAACATATTGAGGCAAGGAGCGCGTACGGGAAATGCTAAACGCGTTGATGACACTAGTATGCGGTATGCGAGGGCGTGGTGTGCTAGCTATGAGGCACGCGGCGGGCTGTGCGACAGACGATTGTAGGCGACGAGTTTTGTGCGATCCGGGAGGTCGTGTGCGGCGCGATACTCGAGAGCAGGATGGTGATGGACAGGGCGGACTGGCGAGCCATCTTTATAAATTGCGCGTCGGAGGGAGGATAGAGACCAGTGCGAGAAGCCGCGTGGATGGAGGAATAAGAGGATGCACAAATCTGGACGAGTGTTTGTCTCGAACAGGCAGGGGTGCGTCCGCCCATCACACGTGCCGAGCCCAGCCATGCCCGATTCGGGAGCTCTTGTCGAGCGTTCCTCCGCGCGCACACTCGACTGGCGACGCCTCCTCGTTGTAGCCATCGCGACATCGACCTTGTACTCTGGAGGCTCGCTGGACACCTACCTCTCCATCACGTCACAGAAGCATCGCCAGCAGAGGCATCGTTGTAGTCCTCACCACAGTGCATATGCCGCCCCGAGGTTTATCATGCGCTCCCTGCCAGTGCGAAGCGGGCTGTCGTTGTCTTGAGTACTCCCAGTGCGCATGCCCGCCGCAGCGGTGTCGCATATGTAGCAAAGTCCACACTTTGCGCTGTCGGACCAACGCAAGGCGTCTCTCGCGGACCTTCGCCTGCAACACCCGCTCCCAGAAGCCATGGACGGCCTAAATCGGGGATCTGGATGAGATGCATCGCTGCTAGGCCCATCTGAAGCCTAAGGGGACTTCCTCTCCCGTCTCCTACGCGGGGAACCATGTACTGGCCAGCAGGTGGCGCAGGCCAGTGAAGCAGCGAAGGTGCCACAGTGACAGGCCATTGACAGGTCGTGTCAAGCGTACATGACAGCTATCATCGGAAGTCGTTCACTTGCTCCTACTTTCTCTCGCAGACGTTGCGTGCCACTAAATCGGCAGGTGTAGTACTAGTCCAGGCCGAGGGCGCGTCGAGAAGTCTGATGTCGAAGATTTCCCTGTGTGCTACTGGCTCCGGTCGCCAACCTGTGTCCGTGGGCTATAGTAGAACAACTTGTCCTCGCAGATGATGAAGCGGGCCAGGTACGTGAGTTCAATTTACGATTGACCTCGTCAAACTGCTAAGTCTGATAACGCAGTGAAAGCCACCCGGGACACTGTTCGACAATACTGGCCCATGCACTCACGTCTCGGCATGGTAGAAAGGTCAGCTCAGCTATTGCCACGAACTGGCAACTGCTCGTTCTTTGCCACACAACTGCACTGTCCAGCTGCCCGGGCGGGTCAGGAGCAATGTCGCACTCGTAAAATACACCAGAAACGATTCTGGGGCCACACTGAATTGACCCTCAGTCTCGCGCCAAAGACACGATCACACGAACGCCCGACTTACACCGAGTACAACAAGCCCCAGGAAAGGATCGATCCTCGTCGACCATCGAGGGATGGCGGCTCGTGTAGCATGTGGTGTGGGAGTAGCTCGATGATGGGACCCACCACGCTGCGACCGCAGTCTGCGAGAGTACAAGAGACGTACGAATGCGGGTCGGCGGCTGCTTAGCTGTCATAGAAGATTTGCGCTCGCCGTATGTGGGCACTAGCTAGCGTCTGCGCCTCGAAATGGCGAGCGCGGCACCGCTGCTTTGTGCCACTAGGTGCGTGGTGTGATAGTTCCTGTTTGTGCGCCTCGGAACAACTGCTACTACGACAGGAACGGTCGCCACACAAGGGCAATGTGAATCGGAGTCCCACCGTACTGCGTCCCTCCCGACTGTCAGTCCAGACATACGTCACGAACCACACGCCCGCCGCAGAAGCAGGCCAAGGGGTGCTTCGACCTTCCCCCGCTCCGGTCTGTCACAACCCACACAACGTCCTGCGAGTCTTCTCCGACTCTGACTCGACGACGCACAAGGAACCCGAGGACACTCGTTGTCCGAAGAAGCAGCGCGAAGATTGACCGCCGTAAAATTCTCGTGTCTGAGGTATCGGCCGCCCGGGCGACGGTTATCTGATCTCCAGCGCAGCGTCCTTCCGGAAGCACGAAGCCCGGTGCTGCTGCAATCTTGGCCTCGAGTTCGGTGCGTCGAGGATGTCCTTGTTTCGAGCGCGCCACCTAAGGACGGACTGGCTCCGTGTTGTGCCCTTGCGCCATCTCCGACGCTTCTGAACTTCCCTTGAGGAGTAACTCTGCCAACTTGGGTCTGTCACTTACTTACTAGGGGCAGCAATCGTATAAGGCACTATCTAGCTAGTGCTGCATGCATGTCTTCCAACAACGTCTATATACGGAGTTGGTGTCAGTAACAGCGTTTACGCGGCTCGCATCCCGTCAACATCCCATTCTGCAGGTTGACAATGTGATTCTACAAATATTGCTTGCACCGTCATCCAGCTACGTGGTGTCACTTGTCGGAACGTACCATGTGCATCACACACCGGTGATGGCGGACGGCGAGCTGTGTGCGCACCCAAATTGAAAGAGGGTGAAGTTGGGGTGAGGTACGAATTCGAAGTAAGTATGGCCTTACTGAGCGTATACGTACCACCAGTGTGTACTTTACTGTGACCACCGCGTTTCTTGTAGCGGCAAGAACGTAATGATGAAAAGGCGAACGTCAGCGAAGCTTGAGCAAGGAGGGGATTAGAGTAGGATTGAACTTTGGAGTGAAATGCAAAAAGCTCAGACTAAAAAGGTATGCATTAAGGGGGAATCGAACCCCCGGCGGGTCGATGGCAACGACCCAGGTTACCACTACCCCATTAATGCGGATAAAATTGTGTATAGTAAAACAGATACCATCAAACAAACAATGCAAACGCGGTCATATGACCCTGTGGCCGTCGGACTTCAACATTCGAGCGACGTTGTCCGCGACCGTCAGGCCACCCTGCTGCTTCCTCTCGTCAGTTCAATCTTCGCGCAAGTTTTCTTGTTTACTTCGAAGCTTTGCACGCCGATAACCCACCGAAAGGATAGTCCCTGATCCCCGGGCTTCGGAGGTCGAGCATGGATGCCTCCGACTTTGGCCGCTATGGAACACTCTACCTGTTGAAACGACATGAACCTGACGCAATCGTGGCTCCTTATCCCATTGACGAGCCTGAAGTTACGCTGGGACGCGATACCTCATGCAGTATCAGGTTGTATTATGCGGAAGTGAGCGCGGTGCACTGCAAAGTCGTCTTTAACGATGAAGGCAAGGTGTGTGTTCAATCTGAACTTCTATCCCCGTTCTTCCCCAATCTTTGGGCTGGGAACATCCTGAACGGGGGAAGGACGTGCCATTTTGCGATGAGTGGCGGCATTGTTTAGGGGTGCTTCCTTTCTCGCTGTTGCGACACGTCATGAGGAGTCACTTGTACTCTCGACAGTGGCTGCCAAAGCGATGTACGACGGTGGATGATAGCGCTGCGAGAGGCTTCTTGTGCCGCATGCGCCTTTCGGCGAAGGGTATCGGGTCTGGTTTGGGCACCGTTGAGGATGCAAGGCAGGGTCCATGTCGTGGTTGTAGGTGTCGAGAACCTGAAGGGTGCTCGCCGTCGAACGTAACTGCGACACCCCCGCACTGCCTGCATGCGCTCGAGGACTCGCTGTTCGCGTGCCCTGCCGAAACGGGGTGCGCCTACGCGTTTGCACACAGATATGATAAGTACTTGACGTTCCGCCCTTGTCAGGCGGTCGCCAACACAGTCCTTGTTGCCACTCCATCTGTGTTGGCCAGTGCTGTACGTACGTCCTAGGTTCGCACAAGGCATTGTCACACATCCGGAAGACGTACGGCGGTGATTTCCATACTTCTCTGTTGTGTCTCATGATAGTACCCTCAAGGTACAGATCCGCTGATATTCATGCTCTATAGGCCTTCGTTGTCGTCCTGGGTACCAACGGTCTCTTGATTGACGACTGCCCCGTATATCCTTCGCCCACGGGCGGCGCCCCAGCCACTGTCCCGCTTCCCAACAACTCCATCCTCGAGGTGCACAAGAAGCGCTTTCGGTTCACTTACCCGCCGAAGCATCTGCGCAACGCATTCGCCGCAATCCCACCCACGCCGATCGCAAGCCCCGGTTCACGCCGCCGCGCCCTCCGCATGAGCATGATCACAAGCGCAAAGGTGTTCAGCCCGCGCCCATTCGAGGATCCGCGGCGGAATCTGGAGGTGCTGCAGAGCCCACTAAAGGCGGTGTTCAAACCGGAATCGGATGACGAAGACGACGCTGGGGATGAGGACGACGAGGGCGACAAACCAGTCGAGGAGAACCAGAACGATGGTGTGAATGCAGAGGACATTGTCCTCGTCGAGTCGGACCATCCGCGCGTTATGGAGTCGGAGAAGGACCTTATCATCCTCGACCATGTCACCGTGACTGAACCGCCCCCGTCCGCCGTGCCTTCTCCGTACCGCTCGTCATCGTACACATCCCCCGTACGTATAGGGTATGCCCACCCGTCCGCCTCGCCCTCGCGCGTGAAGCAGATGCCCGTGCCGCCGCAGAACTGGGCGCCACCGCGCACCCCGGCGCGTCGCATGCCGCGGGCGTCGCTCCATCGCGCTGTGCTCATCCGCTCTGCACAGAAGGCTGCGATGAGGCATGAGATGCAGCGTGAAGAAGAGCTGGACGCGGAGGAGGTGGAGAGCATCATGGGGGATGACGAGGAAGGGAATGACGTGCAGATGATGGAAGACGTCGAGGAAGAGTACGAAGAGGGGGAGGTGCAGGTGAAGGAGGAGGAAGAGCAACAGCGGAGGACGCCGATGAGTGGCTGGCGAAAGAGTCTGGAGGCAGTAAAGGGTGGGCTGGGCTGGGCCTTCCGAGCTGCCAGCGTCGAGGTTCGTAAATCACTCCGTCTATGGCGTCCCCTGGCCAATAAGCTGAGTACGATTGTAGGCGGAGGCGAGATCAGCAGAAGACACCCCTCATGAACAAACGCAACCTGCGGAAGATGTGGAAGATGATGCATACGAACAAGACATGCAGGACGAGCAAGTCGAAGAGCAATACCCCCAGCACGATTACGAGAATGATAACGAAGAGCAAGACTACATGGAGACCGATGACATGCAGAACACAGAGAACATATACCCCAACCTCCAAGACGAGTTCCAAGAACAACCCGAGGCTGGCCCCTCTACTCCCGAACCCTCTGTCACGCCTCTGAGGCCGTTGGGCAGGTTCATGACGCCGCAGACTTCTGTCTTCCCGCGACCCTCGGTACAGGGACGCTACTCCATCGGCGGGCCTACGACCCATAACCTCGGTGGTTCAGTGTCCGGTACGGGCGCAGGCCCTCGTCGCGTGCGTCTTGTAGAACCATGGAAGGTCTCGGACATCGTCGTGCCAGCCGTAGAGGAGGAAGTCAAGAAAGAAGAAGAAATCATGAAGCAAGAACGAGCGCAGAGCTTGGCCCCGGTCTCTACGTTGGCAGGTACGCCCAGAAGGGATCGCGTGAGCGAGGAGGAGAAACGGGTAAGTGTTCACTATTGCAATGTCAGTTGTGGGGGACAGTCACCGACTACGTTATGCCCAGACCATCCGAGAGCGACGCAAGTCAGCCCTCTCAACGCCTGACAACTTCTTCAACGGCCAGGCTCCTGGCTTCAGACGGGCGTCGGCTGCCCCCTCTGCGCCTCTCCCCGCACTCTTCCCCTCCGCACAGAGCACATCGCCCAAGAAGGAGCACGCCGCCTCATTAAAGACGGAAGATGGCACGGATATAGGATCAGAGGAGGATGCCGGTGTGCTACTCGCGCGTATGCGGCAGATGGTCGAGGGTGTCAAGCGCAGGCAAAGCACGGAGGCCGGCGCGGGCGGGACTCCGCGCAGGAAGTCGCTCAGTCCACGCAAGCGCAGCGGCTTCTCGCTGCTGGCCTCCGAACCTGGGACACATCGGCAAGGCCAAGACGCTATCATGGAGGAGCAAGAGGACGCGGATGAGAACGCCGGGGCTGATGGTCAGGTGGACGGCGCTGTCCTCCCGGTGTCTAAGTATGCGGGTACGCCGCAGATGAACGATCTCCGCCACTTGTTCGCTGCACCGGGACCCTCTGCTACGCCGCAGCTTACGGGCGTGCGAGAAATGTTCCTCAGTCAGAAGAAGACAACAGGCGTGGAGGACACCGCACTGGAAGGCGTCGGAGAGATGATGGCTACGCCGGCAGGATGGCGCTCCAAGTCTGCTGCTCGTGCCCAAGATCTCGAGGAGGAGAATGAAGACGGTGCCGCAGACGAAGAATTCGCTCCAGTGGTGCCTTCGCGCAACGCCAAAGGCAAAGGGGTTGCCACTCGACGAACACCTCGAAGCGTGAATGCTCAGAAGGAGACACCAGCGAGCAATCTTGGTACGGTAGACGAAGACGACGCGGCCGCGTCCACTCAGGTACGGTCCAGTGCTGCAAAGGTGGTGCGCCGGACACGAACACGCACTGTTGAGAGTGATCAGGTAAGCTAACTTCGATGTAGACGTCGTGCGCTTGGGGTTGACACTATCTGTCAAGGAGGCCACCAGCACCAGCGATCCCCGTACTGCGCGTTCTCGCCACGCTAGGACAGAAGAAGAGGATGAGGTCCCTGAACTGGTACGTAGTGCCAGTTCTTGCCGCCTCACATGTATATTGATGTTTCTCCGCAGCCGAGCCGTACGAAGTCAGCTGCCCGAAAGAGAGCGGTGATCATAAGCGATGTCAGCGAAGATGATGCTGGGACTAACAGCAGCAAACCTGTCCGTCGCAGCACTCGCGCAACCAGCACGGAGCCCGAAACATCACGAAAGACGCCAGCTAGCGCAGCCACATCTACGCGTCGGACGCGTGTGACCAGGACACCGGCCCATGAAGAACCAGTTGCTCCGATTCCCAAGCCTAGCACCACACGTCGTGGCCTTCGCGGCAAGGCAGTCGAGGTGCCTGCAGCCGACGATGACAACGATCCTTTGGATTCCCTCGGACCGGAAGAGGCAGCGCCTGCGGCTGCTAAGGTGCGCCGTACTGGGCGAAGCCGCATCCCTGTGGGTTCAGTGAAGCAAGAAGACGATAGTCCAGCTATTCCTCCTGCATCCGACGATGAGTCTGCAGCTCCACCCGCTCGTGCCGTGCGGGGAAGGAGGACCGCAGGAACGCCGAAGCCCGCAGCATCGACGAGTGCAACCAAGAGCACTGCACGCTCTCGTGCAGCTGCGTCCTCGAAGAAGGCGATTACTGAGATACCTAGCTCCTCTGGCAAGTCCACGCCGGGTACCGGCGAAGAAGAGGATAGCCATGCGGGCGATAAGGAGAACACCCCAGAACCACAGGCGGAAGATGATGAGCCTGCCGCCGCCGCCCCGGTCCAGGCGAAGGCAAAGACTCTGCCTGCGTCAGGGTCCAGATCCAAGGGGACGCGGAGTACCACAAAAGTGCGCGGAGGGACGGAGGAACCTGTAGTTTCGAAGGAGGACAGTAATGTGAAGACGCGAGTGAGCAGAAAGAGGGCGACCACAGTCGGGAAGTCTTGAATGTGCATACACAGATCTTCCCAACTGGTCTGTAAATATGATGTTTTATGTATTGATACCCAATCCCGAAGATTTACGCGGCCAGGAGTAGTAGAACGGTGAAGCAAAGTCAGTGGACATGGCCACACCACATGTGAACACACGTGGCTACTGAACTGCGGTGGCTATCCGCGGCTCTGACCTACCGTCACACTCGCCAACAAAAGCACTGCCTACGACACTCCTTCATCAGAGCTGGGTTTTTGTTGCTCCAAATTTCGATGCATTACAGCTGACACTGAAACACTTTTGCAGATCTATGGCCCTAGTGGAGGCTTGTTACGCGAGAGAAAAACGTTGAGGGTTAGTCACATCACGGTTCTGGTGCTCAGAGCCTCGTGGTCGAGAGCAAAATTGTGACAGCAGGTCCTCCCCAGGTTGTTCACTGGTACTTGAATAAAACACCTAGCGTATCCCGCCCAGTCTTCCCTGGAGCTCAATTTAGTCGAGAAGGAGGATCGGCATGCCTCAAATTCTGACGTTGTATACAGGGCCGATGTGAGACGGATATCGCACGCCCGGGCTATTCCGCGACACAGTCAACGCCAATAAGCTTGCTATATACGGTGTGCCTTGTTTTTTTGCTGAGATTCCAGACGCTGATGATCCGTTTTTGTACCACGCCCTACGGTACCACCTCCTAGTACGTCCATTCGGTTCTGTATGCACTCGATTGCGCAACATTGTATATCCCTGCCAATGTCAGTGGGAGGATGGCATAGAAGAACCACCAACAAAACATCTCTCAGAGGTATTCAGCAGGTCCCGAGGGTGCGTCCGACGCTTTGCGCCGCCACCGGGGTTCAATTTCTTCTTTCTGTACATCGAGCTATGAAGGGATCGACCCGGGGATACCGAGACCGGTCATTTAGCTGTCTATACCTGAGCCAGGCCTCGAGGCTCATTATGGGTACGGCCTATAGCCATGTGCCAGTGGAACAAAGGACGGCTCTCCGACCACATCTTGCGGACAAAGGACGTTCGATTGACCAATCACACCGTCGCATGGATCAATTGAAACACCGCCGCCACGACGCCTTTCTAGCCACGGTTCGCCTCGCCTTTCTCTCTCTCTCTCAAACCATCGGCTTGGCCATTCGCCCATACTCATACGACCTTGCGCGCTGCCACATACTTCTCAACAGCCAATCAAGCCTAGATTGAACGAGGCGGATATCATGGCCAATACTACTGGGAATACTCGTACGGAGAAGGAACTCGAGGCGCTTGGATGGGTTGGCATTGGTACGGAAGAGGTATGTCATAGACGACCAGAGAACGCTACATCATGTGCTTACTGACAGCGGCTACAGGTGGCCCATGGTGACTATGGTGAAAGAGAAGCAACTAAGATCATGGCTCGAGAAAGCAGGCAAGGCTCCGCCGCACCTTCGAGCTCTAACCGCAAGCGGCGACGGTCTGGCGACAAGGATATCATGAGTACCGGACTAGACCAAGGCAGCAAACGACGGAGGGTACAGCGGGAAAGCGGCGCAATTGCTGCAAGGATCGAGCGTTCCTGGGGACTTCAAGCTTCTGTCGATTTTGGAGAAATGCAGCACAAACTCGAAGTAGCCAGTACATCTATGGCATCCACACGCGACGGCCAGTCCGCCGCTCAAAGCCACCCGTTTACCCCTCCTCGGATCGCTCCAACAAAAGAAGACAACGCGATCACGTCAAAGGGCAAACCCCTGGATCGGAGACTCTGGACGACTCGTCCTGATGGTCATGCCACAGCAGCATTCAGAAACATGGTCCCGTCTTCTCTGCCAAGATTTCGGACTGCTGCAGACAACGCCATGCCGTATCGTCTCGAGCCCGCCGCCCCTGCTACGCCGAGCAGTCGGCCGTTACTATTGTCTGCGATCGGTGGTCGAAAAGACACCCCGACGTCCCCATATATCACGGGACCGCAACCACGTTGAGCGAGGGCCTCTTTCATGAAGGCGGGAACGCAGACCACATCATCGCTGGACGCACAATTCGTGCGAGCAGAGGCTTTGCTCGCGGTGACCCCCGAATCCGGTAGGTTGGCCTCATGGTCCTGGATGCCGCCGATCCAAGACGACATGGATCACTCGTCGCGGTTGGTCGACAGTCCACTTCCATGGGCCACGGGTCCCTCGTCCAGGTCAAGCGGAACAGCGTTGAGCTCTGCCTCTTCAAGTAGCGAGGCGGGGTCCCCTATGCCTACTCTAACGTCGGCTGTCACTACCCCGGAGTCGAGTGCCACGCCACTCGGAGGGGACCGTCAGTGTCCGCTCTCTTCGGTCGAGGAGATTTTGGAGCACTACTTGGATCCCAACGTCGATTACACCCCATCGATCTACTCGGACGTCGACGATGAGGCCAGGGAGCTTCGGGCATTGCCCGGCATGAACCCAGTCTTCTGGGATCTCATGGACGCGCTCCTCGTGAAGTTGGACGAGATGCAGAAGACATCTCGGGACAACATGACCATTGCAGCCACTTCTGGGTCATCCTCTAACGGGATACCAGCCAACAGTGTGTGCAGCTCATAATGTTACCATCGCTTTGCCACCGCATGCAGCGATTACAGTTCCTTTCTTCGTTGAGTTGACGATGCTTGACTCAGGTTCTATTCGTATACCACTGTGCAGTTTGGGATTTGTTGAAGCGAGTATGATTGTGTTGTTATGTATGTGACATCCAATTGTAAGCAGTCTGGCAATGATACAGCATGAAATCTGACGGATGACGCGGCCAGTTCCCCGTCTGTTCGTGGAATCAGACTGGTGACCAACACACAGGAGGCCGCAAGAGCGGACGATAGCGAGAAACGGCGTAATATTGACAAGTGCTACTATGGCGTCTCGACGAGTATAAGCTTCTTGCGATGAATCACAACGCCAACGGAGGTGAGGTCATAGAACACGGTAAACCGTAGTGGTGATAGGTAGTGCAATGTAGATACTGAGGCGACGTCAGACTCGTAGGTCAATAGCTGTCGTTCCCGATCTGTACGGATTGAGTCTGAGGTCAACAACCGAAGGAGACCTAATAATATATACATATCGGCCATTCGAGAGCAAAACACACGATAGAATCGAGCCGGAAACTAGCATGTTACAAGCGTCACATACAGTCAATGTGTGCCGCTCATAACAAACGAGTATCCGGTCACAACACAAATCGGTGCTCTACGGTAAGTAGAAGGAGCTGGTTGATCGGGCGCAGGGGGGCTTAACACCGGACGGCATGTCCATCAATGCAGGGAGACGTCCGATCGTGTCCGAGAGCACTGTGCATATTGCGCGCGATCCTCAAGGCAGAAGATAGGACCGACCAGCGTGTTCGCCAGTTACTGTCGGCGAGACTCCTATGCGTGAATAGCTCAGATGCCAGGTGATAATCGACGATGCTTTGTCACCCACCAATTAATGTCGCAAACTGCAACGCAGTGCACGCGTGGACACTGTCATGTCACAAGCGACACACACACACAGTCAGTGCGTGTCGCTCATACCAAACGAGAATCCAGTCGCAACGCACACTAGTGCTCTTTGTAAATTGGGAGGGGATCGGACCGTAGCATGCTACGAGGGATCACACCTTGTGTACGAATTAACCACTCGTAAGGACCCATGGCTGGGGCAACATGAGGGCGCAAGGTGGCCGACGCGAGACAGACTTCGAGTAGTGGAAGCAAAGGGACGGGGGCTTCCTGCCACGCGGGCTGGTGATAATGATGATTCCTCGGAAGGGATGGACCGGAGGTCAGTCAACAACTAGTAGGGTACCTCGACCAGGTCAATTCGTCACCGTTGCTGAATCGCCTATCGAGGGGACGTGTTGCCGATATTATTCAGGCCAATAGAAGAAAGGTGGGAAGGGGGGCTGGCTAGTATCCGAAGCAACCCATGACAGTATTATATAGCCTCGACGACGCTCAGTCCGGTCTTGAGGGCTTGAGTGACTCGGCTAGAATCGTCGTATCGATCTACAATGGTCAAAAACACTCGATGGAGAGGACAATAGGCAATAGAGTAGTCATCGCATGGTATACAACCATCCTGCAATCGATGCCGTGGACTCGGATGTAAGATCACACAGGACGTACACAAGAAACCGAGTGCCTGCAACCTTAGTACTCGCCTTGGGTTGATAATATTCTGACAGTTTAGGATCAGTGCCTCGTCCCTCCGCTGAGCCTCCTGCGAGTCTGCACACCCTTAAACCGATGTCGGAGACCGATGAGGGTGAAGGCTAGTATGAGGTATGAGGAGACTTGTGCGACGCTCTGGAGGAGGAGGAGGAGGAGAAGGAGCCTGGTACTAAGGGTACTAGCGACGGTCGGAAACCAACATGGAAAGACCGAGGGGCTCGGGCATTGACACGAGGCTACTGAACGGAATATCTCAATTCGGTAGCTGCCACCACTAGCCAGCTGTACGTACGATCAAATTCACCGTACTCTATACAAGAGAGCAAGAGGCAACAATGCAAGACCAGTACAGAAGTTCAGATGCATCCAGAAGGCAGGGGTCGCGAGTGATGTACAGTTGCGGATTGGTCATCTGCGTCACGCAGCACGCTCAAGAATGCGGGACCGGTGCGTCGGACGCCGGCACCGTCCTGTTCGTCACTGGTCTCGTCAATGACAAACATAGTGTTGACGAGATCGCAGCAGGTCCTGCCCATTCGTCGTTGGCGTACGGTATGGTGTACAAGACTAGTATCATAGCTCGTAGCATTCAAGTTACTGAACGCAGGAAGCGCGCTTCCGCGGCGTTGCTAAACGTCTTATACTTAGATGTTGATCCATACCGACAACGCCGCGGCAGCGCCGGCATGGTGGGCAGTATTGAAGGGGAATAGAGCCAAGAGGTCAAGCAAGACGAATGAGCGATGTGGAAAAGGGCCCGGTTGGTCTCCATGTGCGAGATCGCAAAGCACGTCGAGCACACTCAAACGTGCGCCGATCATGACACTGTGCGCATCGCTATCACGTACGTAGAGTAATGGGCTCTGTGCACTGGCTGTACAACATAAGATCGTGAAGGCGGGGCACTTGGTCTATAGGGCACTTATCATGCATTACATGAACGTTACGTGCATGAAAATGTACTAACATGATGTAGCGTTCGACTCGCGAGGTCTCGATCTTGCGTCGTGCAAGGATCAGAGTCCTGAAGCTACTCGAGCAGTAGAGACAAGATTTCTTTGTGATGACTTGGGACGTTCTCTTCCCGCAGAAAAGAGACCACATCGCCAATGCATGGGCGTCGCAGCGCGTCTGCATCCCAGCACCTCTGCATCCATTGCCAGACTAAGTCTGAGAGCCCTACTTGGGCTGCGTTTGGCCGGTTAGGCCGACTCCCTGCCAACACGCGGTAGAGCACGTTCGCCTCGAGGGGGTACTGATGAAAGGGGACACGACCTGCGAAGACCTGCGAAGGCAAGTCGATGGGCACTCGTATACTATCTCTACGCTAGAACGCATGCGTACCTCCCACATGACCATTCCTGTCGAAAAAACATCGCTCGCCTTTGACGGGCGAGCCTTCTCCAAGCCCGCCGACTCGGGGTCGAGGATCTCGGGGGCGGTCCATCGCAGCGAGCCGACAATTGACAATGGGGTGATGGCGTTGAGCGCGTGCAGGTCGTGGGTCATCGCGGTGAGCCCGAAGTCGGCCAGTCGTGCGCGGCCTTGCTCGTCGATGAGGATGTTCGCCTGAGTGACCTTAGTCAAGGATCGGGGTGACAGATCATAGAGCTCTCACGCCTTTCAGGTCACCATGGACGATCCCGAAGGAGTGCAGATATTCTAGGCCCGTCGCGACGTCCAATAGCTATCATGCCTTGACAATCAGTTCAGAGGAAAGAGGTAGCAGTGATGATGCGGCGTACCAGCTGCAGACGATTGCATCTCGGGAACTCGCGCAGGTATCCGACAATGTTGCCGTGACGCATCCATACAGATATCATAGCACATGGGAAGAGCTTGCGATCGACGCCAATGAGTGGTGTTATGTTATCATGACGAAGGTTATGCCATAGCACGACTTCTTTGAAAAACATCTGCATTGATGAGGTTCATACACGGGACTGCTGCATGTTGTAACTTGTCGCGAATGCAGACCTTTTCTACTGTCTGTATCCTGTCTCGTCCGGAGACACGCAGTGCCTTGATAGCGACATCTTGGCCCCGATACTGGCCTTGCCAGATGTCTGCGAACCCTCCGAAGGCGGTTGGGTACTCGCTAGTGATCTTCAGCCCGTTACGCTCTTCGGTAGACACCATGTACGATTCTGGCAGTTGTCCGGCACTGGCACACAACTTGCGCAACGTGAACAGAGCCGTCGTATAGAGTTGGTTGGTGACACTGAGCCGCTGCATCGTCTGTTCGTTCGTCGGTGGCAAGCTCGCATGGGACGTTGCCTACGTACCTGATCAAGCAGGCAGATCCAGTCCGTTGCCTCCGTTGCACCGAGATTGAGCACGGTTTGGACATGCGCCTTATGAGACAAGGCGTGTAGTACTGCATCTAGACTATCTTCGATCAGCGAACACGCGGGGAACGCAGATACCTATTGTTGTCAGACGTAGACACCTTAGCTGATTATGCAGGCTCACCATCTTTCGGCCTTCGCGATAGGGACACTTAAGGTATATCTCTTTCAGTCCTTCCCAGATGGCCTGTCGGCGAATGAGCGCCTCGACGACGGTCCATGACGCCCATCGTTCAAAGCAAACCAAGGCTTCTTCGTACCACCTATGCAGCGTAAATCATCTCGGCAACATTTCACAGCTTTCATACGATCGCACTGACCGATGAGCTTCATCCGGAACGGTAGGCGCTAACGGAGAGTTGTGCAAGTAGGACCCGTACCACGGAAAGATGTCCCAGTACTTAGTCGCAAGACCTTCTAAGATGGAAAGAATGACATTAATGGACCTCTTTGCGCGTGAAATCAGTGATGATACATATCAGAAAAGCTTGTGACGACGCACCACGAACAGGTCCTGCTCTGTCAGTTTGTCGCAACAAGTCCTGATGGAGGTCAGCGTCACACATAGCTCTTCGCGGTGAGACCGAGGGGATCTCGGCCAACCATAAAGATCGACATCGGAGCGATGGCGGTGACAAAAGCGGCGGATTCGGTTGATCATAGCCTGACAGAGCGCACGTATGCAAGTTGGGTCTGAGTCGCGACGGTTAGTGAGGAGGACGGTCTTCGCAGTACCGTGGGGTCGTATGTGGCAGATATCAGTCTCAGGCCGCCGAAGTGGACGTCAATGAGATATAATCGGCCTTAGATCTGCCTCGACTATCATCGCCGTCACGGCGTCGTGACGGCGACGATATGTACGCATGACCCTGTATCACGCCCACTGTGGTTCGAGCGCTCCGACTCCCTGTCTCGACTCTCAGTGTCTGCGAGTTGTCTACGAGTTTCGATGTATAAAGTACGCACATTAAGTAACACGAGTGACAGTACCTGAAAGGTACTAAGAATCGGCGTAATTGAGGGTTCCGAAGTTGGTTTTGGGCAGTCTTGACCGTTCCAAAGCAAAATGCCGCCCGGATCCTGATAGCGATCATGTATGGCTCGGACTTCGCTATGTATCCGGTCATCTGAGCCATGCGTGCATATTGAGTATAGGCAGTATTGCAGAGACAATTATCATCGCAGAGACAACGCAGAGAGGTACAGGTCAACGTTGAGTCAACGTAGGCAGACCGTTCGTCCGAGATTTCGGAGGTGGCAGTATGTGCGTCCTATTCAGATTGCAAAAATGAATGGACATCGTATTCGCTGGGATCCGGACGGCGCACCATTATTCAGTCGATCTGCTCATGGGCCCTGAGTATCGTAATATTTGCTGGTGCTCCTCTCTCGATTTTCGCTGTTATAGGATACGACGCACGATTGTGCGGCGCCGGCGCCCTTGCTCTCAACCGTGACCGTCAACGTGTTATCTTAGACGCGTCAGAAAACAGCGTAGCTACCAGATGCGATCAGTATTCCAAAATCTAGTTCAGCTAGTATTGAATGGTGAAGACTGAAGAGGTATCAAGACGAACACATCAGAGTGAACTGTAACACGCCGGGCGCTTGCAACACGTGGCGTACAACACCGATCCTCCCTCCTCCTCCTCCTCCTCCTCCTCAAAGCCTAACGACTACGTCCTCCCCAGTTCTCATCTTCTCTCCCAGCCAGTCGCTGTGTCGCCGACGCAGCGTCATGTTCTCCGACGAGCTCAAGGCCCTGCGTAGGCTCGGCTTCCGCCATGTACGCTGCTTGCTGAGCTTTCGAATCGCGACTAACCCGGTGGCGCAGGTCCTGCTCCAAGTGCTCAACTTCGTCCAAGTTCTCGCGTCGGGTTTCATGATGTGGAAGGGCCTTGGGCTCATCACGAACACGGAGTCGCCTATAGTTGTAGTTCTGAGGTGCGTAGATTTGATCGACGTCGCGTGGCTTGTACTGAACGTGTTGCGACGCAGTGGGTCAATGGAACCCGCCTTCTACCGCGGCGACTTGCTCTTCTTGACAAATCCGGCGGATCAGCGCTATGCAACGGGCGATATCACAGTGTACAAGATCCCTGGCGCGGACATCCCCATCGTACATCGAGTGCTGGAGACGCACGACGTAGTTGCGAAGCCTGATGAGTGCGTTTTCCTTTTGCACCTGGAGGAAGAATGAGGTTTGATGAGTCTCGCCCAGTTATGTCGCCGCGAGTCCACTTGCCCAACCTCAGCTGCTACTGACGAAGGGGGACAATAACCCAGTCGATGATCTTGACCTGTACCAGGGCTTGGAGTGGCTAGAACGACGACATATCATCGGGAAGGTACAGGCGTAAGTACAGTCGACTCCGCACGCTCACGTCGCACTGACTATGCATCCCCTCAGCTTCCTTCCATATGTCGGATATGTGACTATTGCCATGGTACGCTTCTGCCCGGATGCGCCAATACCTCTAGCGCGACTGACGCGACCGTCTTTCTCCAGAACGACTTCCCACAGCTAAAATACGCGCTGTTAGGCGGTCTCGGCTTGCTCGCGCTCATACAGCGCGAGTAAACGCGTGCTCTCCCTCTTGCTGTCGCCCTCGCACCGTCGATGTATTTGTGATACTGGGTAAACTCAGATTAATTATTAGCTAACGCCTCCGCTGGTGGACCGTTGTGGCGCCCGATCGCTTGACATGAGAAGATTGAAGGTCTGACTGGGTGTGGCTCCTGCTGGGGTAACTTCCTCGTGACTATAGGGCCCTGCTTATCATATTGAATATCCCAGACCTTCTCAGACGACGACCCCAGGCTTCTCGTCAAGGACGCGCCCAGTGGACAACTGTGAACCGCCTGCCACTTCGCCCACTGCGTTCGTCCAGCGTACCGCGAGCATTATACTCACTCTGCTAGCCCTCGAAAGCAGCGCCGTTCAACGAGCCCGAGTATGCATACTCATATCCGACCTTGCTAGGCGTTTCCAGGCCTTATCTCTGTTGACGGCGGACTGCATTGTCATATTTTCCCTGCAGACGCGGAAGGCCCCTAGAGCCTCCGAAAACTCAACGTGACAGCGTCCTGCCCAGTGTCCGTCCGCAGTCTCGCTATTCGCTTGCAACCCCACCCGGAGTACAAATCTTCCTCGCCGGAGGAGTCGCGTGCGTCAAGCCTTCTGACCCAGTCCCTTTATACGCGATAACCTGGTCGTCTCAAGCACAGGCTCCTCCGTATGCACTCTGCACTCAACCCCACGGCGACGATGGACTGTGTCGGCCCGGAGATACAGGAGCGTAGACGGACCAGTGACTCCGACTCGGAACTCGACCTGAAGCGAGACGTGCCCGTGGACGTCGTCCACGTTGTCGACCTCGACAACGAGTGCAAGGCGTCTCCAGTGTATCCATGTAGTGCTGTGAAGGACGACGACACCCCGCAAGCCTGGCTGTCGAAGATCACGCAGGTGCTCGCGGGATGGGGAGTGGAAACGAACGGGTACGTCGGACTCGCGCGACACCCTCCCTGCTCGTGACGATGTGTTCCGCAGTATCAACCCGATCCCTCCGGAACAGAGAACAGATAAACGGCTGTACCAGTTTTTCTTCCTGTGGTTCTCCGCGAATGCGAACATCCTGACGTGAGGCGAGCATTCTCTTGAGCGACATCTTACTGACCGGTCGTGTCGCAGAATGGCCGCTGGCACCATAGGCCCTGCGTTCTACGGGCTCGGCATCCGGGATGCTTGTTTGGTCATCGTAGTCATGAACCTGGTGTGCGTCCGGGTGGGGTGCTTCTCAGTGTTCCGAAGCTGATTTTCCTATAGGACAAGTGTATTCCCGGCGTACTTGTGGGTTACGACGCATGACGTGTGACCATCCGGCTGACATTATTGACACAGCGCAGTCTTTGGCCCGAAACTCGGGGCGCGCTCCATGGTTCAAGCGCGGTTCTCTTGGGGGTGGGTGCGCTACCTTAACTATCAACTCGCATGCTGAAGCCTGTTCAGCTACTACGGCGGGATCATACCGAGTGTCCTCAATATCTGCTCAAACCAAGGCTACCTCATTCTCAACACCATCATCGGCGGGCAGACCTTAGGCAGCATCTCATCGCACCTCAATGCGACACTTGGGATCGTCATCATCGGCCTGATCACGCTCGGAGTAAGTCTGCTGCATCCTGACTTATTCCAGTCAACCCACGTCGAACTCATAACTCCAGGTCGTCTTCAGCGGCTATCGTGTCCTACACTGGTACGAGACGTACGTGTGGATACCCAACGTCATCGCGTTCGTCGTCATGATCGCCGTGAGCGGGAAGCACGTCGTCGACGCGCCCCTCTCTGGCACGACGCCCGTGACGGCATCAACCATCATGACCTTCGGGTCGACACTCGCGGCGACGATCGTGAGCTGGGCGACGATCACAGCGGACTACGGCGTCTACCACGACCACACTGCGAGCACGTAAGCGACACGCCGCCCGACTTTCTGCATACTGAACTCCGCCTTCCTAGCGCCCGAATATTCGTCTACACCTACCTCGGATTTGTGGTCTCCAGCGTACGGACCCTTTGACGTTGACCCGAAATTCTGCCTGACTTATTTGCCGTATCAGATGCCATCACAGCTATTGGGTGCATCCTTCGCCGCCACAGCCGTGTACGTCCCGTCCTGGAAGGCCGGCATGGGCAACGGAAACAGCATAGGGGGCCTCATAGCAGCCATCCTGGAACCCGCGGGTGGCTTCGGCAAGTTCCTCCTTGTGCTACTGTCGCTGACCGCGCCCAGCCAGTGCGCACCGGCGATGTACACGGTTTGCACGAGCTTCATGACCATCAGTCGGGTCCTGCAGAGGCTTCCGAGATTCGCGGTGGCCATTCTTTCGACGATAGTGTGAGTGCGGAGCCGTTACTCTAGCTAGCGGTCGATAAAGAGACACTGATAAGATTTTGCCCAGCCTCATACCCGTTGCTATCGTCGGGTCAAGTAGGTTCTACGCCACATTTGCAGACATCCTAAGTACGCATTCCGTCAGAACTCGTACGCCCGCTATATCTCACTAGCATATAGGCTTCATCGGCTACTGGCTCGCGCCGTTTTGCGCCATCGTCCTCGTGGAGCACTTCGTCTACCGCAGGGGCCGCTGGTCCGCGTACGACGTCCTCGACGCCTGGGACAAACCAGCACACCCGAACCTCCCGCGGGGCTATGCTGCGGTGTTCACGTTCGTTGTCGCCGTGGGCTTCATCGTGCTGTGCATGGAGCAGGAGTGGTGGACGGGGCCGATTGCGGCCGCCGGGACGGGAGATGTCGGGATGTTACTGGGCTTTCTGCTCTCGATTCCGGTGCACATTCTTGCACGATGGGTGGAGAGGCGATGGATTGAGGGACGTGTATGAGCTGTATCAGTATCACTACTCGTGAGTGTTTAAGAATTAATGCGAAACGTGCGTATTAAACAGCGAGTCTCGTCAGCTACGAATCACGAGTACCGTACTTGGAGCTCTCAATCCGGTAAGCACGTGCCTGAAGGAACCACTACGGACTCTAGTAGAATATGGCTGGCTGGTTGGCTGGACCATAGTGATCTGCAGACCCGCTATGTCTCTGTCCTTGGCTGCCACTGCATAGTATGGCGCTCAGTCAAGCACTCATGGTCGGCCTCCGTACACCATCAGTGAAACCAGAGGAGCGAGGGGAATCATAATGTTCAGGCGAGCACGGCGCGGCCGCTGGATTATCCTTAATTGACCACCCACTGCGCATGGCGATACCGTGAGCAATGGGCGCTTACCTACAGTTGCAGTGGTTGTAGACGAACACATCAACATGAGACCGCATATTATTATTGCTACCAGCGGCGACAGCATTGTACACACAAACCAACAAGTAGTTAACCTCCTGCCACATGCGCTAGCCTATGATTTCCTTTATTTCCTCCTTTTGGTCGTCGCATAGGAACTTATACTTGAGATTGGTAACGCAGGCACGATCGAGATCAATGATACGGAAGTCGAAGATACGACCATGTCTAGGCGAGGGAAGGCCGGGAATACATCCCTCTTGCTCGTCCACCCACCGGACGTTGCGATCATGCAGATCGTTATGTTGCAGCCCGTAATGAGAGAGCTCGTCCACCATGTCAGGGAGGTCTCTCCTAAATGGGACAACCATGGTATGTCAAGCTCTGGATTAACGATCAACAGCATGATGCCTCACCGAAGGTCTTCGCGTGCCTGAGGGGCTTTTACAGGTATACCCACGTACTCGAGCAGTAAGAAGTTTAGGCTCGCGTTTGAGTTGGGCAACTGGAAGATATCCAGGTCATCGCGCGGGAATTCGCAATCCGGAGACCACGGCATAACAACGTTATGAAGAAGATCGACGCGTTCTCTGAAGTATCCGTAGCAGCGCGGGATGACACTTCCTTGCAAGCATCGGAAGCGTGCGTACAGCGCAGACTCCTCCGCGAGTCTCCTGCCTTCACGTTCCGGAGCTACCTTGATGACCATGGGCGGATAGTACGTAGACGCCGTAGCCGAGGGGTGCGACGAGCTGGGTTCAACTCTGTAGACGGTTGTGTGATTGTCGTCACCCTGGTGTAACATTTCGCCAAGTTCAAGATGGAGCTTGATGTCTCCGTCAGGTGGAAGGTCAGGTACAGGTCCCGTTGAAGGTATCTCATGGGAATAATGGGTGTTGGGTTTGCCCCCTGTTTCTGTAAAATGAGTCGTAAGGTCCGCGTATGTCGTTCTGGACACGACTAGCGGATTCTCTTTGCCGTCGTTCTTCTTGATGAGACCGTGTACCACCAGGGATTTAATGGAGTTCTGGTACTGTGGTTGACTCGTGGATCAGCTCGAGAGCGCCATCATACTTCAGGTCCACTGGGACATGGCGTGGCTTACCAGCATTGAGCTCCCATTGACGGCCCGATATGACTGCATGTTGTCAAGAGATAGCAATCGAATGACAGCGTCAGTAGCTACGTTCAAAGTTGCTGGAGCTCTGGAGCTCCAGAGGCTGGAGGCTGGAGCTCGCCCCCGGCAAACGCCGTCAACCGCGCAACAGCTCTGGCATCGCCTGAAATTCCCGCCACAGTGCGCTTAGGTAATCCCATAAGCTGTGGCGCTACCAACTGGTCTGTACAACGTCCTGGGAAGTGTTGGAATCCAGGTACGGGGTTCATCGGGAGTCGGAACGTGTCGCGGCCGAGAGAGTCGGCGGCGCGATGATGGCGCGATGTGCGCGCACGGACATTCTACGTACCTGAAAGATCGATTATCATTGTCACTAAATACCGCAGTCTGCCACGACGCACCTCAGTCTTTTCGCCTCGCACGAGAGACTGAGGTGAGTAACTTACTTTACATTTCTTTTGCCTGATACTGATGTACCGAAGACGTTCCTTATTCTCTCTTACTCTAGGTACATTCAATATAGTCTTTTCGCCTCGCACGAGTCATCAGGAAAATACCCCCCTGAGAATTCCCGGGCAATGGTCGATATTCTCGGGAATACTCAGAAGGTCAGTAATTGCCTGTCATTCCGAGACTCATAGCAAGAATTCTCAGCACAGTGTACACCTTGTGAGAACGAGTCAGTAATTATTAAGTAATTCTGTCCTGATACTAGTGCAAGTGTGGACGAGTGATATATCGCCGAAAGCGTGGAATGGCACATCCGAGTCACAGCGTCATTCACTACCATGAGTCGATACATGGGTAGTATGTATTGGGCCCCACCATGCAAAGTTCGAAAGGTATGTAAGACATCAATTGCGATGATAAGTTACTGTACATCGCGTGCACCTCTTGTCTGCCTATCTAACAATAGCCTACATGCTCAACTCCACCACCGAGCCCATCACTAGCACGGAGTGCGCAGTCCGTGGGCGCGTCCGAATCCACGATTCAAATTTCAAGCTTTCCTGTCACTGTCAGTCACGCCGGGGCCCCAGTGTGGGGCTGACGTACAGGAGTGGGTGGGGGTCCTGGCCCCGTTCGTGCCCGCGGCTGTGCACGGTGCATCCCCGTGAGATGCGGGACACATTCCGCTCGAGGTTTCGCGTGAGGTTGGCGAGGATCAGCACGTCGGGGTAGTCCGTAAGAACGACGAGGGAAGGCGGGAGAGCGAGGGTGGACGCGAGGAGCGATGGCAGCGCACACCCTGCGCCCAACTCAACCACCGTCCGTCCAGTACGTGACTGAGGGGAGTGCGGGAGGGAGCGTACATACTGGTCTTCGCTTCCAGCGGGATGAGCCCGGCGCGCCCGATGCGCCCTGCGAGGAGAGCTCCTGGAGCGTCCCAGATATCCATTATGTATTTATGTAACGGTGTCTAAGAACAAACATACCTTGGGCGCACCTGTGAGGACCAGCAGACCGTAGTGGATCTCCCCGTCATCTTGCAGGTCGACGGTCATTGTACAGCCACGCGGAGGCGTCACCTCTATTCATCCGAGTCCATTTTGGCCGGGTGGGTTATCCGTCGGATGAAAGTCGTGGGCGGAGGGGCGACGTTGAGGCGCAAAAGAAATCGTCGACACTACCGGTGGCAGTACGGCGGCAGCGGCGGTGGGTGTATGCTGGCAGGCGATGGCGGGCATGTGCTGATGGGCGACGGCACCGGCGGGTGCTGGCGTCGGTGGCGGCGGCGAGGTTGGTGGGAGGACGGCAGCGGTGAGGGGAACCTGGGAGTTGCAGTAAGTAGTGGTTGACCGAAGCAGTACTGAGCCGGGGACTTGAGTTGCGTGCCAGCGGGTTGCCGTGTCACATGACTCTTTGCCAGGGATCCGGCGACTGGGCGCCCGGCGCCACGTCATGCCTTGAACCTTCCCACTCACATTCCGCCCGTACTGCGCGACCTCCTCCTCGCTACTCACCCGCGGCGGACCCAAACGCGCTCAAGTAAATGAACGCGCGCTCGCCGTACCGAGCACCCCAAGTTCGCCATGCGCCGCGCTCGCGCTCGCGCAGCTCCTCACAGACAACGAGGCCGCGAAGACGCGCGTCTTCTGGGAGGTCAAGAACGTCGCAACGGAGAGGTTCATCGACGTGTACGACGAGGCGGACATGCCCGCGGAGAAGCTCGATGACAAGGCGCGTGAGCACATGAGTGACGCGAGCGAGGCGTGGGCGCGCGTGCGCGATGTGCTCGCGCAGCTCAACCAGGAGATCATTGTCCCGTACACTCTCGGTAAGCACGTCATTCTCTCACCCTCCCCTCGTCTACATGGAGGACATGAGCACTCAATGACATTTCTCCTTCCACGTGATTGATAGGCGACTAGCTCCCTCTCGCAGACCTGCACCTCGCCGCATGACTCGCGTGGCTCATCACCCTCGCAGGCGGGACGCTCGCCGACGATGGCACGGTAGCGATCGGGAAGCTTCAGGCGCACGTCGGCGAGCCTGGCGGCGGGCGGGTTTACGCTCGTGAAGGATTTCTCCGTCGTGGAGGGGTGGCGGCGCGCTGGCCTGACCGTGCCGGACCCCGAGTCACGCGAACGCCAGAACAGGTTGGCGGCGTTCTGGGATGCGGTGAGGGAGAGGCTTAAAGAAATGTATCCTTCGGGCACACGGTGTGTCAGCGCACAGCCGCCCCTACCGAGGCATGCACTGATGAGATATCCTCGTTTGCAAGCTCGGTCATAAACACGCCTCTGCCGTCCGCACCAGGCTCATTGTCGGGGACCTTGCCGTCTTCATGAGGTACGTCAGTCTCAAGTCCTAGCTGTGTCTCGTGAAGCCTCATAGTAGTATCGCAGCCATCAAGGTCGGTGGTCATGCTGACACTGAGGTCGGCGAGAAGAAGGACAACACTAGACAGATGGGCGTGGCTGGACGGGTGGGGCGTGCGGATGCGGTGTTCGCGAGGGTCATGGCTGGAAGATACTACGCAGAATGTAGATACCTGATACTGTAGCTACTGTAATAGATGGTTGTCAATATCATTTATCTTACCAATTATCGTGTGCATATGAATCCGTGCTGTGAATATGGTCAGGAGAGCTGAATAGTACCTGCATTGTATGCAGAAACACCAAGTAATGTCCAGCTACTGCCTGAGAAACCTCGTAATTCTGACTCGACGAGGCTGGACATGGCTATTTCTGTGGTTTATCAGAAACGAGGTAAAACTCAATATTACCGCGAAAGCTTGATGATTCTGCAGTGTTTACGGTAATTCCCAGGTGGGTTATTTCCTGATGGAGAGACTGAGACGTTCCTTATTCTCTCTTACTCTAGCCTACTGCGTGCTTCAACCTTCAAAAGGTTATGAGCCCTGGACGCTCAGGCTAATCATGACTTACCGCTCGTCAATCACGCTACACTGCCACACTCGCCATGTCGATCTACCCAGCGAACAGCAAGTCCGGGTCCACCCGCCTCTACGACATACAGTCCCTCGAAGACGACGGATCAAACTTCCAGACGTGGAAGTACCGCGTCACGAAGGTGCTGCAAGTACGCGGGCTTTGGACTGTCGTCTCCGGCGAGGAGACCGACCCCGGAGTCTCGCAGCCGCTTGACCACTCGGACTGGCTCCGACGCGATCAAGAAGCGCACGCGCAGATCACCCTCACGCTGAAGGACGAGCCGCTCAACGGAGTGATCCACACGGCGACTGCAAAGGAAGCCTGGGACAAGCTCAACGTTCGGTACGAGGGCGCAGGGAAGCAACACATCGCTTACCTGATCTCCGAGCTTTTTCGCAACACGCTGACAGACGAGTCACCGCTCGAGTCACAGCTGAACGCAATGCGTCAGAAGTCCTACATCCTTACCTCGCTTGGACAGCCTCTCGACGACTCCCTCATCGCCATCGCTATGGTGATCTCACTCCCCTCCTCCTACGACGTTCTTCGCACCATCCTCATGGCGACCGAGGACAAGCTTACCACCGACTCCGTTGTCACGCGCATCCTCACAGAGGAGAAGACGCGCCGCGAGGCGAACTCGCAGGTCGCGTTTTTTGCCAAGACGGGCAAGTCGAAGCCCAAGTCGAGGGAGTCTGGGAAGCGGAACGTTAAGTGCACGTACGGGCCGTGTAAAAAGAAGGGACATACCGAGGACGAGTGCCGCAAGAAGAAGGCGGATCTCGCAGCGAAGGACAAGGACGGGAAGGGTGACACCAAGGCCGGTGATCTCTCCGCCAAGGTCGCGTCCATACCCTCCGAGTCCGAGGACAATAGCAACGGTGATGAGGCACTCCAGCTCTTTGTCGCCATCAGGAAACCCCCCCTCCCCGAATTTGGACAAATTTGAGTGAAAATCCTCCAAATTTGCTCAGGACCCATTTAGATGACCCCCTAGCCAATTAGGTCGAAAGCTGGTGAATTAGCCAGAATTTGCGCTCATTTGACGACACCCTACAGCCACTAAATTCGCAAATTTTTGCAATTGTTTGACCACCAATACCCCTAAATTTCAGCACACTACATTGAACCAGGTATACGTAGCATCAGACCAACAGCTGGTAGAACAGATAGTACTAGGAGATGCCGCCGTGATGCAAACAATTTGCGGTCCTGTAGTAAAAGCCCGAAAGAACAGAACCAACGACATTACAACTTTATATTCATGCCCGCCGTTGCAGGATTCACAAACTTGCTGGCAACAGGTCGATCAGCCGACCCTTTGACATGGTAGCTCCTGGACATCCCGCGAAATTAGGTCATCCTACCATGTATATTGCGCCGAAAACTCACTTCGCAGTCTTGAATACATAGCCCAGTATCCTGTGGCGGCCCATCGGCGTAAGCATCCTGAGGACGTCGAGATGTTCGTTGTATTTGGCGCCTTGCGTGTTGGCATTGAAACCCCCGCCATCCTTCAGATGGCGGCGAACTCCGTCGACCCCCTCTCGTATGGCGGCACCGGCCTGTATATCAGTAGGTTGATCAGTACTCTCTCACGCAACAGCGACAACTAGGGACAGAGCCAGACCAGTGTCGCCACATATGCGGCCATCGCTTCAGGGATCTCCAATTGATCAGCCTCGACACCATCCTTGATTGACGATTTGAAGAACTCGTCAGTGAGGGGGGTCACGGCATGTGGACCGAAGAACAGATGGTTCGTCAGTTTGATGATTGGTCCCGCACAGAAGGGCAAGTCAGGTTTGAATTCCGTGTACTTGCCATTCTGGGCGCAATTGTCAGTATTTTCCAAACCGACCATTGGCAAACCGTACCGAAAGCTTCCCTGGGCAGATGAAACGATTGTCCAGAACAAGCACACATGCTGCCCTCTTCAGCGCGGCTGGGTCCTCCTCGATGTCCTTGAGACCATATGCCTCCCATATGAGATCACGTGTGATGCCTCACACTCGGGCCCGCAGATACAGTGCACCCAATTCTATTGAGTACGCCGTGTATCCGGTTAGGCAGTGAGTGTAAAGGACTTGCCCCTACACTCACCGGGCTCCAGCCTAAGTAGGCTAGGGGCCAAACACGCGTAAACTATGTAATTACAAGTGTTGCGATATGATATACTATATATTTAGCTAGACGGTAACGGACGCGTTACACTCCCCCCCACTGGACACGGTCCACGGGTCCAGAGATAATACAGCAGTGTTTTTGAAGGATGACGACGGGGGACCATGTTGAGCGAGTATAGTGCGACAGAGCGACCAGCGACGACCCCGACGGCATCCCAATGATACGCGTTCAGGATTCGCCACTGGCGACCAGTGCGACGATCGGTGTACAGATTACCGGGGGATGAGTATAGGACAACCCGGGGCTACGGTGTCGACTCGACCACGAGAGGTCGTCTCAGCGAGGACAACGTCCAACACGCTACCCATCAACCATGGCTGCTTCGTCGTGGATGAGGGAGTTTCGGCCCGCTTGAGTAACAAGGTGACTAGGTTGAGTCACCGCGGCCAGCAGTGTCCTCCTCCGGGCGGGTTTCGTCAGGAGGTGGAGCTGCAGTGTCGGGCTGAGAAGTTGTCCCAGCCTCGACATCACCCATAATGGCGTCGCCGATTGGAATCGGTACGACTGCCCATGCAGGGATCGCCGGCAATTGTTCGATGGGCGTTATATCCTCATCGCCGACGTCACCAAGAATTGATGGGTGCGACGCAAACGGTCCCTCCGCATCAACAGGCCGTCCTTCGTGATCGTTTCGACGTCTCCTGAAGAACTCCCCAAAGGGTTGTAGTTCTTCAGGCCGTATGCCGAGGCGCGCGAACCACCTGGACACCTCGAAGATCGTGGCGTTGGCTGCATGCCAGGGGAACGGCACCTCTGCCCGTCCATCGCCCATGGGGTAGCGTCCGATATGGACGATGCGCGCATACAACCCATCAATTGAGAGGAGTTGTGAGGCGACTACCTCCCATGCACGGCGTGCATTCGCGGTTCGGGGAGCGAGGCGCCGCACCATATGCAGTGCCTCCACATCCCGCGCGTTTGGACGGCCGTCGATGAACCGGACACCCTTCGGTACGTTGTGAGGGTACGCTGCGTACCACTCTGTCCACTCCTCTGCCGACGCATCGGAGACAGGCTGAGGACGCCGCACCTTCTTAGCAGGCGGCGGTGGCCTCGACTTGCCCGCCGGGGAATCTGCCCGTCGCTTGGTAGCCGGATTGAATGACACGGACGGCGTCGACTGTCCAAGCCCTGGCTCGTCCATGGTCGCAGTCGGTCCAGACCCATAGTCCAACGCCGCACTTGATGAAGGACCCGACCATGAGGGTCCTGCACCAGAAGTGCCAGCGGGCGGGGCATTCGCTCGTCTTCTCGCGTCCTCCCGACTGTCGTGTATTGCCTGCGCGAGATTGGCCGCTTCCCGCTCGGCGAGGCCCCCACCACGCTCGTGACCAGGCGTGATGATGGGCATCGGTCGAGGGTTGCGCCAGTTGCGCACAATATGCCATATCCCTTCGACACTGCGCAACTCCGCATTGCGCTGTCCTTGATGTACCAGGTCGCGGGCCCGGTTCTGCGCTTGGAAGTCGCCGCCATAGGCCGCTTCCATCAGGGATTGCGCGTCGCGCACTGCGCGGGGCACGAAGTTGTGCCAGTCACCCGCACGGATGATCTCCGAGTTGGCGGGGAGCGCTACTGCGGCGGGCCACTGTGTTGGGGCCATCGGTGCCGCACCAGTCGTGTTGAACAGGTTGGTGTGGCCCGTGTCCATCGTCGGGGGAGGCGGCTGTCTAGCACGCGTCTTGCCCTTACTCTTCTTGAGCCTCTTCTGTTCCTCCTCCTCGTCTACGTCGAAATCGTCTTCCTGGTCGGTGTCCCAACCTCCCGGCTCCATCATACCCGGCATCCGTGGCAGGTTGCTCGGGGATGACGTCGCCGGTGCGGGTGGTTGTGATTCCGTCGACGGTGCTGACGGATTTACGACCGTCGGGATTGCTGGTGGCGGGGCGACAGGTCTGGCTTCCCTGGTCGGCGGTACCACCGATGGTGCCGCCGATCGCGAGGGTAGCGACCTGGGTTCAAGTGGTCGTGCCTCTCTGGCCGGTGCCACCGTCGATGGCGCCGCCGGTCGCGAAGGCATCGGCCTGTGGTCGTGTCGAGGAGCTCGGCTGCCTTGTTCTCGCTGGTTGGGTCGTCGTTCTGGGATCCTCATTCGTCGTTCCCGGTTCTCGTCTTCGAGGTCTCTGATCGTGCGGTCCCTTCGAGAGACCCGTTCGGTCTGTTCCCGGAGCTGCTGCCTGAGGTCATGAACCTCATCTTCACTTTCGTGAAGTCGCTGACGATTTTCGTTCAACTCATCGTTGAGACGAAAATTCGTCTGCGATAGGCTCCCTATCTGCTCCAGCATGCCATCGAGCTGCTCCCTCCCCCCTGGAAGCCATCCTTGGTTTGTCAGGCGGGTTTCCAGTTGGAGGCGGAGGTGCGACTCGACGCTGTTAACTGCCTCGAGATAACTCGCGTCCTCACCTGCCGACTGTGGTAGGTGAGCGACGTGGCCGTCACACCGTTGGCACGTCCCCGGTGCGTGTACTACCAGCGGTGTTATTGGATACCGCGGTGTCCAGCCTGTGAACGGCGTGAACAACGACGGCTCGCTGGTCACAGTTCCGAATTGGTACTGCGGCACCGCTGGGCGTTGCGCACGAGATTCTTGAGCTGCGCGTCGCAGCTGTTCTTCGCGCCCCATCGTATTCGCCTGCCCGGACGGTTGCATCTCAGTCGACGATGTCACCTGCTGAGGTGGCATCGTCGTGCTGGTAGCTGCGTTCCCACCTGCTGCACCACCGGCGGTCGGTGGTACAGCGTGAGTGGGTGCGTCGGTGTCCATGGGCGTCATGTTGATGCAGGGGTTGTCGACGTGGGCGGCGGTGTTGACTTTGAGGTTGACGGTTAACCTTGGTGCTCGTGTCTATTCGTCGCTTGAGCTCCGCGCCCATGTGACTTGCGGCGCGCTGTTGCCCGTTTAGGTACCGCGCTTATTCTTCTGACTTGACGGATCTGCGCACCACCACTCTACTAGTGGTGGTACCCGATTCGTCATGCACTACCACCAATTTGTTTGGTGGTAGTGTTTACTTCTACTTGCGTGGCTTACGCGGCAGTCGATGCCAGTCCTTGACTCCATGAAGAGTCAGGTACTCGTCGAGTGCGGCTAAGTCCTTGCAATGGGCATATGGCTCCCAAGTACTGTCGCCGAGGGTCCATCGAACATGGAACTCCACGCGTTTGCCCTCCCATCTATGTCCTACGATTTCATCGACTAGCCATTCTTGCTGGTCGTCGACACCGAAGTCGTAGAATGACTGCGCTTCGCGATGTGGGAATAGCGCATCGTCGTTCGGCTCATATCTCCTGAGTAAGGAGACATGGAACGTTGGATGAATACGACGATCGCGTAGTTCCTGCGGCAGTTCTAACGTATAGTTAGATGTACTTGGGTTGCTTGCGATGATTGAGTACGGTCCGATGTACTTGGGCATCAGTTTCCTAGCACGTCCTCTAGGAAGTGCTAGATTTTGAGTGCTCAAGTACACCTTGTCGTCGATCGCGAATTCAGGCTCTTGCTGACGGTGCTTGTTCGCCTGGAAGGTCTGATGCACTCGACTATCGATTATTGCATCATGAGCCATTTCCAGGTAGTACTGCGCGCGTTGAGCGAATTCACGGACACCCGTATAGTTGGTGTCCGTGGATATTCCGTTCATCGTGCGGGGCAAATACCCGTAGTTCAATTCGAACGGAGCGAATCCCGTCGTGGCACTCGTCGAGGAGTTGATAGCAAACTCTACGAGTGGTATACTATCAATCCAGTCGAGTTGGTCAGGCGAGACCATGGCCCGTAGTATCTGCGATACTGAGCGTATTGTCCGTTCCGACAATCCATCCGTCTGAGGATGGAATGAGGTGGACATTAACAGCTTGGCACCGAGGAGACGATGAACTTCACGCCAGAATTTGGATGTGAACTTCGAGTCCCGATCAGATACTATGGACTCTGGCAGCCCGTGCAGTCGGACTATCTCCCGAACATATATGTTCGCTAGTTCTGCCGCCGTAGTTGTAGTTCTGATTGGTATAAGGTGTACCATCGACGTTAGACGGCATACGACCACCCATAAGTAGTCGTATCCGTTAGCGTGCGGGAATGGACCCACAAAATCCATGGCTATAGACGTCCATGGTCGAGTGGGTATGGGTAGCGAGTGCAACCATCCGGCTTGCAGGTGGTTGCGGGATTTAGATGTCTGACAGGTTCCGCAAGTAGTGCAGAACCTGTCAACGTCTTTCCCTAATCTCGGCCACCAGAACCAACGTCGTACATACTCCGAAGTTTTCTGAGAGCCAAAGTGGCCAAGCGTAGTGTGGGCTTGGTCAATTACCATCTCAGTCAACATTCGACGCTTCAGCGGTGCTCTAGGTATACACAATACTTCCTGCCCTTGGCGGTTCTTGGTATACACTAGTCCGTCACGTATGGCAAATGTGTTGAACTGTGTTGGGGATTCGAGGACCTTACTGAATGTATGGTCCTTCGAATATCCCGCCTTCACAGCGGTGGTGAACTCCACGTTACGTTCTATCTTTGAGCGCAATGATGGTCCACTGGTAAGAATGTCAGCGATCGTAGGATTGCTGTCGTCTGCCCGTGGCCCATGTTGCGAGATAGGTTGGCTAGCGGCCATGGCCTCCGATTCTACCTCTCTAATTTCTCGTTTTTCGGGTAGTGGTTGGGACGTCAATCGTCCCATCCTCAATTCGAGAATACGATTGGATGGTAGATCGTTGTGCTGAGGATCTAGTCTTACGTCGGCGTTTACTATGTGATGATCAGGGACGAAATCGTCCTCTGTATCATTCTCATGGTATCGGGATAAGCAATCCGCGACCTTGTTCTTCCTGCCTTCGATATACGTTATATCGTAGTTGAAACGGGACATGTACTCATACCATCTGACCTGTCGGTTAGATGGGTGAGCCACCCCGTTGAAGAACGTGAGTGCTTTATGATCCGTTACAATATGGATTTTGCGACCGAGTAGCTTATCCTCCCATTTGAGGAGTGCTTCCATGATTCCCAGTGCCTCATGTTCGTACGTTTTGTACGCACGCTGAGCACTAGAGAATTTCTTGGATAGGAACCCCGCCGGTCTGCAAGTCTGCCATTCCTTGCCTTGGCCGTATACCGCGCCTACTCCGAATATAGAGGCGTCGGTAACCACCCATATGGGCTCGTCCACGCTAGGGTCAATAGGCTTCAGTATGGGAGCCTTGCTGACGACTGCTTTGATCGATTCAAAGCATTTGTCATGCAACGCCCTCCATACGAACGACCGATCGTTATGGCACATGTCGGATAGTGGGGACGTGTATCCACTAATCTCGGGTAGAAAATGCGCGAGATAGTTGACCAGTCCCAGAAATCGCTGTACTTCCTTGTACGAGCGGGGGGTTCGCCAATTGCGGATTCGTTCTAATTTGTCTCGATCCGCGTGGAGACCTCGGTCGTCGATGAGATGACCCAGGCAGTCCATGCGTTTCGAGTACAAATCACACTTTGTCTGGCTAAGGAATAGCTTTGCTTTCCTTAGTCGGTCAAACGTTATCTCGAGATGTTTTTCGTGTTCTTCCATTGAGTCGGAGAATACGAAAATATCGTCGAGGTATACGTGAATGAACCGTCCGATGCAGTCACGGAATATAGCCGTCATCAGGCTTTGGAATGTAGCAGGAGCATTGCAATCGCCCTGTTGCATCACCAAACTGATGAACGTTCCGTATGGTGTAGAAAACGCTGTCTTCCAGACGTCTTCTGCTACTATACGGATCTGCTCGTATGCGTCGGACAGGTCGATTTTTGATCTGTACCTTGCCCGAGCAACATCCATCCGTATCTGGTCCTGATCGGGGAACGGAGTCACATCTTTCCTTGTATTGTCGTTGCGCTTCCGTGCGTCGACGACAGTACGTAGCTTACCCGACTTCTTTGCAATGCAAAGAAGCGGAGCAGCTTGGGAAGTGTGTACTTGCTGCCACCAACCAGCAGCGGTGTATCGCTCAATCTTCTCAAGTAGTTGAGGTTTCATTGCGTCCGGGCACTTGGGTAGATGGTACTTGTACTCCAAGTCTGGGTCGATGAGCGGGATATAATGGTTCACCTCTCGAAACGGCGGAAGTTCGAGAGGTGGTGGTTTCATTATATCTTCGCATGCCTTCAGCCATTTTTCTCGAATTTTCGTGATTTGTGGGTCTTCCTGGAGAGACTGGCGGATCTCCTCGTCAATGAGGAGATTCCGTACTGCTCTGTCCACTTCATCATTGGTCCCATTTGGGTCTAATCGACCAAATCTATCCTGCGTCGGCTGTTGCGAAGAGTGAACCACAGGCGGATTCGCTTCTTCGATTTGCGGTACTCGTACTGTAAACTGATTTCCTCTGTTTACAGGTACTTTCTGGCGCGTAGTCACTACCTCTCCCGTTCGAGGTGGTGGCTCGCCCTTCTTCTCGTGTTGCTTGGGTTGTACCACCACCGGCGCCGGTGACGGTACTCCTTTGAGAGTCGCCTTTTCCGTCAGAGAAGCGATTTTTTGATCGCTCCCCTCCCCCCTCCTGGCATTAGGTTCTTGCTCATAGCGAGACAAGGGAGGTTGCGCGACGGTAGATCTCGCCGCGCTTCCCTAATGTCGGGAGGTGGTGGCCGCACGTAGGTGCGCCGCCAGACGGTTCTGGCGATGGTCTCGGCGCTGTCCCAATACCTCGGCTTCTTGGATAGCGGTGTAAGCCGGTATGGCTACTCCGTCTATCCAAATCTCCCTTTTCCTGAAGTCAAGTACCACGTTGTGCTCATTGCAGAACGTGGTGCCTAGAACGACATCGTATCGGTCAATATCTACGACGTCCATGTAGTTGACGCCGTCGATAGGTCCAATACGAATGCGCGGTAGTGCTCCATAGTTGATGGTGGTGCGACTACCCTTCGTTCCTAGCTGCAAGTTGATCTGTTCCTTCAGATCAACTCGGTCCGCCTTCGCCAAATATGCCAGTTCTGGGGATATGGCGTCGGTCGTGCACCCTGTGTCGAACAGAGTGTACGCCTTGATTCCATTAACCTCCACTTCTGCGCATAGCGTCCGTTGCGTTTCTGGGTCACGCTTTGGCTGGTCATTCGGATCTGACGTGCGACGGATCTTCGAGTCGTACAGCCATGCTGCCTTCATTGATCGATTCGGCGGCATAACCTGCATCGCGTTGGATCGTACAATGTCCTTGACGGCTTCATTGTACGATTGATGCGGTAGGTTTTCCGTCCGTTTCTGCGTCGACGATGGACGTTCTATGCGCATGGCACCAAACCTCATGATGCCCATACGCATATCACCATCGTCTTCGCTACGTTCGTCCATCGGGGATTGTTCTCCTGGGTCGTCATACGCGTAGTCTCCGAGGTCAGACTGCGGGATCTGCTCAACCTCTGTGGTCGGCAGTTCTCTTTCGCCGTCTACCTCTTTCTCTACCGCCGATTGCTCAGCTTCCGTTTCCCCAGCAGCATCCTCGCGATATGTTGTGACAGCGTCACCATCGCTGGTGACGCGTCCAGCATGCATTCGTGGGTTTTGCTGATAGGGCCTGCTGTAACTGTTAAGGCGACGACCATCTGTATAGGTCGTCGGCTTCTTGTCACTTGCAGCAGCTTTCCCTGCTTGCGATATCGACGTGTCGTTCATAGTCTGGTGAGGCGTCGATATGAATACACGTCTGGGTTTATACCCCGGCTGATTACCACCCGTTGTCTTACGGGTGGTATTCGTCGTCACGGGCTTCTTATCCTGACTGCCGCTGCTCTTGGGAGCTTGCGAACCTGGTCCCCACAGTGCCCAGGTCGCCCTCTCCGAGCGTAGTGCATGCTCATATGCAAATGCAGCATGAGCCATATCACTGAACTTCGTCTTCTCCGGCGTAATGAGATAGGTTGTACGCAACACCTTCTCCATTTCGCTTGGAAGGGCAGCCATGAACTTGCTCTTCCAGATGTATTCGCCGGGGCGTTCGGTCATTCTATCAGCGTACCGCGTCATACGATCCAGAAGGTCGGAGATGCCGCCCTTCTGAGTGTATTTCGCGCGATAGAATTGCTCAGCCGCCTCAACTTCTCCATCTTTGTGAATGAATCTTCGATGCAGTGCGAGTACTGCCTCGGAGAACGTCCACTTGTGGTGGCGATCCCGGCTAGCCGCGACGTTGCGATAGTACCAGATGTGGGGCTCTCCCTTGAGAGCCTCACTCAACATTCTGGTTCGATCACTGTCCGTTCTAGGTCCGGTGATCCGCAAGTTCTGGAAGTACGTTAACAGTTTGAGGAGCCATTCCTCAAACTTGTATACGTCGTCTTCACCTTCCCAAGGTGAAGGCATTTGAGGCTTTATGATCTTCATATAAGCCGGGGGGTCGTCCATTGGGTCATCCCCTACTAGTCGGTCGATCATCTCATAGCAGTATTCATATGATCGATTCATAGGATTTACCGGTACCACTCCACTCGGGAGTGGTGCCGGTTGTCCTTGCTTCCTTGTAGATATACTTTCTACATAGGAGTACAGGCCGTGCGTATCATAGTATCGACTCGAGTGCATCTCGTTCACGTCGCTGGCGGAACTTGATCTGCCAGTGCCGTTTTTGAATGACACTCGGATACCTTCACGACCCTCTTCTTCCGAAGGTACAGGCCCATGTCCCTTGGTGGGAACATGAGACTTGTTTCCTAACTTCGCGTGCTGGTCGCGAGTACGAAGTTTCTCGTGCTCTGCGCCCATCTTCGTGAAGTGAGGAGGATCCCCTCGTATCCGCATGTTGCTGGGCACAAACCCATCCTCTGTCTGGATCCAATAGTATCCTGTACTATTGATTGGGTACGAAGGCTCTTTGCCTTTCTCAGGGCTTTTCTTCGCGTTCGAAGCACGGCCGCCCTGCTCTTGGTACCGCCGCACGCGTTCTGCAGCAGCCTGCCGCCTTGCGTATTCCTCCGCGGTCTCTGAGGTACCTTTCGGTGTCCTCAGAGTCTCCTCAGCGGCTTGGAATACCGGGTCGGGTCTCTTCGGTGTCTGTGGAGGCACTGAAGAGGGCTGCTGCTGTTTCGGCGATAGGTACTTCAGCTCGGAGGACGACCCAGAGTCTGTTTCTACGGTCGACCTGCGAGGTTTCCCTTCAGGCTCTTTTCCTTTCCGACGCGGCGACGGGGCCTTCATGTGGCCCTCGTCGTCTGCCTCGGATCCGGATTCTCCACCCTTCTCCGCTTTGCGTGGAGAAGGCTGTTTCTCCCCTTCGAATTGTTGGAGGAATGCATCCTCCTCATTCTGCACCCACGTCGAGATATATTGTTGGAATTCAACCAATTGCTGGTTGGATTCCGTTCGTATCTCGGCGAGTCTTTTGGTGGTCAACGCCCGGTAGTCGGCTTCCATGTCGACTACCTTTAATGCCGCCTTCGTCTTCGACTCCTCCATAAACTGGCTGAACTTGGCGTTTATGCCTTGTTTCAGCTCTTCGTTCCTTCGTCGGAACTGAAGGATCATGTCCCGAGGGAAACTCGGTCGACTCCCCTCCGTGAGGGAATCGGCCGCGCCTCCTCTCTGAGACTGCCTACTCGACGGTCTTTCTGGCTTGCTGGCACCAGGCGTGCGAGATGGTTCGTCAGCGCCTGGTTGTTCCTTATCACCTGAGTTGCGCCCACGCTCACTTCCATGTGGAGGTGGAGCGTGCTCCGGTGATACGGGTCTCGATAAGGAAGGTTTCACTTCCGGAGTAATGGACGCACCCAGTGTGGGTGCCGTCCCAGACCCGGATGTTCCTTTCGGGGATGGTGATTCCGGCAAACGTTCCGCCATTGGTTTGGTGGTAACGAATCGCCCGAATTGGTCGCGCGGTCTATCTCTGCGTGGCGGTATGGTGACGACGGTGTGATGTGACACGTATTACGGCACTCGAACGCTGCGCACTTCAATAGAAGTTCGTATTGAACAAAGGACTGTAAAAAATGTGTGATGCCTCACACTCGGGCCCGCAGATACAGTGCACCCAATTCTATTGAGTACGCCGTGTATCCGGTTAGGCAGTGAGTGTAAAGGACTTGCCCCTACACTCACCGGGCTCCAGCCTAAGTAGGCTAGGGGCCAAACACGCGTAAACTATGTAATTACAAGTGTTGCGATATGATATACTATATATTTAGCTAGACGGTAACGGACGCGTTACATCGCGGGTGGCGAGGTAGTGCGGCCCTCGCACACTAGACATTCTGTCAACAGGCTAGTATAGTGGGTTCAGGTTAGCACAAAACGAACAAGGGGTGGTCTGCAGCTCACTATCTGCATGAGGCCCTGGGCATACATCGAGTCGTCCAATAGCCTTTCGGTGATGTCGTTGTGCTTCAGTCGTTGAGCAGCTTCGAGCATGAGGTCCAAGAACATCTGAGGACGCTCATTCTTGTCCGGGAATGCGTTCACTCGAAGGAGCGCACGAGGCAGCTCATGTGCGATCAAGTCCGAGAGGAACGACTTCATTTTTGCCGAACGTTGCGAATTGATGCCGAGGACGGTCTTGCCATCTGCGCCGTACGTGAGGTAGGTTTCGATGGGCCACATGGTCTCGCGCTTCTGCGGAGTGCCGTTGGGACTGTCCTCGATGTCGGACGAAGGGTCGCCATTGTCCTGGGCAACACAGTTCAAGCCATCAATCAGGGGGGGGTAATTTTACTAAGGCATCGGCATGACTCTACGCACCATTGCGGCTGCAGCAGGCTTCGCAACTTGCAAGCTCCGAGAAGAAGTCTAGGTCCATTATAATGCCGTAAGATACACGGTTGGGATGATGATGTCATCACTGACCTTCGAGTTTGCAGACGTTCTATCCAGCACTGAAGATTTCTTTTTACATCGTCCCGTCAGTGCAGGAACTCAGAGGCGTCAAGACGCTGAGGTGCTACCATACCTGCGTAACCTTTTTTATGAAGTACCTCGGAGAGCGCGGCGGTTCAGGCAAGCTGTGATCGTTGTCGCGGCTTGCACCAGTCGGCTGGAGATGTGAGACACCGCGGTGGCCAAAGATGGCGCGAGAGAGGCATCAGTATGTGCTTTCCCTGGATAACATGTCAGCAACGCACCTCTGGGGACGACGACATCCACTGAGGTGCCTTTCTCTGAGGTGGCTGATAGAAGGGATGATGAGCCATAGTTATAGACTGTCGATTGTTTGTGCTTACCCTTACGGGCGGTTGGTGCTGCGACCAGGCAGTCAGTCAGTCAGCAACCACGGCGGCCGGGTGAGTATGGCCTACGCACCGAAGCATCCCGCCCGGCAATGAGTTTGTATCTCATTTCGGCAGTGAGCGTCTTTGGCGGCGAGGGTTGGTGTTGCGTGGGTTATTGGGATGAGCGATGTGGTGAACATAATAGCCATGCGATGACTTACCTGCACCTCGATTTCGTCAGACTCGTCACCGGCGACCACCGCCTTCCCCTTCCCCTTCTTGCGTTTGCGCTTGTCCTTGCGCTTGTCCACTACCTGCACCTCGACGTCGTCTGACTCGTCACTGGTGATGACTGCCTTCTCCTTCCCCTTTTGGCGTTTGCGCTTGTCCTTGCGCTCGTCCACGGCCACGATAAAGCGCTGGTCTGAGGCCGCACGCGCAGCACCCTCGGAAGACTAGATAAGGGTACTGGCTGGAGGCTACACATTGTCAATGAATAGAAGGACTTACATGGGCATGTGCTTTGGCGTTGAGATCGCCCAGCTCAGTCTGCTTCTCGGAGCGGCTGGGTGTGGCGCCGGGAAAGCGATCCTCGGCGAGCATAGGACGTGTCTTGGCAAGTTTGCTGTTGACGCCGTCCTACGCGGAAAGCAAGCATGACAGGATAAGCGCAACACGGATGATGGAGTCCGACGCTAAGGAACTCACCTTGTCGATGTCCTTGTTCAGCAACATATTCGTCTTGTCAACGGCCGAGCCTTCAGCTGTTTGACGGCGGCGTTGGGCGCGTCTCTTGATCATTGCCTGAGTATCAGTGAGGTTCGTGAGATGATGTACTTGGGATATGTACTTACTGTCCACTCCGGATCCGAGTCCACGTCGGATTGCTGGGTAGGCTGTCTTTCACCTGACGAGCCCGTCGGGCTACTGCTGTCGGCGTCGAGGGAGGCTGCATTATACGCAGAGTCCGCGCCGCTGGAGACCTCATCGTCACTCGGACGCAAGGGAGGCTTGAGTGTACGGAGGTGTGTGCCATACTTGGAGACAAACTTCACCGTCTGGGCAGGATGGACAATGCGTGGGAATCGTGGGCACGAAAACGTGTGAGTAGAGTACTCACGCCTTGTTGGAGTTGTTCCGCAATCTTCTCCGCCTTGCGTTTGGAGACATTGGGTTGCTCCTCGACACCAAAGTCTTCATCATCCTCGCGGACAGCATCGGACTCAACTTCGTCGCCTTCGGACTCCTCGCTATTCTCAGAGGCAACAGCGCTTCCCAGGTTCTCTGCACGAAGATTTGTGTTAGTACGCCCATCGCCGCGTCCGCGGAGCCAATTAATGGAGTGAACTTGCTCGAGACAGTATCTGTGCGGTCCATGTCGATGTCCTCCTGCTCGCCACTGACCTCATCGCCTGTACAGTGGAATTGAAGGGGCAATCAACTCAAGCTTAGTCATCAAACATACCGTCGTTCCTATTGGAAGTTGGGTCGGTATCATTGGTCGTGGGCTTGCGCGATGGGCCTGCGCCATCATTCGCTGCGACACAAGCTTCGCAATCAGGGAGAGCTTAAGGATGTAGAGGTAAGTTATGTACATACAATCATTCTCAACGAGGCGGCGTCGCTTGCCTGCGTTCACAGTAGGTGTTGGGTCGGACTCTTCCTGCCCTCGCTTCTTGCCTTTCGGTGGTTCAGTCTTTTCCTCGTCTTGTTTCTTATTTCTATCTTTCGGGGGTAGCCAAACTGCAGCAAGATCAGCACGGACAACGACGTCAGTAAAACACAAGATTGGCGACTTTTATGATGGTATGCCAGGGCCTTAGCCTCGCGCGGCCGGACGACTAGACGATGGCTCAGAGTCAGCATCCATTGTACATACTCATCCATGATGACCAGATTAGAACCTACTCGTCGGATTGGCAATTTCACGCTCTCGGGCTTGCTCAAAGGCGGTTTGCTCAGCCCGTTTCTGACTTTTCATCTCTTTCTCAAGCTCTTTCAGTCCAACATCGATGTGGCGTGCCGATCGACGAGGCTGAGGGCCCTGAGCACTGCTCGCAGGGTCTTCGAGTGATCTGGGGTAAGCACGCACATTCGGCTCAGGTTGTCAACTGGGACGAACCTCCGTTGCTAACGTCTGTGGCTGCAGGTAGCACCTTCTTCTTGCGGCTTTTCTTAGCGGATGCAGGGCCAGCCATGAAGGGGGTTCCAGAGCTACAAGGACAAGGAAGTCAGAATCAAGGACGACGGTCGTGGGCAGGACGTGAGGGGGACAACCGGACTCGGAGGAGGGCCAGGAATTGCTCAGGTACCGGCTTGGCTGTGGATTCAGGGGGTCACCACGGCTCGCCACGCGACTACGGGTCACCGACCCATCTCCCGCTCAACCTGTCCATGCCATCCGGTAGCTCCCTCACCTCCAGTGCAGGCAGCCTTCGAAGGGCCGGCTCGCGCAAGCCTTTGTACCGTCATCAACAGAACGGTGAGATAGCCTTACTCCGCTCGTTTCCCTCCTTTCAACTCCGTTGCTGACGCGCTCATGGGGCAGTTCGGTGTGACCAGTTTGTGCGGCATACAGTTTTACCATGCCGACGCGCCGCCAAGGGCAGGCGCGCTTTCTGCCAGTGGGATGGCGCAACAGAGTGCTGTCCGGCCTATGCGCACAGAGCCCGGCTGCAGTCATCGGGCACCCGTTGTATTTTTTGATAGTATTCGTGCTCATTCTCCTCCTCCCCGCCATTGCAAGTGGGTTTCTGTACATCGTGGCGGAGTCGATGACGCTGGATCCATTTGCAGCCCCTTTGCACTGGCAGTCTCTCCCAGAGCCTGGCCTTGGCGTGAGTGCTTACCTGCAGCTGCACCCTGGAGAGTCCGACGCGAGATGGGCGTTACACTGGGTAGCGGTGTACGGTGTGGGCGGTGCCCACGGGCTGAGGCCGGAACCGCCGGAAGATGGAGAGTCAGAGAGGCCGGGAACGTTAGCTGGGGAGACAAGCATCGGGCCGCGGCAATAGGCCACGACGGGACATCTTACGAAGTCATTCGAGCGCGTCACAAGTCAGATCTATTTAACTCCGCAAGCCGTTACATGCCAGGACGTACGGGTACCGGGGCGAACAAACCGGACGGAGGAAGATGCTACTCGTAAGGGTTCAGTCACGGATTAATTCCAACGGGGGAGGGATGTCTCGCGCGTCACATATGTCCTCTAGACGGCCCGAGATGGAGACTACTTCGCGCATCACAGACAGCTGGTCGATCCGGGCCTCAGCCAGGCCGCGGTGGAGGTGGCCGAGTTCGAGGCGGAGGACCTCTAAGGAACGGTCCGTTGCGGCGAGGACGCGGTCCCAGTTGTCGGTCGAACCGCGGAGGGAGGAGAGGCGGAGGGGAGGATCGTTATACGACGGAGGAGGAGGAGGTCGGGCTTCTTCCGCGGTGGCTTGCTCCCTCTGAAGCTGGTCCGGGGACCAGGGGATGGTCGCGTATAGGAGCGGCGCCTCGTTCTGCTCAGAGCGGAGGTTGAGGAACACGCGGTCCAGGTGCTCGATAAGCTCGCAGACCTCGGGGATACCGGACGGAAGGGGGACGCGGGCGTCGCCGTGAGCGGTCGCTAGGGCATACGACTCGAAGAGCATTCGCTGGGGCAATGCAGACGGGTCAGGAGGGATGAGGAGAGCGACGGGGCGGACGAACCACGAGCCAGCGGGCACCATGAGCCCACGCAAGCCAGGCAGTGGCGTGCTCCACGTCGAACCGGGGCTCGAACGTCCCTTCGTACCGGAGAACATCGACAAGACGGAGGTAGCGAGCGGAGTGCGACGAGGTGGTGGGGTTCGGGGGCTGCGCCATCGGTATAGGAACGAAGGCGTGAGTGGGGAGAGAAGGGAGGGAGGGGGCAGACCCGGAGGGAAGGAGGGCGGGGCACGTGAGCTCGGCTGAAGGAGGATAAGTAGCGAGGCGGAGGGAGCGGGGGAGGACACGTAGGACCCACTCTCGGACGCGGACTAGGACTCGGACTCGGAGGCTCTCAACTCGGGCAGACGGCTCGGAAGGAACTCTCTGTATTTCGCTCTCGTATAGACTTGTCTTCTCGACGATACGCTCGTCGCATACACCTAATATCACTACCCATCCTTGACTAAAAGTCTACCCTTCCTCCTTACCCTGTACGGAGGGAGCCGAACTCAACAGCACACACCGTGCGTTTTTCTTTATTGCGCTCGACGTGGTCCGGGTTATGCGTTTGTTCGAGGTATAGGAGTAGTCAGGTTTACAAGTAGCTGAGCTGTTGGTGTGGGCCGATACAAGTTGAGGAGGTTGGGGGTGAGGCAGCGGTGGCGTGTCGTAGGCGCGAAAGCTCTTCGCTTGAGAAGGATAAGGGCGCTTCTCTGGGGCACCTTACTGCCGTAGAAGGTATTGGGCGCTAGATTTGGTATGATCGGCTTGGTGGCGTGTATTTGTAATGAGAAGGTCGTTTGGGCCGGTGGTGGATGGCTAGCTATTGGTTCGGCAATGTGCGTCGTCTCAGCCTTCAATTTAGAGTTCTATGATCTTCTTGGGATCGGTCCAGCGTGTCGGATATAACACGCTGCTAGCCTATCTACTGTGGATCGCATTACAAGGTGTCCGCTTCGTGCGTCGTCACTTCTCCACCTTCTTCGCTTTCTCCAGGCCTAGACTCTATGAGCTCCTTTGTTCTAGGGTTCTTCGCCATGCGTGCGCGCAGGCGCCTGATAGCGCTAGGGGTGATATCGAACTCGTATGGGTTAGAGCCGGGATTTTGGAAGTCTGGTTTGTTACGGAATGCAAGGTGTGGTTCTGGAGGAGTGGGAGCGTATGGTAGACGAGTGTGTGTGTATATCCGTCTAGGTCGCAGAGGCGGGCCCATGGGATCGGTACTTTGATTTGTAAGCCGTCCTTGCTCCCGGTGAGCCGGAACGTGACCCAGTGACGCATGAGGGTCACGGCTTTGGAGACTCGTCCGGTCTCTATCACGTGACTGCCGGTGTGGAGGGTTATCACGTGGCCTCTGGCCAGCTGCCTGCTAGGCTGGCTCTTAACTATCCACGTCTCTCGCCGTCCATCTTCATCGCGCTCTGGCTGGGGTTCGACGAGGATGTCAACCTCGATGGAATAAGCGGGCTGGTACGAGGTGCGTATTCGGGATTTCTGCGGTTCAGCAGCGAAGACGGTTGACGACGACGTTCCAGGCCGAGTTATATGCTGCCCATCGTGGTATGCTTGTACTATGGGTGATTGGGCAGGGATGCGAAGTGATTTTCCAGATGAGAATGCGAAGAACATCAGGTAAGGTACGAGCGTTTATTTCATGGGGGCCTACCCAGATTATATAGGCCATAACTTGTAGGAACGTGTAGTGCATTGCAGGGGTAGGGTCGACCCGCGGGGGTCACGGGTAGGGGTACACGAGGGTAGGGGTACGGGTAGCCATTTCCATACCCCCGTACCCGCCTGTTACCCGTTATGGAAAGTCGTGCCGCCGGCCTTCGGGGACTCACCGCCAGCTCAGATTTCGATCTGGGGCTATTGCCCTTTATAGCCAACCAGCTCAGGTACCGGTAGAATAAAATATACATTTATCAAAGGGAATGCTGCCGTAAGCCTGAGTCACCGTCACAAGTACTTATTGCCTCAGCCTTCCGACTTTCCCCTCTCCCGAGCCTACCCACCCACCATGTCTGGGAACCGCGTCAGCAACAGACCGAAAGTGCCTACCGAGAAGCGAAGAGCAGCGGAATCACCTACGAGAAATGTGAAGACGTCGAAGAAGCCGCGCACCGAGAGTACCGACACTCAGCCGAGCACGAGCGGCAGCAACCGCAAGGCTACAACGGGCCCGAGACTTTCGACAGCTTCAACAGCGAGCGTGAAGGCCGCGACGGCGAGCGCGAAGGCTGCGACAGCGAGCACCAGGCCATCGACAGCGAGCGCGGGGCCATCGAGATGGCACTCCGTTGAGATCGAAGATGTCGAAGATGTTGACGAGCCTTTGTCGTCGCAGAAGGGGAGCGAGCCAATTGTGCTAGAGTCATCAAGCTCCGACGGCGAAGAGAGCAGCACGACGAAGTCTGCCAACGGTGGAGACGACCTTGACGAGGAGTCAGCCGAGCAGGAACTAGGTTTGTTGTCAACGAGCTGCTGTAAAAGTGCACGGCTCACCCACCTTGTAGCCCGTATGCAGCGGAAGTGGACGGCGCCGGTGTACGCATTCTTTAAGCCGGACATTGCCATCGAATATGTTGATGGACGGCGCCTGCATGCCTTCCGATGCGCGAACACCGGTTGCAAGCACGATGTGCGACGGTATTTGGCCTCGAAGGATGCAAGATCAACCAGTAATCTGAGGAAACACGTACGGAAATGCTGGGGTATAGAGGCTCTTGAAGCCGCGGACCGGATGTCGACGTCGTCGAAGGCAAAGGACAGTATCGAGAAATACAGGCGGACGCAGAACTTGAAGGTAGCGTTCGGTGCGGCAAGCAAGAAGTCGTTCCGCTACTCGACTATTCAGCACACGCCCACGGAGACCCGGTGAGTAGACAAACGCACCGAGATCAATTCCTCCCACCCTGATGCATTGCCCAGCGCGGAGATCGTGCGTTGGGTGGCGGAGAGCATGCGGCCCTTCAACATTGTGAAGGACCGCGGGTTTGAATCCTTGATGAAGACTGGCCGGCCCGAGTACAAACTGCCGTCGCCTACGACCGTTGGACGCGATGTCCGGAAGGTGTTCGGGCGTGTGAAGGAGCGTGTCGGGCGCTGGTTGCAGGTAAGTACAGAATAACCTATACAGACAGGGGGTGTATTCACGCACCGACAGGATTATGACGGCGAATTGAATTTCGCAACCGATGCGTGGACCTCGCCGAACCAAAAAGCAATGGTGGCATTTACGGTCCACTTTGAGCATCAGGGCGCGCCGATGACCATGGTCCTTGATGTCATCGAGGTTGCGAAATCCCACAGCGGCCTGAATCTTGCGACCGCATTCTCCGACATGATACACGAACTGAAACTCGACACAAAGGTTAGCTCACAGCTGTCGCATAACACATTGAGACTTACTCGCGCGTGCAGATGCTCGGCGTGACCTGCGACAACGCGTCGTCGAACGACGTGATGATAGAAGAGATGGAGGCCATGATATTGTCGTTTCGGGGCGCCCGCGCACGCAGCCGGTGCTTTTGTCATATCATCAACCTGGTGGCAAAGATGGTGCTACGTCAGTTTGAGCCGCCCAAACGCAATAAAAAGAAGAAACAATCAGCGACAGACCTTGACGAAGACGAAGATCCAGACTTGGAAGATTGGGACAAAGAGCTGCAAGAAATGATGGAGGACCTCGACTTTGACGACGAGGATGAGAATGCGCAAGGGGCGGATAGTCTCGATGGCTTCTATGACGTCCGTGATGATCTGGACGCCGCAAGCCGGGCCTCGATGGAGGCAGAGGTCCGACCAGTGAAGATGATGCTGCTAAAGGTAAGCTTGACGTGTGGATGCCTTGAATTAGTTACTCACCTTTGTTGTATGCACCTCTCCGAAGCTCCGCAAGATCTCCATGGCCATTCACCACTCAACAACGCTCCTACTGCCGACGTGGAGGAAGATCGTCGAGGAGCTGAAGATGAAGGCGCGCAAGCTCCCCCGCGATGTTCGCACGCGGTGGAACTCGACGTTCAGGATGCTGGACGTCGCTCTTGAGTATAGGGCCGCGATAGACAAGATGACGGAGGCGCAGGCAAACAACCTGCGCCGGTGGGAGCTCGATGAGAGAGAGTGGACAATCGCCGCGCAACTGCGTGACGTGCTACAGGCGAGTCACCATTAGTCACATTGTGGGTCCACTGTTGACTTACCGTATATGCTCTACAATGCCTCTTTGGGTCGCTGCGCGCTCATGCCCTCTCGTCCCCATCTTGCGGTCGACCTGCTTCTCCCGCCCTCCCACTGCGGCTGCGCGGTCTCACCGCCCACTTGCTAACCCACTGTCGACACGCTTGCCATCGTCGGCTTGCCATCTCCGACCATCCGCCCGGCGCCGACTCGTTCTCCCACCGCACTTGGCCCTGCGCCTTTGACTCGCGGCCTTCGGTTGTCAACACGTCGCCCGGCCGCTGCGACTCGCTGTCCCGCCATGCGCCCCGACACACCCTCGCGTTTCGTGGCGGTGGTCAACGTCACGCGCTGCCGGCACGAACAGGTATTCTATGACGCCACGCACTTCTTCTCGCGCGAGGGGAAGGACGCGCCAGGCCTCACCGATGTTATCCCAGCCATGGATATCATCGACAAACAGCTCGCCACTGATGCCCTCAACCACGCCCTCGATCCCGCTATTCGTGTCGCTGTGAGCTTGGGCAAGCGCGCCATCAATCGCTACTATAACAAGAGCGACGAATCAGCGGTCTACCGTATTGCAATGGGTAAGCATCGCGTACCTCATGCGATGTGAATGTACTGACGTTCAGTTCAGTTCTTGATCCCCGCAACAAGCTCCAGTATTTCCGTGACAACGCGTGGCCAGACGAATGGATTACGGACGCGCGGTTCTTGGTGCGGCAGGCCTACGACGAGGATTGGAAGGGCCATGGACTACCGCGTGAGCAACCAGAGGACATGGACGAACCACAGGTGTGTTTTGATGCTACTGTATACCTCCCACTTCACTTACTAGCCGGTTGTCGTTGCACATGTAGCCGCCAACGGGTGTGCAGCCCTCAGCGTCGACCAAGAAGCAAAATATGTTCGACGCCGCGCGCGCAAGCCGCAAGAAGACTGCGGTTCCCATCGCCGATGAACTCGACCATTACCTGAGCTCCGATCCCGATGCGTCCATCGACAGCGCGCTTGGCTGGTGGACTCGCGATGAATCACGGGCGATGTACCCAAGTCTCTCCCGCATGGCCGTTTCGTACCTCACTATTCCTCGTACGTAACACATTCATTGTCATTGATCACAAATCATGGTAACATTGACCACTCTTCTTTCTGCAGCTACATCTGTCGCGGTTGAGCGGCTCTTTAGTAAGGGCCGAATCTTTATCTCACACCTGCGAAACGGACTCTCCGCAGAGTCTATCCGGGCGCTGATGTGCCTGAACAACTGGAGCCACCTCGGATTCATCAAGGACGAGGACGTGAAGTCTGTCACGCGCGAAGATGCTTCCAACGATCCTCCCGAGGACGTGGAGGATGTGTGGGGCTTCTCGGAACCACACAACAATGCTATATTTTTTGTTTGATGTCAGATATCCCCTGTATATAATATGATCTTGAGCTCAAACCCGTGCTGTACTCGTTTGTACCCGTGACCCGCCGTGACCCGCCGTACCCCCGTGAGACCCGTGCCCCCCGGGAGGGTAGGTGACCCCTGCGGGTAGGGGTACGGGTATATGCCCCGGTACCCGGGGGTATACTCGTGCAATTCACTAGGAACGTGACATGTCATACGGGCGTTTGTAGGATGTCCTAGGGCATAGAGTCATAGAGCATGAGGGGACATATTGGTATGCTTGGGCTGAGCGTAGTGTGGCATAGATGGAACATATTGGTATGCTTGGGCTTTTGTGGACGGGGCAGCCGTCAGCGTGGTTTTACAGTTATCATTTGGCTTTATGGGACGCGTTTGATGTGCGCGTGATCGTTGCAGTACACGTGTTTTGGTCGGTTACTTGGCGGTTATGCGTGCCGGACTTCTAGGCGCTCGCAGCCGGGCCGGGTCGGGTGGGCTTGAAGACGTCTGCATAGCCTTAGTAGCTGTGTGAGCTCATCGTGTCCGGTCTTCAGCTCACACTTTTGTGTGTATAGTTATGTCTTTCACGGTGGTTTTTGGGAGTGGGTGCGGGATTCTGGGTCGAGAGTGGAGGAGAAGAACTCAGGTGCGTTTCTAAGAGGGGTCCGTCATCATTGTCAGGCTCGGTGTTTGACGGCGGTGAGCGGGGGTTTTTAGCTAGCACACTCTAGGGGGATGTAGCGGTCATGGTAGTCCTCTTTGGTCAGCTGGTAGCTTGAGTCGCGGGGTACGGGTTTCGTGGGAGGGGAGGCAGCGTGTGAGGTGCGTTTGTAGTGTGTTTTTTTTTTTTTTTTTTTTTATGTAGTTGCCATCGGCGTCGTCAGGCTCGGTGTCGACGACGGCTAGAAGATACCCAGCGAGGGGCACACATGATGACTGCTTCGGCTGGTTAGAGCAGTATACGGGGTTTCTGTTGGGTTTTAAGAGGGGCAGAGGGCCTACATATGGTCGCCGAAGGGCTAGTGTTATGTGACCTCGGCATTCTACAGGATAATACAATTCTTAAGGACCTCTAGCTTGTCTTTAGCTACCACTCCTCGACGGGAGGTGGAGGTCATATATACGGGGTTGGGGCATCAGGCTATTGTCATAGCCGATGGTCGGGCCAGTACAACGACTGTTGCGGAAAAAACTTTCCAGCCCGCGACCTCTAGTCTGGTGTCCACCAGATGTCGTTATAGTGCAGTTGGTTTCGCCTCCTAGGAGGTTACTTATCCCCTGGACCACGTAAAGGTCTGCACTGGACTCGTCGACGACGAGCCCACCCAGGGGTGCTGTCAAGACACCTCCCGTGTACGGCCCCAGACGGCTCCTCCAACTTGTCCCGCTGCGAGGTGTCGAGGAAGGTGTCTGTGGCGGTGTCCGGACGCAGAGCATGGGCCCAGAATTGTAGCGCGGTACATTATGGCTACGGCCACACTGTTTCCAAACTCAGGACACGCCACCGACTCGCGCGCGGCCAATCAGGACGGCGCTTTTCCGATGACTCGTGGATGCTGCTCCCGATCTGATCCTGTTCATCGGCGACCTGTCGTGCGAGTCTCCTTGCGCATACGATCACGAGTGTGCTTGTGGCCTTCACTGGTAGCCACTTCAAGATCAGACAAGATATCCCCACAGGCAGCCGATTCCGGACCGAGGACCCCAGTGTCAAGTGAAGAATGGAATTCGAACGCATCCCGCTCGATCAGTTCGCTTCCGCATTTGGAACAGCCATTGGTGCGTATAGCCTCGCGCGTGATTCATGTGAAGTCATTGACATCGCATGCGGAAATAGAGTTGTCCAGCGTCGCTCTAGGAGGCAAAGTCGAGTCTTTCTCCGACGAGTTCTTCGCGGAAGCATTCCATCTATTGCTTGTTGAGGTATTTGATCATGATTGATTGCCGAGCCTATCTCATGAGTGATGCTCAGCCTGCGCCGAGCTTGAAAGGCCAATTTGGGCCAAAAGGGGCACTCTACAGCGGATGGGAAACGCGACGACACAACCCGACATACGATTGGTACGCCATCCTTACGTCTCATCGATTCCTCAGGTCGGCATACTTAGGACATATCAGGTGTGTCATCAAGCTAGGAACTACCGGCACCGTCTTTGGCTTCGACATCGACACTACGCACTTCAACGGTGGGTAGTTACGCCAATGCTCTGTTCAGCAGGAGTAGATTTTGACGGGTCATCGTTTCAACCAGGTAACGAGGCCCCTGAAGTCAGTGTTGACGCACTCTACCAACCTGGGGACCAGCCTGCCCCTCTGGCGAATGACACCAATGTAAGACGAAGATACCATTGCATTGATCTGTTTAATTGCTTACGGAGGACGGTCGTAGTGGTCAGAGATCCTGCCGAAGGTGCCTCTGGGACCTAGTTCTAGGCATCTGTTCACAATCAAGCCTACGAAAGGTTTGAACTACGTGAAGCTCAACATGTATCCCGACGGTGGAATTGTCGGTGCCTTATCTTTTATCCTTACCGACCAAGCTAATCCAAAGGAACAGGCTCGACTCCGTGTCTATGGACTAGTGTCACCAGTCTTCCCTGCTGATTTGTCAGCCCAGTTTGACCTTGCTCACGTTTTCTCCGGGGGAAGAGTCGTCTTCACTTCGGATCAACACTTCGGTGTGGGATCCAACCTGATCCTTCCCGGCAGAGGTAAGGAACCGGTGCACGCAACGGCCATAGAGTCTCCTGGATCGGACAGCATTACTCACGCTGCGTTATTAGGTAAGGACATGGGCGACGGATGGGAGACGAAGCGAAGCAGGCAGAAAGGGCACAGAGATTGGGCGATCATCAAGCTGTACGTACCGATCGACCATCTTGCCCGACACCAATTGACTTATGCCATTGCCACCGCATGCCCAGTGGCGATGCCGGGTACCTATCTCACGCCGAGATCGATACCGCTCACTTCAAAGGCAATTTCCCAGAGTCCTGCGAACTACATGCCTTGTCCAGCCAGGAACTGGATCCTGCGAACGCTCCTGAGGACGACTGGACGGTCATCCTTCCCCGCACGAAGCTCGGGCCTCACCGACAGCACCACTTCCAGCTGCACAACGTGGACGGCAAAGCATTCACGCATGTTAGAGCGACTATTTACCCCGATGGAGGCTTGAAGAGAGTCCGCATAGTAGGTAGGAGAGCGGGCGGTGATATCACGGCCCCGGTATTGTCAGGCGCTGCTGGGGAAAGTGCGGCCGCGAACACTCAAGCAACAGAGGATTCGGCCTCTACAACGGTCCCGACGGCACATAGCCTGCAGTCCGCAGTCAACCCAGCCGGACCTACCATCCCCGCTCTTCCACTCACCCCGGAAGCCTTCGCACCCTTTGGACAGGTGATCCAGGCGTACTCCGATTTGAACGCCGTGCCATCTCCGCGGTCCACGCGCATTACTGGGGCGAACCAGGGCACGGCCGTGAAGTTTCACAAACTGGCGTTGCTAGAGTCGGCATACCCCGCGGATACCGGAGCTACGACGGGCCTCTCGGTCTACCGGTGCAAGCCCATTGACGCACAGGGCGGGCACTGGGATGTCAAGCTGCTTGAGAGGCATCCATGCACGAACCAGGCGTTCATACCCATGGGCCGTGGAGAGGACTTGGACAAGCCGGGAGAGACGTACTTAGTCATCGTGGCGAAGAACGGGTCGGATGATAAGCCAGACCTTCCTACCATGCGTGCCTTCGTTGCGACTGCTGGGCAGGGCATAGTCTACGACACAGGCATTTGGCGTAAGTTTTCCCGATAACATCAGTGGGACATAGTGCTGATTCTTGATACAAGACCATCCGATGGCCGTGATTGACCAAGTGAGCTTCTCTAGCACAGGTGCATGCCACAGAGTACTAACGGAAGTTGGTAGACTATGGACTTCACGTGTGTTGAGACGCAAGTCGGGAACGGGGACAAGCTGGACTGCGAGATCATCGAGTTGGATGGCTCAGCTGGGTTCTACAGGGTGCAGCTTCCCAACTAGAAGCAATTTCAAGAGGGTTCGGCAAAACAGTGTATTTGATTAGTCAAATTAGTCAAAAATGTCAACAAGAACTCATACTACGTAAAAATCGCTCTCGATTCGCAGTACGGCCCAAGAAAATATCGAGTGCTGGAGACCCGGATTTAACGGAGAACATTATCCGAGGCGGTTGGTAACACGTGCCTCGCTCGATCGATCCAGATCACCGATTCGAGATTGCCTCATCCTTCGCAATTGAAGCAGCAAATTCTCTTCGTCGCTCAATCGCGTCCACACAGCCTACTCAGCATTCTTGGCTCGGAATCCAAGCAATAACCACTGTCGTCCGCACCAAACTCTTTCCAAATGGCTCTTACATCTATCAAAACCTCGGGCGACAAGATTGAAATTGTGAACCAGCTCTTGCTGCCGCATACCACAGAGTTCATCGAGATCGACACGATCGAGCAGGCTCACGATGCCATCAAGTCAATGAAGGTGCTTACCCGTCCTCATTCTTTTCAACGGCTCTGTAATGAAACAACGCCCTCCATGTCACTCTAGATCCGAGGCGCCCCAGCGATCGCTTCGCTCGCCGCTCTGACTGTGGCCTCCCACCTGTCCCGAGCGTTACAGGCCGATCCCGCACCTGAGTGGCTCTCTTCACCACAACTTCTGGATCCATACATCACTGCACAACTTGACTTCTTGTACACTGCACGACCAACTGCAGTCAACCTCGGTGCAGCCACACGGCGCCTGAAGCACACACTTCGGACGGGCGTTGAACAAGGCAAGGACGCTAGCGCGATTGCCCAGGACTTGATACAAGAGGGACGTGAGATCGATGCAGAAGACGTCTCACGGAACAAGAGGATGTCGAAGTGGGGAGGGGAGTGGCTGATCGAGCAGGTGAAGGCGAAGGGCAAGTCTCCGGAGAGCCTGAACGTCATGACGGTGTGCAATACTGGGTCGCTGGCGACGTCTGTATGTATTGTATACGGACGCCGTATATTCGCTCACATGCTTTCGTAGGGTTATGGGACAGCACTGGGGTTGATCACGTACCTTCACGAGACAAGAAAGCTCAGTCGAGCGTTCTTCACACAATCTACGCCGTACCATCAGGGATCGAGGTGAGTATACGGAAGACGGCCTCGAGATCGAGAGAGAGCTCACGTCTCTTGCAGACTGACGGCGCTCGAGCTCTTGACATTGAAGATACCTGCAACCATGCTCTGCGATAGCATGGTGGGATCGCTGTTCCAGCACAACGACATCCACGCTGTTGGTGAGTTCCGCTCGCTGTGAACACGACTGTAGACGCTAAGACAGCTGTACCACAGTCGTAGGGGCTGACCGCATAGCTCGGAACGGTGATACGGCTAATAAGGCATGCGTCTCCTACATATTCGTTGATTCAGTCTGACACATACCAATAGGTCGGCACGTACAACGCCGCGGTGCTCGCGTCGCGGCACAATATACCATTCATTGTCGTGGCACCGGTCAGCACTGTCGACCTCGACATAGCGGACGGCACCGCGTAAGTTCATTGATCAAATCGGACAATAGCTTCCTCACCGTATCATTTCAGGATTCCCATAGAACAGAGGCCCGCCCTCGAGGCGCGACTGGTCCGAGGTGCAGTCTATCCATTCACGCTGAACGCGCAAGGTGTTAAAGAGCAAGCAACTGTCATGGTAACCCCGGAGGACCTCGAGGGAGTTTACAACCCCAGTTTCGACGTTACTCCTGCTGAATTGATCAGTGCTATCGTGACAGAGAAGGGCGTGGCGGTCAAGGCGGACGGGGCGAGTGGATTTGACTTATCGAGTATTGTTTAAATCGATGTTGTTGTAGAGCTGTACGATCATCCTGTCGAAGTCAATGTCGTTCTGTTTATGTTGCTGCAGCCTGGTGGCGTTCAAGTTCAGCGTTGTCAGCCACTGGCCCACAGTTGGTGGCAGTCTCGGACAGCGCCCCACGGAACCGTAACGCGGCCCGTCCGATCTACCACTTACGTAATCGGATTTTGAACCTTTCCACGAGATTCGCAGTGGCTGCTGCGTGCAAGTACATAAGTGCAGTAGTTCTCCCATACCACCAACATACCACCTTGACGATACACACCGTCGTTACTCACATCGCTGTTCGCAAGACTCGTTTGTCAAACAGGTCATTGAGAAGGTTTCTGTGTAATCGAGTATGAGCGACTCGTCAATCCCCTCGTCGCCAAGCGTCTCGACCGCTGCGACCTCCTTGCCACCCTCACCTACCATCTCCAAGCTAAGTCTCGCGGATGTCACAGACAAAGACAGACAGGAAGCTGCGAAAATCAAGGCAGAGGCAAACAAGGCATTTACCGGTACGTCTTCTGCTTTCATCGTTCCACCCACTCAGGCAGACGACCAGGAGCTCAGCGTGAGATCGTGACTTGCAGGCCATGAATTCAACAAAGCTGCAGAGCTTTACTCAAAGGCTATTGAACTGAATCCGTTTGATGCTACCATCTGGTGCAACCGTGCATATACGCGCGTCAAACTGGAAGAGCATGGGTATGGGTTGAGTGATGCTGGTATGTACCTTCATTCTTTCTGTACTTCGAGCTGCACCATAACAGCGTATGGCCGACAGCCCATGCGATCCAGTTGGATCCTAACTACTCCAAAGCCTACTACCGGTCAGTGAAACCTCTGCGTTTCCTAAGTCCACTTAAATGACATTGTCATGCACAGGCGAGCGACATGCTACTTGCAGACGCTAAAGTACAAGCAGGCCATCGCGGACTTCAAGAAGGTCCTCTCGCTAGAGCCGAACAACCAACTTGTCCGCCAACAACTGGACAGCACAACCAGGATCATGCGGAAATCGGAATTCGAGAAAGCCATCGAGATGGAGGAGGAGACGAGTTCGGTCGAGCGATGTATGGCGATCATCGCCGAAGGTGAATACACGGCTTTACACGCTATATGCAAGTGTTGACGACGTAATCGGCAGGTGGATGTGATCTCGACCGCGACTACAAAGGCCCGAAATTGTCTACAACCGAGGGAGGCAAATATAGCATCAACCTCGAGTTCGTCAATGCTATGATCGAGTGGTTCAAAGAAGGCAAGGCCTTGCCCAAGAGGTATGTCGTTACTGCCCTTGCCGTCCATGTCGGTCGTGTCGAAATAATGCGCATCGAGATATGTGTGGGAGATTGTCCTGGGAGCGCATCAAGCATTCGCCCAAGAAGAGAGCTTGGTAACACTGAACATAGAGGAAGGCATGACCTGCGACGTGATCGGTGATGTTCACGGTATGTATAGGCTATGCGATCCAGCCAGCACCGGTCTCATCTAGCTCGGCAGGCCAGTTCTACGACGTCCTGCACCTCTTTTCTCTCACGGGTCACCCGACCGACAAGCATTGTTTGCTCATGAACGGCGATCTGGTTGACCGGGGATCATGGTCAATAGAGGTCATCCTCACCGCATTTGCGTTCAAGTGTAAGCTGCACCAGAAATTTTCGATTTCGCTCGCGTCTGACCAGTCGTGCAGGGTTATATCCGAACCGCATGTACATCAACCGGGGAAACCACGAGACGAAAGACATGAACCGGACATACGGCTTCGAGGGCGAAGCAAAGCACAAACACGGGGAACAAACCTACAAGGTATGACAGACGGCGCCTCAGCTCAACTCGCACGTATTCATTGACATCATTGTTTCCAGCTATTCGCACACGTTTTCACAGTCAGTGAGTAGTCTACCCTGACCAGTCTTTCACTCGTTTTGACACCAGCTTGAAGTGCCACTCGCGACCTTGATTTGCGCAACGAAGCCTCCGGCAGGTCCCGCAGGCAATGCCATACTGTCGCCAGAAGGCAAGAAGCGCTACTTTGTCGTACACGGTGGCCTTTTCAGCAAAGACGGCGTCACCCTTGACGAGATCCGCAAGATCGACCGGATAGGACGTCAGCCTGGGCAGGAGGGATTGATGTGTGCGTAGGTCTCCCCGTTGCGCCTTCTCTATGACTGAGTCAGTTCATTGCAGGCGAGCTACTATGGACAGACCCTCAGGACATGCCAGGACGGGGTCCAAGCAAACGGGTGAGTACCGTTCTCCACCCCTCAGTCCTCTTTCTGACTTCTTCGTCAGGGCGTCGGCATTGCATTCGGACCAGACGTCACAAAGCGATGGTGCCAATTGAACGGCGTCACAGGCGTAATCCGTAGTCATGAAGTCCGACAAGGTATGTTCGTTCAGTTTCTGGTAACCACGCGCATTCATGACTATGATCAGATGGATATGCCATCGAACATGACGGACTTTGCACCACCGTTTTCTCTGCACCGAACTACGTAGACCAAGGAGGCAACAAGGGCGCCTTCGTGAGTAACACGAAACTTCATAGGGTGCAATATGAACTGAACGCCACTGCAGATTCGGATCGATGACCATGGCTCGCAAACATACACCCAGTTTGACGCCAAGCCTCATCCGCCAATGAAACCCATGGCATATACGTCCGGAGGAATGGCCAGTTTGCTGATGTAATACATAGCCTGGTTTGATCCCCGCTTGAGCTATAAGTAGCGTAAACCACAGTACCATCGCATCCACATGTAAAACAGCAGGGTAAACAATCAATGCTCAAAGGTTGTTTAGTACGCATGGACATTTGTTCAATTGCCGACTATACAATCTACCGAGGTTTGTAGATATTGCTTTACATGGGAAACAACAACTCCGTGCTGTGTTCGTCACTGCAAAAGGCCTCTCCAGTCTACAGCAACGCTCATTCTTGGACCCCGGTGACGAGCGTCTAATGAAGGCGTTTGGTAGGTTTTCCAAATATGGCAAGCGTCCGGGAGAGTATTGGGCGCCTAGTCCACTGTCTATTCTCATTCTCTTGCACTTCACCACGGGCCAGTGCATCCTTCCCTGCGCACGCGCGCGCAGAGTGCTTACATTCTTCACATTCGCACTCGACAAATGGACAAAACGAAGTCGAAGCTCGTTGCCTTCTTCGACAACGATGATGATGAATCATCGTTTCCAGTGCGGACGGAGACTTATTTAGCTTTCTTGCGCACTCACCGACTGTCTTCATGATAGCAAAAGGAGGTGGACGATCAGAAGCGAACTGTTTTCACACAGGGCGTTGTCAGGAAGTCGAAGCGGGAGAAGGAGAAAGAAGCGGCCGAGGCCAAGCGGAGGGACGAAGAGGAGAATGCTGCTAGGGCATACGCGGAGTTCCTGGACGCATTCCAAGGAGAAGCCGCTGAACGGAAGAAGGGAGGTGCAGCTTTCGTGAAGGCGGGAGAGAGCTCTTCGTATGCGCCTGCTGTGCGTGGTAAAGGAGCTGGTAGCCAAGGCATGCGAGCGTTCGAGTTGGACGCTATGGTGCGTCCGCCGTCCCGGTGTTGCACGATGAAGTCAAACGACCTTGCCACAGAAGTCGCCATCTCCGCCGCCAGTGGCACCTAAACCAAAGGGGAAACGAGCGATGGACTCTTTCCTCGAGGAGATCAAAAGGTATGCCTCCAAGCGTTACTGTCGGATTGAACTTGACATCCCCGCTTGGCATAGAGAGCAGGCCGATCGCGAATCGAGGCTCTCCCGACATGGTGTGTTCTGAACTTGAATATACGCTGTGTCTACTCACACGATGTGCAGTTACACACGGAAGATCCGTTACTTCGATCGCTGGTACGTCGATCCTACGTGCAGTTTGTTCAGAGCCTGAATGCGCTTGGGACAGCATATGAGGGGCAAAGCGGAAGCAAGGATAGAGGAGATCCTCAGGTACGTCTCAACCAACCCACTTGCTGTGATGATCATAACGGGCGATCTAGTCAACAAACATATTCGTGGCCAACTTGCCTTCACATGTAACAGAACAGAGCCTAGGTACATTCTTTGCTCGTTGTGGACCAGTTGGTTCGGTACGTCTCTATCACCCTCTCCATGACCCGGTCTATATGTCCTGTTAGGTGAAAATTATGTGGCCCAGAGGAGATGCCACGCAAGGGCCTGGCGCGGATATGACTGCTTCTCGGCGGACGAAGAATACAGGGCTGAGCGGCTTCGTGTCATACATGAAGCGCAAGGACGCAGAGGCAGCGCTGAGAGAGCTAGACGGCTTCGATTGGGGAGGATCAATCCTTCGAGTCGGGTGGAGCAAGGCAGTTCCGATAGCTGTCAAGCCACTTTATGGTGTGTGCCTCCTTGGACCAAGAGATGCGTTGACTTAGATTCAATAGTAACGAAGAAGACGTTTTCGCGGTCACGATCACGATCACGGTCAAGGTCAAGGTCAAGGTCGCGTAGTCGCTCACGCGAGCGGAGTGGACAGCGCCGCTCGTACTCCCGCTCGCGTTCTCGATCCCGTTCTCGAGATCACGATCGTGGCGGATTTCGGTCTGCGCGGCGATCAACAAGTCGCTCGGTCGGTCGGGACTACTCTCGCTCGCCCTCTGGCTACCGGCGCCGATCAACAAGTCGTAGACGATTCGCCAGTCGATCGCCTGGGCCGCGCTCCCGTAGCCCGCGCACCGTGCATCTTGGGCTCGATGAGGAAGAGATATCCGACAAATTTATCCGAATGGTGGCCAATGAAGTCAAGGGACATGATGGGGAGTACGAGGTTAGTCTCAAAGAGATGGAAAAGGGGAATCCTAGATATGCCTTCTTGAAACGCGACGTAAGTCTGGTCCATAAAATACCACATCAGCATGGGATTCCTGATACAGGCGCAGCACCGGAGAAACAAGTACTATCGGTCATTGTTGAATCACAACGAGGCCTTGGAGCCAGAGTTCGATGATGATGTATAGCGTGTTCCTCCCTTCAGGCGTTGCCGCGATTCTCACCTGGGACATTGGTCAGGGATACAATTCAGTATATTCTACGGACTCCGCCGAAGAATCGGAAAGGGAACATGGTAGGAAGAACGAGCTGGGCAAGCGTGCTCGGAAACGATTCGAGGCGATGCTACGTGCATTGAGTGGCAAGCGCGGAGAGATTGCAAGATGCATGGCGTTCAGTCTGGAACACGCCGAAGCAGCGGCGGAGGCGAGTGGTGGAGCTAATGATCTACACACTGTGCTGACGCAAACCACAGGTTTCTGACATAATCATCGCATCCTTGGTCATTGACGGTACACCGGTGCCACGCAAAGTCGCGCGTCTGCACCTCATCTGCGACATCCTGCACAACTCAGCCGCACCCCTGCCTATGGCTTGGAAATTCCGACAAGAGTTCCAGTCACGCCTTGGGCTTGTCTTCGACCACCTCTCGACCATCTACCACTCGTTCCCCGGCCGCATCACTGCGGAGACCTTCAAGAAGCAAATCGCCGCGATCATTGACATCTGGGAAGACTGGATCGTCTTCCCGCCTGACTTCACGGCCGAACTGCGGGCGCGGCTGGAGGGCTCGACCATAGAGGACGCTCAGCCTCAAGAGGAGGTGAAGACGATCGAAGTGAAGCAGAGAACACCCGCGGCGTCCAAATTCAAGGCGAGTTCATTCAAGCCCGCCGAGGAAGTCACCAAGGAAGCCGAGCCAGCGGCAGACTCGGACGAGGGGGAACAAATGGATCTGGGCAGCGACGACGAGGATAGCATTCCAGTCAAGGACGTCAGCGTTCCACTGGCCGAGGACATCGACGGGGAGCCTATGGATGACGTCGATGGCGTGACGATCGATGACATTGACGGTGTGCCTATGGATGACATTGATGGTGAACCCATCGGTGGTGAGCCTATTGACGGCGAGCCCATGGAGGAGGACAAAGACGGAGTAGCCGCTGACGTATGAGGCATGAACTCCACAATACTCCGCAAGGTATCCAGTGTAGCATACCTCCGATCTTGTGTACCGTCTTGCAGCATATTTACTTTTGGATCCGTTTACATGGTACATCATATCATAACACACTGAAACAGAATGGCTTACAGGAGATCCAGATCACAACATGCACGCATTACATATGTACAGGTAAGTATTCTCTCTAGTATTCTCTCTCGCACGGCTAGTCAAGGGCATTGCCACCAGTACTGTACACGGGCAGCCCTTCCTCCAACTCATCGTCGATGTCTCCCAAGCCCAGCACTTCTTGGTAGAACGCAAGCTCCTGCTCGATCGCCAACTCCATGGTCTTGGTCTTGCGCCAGCCATGTGCCTCGCCCTCGAACAGCCTGTACTCTACTCGACCGCCCTGCGCCTTGACGGCCTCGACGATGGCCTGCGCGTGTGAGGGAGGCGCCATGGGGTCTTCACTGCCCTGCATAATCTGTGTGCGAGTGATCAGACGGATAGCACAATCAAACGCCGGCACAACGCACTAGAAGGGGCGGGAATCCCAGCTTGCCAATGTTCCCCAAATTATACAGCGGCGTGCGCTCCTTATACACCTCAGGAATCTCGTCTGGCGAGCCGCCGACGAGGCGCTGGATTTGGTGCAGCAGAAACTTGTGCATGCCGCGTGCGAGCGCGCGCATGTCCGCCGCACCGTGCATGCACGTCGCGGCCACGAACGTCCTGCGCTCGCCGGGGCGGCAGCACGCGGCGAGCGCGATGTACCCGCCCGTGGAGCGCCCGCGGATGATGCTCCGCCGCGCGTCGATGAGTGGGTGCGGCGCGGCGGAGAGCGACTTCATGGCGTGAATGCAGTCTTGGACGTCTATCACGCCCCATTGGCCGTTGAGTCGCTCGCTGTATCCGAAGGTAATCAATGCGGGTATTCTAAGCTGGAGGTTTGATGGAGCACTTACATGTATTCTCGACCAAAGCCAGCACTACCGCTGTAGTTCACGTCCACCCTATACAGGTATCAGTACTATCCACTTCACAACGCAACATGGGCAACTAGGACGTACCATGCGAAGCCACGACTCGTGAAGAACTGCACTTCCCACCTGAACCCCTGCGAGGCATGGATATTCGGTCCTCCATGCGCATTCACGATGCACGGCGGCTTCTCGCCACCAAGGCCCTTGTAGTTCGGGTTTGTCGGCGGGTAGTACAGCACATGCAGCGGGCCGTCGTTAGCGGGGTTTTTCAGCGTGATCGACTTCGCGATCGATATCATCGACGGCGCGAGGGGGAGCGCAAAGCCGCCCGTGAGCTCCTTGAACGTCGGGTTCATGTCCTCGTCGAGCGTGCAGAGGACGATCGCCTCAGGGCTGTCAACGCTCTGCGCGCGAAAGACGACGACATTGTCGCGCACGCGCTTGACCACGGGGATGTGGACGTACGGGCACTCGAGCTCCTCAGCCTCGCCGTCCGCGAGATTGAGCACGTACAGGTAGCTCCGCCCGTCGCGCACCGCGGCGTAGAGCACTCGGCCGGCGGCGAGGTCGAGCGGCACGCTGAACTCCCAGCCGAGGCACCACCGCGGCAGGCTGAAGTCGACGTCGACGGACTCGTCAAGCACGGGCGCGGCCGCGCGCGTGGAGACGATGTACTTCCAGGGGTTCTGGTAGCCGGATTCGTCGCATGTGTAGATGAGCACGTCATCTGACGCCCAGAGCGGGTAGGTCGCGCTGACGTTGCGCGGGACGCCGCCGACGTGCGCGGTGTCGCTGAGTGTGAGTGCGCTGTCGGAGGCGTGGACGGAAGCGACGTAGATCTGTCCGCCCTCCCAGGACATGTCTGGGTGGGACCATTGCTCCCAGGCGAGGTGGGTGCCGTCAGGAGAGAAGCAGGGCCCGGAGTAAAAGTCTGCGCCTGAAACGAGCGTGGTGACGGTCTGTGTCCAGCTGTTGATGACGCAGAGGGTGTTGACGACGTCCGTGGGCGCGGGCTTGGTGTGGTCTTCGAGGATGGCGACTATGAGGTTTGGTTGCTTCGGGTGGATTGCGAACTTCGCGAATCTGTGGGCCTCGTTGACTACAATATCTAATTGACATTGTTGTACATGCAAGGGAAGGTTAAGACACGTACCAGGGGTGATTGGCTGCGGGTCTTCCGACCTGCCCACGGCGTACACCCGATTGTCTGATGCATTTGAGAAGTAGACAATGCCATTGTAGGCCGAAGCAGGAGCACCGCCAATCTGGCAACTAGTAAGAACGTAACCCAGACGAGGTCTTTGTGTTACACACCTCATGTACACGACTCCTCGCATCCCATGTCTTGCGCATCACTTCACGCTTAGTCTCCGTGAAGACAATGGCATCGCGTCCGCCCTCGGATGGTCTCGCTTCTGTGTGGTAGATGGTTCCTGTTGTTGGGTCGACAAACACATCGTCTGCCGGAAACGACTGGAGGCGTTGTGAGCCACAAAACGAACAGATTAGCAGTCGAACAAGGAGTCATGCGTACAGGTCTGTGACAGACGTCTTGTGCCTCGATGGGCGAATGCCATGTACCATATCGCGCGGCTTCAGCCATCGTCAATCGGATCTTAGTTCTAGAAAGAGTCAAATGGGATCAGCGTGGGTTCTGGGACTGACGATGGTCAGACAGGGCGTACATGAGACTCAGACCTCTACGCGTCCGCGACCTAAGTTTGCAGTGTCACTCGGGGCAGATCGCAGCGTGTCGTCGTGATTCGGACGAGCTTCGTTGAATACAAAGCAGCAAGTAGATCAAGTGGAGAATGACGACTAGGGCAAGACTTGGTTGCGGTGTATCCCATACATCGCCTTAGGAGGCGCTATAACAACATCGGGATCTGCTGATCGGATGGCACCCATGCCAGTGCGGTAGTTTCGCACAATTCGGCGGCTTCAGAGAGCTCGTGTCGTGATGGGATGACATCCGGAATGTCTGACTGAATTATGACCGCGCTAGAGGATGAGAGCTCGAAGGTCGCGGAGGGTGGGCAAGACAGCAGTGGATCATTTCGATACTCAGATCCATCGGGACATGAGTGCGTTCGGCGCCTACTAATTCGAATGGGCTCGTCGCCAACTCGATCATTTACTGCAGCTGTCATTGTGCAATATTCACAAATTGTATTCCTGCCCAGCTGTGATCAACCGGTTGGTAGTTACTACTCACGGTACGAGGTCTGTGTCCCGGATAAATACCCCAAGGCACGTACTACTACCGTCGACACTAAGACACCAATAGACCTTTCTGACAACGGAAAACCAAGGACTCTCGAGCCGGCATAGTATAACAAGTCGATCCGCTCCAGGTCGCGTCCGTCCGATCTTATGAATCCTCATCGACACGTGCCTCAACTTTCGGCAATGAGCCGACATCTACTAGTAGTCACCTTGGAACAGTGGGACAGATATCATGGTATGTTCGTTGGCTTCCTAGGAGGCGTGGGGCCGCCGTAGGCCATTTCGCCGCTAGCGAGCACCACAGACGACGCTTGACTCCGGGTCGTGCTTCTCTGCATGATTGCGCAGGAAAGTTGTCAATGCTCTGTAACTTGAATGCGCTTTCGGCGATGAAGAAGTTGACATGGCTGTTCAAGAACGTTCAAGCTCAATCTTCAAGTTATTTCCATTTCCCGGTGAAAACACCGCAGGAAGAAGGCCTTCTTCCTCCGCTCGTAATTTGGCACCAATGCGATCATGTCCGGCCCATTCAAGTTGCCACTGTAAGTCATGTACACTGCCGGTTCAGTACAATTTGTCCAGATCACCCATTTGTACTCCGCACAGATTTGAGTCCTCTTCGTGCAGTGACATCGCGTGATGATACTGGTATAGGGGCCCATCGCTCGAATCAGCCCCCAAAAGATTTCAGTATGCGCCGCCCGAGGTGAGACCTGTCAGTATGGAAATAGGGAAAGCGTACACAGTACCCTGGCTCAGGCTGGTTGACATCGGCGGTCCGTTCTGCTACCACAGAAGCGCAACTAGAAACAGCAAGTCCTGTGGAGGTACATGTAACGCCCTGCGGTCGTGCGGAGGTGAGCGCTGCGAAGCGAGACAGCCACCCTGGAGCGCTGACACTGGCTCCCCAACTTGAATCTCTCGCCTCCAAGTTCAGGACACTACCCCACTGCGGCCCTATCCCTGCATCTCTCTCTCTGAGTTCGGACTATGTGCGTCAAAGGCGCTCAAGTTTACAAGGGGGATGAGACTGGTTCGCTATCCCATTACCGAACTCGACGGTGGCACGCACGAGTACCGTCTCTAGTGCTGCTGTCACTGGTCGCCCTAGTTTTCCTTTACTCAAAAAACGTTACCACGTTGAATCGGTATGCCACCTTCGTTTCTCCAGCCGAAAGTCGCTGGGACACGGTGAGCAACACCCGATTCGAGAGTTGTGCCTCTGTTCAAACCGATCACACCTAGATTTAACCATCTGAAGACATCGGCTGGACATCGTGCTTCGACGGATTTCGTTGCGCGTTACTCACGGTTCCCATGGACTATCAGTCAGACTCCCCGGACGCGGCGACAGCCACCATCGCGCTCCAGATGCTCCCGGCCAAAGATTCCCTCGACGTGCAGGGCACCATCCTCATCAATCCAGGTGGCCCTGGCCAGTCGGGGACCGTGGGTATCAATCGGTGGGGGAGGCATATTGCCGAAATCGTTGGTGGAAACTACAACATCCTAGGCTTTGACCCGCGAGGTACTGGTGCCAGCACACCGTCGGCACAGTGCTTCGAATCCGACTTTCACCATCAGCTGTTTGGTATGGGAGCCAGACGAAGATTGTTAAGTCTCGACGACGACTCTGTAGCTGAAGCCCGCGGCTGGGAGCAACTCGCCGGGCAGCAGTGCATGGAAGTGTTGGACAGAAATAGCACGGACGCACCTGGCGAGATATCGGCATTGAGGCCCGGGAGGTTCATGAGCAGTGCCAGTGTCGCGACGGATATGCTCACAATCATAGATAAGTTGGGTCAGGATAAGTTGAATTACTGGGGATTCGTAAGTGCCGATTTCTCTCTGGGCTGGAAAGTACTTACCTATAGATCGCAGAGCTATGGTACCGTCTTGGGTCAATACTTTGCCACCATGTACCCCAAGAGAGTGGGCCGACTTGTCCTAGACGGCGTATGCGATGCACAGAAGTACCTCGAGGCCCGGTGGAACGGCAATCTCCTCGACACCGATGCCGTCGAGGCGTCATTCTACCATTTCTGCTTTGAAGGCGGTCCCGGAAAATGCCCGCTGTACGAGGCATCCCCCACCCTCATCCGCAACCGCGTTTACGCCATTAGAGATACGCTCAGACGCTCTCCGATCCCAGTGCAGCACGCGCACGGACCTGCGCTACTTACGGAAGCTGCGCTGGACATGCTTACATTTGGGGCCCTGTATATCCCCATCCGATACTTTGCTACTTTAGCGGAGATCCTGGTGGCCGCAGAGAAACGGGACCAGAAAACACTGGCCAACTTCGCCGCGTTCTTCTCGCCAACGATGTCATGCGACTGCGACCCTATTCCCGGCCAACTCCCGTCAAACGAGGCGTTCTCTGCCATCGCATGCAGCGATGGTGACCCGGTCTCGTACGACCCCGAAAGCCACGCGCGATACTTCCGCAACATGTCGTCAGACTCTCCGAGGTTCGCCCCAGTCTGGGGGAACTACTACCTCCGCTGTACGGAGTGGAAAATCCGCCCCAAATGGCGGTACACCGGCCCCTTCGGCTCGCCCAACACGTCGAGCCCGCTGCTCTTCGTATCGCCCAAGTACGACACCGTCTGTCCTCTGGCGCAGGCGCGCGCCGCGCACGCCCGCTTCCCCGGCTCGGCGTTGCTCGTCCAGGACTCGTATGGCCACACTGTTCCGTCCGCGCCTTCGGTGTGCACTGCGAGGCACATCCGGGCGTATTTCCAGAACGGCACGCTCCCTGAAGAAGGGACGGAATGCGGGGCAGATGAAGTGCCATTCGTGGGCGAGACGGTCCCCGGTGATCTTTCGGTAGATGACAGACAACTACTGGATACACTGAAAGCCTTTGCACGAGTTATACCGTAGTTATGTAACGGCCTCCCCACCGCGGCGTTAGTGTTGCGATCAATATGAGTGCTAGAGTCTTCTTGGAGCGGACCCAGTCTTCCATCGGCATTGCCATTGGTCCCTGATAGCAAACCGCGACCCAGGTAGAGTGTTTGCATCACGATGGCGTTGCTTGATTTATGGTGTACGAGTACTGTGGCCAATGATCAATGACATGCAAGAGTTCTGACTTCGAGTGCAACCTACAGCTGTCTGCTACTGTGACGAGAATCAGGAGACAGAGCAGATACCTACAACCTCTGCATACCAAGGATTCTAATTGTGTGTCCACCAATGCCCACCGGTGAGGGAGCATCCATGCCAATGACCGTGTGTTTCAACTGCATGCTATTAGTAACTGGTACTGGATGAGAGACTGCAATATAGACAGACGATGATGCATACCGCGAACTTTAGGGAGCGTGAGTAGGTTACGGTGCAGTAGACACAAATGGCGCTGCCGCAAAACGCCAGGAGGATATGAGCGACGACGAATGACGAAAGAACGAGTGAAGAGGCCGACCCCTATGTAGGAAAAGCACAACACAGCGAAGGACCCTGGGTGTCAATGCAGCATGAAGATGGGCGTGTCCCTTCCCATCTGTCCGAAGCTAAAAGTACACTATTCTACACGACGAGGGACACATCCAGCGGACGACCGACCCAGCGAAAAGCATGCGCACGCGACCTGTGCGCCCGTTGATAGGCTGCCAGAGGGCCGCGCACGCGCCTGGCTATGTGCCGAACAGCAGCGCGGCGGGGCTCAGTGTTGAGATGACCTCGATGCCACCCTGCCTGCCGAAGTACTTCGGAGTTGGCGGTACGGATGGTCGTGGTGGCACTCCTACCCATCCCGTTAGCCTCGATGATTGCATGGTGTCGAATATCAAGGTCCGACCCATCTCCACGTCTGCGTTCGTCGTCCCCGTACTCGTTGACACTACGTCTCCGTCCAGATAGCTGACGTCGACCTGCGCAAGCTGCGCTACACTGTTGACGTTACTGCTGAACACGTCCGCGGTTGCGAATGTTGTCGAAACATCGAAGACGCCAGTGTATGCGCTGTCAACGGCGACGAGTGCCTGGCCAACGCTGCTCTCTGCGCGGAGGCGCAGGACACCAGCGGCAGATCCCGGAGCGTGATCAACGAAAACAGTGAGAGGTGCGTTGAATGTCTCGAAACGTGTTATGAAGTTGGGCATCCTGGACGAATCGGCGTCTTGAGGAAGGAAGAGACAGACGCTGGCATTTAATGGACTGTGCTGGATAAGTGTCTGTAAGGCAACTGATAGGGCGAAATACTCACGCATTCCCTGTGCTCACGTCTAGGAAGGTGGGTTCTGCATGTCCAGAATTATGAAGGGAAATGTTTACGTCGATCGGACTACGCAAACGTCAATTACCGTCAACCCATAAGACAACAAACAATGTACGTACGCAGAGACGGTTTCCAGCACCAATGACTCTGTGACATTGAAGTTGCCCTGAATGCCTGCCAAGGCCGTCTTCACCTCTAGGGACGTAGCGTCGATTGACTGCACGAGGCGTGAGCGTCTCACAACCAGTATAAGGGACAATACACTCACCGCTACCGATACCAGCGACTGCGGCCCGCCTAATGTGACCTTGTCGAAGCTCACCCAATCCGACAGGCTTTCGAAGTACTGGGCGAAATGGGGAAGCATCGTGACGAACTCGGAGATGTACAATGGCTGAGCTTGCGGGAATAGGAAGGTCACGTTGAACGATAGCGAGTCGCTTGCCGATAGGTTTGACGGCACGTAGAGATACAGTCCACTGCTGTTCGAGACATTCATGAGACACACGCTCGTTTGATCCTTCAGACTCTGGCTGGAATAGTACATGGCGACGGAGACGATGCCGTCCCTTGCGTAGGGATCGGCATTGATGCCGACCGACAGCGTTCCAGAGATGTCTTGCAGTGTCGACGGGTCGCTTTGATACGACACGTTTGACTGCAGGAACACAAGGCTGTTGAGGTGCACATTGTATTGCAGGCTATCGCAGAGGATGAGCGGTGGCATCACGATGCACTGATTATGGACACGTACGTCGAGGATGAAGGGGTATGCTCTGTCCATGCGTTGCATCCTACGGCGAGAGACTTTGGGAGCGTCGTAGCGCTGTCCGATATCAAACTCAGACTGCTGCTGCTGCCTCCTTTGGGCGGAAACGGACTGTGCTCCGAGGCGCGATGTCGAAGCTTCTGGTCTACAGTGAGTATCAAGACCGCACGCTCAAGACCGACCACGTACCACCACAATAATGGGAACACCGACAGCGACGGTAATCACGAAGTACACTACCAGAGCGTAGAGAAGCGCCCTGCGAAAACGACGGTGGGCATTCTTTGGCCACCACTTCCGCGCGGCCTTTTCGGGCTGCTGCTGGTCTGGCTCTTGCCGATGTGTCTGTGCCTCGAGCTCCTCTGGGGGACATTGTACGCCCTGGGCTTGGGACTGGGAGATCTCGTAAGAGGGGAGAGAGGGAGTCGGGGTTGCAGGGCGGTGGACAGAACGGGAGTCGGCGATGAGCTTGTCGGGGTCAGAGAACGGATCTTCGCTGTCGTCGAGGATAATCATCGTCACCGACGCGCGGTGAAGGGCATCGAGCGAGCGAGCAGCAGGTGATGGCGGATGGCGGGAAGGAGTGGGCGTTGGTCGTCGCTGCCTCCCACGCGCCCATCCCGCCGGGCTTGTCACGGTCACGCTGCCCTCCCGTCACAGGCACATCCTCCGTCACAATGTTTCTCCCATCTTGGCAACCGCTGTCGTTCGTCCCGCTCGAAGGTCCCCCATGCTCTGCGTGCACCAGCACACAGCACATATCCTCCAACGTGGCCAGCGACGTCCGACGCCTACAACGCATACAACGTCGCGCACCCGACCACTCTCGCCACGACCAGGGCGGTACCTGATGATTTGCATATTCGCACAGCCCGACCCGAGAATGGATCGTCCTTGTGCGCTATTCATCTGCCTTAGCGCGCGGCTTCCGTAAGTGAGTATCTTCCAGTCAGAATAGCCACACAAGCGAAGTCCATTATTACTGCTATACAGTCCCTCAGACTATAGATAGTACACGTGTACGCGGTGCCCCACGATGCGCAACCGTTCTCAGAGGTCGCTCCTCGGGCCCTGATCCTTGCCCGAGATCTCGAAGAGCGACGCGACGTGGTCGACCGCGCTCCGGAGGCCCTCCAGCAGCCCCTGTACACAGCCGACGGTCCCGTCCCTGCACGCCCGTAGCCACACCAGCAGATCGGCGAGGAACATGTCCGGTGCGGTGTCCTTCCCCGCGACGGGCGAGTGGAGTGACTGTGAGAACAACACCGAAGTAAGGGAGATACGTCAGCCCACCCGGACCACGGAGGGAAAGCTCTCGAAGAAGACGCACCCTGGGAGGCCCGGAGGCGGCGGATGCCGCCGCTTCAATCATACGCTCTTCGTCCTGCGCGTTCGCTGCCGCCCATAACCTGCGGAAATCGTTCACCGCGGCGAGGCTCTCCGAGAACCGGTGGAGGGTGTTGATGAGCGCGACGACTTCTGAGCGCTGGAGGAGGTTCGGGTTCGCCGACGGACTGCGCATAGGAGCCCATTAGCTATGGTATTGATCGAGGACAGCCATGGCACGTACTCTAATGTCTTCTCATCTAACTGGAAGAGCACCTTCAGCGCGGTGGCGACGCCCATCGTCTGCACCTTGCCCCAGAGACGGCACTTGTCACACCCAACGCAGTCCATTATCCGCGTCACGTTACGGAAGTGGTCCTTGAACTCCTCCTTCAACATCTACACAGCCCGCGGGTCAGCATCAGCTAGAACATCAAGAGAGCGGGGCCACGCACGTTTGCATTCTCCCCGCGGAAGAGTACAGTCTCGTCGAACTTGCCGACCGCAGTCGCGACGTCGATCACTCGCCCGAGTCTTTGATGTGTCTCCAAATGCACGCCTTTCTCGTGGTCATCTGTACCACAGTAGTCGTATGCAGATAGGTATGGGCCGAGGCGCGCTACTGCACGCAGGAGAAGTACGACATCGAAATAGAGGTACTGGAGTCGCTCCGGATATGCCGCTACGCGGTTGATGAAGCACTGGAGGTCTGGGCCCTAGGACGGCATTCTCAGCGATTACAATGACGAGTCCATGACGTTGAGGGACATACCCATTGTCCGGTGCTCTGGTCCATCATGTCATGGCAAATGTGCGTCGAGATACTCGTATGCAGACCTAAGACCATTTCATTAGGCCATTGTCATTACCCAACCACACGGAGAACTTACCCGAGATGATCTTGTAGTAAACACGCTGCTCAAGACACTCTCCGTCCGCACGCGTGATGTCCGGCACAGGTTCATTTAACACAGCGTGCTGCGACAGACCGAAACAGTTCTCCGAGTAGATGGCAGACCACACTCGGTGCGCGGACGGCCCGATGTAGCCCGTAAAACGCTCGGGGTTCAGCGTTAGATCTACATACTCGCCGTCTGCGATGACCAACAGTGGTCAGATCACGTTCGGCAATTAGAAGCAGCGGACATACCTGTAGGATCATCGAGGAAGCAATAGTCGGAGTCGCGGTAGTAGCAGCCAGGAAGTCGGATCCCCTGTTTATGAGTACAAGCCATAAGTTTGACCGCCCAAGTTCAGCAATATCAGGAGGACGAACCTCGCCTTGCGAAAGCATCTCAACTTTACTGAGAGCCGCTGCCCTCCACCTCTCTGGGATTTCACTCTGCAACGAGACAGTGGGTTAGTGCATGCACTTAAAATATGTGGACAGCGGCATATATCTGTAGCGCAGAGCCTGAAAGAGGGATATGCGTCGCTTCTGAGTGCTGCGACATTCCCGGGACAGAATGCCGACACTTTCTCCCGAGAATGTGGCGATGCTCAAACACAGTAATGAGTCAAACAGGAGGTTCCTGACAGGGTCCGCGCATAAGCCGCATCCACAATACAAAAAGCTCACCTCGTCTACTGTTGTGATACCGCATTCTCTATTGGCACAGAAACCATTCTCCTCCCAGTACGGACAGTCACGGTAGAGGTCAACCTAATACTAGTTGAGGAGGTGGTCAGAAAATAACTTGTCAGAGTAACGCACCCGGAAGTATTTGAAGAATGGCGTCTCGACCAGTGAATGCAACTGATTGAAAAGCTCGTCGTTAACGCTTTCAATCGTCTCGTAGTCGCAGAGGGTCGTCTCTATAGGACCTGTAAGCTTCGATCGTATCAATAGAAGTCTCACAGAATAGGAGAAAGTAGAGCATACATGGTTCTCGCAGACCGCTTCCTTCACCGGCTCATGCTCCAGAACGTTCTGCACCTGGTCCTTCCGCACGACGGGCTCGGAAAGAAAGGAGGGCGATTGGGATGCATACGCAAGGGAATCTAATATAAGACTAAAGGAGAGGGCGAGTAGATGTCGAGGTAACATTGTGTGCGGGGAAAGGACGGTGGTGGCTGGACTGAAATGCGAGAAAGCCGGACTTATAGCCGGCTTATGACATCGACGGACACGTATGCGGTGCCCGAGGTGTGCCCGAGGCTCGTCCAGCCAGCCGCAGACACGTCGCCTACCTGTTTGCACCATGTTCCCGACTGCCTCCAGAACGGCCAGTCGTCTCTGGACTTCTCTTTGTCCCTCCGCATTTCATACAACGTTGAAGTTATCGGACCAAATGCACTGCCTGTCAACTCGTGGCGTGGCCTTGTCTCTGTTTCAGCGTCACAACTGGTCAGAACGACGTATCATAACTATGCCCGACTCTCTGTATGCACCAACAGCACTTCGGGCGCAGAACATCGGGTTCATTGCCAATCGTGCCTCGCGGGAGTATCAGGCTGATTATAGATTCGCTTCAGGTCGTGGACACTGGCCGCGAAACTGGCATGCAAAGGGAAGTCAGTCAGTATACTACACCGCTGTAACCTTCATACTAGACCTCTCGAGGGGACAAGTCGCGAGGGTTGAATATAGACATGTGCTTGAGTGGTGTTTGACAACGAGGTATGTACATAGGTCAGCTGCTGTAAGTATGCGGGGTGGAGGATACACTCGACTTCAAAGCTTCATGTCTGACTCCGAGTGGGTGTGTCCCCCTGGCTCAACTTGACTCAGTATTGATGGCTTGCTGATGACGCCACCCACATCCCGGGCGAGCCTTGGGCAAGCCTGGGGTCAACGATGCGTTTCGTTCAACTTGGATTGGCCTATGGGCAAGTCGCCGCGCCAAAGATCCGAGGGCAGATGGAGGATCGTTCTCAGATCGTTCACTCTCGAGACACATGTACGCTCAAAGTCAGGTCGCTCCATGTTTTTTCGTCGAAGTCTCCACGGATATGATGCCACCACAGTATCGTCCTAGTGATGTAGAGAGATGTAATTCCGAGAGCTAGCGTGTACGATTATTTCTTTGGACCCTCCCCCGCTACCCACAATAACATTAACCCACGGAGAACGGCATGAGCAGAGCGATAACAAAGCAACGTTAATTTTACGCGTCACGGCGGCCCCGAGAGCGAGAGTTCGTGTTTGCGATTTTCAGGATCGCCTCCTTCGCCGTCTCGATAGCAGTCTCGGAGCCTGAAGAATTGGCATCAGCATTGTCCGCTTGGGAACCTCACTACTTTTAACTTACCGATGATGACGATGGTGGTGTCTTCGCGGCTCACGGTGATATCCGCACCGCTCTCGTTGCGGAGGCGGGCAACGTTGGCGCCCTTCGACCCAACGATCCTGGGGAAGGACGTCCGATCGGGCAGCGTGAGGAAACCGACATGCGACATTTTCTCGGCGTGCTCGATAGCACCCTGAGTCATCTTCAGAGCGCGGTCCAAGCCCGCCTGGTCCCGCGCCTTGAAGGTCCACTCGGAGTCACCCTCCTCGGCGTCCTCGTAGTTAGGAACGACCTGCCACTGGACGCCGGAAGACGGGGTCTCGGCATCGGGATCGTCGATACGGGCTTCTGTGGCACCCTCCTGAGGAGCAGGGTTCGGAGGGACGGCTGGCTTCTGGGGCATGGCGGACTGCTCAACCTGCACGCCCGACGTCCTCAGGTTACGGAAGAAGTTGCCCTGCTGCGTCACTGCGTGGTGATACTTGAGCGGAACCGTCACGGTAGCGGTGACAGCCTCAGGCGCAGGAGGCTTGACTTGCGTCTTGAGCTCCTCGACCGCCTTCTCGCATGCAGCGCGAGGACCGGTGACCTTGACCAGGTTCGCGGGGTCGACGGCGGCAAACTCAGCCTCGTTCGCGAGCTCCCCGACTTGGTTGTATGAGCGCGAGCCGGGGAACTGCACCTGGACGCCGAGACGGTTCTGCAGCTCGTTGAGGTGCTGGCCGCCGCGGCCAATGAGAGCGCGGTGTTGTGCGGCGGGGACCTCGACGCCGAGAGTGACACGGTCACGAAGAGTAGCAGCGATCTTCTCCAGCTCGACCTTGAGCTTGGCGACGACCTTCGGCTCGCCACGAAGGCGGACTTCATCTCCTGTCTCACCCTGCCTAGGAAAGCGGACTAGGCCGGCCTGGGCCTTCGCATCCGCAGGACCGCCGCAACGAAGGATGAGCTCCTTGAGGCCCTGTCCACCGGCACCGATGATGCTACGGTGGAACTTGCTCTCAACGTTGACGGCGTCCGTAGTCTCCTCGCCGACTTGGTCAGAGATCGCCAGGATGGCAGCCTTCGCCTCTGCGATGGCCTGCTTCGTCCCGCGCACCGAGATGTTGGCAATCTTCTCGTCTCCGGCCTTGTCGACGTCGATCTGAGCTCCGGTCGTGTCCTTGATCTCGTTGATAGTGGCACCGGCTCTGCCGAGGACGCGAGCCACCGAGCGAGCTGGGATGGTGAACGAGATAACGTTGTTGGACTCCTTCTCGAACTCAACCGCCTAGAGTAACTTCAGTAAATCGTGCTCAATGGACTGGAACAGGCTACGAACATCAAGTAGCTCTGCCTTAGCGCCGGCGACGCCCTTCTTGCCACCCTTCACCAGGACCTCATCGGGCTTGAGTTGCTCTCTGGTCCTGGCGTCACCGTTCTCCTCGCGAGGGAAGATGATCTTGACGCTGTACTTCTCTTCCAGGCGGACGACGTACTTGCCGCTTTGACCAATGAGCCCCGAATGATACTGGTGAGAGATCTTAAGAACCTCCGAGGTCTCGTCCGCAAGGCGCTCGACCTGGGTGAGGATCCTCTTCTTGGCTTCCTCGACGTTCTCCTTGCGCCCGGTGATCTTGACATGGGATGACTGTTGAACGACCTTCTTTTTCCTGCTGACAACCTGCTCCTTGTCGTCCGCGTCGTCCGCGAAGTCAATCTTGACGCCGAGCGTGTCCCGCAGCTTGTTAACCCCGGCGCCTTGGGCACCGACGATGCGACCGACGTACTCGCGACCAATGTCGAATTCGGTCGAGTAGCTGCTCACCACTGCGTCGTTCTTGGCGTCCTCGACGATCTTGAGGATTTCCTTGACGGCGCGATCGACATCCGCGCTCGTGCCGCGGACCATGATCACGTCCTCAGTGGATGCATCTCCGACGTCCGCGCCGACCTTGACGGACAACGTCTTGTCCTCGCCGATGATAGCGTTCAGCGTGGTCCCTTTCTGTCCAACCACAGCGTCATGCCATTTCTTTTCAACCGAAATCGTCTGGGTCTTGACGTCCGCAGCATCCTTCGCCATCTTCAGGAGCTCCTTCTCAACGTCTTCGAGATTCTTGACTTTCTCAACAGGAGAAGGGGAGGCGGACGGCGACGTAGGGTCGTAAACCAGCAGGACCAATGACTGCTCAGCAGACTCCGGAGGAAAGAACACCGAAACATTGTGAGCTTCGTGGAACGCCCGAATCCTGAATATGATCATAAGCGATCACTCGTATGCGCAAGACGATCATCTTACTTCTTAGCATTCTTCGGCGAGTTGATGATCCGGTGTACCAACCAGTCGATCTGCACCTCCTTGGTAGCGCTGAACAGCTTGCCAATCAAGGCGGAGAACATGCTGACCGCAGAGTCGACCGCAGACTTCTCTCCGACCATGTCCACGTTGACAACAGTCGCCTTATCCAGGGTAGACAATGCGGGCGTGTATACCGAGCAACCAGGGTTCTGCGTGCTGAGCGTCTGCGCATACCCTACCCGCGTGAAGTAGGTCAGCAGCTGGCGAGTTACAGGTGAGGGACCGGGCAGAGGGAATTCGTGAATGTACGCCGAATTCGCCTTCTGCATGACAGCCTGTACACCATTGCCCACGTCGATCGGCTTGCCCCAGATGATGAGCTCCTCGCTCGGCTCCTCCGGTTTCGGGACGACGACGACGCACTTCGAAGTGGCCTGGATGTCCTCTGCATCCTTGCCGGTGAGAAGCCGGTGCTGACGCTTGGGCAAAGAGAACTTGATCTGCGTCACTTCTGCCTTGTAGTAGTCCATGGCACTCCGGATGGTGTCGACAACGCGGCCGACAGCCTCGCGTTCACCGGTGACCGTGATCTCGCGCGCATCTACGTCGAGCGAGAGTTGTATCTCCTCGCCCTTCGCAGCTCCTTCGAATCTCTCGCGATGAGGTTTCAGGAAGGGGAGGATATGGGCCGGGATGTCGCGCACGCGCTGAGTAGAACGGGAGCGTTTCGTGGCGATAATTTCCTTGAGCGAGGCCTCCGCTTCCTGCGCGAGCGGCTGTGGTCCAGTGATCGTGATCGGAATTGTGGGCTCTTCCTCCTCCTCTTCATCACCCAGAGGAGCAGGAGAAGCTACACCAGAGGCCGGGTGCGCACTGCCGTTCCCATTGGGTAGAGGAAGGGTATCGCGGCGCGGGATGTCGACTCTAACACCCGTTTGGTCGCGAATCTTCTTGAGCGTCGCGCCCTTGGGTCCAATAATCGTCGGAATCGTAGATGCCGGAGCGTTAAGAGTCAAGGACACCTTAAAAACATATATGAAAGGTGTGTTCTAACCTACACCACGATGTCACGTACCACAGGACTGAGATGCGCAAGGAGAGCACGCTTAGCCTTCTCCAGGTCCTTCTGAGATTCAGACTTGAGGAAGAACGTAGTCTGACGAGACCGGGAGTTGGTGGACGCCTCCAACCTGACCTTGTACTGCGACATGACCTGCTTCATGACCTCTCCCGACGAGATCGACTTGCCATCCTTGCCGACGGCAGCAATCTCGGCCGAGGAGAGGATGAACGAGTCCGAGAACAGAGGTGCCTTCTGGACAGTAGGTCTAATGCGGGGACCGGCAGCACTCCAAGCAGAAGCAGGAGCCCTATTCCCGTTCGGAACGGCGCTGGAAGGAGCCAGCGACGGGAACGCCTCCTGGGAGTCGGTGTCGAGAGTACCGTTGGCCTGTACACCAGGAGTGGAAACAGGGGAAACCGGAGTCGGCTCCTGGGTGTCGAAGCCGTGTTTCTTCTGAAATGAAAGCCGTTCAGCGTCACAGACGTTGTAGGGGTCAGCGTCACTGCCATACCTGGAGGTCTGCAGCCGAGAAAGACATATCGAGGGGGTTGAACGGGTGTCCGAAGAGCACTGAGCCTGTGACGGGTTAAACCTAGCAACACACGGGAAGCGTGTCGCAGCAAATACTGAGGGATGGTAGGGGTTTGTGTTTAATGTCTGCGACTACGTGGTACGCTGCTAGCTCATCGCTGAGGATGTGGGAATAAACTACCAAAGAAGGTAAACCGAGTCTCGATCCGGTCGCATTCAGTACCGACCACCTTCCGAACCGTGCGGCTCCGATGCTTACCATCAGTCCATGGCTATGGCATCAGCATTTGCATACTACTTTGCGCTATGTCTTGAGTTCTCAATGGTTGCTGGTGCATCAATGCGCAAGCAGACACACCCAATGAACAGAACAAAGCAGGGTTTCATCGTTTCGAGTGAGGTATGCGTGTTGTACAAATTGACCAGAGAGAGTAACTACGGGCTATACCAACGACACAGGAGCACCAAAGCAAAAGAGGATCACTGAGACAGACTGAGAGCACGGAAAATAAGAATACTGTACAGGCGAGTATAATAGGCGGACTGTAATGTGGACCGGACGTAAGCTAGACAGTACGATAATTGTGGTAGTCCTGTAAGCAGCAGCAGAAGAGCACGAGCGAGAGCGTCGACGTCCAGCACGACGTCATCGGTACTTGTTGTTCGCGAGCGATGTTGTCGTGGACGACGATGGGATCGCAGAACCGCCATTCCGAGAAACCGTGGTCGATCCCGAGCTCAAGCGTGGCTTCTTGGCAGCGCTTGGGCCATCGCTCGACGACGCACGCGGTGCGCTCTCCTTCATGACCATCTTGGCGTGAATCTCTTCAAGCTTCCCCGCCTTCACCTTCTTTGGCCAGAACAAGGTCACGAAACTACACAAACGATGAGCCAACCAATAGCAGGGTCACAGAGACGATACGTACGTCCACAAGTGTCTACGCCATCTATCGCGGTCTTCACCAGCAGTTTGCTTCTGGACAAGAACCGCCTCTATTCGCTTGCCGATAGCGGCCAGCGATTCTTTGAGGATGGTAACCTTCTCGTCCCGTGGCATATCACCTCCAGAGAGTTTGAGGTTTTTCTAGGCACCGGAATATGAGCAGTAGCAGCGAGTGAATAGCATCTTACGCACCAGTTGCTTCTTCACGGGTCGCAACTCTTCCTTCGTCGCTGCCTCATCCATGGATGGACTGTGGGCATGCAGTTAGTCGGGACTCCTGGGGCCAATGAAGAATGACCTACCATTCGTCAGAGGAAGAAGAGTCGGTGAAAGTCGGCGTTGGGCGCCGCTTCCTTCTCTTCGTGCTTCCCTCATCAACAGAGGCAACCGCCTCGCTCTCTGCCCTCCGCTTCAGGCCGTTTGAGTACGACGACGAAGCGATTGGCGGCGGTGGAGATGCGGACATGCCAAGAGACGCGCCTTTGCGGTGCAGCGTCGTCGTGATCGCCTTGATCTTCTCGTCATGCTCCCGCAGCTGGCTGAGCAGGTAGTCTCCTCGTCGGACCAGGTGGATGGCATTAGGAATGGGCTTCGTCGAAGCGTCCTCGCCTTTTTTGCCCTCTTCCAAGAAGAACTTGCCGTCGAGCCCTAGCCCGGGGTCCTTAGCCATGGCCTCCCAGTTGCCGAAGCCGTACACATATGCGCCAACTAGGAGCATGGAGTCCTCTTGGGGTCCCCATCGACCAGACCAGTTGAGCGTGGGACGAATGTTGTCCACCGGGATCTGCCACTGGTATACGTCCGGGACATCCTTGAGGTAGTCGTACAGGATGCGCAGCTCGCGGTGTCTCGAGACTACCGTCTCCGCATTGATGTTGCCGACGTTCTTGTACGTGACCAGCACCGCCTTGCTCTTCTGAGCATTCGTCAGGGTCTCACCGGCAGCCATGCGCGACCGCTTCTCGGCGTTGCTCTCGTCGACTGCCCGGGAACAAAGATCGACAATCTCATCGGAGGTATCCATGATCATACCGCGGTTCTTGTCCTGAAGTTTGGCCTCGGTGACCTGACAAAGGTACGTGAGTATGATGACCTATCATGACAATTCGCAACTTACGATGACGTCGTACCGCTGCCGGATGTCGCCCCACCGCTGTAAACTCCGGATGAGGACACGGACGTCGCGCTCTTTGAGCTCGAGGGCCTTCTGACTCGCAGACTTGCGTTGAGGAGCAGGATGCTTCGGCTTCTTGAGGGGGGGTTGCGAAGGGGCGTGGTCGACGTCCATACCCTCGTACGACACTTGGGCATGAGACCGTTTCCGGTCCTTCGTCTCCTCGGCAGCGAGCTCCTCTGCTCTCCGCTGGTCCTCTTCACTCTCAAACTGTTGCCGGGCCTCAGCGGGGATGATGTCCTCCCAGGCCATGTCGTTCTTCACGTCGCTGATGTTGGCAAACTGTGCCAGGAAGCCTTCGCCACCCAGTGAAGCGCCGTCAGCGGAGGATGCGACAGTCTCGTGAGCCTCGGCGCGGTTGAGGATGTCGTCTAAGTCCATCTCGTCGAGTTTCTTCGACTGGTCAGTGTCATCCTTGTCGAAGCTTAAAGACAAGATGCCAATCAGACCAAGCGGGAGAGTGTAACAAGAACGTGCTTACATCTTCTGCGCACCGTACTTGAGCACAGCATGGAGCTCGTCCTTGCTCAAGTCGTTGGGCTTCGATGGGTCCTTCGTAGTCGTCGCCTTCGAGCTGAGGTGCGCTTGCGACGTGTCCATCTGATTGATGACTGTGCGGGTGAATGGCGTCATGACCAGGCCGTCGCCGCGTTGTGTGAAATATGAACTCACTGGCATACTCCAGCACCATCTTCTTCTTGGCACGCTCCAGCATGTCCTCCTCCATGGTGTCCTTGCTCACGAAGCGGTACACGCTGACGTGCGACTTCTGGCCGATACGGTGTGCCCGCGCCATGGCCTGCAGGTCGTTCTGCGGGTTCCAGTCGCTCTGAACGGGGCATGAGCAGCGTGTTCTGGCGCGGAAAGTAGAAGGACACCCACGTCAAATATGATCACCGTGTCGGCGGTCTCGAGATTGATACCCAGACCTCCTGCGCGTGTCGAGAGAAGGAACGCGAAGTCTGTTGAGCCCGGCGCATTAAAGTGCGCAATGGCCTTCTTGCGGAGTTCAGAAGAGATCATGCCGTCGAGTCGTTGATGCGGGTAGCTTCGCATGACCATATAGTCACTAAGGATATCAAGCATCCGGACCATCTGGCTGAAAATGAGGACACGGTGTCCATCCTGCCGCAGTCGAGCCAGCAACTTGTCGAGCAGCACCATCTTTCCGCTGCTCATGACGAGGCCTTTCAGTGTCTCTTCCTCGTTATCAGTCTTCCCCTCGGCACCGTCGAATAGGTACGGGTGGTTCGCCGCCTTCTTCAACTCCATGACTAAATAGGGCGTCAGGCACCCGCGGTAGGGCACATAGCGGCCGGACTCACCGATATTCAGCAAGCTGATGTTGCTATTGCCATTGGCACTCTTGACCAGGCCTTGGAAGTTCTGAGGACACATCGTCACACAATACCAATAGGCATAATATCAGCGAACTCACCTTCGTCAAGATGTTCTTATAGAAGTGCGTCTGGAGCCCACTCATCTCGACACGGAGGATGCGCTCGCTCTTCGAAGGCATTGACGTGAGGACATCGCGCTTTAGTCGGCGAAGCATCAGCGACTCGAGCTGTTTGTGCAGTTCCTTGATCTTCTCCTCATGGTCAGCATCCGCGAGGTCAAACTCGTTGGAGAGCTGGACTGCATTGCTTATCAGCGCTCTGCCCCAGACCCTGAACTACGCGCACTTACACTTCTCCGGCATGAGGAAGTGCATCAACGACAAGAGCTCTGCGGGCGGAGACGTGGTCAGTGCCCGCCGACCGCACGTCAGCCAAGCCTCGCACCTTTCACGTTGTTCTGCAGCGGAGTGCCTGTAATGAGCAACTTCGAGGCGGCCGGGAACGACCTCAACGCCTCATAGAGCTGACTCTCGGAGTTCTTGAGTCGGTGTGCCTGGATGGGTGATCAGCGGGCGTTCCGCTGGTCCTTGCCTCGAAAGCAGTATGTGACATACCTCATCAACAGCAAGCACCTGCCACTTGATATCCCCGAGTTCCTTCGAATCACGCAATGTGATTTCGTAGGTCGTCAGAAGCACATTCATCTTGAGCTTCTTGTTTGAGGGCCCAAACTCGTATTTCCTGATGACCTCCCGTGCAAAGGCGGTACCGGTGTACTTAATGACGTTCAGATCAGGCGCCCAGGTCGCGAATTGCATCTCCCAAGCTGTGATCGTCGACAGCGGGACAATGACAAGGAACGGGCCATACTGCCGCAATTCGTGGAATAGGTACGACAAGAACGACACCGTCTGTACCGTCTGCGAAAGAAGGATAGGTATGAGGGCACTGCGTAGATCGGCGAGCTGATACTCACCTTGCCCAGACCCATCTCGTCAGCCAAGATACCATTCTCGCCCTTGCTCCAGAGATAGGCGAGCCAGTTCAGGCCCGTGAGCTGGAAGTCTTTGAGCTCTCCACCCGTCACTGTCAGATACTCGGGGTCTTCCTTGATCTTCTGGAAAGTTGGTCGTGCATGGCGCGGGTAGCTGATGCTCTTGTAAGGGAACTTCGCTTCTGCCTCGCGCTTCCTGAACGCCTCGAGCTGGTCTTTCGCGTTAGACCGAATCTCCTCGAGCAGTTCCCATGTGCAATGGTCGTAGTTGAGGTTCGTCCACTTGCAGAAGTACTCGACCGCGCCACTGCTCGTCTCGCGCTGGGCGACGACACGGTCAGCGATCTTGTATGTTTCGAGCTCCTCTTTCTCGCGCTCCTTAGCGAGTAGAAGGCCCTCCTTCTCCTCACGAGAGGTCTCGGGTGACCTGAGGCGCTCCTGGTATGTCTTGTACGCCTTGATGTAGTTGTCTACCCGCTTAATACCCTTGTATCTCTTCAAAAACTCATAGACTTCGTCGGTATTGTGCAAATGCGAGAAGTTCTTCCACTTTATGTGGAAGCGCTGTGCATTGTGGCGAGGCCGTCAGGACATGTGCCGGAAGTATATACGCGCACAGTACTCACAATGTTCCGCGTCCAGTCGTCCGCAGGGTCGTCCTCGTGTCCCTCGTCTCGACAGTGTCCCAGAACAGCCTCGATTTCATCGTAATCCTCAGTGACAGCGTCGACGTATGTCCCTTCGGGAACGTCTTCGTCGAATTGCTCGAAGTCTTGGACGTCGTCCACATAGTTTGGGATTCTACCGCCTCTGCTAGACACGCGTATTTCGTTCGCCTTCGCCTTCTTTTTCTTCTTCGACTTCGAGCCATAGTCCGAATCGGAGTCAGACCCAGAATGTCGAGTTGTCACTAGCAGAGAGTCACTTTGACGAGTACGTGAAGACCATGCACATAACGCACCCTTTGGCTTCGGCCTCGACGGGGCCTTCTTCTTCGGAGCCTTCTTCTTAGAGGACCCATACTCCTCGTCTGCGTACGACGCGTCCTCATCGTCGTCTTCAGGCTCATCTGAGTAACCCTACCATCACGCGTGAGGACAAATATAGAAGGTTGACAGCCAACCCGAGACGTACCGATTCTTCGTCCTTGATCTAACGCGCATATACCCATGGTCCGTCAACATAGACCTGCAGATCGCCACACTATCACTCACAACTCCGTTCTTTATATATGGTGAACTGTGGCCATTGGTCTTGGCAACAGGCTGGGTCTCCTCCTCGTCGACCTCCTCACCCTCAGCATCGGCATCGGGGTCCTTCTTGATATCGACGTCGATATCGGAGTCAAGCTGCATGGAGGCGTCGCTGTCTGAGCTGCCGTCGAGCGGGGAGCGGGAGGTCGACTGCATCGGGCGGCCGTCGTCATCGGGCGGCGACATGGAGGACTCGTAGTCGTGGGCGAGGGAGTTCAGGGTGGGCAACGTGGGGGAGGACGAGGGGGGCGGGGTGGAGGGTGGGAAGAGGCCCGGCGATGGCGTTGACAAGGTCTTTCACGAGCGCCAGAGCGGCCAGCCCAGCTCGGACAGGGTTCGCACGCGTGCGCCGGAGGTGGCCATCGCAGGGCTCGTCACTGGCCAGCGTGCCCAACTCCGCCGCTCGCCACGCATCTTATCTCCCTCTCCGGGGCCTCTCGCACACGGGCCCTCTTCTCCTCGCAGCCCGCATCGCACACTGCCTCTTCCAGCTGCCCTCGGTCCTCGCACCAGCGGCCCCGGCGTCGCCCACACTGGCACCGGCGCGGCGACCATCACCACCACTGCCTCATCCCCTGTGCACGCGCAGCCCGTGGGAGTCCGCGTCGCCGAAGCGCCGTCGCGGGCCATCCGGCGTGCTCCCGGCAGCACGTTCTCGAGCGGTCGTCACCGCCGCCACCAGTGACGACCACCCGAGGCTCGACCCCGAGCCTGTCACACCTGCCCTGTCACATCTGTCACGCGCCCGCCCAGTCGGCACTTTCCCACGCTGCCCCCTGCTCACTGTCCCCGACGACGAGCAGCTACTCGCCGCCATGGTGCGGTCTCTCTGCTTACAGGACTCACAGGTATGTGGCGCCGCACCGCAGAGGACCGCATCGCCAAGTGACGGTGACGGCTCTTCTCGTGGCCGGGCTCATCGTCCCTATCGGCGCGTCTCACAGCCAGAACCCGGAAGCAGCGCGCTTCCGAACCACCCCTGGGTGCGCCTGACTGATGGCTGACAGACACGTTGGTGCGTGGCAGATGGCTGAGATAGCACGGCGCGGCGTCGCGCACGGTGGACGGGGACGAACGCGCGATTGCGGTGTCATGCACTGTGTACTATGCTACAATAATTTAAGTACGTGTCCGTGTCCGTGGAAGCCCAAACGATGCAAGCAATGAGACAGGAAAGCAAGAGATGTAGAAGAGCGTCCAGCGAGTTCAGTAGCGACGGTGCGGTCGTTGATAACGGGGAAAAGGAGGCTGCTGGTTCACGGGCAGGCCAGCAGGCGCGGGCTCGTGCAAACGCTGGTATGTCCCGCGCTTGCGGCTGCCCAGGCATGCAGATGCAGCAACAATCAGAAGAATGGCTGCAGCAACACTGCCAGCGATGATGTACGGCAGGTAGGGCTTGAGCTTCTGCGAGGTAGACTCGTTGGAAGAAGTCGCCCAGTTAGTCGTGTTCATGGCGGGCAGGAGATGGAATGCAGACGTGTTGTCCACTCCTCCGAGGCGTGCGTCGACGAACTCCTTGTGCGCCTGGGCCTGGTTGGCGAGAGACAGCAGCTGTATGTAAGGGGAGGCTGTCGAAGCCATCGAGCCGTGGACATAATCACCAAGATCCACAAGGAGGTATGCGTTCCGCACTGCCACACGGTCAGTACATCAAGAGTTGGCATTGAGGCTGGACTTCATACGCACAGAAAGCCATTCCGAGAATCATATCGAATGATGAGGACGATGCCGTGGTGATGGGCTGGAACGCGCCTACACAAATCTCGGTGCCATCGCTGCCCTTGACGTTGAGCGCGCCGAGGTTGGTGTCGAGCGGGTTCACCGGGTAGGAGAGACCTCCGAACTTGAATGTCACATTCAGTTCGACATCACAAGGCAGGGTCCACACATTGCCCGATGCCGCCAGGACACTAGTCCAGTTCGCGCCGGGTACGCGCGAGTAAATAGCATCAGAGACAGTGCTGTGGCGAGGGGTCAGTCGACACCAACGCACATCATGAGATGACAACGCACGATGGTACTTGAGGAAGCGAGAACCCAGTGTCGAACACGACCACCAACTGATCCAGCCCCTGTACGACGCTCTGCACGGGTATCGCCTCACCGTCCGGCCCAATGATGCCGTCTTTGTCCAACAGCGTCTGCCAGTGCTGCGCTCCAGAGTCCTCATCCCGCAGGATGGGCAGCTTCGGCTGTGAAGTGATGTTCTCGTAGCCGGGCACGACCTCTCCGACAGTGATGTCTCCCGGATACGGGTTGGAGGTGTCGTCGGAGCGGCCAAGGAGGACGCTGAGGAAGTTGGGCGTGCTCGTATTCTGCTCGAATATCCGATTCAGAGGCGTGTCTCCCGCGTCGCTGTTGAACTGCTCGTAGATGTTCGATGCACTGTTCGGTCCAAGGCCTATCACACCAGTGTTCGCTGGATGCGCGCTATCGACACCGACGCTGACTATAGTTCCGTAAGACTTGGTGTCAAATAAGAGTCCTAACGAAGTACTCACTGAAGGCCTGGTTCTGGACACTGTACTCGTCGAAATCCATTGCTGCAGTCATGATGGTCCCTACAGTCTCAAAGATGAGGCTTCTTAACCGTCATCCAAAGTCGAATGGACGTACCACTGGCATCCCCAATAGCATAAGTGACGGAGGCCGTCTTGCCCGTGCTTTTTGCACCGGGCACGTTTCCAGCGACCCATAGGTCAGAACTAGATACGAGGCACGTTAGGGCTGTTTGCACAAGGCGACAATGCGTAAGATGAAGGCTTGGACTGTGGCAGCATGGGTCAAAGAGCCAGTAAGTAGCTGATAGCTGATGCAGGTGTCCCAAGACTGAGACCAGCACATGATCGGCCCCACTCGCCATCCCAGCATACCGTATGCACAGCCAGAGATGGAAAGCACGTCAGTCGCTGGCGACCACGAGCCAAAGAGTCGCAGCCGTATGTCACGAAGAGCGATACTCACCTCCCCGTGTCAACAAGAACTGAGAATTGTTGTCCTCCCAGAGAGACATTCGTATAATACCTAACATCACCCTGATCCTTCAAGTCCCCGCTCATACTCGCCCTCCGGCCGAGGCCCGCAGCCACACGCTCGAGCTTCTCCTGTGTCCTCGGTCCGCGACGCCCAATAACCGGCATCCTCACCGCCTCGGCTGCGGGCAGGCAATCCAGAAGGAGCGAGACATAGAGAAGGAACGACGGAGCGAGCCTCATGAGCATGGCGAACTTGTCGGATAGGAACAGCGAACACAATGTGAGCGCCGGCGTTCACGGAAGAAAGGGTATAATAAATCGGAAAGAGGGCTTGGGAGAACGGGAGGGCAGTGTCAGGGCGGGTCATGGTGATGAGCATGTTCGGGCGGGGTAGTTGCCAAGGCGCCGACTGTCCTGCTTCGACAGCTTGGCCGCTCAAGCGCTCACACCGCTCAGCCACAAAACAACGCCCATCTTCGCATGCGGCCCCGGTACGGGATCTCGGACAGCCTGAGCACTGCTCGCAACCAGCAAGACCGTACGTTTTGAAATGTTTGCTCTATTTTTGCTTGATTTCTACCTAGCAGAGTGTATGCAATGTGACATGAGCACGAACATTCTACTCGTCCAAGACACAACTGGAACGATTATCTTCCTGAGACTCTATGGACGGATTCAGAGACTAACAACAACACGACAATCAAGTGTGGGTTCGGAAAGGGAAAGCAGACAACTCGCCGATGCGGAACACCGGCACGCATGTCACAATGTGACATCCGAAGCAACTACTTATAGTAGCGACTGTGTCTCGAGCAGCAAGACAATACCTGAGCACAGGGTGAGCACGATAGAAGATGATTGACAGTAGTGACAACGTACTGTGCACGATCTCGGGCACACTCTGCGTAGTCAAGTCGGCGGTCAAGTCTGGCCGCTCAGGAGTCTCGTACTCCTCGTTCACACCCGGGACGTGCTTCAGTTCACCCTTGCGTGCTCGCGAGTACACATTCCTCCTGTCGTGCGCCTCGCAGAATTCGAGAGGTGTCGCGACATGGACGGTGAAGAAGTTCCCGCCCGCACCGGCAGTGTGGATTACAGTGTCCTTCACGGCGTCCCGGGCGGCTTGGCTCGGGGCGATGGGTGCCGCGATGACGGCAGCACCGGCGCGTGCGAGCTCAGCGGTGACGAAGGCTATCCGCTCGAGGTTCTTGGTCCGCTCTTCCGGGGTGTAGCTGAACGCTATTGATAGGTATGGTCAGGATCTGCGAGAGCCACGGTCCAAAGAGCCAAGTACGCACGTGTGTCGAGGTCGGAGCGGATGTTGTCCCCTGACAAGACAGACACGCTTCGGCCGCCCTGCTCGTTCAAAACGACTTGGAGAGCCTTGGCGATGGTATCCTTTCCAGAGTTGTGCAGACCCGTGAGGAACACGACGAAGCCCTGCTTCAATCGGGGCGGGTAACTCTCCCTAAGAGTCTTAACAACAGCCCTGTACACCTGTCAGCCTCATGCAATATGTATTGCTTATTGAAAATGACGCACTCATAGCTGAACCAGTCAGGGATGGGCCCGCCGGTCTTGAGGCGTTTTCGGAGCTCAGTTCCGGAGATGTCAAGAGTCTCTTCACCCTTCGGGACCTCATCGACAGGCACGTACTCGTCCGTCGACGGCAGATACTTCATCTGCTGGAACGGCACCATCTCGATCTGCAGCTCATCGTGGTACTTCATGACGAGATCCTGCGCGTCATACGGGCCGTAGAAGTCCTTCCCCTGCGAGTTCTTCCCGGGGCCTGCGTGGTCGCGGCCAACGATGAAGTGTGTGGCGCCGAAGTTCTTGCGGATGATCGCGTGCCAGACGGCCTCGCGAGGACCGGCCATGCGCATTGCGAGAGGGAGCAAGGCAAGGTGGCCCATGCCCTTCGGATACTTGGCAATGATAGCCTCGTAGACACGGACACGGGTGTAGTGATCGACGTCTCCGGGCTTGGTGAGACCGACGACTGGGTGGATGAGAACGTTGGCTTGTCGCAGACGGGCGGCGCGGACCGTGAGCTCACGGTGCGCTCTGTGCATGGGGTTCCGTGTCTGGAAGGCGACCACCTTGCGCCATGCCAGCTTCTTGAAGTGTGCGCGCAGTTCGGATGGGGTGTCTAGTCATTCATGTCAGAAACGGCATCTCCGCATATGTTGAGGATCACTCACAGCGCAGGGCGACGTAGTCAAAATGCACCGGTGGCTCAATTGCCTGAACCTTGCCACCGATGTAGTACTCCTTCACTTTGCGGCGAAGATAGGATACTGACGGGTGCGCTGGGTCGTCTGCACCAAACACATTGATAGCTTCCTTCACCTGGTCTGGGCGGTAGACATCCTCAACTATGGCCTCATGTTAACTTGCGGCTTGTCATGGGTGCACAGCGAAGCTTACTGGTGATGATGGCAAGAGGCTGGTCATCTCGGGGGTCGAGAAGAGCTATGCGCGATCCGGAGGCAATTGAGAGGCGGTCGATGTCTTCCCGAGAGACATCAAGAGTGATAGGCATGGGGAACAGGGTGCCGTCAGCAAGGCGCAAAGACTCGATGACGCTGGACGGCGTGTCAAATTCGTCCCAAGCGACGATGACTGCGAGCCTTTGCTCACTTGGTGTAGTCCTTCTCGTTCATGAAACCCTCCAGCGGACTGAAACCACCGTTCATAATGAGTTCCAGGTCGCATAGTTGACGCTCCGTGAGCGTGATGTCAGGGAGCTTTCCGGCCTCCTCCTTCAGGTTTTGGCGTATAGGCCCATCGCGAGCAACTAGGTCCTGCTCCGTCGATCAGTTCACTTTCCGACAGCCACACTGCAATGTCACGCACCTTCAGGACGCTGCCGTGGGGTGTGTTAGCCATCGGTGATGTGTGGTGAGAGGCCTTTCAGAGACTTTGAGCGGTGTCCACGGAGGGTATTTGAGAATGGTAAACCCATTTCGTTGACGACTGCAAGGATTTATGCGGTAGGCTGGGGAAGCGATGGTGAGGGTATCACGCAATCGACTCGTATAGGAGGATCTGAGTAGACGCGGAAAAAAATCGATGGCCGTCCCGTGTGTCGCTTCCTTCGGCCGCGCGTACCAGTGGGCATCCTCTGACAGAATATCGGAAATGGGACGAGCGTCGTCTTCTGTGGGCGGGCAGGTTGTCTGAACGAATTCCGAACGTGTGCCCAGTGCGAGCATCCCGAATCTAGCGCCATGACGCACTTTCCATATTTGGATTTTATACGGAACGCCCGGTTAATTCAACTTCCTTTCCCGTCGGAATATCAGTCTCTCGCCTTCGTCGGTAGCTCTCCTACGAATCCTCCTCAGTATACCCAGATCGTCTAGTAAAATTGTGGACACATATGTGTGTCGCCGACACCTCGTGGTTGTCCGAGGCAAGCACCTCAACATCACCATCTCGAGCGCCGCTCGTGGTCAGGTCCCTCTTGCTTCCCGCTAGAAGCACGCCTTCCTGAGAAGCTTTGACAGACAGAAGATCAATGGGGAAAGGCTTCGTCTATTCAAATGACACGGGAAACTGTCACTTCCACTCTATCCCCACCTTACCCACTGTGCTCCTAGCAATGAGTCAGACGAGTGATGCATGATGCCCGACATACTCATGCTGTCAGACGTTCACTGGCTGCCAGCACTTTGATCAGCGCGTCTCGTCTTGCTTGCACAGGAAGCCGACTTACGCGGCTGTCGGACATGTCACTGGCTGTGAACAGTCCGGATTGCATATCCACTTAATTATCTTCACACCTGACTGCTACTCGGCTTGCAGAGTTTGCGTCAGACGGTCACATACGCATGAACGATCCAGAAACGTCTGGCGTGAGTTTCTATCCGCGACAGAGAGAGACGCACGCTGGTGACTGATAGGGTGACAGGCCTATAAACTGTGAGAGTGGTCATGCACTACAAATACATTCCAGGTGGTAACAAGGAGCTCTACAATATCAGTACAGTCACAAACCAGCGTGATAGTCCTCGAATGTCATCAAAAGCAGCTAGCACGTAGTACCGCAGTATGTCACCAACCAGTGAGGGCGAGTGCATTCCAACGAGCATGATCGCATCCGACAGCGTACGACCATACTGGTATTACTTTCAGAAGCAGCAAGAAGCCTGAGCTGCTCGAGACCGGCCGGTCGCAGTTCATCATCGCGTCACGTTGATCCTGAGGTACACAAAGAAGCTTCTGTCAGACAGACTCTGCCACGACGCTGTGTAGACGCACTCTCGACCTTGCACATGAATCGCTGGCCGTATAGTTCCCGAGCTTCTTTTCCTATGTCGAGGAGCTGATGCAACAGTGACGCTCACGAGCGGCTGTCGATCCGCCGCTGCGGACGTCGAGGCCTGCCCGGGGAACGGCACCGACGAGGACGCATCTTTCTGGCTATGTTTGCTTTGCGAGGTACGACGGGGGCGCTCCGTACCTGCGGCAGGCTGCTGTTGCTCAGACGCTGCGCGCGCAGCTACAAATACGCGCTGTCATTAGCACCCGTCGCACACTTTGCCGCCGCGAGAAGCCACGACACGACCAGCCACGCACCTTCAACGACCTTCACGTCCGCCTCGCGGTGGAAGCTCTCCATGAGCGCCGTGAACCTGCGCACCTGCCACGCCAGCTGGCTCGCCCGCGCATAGTTCCGCTGGCTCAGGGCCCACTTGCGCTCCTCCTTGAACCGGCGCCGCTCCGAGTCTGCGAGGCTCGCGCGTGCACGGAGGACCGCGACCGCGCGCTCCTGCGGGGTCATGCGGCCCTCGGGATCGATGGAGGACGGGACGGAGTCGAGGGAAATGGAGGGCGCGGTGCTCGCGTAGGTGAGCGTAGGCGTGATGGGGCGGACTTCGAGGCGACGGGGGTTGCGGTCGCGGTCCCTGTCCCGTTCGCGATCGTCCGTGTCGCGGTGGTGTCGGTGGCCGTCCTCGCGCCTGTGCCGTGGGCGTTCCTGGCGGTCGAACGAGACGAGCCGCAGGCGTCTGCTGGGCTCGTCACGGTGCGTATCACGCTGCGCGACGTTCGCGGTGGTGCGTGACCGCGTCGTCGTCGTCGTGATCTTCGTTGTCTCGTTGTCGAACGTCTTGGAGAGCACGTCCGTGAAGACCACTCCGAGTGCCACTCCCAGGAGGGTGCATACGCACTGCGTAGCGTCGAAGGTCCGGGAGTAGTCCAGCAGGAGCTTCGCCGCGATCCCGAAGCCCACGGGCACGACCAAGATGAACAGCTGTGTGAGAGACGTGTAGAGCAGAACCCCTTGGAAGAGGCCATTCAGCAAGCACTCTGCGGTGGAGGGTGTCGCGTTTGGACCGACGAATATGGTGTTCAAGAGTATGCGTGCGCCGAGCGCAATAAGGAGTGCTGAGCTAGTCGTAATTTCCATGAAAATTCTTGACTAGTCATAGAGGCATTAGATATCGCAGGAGATGTTGATGGCCGCAGCTGGCGACTGGCTTGCTGCCGCCCGCGCAACTTGAAGAGTCGGGACTCGGGAGAGGAATCTGAAGACTCAGAAGAGGCTGCAGCCTGCTACCTTCTGAGCGCCCATATTCGAACAACATGAAGCAGGGTACTCGCGCTCACGTGCCCAACTCCAGACCTCGAGAATCCAGGAAACCCGCGTCGCGGGGCAGGGTCCAATATATTAGGCATGGACGTGTACAACGATACAATGATAGCACCAATAGCAGTAAAAATACAACAAGTGCATGCGTGCGATGCGTTACACCTCCGCATCGACGTAGTCGGCCATGGGATCCTCCATCATCCGACGGTTCATCCTGTACGCCTCTGCAAAACCGGTGAGCATACATGCAAGACACCAGATGGAGGAAGTGATACCCACCAAGCTCCTCCTGCGACACCTCATGGCTACTACCCTGCCCACCCTTCTGTCGCTTTCCCTGGCGGTCCTCATCCTCGCCACCCCTCGCCTTCCGCTTCCTCTCCTCCTGCATCGCCTGCGTCAGGCGATCCTTGTCAAGCGCGAGATCGCCCTCGCCCAAACGCTTCTTCGAGAAGAGCTCCTCCGCTTTCTTCTTGCGATCCTCGGCTGTCTCTTTTGACCGTGGTACACTCTCGGGCGGTGGTGATGCATCGGTTGCTAGTGACGAGGCGAGGAGGTTTTTCGCGGTTGATGCTTGTGCGGCTTCAATACCAGCGAGGCCGGTACAGTAAGAGAGGTGTATGATGGAGTGGCAGCATGCGTAGCCCCACACTCCGGATGCGGCGTCATACCACGACCCCCATACCGCCGTATGGTTGTTGACAAACACTGTATATGATGAGCGGACGTAAAGTATTGGAGGCGAGAGTGCTCACCATCCTCTGGATACTTTGACTTTACCGTTGCACGCTCCTTGCCCTTGAGCACCTGGCCCGTCCTCGAGAACTCAACGTACTCCTCCGTCTGCCCCTGCAACAGTTCCTTCGGCGCCTTCTCCAGGTACTGCTCGCCACCGTACTTCGTAAGTATGCTCGACTTGTTGATGTCCTTCAGCTTTTCCTTCTTGTGCTCGAACTCTTGGTGGAGGAGCTGGCCCTGAGTCGGGTTGGCATTCATGTGAACGTCGTTACCCCGGGCAGCTGCGTTCCATGCAAAGAGCTGCAGTTTTTGTACTTCCGGTGCTTCACCCGAGTGGCGATAGAAGTTGTCCCCAGCGAATCGAGCCTGAGGCCATGTCAATACGGAGACAAGCGATTCGACGAAGACTACATACCTCTTCTGGAGTGACATTCTTCATGGGGTTGTCACGCATGGACCGTGTCTTCGGGTCGTAATAGGCACTTGATGGGTCGAGGTTGATAAGATACTTCGCGGTGTCCTCTCGAATACGCAGGTTCCGGACAGTGATACGGGTCTTGGTGTCGAGCTTCTGGCCGACCGCATCCGCCGACTCCGCATACTTGTCCGCGTCCTCGTCCTCCTCATCACTGCTCCCAAAGTCGTCGTCCCGCTCCTCGTCCTTCTCCTTCCCCGCCTTCGCAACCTTCCTGACCGCCGCCAGGTCCGTCGTCGTCTGCTTGTCAATCTCGTCCTCGCGCAGCTTTTGCCGCGCCGCCTCCAGCGCCTCGTACTCCTCGTAGATCTTCTTGTGCTCCGCAGGGTCGTATCCGTTCCACCGGTCGCGCTTCGCGTCGTAGCCCGACGCGACATCTTGGATGACCTCGTCCGGCGCGATACCCTTGTTCGTGAACTTGGCCCCGCGCCGGCGCGGCCGCTCGAGGCAGTCCTGCCGCTTGTGTGTTATGGCGCCGCAGTTCTCGCAGGCACCCTTGCGGTACTTCTTCGCCGCAGGGCCGGCTTTCACGCCGCGGTCATACCAGTTGTCGAGTTTGTCGGAGGAGCGGTCGTAATCGGGCATACGCTGGTGGCTGAGGGACGGTGCACCAGTATCGAGGTACCATGGTGCTTGGGCGATGTATTCTATGCAGGCGTAAAGCTGAGGTGAGCGGACAGCAAGGATAGGAGCGCAATTAGTTACGCACGAGGAATGTGCGGGTTAATGGCCTTCCCCTCCTCATCCAGAGCAGCCGGTGCAGTACCGGCCTTGCGAGCTGCGTCGAGGTCCTTTTGCCTCCGGAACTCCTCTCGGGAGAGCTTTCCAGTAGCTGCCAATGCGGGTTAGACATGATCTGTGAAACACGATAGCTCGATCCTACCGGAAGCTGAGGCCATGGAGAACGATGAGACCTGGGGATGATTGTTAGGTGGTGGTTGGTGGAGGCGAAGTGATGAATAAGCGCCTGGCCGCCACTTCTGAGGTGAACTTATGTCGACATGTCGCCGTTCAGTTCAAAGTCCAGATCCCCATGCATTTGACTTCTCATTTACATTTTGGCTTGTGGACAGACAGTCACAGACCAGCAAAAATTCCGTTGAGGCAATGAACACGGCGCATATGTATGTACTGTACAGCGGTTTGCGCTCTCCAGCTGTGCATTGCGCCAAAAACACAACAGCCCTAATGACTATGACATGACAGTGACGAGATTCGAACTCGCGCGGGAAACCCATCACGGAACTCCTTGGAGCCTAAACGTGACGCCGTAACCACTTGGCTACACTGCCGGTGATGTGTCACTGGGTCGTTTGTGTATGTGGTGCCTGCCTGTTTTCCCGTCTGCGCTCCTGCTCGTCGGCATGCTCAGGCTGAGGTGGATGGACGACGAGAACGAGAGTGCGGCGGCAGACGGGGCGGCGGGGTGATGGGGCAGTCAAAGGGCGGCGATGTGAGACAGATGGGCGCACGTGGGAGAGACGCCCATATGTGAAAGCGGGCGCATTGTCTGCTCTACACCTCAGTGCACGACGCTGTCTGACCGTGTCTACACTCCGCCTGCGCTCGCTCTCCCCGCCTCCCGCTCTCCTCTGCGTGCGCGCGCGGTCGTGGCCATGCAGTCCCTCCACCCCAGCCCCGCACGCCCGCTGGGCCCCCGCGGCATCCAGCGCTCCGCCTCCCCGTCCCCTGGCTTCGCCCTCCCCGAGGTCGCCCCTCTCAACATCCGCAGCAGAAACGGGCCCTCGCCCCGCCCAAAGCTCAAGCTTCCCACCATCGACTTTGACAAGGTCGAGGGCGGCGCATTCACCGGCGAGTACACCGGCGGCGCAAACTCCATCTCCCATGTCAACGGCAACACCGTCAGCCCCGGCGATCTCACCGTCAAGCCCGACCAGACCGTCTCGCCGCGCCCGCGCGCACCCTCCGTCGCGGTCTCCATGGACGACATCCGCGGCACCGTCCGCGAGTTCGACGAGTGGTCCGACGACTACCTCGAAGCCCTCTCGCGGCTCGGCGAGGGCGCCGGCGGCGCCGTCTACAAGGTCAGGGACAAGCGGACGGGCCACATCATGGCCCGCAAGACGATCACCACGCTCGAGGCCCCCATGAAGCAGCTCCTGCGCGAGATCAAGATCATATCGAGCACATCCCACCACAACATCATCCACTTCTTTGGCGCATACATCTCGCCCTCCTCCAGCGAGGTCAAGGTCCTCATGGAGTTCTGCGAGGGCGGCAGCCTCGAGTCCGTCGGCAAGCGGCTCAGGGAGACCGACAAACGTGTCAACGAGAACGTCACAGGGCGGCTCGCCGAGGGGGTCAGCATCCTGTCCCTCCCTGTCATGGTTACATCGCTCTCGCGCTGATACTGATTCCGACGCCCTCTCGTCGCAGATCCTGCAGGGCCTTGCCTACCTGCACAAGCAGAAGACCATCCATCGCGACATCAAGCCACCCAACATTCTCCTCACGCGCGAGGGCATCGTCAAGCTCTGCGACTTTGGTGTCTCGGGCGAGCTCGTCAACTCCATGGCGGGCACCTTCACGGGCACCAGTCTCTACATGGCGGTGCGTCCTCTCCCAGGCTGATCGCCCAGGCGAGCCCTGTGCTGATCTGCGCTCCAGCCGGAACGGCTGTCCGGGCACGAATACACCATCCGATCGGACGTCTGGTCGACGGGCATTTCCCTCCTCGAGCTGGTCCAGAACCGGTTCCCCTTCCCCAGCGATCTTGCCGCGATCGAGCTCATGATGTACATCACCCAGTACGAGGTACGCTGCTCCTGCCCTCCTTCCGCTTCTCCCGTCTCGCCTTCCGAGGTTCTAACGCCGTTCCCATCCCACGCCGCAGCCGCCAGAGCTGGAGGACGAGGGCCCGTACACCTATAGTGCCGAGATGAAAGACTTCATCAAGCAAACGTACGTCGCCTTATCGTCCATCTCATCTGTCTGTCGTCACCCCCTCGCGTCTCACGCCCACTTCCTGATCCAGGCTGACACGGGACGCTGTCATCCGTCCAACGCCCGCGAGCATGCTCGAGCATCCATGGATTAAGAACGTCATGCAGCACGAAGTCAACATGGCCGTCTGGATACGCAAGGTCTGGGGCTGGCCCAAGAGCAGGCAGTCAGGCGAGACGTAAGCCGCGTTTCCTCCCTCCATCCTTCTACCCCCGCCTCCGCGCAACCTTGTCAATGTCACTGATCCCCTCCGACGGGCGCTGATGGACCGCATTGATCTGACAGATCCTCGCGGCCAGGCTCGAGCCGCAGCGACCCGCCGTCGCTCGACGCAGCGATGGCAGGCATGTCCCTCGCGCCCGAGGCGCACTGACCCTCCGCACGCACGCACCGGACTCTTGCTCCCCATCTCTTCTTCCTCTCTGCCTCGCATCTCTGCACCCACAATACACCATCGCACGCAAATCGTCTCGCCCCGTCTCTCGTCCGTCATCTCACCATCTCGTGTCCGCGCTCCATCTCCTTCAGAACCAGCAATACTAGCCCGCCCGTCCGTCCGTCCGTCCGTCTGCTCGTCCCGCCCCGCGCGCGCGTCCATCCCGCCCGTCGCCCGACACCCGCCGGCCGCCGGCCGCCCCCTAATCTATTCTGTTCGTTTTGGTTCCCGCGTTCCGCCGCCAAAAGTACGCCCGCTGCCGCCTTCGTCTCTACGCCGCTGTCAGTACGTGCATACACGCACACACACCACCTACTCCCCTTGCTTGCCGGCGGGAGCGTCGGCTCGGGACCGGCTGCACGCTCCGTCTGGGGCTGCACGCAGGGCCGAGGGCGCAGCGGGGCGAGGCTGGGTAACGGACGATGCACAACAGAGTGTATATGTACGATGCTCCTGTGTAATACCTGTCAGTCATATATGGATCTTTGGATGGTAGAAAACGTTCAAGCCGAGTGTGCCTGCACTCCGGGGAGACCCGTCCTTGCCCGCTGCCAACCGTACTTCCCTGGCATTCAACGACCGCGACCTTTGGTCGACATTATGTCCGACGTCCTTCCGCGCGGCCTCTCGTTTGACATAGCTGTTTCATAGCGTGCAATATGTACTCGAGATGCTACCTGAACAGATTATACCTAGACTTCAACAAGAGTGTACCTCCAAGCTCCCCTTCTCCCATACACCGGCCGGAGAGAGGGATTGCATGTTTATACTGGCTCCACGTACAGAAATCTTCGGGGGTTAAGTGACCCGTCAACTTATCCCTGCTATCCTTGCAATATGTGTCAACTGTCATTCGTGTATTAAAACTTCGGGGAGATGGTCAAAATTACGTAGTGGAAGTAAAGTACAGGTACACCAGCGAGCGGCCTTCACGCGGTCGGACAAGTCATCCAGTGACATAAATACGATATGCGACGATGTGACAGCTTGGGATTGACAGCGAAATCGAGTAACAGAGACACCAGAACAAACGTATAGCTCACGAACCGACAACTGTTCTATGTTGACCAACATTAGGATGGTAAGCACCGGGAGACAACGCTGTTGCTCACCTTACGACTTTACCATCAAACCTCCGTCCACCCGCTCGGGTCCATTCACGACACGGTTCGTTCCCTGGTGTCCACCTCTCCCTCGTCCTCTGCCGCCGCCCCGTTTCTGACCCCTGCCTCTAGCACCTTCCGAGATCTTAGAGGAATCTTCGCCCCCATTCTCGCGTCGACCATGAGCTCGGTGGGATCTGTTGTCGCCTCGAACAGGTCCAGCTTGACCATGAGTATGAGCGACCGGTAGCTTGACTTGCACGACGTGTCCCGTTCCTAGGTCGAGTACGGCGCCGGTGTTGTTCGACGAGATCGTATCCAGCAGCGCGTTGCGATGTACGTCCCACGCCCGTGTATGTTGGCCAGAGAACGTAGGCGATAGCAAGTAGTTGAGCTGAGACGCCTGCGCATCGACAGGCAAGCCAGGATCCAAGGAGCGAGTACGCGAGCGAGTGTATACGTCGGCCATAGACGTCGTCGGCAGATCCTCCTCAAGTTGCGACAGGGCATCTTCCTCAGGCACTGCAGAAAGTCGGCGTTGGATGAGCCGAGTCAAAGGGATGGAGCGAGCCTGCTGCGTAGAAAGGGTACGCCCACGCTGCTGCTGAGGAGACGTCGGCGAAGGAGGCGTAGTCATAGCGTGACCCAGGGCAGACTTATTTTGCGCCGTTTGCCCGCGAGAGGCCGCCGCCGTTAGGAACGTGTTAGACGGAGGCCGAGGGACACCAGGTGACCGCGAGACGAACGTCTGCAGGGCTGCGTTGTTGGAAGTGCGACGAGCGTGATCCCGCACATAAGCCTCTACGGTGTCTGCCAAAGTGTAGAGAGACGGACTTGTTGCGTACACCTCTTGCGAATCTTCCACGTGCAAAGTCGGTACTGAAGACGAAAGCTCGTAGTCGTGCCGCATAAGAATATGATTAGCAGTAGCAGATCCGCGGAATTGCTGAGAGACGTCCGATAGCAAAGAAACAGAGCGAGAAGGAACGGAGAGCTTGGAAACACCAGACATGCTAGAGAGTAACTCGGGAGAGAGCGCAGACGACGGATAGGGGGAGAAGCTAGACGACCAGATGGGCGAGGAGGAGTTCGGCGGAGTAGGTAGCGCACTTTGCTGTTGCCGTTGCCGTAGCTGTTGTTGGCGGTATTGCTGCGCGATTTCCAGAGCAGTCTGCCGACGAGGAGTCAAGCGTTCCTGAGCCTGCGAGGAGTATCCGTTGAGATTCGGTGGCGCCGGGGAGTATTTCAAGGCAGGATCGTGACCGTCACGCGAGCCAGCGATAGCGTCCCGAGCTTGAGGCAGGTCCCGCAGATTGTGGTTCACTAGCCCAGACCCAGAGAAACGACTGTTGTCCCTTGTGATCTTGGAGGCGAGCATATAGTCCGGCCAGTCTAGCCCGCTATGTTCCGATAGATGAGGGGCACCGAAGTTGTCCACGCTACCGAGCGCACGGCTTGCAACAGAATCAGGACGAGTTAATTCAAGTTCCTTCCTCAGGAGCTCGGCCAGATCGATCGGTTCTTGCCCGCGCAGTGGGTATCCGACTAGTTCGTCCTGACGTGGAATAGACTGGCATCCGATGGGAGCGGCACCAGATTCGTTCATGTCCTGCAAGTTAAGACCTAGAAACTGCGACACTAGGTTGGAAGACGTGTCTGGGGCTCTTTGCAAACGTGGGGGAACATTCGCCTTGATTGTTCGGTTCGTTCCCCGCTGAGGCGACTTCGTTGGTGCTGAGCGTTGGGCAATATTCGATTTGAGACGAGGATGCTGTAGGTTGTCGCCCTCGAGGCCCCAGATCATACGAGGGAGATTTTCAGGTTCATCGATGATGGTTCCCTCAGCGCCGCTACACGGGAGATTAATTGAGACAGGAGGAACGCGTAGCTAAGACGCAATCACTCACGAAGGACACCGAGCATATGGCAACGACAGTGGTCCATGAAGGGCAGGAATAGGCCGAGGGGGGGACGACGCCCACGAAATCCATCCTATGAAGTTCAATCTCGACAATTGCACCGCACCGATGAGCAAGACCTCTAACCTTCGGGGTCAGGCTGGGACTTGCGCTGTGTTCTATCCTCCGCTCGTTTACCGCGCAAGAAGTTCTCTGCCAGGTGATTCTTGTTCCCTATGATGACCACGGACTCGGGAGATGAGGGCGGGGAAGGTGTATGGGGCATCTCAGACACCTGTACGCGTACGCGGGACGGCTCTTCGCCACCCGAGATAAACGGCGAAACCTCATCGTCCGAGTCGTCCAAGTCCTCCGGTATTTGCCTTGCGCTGCTGGAAGGCAACGGCATGGAAACAACTCGAGGCGCTGACTGCTGAAGGACAACTTTGGCTGAGTACATTGAAATGGTCTCGGGCAAGGAAACGATCCGCGGGGCCACGCTATTCGGCACGTTGCTCGTCCTGCCCAACGACACAGCTGCCTTGTATGCTCGGGTGGATGTTGCAATAGTAGGTTCCGGGCTTGGGGTGCCTGAGCGGTCGAATGGCTCCTGCACATGACTATATGCACTACCGAAGGGAGTGGATTCGCGCGAATGCACTTCAGATAACACCTCTGACTCGGTCAGCTCTGCCGTCTCTGCGACTGGGGAAAGGGCGCCGCTGCGTTGCTGCGATCCCGGCGACGCGGGCGGGGATTGGACACGTCGTACCTCCGGGTCCGTTTGTACTCCGCGGTCGATGTAGCGCTTCTGGGCTATACTCGCGTTCGACAACATTTTGCGGCTGGCGGGCTTCGGCTTCAGGGGACGGGGGGTGAGGACATGGACGTTGAGGACAAGAACGAACCAGCGGAGCTTGAACCGTCTGTGAAGGATGAAAGGGGAAGTGAACGCGTCCGTCACCCGTCAAAGCTGTCAAATGCACGTGGGCGTGCGCAGGCGTATTGACAAGGCGGGTGGCGTCGACTTGTCCGTCGGAAAGGTATACTCACTCACCATTGGTATGCAAAGCAAGACAAAATATAAAATACACGCGTCAAAACATGACATGACAGTGGTCTGAACACGCTACTTGGGCTTCTGAAAGAAGCTGGATATCTTCGACATCCCCTGCACGTTTACTTTCTTCAGCTTCTCCACGCCGTTCGAACCTTTAGCTGGAGCTTTTCGCTTTTTCTCAGCTGCCTCGCCATTCTGGGTTTGTGTTTTCCCTCGTTTAGCCTTGGGCGCCGGCGCGCTGTCCTCCGCAAAGACAGCCCGCTCAGCCTGTATAGACTGGATATGGGCGTGAAGCGCATCGAAACTGCAGAAAGCATCGTGAATCACAGCAGACGATGTCATGGTGTCATGTGCTCACTCGTATGATGCTAACAGGGTGGTATACATATCGCTTGAGAGATATTGGGAAAGCATTTCACAGGCGGCCTTGATTCGTGCGGCTGTACGATCGTTGGTCAGTCTGATGATATTGCGTGGCAGCAGTTAAGATACTCACGGCCTAGTAAGTCCTCTTTGCCGTCGTCCATAAGACCATCCTTCGCCAATTGACGTACAACGGTTGATGACATCTCGCAGACCGATGGTGTGGCTAGGCGGCCAACTTTAGCTTTGAAATAATTCATCGTCTTCTCTTGCGAGTAGCGATACACGATGATTTCTGCGGTGATCTCTGTAAAACGTGATGAGCAGACTGGCGAGGAGTGCATTCTGATTCTGACCTTTGACTTCACAAATTCGCTTCATTGCGTCGTCTACACATTTGAAAGACAGAAGGCGCAGCAAGTCATCCGACGAGTAAGGTATCGGCTGCCCAGCGGACTGTTCGTTTCCCAAAGTCTGGAGAAGCGTTGACGTCGCCGCCTCAAAGAGGTCCTCCGCCGAGCGAAAGTTACTCATGACATCATTGGTCTAAAACACGGTACAATCATGAGGTGGATGAGCTATAGCACCGAAGGAGGTAGCCGTACCGAACATGAGCTGCGTAACAGGGGTATAAGAAGAAAGACGGGGTCTACTGGAGTGAGCACAAGAAGCTGTCCATCTAGAAGGGACATGAAGCCAGTAGCCTCGGGAGATAACCGACTGAACCCACCCTTCACGACCTCGCCTTCTGGCATGAACCACGACCGCTGGTTGGGAGGTGCCACAGCCTGCACTTCCAGTATCATTGAATTTGTCTTGTTGGGCAGCTCGTGGGGAAGGAACAACGCAGGCAATCCTACGAATGTCGATGCATTCACCACGGCACTGGCACACTCTCCAAACTGACGACGCACCAGTACGAGGATGAGGTAGTCGAAGGAACCGGGCCCCCGCCTGCATACTAATTCCTCGATCGGCATCATCGTTCAACTTTGTCACTATGGTCTGGAGGATGTCTGGCATAGCAGGCATCAGCACAATGCGACAACCATGGCTGTCGTTATATTTGAACGTACCGTTCGGGAGAATGGCCACATGGCGGCTCATTGCAGCTGTTCGCAACAAATACTTTGCAAGAATATCGGTGGCTTTCGGTTCGATATGAGTATCGCAAGACCAAAAGCCCTGCGGTCGGCGGAAAGTGTGGAAGGGAGAGTTTGGGGAGAGTGGACACCGGCAGGAGCGACGCGCTTGTGGCGGCAAACGCGTCTCGTTTGTTTGTTGCTACTTGCGTATGGTGGCGTTTGGACGTACGCGACGCCGTGGGCATGTTTGCCACTAACCACAAGAAGTCCCGATCAGAGGGCGAGTGTCAGGCCGTTTCCAGGTGTATGATTGTTGGAACGTTGCGGTGAAGTAACAGGATGTCCGCTGATTCATTCTGACTGAACAACCATTTGACAGAAGAATCGGGAATGAGCACTGCTACGCAACCCTTCTACATCGTGGCGGTACACGGAGGTGCCGGCGTGCATTCCCCAGCATCTGACACACATGTCAAGAAAACCATGAAGATGTGGGCTCTGCTCTCAGTGCGGCGCTATCTACTGATTCTACCATCTCATAAGACAGCGCGTGCAGGAAAGCTCTGCTGCGGTTGCAAGAGAGTAATTCGGCGCTTGACGCGGTGCAGGAAGCCGTGAGTTCCCTCGAGGACGACGACTGTCTCAATGCCGGTAAACCAAAATCCGTGCGTATTCAGATGTATAAATCTGAGTGTGTAACAGGCTATGGGTCAAATCTGACTTCGAATGGCACGGTCGAATGTGACGCCTCGATTATGTGCGGCACAACAGGTGCCTTTGGTAGTGTCGGCGCAGCATCTGGTCTGTTCAGCTTCAGCTACTCGTGTACATCGTACTCATTCGCATTCTCCTTCAGGAATTAAGCACCCGGTGAAGCTGGCACGGTCCGTCCTCGAGTACTCTCGCAGGCCAGACCCACTCGGTCGCATCGCACCCCTGTTCGTGCCCTCCACACTCCATACGTAGTCAAAGATCTGAACCTCATGTATGCCATAGAATGCTCGTAGCCGATGGTGCGCTCCAGTTCGCGCGGTCACAGGGAATTGCAATCGTACCACCGGGAACCCTTGTGACACCGAGAGCCAAAGAGGAATGGGAGCGGTGGACCACGGTTCTCAACTCCGTCTCCTCCTCGGAGACCATTGGTGGATGTTCGGCTGATGAGTGCCCCGTGTTGCAGACGCAAGTTTGTGCACCGTCGCTTGTGGCTACCGATCATTCCAGCCTACACGATGTACAAGACACAGTCGGAGCTGTCGCTTGCGATGCAGAGGGAAGCTTCTCAGCTGGCGTATCGAGGTAGTCGAGTGTTCTGCCTACGTGGCTTCGTGAGGCTTGGCTGATACAACGATGCTCCCAGCGGCGGCCTGCTACTCAAGCATCCCGGCCGTATCGGCGAAGTGGGTTTCCTATTGAATAAACGGATATGTGGTGCTAAAATGCGATCTTCGTGTGATTCTCAGGCAGCGATGTACGGTTCAGGTTGTTGGGCCGCGGGCCTGAGCCATGGGGACGTCTGCGGAGCAGCCTGCAGCGTGTCTGGTCAGCATAACACCGCCCCTCACTTCACGACAATGGACCCAATGTGCTGACATGCGTGTACTGCAGGTGCTGGCGAACACATAACTCGGGCAGCATTAGCCCGATCCGTGGTGGAGGCTCTGGAAGTGTCCGATGTTGATACGCATGAAACAATCCGGCGCATGCTGCTGGACAATCTTCGAGGTGAGCCCATACCATGTCTCCCGTTGGTTGGTCCAATCTGGATGATCGGCACCATGACGGGAAGCGGCCCGCCACGGTCAGGAGGAAGGCCTACCACAGGCGGGCATACTACTCTTGATCAGGGAGCGAGTCAGTGAGGGCACGTCTGTACGTAAGTATGACCACTATTCGATTCTTCCGTTTTGCTATACCGCGTTCGGCTGGTCTGACTTCCGGCATGGAGCTCGATTATGGTGTGCATTCACCACCGAAAGCATGGCGATTGCTTATGCATCTTCATTGGACCCAAAACCTAAAGTATGCTTTAGCCGTTTTTGCATCGCTCCGTTATCCTCACATCAACACCATGTAGGCGCTCATTCTCCGAAGGCCGCGGCAGCAGAAGACGGAGACACCGATTTATCTGGCGGCCCTTCCCTTGACAAGAGGCTAAAGGTTGTGTGACCCAGAATTTTCTTTCGCGATAATGCAACTACAATAGTAGAAGACAGGTGGCCTGCGAAGGCGTAGCAGCCTGCAGGCCATCGCGTGTCCAGATAATCAGAATGGGACTCGAAGGCGATGCACCCGCCCTTCGAGTTCTCCGTGATCCCTGAGGCCGTCCGACGCACCAATAATAATGTTCATCAATTACAGTCCTCCTGAGAACGTCAACATGTGTTCTCCCACCATTGCCGCATAATGGGACATGCTGCGAAGATACGCCGCCTGAATGCTAACAGGCGAGTATGGAAGTCCTACACCGGAGACTTGTAGGACAGGACCGTAAATCCGAGATTCCGTCAGGACCGTGTGCCTGCGTAGGGTGCAAGCCCTGACTGCGATGATGCCCGTTTGACATTGGCGCGGCCGCTCTTGCAATCATCGGGAGGATGACGAGAGTTTTCTAGTCAACGGTGTTACCTGAAAATCATCCGGTCAGCCGCTGAGTTGTTAGCCGGGATGTAGAATTGTAGCTCGACTCGTACCGACACGAAACAGCATCATATGCCTCATCCGCGATCCTACCGCGATCCATTCTGCACAGTAGACTGACTCCCGTTGACATTGGTGCCCTTGATAGAATTAGATGATGGTAAAGACAGCGCGGTCTGAACGGTGGGTGTCGTTGCGGGTGTCGCGACGGTTGGCCGCGCCGCGTTGAGGCGCTGAAGGGTCTTGATGGGGAATTTTGTGCTAGAATTGCAAACGGCTGATTAGTACTGGCCCCTTGACAGACAGCTCGAGGGCATGCGAGCGTTTCGCTCGACGGACGGCCGCACATTATGCACCAGCGGTCACGGCGGACTTCCGCCATCATTATGGAGTGGTCATATTTCTCATGTTGCGTGCGAACGCCCACCAAGCACGACGCTCATCATGCATCTGAATCGAGATAATGACGCTGAGTAGCGAAGAGGAAGGTACTTGCCGGCATGTTGAACACACAGGGACAGGCTGGCAGAATACTGGCAAGACACCGATCAGTTTGTTCGATGCCAAACATAAGTGGTGGCTCACTTGATAAGCAAACAGAACAAACGAAGCCAATGTCAACGATACGCTTGTGGCAAAAACATGCTGCCCGAAAGTCAATTTTGTCTTGTGTGGGCACAGACAGCAGCTGACGAATGCTAGGCGGCGGAAGGAAAGACATCTGCAGCCCACAATGGGCGAGGAAGTTGTTGAGATGGAGAAAACGTAACATGTACAGGCCACGTACGGTCAGATATTGCAACAAAGCGTCTGCTCTCTCGAGATGGAGATATGAGCCTCCAGTCAAGTGCGCGGCTTGCTGCAGAAACACGCTCTCAGAGCCATAAACTTTGCATATATCTATGGTCACTTTCTATCTTCTTTCAGTACACCAGGGAAAGCAAAGTTTCAGTCCACAGAGACTTACCAACTTCTGGGCCGCGAAAATCGAGTTCATGATCGGTATGTAGGACGAAGACTGGTCGGGTGAAACGGAGAGTATAAGGATGCGCGGGTCGAGGGCTGCGGTTTGCTCGTTTGATTGTGTGGATGATGCGGTGGTAATGCGGTTTATGTCTGCAAGGCATCTCAGTGAATGTGTCGTTGTACAGCGATTTCATGTCTCACAGCATAACGACTTGCTAAGCGCCCCGACCAACTCGACGGGCTCTGGAATAGCGGTTGAAATGTCATGAAAAGCCGGTTAGTCATGAGCGCGTACTCTTGATATCTGACGGGCCGAGTGTCTCGACGTGTCGCGCTATTGTCTGCATAACCTCCGCGTCGAGAATCTTGAACGGACGATACGTATCGGCATCCGCCATCTCGAATGGGTTCCCCGACGACTCGTTTGTTGAAGAGTGCAACATGACACTGTTGTCAGAACGGATGTAAACGCGTCGTCGAGCCCACAATTCTATGATGGAAGGGTGTTATCGACGTACCTACGCCCAGGCAGGGCGCCAAACACGGCGAGTGTGTTCTCGTCCTTGCAAGCTATGTGCGAGTTCAAGAAGACAAGAAGTTGTGACAAGAATGATTTGAGTGACAAAGGCCGAGCGTTCTGTTGTGTTCGCGTCGATGATAGGTACCAGTGATTCGGGGACAGGTCGACGACGACGCTGAGGTGTGATGCTCTGTCCATTCTTGCTCTTTGCGTCCTTCTTGGCTGACAGGATGCACTCAGTAATAGGAAACTCAAGAATACGGTAGTTGTTGAGACTTGAGTATGCCTGTCTCGGAGACGACGCTCGGCGGGGTACCGCTGGACAGAGTCGTCACTGTCAGACTCAAGGGACTCGCCGCCCGAGCTGTTGCCACCGACTGTTTTGTCGCTGGACGGTCACGTGTGCTTCATTTGAAGCCCGCAATATACTAAGTACTTACGCCCCCGACGCCGGGTTTCGAGACGGCCTATGCTGCGTCGGCGGTTGGGGATGAAAATGCATTTGCATCTTCAGCAAAAGTGATTACAGCGCGTCATCGTACAGGAGACTGATGAACCGCTTTAAACTTCGTCAAGCTACGGACTAGTATTTATGTTACCCAGCCACGTTCGTATTTCGGCAGCGGGACAACCGTTACATCTTCCGCGCCCGCGCCTGTTGGCTCCCCCATCCATGTCCAACAAGCGTCGCAGATGACGAAAGGGCTTTCGCCCAATCTCATGTCACCGAGTATGGTATGGACAGCAGGGACCTTGTTGCACGCGCGACAGAGGTCGAGTAAGGGAGGCGTCAGATGCGTGGTGAGTGGGTACGCAGTCGTCGGCGGGTCCGCGGGATGGTGCAACCTGCTCCCGGTGATGAGCTTCTGCTGCAGTCGGATCTTGAGGTCACGGGGAGACGGGCTTACCGTATGTGTTCAATAACGAAGTGATGTTCGCAGTTCCCCGCGTGCAGGAGCCAATAGGGCTGGTGGAGACGGGGAGTAAGAGAAGCGAAGGTGGTTTCGTGCATTGGTTGGCCTTTCGCAAAATCGGGGCGTTCCTTCCTATCGCTCGGCAATGTGGTGAGCAAGTCCAACACTTTCCTGTACAAGGGAACGTTATTACAAATCAGTGAATCAATAGGAGTAGGAGGGGAAAGGGCATGACGAACTCTGCGCAATCTTCTGGAGCTCGTCCGTCGCCATATAAGGTATTGTCAATACACATAACAGCGCCCGAGTGGCCCTCCCGTGCGGTATCCGCGCTATTCGGAGTCGACTCCTCTCCGCTGCCCTGGCTAGGCTCATTTCCGGCGTCCTGGTTATTGTAGTCGGATTCACATGGAATCACATTGTATAGGTCACCAAGAGTCTGTGACGACAGCAGGACATGCTGCGACAAACGGAGAAGCTGGCGGTGGCCCCAAGAAAGCTTATTGTATATCGTGACAAATACCAGTGCCTCATGCACCTTGCTACTATCAGTGCCCATGCCAAATGATTTCTGCCGGACAGCGTGTCAATATCGCCGCGTCTTACGTGTAGAAGGACCACGTACGGCACGTTCCAGCGTGTTGCGATCGGAATGCTTCGGTGGACGGATGAAAGACGCGGCGTGCGATGTGAGACTAACGATCGATAACTGAGACAAAGTCTAGCATTGTTCGAGAGATACTTACGGCCAGCACTTCAGCTTGCTATTGTCCATGCTGTGCCGCAGAGCGGTCACGTCCGCTTGCTCATCTCCGGGCTCTGGGACGGCCACCTTTCTTCTCTTCCTGCGGTTCGATGACTCCGCAGACTCATAGATCGACTGCACGGTAGCCTGATGACTTCTCCACACATGGGCCATAAGCCTGGGATTGGTGAGCGTGTCATGAAAGGACCCTTTCAAGTCGTCCAAACTATCCTAAGATTACATTAGCGACAATTCCCGCGTCTCGCACTGCATCGGGCGACATATCATTCTGCGAGCGAGTTGTGAGGAACAGGAGCATAAGCTCCTCTTGAAATTCATACACACAGTGGTCTTACGAGACACGAGGGTCGAGAACGATGAGCAAACGTTCCAATCCCTGCCTGTGCAAGACCAGTTGGGCGTGCGCACGGTGGTTTCGGGGTGGGCTTTGGCAGACCACCCTCGCCCCACCCAAGTTAGTCCAGGGCTGTGGTCACATTATCAACCAACGGTGGACTATCTGCAGAGGGACAGACGCCGTGATCCCGAACATGACACGTCTCGAGGGGCATGCCAATGTGATAGAGGCTCACCTGCATTCAGCAGCCACCGCTGCTTGTTGTGCAGATGGTACGGACTTCCATGCTTTTTCGGTGTTATTCCTTTGCGGTAGTTGCGCGTCGGACAAATCAGCCCGAGAGGCTTCGTTTGGAAGCAAGACGCGTGTAGCATCGAGGAATGCCGCGATATCGATATATTCAGAGGTTGGACCAAAATGAGACTCGTGCGCCTGCCCCAGCCCAAGACTCGTAGACATGATGGACCGGTCGTTGAGACGTCGTAGGGAAGAATGCTGCTCGCGAGAAAATTCTTCGTAGTAAGTCGAGATTGCGAACAGACAGTGTTTCCAGCTTCGCCTGAGAGATACAGTATAGCAAAGAGAGTCCAGAGAAAAGTCTTCTGCCAAAATTTTGATGTAGTCTTGCGTTGTTCGACGATTTGTCGACGCAAGGACTGCTGAGCGTCGAGGACGAAGACTGCCGGCGCTAATGGTATGACCGGCAAGCTCGCCGGTTGTGCGAGACAGGCGCCCATTTGTTTCCCCGCATTGCACGTGCTTTCGCGGGGCAAGCAAGCTGGGGAGCGGGACACTTGACCGTCGTACGAGGCCGTCGACGACTTAGACTGGTCCACCACTCTCGACACCCTCCTTGGCCGACGTCGTCCGGCTACTGTCTCGCGCCGATCCGTACTTCCCAGAACGTATATACACGCCGTGTTGTCCGCGGGATTCCTGACGTCGCCGCGCGTGAGCTCTCATTGAACGATGTTGCCGACGACTCGCGCCTCATTGCCTAGGACTTTCGGTACCAGACTTTCACCGTCTCGGGCCCACGCTGCTGCATTTTCTACGTCCTCGCTCCTTCGAACCCCGTTCTTCCATCGGCCTTCGCTGCGTAGCTCGCACAAGCCGTGCATCTACCCCGTAATTGCTCGCAACATGTCAGGCCATGCAGAGTCTGCCGTGCGGCCAGAACCCGACCAGGTGCTTCAAGATATTGCGGATTACGTCCACAACTACAAGATCGAGTCGGATTTGGTCTGGGAAACCGCTAGACTCTGCTTGATCGATACGATTGGATGCGGGCTGGAAGCGCTCCGATTCGAGGCTTGTGCGCGACTTCTTGGACCAGTTGTCGAAGGCACCGTCGTTCCAAACGGTGTGTCATCGAGCGATTGCATTATCTGTCATGAGACTTCACTGACACTGAACGGGCATGTAGGGACGCGGGTACCTGGTACCAACTACCAGCTAGACCCAATCCGTGGGGCGTTCAACATTGGAACCCAGATACGCTGGTTGGACTTCAACGATTGCTTCCTCGCCGCGGAATGGGGTCACCCGTCCGACAATTTAGGAGCCATCCTTGCGGTTGCCGACCACCTTGCCCGTAAGGGCGAACCATTGACTGTCCGCGATATCTTGGAGGGCATGATTAAGGCACATGAGATTCAGGGCGGACTTGCACTCCTGAATTCATTCAACCGTGTTGGCCTTGACCACGTTGTCCTCGTCAAAGTTGCGAGCACCGCCGTTGTCTCCAAGCTCCTGTTTGTAGCGATCATGCCTTTCTGGGTGAACGAGACTGCTGACGGTGCCTCTGCAGTGGTTTGAACCGCGCCCAAACTATCGATGCCATTTCCCAGGCATGGGTGGACGGCCAGTCTTTGCGCACGTACAGACATGCGCCCAACACCGGTTCGCGCAAGTCTTGGGCAGCTGGAGATGCCTGTTCCCGGGCCGTCAATCTCGCCTTACTGGTGAAGAAGGGTGAGAAGGGCCTACCTTCGGTCTTGACGGCGAAGACCTGGGGCTTCTATGACGTCCTCTTCAAGGCGAGTTGACCTATAGCACCTGTGTGGACCGATGGTTGACATTGTCATTACAGAGCAAGCCTTTCGAATTCCAGATGCCCTACTCAAGCTACATCATGGAGAACGTGCTCTTCAAGATCTCGTATCCGGCGGAGTTTCACGCTCAGACTGCCGTCGAGGCTGCGCACATTCTTCACAACAAGCTGAAGGCTATAGGCAAGACGAGCGACGATATCAAGAGCATCCGCATCCGCACCCAGGAGGCTGCCATGCGTATCATCAACAAGCGCGGTCCACTTGACAACTTCGCTGACCGAGAGTACGTGTCTTGATTGTCCACTCCTGTGATACGGACTAGTCGTTGACGTGATGTGACAGCCACGACATCAACTACATGGTGGCCTACCCCTTGATCTTTGGTGAACTCACTTCGGAGTCCTACACGGACGCCGCTGCCGCAGATCCACGTATCGATGCTCTCCGCGCAAAGATTACCTGCGTGGAGGAGAAGCCCTACAGCGTCGACTACCACGACCCGTCGAAGCGGTCGATCTCGAATGCATTGCTCGTTGAGCTCAACGATGGCACGGTGCTCGACGAGGTCGAGGTCGAGTACCCTGTCGGCCATAAGCGCCGACGGGCTGAAGGAACTCCGCTGCTGCTCCAGAAGTTCAAGAACCACATCGCACCGCACTTCGACCAGACTCAACAGTCTAAGTAAGTAGCTTCTTCCCACACGCATCACTTGTCGAGACTCATTCCTTGCTAGGATCCTGGAGGCCGTCAACGACTCCCCTTCCCTCTTCAAGATGCCTGTTGACAAGTTCACCGATCTGTTCGTGAAGGCGTAGGTGCAGAAGTGGCCAATATCGTGTCCTTGGTTGGCAATTGCAGGGAATACAAGACCCGATGTAGCATAGCTGCTGGGCTCTTGAGACTGGCATGTTTCACTTTTTGAATGACGCTCTTATCTTCGGACGGCTTCCCTGTGATGCTGTCGAAGTCCAATACGATGGGCGACTTCGCCGTCAAAGAGCGCGACGTCCCGGAGCGGAACAGCGCTGTCAGAAGCATGATGCGGCTGCTCTCTGATTAAATTTGGCTTCTCCGGAGCCCTTATCTCACTTCGCCCTCTGCGGACCGCCGGGTTATGACGCCGGTTCTCCAAGAGACATGCGGGGCAGCGCAGGGCAATTGCGCGTCCTGCGTCCTGTCCTGTCCTCTCAAGTGCCTGGTATGCTCGACTCGCGTGCAGAGAACCTGATCACGCGGTCGGCTGCAAGTGGTACCAGGTGGGCGCATGTGTATCATCAGGCTTCTGAGGATCTCTCGCCTGGCACGGCAGCTTCAAGGTGGTCACGGCTCATCCGATTGACAGGGGAGCGCGTGCAGATCACGGCCGCCGTGTTGGTGTGGTCCTCTCGCAGATGAGAAGGTCTCCCTAGGAGCATTGCCCTCGTACTGCTGACCCGGCGGTCATGCTCTGACCCGAATTCTCAGAAAGTCTGTTCCCGCCGGGCAACTAACGTGGCTCGCGCGTGTCGGATAGACGTCGGATCTCCCCAGCTGTCCAACTCAACTGGGAAATGACGCGCCCTGCCTTGGGAAGACGTCCCGTCCAGAAGCTTTGCCTCATGCTCGGCGAGTCTTAATCGGTATGGCTGTACCAGTTCTCCGTGTGGTCATCCCGACGGAGGGTGCAATAGTAAGTGAAGGTGCTTCAGGCAGTCACTCTGTCGATCCTCTCGTCGTCTTTTACTGGCCACATAGGTTGCGAAGACGACCCCAAACGTCATGCTATGACAGTCGTTGCTGCAATATTCACGAAAGGCGCCGCACTGGCGGATATCATTGGTATTGATACTATGGCGGAGGCGCCCTCCATGGCCAACAGGGAAGACGCCGCGTCTCGATCTGTATGTCGTCAATATCACACATTTTCGTAGGATGACACGTGTTGGGATGTCCCTCCTCGTTGGGCTGGCCCGACTGGGCATGCAATGAGCTATGGTCGTTCTGTACCACAGTTCTGCTCCAGAATATGTAGTCTGCAACAGGCCCAGGCGCGTTCCCTTGGTCGAGGTGTCTCTGGGAGCGTCTCTGGCCGCGTCGTGTCTTCCCGCGCTGCTAACAATACATTCGAGAGCATGTGGTCGCTGTCAAAGCATGTCATCGGGGTCACCCTTTGCGTCTCCCAACAGTCTACAGTCGCTTTCCATGGTTCAAGCACTTGCTTCTGCGGAGGCCTGCACCTGACTCATCGTAGCAGCTGTCATCGGCAGCTCTACTGGCCGCACTCAAGAGTTGCGAGCAGTCGCACCCATAGTGAAACATCAGGTACGTTCTTCGTGGTGTGGCGATGCATGTCACTGGTATGCCTAGCTCGAGCTAACTGATATACGAGTCCAGTACGCATCAGATCAAGTCACGCAGGTTTCCAACCAATCTTCAACGCTACGAGGCGATGCTTACGGCAACCTTGACGATCCCTGCAAATTCATAGATTACCGGTCATCAACATCACATTGAACTGAAGTTCACTCGTTAATTGGGAGTCATGGTCAAGGCACCGTACCGCTGTTAGCAGTCAGGACAGGTCGTTGCTTGGTATGTGAAATGGGACATCAGTCAGTCATGTTCCTGCACTGAGCGATCACGTATCTAGTCGTTCTTGTCGGATAGACCGGGACCATGCCTCCGTATGGTCTATCATATCTCTGCAGCTCGATGTGCAGGCGCTTCGCTGAGATAATTCACAAGTTGTAAGTATGTACACAAGCGATATCCTTCTCCCGCGAGTCCTGCTCGTCGCTCGCTCATGGGCTGAGGCCCGTCTACTTTCGAGAGACAGCGGCCGCGCAAAGTCAGAATACGAATACTGCCGCGGACTCGAAACGAACCCCGATACTCAGACACGACGGCCAACCAGTCTGCGACGCGGAACATCATGCCGTCATCACGGACTCGGTAGGGTATGTTCCAATACTCATGAGAAAAACATCCGGTACGCAAGGCTCTGACTCCACTGGCGCGCTCAGGCTACCGTAAAGTTGACTGCTCGTTCACATTCATTCTAGACTGAGGTGGCCACTGGCACACCATAACAAAACAACGGGTAGGTACTCCACCTCGGCGTTCTCTGCTTCAGGCAACTGCCTGCCCTCTGCTCCGGTCTCAGTCGGATGCGAGTAAGTAATGCATCGTCCTCACCAAAGCCGTGCCGTTCCCGCTATAACGCCACTGTTGACATGCGAATTCGCTCGGAGGAGTCCGCTTCTTACAGGTCGCAAGCACCCTGCGTGCAAAGATGGAGATGAATTACATTGATTGATGCTCAGGCTTCGTCGTGCGTTGTGTACTTGCTGTCTTCCTTATGTCCTTCCCTGACTCATCAATTACCGCCAGACCACAGTCGCTCGGGATCTCCCTTGAGTAACAGCAAGCCTTCCTGCGCGCCAGGATGCACCCGAGGGATCATGTCTTGCCCTGGTACTCTGCTACCGCTTCTGGTCCTACAATGCATGTGCTCTACGCGACCCGAACGTTCGATCCGCGCAGCTAACGGTGTGTGTAGCAGGTGGTCAATGTGTGATGCCGCAAACAACTCTGGGCACGACATGTAATGAGTCGCATTTTCATACTCTGTGCAGCTTCGTTGATCTGAATCTAGCCGTAACATCGGATCATCTTTCATGGACCTGGAGATTACCTGCTGAATGATCGTGTCCTCCGCAAGGCTGGAGTTAATTGCCTTTGATTGAAAAGTGTACGACTTCTGGTCACAGTCTTCTCAGATACGCCCTGGCGCCCTCAGAAGACGATAACAATTATGTGCGCCAGAGAAGTGCGAGAGCAGCGGGAGGCATGTACCTTATCCACCCTATGCAATTCATGGGCTCGGTGCTCTGCGACCACCGGCGGTTTGCAGTCTGATGGCCATTCAGCAAAGATCGGCCGTTCCCGCGAAGCGCGATATGCTTACGATAGGATTGAAGTCAGCGCAAAAGTGTAATGTTTAACGCACCGCATATGCCCGGATGGTGCCGTCACCGTATTCGTGTTCTCATCGTACGTGATGCCGCGGGCGGTAGTCCTCACAGTTCCTCACAGTCAAAATTCCGGCTCTACTAGGACGTATTTAGTCCAAATTTCCAGGCGGACCCTGGGATGCCGTGTGCACGGTCAATTATCATGAACCCCGGGCGCTGCCAACTAGCACTGCAGCAGTCCGGCCTCAGCGATGTTGCTGTGTGGACACATGACTTCGACCAGCCATTTGATTGCGCGCAGATTGCGTCCTTGCGAACACTACAAGCATCACTTGAAAGCCCCAGGATACATTTGAGGCGCGTATCCCCACATTTGACGGGTCCTAGTAAAGCGCGTTACGACTCATTGAACACAGCTATAGCGACCGACTCGGACGACGCCCTGTACAAATTCGGAAATTGTCAGCGAGCGTAAGGGTCTACCGTCGCACGCATAGTGACTGCCTTGACACCAACTTCGATATTTGGGAAGAGGAAGGCGGTACCTGCGCAACATCGGATCGGAGGTGATAATCAAATTTGTCGTATATGATTGCGATCCTCACTTGAAGAGGTGGCCAAGTTTGATATGAGTAGTGTTGGTGCCCTGAATTGGGACGGACAGCTGGAGAGTGCTAGTGATCAACGAGGCTGCGACGTTGACACGCACGTAACAGCCTCGCTATGTACCGAGCATGTTCTCGATCCTGGCATCAGGATTGCTGAGATCAAAACGCTACTTCGTACCGAGGATCACTGGCGCCGAAATGACCAGCCGCAACTGCTGCAAGAATGCATGCGCCCGCCGACGTAGCTACCATGGAACGGAAATGCGCTCATTATCTGGACATGACGGTCAGTGTATCGTCAGTTGTAGTCACCCCACAGAGAAGCAAGGATGAGACCGGCGGCTGTATACTTCTATCCGCAATACTAGGCCGTACATGAGGCCCTACGGCACTCCTCGATATTCTGACAGAATTCAAAGAAGTCGCTGAGAGAGACTGTCACAACCATGTGGCGAGTGGTGTACGTTATGCTGCCTGCGAGAGATGGAGCGATGCAGGTCAGATTGCGGCCGAAGGTAGACTGTCCTCATTGCGAGCCATCGAAGCAGGGCGAGCATCCAGCGAACGATCTACCCGTGAACAGCTCAAGGGGCGGAGGATGGATTTACCGAACTCATTGCGACATGCATGCCTGGCTATGGCAGGCCATGGCTCCCTCGTGAGCTAGATGGCTGCGAGGTGCCGGTGCGATAGCGTGCTTCCGCTCTAACTTTGGTGAGGCAGCTGTGGACCAAGTCTTGGACCAAGTCTGTGCGGCCTGCGCGGTCTCTGCGGGGCGGCGGGTCCGGGGGGAACCCCCGTGCCGAGAGGGCGGGGCGCCGCGCTGGAGCCCCGCAGCGGTGAGACAAGGCGGTGGGCTGGCGACGGCGGCGGCGACATCGTCACCGGTGCCGCCAGCGTCGACCTCGCTGTCGGCCTCGTCATGGCGTATTTTCCCAGAAATATTTTCCGGGGGGAGGCGCAGGGGAATGCGTGTCAGCGGGCCACATCTGGTAACCACGGCCTCAGTGGCTCGGCCGGAACAGCTCGGAGATCGGTTACATCAAAATCCTGGCAGCCCTGACGACTTAGTCTGGGAATCCTCTCTCAATCCGGCCTTATGACCGCCTGATGATCTTCTCGCACGACGGAGGGCTAGCAGCGCCCGTATTTCTGAGATTACGTCGCCGCATTCGAGTCCCACTGGCAGTGGGCGGGCTGGGACTGGCACAATGACAGCCAGGGCAACAGACACACACACAGGCCATACAATCGAACGGCGGCGAGAGCGGAAGGGCCCGAGTCCGTGCGGCCTTCGTGCGGAGGTGTCTGTTTCAAGAATTCAGAAAATGTGAATAGCACTCATTGTTCGTCGCAGTGTTCCAGAAAATTGGATTATCTGCGTTTTGCTGCTACCCTCAGATCGCAAATCGGGCCTTCTCCCCGATAGCCTGATCCGCTACAACAATCATCTCGTGCGCACGACCACCGCGCTGCTTCCTCCCATGAACGCATCCCTCCGTTTTTAAAAGGATGGACCATACTTCGGGGGGGCTTCCCATCGAAAGCCTCTCCCAAACCTTCAGCGTCATGGCCGATAGTCTCCCGTAGTGCGTCTCTCTCCTCTCCTCTGCCTCCTCGCCCGCTGACCCCCCGCAGCAGCCCGTCCCCAAGTCAGTATATACCCCCTTCATACTTTACGCAGCCGCACGGTCCCGGACATATGCATGTGGTGGCTCCGCCCACAAGACAAGATACCACGACACAGAGGAAACGTCCAAAGTATACGCGCAGCAAGACCGGGTGCCTGACGTGTCGAGCGAAGAAGATCAAGGTATGTAGTGTCTTCTATGCACGGATGCTTGACCAACATGTCGCCAGTGCGACGAGTCGAAGCCTAACTGCCTGCGCTGCACTCATGGACAACGCGAAGTACATTGTTTAGCTCTTGAGTGGCACGCAGCATACTGATGTCCTGTTTTCCCGTAGTGTACGTGGCCCGAGGGTGTGCCAGCACGCAAGAAGCCCGCACCAAAACGCGAGCCCGCTATGGACACTGGCCTTGAAACGCGACCGTCGACGGCTGGTTCGTCGGGGGTTTCCGAGTCGTCAACACCTTCCACTCGCGGCGTCACTCCGCCGCTCAAACGAGAGCCCGCCGATGTCGGATTGCCCGCTCTTGTTTCACGTCGACACAGGTATGTCCGAGTGGCAATGACGCGATTGATGTACTCCACTAACGTCAATGCAGTGATCCCTCCATCCAGTTGCCGACAATGAACGACATGACCGCTATGAGACGCCAGAGGTATGCGGCCTTAGCTTGTGGCGCACTGACGCGCGCTAACATATCTCGCAGTGTGGCCGTACCCTCTGGATCAACGCACCTATACCCAGTAAATGCTAGCCCGCATACCCAGCTCTTGCCTGCAATCCCGGAAGTCTCGACGTCGTACTCTGCCTCGCAATACCACCACAACTATACTAGTAATTCACAGCAATACGCACACCCCTCGGCATCTCTCGTCCTCCCTCGTCTAGGCTCTCATCACAGCCACATGCATTCCATGCGCTCCGTCGCTCCGTCGCAGAACCCGGCTCATCACTGGTCACCCCCTCTACTGACTGAGCCGGATCCTCTCGGGCCCTACGTAAGCCTACCACCTTTCTCGGCTTCATCTTCCCCTTACGAGGATATCCTCCAGTTCACTTCACCCCAGGAGAGAAACTTGGTGGGGCATTCTTCGCCTAATGTTCACGACTTTAGATATCAATGAATCGATTTGTTTTCTTTACCAAAGATCCATCATTATCTGCAGAACGCGATGAGCTTCATAATGGCCGTCCCGTCGATTAAGAACCCCGTCGCCAAGGCGAATCTGGACCTCATCCTGGGCCGCACCCGTGGAGTTGACCTTGCCGTTGAAGCGTTGCGTATGGCGCTGTTGGGTACGGCCGCTGTGCATCAATCCTTCCTCTGTTCACGAGGCCTCGCCCACGGTGGAGCTGACGAAGCGATGCAACTCGCCCTCACGTACCGCGCCAAGTCTAACCAACTGCTCTCCCTCGCATGCCGTTCGGCGGAGAGTGCAACGGACGACGCAGCCTTGGGGGCAGCTGCTGCGATTTGTCTAGTAGACGTGAGTGGCATGCTCCAGTCAAACGCGACGAACGCTCAATAAGTGGCTAGATCTTCTCGAGCGGGCGTGATTGGTCGGAACCGCTCGACAAAGCGAAGAAGCTCGTCCACTCAAGAGGCGGTCCAGCTGTTCTATTGGCGAGAAGTTCTCACGCACCGTTGTCGAGGCTGCTCCTAGAGATCGTAGCACTGTACGAGCTATTCGGTAACATACATCTGCAATACGTCTTCTACGCTTCTTGAACTCATCCGTGCTTCTCTCTAGGTTGTCTAGTGAAGGCGGAAGTGCCGACCCTTTTGGCACCAAGCGTAAACAATTGGTGGTGCGTGAACAACGCGTCGGAGGCAGTGTACATAATCCTAACGGACGATCGCAGGCTGGAACAAACGAGCTCCGCGGACACTCAATCACACGTGGAAGAAGGCTTCGGTATGTCTCGGGAGTTCGTCCCCGAGCTGGCTCGCGTACGTTATGAGTCAATCCGCCGTGGTCGCAAATCCGTTGACAACATATAGGTCGTCGCCTTTGTTGCCCGTGCCCTCAACCCGCGCTCACCCGGGGAGGAAGCCCAAGCGGGCTCCCCTCCGGCTACTGACGTTGCTACTGAGGCTCGCGCCCTATATCGGTCAATTGGTGACTGGAGCTCTTCACGGGGTGTCGCACCGGCGAGAGTCGGCGCAGGGGACCGCATTTACCAGAACGCCGCTCAGGTGAGAAGCTTCTGCGTATGCTTGGCGTGGGCACTGAACTGCCGGCGGGTTCTCAGATCGTTCTCCTGCGCGAAATTCTGCACGTGCCGCCAGAAGACGAAGTCGTGCAACAGCACGCAGATATCATACTGTCCCTGTGTCTGAGCTGTGGGCAGAGCAACATGAGCGTCGAGTATGTTCAATATTTCTCCTGAGTCTCGTTCGTCGTGACTGAGGATCCCTCTGTAGCCTCAACTGGCCTGTCATCATTGCAGGTTCGCAGATGTATGGCTCTGACCGAACGCGTGTATTGGCCGTCTTCGAATCTTTCAGGTTCGTGTCCAAGTCTTTTAAGTTGTGAAAGCAGATACTCATGTCTTACTCTAGGAAGCAATGTATGTTGGCTATGCTATCACATCAGCGCCTTATGCTCACCCTTTCTGTAGGTTGTTATGAGATAGAGACAGCGGAGTACATCGTATTGCAGGTCAGTTGGCTTTCCGTTACGAATGGCTATGCACGCTCTGAAACAGCGATCAGGTCTGGAAACGACTTGATGACAAGCAGCCTCGAGCGGACTGGAGAAGCGTGATGGAAGACAACGACCTGAAGCACCTCATCCTCTAGAAGAATCTCGTTGTGACCGTTATTGATTTGCTGTCGTGTTCATCGCTGTCATGTATCGTACTATATCATCTATACTATGTCAAGTTCTGATCACCGTGCACAGCTGGAAAACTTCAGGACCCCCTTCACAGTAGAGCCGCGTGGAAGTGTTTCAGCCGCCCTTCCGTGCAGATGACGGGGCCGCAGTGTCGCTGCGGGTGTCGACCATGGCGGCGACCTCTATCACAAGGTTAATCACACACTCGGGAGGCGGCTGATACCGGTGCGGTGCGCCATGGCTCCCAGTAACATCTCCAATCTTTGCTGCAATCGCTCTTGTGATGCGAACAGGAGCACATAAAATCTCAATGTGAAGGGTACGCCACGACGCCCCAGCTGACGCGGAACGGGGTCAGTGGGGAGTCGGGGTATCCCCAGTCCTGGGGGAATCCATAGCTTCGGCATCGCCCCATGAGATTGAGTTGGAGTCTGAAGGCCACGACGAAGAAGCAGTCCGGAGCATAGGTAAGAAGACGGGGTAAGTCATGTGTTGGAAAGGCCCAGTATCCTCCAAATCCATCGCTCCTGCACACCAGTGGCGGCTCTCGACAGATTGAAACCCGGGTGTCACGGCCTGCCTACCATTGCTGGCCAGTGAGTCGTTTGCGCACGACTCGTTGTTGTCCAAGAAATGCGCAGCTGACCTTGTGTCCATCTTGCGCTTCTCTGTCGCCAACGCTACACAGGGTAGAAGCCCCCGACTCGGATGACAGCATGGCGATGCTCCTCCCAAATCGCGGCGATACGTTCATAAGGATGCATGTATCGCTATGTGTCCGGTCTTAGTAGTACGTTATTCTACTTCTCTGGTGACAACAACGTTGAGCCCGCGGAGCAGTCCGTGCCAGTCGCTCAGACCGGACAAGAGACACCATTTTTTTAAGCTCCCAGTGAATACGAATCCATTCACAGGCACTGAGCGGAGCGCGTACGAGGTCACGATAATCTGGCGGACTTCGCTAGTGCGCCGACAGCTCTCTCCATGACAGGAACGTGGATGAAGCATCCAGTTGACACACGGTTTGACTGGCCGCGTCTTTCATGACAAAGCGTATGCTTTTCGACGTTTGTCGTACTGAGCCTGTCTCGCTGGATGATCAATGAACCCCTAATCGCGCAGATGATAGACGCATAGGTCTGTCAGTCTACTTGATGACGACAGTCAAGTCACATCACTACACCAAGCAGGCCCGCTGACGAAGTCGACGAAGCGGAAAGCAGTGTGGAGCGCTCACTACCGGGGACCGCGCGCTCTGCACTCATGTCATTGCAACAATGGCGCGGTGAGTCCAGGATGTCTCATCGGATTCTTCTCCTGTGAGTATCAGTCAACGTCAGATATGCTGATACACATACTATTCTGGTGGTCGCTCACCTGAGTCGGGGAACAGCAACTTACGAATATGCGCAGTCATCCAAGTATTGCGCCCACGCGCAGTGTCTTTGAGACGCGCTGAAGTCATCTAGGTCCGAAAGAGCCATATCAGATGTTGAAGAGAAACCACGGAGATATCATTGGTCGTCGCTCAGAGTCAGACCGATCTGTTGTGTTCGGGTCCTGAGCCCATACGCGCCACCACAAGGACGACGACGCGAACGGGCGCAACGCTTGTGCAGACCAGGCCAATGGAACTCTTGACTCGCAATGGGAAGATTATTCGAGTCACCCTATCCAGCAACCATCAACATACGATTTTTCAAACCCGGTCCGTTCGTCTTTTGTCACATTCAACACAATGCCGCGTACCACGCGGCACCAGCGTGTCTGAGCTGTTCCAGCCCAGTCAACGACGCCAGATTCGGACGATATTTGGGGTGGCAGAGTCGATGGTAGCTTGCTGATCGCCCGACACAGCCAAACCAGTGCGACAGTGCAATCATTCGGGCGAGAGACAATGAGAACATTGCACAGGACTCTACGCAGTCAGGCGCACAAAGACTGTATGGATTCCGAGTATGCTGCGTCCCCTGAGCAGCTAAGATTCGGACGGCAGTGATCACGGCGACACACCACAGGGCCAACACGGACGCGCGTTCGGTGGGAGTGAGTCGAAGGAGAGCGGCACCCGGGATGACTCCTCCTGCGTGTTTGGCCGTGTTTGTTCGGTGGCTGTTGGGCGAGCGTGATGTGCTCGCCTGCTCAGACTGACTCTCCTCTGACTCCTGCTGCCTTCATAACGCCTCGCCACCTCGCCTTTTGTCCTCGCAACTCCTCGCTGCAACTCCCAAATAACTGCCTCCTCGGGTTCGTGCTCCTGAAGCAGCGAACTTGAGATCAACCGGATCGTCCTAAGTCTGTGACTTCGGACAGTCCGTTAAACAAACAAATCGCAATGTTCTCTCAGACCGCATCCCAGCTCAGATACCCCCACCCGTCCCTCGTCTCGCTCCGCCGTGCTTCTAAATCACTCTCGTTCTCCAGCTTCAACCCATCTCTCCCCATTAACACTATCATTATCCCCCAGTCAACTTCGCCGGCCTATGCTCCTTCGTTCTGAGCTCTGAAGTTACATGCTACTCTAGTTTCCCAAGCCCCGATTCAACTCACCGCTCCGCCATCGTCTCTTGCCTCGGAATGCATGCCGTCTCACATTGCCTGCCCCATCGCGGCCCTGGCGCAACGCGCGCGAGGGCCCGCTGGCAGCCTTACTCTTCTGTTGCGTTATCGTCTGGTCTCAACACTCCGCCGCGTACCTCACCCTCCTTCCCCTATCTTCCAACTCCGGCCTCATCTATATGCTCCTCACCTCCCACTATCCAAGTACATGCTGTATGCGATCCAGATTCTCTCAAAGTCCACCAATCAAATCACGCTTCTCGGGCCGGTTCGTTGCGCGACGCGCAGAAATCGCGATATGTCACTGGTCTCGTCGGTGAGTCCTGCATGTTCATCTAGGTCTTCCTACAGTCACTGCTCGATGCGTCATACGGACGACGTTTGTTGATAGCGGTCTGGCCGTCGCTACGGCGGGTGCTAAGACATGGTCTTGTTCGCACAGCCTGGCACGGTTGCACGCCCTCCCTACGCTCTCCTCGTGCTTTCAAACATATAGCCAGGACCCAAAGCAGATCAGCTCATTCTTCTTCTCACGACAGATCAAGCCATTCGCTCATTGTGCGACACCTGGCGCCCCGAAAACATACCCTCTGCCTTCACTCACCCTCCCCTCTCGACCGCGTCTGGCGACTCCTGCTCTACAACCGGGGTTCAGCCAGTTCGCCACGAACGCTTACATGATGCTGTCCAATTGCTATCGCCCGTGTCTCCCTCCACCCAATCGACCGCTTCCCCCACTTCCACCGGCCCCTCCAACGTCTGCAACACTCTGAGTGGCGACAATGCGGCCTGCATCAAGGGCTTTGTGCACGAGGTCCTTCGTCGCTCGCGCACGTCTGTGGGCGTGTTGCAAACGGCGCTTTGCTACCTGGAGGCCGTACGCACTCGAATTCCCGACGTTCTAAGGAAGGACGAACAGCAGGACCTCGACGATGCTTCGAACCTGGCCCGGATCATCGTGGAGGAACAAGTGGACGAGCAATCCCGTTCAAACAGCACCCGCGAGGTCTTCGCTGAAGATGTTGACACCGTACGTATGTCGGACCATACTGATTCGGATCTGGCATCTTCGCCCGAAGACCCTGTCGGTGTAGCTACACGCGGAACATCTGCAACGCCTGCCCTACCACCACTTCCCCTTCAGCCGTCCCCGCTTCTCTGTCCGCGTCGGACATTCCTGGCATGCCTCATTCTCGCTACGAAGTTCATGCAAGACCGCTCGTACTCCAATCGTGCCTGGGCGAAGCTTGCTGGCCTACCGCCTCGCGAGATCGGCCGGTGCGAACGCGCTGTCGGCAACGTGCTCGAATGGCGTCTCTGGGTCGGAAAAGACCTGAACGTCGGGACGGGCACCTCGAAGCGCCCCTTGCTTCGGAGCAAGAGCGACGGCGACGTCCTCAACACCGCTACGGCACATATCCCAATTTCGGTTTCCTACCTTACCCCTCCGGCGACTCCGCTTGCCTTCGGGGATGGGAAGGACACCACCAGCGTCGATCACGGGCCGTTAGGGCCATCTCAGGCGGAGAATCCGCGCGTTCGCAACTTGCGGCGCTGCGCGACCATCGCCTCCGTCAGCGTCGAACCGCCTGTCGCACGCGCATACGCCCACGGACAGCTCCTCTCTGCTCCCTTGGTGGAGGAACCGGTGGGTTACGAAGGTTCGGACGCGCGCCCCTCGACATCCGCCAACAGGTTCGCTGCCGCGTACGACTGCGGCGCACCCTCGCCACAATGGTTCACGCCTCCCCTGACCTATTCACCGATGTCGACATCTTCTGCGTCCTCCGACGGCGCTGACGACCGCACCGTGCAACTCGCGGACTTCCCTGAGCTGTCTGTGAACGCCGGGTTCTCTGCGGGCAGCACCGATGCATGGCGCAACAGGTCGGACGGCGAAGCTTTCGACGCGGCATACCCGAAGCCCAGTGGATTCAACTTCCTGGGACCCCAGATGAGTTCGGCCCACCCTCCGGCGATTGTCGACGTGAATGCTCCCTATCTTGCTCCGACGGACACTGGACCGTTTCAAGTACCTCCGATTTCCGTAGGCTTTCCGTTCTATGGCTGATGGCGACTTGTATTACTACGTTTCTGTTGGTTCCCTGTCCTCTCGGTCGTTCGCGAAAGGGAGGAGAGTGGGGCAGGAGTTTTTTTAGACACGGATGCTCGTCTCCTAATATGTTTGTGCCTCTTGTACATATTGTTGTCTCCCCTTGCGTCCTCTCTGTTGTTCATACTCGTGCTCACCAAATCCTTGTCAGTTATTCCACGTTCATTCGCGCCGTTTGGCGAGCGCGTGCCGTCAACGTCGCCTGTACCCTGAAGATGAGTCCGTAGACGTCTTCGCTCCTGGTGCGTAGTTCGAGGCCTCGCACGACTTCGCCGTCAAACCCAGTCGCCGTCCATGCATATTCTGAACGACGTGCGGGTGCCCGCCTCCGCGAGGATGTATGTCGTTTCAGTTGAACCTTCAGTGAACAGTCGCCGGGGGATCCATACTTCGTCGACACCGTGGTCCGTGGATTCGACCCAAGGTTCCTACATGTGAGTCCTGACTCGCTACTGTTCACGTTCCATTGATATCATATCACCTTGTCAAGCAGCATGGCTTCTTGAGGGTTGCGCGGCGGCTACTTGCACTTCGAAGCACCCTCATCACGACAGTTTGTCAGGAGCATATGACATGCGCCTGCCTATGGGCCAACGGAAGCGAGCGCGTCGTTCGCCGCTCGGTACCGCTGAGACCGTTGAACTCCTGATGAAGGTCCGCGAACTCGGGGCTGAGCGGCTCTAAGGACTGCGCAATCTATCCACATGAAGGCCCCTTACGTGGTGAGTGAGCCCCTGTCAGTGTCGTACAAGTTCTCCTTTGGCGGGTGGACAATTTCAGGTCGGCTCTCACCCTCCCATGACCGCAGACGTGAGACGGTGGTGGAGTGTGCTATCCAGGTCGTCGCATGCGTTGACCTCCACGAGGCGAGCCACGCTTCAGTACTCGAGCGTACTATGTACGAGGGCCAGCACCGCGCGTCGGAAGGTACGCACATGGTTCGCACTACGACAGCAATGCTGAGTCTGCCCGAGTCCAGGCTGCAGTCCACCATCGACAAAATCCTTGATGCACGCTGTCTCCGGTGCGTCGGATGAGTCGTCAGTCCTCTTTCTCTGGCGATGACGAACGTCTCCCTGGTTACCCTGCATGTTGCAGCCGACCTCATGGATGACGCGTGGTGATGATGCTCTACTACGATGACTCATGGAAGAAGTCGAGGACGGCGCATGCATCACTACGTATCGTGCACCCCAGCTGAGGGCATTGCACCGTCTCCAGACCAGACACGATCGTTCGGTGGGCAGGGATACCCCAAGGTGACGACCCTTGCCGCAAGCACGAGCGGCCGATTTGCAAGAGCGAATGCATATTCGATGTGCCGCCCTCCGCTGCTAATGGATACGTTCGACCTAGAGGAACAACTCCTCTCTTATGCGAGATTACTCTCGTATAACTCCTATCGCCGTAGGGACCCTTCGGCGCGTCCGGTGACAACCAACAGCCGTCAGTAAGGCATGTCTTTTATTGTCAATTTGAGGGCTCGTAACTCGTTGACCAACCACCGCTATTGGTACGGCAATTTCTCGCTGTACAGGATGTTGTATTTCGCGCAGACACCGCCTCTTGCTGACTCTCCATGGAATTTCCCAGGGCATTTACGGCTCATATCAACTCTCAGGCTCTCATATCGACTGGTTCGATGACACGACTGACGAGCTCCTGCCGCGCTGTAGACAAGCTCTTGCCAGGTAACTGATTTGTGCTCAGAGTCTCGCTCCCTGCACGTTCAATGCACGCGGCGAGAGACCCGGGATACTATAACCTCCGTGCCACGTTGTCACTTTCGTCTCTGGATGCTTCTGATGAATTCTTAGTACCCCTCTTCGATAGGGTTCCATTCTCGGACGCAGATTCGATCATGGTATGCAATCTTCAAATGCTTACGCGGAGAAACTCGAGGATTGACCGCCCGTCGTTCCCTCAGGTCGTGCCAAAGCCCTGGAGGATTGTTGGCTAGCGCACAGAAGACTGAGCTTCGAGACTCCCGATGCTCTTAGAGGCCTCCAAGTCAACGCTCTCCGCTCTCCGCTCTCCGGAGGACGACAGTGCGGCGGTTCCGCGATCTAGCGCCTTAAGCACAGAGATCCGATTGTCTCTGGGTTCTTCGTCAATCAGCTTTAGGGTGCGCATGGATCGACCGGATCGGACACCAGTCCACGGCTGAAGTTCGCGACGGTCCGCATGCTAATGGGCGCCGAAATGGACGCGCTACGCTGCAAGCCCTCTCTTACGCCTCTGGACTGGGACGACCATGGGACAGTGATTTCGACTTCAACTTAGACTGAGGGGATGCTAATGCGATCAAGACAGCGGTTGAATCAGAATGTGCTAGTAAGTCGCTGAGGGTCTGAAACTTAATAGAGCCGTCAATAGGACTCTGATAGACTCCGTTCACTTGGCTAAAATGAGTGACATTACGAGTATTAGCATGAGGAGGAGACCCCAGTATTTTCGGGCTGACTGTGCACCCGCCTCTGAAGGTGCTATCGATACATTCTTTGCGATAACAAGTGGGTCTAGACGGTCACCGGTTCTACGGGAGCCACACTCTATGAAGCAGATACCTTGTTTTGGCGAGGTCATTGTCCTCGTTGCTTAGATAAGCGACGACAATAGGCCAGGCCGTTGTTTTGGCATTGTTTGGCGGTGTGGGCGCGCTCGCCATACACGTTGAAGTCGGCGGGCCCAAGCTCGTCGCTTATAATGCTCGGTCCGTCGTCGACGTCGCCCTCCTTTGCTTACCATCAGTCAATGTCCACGTCGGGCTGCACCCTCACATCCCTGCATAATTGCTCGCTCTCACATCACCTAACATGTCTACAAGCTCGCACAGCGACTCCGCGTCCACGTCGCGCTCCCCACCTATGAAGGCCTCCCGCAGAATGTGGCCGTCTGCCGACGACCAGGCTCATCGCCAGGAATCACCCGGCGTAGATCCCCGCCTGCTCATTGGGAAAGTCCTTAAGGGCATCCGTCGGTCGCCCGCTCACCCCTGCGTCACACTCTACTTCACCGATAACACCTCATACCAAGTTCGTGTCGACGGCTACGACCCGAAACATCGCGGCATTCCGAAAACGCTCGAGTCAGACTCCAACTTCGAGCCGTATCTCGCCAGCCCAGGCGAGCACTTTGACGTCCACCTCACCGTTGTCAACGCAGCGAAGGTCACGCTGTCGGATAAGGCGTTCGATGCGGGCGGAAGGGGGACCAGGTGGGACCAGGCGCATTCGGGGATCGCGCTGAAGTTTGAGGAGGATGGGCATTGGCGTTGCATTTGGGCGCAGCTGGCGGAATACGACGATCGTCACCCTGTAACATGCACGTTCCGGAGCTACCACGATGTCTACCTTGACGTGGTCCGACCACCCTCCAAGAAGCCCAAATCAAACCGACGGAGGGGCCGTAATCGGCGTTGAGTTGCTCTGGTGTAGGTTTGAACAGGTGGGCCGTATTCGCCGTGCCGTTGGGTATCAGTTCTAACTTTCTTCGACCTGACAGTATTGGGGTGCAGATGTGTGATGACTGCCATTTGGTTCGTGACGGACACTTGAGCTGTATCCCAAGAACTCTCTACCTTGTACCTTGTACGCGCGTGTACGATTTCCCGATATCTCTGTTGTACCTTGTACTAGTATTGCACGGATGGAAGACAAATCTTATTGACATTGGAATGGTGCCTGATTCCTCATAGTTGACACTCTGTCACCAACCATTTGATGCTGGATATCGTGCAAGCCGATAGTAAGACTGTGACCACGATTGCGGTATGCGAATCGGTGTTCCTGTGAACTAGAATTAGTTCACTAGCGCATCGCGATGCACTTCGCATCCACCTTACCGTCGTATGAGCGGCAGAGATCGCGACTTCAGCGGGAGCCCTCGATATGCATACGTTCGAGAGGTCAAGAAACTCCTTGCTGCTGCAAACGATCTGCGTCAACAGCGGAGCGAGACGTATCGGCTCAGAAGCGTACCTGCGCCTCCAGAATCACATTGACCGCCGTGGACCGTGGACTGGTCCCGACTGGTCCAACCAAATCCGGATGTGTACCTGTCAATCTCCCCTATGTACTAACTTTCGAGGGGCGGGGACTTCCTCTTCAGGGCTTCACGTAAACACCACAGCGAACAGGCGTCCGCGTCATCGAGTAGACGCTGCAGGGCTCCGTCCAACGTCGGCTCGGTCGTCGTGTGAAGACATGCACTGTGGTTCGTGATGCTTGCGGCGCCAGAAGACCAGCCAGGTCGTCGTCACAATCGCTGGGGTCGCTGAGATTGAATGTCGAGTAAGACGCCTCTGTCATGTAAACGCTCCAGCGCAAGCTTTAGGCAAAAAGCGGACGCCAGCCAGGGCCGGCGTAGCTCTCGTTGCGGGTTATCGTGGAGGCAGCTAGCAACGTATTGGACGTTCGGCGGCTCGTTGAACGGGATAAGGGCTGCAAGGTGCATGTTAGCCATTGCTCGGATGTCTATGTTTGGGCGTACTCACCACTGTCCTTCAAACTGCATCGGGGTGTGGCGATCGCTGGGAAGCCGTCAGTAGATCGGTGACAAAGCGCGAGCATAAGGCATGGAAGCATCCTCGAACCCAGAGAATGCAATTAATGATGCAGATGTAACTGCCAAAGCGACTGAATGCGCAAGGGTCCCGTACGCACGTATTGGCACCTGCAGCCCAGGAGGGTGTAACGAATAGCCCCGTCGTCGGGCTTTATGGTAGACTGCGGAGGTAATCGACCAGCGGACCGCGTTTTCCCCGGTCGGCCTAGCACAGATGAATGGTATCATTATGGCAGGAAGTTTTCAAGAGCACTGAAAGTTTGCAAATGCACCGCCTTCCAGACTAATCAAAGGTGGGAGCTGCGGATGGTCATTTCCTCGGGCCTTACGGCACAGAGTGGATCACCGCTCTTGCCCGGCATAGAGATAGAGTGAAAGATGGGCAAGCGGCATGAACCGTGAACGCGGTATGCTGGCCTTCATCCAGTGGAGAAGGTAGCAACACGATTGCAGCCCGTACGGGGTCATGCCGCCTGAGTGTATCACAGCAAAACAGACTCAGAGCCTGTATGATTGAACCTGGGCGGAACTCCGCCTCTGTACAGGTGTATGCTAAGTAGGTAGTAGAATTGACCCAAGTCGCTGCTAACCTTGGGCGCAGGAATGCCTTCGCGATGGTTGTCAACAGCGGCTCCGTTAGCTGACCCACATGCATCAGATTCAGACCACGACGCACCATCAGTCCCAAACGGTTGGCCACATATCCTGGTGCTTGCATGAACATAACAGTGATGTCACTCCAGAACACGCGCCGGCTTACGGGGCAAATGATCGCGCCGGCACGTAATGAAACGCTGGATAGTCACCAGCGCAAGGTAACCACGCTCCGGGTGACTGTCGGAGACGGGGAGGTCGAGCGGAGGGTTTGTGATGCTGACAGGAGCAAGTGTCGCATGTAGACCACTTGGACACCTGGGCCGACGTAGGCTCCGGTTCGGCCTCTCTCGGTGACAGGCTGCCATTCAGAGATCCATTCTACACTAAGCAAGAATTAGTGCGAACGGAGCTGAGGCGATGGAGCTTTACTAAGGACGTGTAAGGCGAGCGTCCATATTCTGACGGCTCTGGCATCGCACTCGTTGTCGAAACATATAGTATCGGAGATGGCAGTCTACCTGGAGAGCCTGCATCTGGACGTCTCTACGGGACAATCGGTCATGCGTGAGGATCGCGCAAATTTGATGCAAGTTAATAACTCACCAAAGTACCTGTGCGCCTTGGTCGTCCGTGCTCGGACCGTGGGCCACTCGCCCAATACGGCAATTTCGCGACTTAGACAAGCATCCAAGTATTATGTCTCATAGCCGCGATTGCAGAAAGAGGACACGGAACACAGACGACGTTCGAATGAGACCTCGAAAGGCGGTACTTCCGGCAGTGGTACTTTACGCAACCACAACCCGGGGTCACGTTCGAATAGAGTTGCGATCGCGAAGATCAAGTTGCATCGCACGGGGATAGAACGTTCTTCAGCTTCTCGAATGCGAAGGGGCGATTGAGTCGAGAGATACGGCCTAGAGTACGCACGCGGCGAGGAAGGCTGCTGCTGCTGCCAGGCTGCGAGAAGGCCGCAAGCCAGGAAGGCCAGCGGTTCCCACGGTTTCTATGTCTTCGCCTAACCAACGGTCTCTATCCCGGGTGTCGCTCGCCTCCTTGACTCCCAATAATCTCGGTATAATACATCATCTTCCTCTTGCGCTGCATCCTGACTCTCTCCAGGGACGGTACGGAAGCTGAACTCGGTCCTGTTTCCGATCAAGTACAGCGAGAAGTTCTATCAGGATGTCTTGCTACCGGAGGCGGAGGAGTTCTGCAAACTCAGTGCGTCGTTGCGACTTGTCTGAGAAGTGCTGCTCACACCATCGGCACAGTCTACTACAATGACATCCCCGTAGGCACAATTTGCTGTAGGATGGAGACGGTGGAGGACAAGACGAGATTGTACCTGATGACAATGGGCGTACTGGCTGTGAGTGGCGTGTCCCTGCCTGTCGACTCTGGCTGACCTCGTCATTCAGCCGTATCGCTCCAGAGGCCTCGGGTCGTATGCACTGCAACATGTCCTCAAAGCTGCGGCGAACAACACAAAACCAAAAATCAGCGACATTCACCTTCATGTCCAAGTCTCCAACGACGGGGCTAAAAAGTTCTACGAGCGACATGGGTTCGAAGAGAAGAGCGTTTACAAGGGTTACTACAAGAAGATCGTCCCTCACGATGCTTGGGTTCTGGAGAGGGAGATCGAGGCTCCCAGTAAAACGGAGTGAGATTGTAGGGTGCTAGATACAGGAGGTAAGTGATACAGTATATACAAGTCAGCGATCCGCCCAAATTCTAAGATACCCTGTAATTGCAGACGTGCGGTGGGCGACCGAGTGCTACGGTAGTGGTCGTGTGTACGGATTACAGGTCGCTTTCATAGGTCCAATCCAGACTGAGGTTAGTACAGTTGAGATGAGCCGGTTCTCGTAATGTATCGGCGCAATGAAGGGCAAATGATGTAAATCTATCACGATGTAAGTCGCCTGCATCACCGTCAAGCGTCGCGTACTCACAGATATGATAACAGGTTACAATAGAGTGCTTGCTCAGGCGGTGTCTTCGTCGATCCCACATCTTTTGACGAGCTGCGGAGTCATCAGCGAACGCGATTCGGATGCGACTTCTCTCGGGACGTACCTGGTGACGCTTTAACGCGTCCTTCCTCGTGAACGTCTTCCCGCACCCCCCGTTGCACACGAATGGCTTCTCGCCAGTGTGCGTATCTCGATGCCTCTTCAGGTCGTGCTGCCTATTGAAGGACAACGCACACATGTCGCACGAGAAGGGCCTCTGCGGCGACGCCGGATACTGCGACATATTGATCTGCTGTGCGTAGGCCGCATGACTCGGGTACACCCCGGCCGCATGCGTCGGGACGGAGGGCGAATGCGGAGGCGACGATGAAGGGACCCCGTAAGGATGCGCCGAGCGAGGGCGACTAGGTGAGTGCGCCGACATCCCGTGCGGACTCTCCGCGTGATACCCGGACGGGTGATGCATCGACATCGAGAGTGGTCGGTCGGGTCGCGTGGAGTATGTGTAGTTCAGTTGCGGATCGGCCAGCTGGTAGTTGGAGTGGCTGGACATCGCGTGGGCTTGCGCGGCGGACTGGTCGTACGGGGCTCCTACGACGCTATGTGGCCTACCGGACGGGTACGTTGCGGAGTAAGAGGGAGAAGAGTACTGATCGGCGTACGCGAGGTGGTATTGGCCGCTGGCCAGATGAGAGGCGTTATAAGCTGCGTTGGCGGGAGCGGCATAATGATGAGTGCGCCGGTCCGACATGATGTGCGGGTAGGGGGGATATCGAGACAAAGGTCGAAATGCCACTCACATTTTGTATGTTCCGGAGCCGCTCGATTGCATACTCAAATACAGGGCGCGCAAGTCAGGCACGATCTCACTGCCACAAAGGCTTTGGACCGGTATGACGGACGCTGGCCGTTCAGGGTTCTGAATGCGCACAAATGAAGTATAGCAGAACTAACATATGATACGTCAACCGCGGAACTGATGCTGTGTATTGTGTATTACGGCGGGCAACCATAACAAGTTAGTTTACCGCTTCCCTTCTATTACGGTGGGGGTCGCCGGAAAGGAAGACATAAGTAGCGGGTATCCAACTCTTCCCTCAATCTAGCTATAAAGGTAGAGGGCAGGGCCGATCATACTGCCCGCTTCGAGCGGGCCAGTGCGCTAGCCAGGAACGCGCAAGCACATTGATCCGGTCAGGCCGCTCAAAACACTCCTGTACTCAGATCATTTCACAATTGCAACATTCAGAGTGTCGTCAAGTCCGTACGTACTCGCTGTAGCTTCCTTCACTATATCCGTGATTTATAGCTTGCAATTGGAGCAGGTACGCGCACCTGTCGATACCAGCCGACGTCATCAAGTGAGCGGTTCCGTTGGCACGGAATCATGGTGTCCTGAAAGGAAGAGGTCTCATTCTAGGCAGATAAGATTCTATCGTCTGACACGTTTGCATCGGGGCTTCCTGAGGATCGCAGATGTGGGCTGCCATGGGATAGGCTTCTGCGATGCGGCCGCGCGCCCGTCTCAGTGCTACAGTCTCCAGAACCCGAGGTCATCAAGGAGCCCCGGGCATAATATTCAAATGTCAGTTGCCAGGGTCTGAACATCCCTCATAAATCCAATGTGACATACTGCGACCGCAGGGTTTTGATAAGGGAATATGATTGCAGTTTCAGCGCAGCGTTAGTCCCACTTGCTTAGCAGCGCAGTTCGAACTATAATGGGGCTGTCAGCCATCATTTACGGAATGTAACGTGAACCCCTGTCTGGCGGTCACGTCTGACCTGGAGAGGCGCTAGACCTGCGGCACGAAGGTGCGATTTCCATTGTGTCGTCCGCCACATACGTCCGAACGGTGTGGCGTTCGGCTTGGCAGTCCCGTTCAACTCCCGGAAGCAATCATGCTGCTCGGCCGCGATGCTTCTAGGTGCACGATCCCCACCCCCAGAGACAAACCCTTTAGTACAACTGCACGGAAGCAGTGCTGGCACGGGGGACCATGCCATCAATGGCCGTAGCGCTGTTGAAACGGCTTCACATGAGCATTGAGCGGATGTGATACGTACTCCGCGGAACGCACTGTCATTGCAACGGGGCGCCAACGTTTGGAAACACAGTCCAATTGCACACTTGTTATGCAGGACACCGCGCGTGTGGTTGCTCGCCGTGGTCGTTTGTCGTGCGATGATCATGGCGACAGAGTTACGGTTTCGTAGACGCTGATGGCCGTGCTGATGCCGTGCCCCGGGTTATGTTTGAAAAGATCGAAAGAGAAAACGCCGCTGTGGCAGATGCTGAAAGGGGTATTTATGACAGACGAGCCTAAGGCCAGGAACGCTGTCAGGAGGAGGAGGGATGCCAGCCTAGCGCATTTTGACTGGCAATACCGTGTTGGCTGGCCCGGTGTTCTGCCGCAGAGGAAGTCGGGTAGTGTGGAAGTACCATCAAAGTGCAGCATAAATGCTTGCTCTGGCTGCGCTAGCGTGATGCTCGAGGCCAGCGTCCGGGCGTAGTGGTTAGTGCGAACACTGACAGGCGCCGCCCGCCCATGCACAGCACTTGCCATATTCGGTGTGAGCGCCGAGAAGCACGGGTGTTGTCCACTTCTTCGATCTGCAGCGCTCGCTCTGACGTCCATCCTCAACAACCGTGGCGGGTTCTTGCCATCTTCTGACATTCATATCAGTACTCGTCATTGCTCATATGCATTACCTCCATCCGGCCACTGCCTGCGCTAGGCCATGATATTGAGAACGACAGCCAAGTACACCTGGAACACTATGCCCAAACGTGCGTTAGCTTCACCGTCGTCCAGCCCAACGAAGAAGAAAGTCAAGGTCACCGGACAGCAATATAGTCTTGACCAATTCTTCGGGGGGTCCTCATCTTCGCCCGGACCATCCCGTACGCTGCCCAACAGTCCCTCGAAAGGAAAAGCCAAGGCTACCGTGACTTCGCAGACATCTCAACTGTCGAACGCTGATGAACAGCGGCGTCATACATCTACAGCTCGTGGCACTAGCCCTATTGTCCATGACTCCGACGCCACCTTTGCATGGAGCCTCGCGGAAGAAGATGGCCTTGACCTTGATAAGCTGACGGAGCTCGAGGAGTCTGCGAAGCGCAAGTTGACCCAGCGACCGCCACGACCTCCGGTAGAAATCATAGACGTAGACAGCCTGAGCGACCAAGAGACCCTTGCTGCGCCTGGACCGTCCATCGCCGGACCCTCTAACACAAGGGACAACGTCGACCTGGCTGGTCCCCAAAACCCGGGTCATCAGACTGAGGCCGCATCAAGCGCTGCAGTTTGCCCGACTCCCGTCCTAGGTGGTTCTCATCAGGATCCATCAGCGGACCCAGTCTACGGACGTCTAGACGTAGACCCTGTGTCTTATGTGGTCCTTGACAACATCTGGCCGTCTGGCCGGCTAGTGCCGTACTCTTTCCTTGCTCATACGCTGGCTACTCTATCGGGGACTCGGTCCCGCATTGTAATACTGAATACGTTGACCAACTGTCTGCGGACCATCACGAAACACCATCCACAGTCCCTACTCCCCACGCTCTACCTCCTGTCGAATTCGCTCTCACCCCCGTATTCTCCGCTCGAGCTCGGACTCGGTGGCTCGACTATATCCAAGGCGATCCAACATGTCTCAGGTCTGTCAGCCTCCGCGCTGAAGCGGCTGTACAATTCCACGGGAGATCCGGGTAGGCACTGAACATGTTACTGTAGCAACATATTGAAATAAATTACATTTGCTCAGGAGATGTTGCGTTCGAGGCCAAGTCAAATGTGCGGACACTCATACCCCATCCCCCTCTTCTAGTTACCGGAGTCTACGAGTCCCTCTTGAAGATCGCTCGCGCGAAGGGGCAGGGAGCCGCTAAGCAGAAGCAGAGCATCGTCGAGAAACTCCTTGTCGCTGCGAAAGGAGAGGAGACCCGCTTTCTTGTCCGGACGCTATGTCAAAATCTACGTGTCGGCGCCGTGCGGACGTCGCTCCTGACGGCGCTCGCCCGCGCAATGGCACTGACACCGCCGCCTGGCGTCGTTTCAGCAGACTCCAATACCTCGTACTACGTGACAACGAAACAGCTGGCGCAGCTCGATCAGTCCGCTGCCACTTCGAAGAAGAAGGTGGCAGATCCGGCGAGAGACAGCATCAACGCAGCATACACTCAGGCTGAAGGGTTGCTGAAGAGAGTTTACGTCCAGCATCCAAACTACGATGACATCGTGAAGACACTACTCGATGTCGGCTTGGACGGGCTCGCCTCCCGAGTCCCTCTGTCGGTCGGTGAGTTCCGTGTTCGAAGCGTTTCACACAAATTTTTGACGAGCTGTACAGGCATACCTCTTCTACCGACTTTGGGGTCCCCTACGCGCTCACTCGACGAGATCTACGACAGGCTGGGCTTCTTGCCATTCACCGCAGAGTTCAAATATGACGGTCAGCGCGCCCAGATACACGCGTGGAGGGAAAGTGGACGAATATCGGTGAAGATCTTCTCCCGACATCTCGAAGATATGACGGACAAGGCAAGCACTGTGCTTTCAGTCTGATTGAGTGATGAATTTCCTGATCGTCAAAAGAGTAGTACCCCGATATCATCTCGCTCATCGAGCATATGTTTGAAGCGGCTAAGACCACGCATTCATTTATCTTGGACTCGGAGATCGTGGCGATAGACCCTACGGATGGACGCCTGAAGTCCTTCCAAGAGTTGTCAAATCGGGCGCGCAAGGACGTCAGGATCGAAGACGTGAAGGTCGCAGTTTGCGTGTATGCTTTCGACATCATGTACCTTGACGGCGAGGTGCGTGCCACCCATTTGTGCGTCGTTGCGGCGCTCGGCTGAAGAGGGAGCAGATCCTGCTTCAGAAACCGTTCCGCGAACGCCGAGCGCTATTGCGTACAAGGTTTCCGTCATACGTCCCTGAGCGCAGAGATGCGGCAAGGTTCAATCACGTCCAGAGCTGCGAAAGTGAAGACGGTCGTGACACCGTCGAGGAGTTCTGGCAGGCTGCGGTGGCAAGCTCATGCGAGGGGCTCATGATCAAAGTCAGTATCTCCATACACGCTAGCGCAGACATCAGGGTGGCTGATTGGCTTCTTGGGGCAGCTCCTAGACAGCGGAGAGGTGCTAGAAGAAGTGAGCCAGAAGGAAAGGCCCCGGCGAAAGCCCCTCCCTGCTACATATGAGCCTGGTGCGTCGATGGATGATCGTTGATGGATATCAGCGCCGAGGCTGATGTACGTGCATTCAGACAAACGGACATCCGCATGGTTGAAGCTGAAAAAGGATTACGTGACCGGCCTCGGGGACAGCCTCGATCTTGTGCCCATCGGGGCATGGCACGGCAATGGCAGGAAAGCTCAGTGGTGGAGTCCTATCTTGCTCGCTGTATGGGACGCCGACGCAGGGAAGCTTGTAGCTGTATGCAAATGCATGTCGGGTGAGTCATGGTTACCATCTGTTCCGCTCTGGCTCGCAAACCACCCAAATAGGATTCACGGACGTATTTTACAAGGTGCGAAGGGCCCCGCGTTGCACAGCGTGCTTATGATCTAAAAGCAAGCTCTACTTTTAGAGTCTGAAAGAGCGCTATCCGGAGCACTCGGAGACGTGCTCGCCACAGCCTTTATGGGAACCAGCGTGCGAGACGGGAGGTAACAGCATCGCGTGCCCGCTCAGGTCCATTCGGAGTTGACTCGGTGATGCCTATAGGACTGAAACCAGAAGTCTATTTCAAACCGCAGGAGGTCTGGGAAATTCGTGGTGCTGAGTATGTGTAACCCACGATGGACCACTGCGGAGAAGGTTGCTGACGTCGAGGGCAGCATCACGATTAGCCCCGTCTCCGTGGCAGCCCTCGGTCTCGTGAACTCTAACAGGGGGCTGAGTCTCCGGTTCCCTCGTTTCATCCGTGTACGAGAAGACAAAGCCATAGAGAACGCCAGTACACCGGAATTCCTCGCGCAGATGTACCGCAAACAAGAAGCGAGAGGGAAAGACAACACTGGTGCTGACGACGGCGATCTCGTAGACGTCTATGAGGGGCCCAGTGGCGAGAGTCTCAGCGAAGATTCAAGCGAAGGTGTGTCATGACTGCGACTTATTCAGTTCCTTCTCTTCTTGGAACTTCTTGGACTTGCTGGAGTGTTGTGTCTTGTTGCGAGCTCTCCTCTTCTCATCCCCATACAGGAGCCGGGGCTGGAGCTGGGAAGCCGGGGCTGTGAACGATATCGCCATGTATATTACACTGTCCATGCATCTTCGGTATAACGGGTCGCGTCGTGTGCTATGTCAACCTGTATCGGTCAATAGCAAAGCGGCCCCTTGTGGTAGCTGAATGGGACGTCCGTTTGTTTTCCTGGCATATCGTCACCGACCGTGCCCACGCCTCCTCAACCTCTCCTGACAATGGCCATGCCCATCGCGGTCGCTGCCTCGTCAGGCGGAATTTGTCATGCATCGGTGTGAAGCTGCAAAGCCCAATCTAAAGACATGAATGCCAGATTCCTGCTGTTAGTGGTAGTACGAAGCCAGTCTCACTGCCACCGCCACAACGGAACGCCACAAAGGGAACGGTCACGGCCGCCTGCTACCGGCGCCACGACGCTCGCAGCATCGAACGACTCTGTCATTGACTACTGCTTTGTCTGAGTATTGACTGAACCTTCACGCGTCACGCCTCCGACGAACGGTGCACTGGCGAGCATTGTGCGTCGAAGAGCTATCTGCGCGAGCGAGAGCTTATCCTGTGCTACTCAGCCTTACAAGCCGCGCGGGTGACCACTTACCATTTCGGCTCTCCTACGTCCCTTGGACTCTTCCATCTAAATTCGGTGGATCTGTTTCTATTCGCTGCTTAGTAGACTATTGTTTGGGGCAGTTGGACTCAGGTACCGTACAATCAAGCTCCGCACTCGAAGGCTCTCCAGTCTCACACACGAGGATCACCAGACAACCATTGCGGACCCCTGCGCACAACCTCGGGCCTTAGCTAAGTCCTCGCCTTCCATTATACCGCCTAACTGGATTCTCCGCCAAGCTATATCGTCATCTCCTGGGATCCTGCTGCCTCAAGATGGTCATCCTTCGTGCATTCCTCATTGCAGCCGCGCTGTGCGTAACCCGAGCCGTGTCTGGCCGCGAGACTGTACAAGATGCAGGTACAGATAGCCGCATGTTGGTGCATATGATACGTGCTTACGATCAAGTCAGCTGTACTGGCCAGGACTTTGGTCGATCTATCGCCGTCCAGTATCGGGACGATGGCTACCATGTTCCCCGATGACCATGCAACCTTGGCAGGTGAGAGCCGCCCCTCTGCACTGGTGGTCTTCCTTCACGGACGCTGTTAATCCCTGCTTATTACAGGCCAGCCATTTTCCTTGCAAGAGTACTACGCTAGGTACGTGCTTATCAGCACCCATTCGCGAGCGATACTGAGTCCCTACCACCCAGCTGCCATGCTAATGGCTCTCTGGTCCTGCTCTTCATGCCGATCTCTCGCGCGAGCCAGAACGTACTGCACTCGGACACTCGCTCGGTCTCAATCTCGGTCATGGACGCGCATCCGGACGCGAGCCGTCCTCGTGTATCGCTAATCGGAAACGTGACGGTCTTCACCGATGTGGACGCTATCCCTGACGAAGAGGCGATGAAGGCCTGCTACGTTGCGAAGCATCCCGATGCTCGTCGCTGGGTCCCAGGGCCGAGAGAGCCTCATGTGGTGCGTCTGCGTCGCAATAGCGATGCGCACCGTCGATTCTGAACCTCCATCGCACCACCGCAGGCATACTGGGCGCGATTCGACCCACAGGTCAGTGGCTGAGCAAGCGATCGTCGTTGGACCCCGTACTGAAGTCGAGTTTAGACGATTTACTATGTCGGGGGTTTCGGAGGCCTCCACTACATCGGGTACATACCCCTGGAGATCTACCACGAGGCAAAGCCTTCAGGCGTCCGCGACTGGTTCCGACAGGCCACGGACTCACAGAACCCGCCCCTGGCGGTGCAGTCGGAAATGGATGTCTAATCCACGACTCGATATGTGTCTTGGAGCAGATCCACGCATTGCACGTCCGCTCAGTAGGGAAATGGTTCAAACGACTGAAGGAAGCAATCCGCTGTTGTATCCGTATCTGTTGTACAGTTTAGCAGAATTGAATCGCGATGATGCGCTCGCTAAACCTGTTGGACGAGGTGGCAAGTCCCATCATGTTCAATATACAAGCATGTCGCTGAATAGAGAACCCCTGAACGGCATCCGACGTCAAGACATGTCTGATTGCACCCCATATGATCTACGAACAGCAGGCATGCGTCTTGCCGCATTGGCAGACGAGTGCTACTGCAGCACCTCTGACATACTAGTGTCCTAAGCTAACGACTATCATGAGACTCAAGCGTAGCTGTCCGACAAGGTACCGGTGTCTCAATCTACACCAAGCGACGAGTCAAATGAATTCGGTATCTACGTTGTAGTGAGTCCTGACCAAAGCTTTAGTGGACAGACAACCGGTGTGACAATTGCTGCGCAAGGCGAAGGTCGACGCGCCCTGTCCAGTCACTCCGCTCCCAAATTCGTCTTCACACTCGAGCGAGGACCCGAACGCTAGAAGTACCGACACCTCCGAGTCAATGCGCCGTATGCAGCCGGAGATCTAGAGACAACCCTGACAGCGTGAGACCGTTGCCGAGGGCGTACGCTTCCAATTTCACGGTCACCGTCAGCGCTGATAGATGGAGGTGACTCCAAGCTTGAAGTACACCACCGACCGACCGGCCTGTCGCCGCGTCAACTGAAATGCACGCTCATCAGTCCACCCGATCCTCTCTTCCCGCGACGGGAGCGCGAGTAAACTTACCACTCAATATTCCTAGGAATGGCATCAATGGCCCCACCGCGCCAATGCTCAGCACACGCTGACTGCAGCCAGAAGCTGCTTCATGCCCTCCATCGCACGATCGTCAATTGCCGCCGTGGTCTTGCTTCTTGTCTTTCGCACGAGCCCGGACGCTGCCTCGAAGGCTGCAGTGAGTTGGCCACTCCGCAGGACGCTCTGCCACTCTGTGTCCGCGACACTATCAGGGCCGCCCTGCCGCCGAAGCAACGCGTAAGACAGAGCCAACTCCAGTTTGACCCGCAGGGCCTGGGCGCTGCTGTTGAGGTCCGCAGAGCACGGCTTCTCGACGAGGGAGACGATATCGGACGGGAGAATCGTAGGAAAGCTGCGCACGATGCTTGTCGCGCTCGCTGCGGGAACACTTGAGGAATGAGTGTCATTCGGTGATGCTTCGGTCTGTTTGCGGCGAGTGGGAGCGGGGCGTTGCTGCCCGCGGGCTTGGGGCTTTGGGCGGGTGCTGCTTTGGCCGGATCCAGCTCCGAAGTCGGTAAGGTAGTTCCGGCAGAGCAGTACTTTGAATTGGAGCATTGTCGCTGACGATGGTAGCGCGGCGAAGAGCGAGCCCAGTTCGTCCATAGTCAGTGAAAATAGCCGACTTCCAATTGCGTTCAAAAATAGAGGGAGGTCGACCAACGTCGTTGCTGAGAGATTGACAAGCTGTCGAGATGAACCGGGAAGGTGCCTGCGATCAGCAAATCAAACTTCTACCCGAATGAAGCGGACGAACCAGGGTAAGGAGGCGGATTCCCAGTGATCTATGTCGAAGGCCACTCTCTTTCAGGCAGTGAAACATAACATCCAATGGGTTCTCAATATCCCACCGGGCACTCTGGGCGGACCTCGGTGGTGGTATCTGAGACACCAATAACGGTGAGTATACCGCTGAGAACAGTCAAGTTAACGACAGTGCCAATAATAGGTGAACATGGGAGCCGTACGTTGACCGCTCGCCTCAGTTATCTTCTGGTCTATCTCCAGCAAGCAGACAATCCACTCCAAAACTGGCCACGCATGTTCACCCACCGGGGCCGGATGTCCTTGGCCCTCACCCTCTTCTTCCAGCGTCCGAGTTTGCTCCTCGACTTGCCGCGCGCGACTGGAGCCCTTGCGCTTCGACGGCTGGACCTCCTCCACAGTTGGCCTTACGAAGCCTTCCCTCAATATAGCCCAGCAATCCTTCGCGTTCCGCACTTTCACGGACTGCCTCGATATGAAGGAGTCCGTATCTTCCTGGATTCCATTGGCGGCGCCGTTATCCCCAGTTGCGTATCTGGGCAAGGCAGCGAAGAGCGCACCGGGCGTGTTGGTCTGCGCGAAGGCAAACAGCAGCTTCACTGCGGCATCTCTCGCTGCTCGACCCGGGAGCAAAGTGGTTTTCTGCTGGCGCGAGAGGAGCTTGCTAGGCGAGGCTGGCTCGCTGCCTATCTTGTCTGCGTCGAAGTCTTCCGTCTCCGACGGAGGATACAGGGCGATGTAGACAAGGTGTCGGATGTGAGAGCTGAAGGGGGTTGTGAGTCAGCTATAGGGTTGATCATGGAAGAGATTCACTCACGGGTGGGGCTTGTACTTCGGCGAGCGAAGCTGGTCCAAGACGACCGCGGCAGCCTCATATTGGCCCTCTTCAAAGCAGGTATCTACCAGACCGCGTTGGTTGATCGACATGTCCTTTTCGAGTACCACATCGTGCATGCCGCTCGTTGGCACTGACATCATGGACCAGGCGCGAGTTGAATGCCGACTGAGTACTTGAATGAAGTGGTCGTTGAGTAGGGGTATGCCAGGTTAATATTGAGCTGGGCAATTTGTGCGAAGTGAGATGCGATCCGTGCACGCTAGCTAGATGTAGAGTTTTGCAGCTTTCGATGCGCGTTCAAGCCGTCGTGCAGGTCGTGGTGAGTGGCTTTGTCAAGGCTGTAGCGGTCAAAGTCACGGTCCATGGTGTCACGACGACTCACGCCGGACGCGTGCAGTCACAACCGCGTCTCCGCGTGACGTAGCGCGACCGTGACCCAATTAGTAATCCGATCAATATTTTTAGGGGTCGAGGGCGACAGGATCTCTAGCCATGAAACATTGGTAGGGAGCAAATAGGGAGCTGGTATATGCACACCACTATGTATAATGCTACAAGAATGGACGGTGTGACTGAAAGCGTCGAAAACAACCATGATAAACTGCGAGAGCAACCTGAATACGAGTGACCGAACACTATGAGCTTGATAGGAGTAATAAGAGACGAGAGCAAGGACGCAGGGAAGGCAAGGGGACACATAGGGATGTACAAAGAAAGGAGTCTATGACTGTGGCTAGAGGTTCAACTTCGTGTAGTCTTTGGCAGGAATGGATGCCGGCGATGGAGACCGCTTGCGACGACCACGTCCTCTCCCAGCGGCCTGGGCCTTCTCACCCTTGCCGCGTGCGGTGGTAGGGGCATGTGGGTCCTTATGCCGAACTCCCAGCGCGTACGAGATCTCCGCCTGCGTGCGCGAGGGATCACAGTAAACGCAGTCACAATCGGGTTTGCCGTTGGACTTGAGTGGGCTGCCCGACATGAGCCAAATGAGGTGTTCTGCGAACTCGGCAGGCGAGCGGAAGACTGTCACGTTTCGTGAGCCTGTAGGGCAATGAGCGACCCAGTGAAGGTTAAGTAGGGCATCCGGACGCACCGAAGAGATACACGTCTTTCCTCGGATCATATGCCCTCTGAGTCTTGTGGAGGTAGAGCTCGTAGTCCTTTGGGAAGTCCGCGATAGCCGCTTGGTCGATAGGGCCCCTCACTGTATGAAGTCAGTCTCTGCTGACGGAGTGGGAATACCCTCGGGACTCACAACGATCCCCTTGCCTCCGGAGGTCCTCCTTCAACATTTGTTTCGCAGCAATCAAGCCCAGCCTGCGCAGCCAATGCCTCCGAGTCTCCGCGTCCGCAACTACGAACTGGTTGATATTCCCGTGCTCGTCCCGTTCGTCCAGCGTATCTTTAATCTTCCGGTAGGGGTCACCATCGGTTGTATCGTCCTCCAAAACGATGCCCACAGTATGGGGGCCATACGAATATGCAGCATAGTAAGGAGTCTGGAGGATCTGTTCGCTGGGAGAATGCATTGCGCTGTGGTCAATGTCGTGCGGGAGCTGGAGTCAAGTGAGAAAGCGGCAGATGCCGTCAGGTATATATACGTAGGCGCCCAGAAACTTTCATTGGATACTTTCGTGTTTTGGTCGAGTCGTAGCGTAGCGTAGCGCATAGCGTAACCCATCCATCCAGATTCTAGGCGGGTCTCGGTACTTGGGGGTGGCTCTGGGCAGTGGTGTGAGGCCGAGGCTTAGCGTCATTCAGGCGAACCGAGGCGTCGGGGAATAATAGACATAACTTAGCAGCGTCGGCCAGCACTGTCTGAGCAAAACCTTGGCAAAACCCCAAGGGCCTGTCACTAGCAGTCAGACACAAGAGATGCACCAGTGTGGTGGCCAGCGAAGTCAGAGCCCCAGGTAGTGGGTCGCAGCAAACCGACCGGACGAACATCGCTCGCCGTCCGAGTTGACGTTGGCTGGTCGGATGTTGCCGGCGGACAGGCTGGGGACAGCCACCGCCCACCACACTCGCCGGAACCGACCACTTTCCCCATCTTGACCGGGACCGTACACTAGCGTGGTCCACGCACTCACACCCTATCCTGAGACGCGTCGATGCTGGCTTCCACAGCCCGCACATCTGCTGCCATTCGCAACCGGTTACCGCAGCTGCTCAGGACCAGTATGTCCACCTCTCCGCGTGATGCTCAGGTGGCCGGCGAGGAGGGCCCTGTGGCGAGGTCGATCAGAACGAAGGTGCGTCGGTGATACACAACGCTCGGACTGTCGAGATACTCATCCTTTCCTCGCAGCTTTCCTCCGCTCTACAGCCCTCGGAGCTGACTATCACAAACGACTCGTGGCAGCACCGTCATCATGCCGCGATGAGGGCGCAGGGCGGAGGCTCTGGAGAAACCCGTAGGTATAATCACTCCGAGCTTCTCGTCCCCGGCTTTATCGTGCCTTCTGCGTTTCGTGCCCACCGCTGACATCGCCACCGACTTGCCTTGCCCAGATTTCTCCGTCCAAGTCGTTTCAGAGCAGTTTCGGGGCAAGGTCCGTCTCTATACCCCATGTATCCTCAAGACCGACCTGAAGTGTCGTCTCGGTGCGTTAGACCACAATGCAGCGTCACAGGTTGATCTATTCTACGCTCTCGGAGGAACTCTCTCAGGGCCTGCATGCGCTCTCGCTGAAAACAAAGACCCCGGAGGAGGTGCAATCACAAAGCGCTTCGTAGCGGCATGGCATTCATTCCGGCGTCGCTACTCACCTGCTTGCCTGCTTGGTATCTGGTCACGCTATGCGATCGCCGGGCCTGACCTGCATAATATAATGGACGCATCACCATCTCGCGTGGGCCTTAATTCTTGTGAACCCGCTGCCCGGGGAAGAGTCCGAGCAGATCCTCTGATTGCATCAAGGATTCGCCTCGTCTTCAGTACCTCGCGGCCATTAGGCAAGACGTGGATGCTGCTGATGGGTCAAGCTGTCAGCAATGCGCTCCTGCTCGATGATCAGACGGGGTGCCTACAGGACAGGTTCACGGCTGATCGGCGGGGCCGTCGTGCCGCTGTTCCTCTACCAGACTGCTGACGTTCTTTCACGGCCACAACAATGTGGCCCCGCTGCGATCATACGCCCTTGACAGACCATGGGTGCTGCAGCGCAAGAGGCGAGGTTACACGGATGCCAGATTTTGTCAACTCAGCTGTCGACGCCCAGCCATTTTAATTACACGCTGTTTGGTAGCGTCTCCGGCAACATCACGGCTGGGGTGAGTCACAGTGCAGTGCTTGTGTTAGCGGGTTTGCGACTAACAGCCTGAGCCGTACGTTTAACAATTGCGCTGTTGATGGTGATGGCCAGATGTAGAGATACACTTCCAAGGTGGAGGGTGGGAATCGGCTGATCCCTTGATATCCGCATCGTAACTATTGCTCACGACACAGCCAGGGACCGCAGAACGTGTTCAACAGGAGGTTGTGGCCGGGGCACAACACCATGGATCTGAGATACAGACGAGCCCGTGAGCGCTCCCTACACTGCATCATCGTCCATGCAATCACTCCGCTGACAGCTTTCAGTTCGCGGACCTGGGCGGCATGACATGTTGTCCGATATCGAAGGAACACACGGGTCTTCCTAGCCACTCCGCAATTATGCAGTATCCATGAAAGTGAACAGCAGGATTCAGAGGCCCTGGCCATACGCGCTCGAGTTGATCATATCTGTGCATTCACGACGGTCACATCAACGTCGTTGTTGGCGGCCCGAGGCAGCGTGGCGACCGCGTCGACGCTGCTGTGAGTATGCTGCAGTCCAATGGACGCAACAAATGCGCGTCACGGACTGTCATCCGGTGATTCGCCCACCATCGCGGTACGTCAAGACGTGTAAGTGAACTTATTCTGGGTTTGCCACCAGAGGACCCACATATAACCATGCTCCTCCGGCCGGACTCAATGCGCCCTGCCGTCCCACCTTTGTACAAACTATGCCTTCTGACCAACCTCCCCCTTCGTCAGACCCACGACGGGAAGCGCATCGACCCACGCTCCCCCCAATTCGAGACATATTTGGGAGTGGGTGTATGCTGCACGGGTGCCATGTTCGTTCACTGATTCTTTGTACAGGAGAACTGTCCGAGGCAGTTCCCCCTCAGCAGGGGCGGGCTTCCGCTTCCCCCCAAATTGCATTCCAACGGCTGGCCCTAACGGACGACGATCGCCGACAACGAACAGGCTCGCCTGCTCCAGGATCGCGTGGCCATGCATCGTCCTCGCATCCACAGGCGGCGTACTACAGTGCTCCCGGTCCAGCGGAGACGGGTTCCCATGCTAGGACAGCGTCTGTCTCGGCACAGCGCCCGTATGTTTACGGCGCGCCGCCCCCTCCCGGACAACAACACGGCCATCACGGTCACGGGCAGCATCCGTCCTACCCTCAGCAGCGGATGAGCAGAGGCGAAATGCCCACTGGCGTGTATCCTTACGCTGCTCCGCAGTCCCAGTACCCGGGGCAGCACATGCCAGTGGCGAGTTCCTCCAGAGGCACAACCGAGGCGACGCAGCCAGAGCGGTCCGCAGCCTCGCGGTACGAGTGCAGTTACTGCCACAAGGGATTCACTCGCCCGAGCAGTCTCAAGGTGTGTTTGTGCGGCTCTTCGGGTCCTAGCCGCCTCTTACCGTTCTAGATCCATATCAATACTCACACCGGGGAGCGACGTAAGCACTCCGCACTGGACGCTCTCGCGACGGACACTGACATGATGGATCACATCACAGCCTTCACTTGCCCACATCCAGGGTGTGGCCGCAGCTTCAGCGTCCAAAGCAACATGCGCAGACACGCTCGTGTCCACGAACGGGGCAGCGACTCTCAAGCTGATGTAGCGGATGAAGACCTGGACGAAGGAGAACTGTCCGCGTCTAGCAATGACAAGGAGAGCAGCCAGCGCAAGCGCTGATGCTGTCGGTCGTCAACTCTCTCGGTGCGATCCTATTTATTTGCATGCAGTATTACATATGTAGTGACATTCCTCATCTCGCATACGCTCGCCTGTTGCACGTCGCATTATATATAACCAATCCCACGCAGTGTAGACTCATTCGCATCTTGTGGCTATAGCATACGTAGTATCTATTCAGTTCGGGCTCGCTGGCGCTATTTATTCGCGGAACTGCTAGATGTATCATGCCTGTACACGTACTGTATAACAATTGGCAGGCTTGCAAGTTACGCATTGGCTGAATAATACTAACTCAGTACGACTCATCCACACAAGGCCCATTATGAGAAGCTATCCTGCGTGATAAATACGCGATATATTACGAAGACGTCTATATGCTACAATCTCTAGGACACAGCGAGCATGCGTAGTACATCGATGAATCAGGCATCACTGTCCGTGTCTTCGGGCTTCGTGCCACCGTGCGTAAGCCAATGCAACTTGCGCAGCCTCCGTCGTTCCTCCTGGGCCTTCATTTGGTTACGAGTCATCTTTTTCTTCTTCTTGATAGGAGGTGTACCAGCGCCGGACTTGTCTTCTGCCCCGCTTCCCGCAGGAGTGGCCGCAGTGGAACCTGCAGGCGTCTGCAGACGGGAGCGCGCAGGCGTGTTTGCCCCACTGCCTTTCGGCGACTTCACAGCGAAGGCATCCTCCACCACGGCAGCTTTGCCCTTCTGAGTTAAACGACCGACATCGACGTTCCAGATCTCAGGACCTGGGTAAGAAAGATTAAGTGACGGTTCACAGCTACAATAGCCCTGAAGGTGACGTACAGAGAGCGGTCACAAACTCATTGTTGTGCGATATAATCACCTTCAAGCGTGCGCGTCAGTAGATGGAGGCTCCGATCAAGCGGGCATACATACGACAGCTCCGGCCCATTCACGGATGGCCACCGCCAATCCGCCCAACGCTTCTCTGTCCAGGAAGTTGCTAGGCTCATCTAGGACACAAATCTAACCCCAGACGTTAGTTGTCGCTTACCAAACGGAATCGTCTAGACAATACCTGAGGGTTGTTCCAAAGACACGCAGCGATGACAAGCTTGATCTTCTGGCCTTGATGGAAACTGTCAGGCAGGAGCTTGGCACGGCGCAAACTAAACTTACCTCCTGATAAGCCAGAGATCTCATTGTATTGTGCGATGTCACCATCCAGACCAATGTCCTCGAGGTGCTTCCGGACGAGGTGAGCGGACGTATCACGCTGACCAGCACCCTCTCTGGAGGACTCCAGGTCGTCAAATTGCTGCACAACCTTGGTGAACCCTTTCTCGAGAAGTTCGTCTCTTGGTATCCAGGTATTGAACCGATGGTCGAGACCTGGAACCTTTCTTTCAGTAACTGTTATGTCACGATGTACCAAACACGCATACCACGCCACTTGATCTCGTACTGGAATGATTTCTTCAACTTTTGACGACCCATGATCATCTGTCCGGATGAAACTCAGTCCTGCCTACGATAGAGGCGATGTTGGCATATAAGATATACCTCAAGTTTGCGTCTCTGACCATTCTTGCCAACAAAGTCGGCGTCGAGCTGTGCTTGCTCCTCGGGGGTCAGGATGCGAGTGACTTTTTCCAAAATTTCCCCTGAAGAAGAGGGGTCAGTTGCAACTAATATTTCTTAGCCGCGATGGACCCACTATCATGGCCATCTTGGAAACGCCATTGTATGTACTGTACTGGGGTCTTCTCTAGATGACGCTCTACACCGAACCTCAGCCATTTGACGTGGGGCATGCAAAAGGCAAATTCACACACCTATGTGATGCGTCGCATGCTGAGAGACATAACCGATACGCAAGGCAGGATGCTTGTACACAGTGCCCTCCTGCGGCTCAGTCTCACCCTGCGAAATGTCTCAGCTCCCCGGCGATGTGCGAGCAGGCATGACTCACCGTCAGCAGCTTGATAAGCGTAGACTTCCCAGCGCCGTTTGGCCCAACAATACCGACACGACTGATCATCAGAGGCGTTAGTAATGGGTGAGCATCTAAAAGTAAATGTGCTTCACCTTGACAGAGAAAGCGCACAGCTGACGTTGAAAAGACTGGGTGTAGTGCGCCCCGGGTATGTGAAAGTACAATTTGTCATCTTGAGAATGGCCCGAGTATTACTGCGGACACCCATGAGGGACCCGGGCGGCGGGAACGAGAACTTGACAGATGTTGCGGCGAGAGTATAGTATGACTTGGCTTCAGGGTGATTCTCCACGAATGTTGATAGATTGCCTTTGTAGTACGCAAGCTGAAGACTCCGATTAGCACGCACGGATCAGCTCACTGACAAGACCGCGTACCTTCTTGCTCTCGTAATGGACTATATCAGTCGTGACTGTATCGAGGAATCTGACAAGTAGAAGTTTCAGTCACCATATCAGAGCAAAGCAATGAGTTGATGTCGCCTACCCAGAGTCGTGACTGATGATGAGGCAAGTAATATGCTTCTGCGCAATGAGGTATTGTTCAAGCCATTGAACGGAGGCGCGATCCAGCTGAATGGCAGTTAGGCAGGTTGACGTTTGAAACAACTGCATTGCTTACATGGTTCGTAGGCTGCGACGATAGACAACGTCAACAAACGGTGAATGTGAGCATTGGACACGGACGCTGACCTCATCAAGTAGGAGTAGATCAGCATTGTAAAGCATGGCCCTGGCAAGCTCTAGCTTCATCTTCCATCCGCCGGAGAGCCCCCCGACAAGCTCGGCCTGTCGACTGTCGTCGAAACCGACCTCCAACAGCTGATCCCGAATTTTGGAGCGCGGTATCTCAGAGAGAGCCTTGTCTACGAAGGATCCGGTCAGACTCTCAATATATGGCATACACGCAAAAGTTACCCACCAGAGGCAACAAAGTCGATCACGGAGGCGGAAGTGTCCTCGCCTTGCAACGAATGTTCGACCATGACGCAGCGCAGCTGGTCCTGAGGCGGGAAGTTCTCCACTTTTCCGTCTCGCAGTTGCCGCATGAGGGTCGACTTGCCTGACCCATTCGTTCCCAGGATGCCGTAACGACGGCCACGGAATAGTCGCAGACGTGTATGTGACAGCAAAAGAAGAGCCCCATATGCGAGCGAGAACTGCGTGTCGCAAAGCAACTCGCCCTCTTCTCCACTGTCATCGTCTGTCGTCGCGTACTTCGCGTGGTCGATCGCCAGGAAGTGGGAGCGAACGGCTTCCGAGAAGGCAGTCGCGGCATCAACGTCGCCAGACAGCCACGGGGTGAGGTAGACGCCGACGCAACGATGCCAGACAGCCTTGTCTCCGAAACGCCTATCATGTACCAAGTCGGCGACAAGGGATGCCGCGAAGTTCAAGATCTGGACGAGAAGCGGGTGACGCGGCGTATGTGGACCATTAGGCGCATCTGAAGATGCAGCTGCAAGATCTGCTGGCAGAAGGGTGAGTAGGGCAGTCGAAGCAGTCGACTTTTCGCCTTCGATGTCGCGTTCCGCGGAAGGCGGTCCCTCCTTCGATGCGCCCGACTTCAACAGCGTGTTCAAAGCAGTCTCGGCGAATGCCCGGACCTAATATATCAGCGTTAAATGTGCATCGATGCACTCTCTGTAGGTTCGACGTACCTCAGGGAAGGCGGCGCCCTTTGCGATCTTCTCAACACCATCCACGAGAGGGCTCAGGTAGGTTGCAGCAACGTTCGGGTCGCGCACCAATTTGACCAGGTTATCGATGACAACGACAGTCCGGCGCTGGACCTCCATTGACCTATCGTTCAGAGCACGGATGAGGAGCGGGACGAGCACCGCCAATGCCGGGGCGGTGACTTCAGCCACGAATGTGGTAGACGAGAGAGACTTGATACAACCAGGTACCGAGTCTGGATTGGCCATACACTTGACGAGCGATGGGATATGCGGGCTCAGGTCCGGATTGGCCAGAGTTGCGCACAACGCAGTCGCACACTTGTTTGCCGCCGTAGAAACCTACATACGGTTGAGCCAGCGCAAAACATGTGCTAGGTCTTTAACATACCTCTTGCTTCGTGTCGTGCATAGCGGCTTCTACTTTCGGGATTGTGTTCCCAAGCTCGTTTGCTACTGCGTCCCGCGCTGAGTTTGAGAAAGTCCTGATAGAGTCGAGGACGCCAACTTTCGTCCTCCACTTCCCATCCTCAAGGATGCCTTCTAGAGTGCGGAAGAGGACTCTCGTGGACTCGGGGGGAAAGAGCTTCAGGATGGCTTTCACAGCCGCGCTAGCCGCGGAGCGGACCACGTCGCCTTTGTCCATGTACATTTCGAAGATGACCTGGAGAGACGGAAGCAGCAGAGGCGCAACGGGAGCACCGAGCACAGTGGCCAGTGACTGGAAGGCTACCATGGCTGATTCGCGCTCGTAGCCCGACTTTTTGTTACCCGCGAAAACATGTAGGGTGGGGATGATTTGTGCATCGCTTGAATCAACTCAGATGTGATAGTGTACTCAATGTTCGAGAAAAAACGCACCTGAGAGCCTCGAAACCCATTTTCGAGACCTCGCGAGCAAGGCGATCCGCGGCAGCCTTCGCATCTACCCAATGGATACGTTAGTGAAAAGCACCTCCAGATTTTGGGAAGACTTACCTGGAGCCGTGGGTGCTGTGCGTAAAGCTTCTATGAATGGAGTAAAATGAGATTCCGAAACTACAGGCATTGCAACAGGAGACATTATGGAGCGAGGATATCCGGTCTAGTACGCAGAGAAAACCCAGAAGTCTATGCAGAATCAGATGAACGTAGTGCGGTCGTTGCGATCTCGGGGATATCGTAAGAACAACGTGAGATGTGTGCACTGCTCCGCGTAGCTTTCCGACGAGACGAATGCCACGAGCAGGATGCGGGAGGAGGAGAAGGAGCGGTATACACGCTCGGTGCAGAAGCTGTGAACTTGCCGGCGGCTCCGCCCCGGGTCAAGAAATTTTGGTACTTGCCATATCAGAACATCGCTCGTACGCGCCAGATCATGTGACGAAGAGCCGTTGTTTACAGCGCTTGAAGTTACCGCCGAAGTTCCTGACTTTCGTTCAAACGTTCAACTTCCGTTCTATTGAGCTCCTGACTCGGACGTTCGCGCGCGCTCGACCAGCCCTTTGTTGCGCGAGCCCGCGGAGGGACTTCTGTAGGGTCAGCCTCACCCACCATCCTCACACATACCCGGGTCCGAATCTAGGTCGACGCCTACCTGAGGCTTGCTGCAGTGCTGATAGTATCGGCATCCGTTGACAACAAGACTTCAGAAGAACGCAGGAACCATACTACACCGGTAAGTATGGTGTGATGAGTCTTCGTTCGATTGCACGTTATCTGGTGTGGGAGGTACTTATTCACACCGGACAGTATGTCATGCTTTGCATGATGCCGCCCAGGCCTGCCGCCGCCATAGAACCCCACGTTCGGAGGCCATACTGAATGTAAGTATTATATCTATGCTTAGAGACCGCTTTTAGGTCCAGGGCACACTTGACGCTGCAGCCTCGACCTCAACTACCACCGACTGCTTGTTCGGGAGGCCTCGTCGATGCTATCTCCTCATCAGCTGCATGCCGATGTTCCTTCCATCGAGCATATATTCTTAGGTTTGAACGCTAAAGGTCTGGCTTCTTCCTCCGACATGCCTTGCGTGGCTGCCATGCTTCTTTTCCTTTTTTTGCAGGCTTCGCGCGTGCATCTTTCATATCTTCCATACCAGGACGTTCGGTCTGTCCATCGCCCTTGCTTTCCCGAACGAGTCATGAATCACTGACTTGCCAGCGTGAATCGTTCGCATCCTCCCCCTGCCTATCGATTGCCTTCCATTCTTGCTCGCTTCCGTATTGGCCTGTATCCTGCACTATCTTTGTAGAGCTTTCGCGGACCTTGCGAGTCGACGCCGGTGGACCCTCGTCTTGTTCAAGTTGATCGGAACGAAACTGCTGCGCTATGCATTGCTCTTCTTCGGATGCCGTCATATACACATGTTTCTGACTATGGAATGCGCTATTAGAGGCTGACCAGCCCCGTCTACATGCGAGACATTCCGCGTCAGTCGAGACCTGCTTCAGGCAGAGCATTGCCGGTTGTGGCGCTGTGGTGTTCGCTACCATTTCTATTTCATGAGATCCTCACGAGTCATAAGTAGTTATTTCACAGTCCTCCTGAGGAGTGGGAAGCACTCCACACGGAGTCTAGACAGTCGTCCCCTCATACTCACACGTCGTCGACGACGTTCGCACGCGAGCTTCATTGACTTCTGCGGTGGTGCGGATGTCCACCATCATGATGAGTTCCCTCATATGTCTAGGCTCCCAGGATGGATCCCAGCGCCCCCCAAGACCGGGGGTGGCTGCGATTGAATTGGATGGCATACGACTGCCGTACGCTCAACGCATTGACTGGCTTTCGGGGGGACAGTCACCTTCTCCGTGAGCATGCATGCAGCATCGCGGGATGCTGGACCGGGGCCCTACCACCTGTATCGTCGGTTCGTTGTTCCGTCCGCAAAGTGCGTCGAACTCATTTACGAAAACAACGTTTCGAGTGTGATGAGGGAGCGGAAGAGCTGCCCATCGTGGCACCGAAGACAATAATGCTATAGGTAGTGACGTCTGACCGGTAAGTCATGTTGGTTGCCTGTCAATGCATGATGGCTGACTCTCATCTGCGTCGTCTGATAGCAGCTCGCGTCGGGGTCAAGCTCGGCCTCAGTGAGTAGCTGAGGAGGCTTTGCTCGTGCTAGTGGTACATTGTCGCCGCTCCGAGCTCATCCCAGGATCGCGTTGGTCACTGGTACACGATACCTTTGTTCTCACCGTATTATCACAGTATTCGTCGATCACACAGCTTTACGAGCAAGTACGTACACGTCTCGTCACGTACTAGACCCAAGGCAGCTTGGCGACACATCTGAATTATGTCCTAGGTATAGAAGAGGATTAAAAGGACCACACACCTGTAATACTAGCGAAGTCGCCGGACCGCCATCGTCCCGAGTGCGAATCATTTCTCTACGTAGTCAGTGCGGATCCACTAAGGCGATCGAATCGTTGATCAAGGATGAATATTGCCAGTGCGAGCAAAATAATCATGAATAAAGGATTAAGGAGCATGCTAGCTAGCAATAGGAGCAGAATGTAGGTCTACTATGTACGGCCTAATAACATAAAAATACATACAGTATCAATGCGCGAGAGCGAGAGCGATGCTAGACGTCCATTTAGCGACAATGAATAACTTGAGGAGGATGTCCGTGATGCGACTTAGTGCGACGAAGAAAGCGATGTGTACGTATAGATGAGATGATAATGTAAATAAACTAATCGATGACGGCCAGTGCGCGTCCGTGAGTGTCCCTAAATAGTGTTACGTGAAGCATTGGGTAACTGAGCAAGGAGCGACGTTTGAAATGAGTGGGCAGACGATTGGCTGAAATTTTAGCAGCAGATTGACGTCTTGAGTTTGCGATCACATAGGTCCGCGACCTGGGAAACGGCGCGGATCCTTCTGGTCGTCTCGATGATGAATGGATGGCGTGGGGGAAGGGATCAGACGAGCAACCGTCGGATGCGGTAACTCGCCGGGACGCGCTCCCCCGTATGGCTGCACAGAGGGATGTGCCCCATAGGGCCCGGGGGACGGAATGCCAGGGGCGTGCGACGACGTGGGATAAGGCTCGCTCGTCGTCGGTGCTCCAGCGGCAGCGGCCTGACGGGAGCTCTGCCGCATTGCCTGGCGTTTGTTTTGGAACCTGTGACGCATCAATGAGTCGCCTTTCGCGTAAAGAGAAGCTACTGCTCACCATATCTGTACGCTCCTCGCAGACATGTTCAACCTCTTGGCTAGCTCAGCCCGCTCCTCTGTCGACGGGAATGCCGTGCGGTTGTACGTCTCGTTGAGGACCTTCAGCTGTTCTGCATCGGCCCGCTTGCGCTTCTTCTTGATAGCTGGCTCCTGCGCCGGCGGCTCCGGAGTATATGAGACGGGGCCTCCCATGGGAGGGTTGCGCGGATAGGGTGATGTACCATGGACGGACAGCCGCGTCGACGCGGTACGGTCGACGGACATCGAGGACCTACGCGGCATCATGCCACTTGCGGCATCATATCCCATCGTCGAGGGGATAGGTGGTGGAAGGTTGCGGGGATCTGGAGCCTGGGGCGCGTAAAACGAGCTATGGCTCGGAGGCTGGTGCGCCTCGGCATAGGGTGCGTATCCTGTGGGATAACCAGCGGTGGGTGATCGAACGCTAGGTCCCGCTAGTGGGTCGTTCGACGCACCAGGATGAGGCTGCCCAGGTTGCATGTTCAACGGGGGCAGGGTACGCGAGTCATGCTCCGGGAGCATTGACGATGAAGGACGACCGGGATAAGGAGCGAACTGGGCGGGGTATCTAGGATCATTATGTGGGTACTGTGTTTGCTGCTGATATGTTGCTTCTATAGAAGATCGGTCAATTACGTCTGCAGGGGAGAAGCTGACGCCTATGAAACTCACGTGGGTTCATTGACCATCCCTGCTGGCCATAGGTTGGTACGCCGTATTCATTGCGAGGCTGATCTTGCTGTGTAAATTGAAATGAAGGGTCAGGAACTAATGCAAATCGTAAGCTGAGCGCTCGTTCATACATGATTGTTGTTGGAGAAGAACGGACCTGGAGAACGTGAGGTTCGAAACGGTAGATGAAGAGGAGGTAGTATACTTCGCCCACCAGGGAAGCGTCCGCGACGCTGAGCATTGGCGCCTCCACTAGGGGTGTTTGGCCGTGGCGTTCTCGAGAAGCAACCGAAGGCAAAGTGGTCGTCCCCCGGGTTCGACATCGCCACCTTCAGCGAGACTTGAATATAATCGTCGGCTATCCGTGTAGTGTTCTCCGCGATTAAGTACTCCGAGGAAGAGGCTGGAGCATGGGGCGACGTACGCATGGCCTCGCTGGAACAGCAAGTGGGTACCGGCAGTAAAACGAGAGTGATGATGTGAGGTAGAGATCGGCCTGTGTACCGACCGGTGCACGTCAGCGCGCGGGCATGTACAAGGAGGGGCGGCAACGACACGCGTCGGTGTGAAGCCCTAGGGCAATGGGCAAAAGCAGGTGGCGTGCCCTGGAGGGTATGTACGGAAATTCACAGTACCTAAGAGGGTGTTTGCCAACCGTCTCGAGAGGCGGTGTCTGTTCAGATGACAATTGGGAACGAAATTGCGGGCGGGGTGGATGAGGCTCTGTGGATCTCAGTTCCAGGGCAGCAGTCGAATGTAAGCATCACAGTCAGAGAGAGAAAGCGAGATCTTGTCGGCTTGCGCGTTCTTTATGGAGGGTTACTGCCTGCAGGAACGCGACAGCACTGAGGCCCCCGAAGGTCCACTGGCACGATATCGCCTCGTGCCCACATGCCATCTGGACGTATTCAACGTGTGATCTCCACATATGCTCCCGCCGCCGAGACACCTGGGTTTGCTTCCAGTTCCCCGGATCCCTCCGTCTGTGCAATCTCTCGGAGACGGAGGACGAGTCTGTCAGATTCGCGGCCGGAGGTTCACCCGAAATTAAAAGCCTCGTCGCGGGACTCCCGGAGTATCGTGATTCGGATCATATTGTCACGTCTGCATAAGAACATGCGCGAGCCGTAGAAGAGGCCGATAATGGCGACGATTCAATAGGTTGTTCGCGTGTCGCTTATACTGAGAACAGACTCGATTCTGCGTCTACGATTGACGACTGGATCTGATCGGGCTAGTATCCTCGGTTCTGGTGAGGGGAATTGCCGTTTGAGTTCACGTCACATCATGAGAGCTTCCGGTAAGTGACTATATAGTGATTAGCGTTCGCAAACCGTTACTCTCTGCGACCTGCAGCTGATCACTCACGATGATGTATGGACACGGAATTGGTAGAGGAGTAGACCGAGTGGGATAACGCGCAGCGGCGATTGCCAAGCTGAGAATCATACACCACGCGGTCTACGGCAGCGCCGAACGTCAAGGGTGTCCCGAAGGCTGTATGAGGGCGAGGACGGACAACAAACCGATGAAACTCGCGAGAACAACGCGGAGACCGCGAAAGGCATGTGGGTACCGGGTGCACGGCTGCAAGGCACTCAGCCACGTGACCGTGTCCGCGTGTCGCTGGATTGGGCCGATAGAGCGATGATGCTCGCGAAGTCGATCATACACCCCGAGTCTAAGCCTCCGCTTCGACCGCGAGCTCTGCCTGTTCAGCGAGCGCGTCGACGAGCGCAATGGCCGCCCCTCCCCGCCGTGCCCTACCAACGCCCCCGGGGCCGCCCGGAAACGCGTACTATAGTCCACAACGCGAAGCTTCTCCCAGTCCCGGAGCGATGGACATTTATTCCTACGGGAATCCATACAGTGCGCCGTACCCCTATCCTCAGTTCATGCCGCAAAGCATGCCATACCCAGATGAGCATCCAAGCATGCTGCGTGGTGGAACATTGCTTCACAAGGGCTTCTACGACCTTCTCTCTATGATCCCTACCACTCCGTCGCGTATGTTTTGGCGTGACGAGCAAGAGCCAATTGCGGGTCCTAGATACGAAGACACAGCGTCACAAGAGGCCGAAGCACCTCGTAGGCCGGCGGAGGGACCAAGCTTCCCCGTGCCCACGAGCCCCACAAGTCCGACGAGGAATTTGAGGGGACGCAAGATCAGTAAAGACATGGTATCCAAGCCCGTCGGTTTTGTGTATGTCTTGGTTGCATCTTCTCGCTTTCATTGTCCTATGCTCATGACGGGCAGCCACTTAGTACATGCTTCGGATGCGGAGCAAGCTGAGGCCCTCCTGACAAGGTGGGGCCCCGAGGGACAAGGCAAGCTAGGAGGTTAGGCTTGGTATTCTGCAGTACTTGGTGCATCTTTTCGCTCAACAAATGTCCCCAATCTAGACCCACGGTGGGCAGATCCTATAAAGGATCGCCTCCGACAGTTGAACCAGGCTCGCGCGGTCAATGAAGTTGTCAACGGTTTGAAGCCCTCCCAAAGCAGTATGATTAGACAAGGCGCGGGAGATCCAACTCCGCTTCGCGTTGTGAACGGGATCAGCACCACGACCTCCTCCACGATAACGACCGCGGCGCGTGAGAATGTCTCCTTGTCCCCTGTAGTGCCTTCGGGCCTGCCATCGTCCATATCACCTATCCAGACGGTCGGGCCAGGCGGTAACTCCACCATCCGATGGACCGCCGGTCTTCCCGCACATCCTGAGCATGAGCACGAAGATGTCCACGCATCAGACCCAGACAAAGAACTGCCGGATGTACCCCAAGCGCCGGTCCGGAAGCCTATCGTCCCGTCCCTTGCAACTCTAGAGAAGGCGGTCTCTGCCAAGATCTATTTCGAGAACTTGTATTTCCCTTTGTTGCGCCACCCGCCATCTCGCGAACAACGTAGGCTGGCCATGGAGAAAGACATGATGAATATGCAATTGAACGAGGCACAGAAAGAATACCTCAGAAGCCGCTGGCGCCAGAACGAAACCGATTATTTACGGGAGCGGCGCCAGAAAGTAGATGTCAGTGCCTTTGTCAAGCTGAAGACTATAGGCCATGGTAATTTCTGTTACTACTGGCTGCGCAGATCGCGACAGACTCATACATTATTGCCTTCTAGGCGCCTTCGGTGTGGTCTCCTTAGTCCGGGAACGTTCCACGGCGCAGCTATTCGCCATGAAGCAGGTGATCACGGCCATCATTACTTCCTCCGCATATTAATGCTCAGGCATTACTTACCGTTCGTTTTTAAGCTACGGAAGACCGACATGCTGCGTAAGGGACAGGAAGGCCACGTTCGAGCGGAACGAGATCTCCTAAAGTCCGCTTCCCTCGTCAGTTCGCCCGGAGGCGCAGACTGGATTGTCAGGCTCTACTACAGCTTCCAAGATCGCGACCACCTCTATCTGGTGAGTCACTATCGCAGTTAATGATGAGCTGGGAAATGAAATTATGTGGCCGCTGATTTCATTCCGATTTCATATCGATAGGTGCTTGAATACATGGGCGGAGGAGACCTTCTGAATCTGCTGATCGAAAGGGACGTATTCGAGGAAGACTTCACGCGGTTCTACGTCGCCGAGGTGCGCTGCTTGTATTCCATCGCCTTGTCCCGCCGGCACTTCCTGATACGACGACCGTACTAACCTCTCGGATTACGGCACTTCGCATGGCCCCATCTGTTGTTTGCCACAGATGGTTATGGCTATCGAATCCTGTCACAAACATGGGTTTATTCACCGAGACATAAAGCCCGACGTAAGCGCCCCAGAAAATAACGGCGCGAAGGCACATTGACCGAGCTGTTCCCCCCTTCATTTCGGCACCGCCGACCGCCCTATTTCTCCACTAGAACTTTCTTTTCGACCCGCAAGGCCACATCAAGCTCAGCGACTTCGGCCTCGCGTGAGTAACCGCATTCCTATTCTGCTCGATGTCGGCCGCGTGCTATGCATCACCTCCGCTTATTTTATTTGCACCGCACCAGGACGGATCTTCACTGGGCGCATGATACCTCGTGTCCGTAGCACTCCACTCGTGTGCTGCGCCCAACAACCCTGATCGATTGTCTTTCGCAGACTACGAACAGCAACGCCTCCACTTGCTACACAAGCATGGAATAGACCTTGAGGACAGCTTCGCGCCCTCGGACGGCACGCGAACGAAGCGCCTTGACCGCAAGGAAGTCGAACGTCTGATGGGCGGCGGTGACGGCCAGGGTGGCATTTTCACCTGGAGGGAGCGTAACAGGAGGAAGGTGCGCGTCCAAGTTGCTGTGCCGCAGCTTCTGCGGTGCTCTCATTCTGACTACACCACACCCCGCAGCTGGCATACTCTGTGTAAGTCTGGAGTGATTGTACGGTGACCAAAGCACTGAGAAGACTGTTGTAGATGCGGTACGAACTCCTACAGTAAGCACGCATCTCGATTAGACTACAAAAATTCTAACAACCGCCGTCATCCCCTGTCAGTGTCGCCGGAAGTCATTAGGGGACATGGCTATACCTATTCGTGCGATTGGTGGAGCCTGGGCGTGATAATGTTCGAGTGTCTCTACGGGTGAGTTCGTCCTCGAGATTGCTGTCAACTCTAATCAACAATTTTCCTACTCAGGTTCCCACCGTTCGTCAGCAATTCGGTCAGTCTGACGTTGCCACATTGATGCTCGGCTACGGCCTGCTTTCGTTACAGACTAGCTGACATTGCATATCCTCTCAGCGCCACGTCACCCGACAGAAGATTCTGAACTGGAAACAATCTCTTCGCTTCCCCTCGCGGCCTCGCGTGTCCCATGAAGGTGTGAGCCTGATGGAGCAGCTCCTGTGCGAGCCAGAGGACCGCCTCGGATCACAGGCGCCGTCTTCGGTCAGTAGGCCGAATTCCATGATAATGCAAGCGAGAAGGAGTGGTTTCATCTCAATCACTGGCGCCACGGGTAGTGTCGACGGCGCACACCTGATTAAGGTATATGTCAACGACTGTAATTGTTGCTTAACATTGAACTGACGACTGGATGATACGTCAGGCCCACCCATGGTTCCGTGGCATTGACTGGGAGAACATTCACCGGTACCCTGCTCCATATCGCCCTGAACTCCGTCACCCGGAAGATACCCGACACTTCGACGATGACATCCCGCCAGAGGTGAGGCAGTCCCCAGCAGGTTTTTTTACGACATAGACCTGACTAGTCGCTGTACAGCCTCTCGCACCGGCGAACGGTGCAGCTGCGGATGCCACGCGTGACCCGTTACTTCGGGACAAAGTACACGGACAAGAGATCCTCGAGGTGCGGAAAGCCCTGGCGTTCGCTGGGTTTACGCACAAGAGTCCTCGAGTCATCAGTTACGTAAGAGCCGACAAGGCGTTCGACCCGGAGCCTGACACATACGGGCACGAGGAGACCGAGCGCGGTCGCTCAGTAGTGCGAGAAGATCGGGACGTTGGCAAAGGAAGAGCAATCTCTATGTAATCGTTCGATCAAGCTGTACTATCTTGGACTTCATTCGCCACGACCCACCCGCGAGTTCTCCAGCATACTCCCACTAACCCGTTGCTACAGCCCATCCTCACACCTGGAACGTTTACCCCGTATCCGGATGATACCTAATTACGATCTAAGTATCTATGCTTGTATCTTGTAACTTCTTGCCAGCGCCGGCGGGAAATAGTATTGCCTTTGTTGTTGGATCGAGATTGCGAACACTCGTCAGCGATCAGCTCATGTATACCACGCCGATCATGGCCCCAGGCACGTCGATACCTGGTGGCTGGGACCACTCGCACTCAGTTTGCAGATCGCACAAGTAGCATAGCACGCAAAGTAACGTAAACCTGGGGCATAGCACCCGAGTCAGCAAGCCGTACCAGAATAGCCTGTCACGGGACAGCAGCTAACCGGTGGGCTCCATGGAGCGATCTGCGCACTGTTGTATATGCCAGTGCCAACTTGCTTGCGAGGCTGTTTCGCCGCTGAGAAATAAAGCAGATTGAGTCGGACGATCATGGAAGCCGCCACCAGAATTCGGAGATCGTGGGTAGAGAAGGATCTGCGGGCCTCGCAGTCACTGGTCCTCAACAAGTGGTACACGATGCAATGGTGGGACTCGATGACAGTAAACGCGGCAAACGCATGTCCCTGCGATCATCGGAGCTGGTATACTTACCGAGTCTTACCAACGACCTACGGTTCACGCGTTCACGGCGCAGCATTCCCATAATGGAGGTCACGTACCCATCTTAGAGCTCGCACCCCATGCACGCCCCAGGCACGTTTTGCCATGTTGCAACAGCACCCCAATGTGGCAGTAAGGGCTCAGGCAGCAGGACAGTGTCAGCTCCCGTGGAGGCATGTGGAACATGCTGCGCGGGGATACGAATTTGGGTCGACGGGCGAAGACGATGTACAATCTACTCGTGCCGTGTTCTCTCCGCGATACTGTTGCATATATGATCGATCCCCAAGTCTAAAGTCAAAAGCCGTTCATAAATCAGAATGACCGTACATATGAGAGCTCGATAAGCGGGGTCTTCTTCAGTATCGTTCCATTTGACTTGTTGTAGCCCTCGTAGTCCGAGCGTCTCCAACTGCGAATGCGCAGCGTCCCCCTGCTCAGAGCGTGGCCATCACAACTTGGCTCTTGGATGACATGCACGCACCCAGAAAGGAGAGGAAGGGCGACCCTGGAGAAGCTCAGAACCCTGACAGCATCCGGGTCGCGGCGCGAGGCATCGATGATTACAACGGACACGACAAGGAACCACAACCTCGTTGTCTTGCTCAAACGCCTCAGGCGCTAACGGCCTCTTGCCGACAAAGGCAGGAGTAAGTCAGGATAGACTTTGCGATAGTGACCTGCGCCTCGGGATCGTCCTCAGGCCCCGCAGACCCCAGAGTCTGTACTGCGTGTATCAAGGACCATAGACATGCCGTGTTCGTGTCTCTGGCCTAGGTTAGTTGGACAGGACGTAGATTGGTCGCGCCAGGTCTACGCCAGGTCTACGCCAGGCGCGTTCGGTCCTTGTGTACAATTCAGGATGTTCAGGTTCTTGTATGAGGAACAAGGGACACGAAGAAGGAGCTGGCAGCGTGATTACGTCCTGGAGAGTCGGTGTAAATGGCTGCAGTTGAACCGAAGGGAGTCCGAGTCCTCGTCAGCAAGTTACCGCAGATCGCAATCTCGGCTGTTGCCGCGGCAGAGAAGCGCCATATTTGGCAGGTATTGTAGAAGGCGGTGGACTTCATAGCGACACATGTATGTCAGGAAACCGCAGTCGTTCATTCTCTACCATCTCAAATTCGCTGACAGCGGACTGTATGAATGAACTGCATATGATGATATTACTGGACAGCCTTCCTAATCCTACAACGCAGCGACGGTCGGGGCGGAGCACGCATTACGCGGTGCCATTGCGGATGTTGTCGAACTTGCTTCCCTCGTACGTCAGCCAGTTCGGGCTTTGGTCTAAAGGGCCCATAGCCTCCTTGACGACAGCAACCAGACTCCGACCAGGCTGCGGGTCCTTCCCGGGGCCGCCCTCCATACCGTCTCGTGGCGTCCCCTTGTCGCCGCTGAGCTCCCAGAACATGCTCCCGCCCAGGCCTTCCTGAGCGATCCACTCGCCCTTCCGCCTCCCGATCTCTTCGGAGTCGAAGCTGACCATCTCTTTGGTTTGGTAGTTGTACGACCAGCTGGCGACGGCGTCTTGGTCGCGAAGGAGGTAGGAGCCGGGTGGAGGCAGTGCGCGATAGTCGTACACTCCTTGCTCCCAGCTACCCTGACCGATGCCCTGGAAAGGCGTACCGGGACCTTCTGTGTTCATGAAGCTACGCCCATACAGGGGGATGCCCAGAATGATCTTGCTGCGGGGCACGCCCTGGTCAATGTACCATTGCACTGCCTGCGACGCGCTAACGGGGCCTCCGAATAGGTTCGCCTGGTGATTGGCTATCTGGTCCCACGAGCCAGCTATGCCGCATGCCGAACGTGTCAACAACGGCTGCTATAATCGACGGAAATGTACTCACAAAAGTCATATGCCATCATGTTCCAGAAGTCGAGGACCTGGTCCATTTCACGCACGTGAAGTCTCTGGTAGTTATCCGGCCCGCAAGGCGCAGCAATCTGAATAGCGGTCAGTAAATTCGACATGCCCGAAGTCGGGAATCTAGACTCACTGTTAGGAGGAATCTGTGATTGATACCCTTGCGTGCTGCATGGGCATCGAGTCCAGCTCTCAGCTCCCTGAGGAGGTCTACGTAACCCCGCGCTTGCGCATCGTTCTGAGGATACTCATAGTCGATGTCTAGACCATCCAACCCGTTGTCCTCTAGAAGTCGTATGGCCGACGCCACGAACTTCGATCGGAGAGGCGGCGAGACGACGATTGGATGGATTGTAGGGGAATACGTCCAACCGCCGATGGAAAGGATGACCTTGAGGTGTCGGTGCTGCTGCTTCAGCTTGTATATAGCTTTGAAGTTACCGTAGAGATTGTGTCCGACATCGCTCCAGGAGTCACCCGGATAATGAATCTCTTGGTCTGCCCAAGTGTCGGACAAGAAGACTTCGCCTGAGTCCGCTTTGATGTTTGCGAAGGCGTAGAGGATGTGGCTAGTCATGTATTAGACTCAGCTGAGCGGAGCCGTACCAGACTCACGTTAGATTCTCAGCAGGTATCGAGGACGGTGGGTATTTTCTGCCATAAATACCCCTGTACTTTTCTCAGACATACGTCATGGACTAGCTCAGCCTGCTCACCAATTCACAAAGCTATTGGGGTGCAGTGGTCAGTCGGGCTATTTCGAAGTAGGAACACCTTGTACACACTATCCCACGCTGTATTTTCCGTGTTCAGGCATGTCAGGCGTGGTTGCGTTCTCCGTATTGTCTGCGGGTAGTCCGACTTCTGCGTCGGTATCTGTTCCTGGCGGCGCCTGTAGCTCTCCCTGGTGATTCGTCCACTCGTTCGCCTTCAGCACGGCGAGAAGGACAATAGCAGCGGTTGCTGCGAACAGCAGGGTCCTCCGGATCGTTCGGAAACGGTGCAACACCCTGGTATCGGGATTTCCTGGAGGGGAACTAGGACCAGAAGGGACTGGCTCGTAAGATGGGGACTCTGGCATCGCCGCAGTAGCCTCGGACACGGATGGCTGCAAGACGCGGTCGCGGCTTATCCTTTCGCAGCACGTGACCGACGCGTCATTCTCGGGCAGGCCACAGACCGAAGCATTGCCGGACGCGCAGATCATCCCTAGATCCGGGTCCTACTCGTCGCTGTGTGCAACGCGGTCTCCGCCTTCTTGCAACGAGGCATGGGACCAGAAACATCACGGCCGACCGGGATGCATCACTGGCCTCACGGGGATAATGTCTGGCAGTCAGCAAGCCTGAGTCTCCACGGTGAGCCTTGCAGTAAGGTTCACGAATGTGTACAGGGATGCATAGGGAACTACAGGCAAAACACGATGGGCGGACAGCGCGTAGGGGGCTCGCGGCTGTACCTTACATCCACCACCCACTGACAGGGCCCGCATTTCACGCCAGGGGACAAGCAGGCTACCGCGCTCCCGTGAATCTTATTCAGTAATCTCTAAGGGAGAGGGAGTCCGAGGACTCTGCACAGCCTTCGCCAGCTTGGTCTGGATGGCACGTCTGGCGTGAGCGACTCGCCGATGTCAAGCTACCAACTTCACGTCGCAGGAGCTCGGTCCAGCACCGGAGGAGGGCGCTGGACACATGATGATCGACACGAAGATGTAGGTCGGCGAGTGGAGTGCGGCCCAAGCATCGGGTGCGTGCCACTTGCAAGTTGCGATGGTTCGGCCCGAAGCGGAATCGCAAGCACCAGAGCCTCTTTTGCGAACACGCGTCCGCCGGTACTGCTCAGCAGCCTTATGGCGTCGAGCAATCCCTGCGCACCGTTGTACCTAGGGGCTGGGGTAAAAACACGCGTCATGGCTCACAGCCCTTCACCTTCCCGCTTGACAATGTCCTCCTCAAGGCGGAGGTTCGTGACATCCGTTGTTCGGTGCCAAGGCGAGTCCAGTCTTGTTGCGTCTACACTGCTGTTAACGGTGAAGGTTTTAGACGTGCGGTACGATCGACCTACTGCCTATGCACTGCATATGTGCAGAGTACATACCGATCGGTGAATGGAAAGTACCGCGTACAGCAACCGTCACGGACAGGCGGCACTGGAGCCCACTCTGTCGACAGGAGGACAGACTTGCACATCCTGCCTTGCAGAACGACGAATGCTGAAACAGGGTGGATGTCTAGACAAGCAGTCCAGAGGCGAACTGTGTCAAGCCCTTGCCGACGTCCCTTTGCATGGCGGGTCGGCATTGAGCGGACGCTGCGCTGCACGAACTAGGTTTTCCAAGCCACGACTACGTTCTACAATGATGCGACGAGTGACGTACGATAGCGATACAGAGCGATAATTATCTTCATCCACCCTTGACGACTTCGCGCCACAACGGTGTCAGAGCTTGTGCTACAGTGTTTGATGCCACCTCCAAGCAGCTGCGGGTCTCCTCGTCTGTTACGCTTCTCAGGACTCCTCTTGCCCGCCAACGGTCTGGGTGGAAGCGCCTATGGCTTTCCTGAATAAAGGCCTTGTAGTCTTGTGGTCTCATATACGCTCGAACAGACCTGAAGAAAGCTTCGACAGCGTTCCAGTCGATGTCCTCGATCGATAGCATGGCCGGAGAGCGCAGAACAGGCCACGGGATGACATTGAACGTAGCAGGGCTGTCCTCCGCAAACTTGGCGCTGTCGAACGTCTCGCTGAGCACCTTGTAGCGCTCCAGAGCGCGTGCTGTCGTCCAGGGCCCGTATGACCACCGCTGCTGCTGTTGCTGCCGGCGGCGCTGTTCCTGTTCGTGCGCGGCGTTCTCCCTGGCAGCTCTCGCTCTGCGCTCCGCCTCAGCCCGTTCGGCCTCTTGCCGGCGCCGGCGCGCTTCCGCCTCTGCGGCCTGTCGCTGAGCTTCGCTCTGCACCCGTCTCCTCTCTTCTTCCGCGCGCTCCGCTTCCATACGCCTGCGGGAAGCCTCTTCCCACAAAGGCTTGTCCTTCTCCAGCTCAGCGAGCTTCCGCCGGGATTCTTCGATCGCAGCTTGACGAAGCGCCTCCTCATCAAGCGAACCTTGGTTGGGGGCCCCTGGAGCCTGGTCAGGCGGTTGCTCATGTCCTACTGTATGACTGAGGAAGGTTGTCCCTGATGAAGATAAACGTGCATACCATGCGTGTTTCCTCCGCTCCCGAAATCTTCTGGAATGTCCGTCATGAGATCGTGGAGGAATCTGTCGTGCCACGCTGCCCTATTGCTGTCGAAGCGAGCCTTGAAGCTCTCCATCCTGCGCCGTTCCCGCTCAGTACGCTTGGCTTCGTACTCCTGCTTGGACGCCCCAGGCGAAACCGTGCGATGGCGCTTTCTTGACTGACCCTCCGCATAGTCTGAAGAATTCGTACTGGCTTCCCCAGATTTGGAGGGACTTCGCACCTGAGGTTCGGGTGAGACTACGGGATGCGATGAGTATTCAACATGTTCTGCATCGTGTGGCAAGGCTTACTCTTCCGCTTGGCCGTATTTGTTGGCGGCACGTTTCCTGAGCGACCGTTGTCGAGATCATCTGCAGTCAGGTCTACCATGTCGATTTCCTGTACGTCATCGAAAGCAGTATTCATTGGCTTGCTCCGAGAAGCGGTCTTCTCTCTTCGCCACCGACGTTGAGACTCTGTCTCTTCCCTCGTTCTTCTTCGTGGGCCCGTCCTACTTGACGGCTTATGGCTGCCTGGCGGCATGGAACTTCCCTTCGACGACTCCACAAGAAGGTCTTCTACTTCGTCTTCCTCGTCATCAACAGGGATAGGGTGCGCCCGATCGCTACCGAGTTCACTCATATAGTCGGACGGGGCAGCTGAGCGGAACCGCTTGCGAGAATGTCGTGGGGCTTCGTCCTCGGAGGGCGTCGACAGGCGGCGTTTCGACCTGAGCGCGTCAGGAGCACCATCCGCGGTGTGGCGCTCTGTTCCGGCTTCTGCAGCCGGCTCTTTGACCTTCCTACGGGAGATCGTAGGCATAGCAGGCGGTGTCGGTACGAAGCACTCATACTCCGTAGTGTCTAGTTTGTAGATGTCCCACTGGTCCTGCGAGCAATATACAACTTCCCTGGAAAGGCCCATACCATCGATTGTCAATCACCACAACGTACAGCGAGCGAGCTTACCCGCAAATATCGACCAGCCTAGGCCAATTCCCCTCGCTATCCACTCCAGGTCCTAAACGAGCGCGAGGGACGAAGCGCCAGAAACTCGTGCCTTCGGGCCCTGGAGTTGTCTCTATCACGATCCGCTTCGGACGTGTCGGCTCCTCGTTCAGGGAAAGGTTTTCCAGGGTCTGTGGTCTAGGATATGCAGCGAGAGGGTGAAAGGACGCGAACGAGAGCGTCGATCCCGAGATGCGATGAAGGCGCGCTGGTTGTGTCGGATCGAGAATTCCGGGGGTCGTGCCATGGATGGAACGGAAGGTAGGTTGGGTTGTCATTATGAATTGACATGAGTAGGGTCGTCAAGTAATCCAATGTAAATCGTAGGCGGGTCGCCTAGACGCAGCCGTCGCAAGCGGAGAGTTGACTGCACTCGAAAACTCGAGAGACTCGCGCGACGCGCACGGCGCGATGGCAGATCACGTGGTTATGTTGAAGAGGGCGTTCTTCAACTTCTTGAATCTTCGTCACAGTCGACGATATTAAGCGGCTTATACGCCTTCCGCATCATATATAAGCCATATATGTGCGTAGACTCATATGCCTTCCTCGTTTCTGTATGTCGAGTGTTGATAAAATGCGATGATGCAGCTTTAAGATCGAGTGCGACAATGTGTGTATCGACCGTCTTCGGCAAGTGCCGCCGACTGGCGGGTACCGGCTGTGGCGGCGTGACTGTTCGCGCCGGCCTGAGTCGCTGAGCGGCAGTCGCTGCCAGGTCGCTGCAAGCCTTCGATCAACGAGCCTCCATTTGTTGCAACTTGCAAGCACTGTCCTCGGCCTGAGACCACCTCTGACGCGGTATTTGCCAGTCGGTGCGTACAAGCAATGGCTTGCATATTAGTCAGCATCTTGATCGAGGTCTACCCGCTACAAGCTCAGTGACAGTCGAGTGGTCGACGGAACGGCCGGGACATCTCCAGACTGTTCTCAAGCACTGGAGTGGCGAGTCATTGAGAGTCAAGACGCTGTCAACTCTCTGACTCTTTGTACGATCTCGCTCAGTTAAGGCGAACTTCGCTCGACTCGGGAACCAGAGACATCTCAGGCAGCTGCCATTCCAGAACCCCCAGGTCGACGCGTCGCGTTAAAGATGACGACCAAGACTAGCCTGCGCACCTTCCAGTCCGAGATTGAGAAAATACGACACCGGGAGGTTGTCCGACAAAGAGACCAGACCGCCGCGGAACGAGCGAAGGAGAAGGAGTCCAAGAAGACCCCGGTCCGCTCTGGTGCTGCTGAACTATCCACATCAGCTCCCACACAGGGAGGCGCCATCGATCCACAAGTGAGAGAGCCTGCGGGATTGTCAGATGCGGGTGCGGGGTTGTCAGATGTGGATGAGCAAATACAGGTACGCTGTGCTTCATCGATCGCGTAGCGCAGAGGCTTCATGTGTCATTACTTCACTTCAGTCATTATTACTTTCCGCCTCTTCCGCGGACCATGACAAGGCGCGAGATATCATCGCATCAATATTGACCAGGCGCAAAGGAGAGTATATACTGCGAATAGGTGCACATCCACCACACTCCAAGCTATTCTCGAAGACGCCTGGTTCGCTCGAGGGATCAGACGCATGGCATGGCACGGCCCGGACTGTAGAAGAACTCGATGCACTTCAGCGTGAGGTGCAGGAGATTGTGACAGATATCGGAGGCGTGGTATGTCTTTCAATCTGAACACACCGACCCATGCGCGTCAACCCACATCATACTCAGACTACAGTTTTGTTCGACACAAGAACAGAGCGTCCGCGAGCGACCTTGCTCCTTCGATTACCTCCTGCGGACGTTTCTGTCACCCCGGAAGTCCGGTGCGCTGTCGTCGGAAACGTCGACAGTGGCAAGTCGACCACTCTGGGTGTCTTGACTAGAGGTGAATATGACAACAGCTTTAGGCTAGCTGCTTCTTCATGCAAACAATCACAGGGGCACTTGATGATGGTAGAGGGCGTGCCCGCGTGAGTTTATTCCGACACAAACACGAGATTGAGAGTGGGCGGACGTCTAGCGTAGGGATGGAGGTGAGGCAAAATTGTGCATGTATGCGGTATTTAGCTGAACATCAACCAAGATCTTGGGCTTCGGGCCCTCTGGCGCACCAATACTGCCGTCAACTGCACATTTGAACGACGCAGAGGTGATCAGGCGAGAGAAACTGGGCTGGGAGGAGATCTCTGCAAAGGCTGCCAAGATTGTGTCCTTCATCGGTGAGCTTCAGCCTCAAAGGGAATACATCCCTCAGTGACGAGCCTGCCGTAGACCTTGCGGGCCACGAACGATATTTGAAGACGACACTCTACGGCCTGACTTCGGGGGCGCCGTCCTGCGTGATCCTCATCGTCGGAGGGAATGCAGGGCTCATCGGTATGTCAAAAGAACACCTCGCGATCGCTCTCGCCTTGAGCGTCCCCGTCGTCGTCTGCATCACGAAGGTAAATCGACAGACGCGGTGCTTAAAGGCAATGTGTGACATATTTCGGGAGACAGATTGACATGACACCACCGAATGTCCTGACGAAGACAATCGAGCAGGTGACCAAGATCATGCAGAGCCCTGGCTGTCGGTGAGTAGATAGCGGTCTCACGTTAGCCGCAGGTGACCGACAGCTGCGAAGGAAAACAACTGTCTTCGTGCAGTCAGCTGAGACTGCGGTAGAGCTCTCGCAAGTATTTGCTGCTGAACGGTACGTATGGCAGTCGGTGCCCTGACTGGGAAGCTGACGACATTCCAGATTATGTCCCGTGTTTCAATTATCGAATGTCACAGGAGCCGGGCTTGACTACGTGAGTACCGCCTCATGGAGTGACGCCATATAGTGGGCTTGACAACTTCCAGCTACGAACATTCTTGAATTTGCTGCCTGCTAGCGAGAGTGACACAGAGAAGTTCGCAGCCGACCAGCCATTAGAGGTAGCGTCAATGCCCATGCTCTCACGTCCCTCGATTACTTACACCTCTGCAGTACTCAGTGACAGAGATTTGGTACGACCAATACTCTCTTTTTGTTGGAGCGCTTTCATGACGGGCATACCCGAAGGTCGGTGCCATATGTCGGCACTGTAGTCGACGGTATCTTGAACAGCGGTACCATAAAGAATGGCGACTCTGTGCTAATCGGCCCGGATGCCAACGGCAACTATCAGAGCACGGTTGTGAAGTCAATACAACGCAAGAGGTAGGTACCATGCCTCGACACGAGCCCTTGGCAGCGTCAATGTCATTCTACTCTTCTATCATATCCAGGGCCCCGGTAACTAGCGCGGAGGCTGGCCAGTGCGTGTCGCTCGCCCTTAAGCGTGTCCGGAAGTCGGCCATACGGAAAGGCATGGTACTCGTGCACAAGAGCGAGACGCCTCCAAGAGGTGGGTCTCCGTCGCTCCGTGATAGAATATGGCTCGGTTCATCTCCGCTCTGCAGCCGTGCGGCGATTCGAGGGGCAGGTCCTCATCCTATAGTGAGCAGCGCCGTCTACTGTCATTTTCCGCCGCGGAGAGGTGCTCATATCGCCGTTAGTCATAATACAACGTTGCAGAAGAACTACCAGGTGAGCCACTCTGTGATCCTCCATCATCGGCGATTGCTTACGCGATGGTCTATGAAGGCTATGCTTCATTGCGGGGTGCGTATCCGTGGAGCTTCTCTGTGGAATATTGCTGAGTCTGTTGTGTCCCGGCGGCGGCGCGCAGGCCATCCGTCAGACCGTGCGCATAGTGAACATGGACCACCCTCAAGGCATACTTCGAACAGGCGATCGTGCCACGGTTACTTTTGAGTTCATATCTCACCCAGAGTTCATCAAGGAAGGGATGAAACTCCTCTTCAGGGAGGGGAAGACGAAGGCATGTCTACCACTCAATGTTCAGCGGCGCATGGACATGCTAACGGGTTCACAAGGGTCTGGGCGTCATTACACGATTATTATAACCTTGTAACCATGACGAGCTGGCGACGACCGCGCAGATAGGGCGGAGATGACCTCGCCATTGTACAATACGATGAGGGCGACACCCGCAGCGCGGCCCGGGCTCTTCTATTGTTTCTTCTTCTACGGACAGTCCATCTGTACTTCACTGTGTGTACCAATTCCCGATGTAAAATCTATGGTGTACGAACAACAGGGTCCACAGCCAAATCGGCTAAGCATAATCAGAGCTGCCACTTTCTACGCCCACCTCTCCGCGAGACGCTCGTGCCGCCAGGGCCCGGGCTGGACGCAGTGGAAACAGACATGGGGGATGCCCGCTCCCCCTCTAGTTCGAGCTCGTGTGCGCGCACGGCGGCCTCTAGCTCGCCCTCACCGGCGATGCGGCCCTGCGCATCGCTGAACTGCTCGTATAGCGAGCGCTTCGTGTCGTATGTATATCGGAAGGATTGTGCGGGCTCCCCGGTGACCACGGTGGTCGTCTCGAGACCTTGGCGTTCGCGCTTCAGGTCGCGTTCGAGGGCGTCGAGGAAGAGACGGTCGTGCGGAACGGAAAACCTGCGGAGAGTGAGAGGTGCGGAAGATGGGGCGGTGGTGGAGGGGTCATACCAGTAGAATACCTTTTGCTTTTTCTGCGTGCGGATGCATTGATACTTGAAGAGCAGTTCAAGGAATGGTGACTGCGTCTGTGTCAGTTTCATGCATAGTAGTGAGGGCTCAGTACACACCTTTGGCTCTTCGAGACATGCATCTACACCCGGCTTCAGATTCCTCAAGTCACTGAACACGCCCTCCTCGAACTTCTTCATGTTGCGCACGGGCCTGCCGAACGCCTCGAACCGGAAGACAAGAGCACGCACGATATCTGTGCCCGTGATATGGTACAGCCCGTCCCAGAGCACGCAGCTGACGTATTCCATGTTCGGCAGGAGGAAGCGGTTCAGGGCGGGGTGCGACATCGGGTCATCGGGAGTATTCGAGCCTCCCGGGACCGGGGAAGACGAAGAAGTGTGTGTCCATCGCGCAGGGGCCGTGGCAAGGAAGAACTTGAGGCGATTGAGGTGCTCGAGCAGCTCGCGCTCGTGGAAGGTGAGAGGGCGGCTGAGCGCGCTCTCGAGGGCGGGGTCGTGGATCATCGCTGCGGCGGTACGCTCGCGCAGCGTCCGGCCTGCGTCCACAGCCATGTCCGTGTCCCCAGAGTCGTCGAAATCGTAGTCGTCTTCTGCGTCTGCATCTACGTCCTCGTCGTCATGGTAATACCGCTCTGTGTCCGGCGTCACCTCGTGTGCTTCGCGAGAACCAAGATGGCGTGTTCGGTGCTGGTCTTGTTCGGGCGCATATGAGACGACAGAAGCATCGAAGGCGCGTGGGTGGGATGACACGGAGGGCAGGCGGGAGTGGCTCGGCGGGTGGTGGTATGGTGCAGGCTCGTACCGGTCTAGGGTGTCCATGAGAAAGAAGTAGAAGAGTGCATCACAAGAGAGAAAGCTGACCTATTGCTTACCTCTGGCAGGTTTGATGGTCTCGTACCGCATCCGAATCAAATAAACGGAAGACGTGATAATTCGGGTACCAAATCCGCGAGGGAGGACCGGCGTCTCCCTTCGCGAGCACTGTCAAGCGGGGTACGTAGTACGTATCTGTGCATACCTTTTGTGTCGAGTCCGCGATACCCGCAGAGTCGGCGACAGAATAGGATGGTGGTCTGGGATGGTCGAGTGGAAATCCGAAATGGGGATAACAACGAAGAGCGTCCTGTAAAGGAACACCGTCTTCTGTTGTGGAAATGGGTCCCTCATTAGGCAACTGTGCACATCCGCCACCGCCTCGCGATCGACGTACAATGTTTGCAACTGCTGTGCTCAACAACTGTCTGTCTTCAGATTCACCGTCGATGTCCTAACGCGCTTCAGACGCGTTCAGAACCAGTCAAGCATTGTTGAAAGATGCAGCAATCATATCTCGACTCTCGACATGTGTCTACGGTACGGTACACGGTTCATACTTACGGTCCCTCATTACTTCCGTGTCTGATGTTTCCTACGATCCGATCTGCCTACAGTCTATCGATGAATGCAGCAATTCACTTTCTTGTGTAACTCAGTGGATCGCTCTCCATGTCTACAGTGTTGCACAACCCATGATGTCAGGAATGATTGAAGTGCTTACGAACTGCAACCTGCCTCAATGTGCTTCCCCACTCGTCTCAGTGCACAGGAAGACCGCAGTCATTGGCGGATATTGGCAAGTATCTGCAGGTGGAAGCAGATGGAAGCATGGCGCACGGTGGTGGCGGTTTGGTGGACCGGCGGCGACGCGCGCGGATGGGCCACAGTAGGCGAATTTGACTGTGTGCAGCTGTGTGCATCAAATTCACAAGCAGGGTCTGCGCCTCGAGTCGGCTCTCGTTCGGCAGCTCGTTCGGCAGCACTCTCCTTCGGTCGACTGCGCGCGGGCCCGCCCTGAGCCCGCCTCTTCGGGCTTGCTCTCCGCCTCCTCCCCTCTCGCTCAGCTTGTCCTCAGCCCTACTGTAAGTGGCCCGGCCACAATAGGGTTCACTCGAGTGGCCCGTCAGAACTCAATATTACTGCGTGAGGCGGTGCAGGCGGTTGAACGTGACCAGAACCTGGGTGTGTATGCCGTGCGCACTCACCGTCTGGAGCTAACCGCAGTCCCAGCCCACGTAACCCGTGCGCTCCTGTCCTACTCAAACCGCTGGACACTGGACAGATTTCCCACCTAGAACCCAGGTAATCCACCCGAATACCTCAGCACCGGTGTCTGGCCACGCTCGAGGTCATCGATTGAACCTTGCGCCTCAGGTCCCTCCAGCGGGCAGGCGCGCGGCCTCACAGCCCCCGAGGCATCCCAGGGGAGTGCCAGCGAGCCTGAGCAGACCGTCATGTCCATGATGGCTGCCGCAGCTTCAGCGTACGACGAACACGTTCTGCGACGGGTCCAATCTACCGGCGACCTCCCCAATCCTCCACCCTCCGTACGGCCGAGCCCGCATGGTAGCCTGCGTCGCTCGGAAGGCGTGGTCCAGCGTCCGGAGCCCTTGCATCTGACTGGACGAAGCCACGGTGCACGTCCTTCGTTCGATTCTCTGGAAGCTGCTCTTGCTCAGCTGCACGACCCTCCGCATCTCCCACCGCACCCGCCTCGACAACGCACACCGAGGATAAGACCACGGCCGCAACAACAAGAAGATGTGCCGACTTTGCTCGACAAGCTTCTCATGCTGTTTGGACTGTCGGGAGCCGACGCGAAAGCACGGAGAGAGTTCATATCGTTCGTGTGGAACGTCGGGTTTGCCATCGCGCAGGTGCATATAGCCCATACTCCCTGATTTAGAGCCAGCTCATGTGTTCGAATGGCTCAGTACATCATCATAATTACGCTCCTGGCGTATTCCGCTCACCACGAGAGCCCAACAAACCCAGGTCTCAGTGAATGGGAAGCGTGCTCCCGACCGCTGGGTGCATGGGACTCGATCTGGTTGATCCGAGTAGCACTTGGTCTGCTCTTGTCAATATGGGGGTATCGTCGCGACAGAGCTGCGCGTTTCATGTGAGTACCACATCTCCTATTCAGCACTCGGCTCATATATGCGTCCACCAGCCGCGAACGCAACGAGAGGAACGAAGAACTTGAGAGTTCCAGGCCTCCGCCAACAAGTCCTCATCGCCATACTCGCGGGCGGGATCCGCGGTCTCCTCCGATATGGGACACTGATGAGTATATGCAAAGAGCTAACAACCCGCCGGACACAGAATCGCATCTCTACTCTCGGTCTGTCTCGTCACTAGACCCTCATTGGGTCCTACTTAGTACTGATCGAAACAACCAGGTTGTCCCTCCTTGGCACATTCATGTCGCTCGCGTGGTTCCTCACCGCCCACATCCTCGAGTACACCTCCGTGAACGACTGCCGGCACTCCTCGCCACACCTCTGGTGGCTCACCTTCGGCATCCTCTGCATCCTCTACCTCATGGTGCTCGAGATCTTCCTCCTCGGTCTGCTCGTCTTCGTCTTCGGCCCGGTGCTCTACGTAAGTCCCCGTCTTCCCCATACGCTAGGCGGTCCACCGACTCATCACGCACACAGCTACTGTGGAACGTCATCCTGCTGTGCCTCGGCCGCCACCCGCTGCAGAACCCGCACCAGATCAAGCCCGAGATTGGGAAGCTCCCGAAGCAGGTCGTCAACCAGATCCCACTCGTGCTCTACATCCCACCACCCCCTGACGACCCCCAAGCCAGCTCACCTTCCAAGACAAGCTCACCGACTGTCCCTGCGCCTGCGTATAGCTACCCGCCCACGCGCAAGCCGTCGTTCCAGCCGAAGCGCAGGTTCGCGTTCTTCCGTAAGCGGGGGAAGGCGCAGAAGGGCGGCGACGGCAAGAAGGCCGATGGAGGGACGGCCGACAAGAATGGCGAGCAGAAGATGGAGACGGACCCCGAGAGGATGACGTGGGAGGAGCGCTGGGAAACGGGCGACTACCCGTTCGTACGCCTGGAGGGTAACCGTGCCGTGTGTGCGATCTGTCTGCTCGACTTTGAACCGCCGAAGAGGGTCGACGGCGAAGAGGGCGACAACGAGAAGGTGAAGGAGGCGGATGATACCAACGTAAAAGGGGATGGCGTGAGTGAGAAGGTGGACTTGGAGGTGGAAGGGGAGCAAGACGAGGCGGGTGCGCCGGATGAGTCGGTGCATGAGGTGCAGGTGGACGAGGTCACGGAGGAGGAGCGTCAGCATCTGAGACTGGACGATGCTGGAGAGGGCGCCGTTCCGCTGCGCTTGCTCGGATGCGGGCACGTCTTCCACGTACGTCTGTTCCTTCGTACCGAGGGTTCATGCTGATTGATCGCCTTCAATAGCGTACATGCGTCGACCCGTGGCTGACGGATGTCTCAGGGCGGTGTCCGATCTGCCAGCGACCGGTCTTGCAGCCTACGAAAACCAAGTCCAACAGGAGAGATTCAAATCCTTGAGCGTGACAGAGATGGTTGTGTCGGACTCCTTGTTGTAATTCTGTACTCTTGTTTCTGATCATCTTGCTCTCGACGTACTAATATGCAAGTACCCACCTGTCATGACCGTCCCGTGTTTTATCGTAGACTGTTTCTGTACTCTTGACGATAGCCGCGCTGTAGATTAACCTGTAGCATGGAATGTTCATTACTTTTGCCCGCCTCAATGTAGCCATACAGGCCACGTAGTGTCGCAAACAGGATGCGAGAAGACGGCAAGGAACAACAGCGATAGCATTTACACAGTAAGATACGAGACCAACCCAGCGCCCACCTACGTATTCCACCCATTCGTCTGTCCCTGTGGGCTTGAACCGCTTCCCCATGCACCACCTCCCCAGCCTGAGCCAGAACCCGCAGGACTGCCCGCATTCCCCCATCCTCCCCCGCCGCCACTACCACCACCACCACCACCACCACCACCACTACTACTACTACCGCCGCCGCTGTTCACTGGACTCCAGCCCCCGCCTCTCGGAGAAGCACCCCAGCCCCCTCCTCCGCCCCCAGGACGGTTCCCAGGACTTCCTGACGCCCCCCAGCCTGCAGCGCCTCCGTTTCCCCAGCCACCCGGGCCACCAGCGCCGCCGTCCGGAGCTCCATTCGCTGGGTGCGCTTCCGCGGGTGCCTGGAAGTCGCTTGGATCGCTGTTGGCGGTGTTCATACCAAGAATAAGGGCGGCCAGTTTTGCTCTGAGGTGGTGCAGGCCCTGATTCGGGAGTCGCGAACTCAGCGTTAAGACGGTCGGGCTGCGTAGGCACTGTCTGGCTACTCACCCTCAGAACTACCTCCTGTGGCCCGAGACTGCCGTCCGTCTCGACGTCCATGTAGAACTTGTTCGGCTTCGCGTGGAAGTCGAATGGCTCGTCGTCCCGCGGGGGCTCCTCCTCCTTCGCGTTTTCGCTGAGTGGCCATTCCGCACGCGCGTCGCTCTCGTACCAGTAGGATGTGTGCCGGAGCTTGTTGTGCGGGTCGTACTCGAAGGCGACTGCGGAGCAGGGCGACCACTTCGCGTGCTCCTTGGCGATGCCCTTCTTAGCGATGCAACGTACCCGGAGTTCTTGCCCTTTACGGATTTTGCAGATGAGAACCGGCGGCGTGTTTGGGTCGTCTGCGTAGTATGGTCAATGGGACAAAGTGCAGGACAGGCCGCAGCAGCGCACCTTTGGCGATGGGGTGCCCGAAGTCGTCTGCCCGCTTGCCCACCTCCTCACCTCCGTCGTCCTCATTCCAGTTCTGGCTCCCTAGTCTCGGGCCGGTGACATCTAGGTGAGCACTTGTGACGTCCATGGTCACCATCTCGTTGCAAGCGACGTTCAGCCTCAGTTCGACCGCACAAAATTGACACCACGATAGACATGTGCAATCCTGTAGGTTGCATCAGAGGGATGCCCGTGGATTTGAAACGTGATGCATACCCGAGTATATCGCATGCCTTCGTCACAATGTTGTGATAGCAGCGGGATCATGCCCAACCGGTGCGCAATAAACTCGTCCGGGAGAACAGTGGTGTTCGTCTCGATTTCCACCATGTCAATCGCTGCAGCCAGTGTAAGTCTACGAGAATGAATGGTACAGCAAGCCACGCACCGACTGTCGGGATGTCCGCCATCATGACCCTCCTGAAAGAATTTGCAAACCTGACGACCACGTTAGGAGCGGATGCAGCCTCGGAGCGACGGACAAAACATACGCGAGGTCGACGTTCTCCAGGACGAAGTCGACATGATCCTTTTTGTACTCTCGTATGCGGACAATTGAATTGTCGCCAGACATTTTGAAAGCAATGATATGGAGGAATTGGATTGGTACGCGACCACAGTAAGTACTTGTCGCGGTTGTGGCTTAAGCTGTTTGCGCTCAGTGGGCTTGGCCTCTCAGTGTCTTACGTAACGGGGCGCGGTTCTTCAGATGTTCTGGGCGCCTTCCTGAGTCGTCGCTTTCTGTCAGGTTATTTATCCCAATTCTGTGCTTCCACGCTTCCACCTGTCGCAGCTGCATCCCGATCATGAGCATATAATAAACTCAGAGCAGCACCGCACGCGGCGGGCCAGTGTACCTCTGACAACGGTCAGTCTCCGATGTGACGGCACTAAGTACGTGCAGACAGACTATGACAGGCTACTGGTGAATCTTGTATATGTGCTCTACAACATCGCATACACGAATACCAAGAGGCCAACGCTCAGGCTGAACGAGTCCGGGCCCCATCTCCTTGGTTGGCACTTCAACGCCGAAGACGCGGTTCCGTTCGAAGCTGCGGAGCTGGCCCACATCTGGAAGCCGCGAAAGTATGTGTGCGTCGTATTTGGTGTCGCCCACGAGGAATTACTCCCACCGAAGAACGTTCTGTAAGACGAAGTAGCAAAACATCGTAATTGGTGTCAGCCTCACAAAGAGAGAAGCAAGAGTGGTACGCACGAGAAGAATAGTCCGCCGATATTGATGTCTGAGGTACTGCGGAACTGCAGGCTCGACAGCGTTATAGCTGGAACATTGTTGTAACTACGCGGGGGGATGTGAGTATTCCTGTACGGCAAATATGCATACGACTCACTACAGCGCTACTTGTCCGTTCGCTTTGTTGACAGGGTTGTTCAAACTCACGAGCATCGTCACTCGGTTCCATCTGCAGGCACAAATATGTAAACGAGCCGCCAGGTTATCGGCTGCACTTACGCTCCTGACTGGAAGCTGAACGCTCCGCGATCGATGCTCGTTCCGTACCCATCGTCGTTGCACATCACATTCGAAGAGTCGCAGAACTTCTTTGATTCGAGGGCATACGCATATACTGCACGGTGAACTCACCTTTAGCTCAATGACTTCTGTAGTCGTCAACTACGCACCTTCCCCGTCTCCGTCCGTCCTCCACATTGTCCTCGAGGTGAAGCAATTGGAACCATTCGCTGCCTCACCACCGGAACAGCCATACACGTCTGGGCCGCCTCGCAGCCCAGGGAGCTTCCCGCCCTTGACCCAGTCAAAGTCGGCGTCAAATGCTACCTCGTACGTCACTAGCATCGAGTTCCAGTTCTCGCCTGACCCAGAGCTGTTCGAAGAGGTGTTCCACAGGGCGTAGAACTGTGCGCCTCCAGTATCGTGCGAGTAACTTCCTGCCGGATAGGTCACTTGCAGGACGGGCGAAGTTGTATTGCCATCGGCGGAGTCGGACAAAGAGGTCGAAGAGTTGTTCGGGAAAGGATCGTCAACGAATGCAAGGTTGGATGCCCCATTTTGTATCTTTCCGTTACTGAGACCCCAAGAGGACACCAGATACGATGCGGCATCAGACGCAGATAGCGCGGACGTCGGTACGGGCAAGGCAGTACTGGCCGTCAGCGCATACATCGATGCCAGCGATGCTGGTGGAACTATCGGCGAAGACGCCGCAGAAGCCACGTCCATGCCCAAGAGCAGCGCAGAGATGCAACTCGAAACGATGAAACGAGGCATATCTGGAGCGGATAGTGGTTACAGGGGGTTCCTCCAAGTAATGGCCGAGTGCCCTGTGCAAACATCCCTGTGTTCAGGGAATTCGACATTACTATCTGGCCGAAAGGTCATGTTGCGAATGGGACCGCCGGCCAAGTGGGCGGTCGATGGGCACATCCCCGTCCTGAACACGGCTTGATTGGGTGGACTGGTCAAGCATTCCTGAGAGGTCCGACGAGCACGGGTGGATGTGATGAATAGTCCTATCTTACAGCCGCTGCACCCAACTCGGGAACGCAAGTCAAGGACGGTCAGCCCAGAGACTGGGTCATCGATGACAAACAGGACTGAGCGCTAGGAGGTCAGTGTGCTGAATTGTACATGAGATAGTATGCGGCGACGTCTCGCTCCTCACTTGTTTCAGGTACGTCAATCTGTAAAACCAGCACGTTTGTTGCACGAATGGTCGCATTCATCAGGTAGTGAGGTCTTGCGACATTCACGGCCCGACCGTGGAAGTACTTGAACGTTGCGATCCCTGCAACTGCAGATGGCACACAGCAGACGCCACAAGGTGATCATTCTGTTCGGCAGACGAATGATAACGATACCGATCTGTCTACTCAGGTCCCTTCATCCACCGCTAGTGACATCACGCAAACTCAGATGAATGGTCGCAATCTCGACAGAGGTATCTGTACCCAACTCATGTATTCGGACCTCTCTGAGATTACCAGCGACCTTGCTTCTCATCCAAATTCCAAGTGAGGTAAGTATTGATAGTGTCGGAATGAGAAGGAGACATATGTGTAACGAGCTAACTAGGGCGTGCGCAGCGGGTGATCCAAGTGCTTACTCGAGTATTGATCGCAGGCTGCACCGCCGATGCCATTTTTCAGTTGCATACACTTACGGGCGGAGGTGCGTTGCTCGTGCTTCAGACCGGCGTTGTAATAACTGTTTGATACCCTGTGGCATATGCAGGTGGACAAGCCTAATATAAGACATCGTCTGGACGTTGAGAACCAGTGCACGGTCGTGGGGTGATGCCTGCTAGTAACCACCGAAAGCGAGGTGAGTCGACTGTTCAATCGATATGCGTTCTGCTTGTCCTTAAGCAGTGTACCTGTCTTCGTCATCAGGTACTCTGCGGGTGCCATAGAGCACACTATGCGGACCAGTTGTCGATGAAACCCGCCTGACAACCCGACTGATATGAACAATGACATCTATGTTACCGTCATCGGCAGCGAGGCACGGTGCACATAGAACAATGCTTCCGTCAAATGTTCCCAAGTGTCCGAAGTCAAACTTCCATTGGCAGGAGGACACCGGTCCCTTCGAAAGCTGTATCCTCAATCTGTCCAGAACCGTACACATAAGATAATCAAGCATCGACCACGCTCTTGAACCAACTTCCTCCATCCTCCCCGATACTACAGAACTCTATACATGGCTCGATGGATTTTGTCTCTCTCCGTTCTGTCGTGCTGTTGGATGATGGTTTCCGCTTCAAGCGCGCCTACCTGCTACAATGGTAGCGATACCCTCCAGTGGTATATGGACGCAATTGGCGAGACACCATGTATGAAGCACGTGTCTGCGAGGAATGCACTGTCTCACCCCACTGCTCGTAGGCGCAACATATCAGCGATTGAGGCAAATCTGCAATGACAATTGTACGTCGTCGCATCGCACATCGCCGCTCGTTTCTGCTCATGTATGTGTGATCTACTACAGATACGACCCCAACATGGGCCATCGACACCCCTACAGATCAGTGTGACGACCCACTGAGTACGTTCGTCTGTTTGGTTCACTGCTGCATCCCTTAATATTGATCACGCACAAGGCACTTGCTGCTGCAACTCCATCGCGTGGTCGATACGGATGCTGTGCATCAAGTACGTCTCCGAAGGTTTCCGCTGCTCTGGTTCATCTCATTTCGTCCAACTCAGCTGTGAATGGGACGAGTTCGGCGTGGGCGATCCTGGACACTCTGCAGGTATGCGATCTCATATCCGTAGCTAATATGCCCCTGAACGAACATGATGGCGGTAGGCGCGGGTGCCTATTACAATTACCGATGGAGTACGGGGGTGCCAAATAATGGTATATATTGCGGGGACGGTCACAACCAGACGTATGCTTTCACTGTCGAGTTCGGAGTATTGTTCACTGATGCTCTCGTAGGTTGCCGGAAACCCTTCAGCAAGCGGTTTGCGACAGGGGGATTCGGCTTGGTGACTTCTTGTACAACATATTCTGGCCAGATGGTTCATGGTATGCCCACTCCCGTGCATCTTTCGTGTCGTCATAATGGTCTAACCACCATTCGACGATCCATTGATTCAGGGACTTGTAAGTTTAATATCGCTGCCTGTGGTAGGATTGACTGATATTCCGCTTCATGACAGCTCCACTTTTGAAAGTTTCGCTGAGGAACTTCTGGCATCGCACAGCAATCAATCTCTTGACTCATGCACGAGTAATTCGAGCACGGACGCTACTGCTCACAAGAAGGCTGACGCTGTCGCAATAGTCGGCGGCTCTCTAGGTGGTGCTTTGGGGATCGTATTACTCGGTGCAATCATGGCAGTCCTCTATGTTAAGCGGCGTTCTCTGCGAAAATCTCGTCGTCCCCTTGTGGACTCGATAGACGAGCGGCCAAACCTTAATCGATCACCGACCCTTCCAGTGGATGTGCGCAATGACTTCATCACTGCATACCTTCGGACCGATCAATCTTCAGGTCTTCCATTGAGTTGGGAGACGTCGCGTGAGTCGCATGTCGGATTAGCGCGAGTGGCTGAAATCCATTTCCTCTGTAGAGCGTACATCATCGCTTGCGACACACAGCGAAACAGACCTAATATCGGGTGACTTGTTTACATCCCCACCGACCGACGTCGATGCACCTGAGGATGTCAGGACCAACCGCCGCGGTAGGAAAGGGGGGCGCCGGCCCGGAAAGAGCAAGCGTTCACATTGGAACAAGATGGTAGCTCCTCCAGTGGAAGAGCTACGCGAGCGCGACGGGGGAATATCGGTACAGGAGTCGCGGTTGCTGACGGTGTGTCGTACCATGTATTCAAATTTGGGATGAACACAAGAGCGACTGGCGGCTTCGTACCATCCGGAGACTCCAAGGCAAGCCAAGAGGGCGTGAACTGCTGCAACATTTTCTGATCCATCTCGCCATCTAGGTGTAATCATATGTGGAATTGCTTGAGTTCGCCTCCCACTTTACTCATTCGTGACGTGACGGTAATTTCAGAGAACTTCCGAGCTGTCTCATTGTCTTGTCGATACTTTTCTCAACCTCCTTCGCTATCTAGTCGATCACTGTGTTAGACTCTACTCGGTGTCTATGTGCTCCTCCAGCGGACAAATTGGCAGAGTTGTATCTGAATCCACCACTGATAGTGGTCGAACACAGTGCACGATGCTTGGGCGTTTGACAACGTAACGCAGGTTAACCTCCAGTGGAGGAGATCGTCATGCCGTCAAGGCAAACTACACTGACTGAACCGTCGTTAGTTTCTCAAATAAAACCTCGGACGTCCACGGTGGATGCTCGTCAACCGAAGAGCAAGCGGCCTTCCTAGTGAGTACTGAATCCGTATTGCGGGCGTCTCATGATGCGGCCTAAGGAGTCATTGACTGACTATAATGGCCGTGGCAGTGTAGTGCAACCCTTACAATCACCCCCGTGTCGTGGCGTATATGCAAATACTGTCTGCGCAAACCACAATCTGTACGTGGAGAACCAATGTCAAATCAGCGCGCACACGCTTTGGGTGTGCAACAGGCTGTTTCAGGTGACTTATGGTTCGTCAAATGCCACCAATGGCATTGATGAGCTCCGAGTCACTGACCGCTTCGCAGACGTTCCGTCACCGCGCTCGGGCTTCCAGTCACAGACACCGGGGTGACCCCGGGTGACTATTCCCCACCTCCCAGTGGTCGGAGCGGCATAAGTTAGAGAATCGAGGACAGTGCGCCGCGAACAAGAGGCGTGCAACGACTCGGATACGCAACGACTCGGAGTGCCGATAGCAATACGAGCAGCCGCTGACATGGTGCTCAACCTTCAACGGTAATGTAATCGCCTTCCTCAGCCAGTTCTGTTTGATGGTCAAGGCCGGACAAACTCTCAGTGACACTCATCGTCAACAAATGATCATGAACGCGATGCACATCGAGAACCCCATAAATAGGTGTTCACAACTGTCCAAGACCGATTTTTCATTGGGTCGAGGACGTCGGTTCTTCCGGAGGCTGTGTCTCCGAGATACCAAGGCCACACGCAAGTCATTTAAATAAGCATCGGCCAGCCCCCTCTTCTTCGACTAAGTCCCCCTACTCGCGTCGATACACCACATGGCTCGATGGATCCTCGTCATCTCCATTCTGGTGTTCTGCTGTGCAGAGGCCTTTGCTTCGAATGCGCCTACGTGCTACAGCGGCAGTGATACCCTTCAGTGGTATACTAATGCAATCGGAGAGACTCCATGTGCGACGCACCTCTCTGAGGCGCATTTGGCAGTAGTAACTCATTGCATTGTTCGTAGGTGCAACATACCAGCGACTGAGGCAAATATGTAACAGCGACTGTATGTCATCCCGCCCCATTGCGTCACATTGCAGCTCAATGTGGGCGGCCCTTACGTGCGTTTCGGATGCAGACACAACCCCAACATGGGCCATCGACACCCCTACAGATCAGTGTGACGACCCACTGAGTACGTTCGTCTGTTTGGTTCACTGCTGCATCCAATAATGTTGATCGCGCACAAGACACTTGCTGCTGCAACTCCATCGCGTGGTCGATACGGATGCTGTGCATCAAGTGCGCTTCCTATACTTCTCTTGCAGCCTTTCAGAGCTCATGCTTTCTCAATCCCTGTTTCTAGCTGCGAATGGGATGAGTTCGGCGTGAACGATCCTGGACACAGTGGCGGTATGTGGACCCAGGTTCATCTCTCGCACGTCAGGTGATGATCGTGGTGTTGGGTCGTAAAGTCGCGGGAAATTTCTACCAATATCGATGGAGTACAGGTGTGCCAAACAATGGCGTGTATTGCGGGGATGGGTACAACCAGACGTAAGTTTAGCCGTTGTCACTTAAGCTCTGCTGATCGGCGCACTTTTAAAGATTACCAGACACCCTTCAGCAAGCGGTTTGTGACAGAGGAATCCATGTCGGCGATTTCCTATACAGTATATTCTGGCCCGATGGTTCTTGGTAAGCACTGGCTCCTCTCCTGCAAACTGCGCGGCTCACGACCGTCTCAATGCTACCCATTAACTCTTGATCAATGCAGGAACTTGTGGGTACTACATCATAGTAGACTGGCATACTATTAATCCTTCATCTACCTCATAATAGCACGGCCTTTGAGACCCTCGCCAAGGACATTCTGGCATCGCACAATAATCAGTCTCTTGATTCGTGCACGGAAAATTCGAGCACGGCTGCTGCTGTCACTTCAACTATAACCTTGTTGAGCACAGCCCCTGCTCAATTGAATGCGGTTGCGAAGGTCGACACTGCCGCAGTGGTCGGTGGCTCTCTTGGTGGTGCACTCGGGCTCGTACTCCTCGGTGCCATCATAACGACTCTCTACGTCAAGCGACGCCATCTGCAGCATTCCCGTCCGGTGGTCGCGGTCACGACACAAGGCGGGCCATATAGCCGATCGCCGGCCAACCCTGGGATGGATATGGGCACTCATCTCGTTACACCTTTCCTCGGGCAATCTTCACGTCGACCGCCGAGCGAGGAGACGCCTCGTGAGTGACATATTCAATCAGTGCAATAAGTCTGATTTCGAACGCCTCTGTAGAGTGCAGTCCATTACCCGGTGCGCCGCACAGCGGAACACATTTGATCTCGAATGGCTTGTATACACCGCCGTCAACCAACGTCGATGCATCGAAGGATGTCAGGACCTACAGCAACACCACGAATGAATCAGTGCGAACACAGTTGCCTCCCGAGTATCGTACCGTGTATTCCTCTGAATGAGCGCCGTCAGGACTGGCGGTTTCGTACCGTTCGGCGACTCCAAGGTAAGACAAGAAGGCTTGTACTGCGACGGTTGCTGATTCGTCTTGCAAGGTGTATCCGTATGTATGTGACACTTGCTACAACTCGCCTTCTAGTGCACCTATCCCCCCTGTCGTTACAGTGGTTTCGGAAAGAAAAGTCCGTGTTCTTGTCGATCATTACCTCAACCCCCTTCGTTGGCTAGTATAAGACCCTACTCAAGCTCTACTGCTGCTTCAGTCTCAGTATGAATGACAGGAGTAGCCCCATACGCGCCCATGATGATGACGCTACATATCGTAGACGAGCACGGTGTACCGTGATGCTTGTGCAGTGGACACGGGTCAATTAGCGCGACGATTGCCACGGTAATATAAAGAGGCATGTTAGCATGCCGGAGGCCGCCAGTGGTCCTACAATCGTCCGCAGTTGAGATGGTCATAATCTGTCAAGTCATATTACATCTACACTAAGCGATACGTCTGTACGTCGGGAGCCTCACTCGAGTTACACTTGGAACTTCCACAGTGGATGCTCGTCACCCAAACGCAAGCGGCTCTCCTGGTCGTCTTTCTCGCTGACCTCCCCGGACTGCAGCAACCGCTCCTTCTCCCTGTTCCGCCTTGCAAGTACGAGCCAGTTCAGCGCGGCCGCTGCGCTGACGAGGACAAGGTATCCGATGGCGAAGCCATGGCCGAGGTAGAAGCGCGGTCCGTACCGGTACAGTTGCGTACCGACGATCGCTCCCAGACCCTGTACAACGCACCAGCGTCAGTCCAGTCAGAGCTCTCAGCGAGAGGGGGGCCGAATGATCTCACGTTGCCGACACTGATCTGCAGCGCACAGGCGACGGCGCGCTTGAGCTGTCCGGAGACGTTGTTCGCGGGCCATGAGAGCGTGATGGCGGTTGCCGGGTAGATGCCTCCCGCACACAGGAAGGTCGCGAAGTACTGCACGCCCGTCGTCGCGGAGGCGATTAGGATGATGTAGCCAATGATAGCCAGAATCGCGCCGGCGATGATGAACGGCGCACGTCGGTTGATGTAGTGCGAGCCCCACGCAGTTGCGAACGTGAGCACGGTCGCGACAAAGTATGGCGGTACGGTGAGCAGCTGAGCTTCGGCAGCTGCGTATCCGAGGTCTGCGATGATAGTCGGCTGCGTGCGCCAGACGGTTCGTTCAACATCCTTTCGGGCGTGCGTAAGGGACTCACCAAGAATAGCGACAGAGTGTACAATGGCAAGGAACATCCGACGAAGCAGAGGCAGTAAAGCCAGACAGTAACGTCTTCGAAAGCTTTCCTGACATAATGCCAGCGGAAAGTCTCGCCGCTGAGCGCGTCGCTGTCAGCACGAAGCCGGTCGTGTAGAAGTGTCTTCTCTTCCGGCGTAAGGAAGGAGACTGTGTCCGGATAGTTATGCACCAACGCATATGAGAGCAGTGCAATCACTATGGTCAGTAAACCCTGCACGCGTTCATCAGACCAGAACCGTATAATCACTGTGAGTGGACGATACCTCTATAATGAATATCCAGGACCATCCGGACTTATGTCCGATGCCGTCCATTTTTCCAATGGCGTACGCAAGAGCACCACCGAAGGCCCCTGCCTGAGGTCAGTTCCGGTGTCACTGCAGACTGGTCTGATCCAGTAATTACCTGCAAGGCTAGCAGCGCTGAAGAAAATGGAGATGCGGAAGTGCTGCTCTTTCCGCTTGTACCAGCACGACAGATAGTATACAACGCCGGGGAAGAGACCGGCCTCCGTGGCACCCAGGAAGAATCGCTGGGAACACCGCGTGTCAGCGGCCGATCGCATTCGCATTGGTAGGACCGTACCACCGCTAGAAGACCCGCGTAGTTGTGTACGAGCCCCATTAACGTGGACACTATGCCCCAGACGACCATCAACGTAGGAAGCCATAGCCGCGGTGTCAGACGTTTGAGGACAATGTTGCTTGGGATCTCAAACAGAACGTATCCCAAGAAATACTGCCTGGATGTCAGCACATTGTGCAAGCCTCGTCGACTGTATAGGCTCTCACCAAGGTAAGGGCGTTGAGATAGTCGGCCTGGGTCATCTTAAGATCCGTCGTTAGCCCATCAAGTTTCGCGTTCCCGATATTCGAACGGTCCAGGAAAGAGAGAAGATATAGGATGGTCAAGATGGGTAGTAGACGTGCATCCAACTTGCGGACGAGCTTCCGTTCCAAAGTTGTCCGGTGGGCATCCGACAGAGGCACGTCTTGCTTCGTCAACTCTACAGAGTTGATAGATGCCTTTCCGGAGAGCGTTCCGTTCGCTGATGCGCCTTGGGCCGTCATGGTCGTCGAGAAGGAGGCGACCCTTCAATCCGAGCGGCTGTGACCTCTCGTTAAAGAGGAAGCAAGCGGAGCGCAGGACGGAGCGGCACCATAAGTTCACACAGGACGAACATTCATACTGCCGTGGTGTCCGGGAGTTGATAAGTATTGGCGTAGCCTCGCGGAAGAACCGGCTGGGATTGCGTGAGGTAAGCGTGGTCTATGCTAGTCTGTGCTGAGCAAGAGCGAATCAGAAACAGAGACCAGGCACCGAGGGATGTCAATGAACGCACGAAGCCATCCCGCGTTGGTGTCTTGCGGAGATTCTGCATGGAGACATTCAACCGCGTTATGGCGAAACGCCCCGGGAGGGTCCCATCACGCAATCCTGACTTCTCTTGACGCGACGCGATAACACACCCATACTTGCTGTAGTATCCCACTCTACGCAGTACTTATGTGGCGTGTGCATGATGGCATTGTTCAACGTCCCGTTGTACATGATCTTATTTGGCTATGGTAAGTGCCAATGGAGCATCGCTGAGTTAAGCCCAAGTTGGGCCTGGTGGCGAAGAACAAGCCGTCGAGACCCACTTTGATCCAGACGGAGCACTCCGAGATCACGATCGTAGCAAACGTACATGTACAAAAAGGGTAAGTCTTGCGCTCATGTCTGGCACATGTCTTCGGGCTCCGAGTTCAAGCTAGCTGGAAGATGGACAATCGGGGGCCGGAGCAGACGCACGGCACACGGCCAACATAAAAGCGGGCCTTGCTGTGAGCCACACTCACGCTGCCGGACTATTACTCGCCTACCCTGATTGTTCGATACTACTACACAAGGCGCATCCGCTCAGACACTGTAACAAGCAACAAATCAATGCTCTTGGCCACGACAACTTCAACTACTCAGCGTTCCACTCGCTCTGATACGCCGGCGGTAACCGCAGGCTGCCAAGCGTGAGCCGCCCAGCATCCTCCTCTTGCACAACAGGGCGAATCGAGTCCGTCGCCTCCACTTGCGAGCCGGGTCCCATCTGACTGTAGCTGCTCGCGCTTTCCGTGGGCGGTTGGGCATGATGCAGTTGGTCCCGAGAACCATAGCGGCGTGAGTGAGAGGTAGTGCCAGTGCCCGAACTCGTGCCTGAGCCTGTGTTGGAAGTCGACGTAGGGAACGTTGAGCTGGAGGTGTTCTGATGCATGCGGGCCCACTTCTCGCTAGGCCCCGGTGGCGCAGGATTTGCGAAAGGATCGCTTCCTACGAAAGCAAAGATAGTTGAAGGGTAGGTAGTAGGGATGTACGGAACGCGACTCACTCGATGCTTGTGCCATGAACGGCGAAATGGAGTTCCTCTCAGCCGTGTTCGGGCTCATGGGCCCATGCGATGACTCCGATGCCGCATCCGTGACCACGAGCGGCCCGCTCGCACTACTGCGCTTCCTTCTGGTGAACCAGACAGCAAGGATGCCGAGCAAGAGAAGGGCAGCCACACCGCCTATCACACCGCCGGCGATGGCACCTGTGCTGGCCTTGTGCCCGCCGCTGGTCGTTCCGAGGCCCACGGCAGTCCCATTCACCCCAGATGACGGAACAACAGTCACGAGGGTTGTGACGACAGCGACAGAGGTCGCTGAGCCATTGACGGTCGTGCGTGACTCGAAGGTTGTCACGATGGAGGACGAAACGTACTCAGAGGTGGTCGACGAGGAAGAGGACGAGGACCCTGATGCGGGCGAGTTGGAACCGGGCGCATTTGAGGACGTGACACCTGAAGAACTCGTGGGCTGGGCATTACTCGTTGGATTCGCGCTTGACGAGGCTGCGATTGCGCTGGTACTTGTACTGCTGTGCGTTGACGACGTGCTGCTGGTACAGTGATAGACGTTTGACCCGCTTGCCGCATCGTCTTGTTGAGCGGACTCCCGAGTGTACGTACTACATAGCGCGGTCGATGAACATGGAGTCGTCTCGCACAGGACACGAACTTACTAATACCTAGGTGCACCGAGTATGAATGATCATCCTAGGTGGGCCTAACTACTGCGACACGCACCATGAACCATCTGTCCAGAACAGTCCGTACAAGAAATCCTGAAGCTTGATACCCTCATTGCATACAGCTGTTTCGATGTTGGAAGGAAGGCTGACAAGGAGGATCTGTGGGCAAAGGCGACAAATGTGATTCCGGGGGACTTACGTTTGATTTGTCCCGTCACCACAGTACTTGGTGCCACCGAAACGGTACCAGTAGTATGCTGGTACGCCTGCATAACACGGTAAGCTCCTGAGCGCGAGTACGCGGAGCACGGCGGAGTCGAGACTTACCAGCGTCGATACCATTCACGCTACTGCTGTCCGTATCCCACTGACAGCTAAAGGGTGGGCGAGAAATCAGGGAAAGTCGACCATTCAATGTATAGATGCTTACTTCATGCAAAGCATACTCAGTGCCCATGCAACAGAGTTACAGCAGCACGTAGCTAGCGGATTTGCGTAGTTAGCCGGGTGCTGCCACAAGCTTCATCGTGAAAAGGACATACACAGCTGATCGTCGCAGTTGTCACCAGGTGTATTGGGACGAAATGAGGGAACTTCATCTGCGAGCATGAGTGGTCAGGCTGCGTTACTAACATGTCATGGACACAGCACTGACAATCACTATTGCAGATCTGCCGCAATCGCTGGTAGGTCATACCTGCGCTGCGCGTCAAGACAATGCAAGGGCGAGCAGAACAGCGAGGACGTACATGGTGTCTCCCCCACGGTGTTGGTGTACCAGTCGAGCGCGCTTCCCGCGCAAGTCGTGTTGCCCGCGCCCAACACACGCCCAGCAAGAAGGATAAGAAGGAGGGGCGCAGAGGAACTAGTATAGAAGCGCAACATAAGTTAGCAGTAATGAGCACAGAGGAGTAAGGAAGTGGAAGGGGCCCGGATGACGGGGGAAGGATTGTAGGATGCGGTGCTGCCGCTGCTTGCACGGGCAGTGGGAAGGAAAAGGGACCCGATACCTCCGGCTGCCTGCTAATAGTAATACACGGAGGAGGAAGGCTATGGAGTTACATTATTGATGATGGTGGGTTGACAGATCGGACCACCAAAAAGGCAACCCCTTGATCCAATCTCGTATCCCGTAATTCTTGGACGTCCCCGAATGGTAACAGCCTGACAGTACAGTGACAGTACCTGTGCAGCGTTCTTCAAACGAGGCACGCCTTTCGAACTGAGGTGCAGAGCGAAGTCCAGACTCTGATAGACTCGCCCCATCCACCCGAAGCTAGGTCCGTAGGTAGCGGTTATGTAGTCGATGGATTGGGCGAGTCCATTCACGGGTTTCGTTAAGGAGCCGACTTCGGATCGTTTCGATGAAGCACAACAGGTTGTGATTGCAACTGCTGCAGTCCGGCCGTGAGTAGAGGGGTAGACGCATGCGAAGTGAACACAACCAACCATTAGTCTGTTCTGAAAGCTGACAACTGGGTCCTGGCTTCAGTGACGAAAACACCGGTGGCGACCATCGACTTGTGTCAATCACCGCGCTCTCGAGCATCAGTGCGCAGGAGAACTGCCAATCATGGCCGTTGTCGAGACTTGAAGTATAACATCGTATATCCACCGTGACGGACCTGTTGCACCCGGTGGGCCCGTGTATCGCTCAGGACTGCCTGCTCTGCAGGTCGCGCAAAGCAGCAGTCGTACTGTATTCACCGGGATGATGGCAGAAGGCAAGTGCGGCCGCGGCGTTGACGGCGGCGCGTCGGTGGCGGCGTGGCGCTCGTCCAGAAATGGTCTCAGGCAAGTCGCACGCGTGCACTGCACGCCTTCCCATAACCTACTCACATTTTGCGCTTTATTCACCTTCTGCTACCATCCTTGTACTCGTTCTACGTCTTCTCTGCGGCTTCAAGGAGGCCAACGAAGAGCCAGGAGCCACGTCTGGGGCTTGACTCTGCGGCATCTACATCGCTCACAGCCCAGTCTAGCTGGTTAGCAGAATAGCACTTGCGAGTCTCAAAAACCCTACCAGAGGCCCCTACATATCCCGGGAGTGGCTTCGGCGTGCGAGTGGTCGCCTTGAGAACTCTCGACGTTCCGACGACGCACGGACACCAGCATTGACGACCTCTCAGACACGTCTATGACCAGCCCAGATGCTCGGCCGGACAAGAACCTCCAATCATGACCAAGAGGGCTCCGCAACCGAGCCATTACTCGGGCACTCGTTCGAAGAGCCCCACAACGCGGAGGATGTCATATTCTCCGTCGCAGACGATGAAGACCTAGACGAATCCTCGGCCCTCAGCCGAGCCGACTCTCCTCAAGACACCCCAGGACATGTCCGTTTCCGTGAGGATGTACAAGTGATCGGCCTTCCCTTGCGATCTACGTTCGAGAGTCGAGAGACGGGTGAGTGAGTTGGATTCCCTTCTTCACGCCGTATCCAAAACTTATATGCGTACAGAGTATGAACTAGACACCGACGACCTAGATGGCGAAGCGGTCGCTCAGCTCGATACATCCCACCCGCCACGCTCTCCCCGCTCTCCCAGCAGTCGGCATCGCGAACAGTCCGTGCCACTACTCGTCGGTTTACTTGACACCGCGTCTGCACGGCGAGACACTGCCGACGGGACACTTCGCCTAGAGCAGAATGGTGTGGTGTTAGAAGAGGACGGTCCGCGGGTAGACCTGGAGGCTCTTGCCGCGAAGCAATCAGCTGGAGGGGGAATGCTAGACTCCGTGGCAAATATGGCCAACTCGATCTTGGGCGCAGGTAAATTGGTGGTGTCGATGGTACGCCTGTACTTACATGACGGCGAACAGGGATCATTGGTAACTATTTTCTACGATGTCCGATGTCTGTGTCTAACTATGCTGCGCACTAGGTCTGCCATATGCTGTACGGCAAGCGGGATTCGTCACAGGGCTCATACTGCTGGTCGCCCTGTGTGGAGTGACGGATTGGACCATCCGCCTCATTGTGGTCAACGCGAAGCTCAGTGGGCGCAACTCCTACATTGAGATCATGAACCATTGCTTCGGCCCGAGCGGGCGTGCAGCAGTGTCCTTCTTCCAATTTGCTTTTGCTTTCGGAGGTACGTCCGCCATCCACTCTTCGACGACGCAAGGCTCACCCCAGGAAAGGCATGTGCGCCTTCGGTATCATCATTGGTGAGTAGTCCATTGAATCCATCCCGTGCATGTTCCTGACTTCACGTCAGGCGATACGATCCCGCACGTCATCCGTTCTATATTCCCCACCCTCTCGACGATACCCGTCCTCTCCCTCCTCACTAAACGCCAATTCGTCATCGCCCTCTGCACCGTCTGCGTCTCCTACCCACTCTCACTGCACCGCTCCATCGACAAGCTCGCGCGTGCGTCCCTCCTGGCGCTCCTCGGCATGGTGACCATCGTCGTCTCCGTGCTCATCGATAGCCCACGCGTGCCGCCCGAACTCAAGGGCGACCCGTCGAAGCGCTTCACCGTACTCGGGCCGGGCGTGTTCCAGGCCATTGGCGTGATCAGCTTCGCATTCGTGTGCCACCATAATTCGCTGCTGATATATGGGAGCTTGCGCACGCCGACGCTGGACCGGTTCGCGAGGGTGACGCATATCTCGACGGCGGTGTCGTTGGTGTCGTGTTGCACGCTTGCGATATCAGCCTACGTTGTCTTCACGGACAGGACTCAGGGAAATATCCTGAACAACTTTGCAGGGGTGAGCTCAGTGCTGTACGTCTTCTTGTTAGGGGCGATCTAACTCGTAGTCGCAGAATGACACCCTCATCAATGTCGCCCGCTTCTGCTTCGGGCTGAACATGTTCACGACCCTCCCCCTTGAGCTCTTCGTCTGCAGAGAGGTACGCCGCCCTCTGGACTCTGCACCAGGTCCATCACTGAGACAGTTCTCGCAGGTCATAGAACAATATTTCTTCCCCCATGAGCCCTTCAACATGCAACGGCACGTCTTCTTCACGACAGCCTTGACCTGCTCCTCCATGATCAGTGAGTCCATCCATTCCCCCGCACGATCCACACTGATTTCCCTCTGCCAGTTGCCCTCATTACATGCGACCTGGGGGTAATGCTCGAGATCACAGGTGGAGTGTCAGCCACGGCACTGGCATTCATCTTCCCCGCGGCATGCTACCTCCGTCTAGCGGACCTGGGCCCGAAATGGTACTCTCGCGGCAGACTACCCGCCTTGGCTTGCGTGGCGTTTGGCGTCACCGTCCTTGTCATATCACTCTTTCTTGCGTTGGGCAAGGTATGGACTCCGGACGGCGCGGCACGGATATGCGTATAAGTCGGCGTGGCACCCTGGATTGAGATCTACATCAGGGCGGATATGCTCGCTAGATTGTACACTGGTTTGTGGGCATGCGGACTGTTGTGGTGCTTTGCTTCGCTTTCTCGACTCGCATGGACCTAGCAGTAGGAAAATATAATATGTGTAGCTATGCCTGAGTAATCACTCACGACTGTACTGTGAACTTCCCCGGTGTGATTTTAGCACGGCCGCATTTTACGGAGCCCTCAGTGGCAGCAGCCAATGGGTATCGTGCGAGTGGTCACGCATGGAAAGGTAAGCCGAGCGACGCGTCCCACCTGGGTACACATCGACCATGCATAAGCGGCTCCCGCTCGCATCTTCCCTCCGTTAGCAGGCTGTAGTCGACGACTCTATTTTTTACATCAGAAAAGGCTGCGTCGCTCGAGTATCTCCCAGCATGTCGCCCATTCAGCGGACAAGCGCGCTCACGCGCTCCTTGACACGCTCGCTCGCGACTCTCAACCATGCCCCGCCGGCGGGGAAGAGGTGAGCACTCAGTAGAGGGCAATGGACTGTGACTGATTTGATACAGCCCAACAGGTATGTCGTGAAGTTCCATAGCCTGACCTAGGGGTGACACGGAGCACGCAGCGATCGTCATGCTGAACATGGGAGGGCCCTCTACGGTGCGCACACTCTTCGTACCAACCATGGCCCAGATGCTTGACAAGTCGGATAGCTCCCTGAGACTTATGACTTCCTCAAAAATCTCTTCTCCGACGGAGACCTCATCCCGCTCCCCTTCCAGTCTGTCCTCGCCCCTATAATCGCGCGGCGGCGGACGCCACAAATCGAGCAGCAATACGCCGACATAGGCGGCGGCTCACCCATCCTCAAGTACACGAACATCCAGGGTGAACGCATGGCCGCCCTGCTCGACGAGCTCCACCCTGCGACCGCGCCCCACAAGCACTACGTTGCGTTCCGGTACGTGCAACCCCTGACGGACGAGACCGCGCGGCAGATGAAGGCGGACGGCGTGAAGCGCGCTGTTGCGTTCACGCAGTACCCGCAGTATAGCTGCAGCACGACGGGGAGCAGTTTGAACGAGCTCTATCGGCGGGGGAAGGCGGGCGAGGCGGGGGACGTACAGTGGAGTGTCATTGACCGCTGGGGCACGCACCCGGGTTTTATCGAGGTGCGTTCTTGCACACTTCAGCCTGTTTCGTTGGGCCCTGCGAGGCGCACAGCACCGGTCTCTGTACGGTGTGTTTCTGTCACCGGAGTCCGTCATGTGCGGATCGTTTCTCACTCGTGTCTGTGCGCGTTTGGAGGTGGCAGGGCCCAGCGATGTGGACTCTATGGTCGAGAATGTGTCTGATCTTCCTTCAGGCGGTTGCGCAGAACGTCGAACGGGCGCTGGCGAAGTTTCCTGAGGAGACGCGCTCGGATGTCGTGCTGCTCTTCTCTGCTCACTCACTTCCCATGTCGGTCGTCAACCGCGGGGACCCCTATGTCCCCGAGGTGTCTGCCTCCGTCTCAGCGGTGATGGACCGGCTCGGGCATTCCAACCCGTATAGGCTCGTCTGGCAGTCGCAGGTCGGACCCTCCGCGTGGATGGGCATGCAGACAAACGACGCGCTCAAGGGGCTTGCCCGACTGGGGCGCAAGAGGGCCATTCTTATCCCGATCGCGTTTACGAGCGACCACATTGAGACGCTGTACGAGCTCGATCTCGAGTACGCGCGCGAGGCGCAGGAGGTGAGCTTGCCACAGGAACCGCGATAAAACTTTACGTTGACAACGCATCTTCCAGCACGGCATGGAGGTAGTCCGCGCCGAGTCCCTTAACGAGTCGCCCGTGTTCATTCGCGCGCTTGCGGACCTGGCCGCAACACACCTGCGGGACGTCAGCGCGGGCAAGACAGGGCCGACGAGCGTGCAGATGGGCCTCCGGTGTCCAGGGTGCACAAATGCGACGTGTGGGCAGCACAAGACTTGGTTCGCGCGTGGGGGGCGCTAGCAGGCAGGCTCGCCGGCCGAGATCGGTGTGGTAGACACGACCTTCTTGTGACATGTATCTCCTGTTCTGCTCTATCGGTGAATATGCAACGATCCGATGTACCTCCTGCGCTGCGTTTTGCGCGGTGTACGTGTGGGTATAGACGCGTCTGTGTCCGGCAAAGGGGCCTTTGTCCGACCGCGTCGCGAGAAATGGCGGGGACATGACCGCGTATCGTTCGACGCAGGCGTCACGCCAGGCATTATCGCCCCTTCCCTGCACCGGTATTGTCTTTGTCTCAGATCATCAGCCTACGAGTCAACATAAAGCGTAGAGTGTGTATAGAAATGCCTGTGCCCGTATTAGCTGCGTGCCTTTTGAGAGACGACCGAGCGGCCGCGCTCATCATCTTCACCACCACTCCGCGATGACGACGACCGCTGTCTCTGCGCCTGGCAAGGTCCTTCTCGCAGGCGGATATCTCGTACTTGATCCTGCGTACTCTGGTGTGGTCGTCTCGACCAGCGCGCGATTCTACACCAGCGTCGGCGACCTCGACGAACCGGCGAGCGTTGCAGCCGCAAAGGCGGACCGCCCGATTGAGATCCGCGTGCGATCACCTCAGTTCGTGAACGCAACTTGGATCTACGTCGTCACCTTCGTCGACGAGGCCGTGCGTGTCGAACAGGTCGCGGGCAAGTGAGTAGTGTGGGGAGATGCGGATGGGATACTCAAGCTCATCGGGTTTTATCTTGTAGTACATCCTCGTCGAAAAACAAGTTCGTTCATCTTGCCCTCCAGCGTACGCTCTCTCTAGCACTAGAGGCTCGTGGTACTGGTGCCCTTCAGAACAGCCTTGGCTATGGCCTGGATATCACTATCGTCGGTGATAACGATTTCTACTCGCAAAGGGCTCAGGTGCGTATCGTCCACCGTCTTTCAGCCACACTCCTCATATTCTCCTGTGCGGATAGCTAGCAGCGAAGAACCTCCCTCCGACACTCGCATCCCTCGCAGAACTCCCACCCTTCTGTCAGACTAGCGTGCAGCTCGCCGATGTGCACAAGACGGGGCTCGGCTCCTCCGCGGCCCTCATCACCTCGCTCGTCTCGAGCCTCCTCGTCCACCTTCGCGTGATCCCTCGTGACTCCTTCGCAGGTGACGCAGAGGGCGGCATTGCGTCTGCGAGCGAGGGACGCAAGCTCGCGCACAACCTCGCGCAGTATGCGCATTGTCTGGCGCAGGGCAAGGTCGGGAGCGGGTTCGACGTGTCTGCGGCGGTGTTTGGGAGCCAGCTGTATACACGATTCGACCCCGAGGTGATCGCTCCGCTCATGAACGACGATGCGGTGAGTCAGGGCATTTCGTGAGATCGTGCAAGGAAAAGCTGATGGAAACATAGGCAGTGAAGCTCCACCCATCGATCTCTCCTTCGAACAATGCCTGGAATCATCGTGTCAAGCCATTCAAGCTTCCACCCCTGACTAGGCTGATGTTGGCTGATGTCGATGCTGGGAGTGATACGCCCTCGTTGGTAGGGAAGGTGCTGAAATGGAGGAAAGAGGACAGTAAGACAGGTGCGTCGCAGGGCACATTACAGGCCCACTCGAACTCAATATCCGCATGGGCACAGCGGACGACCTCTGGGATACATTGGACAAAGTAAATCATGCATTCAGCAAAACGCTGCTCAAGCTGTCCGATCTCTACGCACAAGACACGAAGGCGTACACTAAAGCAGTCAAGTATCTATCCACTCTGCAAACGGTGCAGGTGCGTGCGCTAGATTGCACCATGGCGAGCGCGGGCTCATTCAGTGCCTACCTCAGTGGCTCGTCAACCCGAACATCTCGGGTGGTGACCAAGAGATTATGGAAGCGTTCGCGGAGGCTCATCAGTATTCCGAGGTATTTCTAGCCATCGTCTGCTTCTCCTGCGCAGATAATCACCCGTCGCCAGGACATACGCGCCAAAATGCGTGAGATGGGCAAACTTTCGGGCGTTCCGATCGAGCCGCAGGAACAAACCGACTTGCTCGACGCATGTGTCTTCGGCGCTGGCGTCATTGGTGGCGGCGTTCCCGGAGGTTAGCCCCTAGTTTTCTCAGTCATCGTTCTCATGCTGACCAGCGTCGTTGCGTAGCGGGCGGTTACGACGCGATCTGGCTCCTTGTCCTCGACCCTGAGAACTGCCCACACGAGGAGTTGCCCTCGTCTCGGATAGAGGGCGTCTGGGCGGGTTGGAAGGGCATGGATGTCTCGCCGCTCTCCGCGTCGGAGAGCGTTGCGAAAGGCGTACGACTGGAGGATGTGGCAGGAGTGAAGGGCCTGAAGGGCCTTGTTGATGCTCCGTGGTAGGCTCAGACGACTTCGCGACAACGACTTCGCTACATATGGCTTATGCTTTTGTCTGGTGTGGTTATAGGTGACCTCATAGATGATATTCCCTCTGCTAATACACGCGGCCGCCGTATATTGTATCCTTGAAGCTTGAAGCCTGGTTGGTCGCTACGGCCTGCGGCAAGACGCATGGCGTGTCCTTTTGCGCCATCCCCCGCAAGTTTCAACTATCTTTTCCGGTTGTCACGCTGCCGCGTTGACTAGGTCCACTTACTCTGGAGGAGTGCTGTTTGCCATGTCCTGCATCACCTTTGGAAGCGGGCTCCGTAACCAAGTCGTGTCGAAACGTACGCGATCCGTTCTCATTCTCCGGTCGCTCAGTGTATGTCACGGTGCCAGTGCATAGCTGCTACCGTGTGACGTATACATCAGTACGTCAGTATCGCACTTAGGATCCGCATTGCACAAGCCTAAGGGCGTCACGCGTCACGCCCTCTGTCTCCAACCACCACCTCGGAGACCTCCGCTTCCTTGTCCCGCGCTACCTCCCAACCTCTGGGCCCATCCTCCTTGACTTCGGTGAGTAATCGATCCGAGACCTGCTGTAAATATCTGAAGTACCAATAGTACGCAAGCCATATGGTCCAGGAAACCTACTTCGCCAGTGCAAGCTCATCGAGCGACCCAGGCGCACGACGGAAGACAGGACCCGCGACAAGACGGGTTTCTTTGCTAGACCTGGATGACTCCGAACCTCTTCTCTGCACCGCTCCGGCAAATGGTCCGTATCATTGCGTCCGGAGTCAAGCAACAGCAGCAGTCCCAAGCCCATCTGCCAAGCACGAACCTGCAGCTGAACATGCTTCATGTTCGTGCCCAGCCGTTCCTTTGAGACAACAACCCCGTTATGGTCCGCAAATGCTGGCTCTGGGCTCTCTTCCTGCTACCTTGATGCTACTGGCAACGTTCTGCGGACGGTCTCGCGGCAAAGGACTGCCTGGCGCTAGTCCAATGCATTTGACCGCCGAGTCCGAACATGAAGTTCTGATCACCTTCGAGGATCTTTCCGAAAGCCGACAAACATCACTACACCCTAGCACCCTCTCTGATATACCCCATTCTTCGCATGGCTATCCATCTTGCGCAGCGTCTCCTCTGAGTCGCGTTGATTGCACCCTGGCAACTGTCGCTGAGGACGCTAGTCGTACCTCATCGTCTTCGACTCGCGCTAGCTCCGGTCGAACGAATGACGCAAGCCACTCTCCTGGTGCACCGTCGGTCTCCGAGGCGCCTGTGTCTCACTCAGCCTCCCTCCATGGAGCTAGGGAAGACGATGTCGACGCGTGGGCACACGCATTCGTGAGTGTATTGTTCGATCAGTGTAGCGATGGTATCTGAGCGTTTTCCATCGGAGCAGAGGAAGGCCTTCGACGAGGTTCTCACCTCGCCGCCCCCTGCCAGTGCCGCACGTCCCAATGCCCCTCAGACTACTATCGAAGCGTCTGCATCTACTAGCGAGCAGGAATCATCTCGCACGCATTCAAGCTCTACGGCTACTGGTAGGGTGACACTCCCTGAGACGCCTTCCCGTAGCAAGGAACCCACCGGACTGACACCTCGCCGCCGCGATCTCGGAACGTCCCTCGCCCGCATCTGCGTCCTCACCGCTCTGTTCTACGCAGTGATCGAACTCGGTCGTGCCTTCGTAGCTCTCATCATTAATACCTACACGAGCTCTCCTTGGGCATTTCCCTCTACAGCCTAATCAATCTCCGTCCATGCCGTTTTCATGTGTAACTGTCTTTCTGTCATCTCGTTACTGTAGCGCTACTATGGCACGTCTGTGTATAGGTACACTGGATTCCTGATATCTCTGTTGTATAAGTTACAACCTGGATGAATTATCATCAAGTGAGCGATTGACCGACATCTGGAGTGAAGCTTTCAAGTCCACGAATCTTTGTGCCAGTGAGTATGGCTGCCACGAAGCGCGTGCGCATGCTCGAGCTACGTGCAGTTGCCTTTTATAGAAGACATACGAAACGCCTCCTCCAGAGAATGCCGCCTTGAGCGTCTAAGTGTGCAGTATACCTACCATCATCATATACCACTTTCCTGCTCATGAACTGGCCCGACGATCTACACGGCCATGAATTATACGACACATATCCTTGACATCACTTAGGATGTATCGCGGGTCGTAGATGGATGGTGATGCTAGCGACTCGGATGGATCCAATAATACGTGTATGTCTTATGTTGTGACCTCTCATAGACGAGTCTCATCCGGACTCCGCTTCATTGCTGCACTTCAAGGGAACGCAGGATAACAGGATGAAGGCTAACACCATATAGTCCTTGGCACTAGCGGTCGGTGCTTCCCCGCCCCTTCACCCTGGTGTCCTTCTCCAGCCTTCACCTCGACGGAGAGCGCCCGCGAAGCACATTCAACTAACGTGACTTCGTTGAACATCGAAGATTTCCGGTATCATGTCGATTTCCATTAAGCTTGGAAGCTAAGGGTTGCTAACTCCGGCAGTCGAGGTTGAAATCGGGGCGGATGCAGGGGGCTGCGGGAGCGGTATCCGCACCACGAATGGGTGGTTTGAGTGCACATCTCAACCGTACAGCGCCGGTAGTGGAACGGATATGGATTCTATGCATCTAGGTCTCTTCCTCCCGCATATCCGATCCGCTGTTCTAGCCCCGGCGGAAGCTCTTCACGTCCGCGTTGAACGCTTTCCGACCCTCAGGCCCGAACATGCATAAATAGCGGGCACAAACTCGCCTAACTTCATCACATCTGCACGAGCATTAACCGTACAACCTCACGTCATCTTAACTTTCACTGTTCTCTACGCACATCATGTTCCCCAAGGCCACTCTCGTCGCTACCGTCTCTCTTGCGCTGCTTACCTCTGCGAACCCTATTGACCGGGGAACGGGATCGTCGATCCCTTTCGCGAAGCGCAGTGGGCTCACCACGGAGGACGGCATCTTTGACCATCAGAGGGCCATCATCAGTACGATCCAGACTCACAAGTAAGTCCATCTGCCGCATGTAGTACGAGTCAGCGTGTTGACGGCTGCCGCAGCAAGCATCGCAGGAACTTGATGAACCTGCAGGCAAACGATGCCGCAAGTATGAGCGAGGTACGAGACGACCGGTGTTGCACTTGGAGCCGTAGTATTGACCCTTGCGCAGGGTGCTGAGGTCAGGCCGCTCCGAACGTACGACAGTCTGGACAAGCGCCAGAAGGAAGCAACCACTGACGAAGGGAGTGACCTCGAGTGGGCTGGCACCATCTCCATTGGCACTCCTCCGCAGGAATTCCTGATCGACTTCGACAGTAAGCATGTCACGCCAGCTCACCTTGGTCGAGGCTTAACAATATCCTAGCCGGGTCTGCCGACCTATGGGTGCCGTCGACCAACTGCACTCAGTCCGCGTGCAGCTCTAAGCACAAGTACAATGCAGCCAACTCATCGACGTCTGCGATGCAGTCGGGCACATTCTCCATTCAGTACGGCGATGGTTCCACATCCTCCGGACCCGTCCTCACCGACACCGTCTCGGTCGCGGGTATCAAGTCGACAGGGCAGTACCTCTCTGCCGTAACGTCGCTGTCGAGCGGCTTCGCCGCCGATCCGCTCGACGGTATCCTCGGAATGGCGTACCAGAAGATCTCGACGCTCAGCCACCCGCCGTTCGTCAACCAGGCGAAATCTGAGGGCAGCATCAAGGATGCTGTCTTTGGCATGAAGCTCGCACACACCGGGTCTGAGTTATACATCGGCGGGACCGACACTTCACTCTATCAGGGCTCGGTCGAGTACCACGCCATCACCGGCTCGGGCTTCTGGCAGATCTCGGGAGCAAGTGCGCTCGTTAACAACAAGACCACCAACTCTGGTTTTCAGACTGTATGTCACTGCGCTGCTCCGCATTGCGCATTGGCCTGATTCATGTGTTCTAGGTCATCGATAGCGGCACCACCATCATGTACGGTCCGCCCAGCGCTGTCAAGACGTTCTACGCCTCCGTGCCGGATTCATCGGTCTTTGACTCGACCAACGGCTTCTACCAGTTCCCATGTGACTCCGTCCCCCCCGTCGCTTTCAACTGGGGCGGTAAGAACTGGAACGTCAGCGCGGCGAAGTGAGTCTCGGATCGCTCCTCCCGGTCGTGCGGAACACTGACGTTCCCTCCGTAGCTTCAACCTCGGCCAAACGTCGAGCGGATCCAAGTACTGCGTTGGTGCTCTGGCCGGCCAGGATCTCGGCCTCGGGGGCAACGTGTGGTTGCTCGGGGACAGCTACATGAAGAACGTGTACTCCGTCTTCTCATTTGATCAGAACTCCGTCGGCTTTGCTGCGCTGTCTTAGGGCTAGCCAATTGATATGTACATAGTAGAACGGGGGATAGAATCCCTGTATGTAAAAGAACAAACAAACTCGAGACTTTATACGAGCCCATAGCCACCAGGCGTCTTGAGGCCTGCTACCTGAGATGACGAAAACTCCAATTGGCTACTAGGGCCATGTCGATCCGAGCCTGAGTATTGCTCGCTCATATTTGAGGGCGTTGTTAACGGAATGCAGCTATGGCTCGCATCGCATACTTAGATCCGGATGCATTAGCAAGTATCCATGAGACGTACCCGTCTTAGAGGACGAACCCAAAGCCAACATACCTCGAGTTCACGCACAACACACAGCAAAGGTAGCGAGACGAATGAATAATCCACATTTCTAAGCCCGATAAAACCCAAGGAAAACATCAATGAGACATAAAGACTGTCTGTACCATGACAAGGGCCACCCGCTACCACCGCGTCCGGCAGTAACGAGCAACCCCCATCGCGCCGCCGACAGAAGATGCACCCCAACACCGCGTCCGGTGTTGGAGCGCACCTCCTGCCCTTGAACGCTGGTCAGACTACATGGCAAGAAAGAAGAGGAAAAAGACAAAACGGGGACCACAGGGACGAGACAAGAGACTACAGGAACGAGACGGGGAAACGAGACCGAGGCCGCGACCGAGACTACAGGGACGAGAGGAGTAGACAAGACCGAGTTGACTGAAACGTTCTGGGAAGAGACCATAGAGCGAGCCATGCGAGTGTCCGGAGGTAGGCTTGCGTGCGAGACTTGAGCGAGTCGTAATCCAAGACGAGCGTAGGCAGAATACTTGCAGATGGGACCATGCGTGTTGACGTCGGGTCTAGAACCGACGCAAGAGACGAGACGAGATGGTAGCGTTCGTGGAGAGTCAGGGAGCTGCGAGGCGAAGACTAATGGCGCTGAAGGGCGCTGGATGCTTGGAGGCGCGACGCGTTGGTGCGGCGGCGAAGTGACACCTGCGAGAGGCGAGACGGAGACGCGGGCGATGCTTGATGCCAGGGCGAGGATACGAGTGGCCGGGATGAGATCCGAGAAAGGCAAGGAGACGACGAGGCTGCGTGACTAGGCCGTGATGAGGCCGAAACAAGGCGGCGGAAGTACGAAAGACACGGAGGCTGAGAGGCCGTAGGAGACGAGGACGCATGAAGACTGGTCGCGGGTTTGCTTGATGGGACAAGGTCGGAGACGGGAGTCATCGAGATATCGAGAAGCGAGCAGCGAGAGCGACACTGCGACGGTCTATTGAGAATAAGCACCGTTGCATATAACAGAGGACGTACCTAGTCGCCGAACTCAATCTGGAGCAGTGCGTCGCGTGGTCAGTGCTACCAGCCTGCCCCACAACGTTAGCCGCCCTGGGAAGTCGGGTCGCCGAGGAGCAGCTAGAGCGCGGTTCTCAGCCCAGTACTGAGCGCCGTAATTAGGGCCCATGAGGTGGTTGAACAGAGGGTAGAGGGTGCTCCGATGCGCATACCGCTCGGCACGGATTTCGCGCATTATCTGCACCAGACTATAGATGTACCATGGATAGAAAGGAATGGTCATCAAACCAGAGACGACGATGAGGCATCTGATGCGGCAGGGACCTGGGTCACTCCGCAGGTAACGGACGCAGGCAGAGCGGACACGGTAGACCCAGGTGATAGAAACGTGTTCGACGGGCTCGAGGATCGGGAGCGCCACCGGGGCGCGCACGATGCCCTCGATGTCGAACCAGTCGTATTCGATAGATGGCACTTCGTCAACTTCTTCGTCTTCATCGTCGAAGTTCGGAAGGCCAAGGCCGAGAGGAGGAACCAGGTGGGGACCGATGATAGGACCCGGGATGTAAGGCATGCCGTGAAAGTGGTTGGCCTTAGTGAGAGGTGGACTACCCGACAGACTGCAGACGACATGAGTGCAAGGTACCACGAGCGAGAACTGAGAACATACACAGACGGGCAGAGCTTCCACTCGATGGTACGCTGGAAGGGCGCCGCACCGAGACCCATGTTGAAGCAGGGCGGGTGGAAACTGAAGCCGAAATCGAGGGATAGGTGGCTGCCGAGTACCAGCAAGAGGACGCTAGCGAGGGCGGAGGCGCCTTCCCAGAGAAGCGGGAGAATAAGCATGATGCGAGGGGGTGGTGCGAGTGTGCGTGGAACAGAGGTGCGGTGAGACTGAGTGGGAGGCCTCGAGTGTCGCCTTTTATGCACCGGGCGGGGCTGCTCTGACAGAACTCTATTCCCGTTGAATGGGATTCAACAAGGTCATGTGACTGCGACGCGTTCGTCACGTGCAGTGCGTCGGCGATGCTCCGTGACACCGCTGACGCGCAAGTGACGCAGTTGCACGTCGCGCGCGTCGACGTCAGGGTGCCGACGCCCGGCGCCGCCTACAGACTCACTGGCTGTCAGCTGCCAGTGTCAACGCGGGGGCCATAAGAGCGTCGCCCGCCGCCAACGGGGGCTCACCTCTCTTGTCCCCGACCGCCATCGTCCCCCTGGGCCTCGCTAGCCGGGCCCGGCCCCCTCACTCACTTAGCCCGCTAGCCGGGTCCCTTACTCTCTTAGCCCCGCCAGCCGGATCACTCATTTCCTCAGTCTATTTATCGTTACTGTACTACCATGTTACCTCCACTCATTTACGCCGCCGTCATCGTTGCTTCTTGGATCGTGTACGAGTCCATGGGACCGAACACGTTGTACGCCGGCAGCCACGACTGGCGTTTCCTGTTGACGCCACAGGCCTCCGTTGAGCGCTGGCTCAACGTCATCATTCGGCGGTCAGTACCAGGAGCGATGCGTGTGTTATCGTGTCTTACTCTCCACCAGTCGGATAGCACTACTGGCAGCAGAAGAAGCCGGCGACACCGTTCAGTGTCCGTTGACGGAGGATGGTCACAATGGTTTGCTAGACGACATCCCGCCAGACGTCGTACCAGACGTCCCGTCAGTCGTCCTACCAGACATCCCGCCAGTCGTCCTACCAGACGTCCTCCCAGTCGTCCCACCAGTCGTCCTGCCAGACGTCCTCCCAAACCTCCCACTTCCCGGTACGTCATGAGTAGCGGTCAGAGGTCCATCACTGCTCTGACGAATTGGCAGAACCTGCATCGACAGCTATGACCTACAATGAATCTCTCGTTGGGCTCACACTGGCCCTCGTCTTCGTCTTCAGCGTTGTGGTCTACCTTGTCCACTCCTACATGAGAAGGCGCAACAACACCCGGGTAGACTCGTCGCGGGCCACCTGCCAAATCGAGTTCAAGTTCGACATGTCTGGCCATCACCCTCCTCCGACATCGCACGCAACCGCGTCCATCAGTGTCTCGTCAAATGTGCCGTCTCTCTCGCTGAACATCAACACTGGCGCCCAGCTGGGTGGAAACCCTCCTCAGGCGTCTAGTTCTTCGTCATCTTCGGCTCGCAACGTGCCTTTCGCTCTCGGTCTGTCGAATACCGCCTTTGGTCTGCCGGACGCTGTTCCCGGTCTGTCAGCCGCTGTCCCCCACCTGTCGGCTGCTGTCCCCGGTTTGTCGGCTGCTTCCCCCGATGTCTCAGGCGACTTCTTGGGTTCCTCGAACCGTGTATCCGATGGGCTATTGAACACACTCCACAGCCTGGGCGTCCCGCAGCTCGCCACGGATCCAGCAGAAGCAGACCTCACTGCTGACTCTGACTCTACGCCGACCGACGACATGCTGGAAGTGGCAGACCTGGCTCCCGATCACACCGCCGATGTTGCTTCGCCGGAGCCTATCTCTGGTTTGCCTGCTACTGAGGCTGTTCCCGAGACTTATGTTGAGGACGAGACCGGTGCCGTAGACGTCGAATCGGATTCAAGCTCTTGGGTGACTACTAGTGACAACTTGTCCTCTGGAGAGATTGGTGCTGCTCCTGAGACTCCTGGTGCTGGGGACCAGACCGGCGTATACCTGGAAACGGATTCGGGCTCTTGGGCGACCTCCAACGACAACTTCTCCGTCTTCGTCAAAGCTGATCGCACCTCCGACCTTGTCTCCGTTGACGACGATGCGATTACCTCACCTGTGCCTTCAATACCGAGCTCTTCGTCGTCTCTTGTTGACTCCCCCACAACTTCGAGATTTCATCCTGTATTGTTGCTGCCCGCGGGGCGTCGGCGCGTGACGGTCCCGGTGTTCCCTCATGGGTTGCTCCAAGAGTCCTTGTCTGCTTCGGTTGAAGATCCAGCCCATCGCGCGAACGGCCAATCTCCCCCCTCCACCCCCAGTGCCGATCAGGGCGAGTCGGACTCTTGGGTCTTGAGGGCATATATGTCGGCGGACAGGAAGACGGCGGATCGGTCTGCCCGTCTGAGCCTCAAGTTCCCGCTGTACCGCGGCGAAGCTGTGGTATGTGGATTCAATTCCCAATCACCATCTGAGTTCATGTGCTCAACGCCATCCCTTTCTGCGCTGACAGGAGTATTTCCGGCGGAGTGGACAACGTCCGTGAGTAGTAGTGGAGCTCTAGACTCATTTCTTCTGTATGATCAATGTGTACGCTGGTGTAGTTGATCGTTGTAGGTTTGTATGTCTGTCCCGGTGGTGCCTGGTCGGCGCACGAGGACATCTTTACTGTATTGATATGGATTGTACGATGTCCACGGTCCAGACTGTATCGTAACCGCAACTGCTTGGAGTGAATGGTACAACATGTAAGAGATACAGCATCGATGTGCCCAAGATGTGTTCAAATCTAAGCTTAATGTCTCTTTCTCACTTCGCAGACTGGCTGCGAGCCTGCGTTGGTCTATTTTGCGTCGCCTGCAGCTCTATCTCCTCTGTGGATGAGTGCGACAGCGGCGAGGGCGTTGCCACCTGCGCTGTCGGCATAGTGGGTTGCCTCTGGCGAGGCGAGGGTGCTCTACTCGAGAAGGACTGCAGCCGAAGGAAGACGGTCAGCGGAGATCACGGCACATTACCAAGAGGTGCACTCACCCCAACCATGGTATCCTGGTCAAACACGTCTCTCGAATCATCCACTGCAAAGCCAAGCGTCAGCGTCACCTCCGGCATTCAGCGTGGCCCGGAGCGGGCGGGGAGGACGTACTGATGATCGCGTCGTGATCCGACAGCGTCCACTGCTGCGGCATCTGCATCGCCGCAGTCTCCTGCGGCGTGGGGCTAGTGCCAGTGCCCGCCCCGCTGCGCTTGCCCTCCGCGCGCTCCTTCGTCTCCGCCTCCTCATCCGCCTTATGGTCCTCCGCGTCGATCTTCTCCCAAGGCACAAGCGTGACGCGCTCGACCGCCGGCGGTGGGTCCGGCGGTCCCTTGGGGCCGTACACCTCTGCCTGGCCGAGTGCGGTCTTGAGCGCGGTCATCCACTTGTTGCGACGGGTCACTGCGGGGGCCACGTAGGCGAGTCAGTGTCCTGAAGGAGGCTGGGGCTGTGTGCGTGCTTACCCTTGAGTGCGCCCTGCTGCCAGTTGCTCTTGTACTTGATGTCCGTGGTGAGTGTCATTTTCTCCTGGTCGGGGAAGTCGGCGATGGAGACGTCGAAGCTCGGTTGGAAGTCGCGCCGTTCGGACTTGACGAACGCGAGCATGAGCTCGCGCAGCTTCTCGATCTGCTCGAACGTCGTCGCGTATGCCTGCGGGTGGCGCACTCAGCGCTGTCCATGCGGTGGAGAGCTGAGGAGGTACTCACGACGTCGAACGTGAACATCTCCGACATCTGCGGGCTCCTCCGCATGTTCATGACGAACTGTGTGCGGTGTGCTGAGCGCCTGCCTCCGGATTAGTGCAAATCTTCAGGACCACATACCTTGGTGTTCAACAGGGAGTGCGGTGCCTGCACGCAAGTGCCGCCATTGTCGAGCATGATCGTGCTCAGAAGCCTAATCTCCTTCACAGTATACTCAATCTGGTCAACCGCAATGCGGTCGCCGACGTCGTACGGGTGCTTGACGAACAGGAAGACGATCGACGTGAGCGTCTCGACGAACGAGCTGCCGACGAGCCAACTCAAGCCTGCCAAGTACGTAAGTGTCTTGAGACTAGAGGCGTTACAGCCGAAGAGACTGACTGAGAATGAACGTTCCGGTTGTCGTGGCGAGTGTGAGCAGTTGCGCTTCCTGTGCGCATAGGCGGTTGAGGGCTTGCTACAGGTATGTGGACGCGATCATCACTTACGAAGGCAACGGCGAGAAGCAGGACGACGATGAAGAGGTACACGGTCATCAGGATGTTGTCCAACCGCCCAACCGCGCTATCCAGATCACGCATCGAGTGCTCGATGGACAGCTGCTCGCGGTGGCATTCCCTGGAGACAGGTCACTTCAGCACCGTCCGACGTGTGACCAAACCGAAAGATGCACGTACATGCATGCAATCTCTACCTCATCTCGCGTCGCATCGCCGTTCATGTCCTTATCGAACAGTGCAAACGCCGCGTCTGCATCCTCGGGCGTCGGGAAGAACCTGGCGATATCCGACACGACGAGCGAGTGCGCGCCCGGCTTGACGAACGAGTAGAACAGACGGCGGGCCAACTGCGTTGACACAGGTCAGCACGTACTACACCCGGCAACTGCGTTCGACCCACCATCCTCGACTTGTTCGCGCTCTCGACCGCCGTCTTGACAACCGCCTGTGGCGAGTTCGGCTGCAGCACCGCCGTGCCCGCAATCTCACTCGCGACATTGCCGAGGGCCGTCGTAGTCGTCGTCGCAGCGACCTTCACGCCATGCAGCGCGCGCTTCAACAAGCGGCCGCGCTTGCGAGGGTGGTGGGACCCGTCGCCATGCTCGTCGCGGAGGGTGTCGCTGCGCCAGGGCATGTCGCTCGAGTGGCGGTAGAGCGTGACGAGCACGCGAACGGCGAACTTCTGCTGCGCGACACGCTCCGCGTACGAGCGCTCGTGGAACTTGGCCGCGATCCACTGGATCGCGACCTTCTCGGCGAGCAGGATCAGCGCGCTCTCGAGGATCGCGAAGAAGATCTTCGCGGTCGTGCTGAGCGCCTGCGAGTCGCCCGACGTCGCCGTCGACTCCTTGCGCGTGTTGATCAGCGGGTTGAAGGACACCCAGACCGCGAGCGACCACGCGAAGAGCGCGATGTACCGCCCGAGCGGCTGCAGCCAGTCGATGTACCGACGCGCGCCGACCGCGACGACGCCGATGGTGTGCCGTGCGATATATGGGAGCACGAGCGTGACCGCACGCGCACCCCACCAGCCTACCCAGATGACGGACAGCCAGATACTCCACCAGAGCAGGCGCACACCCCAGACGGTCGCGTTCGGGTAGGCGGTGAAGCTCAGGATGCCGGGGATCCAGAGCAGACCGAGGACGGGGATGATGTAGATGAGCCATCTGGTGATAATGGATACGTTGAGCAGGTAATTGTAGAATTTGACGAACTAAAAGGATGTAATCAGTATGTCAAGACTTGGTAGATTGTACAGTCCGACGAGAGGACTACCATCACACGCGAGGCTTACTCGTGCCCTATATGTAATGAAGCCGATCCTTATGTACCACTGCCACTCGAAAGCAGAGCCGGTACTGCGGAGAAGCACGTCCGATCCGGGCATCTCGATAAGCGAGTAAGTGATCGACGACTTTCAGCAGTGCTGCCTCGTGTTCACTGGAGTGGGATGGTCTCAGTACGTACTAAAGCCACGCACTTCGACCAAAATTTTCTCCCCTTCATGCGCATGACCACTCTAGAGATGGAGTCCGAAAGACGTGTGCAACCCATGAAGCAAAGTGAGGCGCGATCGCGTCTGCCACAGCAGCAGGCTGGCCAAGTGACCCAGCAAGACCGGATAGTGCAAGACTCACCGCATTCTTCGGCATATCACCCTCTGCGTAGACGAGATGCGCCTGGCTGGCTCGCCGCGGGTCGAACTCAACGTACGAATGCTCCAGTCTGCGGATGCCACCGAGGAGGTCCCAGCTGCCGCTCCTGCGGTTGTCCTGGTGCAAGGTGTCATTGGTCTCGGTTCGCTGGTGCATGCCAGGGTAGCCATGGCCTGGTTCAGAGTTGGGGTAGGAGCCAAAATCGTGCTGCTTGGGCTCGCGGTTCATGTTGCCGTCGAGAGTGCGGTTCTTGTCCTCGGACCACATGCGGTCGCGGTCGCGGTGGGAGGGCAGGAGGGGATATGAGGGTGTGTTTTCGCCGGAGTCGTAGTGGCGGTGTCTGTGGGTGCTCTGTGCGAGCGTGGAGGGAGATCCGGGGCGGGAGTCTAATGGGTCGTCTTGAGGGATACGGGAGAGGCCAGCGCCCGGACTCATCTGAAAAGACAGTAGATCTGAAGGCCTGCAGGGAAGTTGCTATGATAGGCAAGCCTGCGTATCAATCACGCGGTGCGCGCGCTGGCTGCGTGGACAGAGAAGCGCTGCACGAGCTGAGGCCGGGTGCAGATGGTGGTGGTAGGAGATAGAGAGACGAAGACGGTGCGCGGAGGCCATGGCGAGGGGTCTCGAGGGGAATTTGATGAGTGACGCCGAATCTGGTGGCTGCATGTGATCGCGTCTTCGAGATCTCGCAGATGCTTGGCACCGTCACTGCCCTCGTTCTTCCCATTTATTTGCGCCCTCCGCAGCGGCCGTCCCGCTACCGTCCTGCGCGTACCTTGTCGACGCCGCTATCCACGATTCTCCCATTCAACCTCTCGCCATCGTGCTCGTCCCTGGCGTGCACCCGTGTGCTCTGGGCATTCGCATGCCGGCACCCGTCTCCCGAACCTCCTCCTGCCCTGCTCGGGCGCCCGGAAGTGGTTCAGGGTGGCAGCTGGAGACACTGGCAGAAAGAGGAGCAACCCTCGAAACGGACCTCGGGCGCGGCCGGCTCATTTGTCTTCACGACATATTGGCAATCACAATGTTGTGCCCTTTCAACTCGCGCGCGATCGTACCCTCGACGCTGTAAGCCACACGTAGCGATCCCCGTCCATGTCAGTAGCTGTGTTGCATGACATGGCTACCATGCTTATCGTCTGTCCCTACACTGTCCCCCCACGAGCATCCGGTCTCAGACTGTCTGTCCTCCGGAATCGCGCCAAAAATTGCGGGTAAACCGAGGGTAAACGTACAGGACCTCCTTACCCAGTGCGGGGCGTCGCTGCGGCCCCCGAGCCCGCAGCGCTGCTCTCCGTATCAGGCAATGCCACGGATTATCGCATTCGAGTCTGTCGGACAAGCCTGGGTGGACAATGACATGGTCTTGGAGCTAAGCGCAGCACGACAGGGGACTCCGGCTAGGTCATACACCGGTGAGCTTGAGCTTTTGTGATGAGACAGGGACATTGAGAAGTGGCGGACGTGTTCTAAAAATAACTGCTGTGGCGCCAATACCGCCGCCTTCAACTGTGTCCAGCCCCGTGCCGCAATATGTACACCGTACTTCTCGTCGAATCGTAGGCTATATCAACGTAGGTACCCAACACAAATGCGCGATACACTTGGCCTCTGCATGCTCAGCGCTCAGCGCTCAGCTTCCCGGGCCGTCAATCAATGAATCAATGGAGATATAGTGTTCAATCCTAGGCGTACAGCACCAGGTTCGGTCATTCGCTGATCCCAAAATTGTGCAGTTTTTGGAAGAATGACCTACTTTAATGCAACAGCAGTCGAGGACCTTGTCACTCTTACGTCCTGTGCAGTCTAACCAAATTTTCGGGTCATTTCAAGGGCGGCATCTTACCACACAACACGATGGGCAAGGTGGTAGCAGTCGCGCGAAGTCCTCTCACATGCCACCATGACGGACGCGCAGACTGCACCTGCTGATATCAATGATCCCCCGACTTCACGACCAGACCGACGTATGCAATAGACCAGATTAATATACGCAAGTCCCCTGGGTGTCCGGTTTCAGTACCATAGAATAGCGACAAGTAGCAGGCTGGTATCGAGAGGCGCATTAGTAGGTCGCAAACTGCGTATGTGTCGTGCGAGGTAAGCCGACCATCGTGTTCACGTTTCGTAGGCATCGACTCGCCAGCATAAATAGAGGTATATCGCAGCCAGATTCATCCCGAATACACGGTGCGGTATTCTGGTGGCAGCCGTGAGTCCTGCATCGACACCCCCGCGTCCCGCTCGTGTAGATCCGTCGATTGCGAGGTGACCCGATGTTGCGTGCTGTGTTGTATGCGATTGCCTTTTTCCTTCCTCTGATTATTGCTGCTAGAAGGAGTACGTGAGGGGTCCGCATCCAGCCCATCACTCAAGGATGTCGGCAACGCATAGGAAGCTTGCGAAACGAGGTTAAGCTCGCTGCCAGTGCGCGTGTCACCCAACGACGCGCCTTCAAGTTGAAGAATCGCAAACCTCAGTACGGAGCATGGATCATGATCATGAGAATCGCGACTCACTGGCCAGCTGCTCATGAAAACGCATACCGCGCGGTTGGTCGAAGAACGGAGTAATGACGTCGGCTTGGACCGGTGCCAGTGCCTGCATTGAGTGAGCAGACGATGTTTTGTACCTGTCGTCGTCATCAACCATGGTCTTGACCCGGACACGGCGCCTCCTCCTGCTATACAGGACTAATGCAACCACACCGACACCGAGGAGGACGAGGCCCAATGTGCCGCCCAGAGCCCCGCCAACCACCGCGACGGTGGCGGTGTCGACCTTCCCATTCGCACTGGTCTGAGCGGGAGACGTGCGTGAGGTGGGGATCCCGGCGCCGCCTGTTGGAGAGCTCGTGTTGCTCGGACACAGGTCCAGAGACTGGTTGTTGTTTGACGCCAGAGTCTGCTGCGCGACCGACTCAAAGGTCGTGCTTTCGTGGGGCACCATGAGGTTACTTTCAGCTGGAAAACCGAGGGCGACACTCACAAGTCCCTGTAGAGCGATCCGTCCCCACTATAAGATGCTTGCACGCCAAAGGCCTGCAGGATAGACGTACCATGATCCATCGGGCCAGAATATGCTGTATAGGAAATCGCTGAGCCCGATCCCCTTGTTACAGATTGCGAGCTGAAGGCTTTGCGGTAACCTTTGAAGACAGACCTTGAGCAAGCTTGTCTAGAAGTTTTGAGCAGCTGAGCCTACGTCTGGTTATATCCATCGCCGCAATACATGCCACTGTTCGGCACTCCTGAGCTCCATCGGTATTGATAGTACGCGCCAGCGGCTGTGTAGTGTCCGATGAGTTTATGCAATCGGATCAAATCGAGTTGAACACAAAGAACCACGTACTAGCACTGTGCCCAATGTCACCCGCGCCGTTCTCGTCCCACTCGCAGCTGGTCGCATGCGGAGGCATCAATATGAGCATACGGGTAAATATGGAGAACGTACTTGATACACAGCATCCGCAAGGACCACGCAATGGAGTTGCAGCAGCATGTACCTTCGTGTTTGCCGTCGTCAGTCTCTCGAAGACACCAATTGGAACACAGAGAGCTCACTCAACGGATCGTCGCATTGGTCGGTGTTGCCGTTGATCGTCCACGTTGGCGTTGTGTCTATACCACGCCCAAGTCAGAATGTACGCCGTGCTACGAAGCTCAAGTCATGTCACGGCGTACAATTACTGTTGCATGTCTGCCGCAGTCGCTGATAGGTCATACCTGTACAGAAAAGCATGGAGATAAGTGAACATTGCTGTATAAATGTGAAGAAGTACTATACGCGCATGGGTTCTCTCCGACCGCATCTATGTACCACTGAAGGGTTCCGCTGCCGGCATAGCACGCTGGTGCCGAGGCTGAAGCCGAAACCAGAGTCGACTGAACAACCAGAAGATACGCAGCCAAGAGGGTCACCATCCGACGAGACATGCGTTCGGGTCCGGGGGCACTCATGGGGGGCATAGATGCTCAGGCTGGAGATTCCGTCGAAGGCGCGGCGAGGGCAGTGCATACTTCTACTAAGTATGTACCCATGGATGCGGGAGAAGCTAGCGAGCGAGTGAACTGCCCCTCGATCTGGCCAGTAGCCTGTCCAGAGCCCGTCAAATCTTGACAGTTCGGCGCCGAGGTACCACTTTTCTTGACGTACCAATTGGGGCCGGTGCGAACTTGTAAGGTCCTGGTGCGACCGACTACCCGATATATGTTCATTATTGATGGCCACGGTGGGCCGCCGCGATCACCAGTATGACAGACGGCTGTCCGATCATGATTTCACGCTGTACCAATGATTCTGTTGGTGATCGTCAGTGTCCGAAGTATACGTACAGGGCAGCGCCGAAGGCTTGCCAAGCTGGCTGTGAATCTCAAACTCACACACCCAGTGACAGTCGGTGCCATCTGTCGACAGCGGATACTCAGGTTGAGGACGAGTACAATGTAGCGAATGTTTGGTAACCCTCTTGCTCCTGATCAGGCGCGCGTAGGCAGCGACTTCCTCAGGGGGCACCCGGGGCTCAAATTTTGGAAGGTAACCAGAGTCTGACTGTCTGCGACAAACCCGGATGGTGGCACGGGCCGGGGCCCGTGTGGCTTCGCCACGTGCACCCGGCGATCGTCCCTTGTTCCCGTTTTGGATCGATCACTACTTCTGTCAAGCATCACGGAATTCGCACTGAGTACACATAGCCGTTATCTCTGCTTGCATGCGAATATAAACACCAAAATCGTTATAAACAGTAAAACGCACTATAGCGCTAGCGGATTACACAAGCTCATTACAAGCTCAATACAAGCTCATTACCTACACACTACAATTCATATGTAGATCGATTGTAGAACGTCGCAAGCTTGCACATCTCACACAAGTCTCCGCTTCAGGCCCTTGGCAGTCCCATTTGTTCGCATGAAACCCGATATGATTCAGGTACAGTAGATCAGGTTACACAGCAGAAGCAACGGAGAAGACAGTATGTCAGACGCTCGGCCCAAGGACAAACAGCACAGGCAAAAAACCTGCCCAATGGTGTGCAGCAGGATCATATCCCCGGCATGAAGAGCTTGATCGTCATCTCGGCGTTCACCACGAGCATGCATCGCATGCACCATGGTCCTCGAGGGAGACGGCGTCCATCGGCGCGACGCTTGCGATGAGGCTGCGAATGTTCGTGCACGCGGCGAGCCGCTTCGCGACCTTCTTCGCCTTGCCGCCCTCGCTAGCGTACAGGACGGCGAGGCGGCCAGTGGCACGTCGATCGCGGTGAGGAGCTTGGTCTACGCTTTCGGGCGCGTGCGCCTTGTGTGCAGCGCGCAGTTGCTCGCCGAGGGGGCCGAAGACTCGAAGTTCGGAGGGGAGCTGCGGCTGGGCGACGACGAACTGCGAAGGATGGTTCTGCCTGTCGAGGGGCGCACGGAGCTTGTTCTTGATGGCGTCGCTGCCGAGCTTGAACGCGGCGTCGTCCTCCCAGGATGGGTTCCAGTCGTAGAGCGACCAGTAGCCCCCTGCTCCGACGACGTGCTTCGTCTCATGAGACGCAGGTAGCACCACGAACACACGGAGCAAACAGCGCCGTGTGCCAGGGATGTTACCCGCAACCCATTCGGGCTCATTGCAAGTGTTTGCAGTGGATCTGAACCTTGTGGTTGCGCGTCATCGCCTGTCCGCGTTCTGCCAGGCCTGCTGCATTTCGCCAGCTACGTCTTCGTGTCAGGCACTTACTTGTCATGCTCGTACCTGTGCTAACCATGTCTGCCTCCCTGCTGACCGTGATGATCATGCTCGCTCCCTACAACACTCGCCTCGTCGTTGCGTCCATGATCGTCGTACTGATTCCCTTGTACGTCGTGCTCGCATGTGTGCGTCGCGCTCACACTCGAACGCGCCGTACACGCGCCCGTGCCTGCGTGCATCATTGTCGTGCTTGTGCTCGTCTTCTTCACATGATGTTCACGCTTGTAGCCGTCTTGTTCGTTGTGTGGTCGTCTTCGTGTCAGTCCTGTTTGCGTCGCGGTTGGCGCACAGTCAATGTGCGCTTGCCTCGGATTGCAATGTGCATATTTGCATACCTGGCAGGTCTTTGATGGGAACAAGGAAGAACATACCTAGCTTCGAGTTGTTGGAGTCGCAGTACTTTGTGTGAGGCGGGCAGTCGCAAAGAGAGGACTTAGAGGTGACTCGACTGCCATGTTGCGTGACGTGTTGAGCATGTTTAGGGCAGACAGTGAACGGCGGAATCCGACAGCTACGATGTATACGCGTTGGATGATGCTTATAAGGTGTTCGTCAGACGATGCTGAAGTGAAATCTGGTGAGGCGACTGTAGGCACTTATCGAGCGCTTGTAAAGTGGCACAATATTTCGATGATCTACAAACACTGAAATCGCTTATCGTTCTGAAGGGGATTCCCTGATGCAACGTTGCCACCAGCCACACCGGGCCCACAGCTACATGGACCAGGCTCCGCCGTCCGCATTGTCCTCCGAAATATGTAAGCAGCGTGAGAAGAGTTTGCCAAGATGGCAGACGTGGCCATAGACGAACTATCAGCCACTGACTCTGCGCGCCCCTGGCCTTCAACGAACGCTCCTACGGGTTGTTCTTCCATTACGGTCAGCATTCCTTTCCGCAGTGTCCTCGCGCATTCATTGCTCTCTAAACCTCTTGTCACATGGCGCCGAAAACTTCCCCCAATGCATACGACGACGGCAACCCTACTCACTCGCTACCCTTAGGCCCTCTCAGGTCTAGCACTCCTCCTGAGCAGGAGCGTCCGCCAGTGCGTGACGCTCAAAGTGCAGGTAGGGCTGTCGCTCGCAGTTCGTTCCGAATGTGCGATCATACCCGGTTCCAGGAGACATGCAAGCGATACCGGACCAGTCGAGCGCACACAGTATCCTCAGCGGGAGTCAGGGTATGGAGTGGGAGAAACACCGTCACTGGGTGAAGAAGCATTTCCGCAACAAGATCGTGTGGGACGTCGATCCGGCGAGAATAATACAGGCCGTCCGGAAACATGGACACGAAGATCTCCCGGAGACTTCGTTCCCCGCGCGCGGTGCACGCGAAGATGATCCTCCGTCGTACGATCCCCAGAAGAATGCCCTGGCTCAGTGGATACAAGCAAAGCCGAAGACCAAATCCTACCAGCCGCTGGCAACGAAAGCCAACTCGCTTCTTGAACTAGTGGACGGCTCAATTTACACGCCAAATCGTATTGTTCGCAAGTATCGGGCGCAGTTCAGAATGCGCAACGTGAAATTGAATGGGCCTTTACACAGCTGAGATTGATTTGCGGGTCTGCCGGACGTTGGTCATGAAGTCCTACGAACGACTCGAGCTCGTCGATTCAGTCGAGGATTTCAAGAAGGTGTACGTCGACGTCGTCCGAGGTGTGTACCAATGTCCTGAGTTTTCCTCCATACGTTTGACTGGCTTGTGCCATTGTTGTAGCTCATTACTGGGTGTGGAGGACGACGCGCACCTTGCATCGTAACATCAGTACGAACAACGTCATGTGGTACCGGAGAAGCGACGGAAATGTCATCGGTATCCTCTGCGACTAGGAATCGGCGGAGCAGAACCTCAACGACGAAATCCCGCCGACAGTCACTGACGACTCGGAGCGTCCCGCTCCCAAGAACCCTCCTGCATCTGCGTCAGGAAAACAGGCCGGTGGCGCCGCTGCACAAGCCGACGCGAAGACCCGATCGAACAATGCGTTGTCATCAAAACCGAGGTATCGCACCGGTACGGGTCCGTTATGGCCCTGGATCTCCTGCGCCAAGGCAAACCGCCCGCCAACCTGTACCGTCACGATCTCGAATCCTTCCTCTACCTGCTCGCGTACGTCTGCGCGGTGTGGGATCCCGAGAACAAGAGGTTCGATCGCATGCATGCCTGGGAGCGCGAGACGTTGATCGAGATCTGGGCGAATAAGCATGGATTCCTCATGAAGAGGGAGGTATACGACGAGATATTCAAGCACGCACACCCGTCATTGAGGCATCTCGCGGAGTACGAGTCGGAGTCGAGTTGGATCTCGACCCTCGTTGGTGTCTTCAGCCTCATCGAAGCTCACGCGACAACTATCATGGCCCTTCAATCAGTACAGTCCGGCTCTAGGCGCAGCCCTCAGGCTGCAGCTGCTCTCGAGGCGAGGATCAAGAAGAACGAAGCCGACCGCGAAAGCGAGATCTCGTATGAGATGTTCATGGATATCCTGGGAGCTTCCCCTGATGTTTAGAGCCTCAGTCATACGCTGTCGCTTCGGCGGACCGTCTCTAAATGTATATATTCTGTTTCCCTAGATACAAGGACTTACTGGCCGATAGCGCAGCATGAGTGGCCTCGAACGTAGGTACTACCACACCCCGATACGAATGATGTACCACTGGCATGCGTTTCTGCTCAGCTCGCTTGTAATGCATATAGACTGTGACAATCGTAGTATGAGGGCCATTGTGGACGGCTCCCGGCCGCGTATGCGTATGTCTTCACAGCGCTAGCAACGGGCTTCATCGCTGAACATCTTCACTCTGAACGCTGCTACCAATTTGTCTCGGCATGTATGATGTATCGTCCGTTTTCGATGATACATACCGTTGTACATATCGTGCGGCCATAGTACCGCAGAGGACGTCGTGCCGCCTGCGCTGCCCCGACTGCCTGTACTTTCCGACTCAGTGTGCTAGTCGCGCGGAGTCGTCTGTAAGACGGTTCACGGGAAAGCCGTGTTCGGCGTCGACTTCCCGGTACCACGGTCGTCTTCAAATTGGCCATGGCCTTCGCAGTAGCGGTCAACAAAGGCAGAAAGTCCCAAGTATCATACCCCTGCCGTAGACGCAATCGCACACCATATTCACGGGTGCAGTTCAGTCGACGATGGGCCCAAACAAAGGCCCTGGTCTGCCCCGGTACCCCCTCTACCCTCGGAATCCTCCGTGAATTGCATATTTGAACTCATGAAGCTCGGCGTAAGCCACCCTAACGGTCCCGCTCCTGTCAGGGTTCCCCAATGTGACTTTTCTGTCGCGGCGTAACTTGTCAGTACGCTGGCTGAGTCGATATTATCAAGGCCGCCAAGGATGATGGCAACTTGAATGCGATTCTGCGAATTACAGGAATTACTGACCGGACGTATGCACTACATGATCGCGACATGGTTCCCTATCTAGCTCTGCAATGACGCACGGACTGCGTAACATCCGCTGCACCTATATATACACAGGGTCGACGGTAACATCCCATGTGAACCGTATCCACAGCGTCACAACCTTTTGCCGCACTGATGGGCCACGCTGTTCAAGATGAACCCCAGTGATTGGCCGCCGACAGATACGACTCATCTATGCCAGCAACGGTGCATAAACGACCCGTAGATGCTTATCGACTGACGCTTCTGAAGTTCGATCTGAGGCTCTCAAGAGCCGCGTACAGAGTAGTATCGATGCATGCATTTCATACCATTGGCAAACGGGATACGCAACCCGGAGGTCCAATACGATATGCCACTCACCCGTTACCGGAAGCACCGCGAACGACAGACAGGCTGCCTCTTTCGGACGCGGACTCTATGCCAGTGCAATACAGGCTAGCGGATTGCCCATATGAGCGTCGGGCCGCCTCTAAGCCGCGGCCGGCTATAACAGCACACGAAGCCTAATCGTCCGGCACGTCCAGCAGCCATAGCCGCAAACTGCGTTCGATGGTCCGGGTCCGAGATGAGGAGCGTTATGTGTTGAATGTCGAAAGCCGGAGTGGAGGAGTGAAGTCCGAGACCGTTGCGGAGGCGGGGGAGCTCGGGACAGGCGCCCGGCGGTGTACCTCCTCTGGGCAGTCGGTCGACAGCTGTCAGCCACTCAGATCAAGATCTGTGCGAGGCGGGACGACGCCGTCTCCCCCACCTATCGCGAATTCACGGACCCCTGTAAAGTGAGAGGCCCCGGTAGCTTGGTGAGTGTGGAATGGCGGGGAGATAGCAGGTATGAATTGGACACGAACGCATGCGGCCATGCAGCTGAGGACACCGCCTCGGAACCGGACCTTGGCTATCGCAAATGCAATGATTTTAAACGTAAAGACTTGCAGGAGGCGGCGAGGGGGCACCCGAGAGCTAACGGCGCCGGGGGTGTGGGTCGATCACGGCCTTGGGGCCTTCAGGACGGTGAGGTCCGAAGACTGGTGTGGTAGGCTGGACAACCAACGCTCCCGGAGTGCCCGCCGATCTGACGGTGCCTCGATATGTCCAGTCCCCGAGACCCGGGATGGTGGCGAATACAGCATGGGCCGGAATCAGTGCAGGCTCCAATTTCTGTATACGATCGCGAGCGGACTTGCAAAGTGGCCACAGCAGACCAGCGACCCAGGATAAACAAGCTCAATAAATAGTACGAACCAATAACAGGTGGTATCCCATCTAGCCTGTCTACAAGAAGAGCGGACAACCTTGTACTTCAGTGTTCAAACGTTCAATGTCCACGTCTTCTACCGAGCGGCGGTCCGCGGCCGTGCTCTGAATCCGCCATCCAGGCGGTCGAGTAAGGTCTGCACTTCCTTCACCGCGCCTTTTCTCTCCTTCCGGGCCTCCTCCCACTCGCCCTCCGCGGTGATGGCGTCTAGTCTCAGCAGCGACTGCAGAAGCAGCTCGCCCAGTCTTCTGTGCTCCAGCTCGATGTCGGTATTGCGCCCGCCGAGCTGTGCTGCATTGCTGTCCGTCACAGGCGCAGATGCAGGCTGTGGTGCGGGAGCGGAAGCAGTCGAGGATGGTACGGAAGACGGGTCCAGTGTCGTCAGGAATGACTCGACATCTGGCTTGAGCGTGCGCCGAACGACGTCAAGTTCGCCGCGGATTTGTGCGACTGTTGATGCTTCTGTGCGCTCTGCAGGCTTCTCTTTGGGCTTGTGTCGCTTATGTGCAGCCGGAACATCACCGCCACCCACGACGGCGATGCTTGAGTTGGGTTTGATACCATATGCGGATACTAAACAAGGCAGAATGACGTGGGGGGTCAGCGAGGGCATGGACGATAAGCGGCGGATGACATCGCTAGTGCAGGAACATCGGGCGCAATAAGTGCTGCTGCGCGGTGCAGTGCGAGCGTGGCTAGTAGAAATAGACGGTGACGTCAGGTGGTAGAGATGAGGGAGGACGGGGGACAGTGATTTGCTTCTGTGCTACTGGGCGTGATAGGGCGAGTGAATGGGCCGGCGGCTGCCCGCATCGTGACGCCATGGGACAGACCTCATGCTCGCGCTCGATCGCGAGGCGGAGCGGAGCTCGTACAGACTCTGCATCGCGAAGAATCACGAATGTACCAGAGGCAGTTGAGAAGACAGGGATCGATGCTCCGCAACGCCAGGCGGCGCAACAACGTCCGAGGGTTGTGGCCGACAAGGGTAGGGCGATGCTGATACGGGCAAGAGCGGCACTTACTCGGGGCGTTGTCGTCCTTCATTACGGCGCCGGCGTGGACGAGCTTGAAGGATTGAGGGTCCAGCTGGGTGTACGTCGCGATTTCATGCCGGATCTCAGCCAATTTGGCGTCGGGTGCCGGAAGTGGGAAGTGCAGCCTGCGAACGGGACGATCGTGACAACGGAGAAGGCCGGAGGGGACATCGCGAGGCGCGATGCAGCGGGACAATAGATGATGGAGTGATAGCGGCCGAGGATTTGTGTGTCGGTGCGAAACGAGGATGGCACGGAGTTGACGCGAGACAAAGATGGGCACCAGGATACGCGTACGAGAGGGCCGACGTCAGACAATGCGACATGGGGATGATATGGGCCACGCACCGTTCCCTTCCCCATTTCACCGTGTAGCTCATGTTCCGCTTCTTTGCGCTGCGTGTCTCGTGGATGTGCTTGGCCTGCACGTATGCGACGCGGAGGAGGATGACTACAATCGGAACAACTGCCACATACTATCAGTGTGCCGCCGTAGCTGGGCAACAACAGGGCTCACCAAATGCAACCGGGGAGTTCAGATTGAACGAAAAGGAGCGTAGGTCGCGGAGGGCAGAGGAAAGAGAGGCAGACAACGCTTCTGCCGCTGAGGTACTCATGGCCAGCTCGCTGACTCTGAGGCGCAGTGGCGGCCGGCGGGGAGGTGGCTGAGAGTTGAGTCTCCGCTCGAAATAAATGGGTTATGAACGGCGGAGAATGCGCGCGAAGGCTAGCGAAAATTCGGAAAAGGAAGGTGCGCCGGGCGGCCGGCGTGGCTGATGTCAGAGCAGCGGTTCGACGCCCATTCGCCGGGAAAAGAGCCCGTTTATAATCCTCGTCCTCCTCCCGACGCTGCTGCCTGCCGCCCTCCTCTCCGCCGCCCTCCTCCTCCCAACCGCCATGTCTGACCCCGCCCCGCACCAGGACGGCCCCGCCGTGCGCCCCGCACCCGCCCTCACGCCCCGCCCCCCACCAACTTCCGCGCGCAGCAGCGTCGGCGGCCTCCTCAACAACCGCCGTCCGCTCGGGTCCACCCCCATTCCGCCCTCACTGCAGGCGAAGATGGCTGCCGTGAGTATTCACATCGGGCCCCATCGCGCTCACATCGCCCCGTATCCGCAACATGCGCATCGCTGACCCGTGTCTTTGTCCCTCCAGCTCGCCCAGAGAGGACATCAGTCTTCCGCCGGAGTGAAGGTTATGGACGGCGCTGTATCGGGGGTCGCCAACATCTCCCTCGCTGACCGACCCGGGAACTTGTCCGGTCCCCACAAACCCGCGTCGTCGCCCGGGCCCTCCCGGCCTGGTCCGCCTATAGGCGGACTCGCAGCGCGGCGCATGAAGGCCGGCGTACCCAAGCTCAATCCGAACGACGTGCCGGGAGGGCTACACCTCCCCCCAGTGGGAGCGGGCCCCCAAGGCGCTGGACTTGGTGTCGGAAGACCCATCATGGAGGATGAGCCACACCGACGGCCATCCCAGGATAACTTCTCGACGCCGTTTTCAAACTTTAGTAAGATTGTGTACGTGTTCTCCATCGGATGTGTTCCCGGTGTCCTGGTGATTGATCAGTATTTCGTAACTCGTAGGGATGCATCCGGTGCACTCCATTTCGGAGGCAAGGCGATCCTGCATGCGCAGGGTGTCAATTTCAGCAACGGGGCGTCGTTTTCGATCAACATGTCACAACTGCAGCTGGAGGACGAGCTTGGGAAGGGCGCATATGGCACAGTCCGGAAGGTACTGCATAAACCCACGAATGTTGCGATGGCTATGAAGGTTCGTCTTCGCGCGCGTGTCCATCTCAGACCCCAGCTCAATCATTAGCACAATCCAAACAGGAGATCAGACTGGAACTGGACGACTCAAAACTCAATGCTATCCTGATGGAGCTGGACATCCTCCACCGCGCCGTCGCGCCAGAGATTGTAGAGTTCTACGGAGCCTTCTTCATTGAATCGTATGTTATAATGTCTACTTACTGGACCCGAACTCATGCTGATTCGACGGACAAGATGCGTGTACTACTGCATGGAGTACATGGATGCCGGATCATTAGACAAGCTTCAGGCAGCAGGCGTGCCGGAGGATGTGCTCGGTCGCATCACAGGAGCTATGGTCCGAGGGCTGAAGTTCTTGAAGGACGAATTACAGATCATACACCGCGGTAAGCTATCTAAGGCCGCCCCTATCACGGTGTTTATTGACTTTGATGAAGATGTGAAGCCTACGAACGTGCTCGTCAGTAGGAGAGGCGGTATCAAGCTCTGTGACTTCGGTGTCTCTGGGCAGCTTGAGAAATCCTTGGCCAAGACAAATATCGGGTGCCAGAGTTATATGGCGGTGCGTCTCGCAGATTGCACCTTGTTTGCCCTGACGCTCATATCCGTGTCTTTCCCCCGTATCTGTAGCCCGAGCGCATTAAGGGCGAGTCACAGAATAATATTGGCACGTACACCGTCTCCTCCGACGTATGGTCGTTGGGCCTCTCGATGATCGAGATGGCGATAGGGCGGTATCCATACCCGCCGGAGACGTATGCGAACGTGTTCGCACAGCTCACCGCGATTGTGCACGGCGACCCGCCGGAGCTCCCGGAACACTACTCAGACGACAGCCGAGACTTCGTCGCGCGGTGCCTGCATAAGGTGCCCGAGTTGCGCGCGACATATGCGGAACTGCTGGTGAGCCTCTCATTTTGCACAGACTTCGAGACTATATGCGCTTGCATTTACTCATATCGTGTGCGCAGGACCATCCATTCTTGCGAGCCGACCGCAAGCGGTCCGTGGACATAGCGAAATGGGTGGAAGAAGCGCTGGAACACCGCGACAGGAAGATGGCGGAGGAGCGGCAGGCCAAGATGCTGCAGGACACGGTGTCAGCCCCCGCGCAGGTCTAACCGTGGTCGGGTTCCTGGCACCCAATACACAGCCTCTCTTGAGGCGACAACTAGGGCGTCACGAGCGGCACGGTCCCAAGAATCGCTGCTCGACGGTCGGCGGGGCTGGCACTCGCGTCGCGCTGGATACACACATGCTCATCCCGAATTGCGTGCCATCGCTCTCTCTCTAGTCCCCCTTACCGGTCCTCTGTCACTTGCCATAGCGCCTCACTGTCCCCTTGTTGGATCGCGGGCGCTGTCGGCTTTCGTGGCTCGGCTTTCGTGGCTCAATTACCTCATTCAACCCGCCGCCTGCCATATACGCTTCACATCGGGCTCCTTGTGGGATTGTCAGGTCATTCGGGACACCCATAGCCTTACCCCCGCAAGTGCAGGTTTTGGGACCGATCATAGACCATCTCGCGGAAGGCGGGACACGACGACGAGGCATTCCTCGATCGACAGGCGTCTGCAGGATCCCGTACGCGCTCCGTGGGCTCGTACGACAGGTGTCATGTCGACCATACTTCCTCACCACGACGGCACGTTTGCAGGATGCTCATAAACACACGACTGTGTAGATACGCACGACCCGCGGGCGGGTGCTTCAGCGGGTCGACCGGCATCACTATCCACCTTCCCCCACACATTGCACTGCATCTCAGGCTCTCGCCGGCATCACGACCCACTCCAATTCCATCCGTACGGTTATTTCTTCTCTCTGATAGTACTCTTTTACGGTACTGTACAGCGCTCTGTGCCTCGACATGGCGTGTTTTTAGTTCGTCGGGGCCGCGGCCCATATACACGCACGGGCGCGGCTCCCGGTGGTTGGATTCGCACTTACGACAAGCAACCCACTGTATCCATACATCTACTGTAACTTATGCAATTCATCTTCGAGTTCTGCAGTTCAATTGAGAGTGCAGACATGTTGTGAGACCGTTCACTGAAGTCCGTGGTAGCACGCGATGAGGCGCGTCTCGTTCTATGGGCGTCTACGCGGGCGCGCAGTGACACGTACGCGAAGTGCTACACCGCCCGACTTCAGTCTGTACGCGTTGTACGCCGTGCTGCCTGGTTCACTTCTCACCTTCGCTACCGTCGCAACCTTGTCTGCAACTGGGAAACACCGTTACCCGAGGAAGCTCACTAAAATCCGGTGGACAAGATGTGGCTCACGGACGGGCAGAGTACGTTACCCTACTGTTTCTGCGGTATTAACTGACCTCCGTGTAGAGATCGGCGTCGCGCTCACCTCCTTTGGAGGACTGTTCATGCTGCTGGGTGTGGCCCTATTCTTTGACGGAGCACTTCTTGCGCTGGGCAACGTACGTATCAATCATGTATTCCAGTAGCCCGGCTGACGACCTCCGTTACCGCGCATGCAGGTCCTCTTCCTCGCGGGTCTGACCCTCATCATCGGCCCCCACAAAACCTTCTACTTCTTTGCGCGACGGCAGAAGCTCCGCGGGACAGCATGCTTCATAGGCGGCATCCTACTCGTGTTCTTGAAGTGGCCGTTCGTGGGGATGGTCGTGGAGACGTTTGGGTTCTTGAACCTCTTCGGGTGCGTCGACGCTTTCTGGTCGTCCCGGGTATGCGTGGATTGATGTAGTGTTTGCAGGGACTTCTTTCCAGTTATCCTTACGTTCCTGCGACAGCTGCCCGGGATCGGGCATATACTGACGTTACCTTATATTCGAGACGTGAGTCATTGATGATGCTTCTATACCAGCCTCTTCTCATCGGCGTATCATTCCTGTTAGGTTGCAGATCGTATAGCGGGCTCACGAACATCGATTGTATGACACTGTCACGCGTAATACATTTCATTTGGACTGTGTATGTGCGAGCATGACTACGCAAATGGCCACCGAGTGTTGCAGTGGTGCCTTGTCGTAGGAGCACAGCAGACATACCCAGTTATTCCATATGGCGTTAGGCCCAGGGCTGCGGCAGTGACGCGACCCTCGGCGAGGTGCAATGCTGAGAGCATTCCGCGATCCTTAGTCCTGTATTGACTTCTGCACCGACCGGAGAACGGTATGGAGTACTGCAGCTAACATACGCGCGACGGTATATCATTTCATGAAAAGTACTCAACCGAGGTCTACGCCACCAAAGGAACATGAGACATGGTTATCATCGCGACGTTATGGTAGATCCAAGCCAACATTCTGAAATCGGCGCAGCTGTCTCTAGTTCATAGACAAGTTGGCGGCGGCGCGCCACAGTGGGATTTGTTCTTTGACCTCTACCGTGGTCGCTGTGGCTCGTACGCAGGCCTTCAGCTCCAATCGGTTTTCGCGCCCGGGACGGTCCCACAACACACTCATCGTCACCTCCATCTGATGGTATGGTACAACGGTTAGTTCCAGGCATTTGTGGGAATAGCTATACGTACCCGCTCACTGAGCACATCAAATTCCCTTTTGAGACGCTCTCCCACCGAAGTCGTAATGTCTTCCAGCAGTGTTAGAAGCACATCTGCCCCGTCATCGAATACACTATTCTTGAGCTTGGTTATCCAGTTATGAAAGATGTTCTACCAGGCCAGCTTTGTCAGTATTCGGTGCACACATATTACTTCGCCGCATCATGCTCACCTTGCGACGTGCGACGGAACCCGGCCCGCTTTGAGCAAACGCTTCCTCATAGGCAGGCTTCAGAGCATCCATGATATGCGGAGCCAGGCAGCGACTAGCAGTTCTTTGCTCTTCCTCGAGAACCTTATCGATAACACGTACGATGTCGTCGAGTAGTTGCTGCAACTCCCTCCTACAGTGCTCCGCTTGGGAGTGGGCTAGATCCTTCAGTAATGGGGTCGCAGACTCCTCGACTTCCGACAACGTCTGATTGACAATGCTGGTCGCGGCTTCTTTGAGATCAAGCGAACGATCACTGAATACTTTTGACCATTGTGCAGCGATTCCAAGCATGAACGGCAGAGTTAGATCTAAGTTGAGATCTTGCCTCCATACACCGTTTCTACGGAGCGCTGGATGGAAAATCAGAAGCTGCAAGACAGGCTCGCAATCAACGCAACAACACTTACTGCCCTTATATGTTTGCCAATGCATGCCTGCAGCGAATGCGTCGGATATCTGCTCAGCCTTCTCCCCGGCCTACGAAGGACAGTGATGGCGTGTCAGCAATCTACACAGCGTCGACTCATCAATGCACATGGTAATGATCGCACCTTGAGGGCGGCCGCTCGAACAATCCATCCCAAGGACGTAGAAAGGCTGTCATGTAGATCTTGACTTCGGTCGTCTGCTAATCTGTGGAGGCACTGCAGCGCAAGATGGTGTCAGGTTGTCTACCTGCTACGGGGCGTCTCACATACCTCCTTCATGATATTCGCAATGCCGATGTTGCTGACCAACCCCGATTGACATTGCTTCCTCATCACTTCGCTGTCGACCTTTGTGACGTCGTCCAGGCTGACATCTTTCACATAGCGGTGGACGGATTCAGCAAGAACTTCTAGACTCTCCCATATACCAGGGAGGGATCGTCTCCGACAAAGGTCTCCGAGATTGCGACACCACTCTTGGATACTTGGAATACCCGTGTTCCCTGGGTCAGAGAAGCAATTCGGGTCTCCATCTCCAACTACGTGTGCTGGAACATTGTGATTGACCCTCTACTAGTCAGCGATATAAAAGCGACAAAGGATATGATTGCCATACATTGTATACGCAGATAGTCAAGGGCGCTGCAGCTGAAGACGGGTGGATCCACACGAGAGTAGTCTATCATTGATGGACCAAATCATCGTGAGTCGGCATTGGACGCACGACGTCGGAACCTGAGACGCACCTCTCAGCGGTTCAGAAGGATCGTAGTTGTCCGGGTCCTTTTCTTCCGCCGCTGCTGCTATAGGAGTGATCGAACGTCAATTGAAAGCCATGCAAAATCAACACATCCTACCGTCCAGATCTTTCAGTTGATCTATGAAATTGCGTCTCATGATGCCGAGACTCTCCTGCAAATCTATCTCAGATGACCCTGAGTATTTTCACATTCGACACGCAACGTACCCTCGAACGTTTCAGGGAACAAAGCACGCGTTTCCTCGCAACTAGCTCGCAAAGCTCCATCTCGAGTTCAGCACACTTGACACGAATCCACTCGATTTCATCAGTACGGTCGTGCGCGCTAGTAGCTTCCCGCAACGAGTCGGCCGAGGTACACATCGGAACTTGCTGCCAGTCTACAGACCTGGATTGAGGGATAGAGGTGTCTGAGGTGCCTGCCACCTGTAACATCGTGGGGGCGATGTTATTGGTACGAATAATGTTTGAGCTGAAGCAATGCCAATATAGTATGACACAAGCAGCTCGGACTGACCTGACATTCTATGGCATGCCGCGTCGTCCGAGTTGCAAGCCGAGTCCTCTTCGATGCAACATCAGGGCAGCTTACAGAGTCACGCCGTTTCCTTCCAGATCCTCTACTTTCTGTCACCTGACCGACATGTTGAGCGTGCGGCGTGGCGGCAAACAAGCGGTCTGCCCGATTCACAGAGAAGTAAGCTGAGGTGTGGACAAGCCGACATAATGCCGCACCTAGTTCACGCTTCAATGCATTCTTCTCATCATTGGCTTCCTTTTCCTTCTGTATGACGTCCTTGAGATCGGTATCATCAGTATCGTCCAAGCCGCCATCACCTAACATCTCCGAAGGTGAAATCAGGTCCGTCTGTGTGGCTAAAATCCGAAAGGTAAGTTGCGTGAAACAAGGAGAAGGTCAACAACTTTACCCACCGATAAGTGCAATACGGCTGTCATCGTATGTGCCATCTTGCATACCCATCCATCAATTAGTACATTATGCAAAACACAGCTGACTTCAATACAGCCATACCCACTGGTCAGGTCGCTCAGCATCCCCTAAATTTTACAGCACATGGACCTCACTTACTCAAACACTGCGCAGCGAACGCCTTGTCCATGAGGTCTGCATTCAGTCGGTGAGTAGTGAGTTATGCACTCGCTGATTGCCTTTGGCACTCACCCTGGGCGTTCTGGTCATCAACGGCACGTCTGATGTTCGTGACTATCCAGACGTGACTGCATTGCTTCATGTATGTGGTTGCAATGCTAGCGCGTGCGCGGTTGGCATCAGCCGTGCCGGGTAAGTCGACCAACACGGCTCCAGATGTCAAGGCCGGGGCGTTGCACCGTACCTTGACCACTTTGATCAGCGGCCATAGCTGGCGCTTCCGGTGGGCATTGCTGCTTGAGTGCTTCTCAGCCTTGACGTACTGTTGCAGTTCATGCACAAAGGAGTCTTTTTGACGATTCTTGATGGTGGTCGTCTTGCCGAGGACGGGGTACGTCGCTAAACTGCTGGTCAGATTTGGCACACATGTACAACAATGAGAAACAAAACCTTGATCTGAGCGAACAAATCCTGCAATTGACGCAACCTTCTTCAACTCTTTTGACTCTCTCACGTCTGGATACACGGCACGAAACTTCTGATGGTCTCTATCAAGGCGTCCGGAGCAACTACAACTGATATTCACCTTATCCCACGCCTCCTTCAATTCCTTTCTCGGCTCGCCGGTCAAGTCCGCATCCTTCAGGTCCTGATGAAGTGGAAGCAGCTCTTCCAACCATTCCTCCTCGGATAGGAAGACGACATCTGCAATAAACATCGTATCATCGTGCCAGGAAATCTCCGTGACTACAGAAGTGCAGGCTGCACAGGTTGAGCAGAAGCCAACCTTCTCGAGAGTCATTGAGATTACCTTGTCCCCCGCTGGTAGGTAATATAGATACTGTGTAGTGTGATCGGCTCAGAAAGGCATTCTGATTCATGGAAAATGGTACCCAATACTCACCGTCAAGAATTGCATTGATTAACGACGACTTGCCGGCCCCAGTGGCTGGGATATATTGAAATCTGTCAGCTCGGAGCACTGTGCACCTAGTTACTACTCAGTTGCCCCACCTCCGCACACCGCAGTGAACGTCTTCTCTTGGGCTTTGTCACGAATCCTGTGTGTCAACTGGTTAGACTACGGTGCACGCTCATACATGAGTCGCTGGGACACTCACTGACTGAGTGTGCGCATCCACATGTCTTTCCTTAAGCGGCTCTTGCTGACTTCCAGGTTCAGATCTTCTATACGCTTGCCAATCGCGTCGGCCATGGACAGGCACTCTGACAGCGCCGGTTGAATGCCAAACCTAATCTGATCGCTCTTGCGATAGACGGTATATCCAACGTTGCCGTGGTCTGCCAGTGAGGGTCGACTCGGGCTTAGATGAATCTATTACACATAGCCGTATAGATTGAACGACGCAAAGGAGGCACTTCAATGGATGCAAGGCTAGTAGTGCTAACTTCTGTACTCACTTGCGGATCAAAATCAAGGATGGGCTCGCCGGGCTCGGATTTGACTACGGGCAAAAGGCTTCGAGCGTCGGCAGCATCCGCCCCAGAATCCATTTTGATGATGACTCCTTGAACAGATAATAGAGTAGAGAGACCAGGCCGCGAGATATCAAGTTTGCGCACTGTGGTGCGCTGCAGGTAGGAGGAAGAGGACGCGCCGCAGTTCAGCACGGCAGTACGAACTTGAAGTCACTGTTCGGACGGCTCGGTATTACGTCCCGTACGGACGGCTGCAACGCCGCATCGCGCGTGAGAACATGGCTAGGAGCGGCCGGTGTACCGTACGACCCGGCGTGCCAACTGACCTACTAAGTACATAATAACATATCCGATCCGGTTACAGTCGCGCTCAAGTCGCGCTCGCGCCGTACGCGTATCTTGTTGCACCCCTACCATCCTGCGCGGACTCATGACTCTGAGCGCGAAGCAGACCATCGTTGAGGACGCTCGCTTGGCCCAGCCGGCCAACGCTCCCGCGAGTCTTTCGTGGCCACTGCCGTGCCCGGTTGAAGGAGTCCAAGCAGCGCGGCGCATAGGCATCGTCTGGCAGGAGTCCAAGCAGCGTGGCGCATAGGCATCGTCTGGCAGCGCAAGTACGACACTTGAGGCGCGCTGGGGACAGCGCGGCCGGACTCGGAGCGCGGGTACGTGAGCCTCAAGGCGGAACGCAAGGACTGGTATGCCATCCCACAGAAGCTGCTCTTCCGCCATGTCTGCCTGAGCCGCGAATTCGGACTACGCGCGTCCTCACAGCGGAGCATGCACGTCATGCGATCATCCTCAACCTCCACCAGGAGCAGGCGTAGTTGAACAAGATTCGCAGCGCGTCCGCGTACTACGGCTCCGAGTCGACGTGCAGTGTTCGACGACCTGGGTCACGTGTCCGCGACACCGCGTTGACGGACAGCGACGCACTCGAAGTTGCAGACTCGGAGCGCGGCTGCTGCCGCTAGTATAAACTGTATAGGATGAGAATCACTTGGGCAACTGGATAGCTCCGCGTACAACCTAGGTATACCTAGCCGTAGCCACCAGAATCCGCCGGGGCCATGGCCCGTATATATGGCGCGGTCTCACCTAGCGGACAGAGGTTGGTTGGCTATGTATGCCACTACCCAGCCATATTGCACCCTTTAAAGCTCCAAAATTCCAGATATTGCCATTCATAAATCTCGTCTTTTTCGTCTTTCTGCCGATACCAAGCCGATACCTACGCGCGAAGTGCTAAGTCCACCGCCCGACTTGCGTCTGTACGCGTTGCACGCCGTGCTACCTGGTTCTCTTGTCTTTGCTAGGGTCGGAACCTTGTCTGCGACTGCGAAACACCGTTACCCGAGGACAAGATGTGGCTCGCGGACGGGCAGGGCACGTTAGTACCTTACTGTTTCTGCCGTATTAACTGACCTCCGTGTAGGGATCGACGTCGCGCTCACCTCCTTTGAAGGGCTGCTCATGCTGCTGGGTGTAGTTCTATTCTCTGACAGGCACTTCTTGCGCTGGGAAACGTACGTAACATTCATCTATTCCAGTAGCCCGGCTGACGACCTCCATTACCGCGCATGCAGGTCCTCTTCCTCGCGAGTCTAACCCTCATCATCGGCCCCCACAAAACCTTCTACTTCTTTGCGCGACGGCAAAAGCTCCGCGGGGACAGCATGCTTCATAGGCGGCATCCTACTCGTGTTCTTGAAGTGGCCGTTCGTGGGAATGGTAGTGGAGACGTTTGAGCTCTTGAACCTCTTCGGGTGCGTCGATGCTTTCTGGTCGTCCCGGGTATGCGTGGATTGATGTAGTGTTTGCAGGGAATTCTTTCCAGTCATCCTTACGTTCCTGCGACAGCTGCCCGGGATCGGGCATATACTGACGTTACCTTATATTCGAGACGTGAGTCGTCGATGATGCTTCTATAAGCCTTTCTCATTAGCGTGTCGTTTCTGCTAGGTTGCAGATCGTATAGCAGGCTCACGAACATCGATTGTGTAATACTATCGCGCGTGATGCACTTCACTTGGGGCGTTTTGAACACTCGCATGTACAAGAGGTGACACGTTCAATGTCCGCCCGCTGAACGCTGCAGGGGTATCTTGTTCCGACACCATGGCCGACGCACGTATCAGCTACGGTGCGCTTTCCCGTGTGGCCTCGTGTGGCTCTCCAGTAGGCCTGGAGCTTCGTTCGTTCACATTCACCACGCGAACTGCGGTAATCCGTGGTAAGACGAATCAGAACATGGGATGACCATTAGACAATATCCATTACGACTCCTGCAACGACTGGATCAACGATTCATATGCTGCGAACATACGCCATCCGATATGACCTTCAATAGAAACATCCATACTGAGACGCCGTAGCCGAAGAAAGGTAACACACGGTTGCATAGTATATAACGTCACCGCCTACCCAAGCAAACAACATAGATCCACCTCTAGTTTGTCGACTCGGCGGCGAGCTGCCACAGCAGGATTTGTTCTCGGATTTCTGCCATGGTGGCCGTGGCTCGCGCACAAGCCTTCAGTTCGAGAGCGCCATTGCCTGGGCGATCCCACAGTAAGCTCATCGTGGCCTCCACCTGAATGCGACATCAAGATCTCGGTCACTGCAGTAGGATCGAGCATGTTTCCTGCTACATACCTTCTCGCTGAGAGCGTCAAATTCTTCCTCCAGGGTGTCTCCGACCGCGTCAGCCACATCATCCAGGCTAGCTAGAAGTGCCGCCGCCCCGCCATAGAATGCCGAATACTTGAGCTTGACCAACCACTTGCGAAATATAGCCTACCATGCTCGTGTTAGGAAGCATGAACCTGATGAACGTATCGTGTAAAGATACCTTACGACGCGCAGCTGAGCCTTTGCCAGCCTGCGGTGCAGCTTCCGCATAGCCAGGCGCGAGCACCTCCGAAATGTGTGAGGCCAGGCGCCGACTAGCGTCCTTCTGTTCCGCGTCAATGACAGCCTGAACAGTATCTTCTATTCCGTCGAGCAAACACTCCACTTCCTTTCGACTTTGCTTTGCTTGGGCTTCCGTGAGAGCCTTTAAAAGCGGGGTCGCCGACGCCTTAACCTCGGTTAGAATTTTTTCGACGATGGTGACTACGCCGTTCCTAATGTCGATGGACGAATGTCTGAACGTCCTCGACCAGGATGGCGCAATTTCGAGCAGGAACGGGGTGGCTAGATTGATATTTAGGTCCTGATACCATGAGCCATATCTGCGAAGTGCTGGCTGACAGCATGAGCAATTGCCAAACGACTGTGCAGAAAAGCTTACTGCCCCTGTACGTCGACCAGAACATGTTTGCAGCAAAGCTGTCCGATATCTCTTCCGCTCTTTGCGCGGCCTGCGGAAGATGTCAATTGAGTGGTGTAAACAATCAAGAAAAAGGCAAGTACGACTATCTCACTTTGGGAGCGGCCGCTCGACACTTCGGTTTCATAACCACCGAAAAGCGTGCTTGCAATTTCTGACGCTGGGCCTCTGCCAAGGCATAAAGTTCCTGCAATCCAGGATAAGTCAATGTTCATCGGTACGCTTGTCATATAAGAACCTACGTACCGCTTTCAGTCGGAATGCAATACCAGTGTTTTCGGCCAACCCCGTTTGCCATAGCTTTCTCATATCCTCGCTGTTGGCTTTGGCGACATCGCTCAGGTCGACATCCTCCGAATAGGAGCGGATCGATTCAACCAATATGCTCAACCGCGTCAACAGGCCAGGACAAGCATTTCTGCGACGCACATGTCCGAGATTGTAACACCATTGCTGGATTTGTGGTATCCCCGTGTCGTCTGGCTCGGAAAAGCAGTACGGTTCCCCGTCTCCAACAATATGTGCTGTCCCATAATGAGAAGGATGAGAACAATGTAGCCATAGTAGAAGAGTTAACAGTCATACAGTAGATGCGCATGTAGTCAAGTGCACTGCAGGTGAAGACGGGTGGGTTGATACGGCGATAATCTGTTCAATGATAAGAGTCACAGCCAGTATCAGTGTCATCAAACTCGGCCAGGCTCACCTCTCAGTGGCTCCGAAGGATCATAGTTGTCTGGATCATTTGCTTCGGCTACAGCGTCTGGAGGACAGTGCGTATAGCGGACATCACGGGGAAACATACAGACACCATCAAATCACTCACTATCCAGCTCTTTCAGGTGTTGAATGAAGCTGTGCTGCAAAATACGAGTACTCTCCTGTCCGTTGCATACGGTGTATGAGTCTATGGTGAACTGTACACAGTTGATCATGATACACACCTTCGAACGTATACGAGAACAAAGTACTCGTTTGCGTCGAAACAAGGTATTCTGATCCATCTCGAGTATCTTGAGTTGGGTACGAATCTCCTCCGAGTCGATCTCAGCCTGGTAATCCCGTGCGTCGATTTCAGGCGAAGGTCCGGCGGATGCAGGTTGTTCGTCTACTTGTCCGGACCGAGGACCAGATGTGCTTGCATCAGATACCTACAACACGGCGGTGAAGATTAGTGCAATGAAACACACGACGCATAGCCAATATGGACACAGCATCGTGTGGATGAACACTCACATGAGAATTGCTGCTGTGTTGTATCGTCATGGTGTCAACGCGAGTCTTCTTCGAAGCGGAGTCACCGCAGCTGATGGATTTGCGACGTTTCTGGCTAGACCCCGCGTTATCAGCCGTATGTCTGGCGGGCTGAGTGCGCGGCGCAAGGCCGCCTGGTTTGCGAGCTACTCAAAATGCCAATAGCATGAGCATAATTACTGTGACACGCTATCAGAAGAGCTGCCTCACAACCCTTGATCTCCAAAGCGCGCATCCTGGCGCCCAACTCAATTTCTAAATTGACAAGGTCCTGTAGTTCCGCGTCCTCACTCCCCATGGTGCGACCACGCAGGACCTCCGATGGGGAAACCTGGTCTGTCTTGGAAGCTGCGGAAATAAGCAGGATAAGTGGCACAGACAACACAAGACCAAATGCGCCCCACCGATGAGCGTGATACGACTGTCATCGTACGCGCCATCTAAGGATCATGCAGCATATAAAGATGAGGCTGCGCTTGAGACTCTGGTTAGAGATACTACACGTACCCACTGCCCAAATCAAGAGTCTAGTTAGCGTTTCTGACAAGGTTTTCATCGTCTCACTTACTACACAGTTGCGCCCTGAAAGCGTCGTCCGTAAGATCTACAGCATGCCAACGTGCCCGGGACCAGGTCCCAATCAGTGGCGATACTGAACCAAGCTGTGGTCATGTTCCGCTTACCTTTGGCATTTTTGTCACTAGGAGCACGTACAATGCTCGTAACAATCCATATGTGACTGCATTGTGTTAAGTATTTGGTGGCGATATTGGCACGCGCGCTGTTTGTATCAGCTGTTCCGGGCAGATCAACCAGTACAGAGCCAGACGACAGGGCAGGTGAGTTACAGTGTATCTTGATTACTTTGATTAGCGGCCACAGTTCGCAGTTCTGAGTGACATTATCGACCGGATCTCCAGCTTCTTCGTCGTAGGTCTGTCTTGCAGCGGCGACAAACTGTTGAAGCTCTTCCGTGAAGCGAGCCTTGTCGTCCTCTCGGACAGTCCTCGTAGTCCCAAGCACGGAATACGTCACTACAGATAATCAGTCTCGACGTACACAGAGAAGACATTGAGCTCGCCGGCATTACCTGCATCCGATGATACATATTCTTTTATAGATGCAGCGACCTTCTTCACGTCGTCGCATCCGGCCAGAGATGGGTATACAGCCCGCAACTTCGAGGGAATTGAATCATCAATCTCTTGATACTTTGACAAGCCAGAACACAACACTCACCTTGTGCCACAACGGGAGAAGATCTTCGTGTGCATCCTTCGGGTCCTCCGTGTCCTGCAGGTCTAGTAGCAGGGGCTTGAGCTCGTCCAGCCACTCTTCCTCTGACAAGAAGACGATTTCAGCAAGAAACGAGGTATCCTCATGCCAAGCAATCTCTGTGATAACGGAGGTACAGGCTGAAGAATACACAGGTTCACCAACAGTCAGCAGGTTATGCCAAGCCTCTGAGAACCCACAAACGTACCTTGGCTTCCGTCAGTGGGGACCAAAGGTACTAACATAGGCGTGATCAGCTATGATGTATTCGAAGTCATCGAAAGGACTGTCGCACGGTCGAGAATCGCGTTGATGAGCGAGGACTTCCCGCTCCCGGTAGCTGTCAGAGACGATCATGTTCAGTCAGGGCGTCTCCGAGAAGTGACATTGGATTTGAACAGAAGACACCCACCTCCGCACACCGCAATCAAGGTTTTCTGACGAGCTATATTGTACACTCTGCGATCCAGCTAGTCAACCCGGAGACATGCACACGATTTGGGGCCGAGCACTCACTGCTGCAAGGAGCGCTGCCAATCGCCAGTCCTCAAGGTGGTCTTGCTCACTTCGTGGTTGAGTTCGTCAATGCACTGTCCAATTGCATCGGCCATGCGTAGGCATTCAGACATTGCCCTCTCTGCCTCGAACTCAATTTGGCGGCTTGTCTGATAGATTGTGTACTGGTGGCCAAGTAGTGAGCGGCGGGGGTACATGTCCAAGTCGTCCTGTCACATAGTTACATCAAGCAACCCATGACAGGGGGTAGACGGCAGGACGTACAAGCATCCTGGAGTCGAGGCTATGCTCGATTGGCTCTTTCTTGACCATCACGGGCCTTGAAGTTCAACAATATGACACGGAAAGGTGACAAACAACTGAGGCCTCGTAGCGTGCAGTTAGAGTCGACGAGTCGCAGGAAGAAAGAGACGCGATACACGGGAGCACGATCGGCAGACTTCAAAAGTAAGCTCACTTGGACGGACTATATATGGCTTGGGCTTACGTCCCAGACGGACAGAGATGTCAAGTTGAAACCGAGTGATGTAGACGGTTCCATGCGCGGGAGCGCGGAAAGAATCGCCGATCAAGGGCGTAGGGGTCACCTAGGGTCCCTGTAATAGCATTAGCTACCGAACCTAATGTAAACGTAGGGGGTGAGACCAGGCGAGAACAATCACAGACAGCATCGAACAACTGCCTACGGAGGTGCCGACGGTAAGAGGTTAAGAGTTGGGAAATCTGGACGTAGCATCGAAGTGCTGCTTGTCCCCGCTTGCACTTGTGTTGAGGTGATTTGCGCCGTACCAGCGCAAGGTACCATCCTCCCCAGGTCGCCGACGTATCCGGAGACGCTTATGACCGTGTATGATCATCTGCACAGGTAATTGCGGATGTTCTGCGAAAAGTCGGTAGGCGAGGAAGACTAAGCTGCATAAACGGTTTGCTCGGTGAGTGTGAACAGACCATCATAGTTTTGACACTTTCCGCCAGGGGAACACGCCGCTGATTCGGCGGGTCCATCCAGTGTCCGAGTCTACTACTTAGTAGGGGTGAATGCGTTCAGGAACATGGCTCGGCTCGGAACGCGCCTGAGCTGTGCTAAGATTCAGACAGCAGAGTCATCGGCGAAGTTCCACGGAACGAAGCCAGTCGGTCCGCATGTTCAGCACTAAGTACTGGATTGTTTGCGCACACATCCCAACTCTGTGCGTCGGGTGACCCGACAAGTGTTGGGGAAGACATTCGGCACCAGGGCATAGCCGTGGGCTTGCCACGAACGGTGATCTGTGCGGGACGGAGTAAGATAATGTGTCATCCATAGATATACGAATTGCGATGACTCACGCCTAATTGTTCTGCGATGGTGGACCGTGGACGCATGGTGGTTGCGTCCAAGGCGGTGGCGATCATCAAATTGCCGCATGCACTTGATGCCACCTTCCATTCTTAGCTCATGCGGCCTGTTTGGGATCAAAGCTGGACCCACATACTGTATTTGGACGCGTTGTGTACGCGTTGCTTTGCGTATCCTCCCAAAGCGGTGAGAACACGCTTCTACTGCCCTTGCGTCCCGAGCCCCTGTGCCTGGAAGATGCGGTCAACGACGTCTGTCGTCTGCGCCTTGTGGTCGAGAATTTTTTCATCGTAGCGCTCTCAATCCGCTGCATCTGCCACGTCTGTCCGCCGTCAGTTCCTTCGACTGTCCCTGTGGATACGACATCCCTCACCAACCAGAAAGAACGTCTCCGCCGGGATGGGCCTCGGGAGATGCTGACGTTCTGCGGCCCAACGAACAAGCGCACCGTGTTCCATGATTATTAATATGCGACAGTGAAGGTTCACCGCCACAAGAAGCACAGGCAGAAGTTGGCGTAGTCAAGAAAGTGGCTGATATCTCATGAGGTCGGGTCTTCCAAGAAAGATCAGAGAGGGCCCCATTGTGCCGCTCGACGACAATGGGACTTCTGGGAGGTTACGCGAGATCCTGGGAGAGTGGGACAGTCAGAACGACCGGTAGACTCGAGGTGGCGCCAGCGGGTTCCGGCATGCCGACGAGGGCGGCGTCGTGATCGAATCGTGTTGCGACGTGGTGATCCGTGTCGGCGGTCCCCGCGCGGGCGCGTCAGGGGCCGGCAAATCTATTGAGTTTATACTGTAGCCGTCCAATAAATTCGTGAATATACGCACAGGCCGTGCGGACAGCAACGCAGCGCGAAGAGCGGGTATGACTAGGATGACTGCGATCGCCAGGACAAGGCTGGGTGGGATCGCACGGGCCCGAGTCAGGCGCGCCATCGCGGGAAGGCGCGGAAGCAAATTTGGCGGACAAAAGGTGTGGCTGCGTGCTTCGGAGGCCGCCACAAAGGGAGTTTGGGGCGGAGTGGGAAAACGGTGGCTGCGGGTGGCGACCACGATCACATGATGTTGTTGAGCTAGTTCGCACGCGTGGGGATGGGCTGCTGGCCTCACTCTAATATCCAACTACCGCCCACCCGAGTACGTACAATCCCCCCTCCCCCCTTCGCTCCTTTCTCTCCCCGCTGTTGACGACCTCGACGACGACCCGCCCGAAGGCCCTGACGACGGCGACCCCGCAAACACCGCCTGCCGCACACTTTAGCCCACAATAGTGTCACCCATTGCTATTTTCCGCTAGCTGCTATGTTTGCTTCGACCCCAAGCTCCGACTACGTCTCTTTCAGGCCTATAAGACGCGACCCTAGCGCATCCCCGTCTTGTCGCTACAACTTCAGCACTCCCCCACGCTTTGCAGTAGAATCCTTGGTCCGCGACTCGCCCATGCTCACGCCTTCGCCGCTGCGCCGCCACGCGCCGCCATCCGCAGAACCGATGGACATGGACGACATCTTCCAATCTCCTGCTGCAAGGCCGTCTTCCTACACTCACCACCCTCCCGCGCGACCATCGCGATCCCACAGCCATACCGACGACATGGACGACGACTTCGACAACTCGCACCTCGCGCCGTCCTCGTCCTTTTCTATTTCGCGTAATATGGCGCCACCAACCTCTCCCTACACCCTCCTCACTCCTCTCCGCACCCCCGTCAAGTCCTCGCCGCGTTTTCCCGGGACGCCGGATCGTCCTGCTCTCTCTGACAAGTACGTTAACACCCTGTCCTCTGCCTCTCAAGGCTTCGCCGCAGGTTCGAAGCGGAAGCCCACGCCCAACCAGTGCGTGACGCCACCCCGTCCCAGAGCTCGCACTCCGTTGCAGGTCGCGTCGGCCAAGGAACAGCCTGAAGGCGACTCCTCATCAGTTCCGTTCGACCGTCTGGCGCCCCTCCCAGCTCCACGCTTCAGTTTCCGCACGCCACAGTCGAACACCGAGACGGACCTGCATCTCAAACGGCAAGCAGAGACAATGACCATGCTCAAGATTTCTGACTTGCGGCATTCAGACGACGAGAGCGGGTATGACTCGAGCCCGGACATCCGAGCGGTAAGGGACGACGGGCAGGCGCTGTTTGACGGGGGCTCTCTGGCGCGGACGCCCCTTCATTCAGCTAAGGGGAAGGGCAAGGGCAAGTCACCTGCGCTCGAGATGTTCATTAGGACTGGGCAGATGAACAACGAAGAGGTTGCAGAGGCCATCTCGCCGGGCGGGCACGTCACGAAGCGGCGTGCGCGTTCCCGCCCGGTCTCCGCAGAGCTGCTAGAGTCGGCTCAGGGCGCTGCTCATGCAGAGTTTGCAAATCAGGTATGTCAATTTTTTGGTCAGACCACCGCGATCACTGATGCGGCCGCAGGTGCCAGTCGTTCCACCTCTAAGCGGACCGCGCAGCGCAAGCTCTGTTGCCTTTCCTCGCCGCCGGCGCGCGTCTACCAGCTCTACGAGCGAGTCTGAGTCTGGTTCGCCTGTCCCGCGCCTTCGCCTCACTCCAGGCGCTCTTCCCCGCATTCGCACGCAGTCCCAGGCGCATACAAGGGGCCCTCTCAGTCGTATCACCAGTACGGGCTCAGCGACCCAATTCTTCGGCCCCAGTATTCCCAGTCCTAGGCCTGGCAAGAAGAAATCGAAGATGGGTTCTATTGCAAGTCCTCGCCGCGGTACGAACCTCGCCGCTACGAAAGAGGCTTATCCGGCGACGGAGCGCCCGAAGGCGTCCAACCGTCACAGTTACTGTGAATCGCCTGCCATGCCTTCTGCCTGGATGTGGCACGAGCGTGCTGCTTCGTCGCCGGTCTCGTCTCCTAACTGCCGCAAGAGGGACGACTCGTCAGAGGACGAGGAGGACCGTTTCTTCAGCGGACCACCCGACACGTCCTTCAGCTTCAGTATCGCTTCTGGGACGCCCAGCCCCAAGAAGAGACAAAAGCGCGAGGCTCCGCCTTCGCCGCTGCAGAAGAAGTTCAGGCCCCGCGATTCTGGAATCGCCCTCTATTCTAGTGATGAGGACTGCAGCGGGTTCCATATGCTTGGCGGCGACCCGTTCCTGTCGTCCATGCCTCGCGCTTCGACCTCCGTCAGCACGGTCAATTCATCGGAGGGCGACGACCATGCTCTCATCACACCTGGCTTCGGGCCCAGCGCGTCGTCTGGCTGGCCCGGCACCGAAGTCAACATCGTTCAGCCGGGCGATGATTCAGACGACATGGGGGCTTTCATCTACCGGACCCTCACCGCTGGTGCCAGCAAGTCCGCGCCTGGCCACAACTCGCCGAAGCGGGTGCCGGGTACCCCTCAGAAGAAGATGAAGACCGCACACCTCGGCCAGCGTCCATGGCAGAGCGCCGTCGCGTCAAAGATCGGCTTCCCTGAGTTCGACGAGGACGGGCCGAAGGGCAAAGGGAAGGGCAAGGGCAAGCCGCGCAAATCGCTGCCCGCCGCATTCCCGGTCCTCGGCAAGGAGAACCGCGCGTCGAGCAAGGCACGCATCGGGCATCATCTGGGGCGGGAGTCGGTGGACATGGACACCGACAACGAGGACGAGCTGAGCCCAAGCACGACGCGCCAGAGCAAGTATGATGGCCTGGGGCTCGGGCGCCCGTCCGGCGTGCTCCCGGGCTTTACAAGAACGAGCGGTGAGAAGGGCAAGCCGAGCTGGCTGACCCGCAGGAGCAGCAGCGGTAACTTCTCAAGCGGCAGTGAGACGCCGGGCTCTGCCTCTGCGACGCCGACCCGACTTGGGGCGAGAGGTTCGTGCTGGCGAGACTATCATTTGGACTTCGACTGATGAGTTTCTGGCAGAATGGACCTTGGCTCCTCCCAGGCTTCCGCAAGCGCCTACCACACCAAGCTCGACAGCCACTGCAACTGCAAACTCGCCTGAGGCTACTACCAGGCAGCTTCGTAGTGGGGTGTCTGCGGTCCCTCAGCCGACGCCGGTGCGCGCACCGCTGTTCACCCGTCCACAGACGCACGCCCATCCCGCTCGCATGCCCCATGGTCACACTTCGCCTCTACGGCCCACCGCGCGGGGGCGCCTTTCCCTCGCATCGGGCGAAGAGCAGCCGGGGCGATTCGATCGCGATCTCATCGAGGTCGACGAGGTTGGCAAGGGCGAATTCGGACGGGTGATGAAGGTGCGCTACAAGGACGGCGCCTTTGCTGGGCGTGGCAAGGGGGGCGAGCTGTACGCCGTCAAGAAATCGAAGCGGTTCGAGGGCGCTAAGCATCGGTGAGTTGGCAATTTACTCTGTTCGATGACGTGTAATTCGTCGCTCGATTGCTCCCGAGTAAGCCGGAGTGATCGCCTGTAGTTGTGATGCGCACCGGCGGTAGGCATTGTGGATCTGCCTGCGAAACCGGTGGTCTCACTCCTCGTTATATTGCATCTTGCCTGTCAATCATCTCGCTTAGCGGATCTGTGACTTACGTCTGGCTTTCTCCTTATTAGGTTGCGACTTCGCGAGGAGGTGGACATTCTGTCCAGCTTGTCTGCGCGCGGAGGCCATCCCAGCGTCCTGACGTATGTCGATAGTTGGGAAGAAGACGAGACGCTGTATATGCAGACGGAGTTGTGCGCTCTCGGCAACCTCGCGCACTTCTTGCAGGCATATGGGCGGGCTTACCCGAAGCTCGATGAAGGCCGTGTGTGGCGGATCCTGGCAGAACTGAGTGTAGTACGTGTCATCGTTCTACGCCTCGTGTTTCCTGATGTTAATACATGTTCCTTTGACAGGGCTTGTGCTTCATTCACGATGCTGGTGTCATCCATCTGGATATCAAGCCGGAAAACGTCTTCATTGCGGGCTCAGGGCGGTTCAAAATTGGCGACTTTGGCATGGCGTCTGTGTGGCCACGTCCGCCGCCGCCGTCGGACACGATCGTCAGCAACGCGTTCGAGCGCGAGGGTGACAAGCTCTACCTCGCGCCCGAGGTTCTTCAGGGTCGTTACGGAAAGGCGGCTGACGTCTTCAGCCTGGGTATGACGATCCTCGAGGCGGCGACCAACATAGTCGTGCCTGGACAGTACGTTTTTCCCGCCGTTTCCAATGGTTCATCACATTGACCTGTACGTGTGTAGGGGCGAGTCATGGCACCGACTTCGGCAAGAAGACTTCTCTCAGGTCGACAACGAACTTGAGTCCCTGACCGAGGAACTTCAAGCTCTGATCTGTGGCATGATGCGCACGGACCCTGCCGTGCGTGTCGAGATCGGTGCAGTCGCCTCACATCCTGTCGTCTCGCGCGCACGGGCAGCGATGGACGATGTGCGAGCTGCCCAAGGGGATGTGTTTGCTGCTAGCCCATTGGGTGGCGGTGGCAGTCACTTCCTCGACGAAATCCTCCTGCGTTCACGATGGGCAGGAGACGCGATGGACACTGGATATTGAATACGCGGAGGTAATGCGGGTCCCGCCGCTGGGACTTTGGTTGATCGTTATGCACTGTACTCTTCTCTTGATTGACTTCACCGATCATCCCCTTTGACTGTTTTGGTTCATTGATTGGGCTTCGGTTGGTTCGGTTGGTCATCTTCCTATGGATGTCCTCTTTCTATACTCCTACGCTTATGCGAGTTGGGTTCGCCTTGACTTCGATCTTGATTATTCCATTATGTACTCTTTTTGTCTCCTTGCGCGTATGGCCTCTTGTTCTATCTTGCATCAACACTCCGCACCCTCGTCACGACCCGCAACACCCCTCTTATCCCCGGTATCATATACCTCGCACACATGTGCCGTCTTCCGGTCTCGTCGTACATCTGCATCCGGTTGCCCGCGTTTGGTTCATTCCCAGTATCTAGTTGCAAATTGCTTCCTTGCATGGCTGTTGACAGTGACACGATAATGTACGTAGCGTAACGAAATATCATGTGCATATTTGCCCCGTACCCGACGCTGATGCAAGCAAACCTCGGTGATGCCAGTGGTACGTCCTGCCCCTCACGCAGAGGTCTTCGTCGGTGGCTGACGGCGATGTTGGGTGCCCTACACTTACGGCTAGTAGTGTCACTATACGGCAATCGTGGGGCCCGGATACGAGACTGAGATAGCACTCTGTCTTACCACACCTCTATCATTGAGACTTCAAGTTCTCACCTCGTCAATCCTTGCTGTACGAAGTTAACGCTCCAAGGGACGCGTGTCAGCCCGGATTGCAGCAAGTATTGTCATGGTCACGTCGACCACCTTGAAGACTCCGTACTGTGCTCCGCCTGAGCCCAAGCACTTTCTGGCTCTTCGGTACGTGTACGGTGTACAGTGTACCAACCGATTGCTCGGGGCTCAACATGACTTTCCTCATCGAGCCGAGTCCGACAGTGAAGGTTTCCGCTGAAGGTTTGTGGAGTGTTGATTCAATTCTGTCACAGCCACCGCCGCAGCGAACGTTTGAACCTTCGCTGACTCGCCGCGCTCCACCATGAGAGTCCGCGGCTCTGGTTTCCTTAGTGGTTGTGTCGTTCGGGAGGTACGCTACATGCCACTGGTATTCAGTACGGTATCGTTGACCCATTGAGTCTGTAGATTCTGTCGGGCTCCTTGCCCGAGCGAAACTGGTGACTGAGCTGCACCAATGGCGACAGCGTGCATGCCGCGAAAGCAGATTACACGGGGTAGTGCTGAGAACGTGTCAGCTCCTCTAGCCTTCGGACAGCAAAACTGGTGGTGTATGAAGCTTCACTGAAGGGTCCTCAGCTGACCGACAGATGAACACACGCGAGGGATCGCGGTCGCAGGCAGTCCTGTCGTGGCACGCACGTCGCTACCCTTAGCTACTGTGCCTGCATCCGCTCCTCACGGCTGGCCAATGTCCAATACGTCGCCAAGGATCAGCAGAGGAGCGTCGCCTGCTGTGAGATGTCGCAGAAGTATTTGACAGAGGTACGTTTGAACGCGGGCCCCATGGCTGCACAACCCTCGTCCAACTCACATTGGCCGTCCCAGAAAACATCGCTTGGCCGGGCCATGTATGACCGACTCTCTCCTGTTGTAGTCGGACACAGCAAGATAAAATGACCGGCGTATTCGGCGGATGACTTCGACATTCTTGCCACGCTAGACCAAGGGGAGTCGTCGACTGCGAGACCATTCGTCACACGGACGCTTTCGCTGCATGTCTGATGATGTTGCTAAGTGGTCCCTTAAGGTTCTAGACAAAGCAGCCGGGTGCTTCCACGAGCCAGAACTTCCTTGCACTCGGTATACCCGTCTTAAACGTATCGCATGCATAGGGACCGGTGAGGGGCTCGGGGACATTTAGCTGAATGACAGTTACGGTTTGTCCGTTCACGCCGGGAAGGTAAATTGACTTTCTGCCACGAATACACAGGTGGGCTCGTTGGCCAGCGCGGTACATGGCGTTCAGGCCACTGGCAGTCCCAGGCTAACAGCGAAAGTTCAGGTATTGAATGCAGGTTCCCCGTTCTGATGTCGCCGAGGATGTCGGCGAACTCCTTAACGAGGCTTCATGCACTGAGCTAGCGTTGCGCAGCACCCCGGAGACTAGTCGCTGTACTCACCCGGACAAGTCAGAATTTGTCTGGCTGATGGGAGTGACAATGCCATCGTGCATCCAATGGATGACAGGGGATTTCACGCGAGGATTGGAGTTTTGCCACAGAGCCTGAGGCTAAATCTTAAAGATTTACAACGAGCAGACTCCTCGTACGCTGCTATGAGATATGTCTAGGTTATCGATCGCGGGGAACGACAAGCACTACGCGACTAGGGAAAACGGCCTAGAGGGATGGCGGGGGTAGACGCGGGCACTCCTCGGCTTGCCAACAAGCTATCGAGCTAGTCTCTCCAAAATCAGGGGCGGCCATAGCGTGCGCCAGTAGGAAGCATGACATTGTACTTGCCTGTCTGAACAGTGAAGACCGCCCAACACGATCGCGGGGAAGTCTGCGTGTAAAAGCGCGTGAGTCCCCACGCCCCCGCAGAGGTTCTGCGAGGCTCAATCACGGCCAGAGATTCTGCGGACAACTGTAAATCTCAAAGGGATGCACGAGATGCACTATGATAGGGTGTCGGGCTCGGACGATGTATCGTCTTAGTGCCATCATGCCGAACCCACTGGAGCAGCGTTTTCACGCCCTTCGCTGCATCGCCCGCTGCCCAGGACGTCGGTCCGGTCGGACGTTTGGCGGTGGAGCACGCGGGGGACGCGGAGGTATTCCATGGCCGCGGACGCACCGCGGACTGATTTCTGCAATACTTCCGCGAAGGTTGTCCCTGGAATGGAGGGGGCGTAGGGAACTCGGAAGGTCTGGTTGGCCCGGGCGCTGCGCGCGTAGAGCGGGGCAGCGACTGGCAACGAGGCGTGTACGGAGTGGAGCTAGATTCAATGGGAGGGGATGTGGTCCTGACTTAGGAACGAGCGTAAGGTACGCACGTATGGGCTACTAGTACGCGGAGATTGTCCCTTCTGGCAGTGAAGCTAGCACCAGTTGAGCCGTACGTGGACTAGCACTGCAACGAACCTAAGCAAAGTGCGTGATGCATTGATTAGCAACCACTCCTCCAAGTTCATTGTCAACGGCGTGCATCCACGAACGAGGTACTATATACTAGTAACAAATGTGATATGCACTGACGGCGTCCTCACCAGTCATCCGTGCGTATGAAGGATGGAACACCGCAGATCTACGTGAGATTCGTGGCGACCCTGGAGCGCTCGACGCGGATGCGGATGGTACGTTCGTAAGCTCCTCTGACACTGCGCGCGGGTGGGCGCCGGCGCCACAGAGTCGCGAATGTACTGCATCAACGACTCCGAGACGAGAGGCCACAGTCGGCAGCACAGCCTACTAGGTTCAAGCTGCAGTAAGTATCCGAGTGCATGACTACCAGTGGGACTGCGCACTGTGAAAGGTTTTCAGATCAATTCGGGTGCGGCGACTCGAAGAACAAACAGCCCTTGCGCCTTCCTCTCAGGACAGTCCTTGAGATAGTCAGACCATTTGTGGCGAGCACGAGATGCTCTCGGTTCATTCACGTACGCCATGAAGCGTCTTCAATAATCTCAACTGCATCGGGAGACCGATACGAACATGCGCACATCTCCCCTGGCAAAATGCTTATTCTGTGATTACATAAGTAAAGTAAGGAGAAGAAGCTCGAGAGCGAGACTTTGATTCAGAAGAGGGCACATGGTGAATTCTTGCCAGACTCGGGCGCAGGAAGATGCACGGCCGCAGAACACACCTGTCACCCACAGACCTTGGCGATAGGAGTTTCACTCGACATGACGGCCCTTTTGTTAAAGAATCTCATACAGTACGGCGACGCCGGCCCAGTGCAAGGTGCCCCTTGCAAACGCAGTATCTCCGAGACACATCGGCGCCGTAGGGCTAAAGGATCGCGCGAAAACATACGTCGATGCGACGGATAGGACCTGAATGATGATGGCACAAACGCAGCGTGAACCTTTGTCAATGTGAGACAAGCCGCCCAGTTGAGGTTGGGCCAGAGCTCGCATCACGACATGTAAGCTGTGCTCCGGCAGCCCCTTGCGCAGTTCGTCATTGACAGTACCTCCCGGGGATACTACACACTCAAAAATCGTCTATGCGAGACCGCCGACCAGGAACAGAAATTTTACGACATCTCTACACGAACGGACGAAGTACTCACCTGGCGGACCGGATATGCTGTCACCTCCGAGTCGGCGGCCATGCTCGACCCGCGAGACGTGCAAAACCACGCCGGTGGCCACTGACAACCCGAGCGTCGTGGCGCACGACAGTCACAGAGTAAGGATACGGCCATTCAGCCGATAGAGTTCCGCGCCGACGCGAGCCGTGCCGGACGCAGTAACTAGTCCGCTAAGTTAGCACACTGGCACACCGTGACCGTCGCAGTGCCGTTCTGTCGTACAACGACTGGCAGCCGCTGCCATGACACTCGCTCGCGCCCGCTCTCGCTCCCCACAGAATCTGGCCTGGAGAGCAGATGTGATTACACCTTGCGAGGGGGCGATGAGATGCGATGCGATGACTCCTGATCTCTGGACAGAGCGCAGCACTCACACGCGCAACGAGCACTGTGCGTTCTCCGCGCAGACCCAGCGGCCGTGTGGGCCGGCGATCGATGATCGGTGAACGATCGCAGGCGCGGGGAAGCCGTCACGTCGAGTTGACCCGGGCGGGGTGAGGGGCGGCGAGTAGCCACGAGGCGGGGCGTGGCCATCGGAAGTGGGCTGCTCCCTGCGGGGCGGACTTGGTCACGAGGAGAGCGATACAGCATGCGCGACATGCTCTGCGAGCTGCGGACCCAGGCGAGCCTGTTCGACTGTTCCGCGTTCGAGTGCGAGTGCGAGTCCGCGAGTGAGGCCGCACCTGGATGTGATGGATGGTCAGCGCGTGGGGCATAGCAAATGAGGTGCGTGAGCAAACAAACCGATCGGTGTTCATCGCGTTGTGCATCATCTTCCCTGTGTATGCAGGGGAGGGGAAACCGTCCGAACCACCGTTCGAAAGGGACGTCTACAGCAACCGGGCGCACTGAGGCCTCCTGATGTAGACTGCTATGACGCAGACGGTGGGAACGCTGGGGCAGGCAGCACATGTGTAGCGCATCTTGACGACAGCGAACTGGGTTCACGACATTGATCATCTGCTCCGCGCAGGGCGGGGAAGGCAGACGAGGCGAGGCGACGCCGACAGCATCTACGCACTGCGTCCGGCCGTCAGCGCTGCTTTGTCGGAATAGGCATACGGTGTATCGCGCAATACCGCTCCTCGCCATTGACACGGTCTCGACCTCCAGGCCGCATCCGGGGAGCGTGCCCATGGCAGCACGCGCAGTTTGGCAGGGCACGTTCCGCATTTCAGAATCACAGTGGTGAACTCGCTTGCCTTCTCAAGAGCCATATATGGAAGCGCAATACTTCCTCCTTCGCCACCCGCCCGAAAGCATCGCACTCGTCGGCGCAGCCGCATCCAGGCCCCGCGTCCGGCGACTTCTGCGGCTCTCGCAGGGGGATTCTTGCGTCCGCCAACTGCCGCGGCGTTCCTGGGGCGGGCGGCGGGCGTGCACGCACCTAGTAGCGGCGGGTGAATCCTGAAGGGCGCGGTCAGATCTAAGCGGGAGGCCTGCACTCCGCGAAGACAGGATACGGACAGCTGTCAGCGAGGCCAATCTGACCGCTGTTTGGGAGCCTACTTATTGATATTGTCGCCGGCGGGGACGCCGTCTCTATGATTGGCGGACGCCCTGGTGGGCAGCCAATCGTTGCTCGTCGGGCGCGCGCTCGGGCAATACGGAGGGGCAGGAGGCACTGACAGGTGTACTGGCTGCCTCGAGCGACGAGGTATCCGGATTGGCTAGAAATGGGTTATCATAGAGTACGAGCACTGCGTGAACGTGAAACGCGTCGCGACTGCCTCCGCGCAGAATACGGGAGACCAGGGGCGCACAATAGACTGGGTCCGGGCTCGACGGTGCACGCCTGAGCTCGGGCGCGCTTGCTGCGAACATGCTACGGCGACGGCGGCACGCCGGCGAGCGAGCGAGCTGTACGTACGTGCGTGGATGTATCCCGAATACCGGGTCCCGACGGCAGCCACACGCTGCAGGCAATCAGAGGGGCGTGCGTTGATCCTACGGCGCGAATGAAGGCGAGGAAGCGGGGAGCACACATGGAAGCAGGAGCGGAAGGCGGGCGCTGGCTGTCTGGGAGCACGCGGTGGGCGCGATCTGCTGCGTGCTGGGCGAGCAGAGCAGGTGGGTGCTGGAGGGGAAGGAGGCCTTCCCTTGTCGGGCGAGACGCCCTCGGAGGCTGGCGAGGACGAGGTGTGCGCGCAGGACGGGTCTGCACACATCGTCTGCACACCAGATGCACACCTGTGATGGGCCAGGAATGGAAGAGACGGGGTGCGATGGCAGCGGGTTGCGGTGGCTGGACGAGCAGCGAGGAGAGTCACGGGGGCGGGGAGACAGTGTCGATCAGAGCGCGCCTCGATCGGGCGGGCTAGCTGGCTTACATAAGGATCTGGATCTGGCCCCGCGAGAGGCTCATCCGGCAAGTGCCCGGCCAGCAGACAGCCGTCGCTGCTACGCTCTCCGCCTCTGCACCCGCCTTCGCGTCCTCCTCGCTCCCTCTGCGAGTCTCCCTCTCGCACCCTCCACCCGTCCGCACGGCCGCGAGTGCCCGGAGGCCCGCGAAGAGCCATCTAATCACGCCAGCACACCCATCAGCTGTGTTGCACGCTATACCCTTTCCGGTGCACCATCTTCGCCAGTCTCAGTGCGCTTGTGCTGCCGAGCCGCCCGCTGCGTTCCTGGCTTGCTCTCAGTCCTCCTCCGCTCCTTTGCGCTGCGCCGGGCAGATCCTGTCTCCCCCCACCACCATCCCTTTTCACCTCCACCTGCTCTCACACAGCCCTCGCCACACCATCTCCTACCTCTGTGCCTCGCTCATTCGCCAGCCCGACCTCGCTGTCATTTCCCGCTCTCCCTGTGTTCCTGGCCTGTCAGCAATCTTCGCCTGTGGCCGTGACGCATTGCGCCCACAACCTACCTCCCCGTCGTCTACGCTCTGAATTGCTTCCGTCGCCCAGCTAAGCCCGCGACCGAGACTCTGGCCGCACAAGACGCCTTGCGCTTTCCCGTCGCGTCTAGGATCCTCCTCCTTCCCTGCCCTGCTCCACCGCTGTCGCCGTCTGTCTCTCTGCCAGACACTACTGCCCCCGCGGTCCGAGTTCTCGTGCGTTACGTTACCGCTATCGCACCCATTCTGACTGCCGTCGCCGCGTCTTGGCTCGCTCCGCCTCCTGCCACCTCTTGTCTTCTGATTCCTCTTTCGACAAGAGTATAAATGGACGCCCTCGACCATCTCGCTCCCAGTGACGGGTCCCAGCCCGCCTACGCCGGCCACCCGCACGCGGCCCACCCGCATCCGCATCCACACAGGCACTCCGAGACCGTAGGCATCTACAACGCCCACGCACAGCCCGTACCACCGCACTTGCAGGGGCGCCCGCACCCACCACACCACTCCCAGTCGCTGCCGAACATCCAGCTCGCGCAGGCTGCCCGCCCGTTCAGCTACCCAGCTTATCTCTCTTCTCCGGGCGGTCCCCGCCCGCCGCCGCACGCCCACAACCTCCCGCCCGCACACCCACATTCTCATCCCCACCTCCACCCCTCGCACCTGTCCCAGCACCCTGCGCTGCACCAAGCCGCGACGTGCGTGCCGCACCTGATCCGCGACGGTATGGACCCCACGCAGGTCGACATGCGCTCGTTCTACCCGTACGTGCCGAACGAGGTGAAGCACCGCAAGCGCACGACGCGCGACCAGCTGAAGGTCCTCGAGAGCATGTTCAAGGAGGAGACGAAGCCGAGCGCGACGCAGCGCAAGGCTCTCAGCACGCAGCTTGGCATGACGCCGAGGGAGGTCCAGGTACGTACCGCGTTGTCGTGCTCGCGGATAGCGAAGGTCTGATCGCCGGTGTCTGTCTGTTGCAGGTTTGGTTCCAAAATCGGTACGCACTGCGTTCCTTCGTCTGTGCTTGCGTGCTGTCTGCGTGTGCTAACTGACTGACTGCTCCCTTAGTCGCGCAAAAGTGAAGAATGAGGCGAAGAAGGTCGCGGCACTCCGCGGGGCGGCCACATCGAATGACACGTCCAATAAAGCTGCCTCATCACCACGCTCCTCTCCCTCTCCCTCACCAGAGGCGCACTCGGAACCAGTTGGCGACACGCAGGGAGGCCGTCCGCACACCGGCACCTCAGGGTACTCTGAGATGTCCGAGAGCTCGTCAGCGTCGGGGAGCACCGAGACCCCCGGGACCACCACCCCCGAATACGACACCGACAAGGACATCGCTGCCCCTGTGCCCTCGCTGCCGACGGTCAACGTCGCGTTCACCTCTCCCTTCGGGGCGTCCTCCGAAGACCTTGGCCCCACCACCGCCGCGGAGGGATCCTATTACAACAACCAAGGCGAGTATTCGCCGTACCAGCACGCACCCTCACAGTCACTCGCCCCGCCTGCGCACGACATCCTCGCGCTGCGCCGGGGCTCCCTCCCCAACTTACCTTTCAACCAGGCTGCGTCGTCCGCCGCCGCGGTCGACCCGCTCGGCCAGTCGTTCAGGACGAACGCATACGGCGCCGGGAACACCTACAACAGCGCGCCGGCGGCCCCGTACGACGTCCTCGCCCGTCGCGCAAGCATCGCCACCACGGACGCGCACGCGATGCGCCTCAGCGCGCACCCCTACGCGCACCTCGCGGCCGCGGCGAACAGCCGCGCACAGATGGCCGTGCACCGCGCGAGCTCGACGCACAGCCCCGCGTCGCGGCTCCACAGCGTCGCGCACTCGCCGAGCCACAGCGCCCTCCGGCGCGCGTCGTACGCGGCGGGGGCAGACGCGTACCCGCTCGTGGCCGTGCCGGGGCCGATGATGCGGGAGTACGGCGCGGCCGCGGCGATGGGCGGGCTGGGTGCGTATGCGGGCTCGACGCGTGCGGTGCCCGCGCCGCCGCCGGGTCCGCTGCCGGAGCAGGGCTTCTCGTTCGGGGCGCCGCCGCCGGGGCTGGAGTCGCGCGGGTCGGTGTCGAGCGAGCCGGAGGAGGAGCACGAGCACGAGCGGGAGGGCGACTTCCGGTACGCGGAGTGGGAGCGGATGCGCGGCGGGGAGCGGTTCGGGAGTGTGGCGAGCGTGGCGAGCTACGTGAGTGCGGCGAGCGGGGTGAGCGAGTTTGGCGGCGCGGGCGGGAGCGAGAGCTCGTGGACGAGCTGGTACCCGAGCGAGGAGGGTGGCGGGCCGAAGGAGGGCGCGGATCCGGACGGGCGGAGGGGGAGTGGGTGAGTTTTGGTCTTTTGCGCTTCTGTTCTCTTGATGAGCGTGGGGGCGTGAGGCTGTGAGGCCGGTCTTGCCTCTCTCGAACGTGATGCGCTGTGCTGACCTTTCGGGAGGCCCATCTGTCGGGCGGGCGAATGCCGCAGCGCATATATGCCTTTCTCGAGTTTAGGGGCATGTTGATGGGCGCTCCATGACTTTATCTCCGCTGGCGACTCGCATGTGCCCGATCTCAAGGATGTTTGTTCGCGCATATATGATGTCTAGGTCTTAGCGAGAGTTCATTCACTAATGGACGTCCTTGTTTTTGTGTCTTCTCCAGCGCCTCCGGTCAGCTATTCGAGAGGTTCTCCGAACTCGACGTCGGGACCGGACCCGCCACCGCACAGCATCCGTCGCAGACGCAGGCACAAACGCACCCGTACTCAAACCCGCAGCCGCACGCGAGTCCCGGGCTGTCCAATGGCGGCGAGGACTTGGGGGGCCACGGCACGTCGACCGCCATCCGGCGCTCGAGCTCGAGCGAGCTGGCATATGCGCTGCAGGCGCCTGAGAGCCAAGAGGTGTGTGATCCCAGGACATGTCTGCCAGTCTGCGCGGGGGCTGATGGTGGCTGGCAGCAGGGGGGCAATGACACAAGTATGCGGTATTACTTGCCTGTTGGATTTGATTATGCTGACCCGCCGCCTGCGCCCCGTCCAGCAGAGGCAGCGACAGGTGTCAACTCGAGCGGCGCCGTACCGATGGTGGGCCAGCGAGGACAGTACGAGCCCGCGACGGGGCCGTATGTGTACCAGCCGTCGCAAGACCTAGGGAAGGGCTACTCGCGCGAGTATCCCGTGTTCCCGGACGACTACGCGCTCGACCCGTATGCGTCGTACGCGCAAGTGCAGACACAAGTGCCGGCCCAGACAAGCGCGCTGAGTCCCATCTACGAGGGCGGCGCTATGGAACTGTCGACGGTGTCCGGAATGCAGGTGTGTGTCCCGGCTGCTGGAGGCTTGGAGCACGCTGGCTTCCCGGCGTATGGCGAGGGCTACCAGTGATGGGCCCCCGCTATGCCGTTCGAGCCTCGTCACGTTCGACCTCGCTACTCAAGAGAAGGGGTCGCCGCGCGAATACTGTACAGCTGCGTAGTTGCTGTCTTGGTTTTTCTGCAGCCCCCTCGGTCTCCTCGCAGGCAGATTTGCTGCCCATGCCGTCCAGAACGTCATCCTACCCTCCCCCGATGCGGTTGACCTGCATCGACGCTTCGCCTCTCGCTCCCTAATGTTCGCCAAATCTTTCCGTGATCCCTCAATCGTTCTCGTCTCCCCTTTTCTATGCTCAAGCTTCTCAAGGACTGATCCGCTTCCTCTGCACTCCGCTGTCTCTCCTCTGCAACTGATCTCTCCGTCTCGCTCTCCCCCCCTCTCACTAGTCTCAGTCTCTCCTGCAATTGGTTGCGTGATATATTTACGATAGAATTTACTTACTTTATAGTTATTGGCTGTCGTGCTCGGATCTGTGATAGTACCTAACGTACGCTGGCTTTGGTGTATGTTATGTGTATCTCTGTCGTTACCTGTCGTGCACGCTCATTGTTGCCGCCGTCGCTGCTGTCTGCTGGCTACCACTGTACTGTACATACAACTACGTTATTGGTGATGCCGTGTGAAGTGATTAGGGTTGTGAGCGATTTCAAGAGGTCTACTTGCAGTAGGCTGTGGCTTGAGTCTAAGGAAGCTTGAAGCCGACTCGTCCGACCCGGAGGGGACTTGCGACTTGCGACTGTCACCGTCTGCGCAAGACGCCCACTGATGATCGCGCGTGCGACAGCGGCCGGTGGCTACATTATTGGATCCCTCCTCCTCCTCCTCCCGAGATAATATGGGTGAGTTCGGCGGGACTCTTGGGCTCCTCCAAGTTCCAAGTCTATCATATTGCATTGCCCGTTAAGTCCGCAAGCAGCCTCGAGGCTTACACTCCATTCTACACTGTCTAAGACAAATTCAACCTTTCCACGAAACCGTCCCCTTTTCACCATGTGTCAGACGTCCAAAGGTGCTTCCAAGGCCTCCATGAATTTCTCGTACGTGATTTCTCCCTCTTGCTCGGCCTCCAGCTTTCTGAGCTCCTCCTGGTACTTCTTTCCTCTCTCGGAAAAGCGACTGGTAGACGACAACCTTCTGCGTAGCAGCCGGATGGAGAAAGCCCGAAACTCGTTCTCACTGAAGTGCGCATAGAGCCGCTTGACCCAACTTTCCCCTTGTGTATCCGCAAGCGGCTTCAACAACGGATGTGCCCCCGCGAGCATGAACTCGAATGCTGTAACATCCGTCAGGAAATCCTCCTTTTGCCTCGCGATGTCAGCCAGTGTTCCCCGCTCCCATTGGCGGGCGGGCATGCTGTTCAGCGTTCTCTTCTCCGGGTCCCATCCTGCGCAGAAATACACAAGGAAATAGAAGAGCGACTCAAGGTCGTGGCGGTACAAATGGACCGGTGCAGCGCCGTAGCCACGCAGTAGGTCTGTAGCCATGAACGGCGGTGTACCAGCATGGTCCTTGTGAGTGTTCGTCGACTTGGTCTCTTCATCACTTTTATTGGCGTTTGCGTCCTCAGCGGAAGTGCCAGCGGCATCGGCAGCCTTGTTCTCGCAACTCGAAGATCTTGAGCTGGCGGCTTCAGTGTACTTCTTCGCCAAATCCCAATCGCAGAGAACGCCAATAACTCTGCCTCCTGCGTCCCGGAACCACATGATGTTGTTTGTACTGATGTCTTGATGCAGGATACGCGATGTCTGCCAGACCCAGTGATGGGCTGAGAAGCATGTAAGCTAACATTGCAAGGGGACACAAGGACTATGGTTTAACGCACCTCGAACGACGTCAATATAGACCGTCTTGAAATCATCCACAGACTCCAACGTCTCGAGCTTCTGGTACCGCTTCAGGACCATCGTACAACAAACACGATTCTCAACTGCAGCGGGCCGGAAGCCCATCGCCATCCGAGGTAAGTCCAGTTCGTCGATGGTCCGCGTTACGGAGCATTTGAGATCCATCACATGCTGTAGGTATGCTGGCTTGTTCTCCCGAAGTGCCTTGCGAACGGCGACGACATTTGTGGCCTCTACCGTCTGCCAGGGGTGTGGCCATGATATCTTGACCACAAGCTTCTCATCCTTGAATTCTTCGTACGTCTCTGTTCCTGGCGTTGCTACGCTGGGAAGCACAGATGTTCCGCGACTGAGCATGCCGGATTCCATGTAGAGGGGCTGTGCATACGTTTCAATGTCGAACGTGAAGTCCTTCTGCGCCGACGCCTCGGGTAGGAATGCTTTCATTCGAAGCTGCGCGCCAGTGTACCGGACGAACTGCACCTCGCCTCGTTCGTTCGTCGGGAAATGCAGATCTGGCAGGATACCCATTTCGTAGATGCTTGCCTGTCCCATGGCCGCAACGGCAAGCAAGAAGAGATGTCTGTCCTCGTCCAAGAACTTGAATCTCTTTGTCACGACCAGGCCAAACCGATCGCCATAACAGAGGCGCATGTGCTGATTCTCAACGAGCCAGCCAATACCGAACAATCGCACGTTGGTAGACATCAGCTCATTCATGCGCTGCACCATCTGCGCCTCGTGGTCCGTGAGCACTCGAGTGGTGTTCTGCGTGAGTGGCCGTCAGCACTGTGCCGCTACACTATGCGGATATGTCCCGCCGGAACGCACCTTCTGTGTAGGTTGTGATTTAACTATCTTTCCACCGCTTGAAGTCTTCACGGGCCTTTCGCGCACCCTGGCCGTCGACGTACACATTCGTTTGGGCTCGGGTATGTCCTCTTCGTTGTACTCTGACCGCATGCGCTTACGTTTGTTCGTCTCTGTGGCAGCGTCGATGGCGATCAATCGTGGTCCTGCAATCCTCCATACTATGGGGAACGCATTCCTTTTCTTGACTTTGATGAACGCGAGCTGGAAATCCCATCGCGGATCGGCCTGGTAAGAGTCCACCGTCACAGCAAACCCCATGTTGAGCGCATCTTTGCTTTGGCCTTCCTTACCGTCCTGGTCGTGGGCCCAGAATTGTGCCGGCACCTTGCGGGAGCGACACTCTAGCGTAGTTGTCGCTCCACACAGCTGATCCAGGAGATCGTTTGCTATGTTGATTAATGGCTTGCGTAGCCGTTGGTCGCCCCGGTGGTACATCCAATCTTGCAACATCGTTTTCCGAAGCTGATATGCTTTGTGCCCGCCAGTGGTATGACTTGGATCAGAGGGGAAGAACGTAGGCATTGGTATGTCCTTCAGGCCAAACCCCCATACGGCCTCGACAAACTTGATAAGTTCCACATCCCAGATAATCTTGTCACCGAACTGCTGCTTGATGCCCCGCCAGCGGTGAGGCCTCGACTTCGTAATCTCGTCGACTCTGCTGACCGTGGTGTGCGTGCTCGGGATGGGTTTTTGGGATTGGAACGTCGTGAAAACTGTCATGAGAATGAACGCGTGCTCTAAGATGTAGGTGCGTTGTGCTAGTGTGTATTTACCTGGTCTGAAATTCCAGCCGTCGTCTTCGTCGTAGGTCGTGGGCTTCTTGTTCCGCAGGACGGCAGGAAGCGAGGAAAACTTGACCATGGCTCAAGTTGTGGTACTGGTTTCGATTGATTCTGGCAGTCAACGGGCACCGAGTGGCTCGAGGTGGCTCGCAATCCAGCGTTGGTGAACCTATGTAAGTGCGTTCAGTTCAGTACAGCCGGATTGGTGACTGACGTATGCCACCTAGACTTTGACGGTGTGTTCTCTTGATTATGCGACACGCGCTGCGTCGCGACGAACCAAGATGGTTGTGAGTTTGTGCGATCTGTGGCGGTCGTTTTGGGCGTCTCACTCAGTGTGGCTCGCCGGCCTCAGACGCGTTCATCACGTGTCCGTGTTGCTGCCAGCCACAGCGGCAGCTGGCTGTCACAGTGCACACAACGCAGCTGTTTGGTGCCATAATGTATAGCATCGACACTTTGACATTCGCAGCGCGCACGGTGCTCTCTGTCGCTACCTCTACAGGATTCAGCGAGCTGACACGCCTACCTGCCAGTACTGCAACATAGAGGCGCATCATGACATCGGTATGTCCATCGCGAGGTTGAATGTACCCTGAAATACGGACTGCAGGTTCGGTGGCGATACTATCAATAGATTGGCTCGACTGCCAGCCACGTGGAGCTTCTCATGTGCAACGGGACTCGCCTAGGTGAGTTATCGGACTACCTCGGGTACTGTCTTGGCATATAATCTGAAGCTGTGCGTCTACAATACTGTATTGACCGAGATACCCGCCTTGACATGCATTGTTGCATGTCGGCATATTAACTGGTCCTTCGAATCCCACGACGAGCGACTCAAAACACATCAGTCCCAACATCCTAGCTTCAGATCGGTGCATAGCCGAAACATCCCCGAAGGTCTACTTACTCGCACAGATCCCCCCGTCACTTCATACATCGTCTTATGAGCTTCAAAGGATATTCTCAACTCGGAGCTTCCGAGCTTCCGTAGGACTTGAAGCGAAATTCAGCAACACACTCGCCGACGGCTCCAGCGCGGAGTGCACGGCGTGCGCCGGAGACATTCCAACCTCTGAACCCCGCTGCGCTCCTCCGAATTCCCTCCTTACCCTTGGAACCCGGGATTGCGACGGCCATCATGATAATCTGACTCATCAAAGTCCGAAACCTACCTGTGAGTAGTATCGATGTCCACGGTGTATCAGAATCCTCCCGGCGGCACTTTGTCCTGTATAAAACAACGTACGGTGAGGAAGGGTGGTCGCATCTTCAGGCTTCCAAGTACTACAGCGACACGTCATGGCATCCACGGCGTTCAGTGATATCTCTCAATTATTCAATGTAGAAGGTACCGTGGCCGTTGTCACAGGAGGAGGGACAGGTATGTTCTACCCCACATCCATGGCCATGCATACTTGTATGTATTGCGTTGACGGCGTCACTGCGGATGTCAGGTATTGGATTGATGGCTGCGACCGCACTAGAGAACAACGGTGCGATCGTCTATATCGTCGGACGCCGAGTCGAAGTTCTCGAGAAAGCTATCCGAGAGTGTAGTGTATGTCCTTGTTGGCAGTTCCAGTCGTGCTCGAGTTACTAACTATGCATGACGTCGCAGAAACACGGGAACATGATACCACTTCAAGGAGACGTGACATCCAAGGAAGAATTGCAGACCATGGTCAGCATCGTCAAAGCCAGACACGGTTATATCAACCTTCTGGTCAACAACGCGGGCATCCTGCTCGCGCAACAACCGAAGCTCCCATCGCGAGCGCAAGCGGCAGACGACATCACGCAGCTCCAGTCACTGCTCTGGAACACCGAGACGCACGACAGCTTCGGGAAGACGTTCGAGGTGAACGTCGCAGCCCTGTGGTTCTGCACTGTTGCTTTCCTCGAGCTTCTCCACGAGGGCAACAAGCGCAGCCTCGCCGACGGCGGCTCGGGCGTGAGCAGTCAGGTACTCACGATGAGTAGTCTCGCGAGCTTGCGGAAGGAGAGCACGGTGTACAGCCTGAGCTACACTCTCAGCAAGGCTGCCGCGACTCACCTCGGAAAGCTCACTGCGCATTACTTCAAGGATTGGAAGATACGGAGTAATGTAATTTGTCCGGGGATCTTTCCGTCAGGTGAGTTAGTTTGTACTCGAACACATATGAAGGATGCTCGATTAACGCTGCGGTATTGTTGCGCTACTACAGAAATCGTCGACACATCATTGATGGACGGAGCACGGAAGGCGGCTGAAAAGGCTACGCCCGTGGGGCGCTTGGGCGCACCAGATGACATGGCAGGGCTCACGCTCTTCCTCGCGAGTAAAGTAGGTCCCCGCATCTCGAAATGCCACAACATACTCACTAGCACACGCAGGCTGGGTCTTACTTCGACGGTGCCCTACTTTTGATAGACGGGGGTAGGTTGCTGTCAATGCCTTCGGTATTCTGAAAATGTCCGGATATCCTACTGCATCATGTAGTAATACAGAGTACTATCGTGAACGTATGTAAAGTAGTCTGGTGGTACTGCACGTCGAGCCGGTGCTATTTCAACTTCTAGTCGAATGCAGATGCATGCTCCGCGTGGTTGTCGGCGAGATAGCACACTGGGTGCGTCTGACTCTAGCGCTCGTGCCACAGACGCGTCTCGAGGTCGTGACTGTCAGTGCGACCTGCTCATACCTCGCACCAAGCTCTCACGACTACCTCCTAGTTCGCATCGGATGGGATACAAATTACGCTCGCTGCTAGCCTTCGCTTCATCTGACTTGATCGTGCCCGGATGCCTCGTCCGACGCCCTCAGGCCAACTCTGGAATGCGTTGATCAAGACACATCATATCACGTCTCGAAAGAAGGTCGCGAAGCTGCGGCAGGCCGCTGAGAACCACGACGTGTACGCTCTTATATGTTACGGAGGACCGCCAGGGATAATGTATACGGAGGGTCGTGAGGACGGAGTGAAGGAATGGGTCGAGTGTGTGCACGTAAGCTGCCTATTCTCTGCCTTGACTTGCGCATTCGGCTTATCAGACATACTGTATGCGCCTATCAAGCGATTGCGTTACAAGGACTACCAGCTCGCTGTCCGCCCAGAACCGCTTGTACTGGAGTCACCAGCGCAGCGCAAGTCGCCATCCGAGTCGCCCGGTGGCGAGGGCGCGGTCCCCGTCGGACTGTTCGAAGTTGGTTCCGTCAAAGAGTTTGGTGCTATCATGCGCGAGCGCGGCGTCTGGACGTGGTGGAGGAAGGGCATGGGCTATGTTCAAGACTAACGGGCATGCCTTCTTGCACGATTAGTTCAAGCGACGAATGTTCTGCTCCTCCGGAGAGTATGATACCGCGGCTGGCCCGCTACTCCCCCTCTCTAGTGAGTATCTTGACTGGGGACGCATGGTCAAGGAATCCTTGTATACGCAGATCTTGTGAGAGCTCTGAGCACCCACAGTCGCACTCGGATGTGACAGTTTTCTAACTGGTTCTGTGTTTCTGCGTATGGTTGCTTTCAGATTGCGATCTTACGGATGACGTCATCTGATGTAGGCATTTCTGCCAAGATGATCCGCGCCACCTCTTATTCAATGGCCTCGTCGGTGCACTGGCGCTCACCACCTCCACCACGCTCGACGTCACCTCTTGCGCGTCGACACCACCGACGAAACAATCCTCCCGAATGCCGCCCATATAAGCAACCAAACATGGGTGGGTTCTCAACATATTCATCCGAGTCCGTCTCCCTGTCAAAATGTCCGCATTCAAGCCGGCCAACAACGATCACATCCTCACTGACGACAAGGAGCTGCGCGCCCTCTTCCCGAAGTCGAGGAGCACCATCAAGCCGCCCTCGTTCAAGGGCTGTCAATATCTCGTTCACGGCGAGATCAAGACGTTCACGAAGGCGACCGAGCCCATCGCGACGGCCATCTATGCCGGAGACGAACGGGTCGTGATCTCGGAGTTCGCAAGGTGCGACAAGGAGGTCGCCCTCGAGGCCCTCGAGGCTGCACAGGCCGCATGGGACAAGGGCAGGGGCAAGTGGCCGAACTCGACCATCCAGGAGCGAGTGCGGGCGATGCACGGATTCTTGCAGGATTATAAGGCTGCGAGAGAGGAGATGGCGGAGCTGCTCATGTGGGATATCTGCAAGTCGAAGAAGGACGCGACAGATGAGATTGACAGAACCATTGGTGAGCACTTTGCAGTTGCGCTCATACCTGAGCATAGCCTGACAACAACAGACTTCATCGAGGACACGATCAGCGAGGCCGTCCGGCTCTACAACTCCCAGACCAACTTCGAGGTCAGCTCCGGCGTCGCCGCGCAGATCCGGCACATGCCCGTGGGGGTCGTGCTCGCGTCGGGGCCGTTCAACTACCCGATGAACGAGTGCTACACGACGTTCATCCCCGCGCTCATGGCGGGGAACACCGTCATCCTGCGCATCCCGCGCAACGGCGCGTCGCCGCACTTCCCGACGCTGCGCATGTTCCAGAAGCACTTCCCGCCTGGCGCGATCAACGTGCTCTCCGGCTCGGGGCGCGAGATCATGACGCCGCTCATGCAGAGCGGCGGCATCGACTACCTAGCGTTCATCGGCCGCTCGAGCAGCGCGAGCGCGCTCATCAAGGCACACCCCGAGCCGCACCGCCTGCATAGCTTGCTGCAGATGGACTCGAAGGACTGCGCGATACTCCTGGAGGACGCGGACGTGGAGCTGGCGGCGAAGCAGTGCGCGAGCGGCGCGTTCTCGTTCAATGGTCAGCGGTGTACGGCGATCAAGCTTATCTGGGTGCCGGAGAAGCGGGTGGCAGACTTTGTGCCGAAGTTCGTGCAGGCGGTGGACGCGCTGAAGATTGGCATGCCGTGGGATGCGGACGCGAAGATTACCCCCTTGTGCGAGGATGAAAAGCCGAATGGACTCAAGGACCTCATCGAGGACGCACTGAAGGTTCGTTGGGTTTGTTGTGTGCGTGAGGGCACGAAGTGATTGACGTCTCCTGTAGCATGGCGCCCACATCTTGAACAAAAACGGTGCACGGTTCGCGAAGTCGCTCGCTAGTCCAACAGTGGTCGGGCCCGTGACGAAGGACATGAAGCTATATCTTGAGGAGCAGTTCGGCCCCATCGCACCCATCGCAGTCTACAAGGACATTAACGAGCCGCTCTCGTGGATCGCCGAGAACAAGTACGGGCTGCAGAGCGCCGTGTTCGGCTATGAGCCGACAGCTCTCGCCCGTGTGGTGGACGCGCTCGCCATGGCAGAAGGTCGGGTGAACATCAACAGCCCAGACAAGCGTGGGCCAGACGTGCTCCCGTTCACGGGAAAGAAGAACTCGGCGTTGGGCATGACGAACGCGAAGGAGGCCTTGAAGCTGTTCGCGATCCCGACGATCGTGGCGACGACGCTCGGAGATGAGAGGAATCTGAGCGCCGTGGAGGGTTTGGTTAGGAGCGGGAAGAGCAATTTCTTCAATCAGGACTTTGTCTTTCCGCCATCGTGAGTACTTAGAGCATTTGAACGTGGTGCCGACCGTGGACAGCATACAAAAGCAATGTAACATTAGCTCGCACGTCATATAACCATCTCATCCACCGTGTCATTATTCTTCAATAGTAATGTTCGGATCGGGGTCGAACCGTACCGTGGCACTGGTGGTTGCGCAGGATCTTGCGAAGATCTCAATCTCAGATGTCTTCTGGCCACAACACCGTGACGAGCATCATCCGAATCGGAAGCGCCCAATCCCTCTCTGCCGTCTTCCCGTTCCATTCGCCAATACGAGCCAATACGACGCACGACTTCTCCGTTGACCGCTGCAAACGTATTAGTATCTCCTGAAATGGCGCAGGGTATCCAATCCAGACTCGGATGTGGCTGGTGCCAGGTGCCAGTCATGGCTGACTACTATTAGCCTGCCACTGTAACAAGCATGGCCTAGGCGAGGTCAGTTCAGCCTCGACTTCTCTGCGGCTGGCATCGTCAGCCTCCTCTGAGGATGGGCGACATATAAACCGCATCGCCTTCGTTTGACCTCCTCTGGTGAACCCCCATCTTCTGCTCCTTGCGCATACCAAACCTCCAGCCCAATCACCGCCAACTAGTTCACCGCCACCATGCCTATCTTGACTCTACTATTCAGTGCCTTGATCTTACTCGCCGCGACCTTCAATGGCAAGGACACGCTCCTTCACGGGTTTGGCAAGGTCCAGAATGCCATGGACGTGGCGTTCCAGTCCTTCTACCTCCCCGTCGGCTCGCTTCGCGACTGGAACTATCCTCGGACACCGCCTGGGAGGTCGCCCGACGTCTTCGCTATCTTCGGCGAGGGCGAGTACACTGCTATCGAATACCTCGACTGGTACCTCGCCAACGGGACCTCTACCGTCTGGTCTGGCGATGCGCTCCACAACGTCAGCACCCTAGAGTGGTTCGTCGAGGACGACTACAAGACATCTGGTCCCACTGGGTCTGCTCTTGGTCTTTCGCTGGACTCTGCTGATGGCCTTGACGACGCATCGTACCTGAACCTGACCGACTCTCGTCTGCGCTGCTACATCGACGTCGAGAACCGCCCTCTCCCTGCGTCTCCCTCGAGCTCTACTGTCGGCGTCGCCTCCTCTACTAGCTCGTCGAAGGAGTCTTCGACCTCGGCCCCTGAGCCGCTGACCACCCAGTCAGCCTCTGCCGGCAGCGAGACCAACAAGACGGCGAGATGCTTCCACGGAGAAGACTACGTTGCCTCGGCCACCGGCACCTTCGCTCTTCCCACCTCCGTCGTCGACTCGTCCGCCGCGCTCACCGGCATCGTCTTTGGTCCCTCGCCTGTGCCTACTCCCGCTGGTCCCTCGCCTGTACTGCACTCCACCGTACCCTCCCCCACGGGTCCCGTCGCCTCTGACAACGCCGAGGACAGCAAGCACGATGACTCCGGCTTCGTCTCTTTCATCTTCGCATGCCTGGAGGCTGTCCGTGAGCTCCTCGGTCTGCCGCAGCACAAGTTCTACCCCGTCATCGTGCTCCCTATCCCCGTCCTGTTCGGATGGTGGGCGGAAGGTCGATTCGAGAAGGACGATGGACAGAACGAGGAGGACGACCAGGACTGCGAGGAGGCGCCTGAAGAGCAGGAGCAGCACGAGCGTGGGCCTGGAGAGGACAAGCAGTTGAGGTGCGTGCAGAGTTCCTCGCTCTGGGTCATGTCATCTAACACAGATCGTTGTGCCGATGCCTAGCTTCGACGCCGTCCTCCCTAGCCTTGCCTTCGATGCCAGCTTCGACCTGTACGTATCTTCTGCAGTTCGTCTATATCGTGGTTCGCTGACCCAATCCTACAGTGAGGCTGGCGGCTCACTCGCGGCTGCCGCATGGGCCGGGGCGGACATCAGCCCCTCGCCTACTTTCTGAGATTTTCTCAACTTCCCCAATCCTTTCATATGGTACGTCAACACAGCACCTTAGTTCGATGTTCTGGACCTGAGGCTTTGGCAGCATGGGTCTCGGTTCGGTTTCCTTCTGCAAGCATACTTCCTCTTGGTTTGGTCAACAAGAATATCACTATTCCCCACCATTTCCTGCATCGCCTTGGTTCCAATCCTATCTGCAAGCATCTACCTATCTCCATCACCATTTGCAAGATTATCACTGCCTCTCTCGTGATCACTTCCCGTATCGCCTACCACTTCAAGGCTGATCTGCAAGAATCAAGCATATCTTCCATCTCTGCAAATGGCCACTCGGTGTCTCCAGGGCGCATACAAGTCATCCAGTCAAGCTCGGTCGTGTCTCCATGGTCTCCTGCCCTCGCTCAATCCTCGTTCGTCCCATGCTACCATCCCGATCCTCGAAGCCTCTCCCTTGTCTGGCGCAGCTCGCCAGGACGACCCTCGCGGTGGACACTCCTCTTTTCGGCGGCGCTTCCCTCTGACGGCGCGTTGCGCGGTATCGGCAAGCAATACTCCCGCCCTCCACTCGCCACTCGTCCCTCCTCGCACTCTCGCTCCTTCAAGTGTATTCGATCGACAAGCACCATGCGGCCCTCGATTGGAACTCTGGTCCGTTCGCCTTCCACGTCGAGCCGCCTCCATGGTATCCGAATGCACTCGGGCTGAAGACTCGCGAGGACTCTTTCTTTCTTTCAACAAATTCGGTCTCGTTCTTTGACAACACGCTCCTTGGCGGTCGACCGGGACGTCTTCCGACGTTCTACACGATGCTGTCATTAGCTGTATCGGTTCAAGACTCATACGCTGCGCCCGATACTTCTGTTCCCCCGTTGCATGACTAGTCGAGCTCAGATCTCTCGACGCGCGGGGAACCTCATCGGGGCAAACCCGAATGGACAAGGATCGGCTTCACTCGGATTCGCGGAACGCGGGGTAGGGAGGGATGGAACGGGGTATGGGTTGGAGCATCAAGGAGATGCGCCTGTGTGGATGACTTGTATGACTCTGGTGTACATTGAATGGGACGTTTCTGAGTCGGATGTGCTTGTGCCTGGGCCTGAGGTCTAAAGTTTCAATGAAGCGTTGAGAGTGAGTCCACGACCGTGATGGCCGATGGTCGAGGAGATGGTTGCTGGTGAACTTATACAATCACTCTTCCGGTCAAGTAGGTACAGGAGACTAGGGCAAACCTCGCGACGCAATCTGTTCTCCTGCATAATGAAGGCCCAGGATATCATCTGTGAATCGTCTTCGCTGTGTCACATCGCTTTCCACAAATGGATAGAAGCCTCGACAAAGCGCCCCAGGGCCCGAGGCCTCTGCCAACACCCATACGACTCATCTGCTTGGCCCTGTTTACAATGTGAAGATCTGAGCGACGCTTCCCGGAAGTTACATATCGTCTGCAACGGAGGCTAGATCTCAAAGTGACACACCCACCGCAGAACTTGTGCCGCTGGAGCCTAGAGGGTCGGGGGCGTCACGGTAGTACTACGATCTTCCTCGACAGGAGGTAACATTGATGTGAAGCTATATGTCATCATTGACAAGATACCTCCAGCCCGTGGCAGATGATCATTTCTTTCTGTAAGTACGAATAGTACGTCTGCGCAACTTATCTCAATTTGTCTTGATATCCGGTATGCCAACATCGCACTCCCCTTTCGCTGGCTGCTGACTGCATGTTGTCTCGCGGCAGAGCACCATCAACCTCGGTGGGAATGCCAGCAACTCGACGACTAGGCAAATTTGCCACTAGCAGCGGCTTCGCTGAACATGACGGTAACCGGTCGACCATGCCATACGACTCCGAGATACTCCCGCAGTGCGACGTTGTATCTCCAATAACTCGTAAGTTACTTGCTGCGGCCTGGGGCGTCGAGCGTGATACATCATGGGGAGCCACGGCGTAATCAGCGAGATGTAAGGAACGACAGCGTGCGTTATGATCCTACGGAGTCGCATCTGTCCAAGGGCTGAGAAGATTGCGACACGCCGCGATTCTTCGGCTGCAGAGCCTCAGGCCTCAGGTCTAGGTTGGAGGCCAGCAGGCAGCTACATAAACCGCATCGAAACTGCTCGTACAGGTTACTACAACCATAGCTCTTCTTGAACCATGTCAACGATTACCTCCGAAACGCCTGGTGTTCTCATCGTGAGCACTCGGATACCTCCTCCAATACCGACCTAATATTTGCATCTTAGGTTGGTGCAGGTCCCACAGGGCTTACCGCTGCCTTGACCCTCGCCAAGAATGGTGTCCCAGTACGGATCATCGACAAGAGGTCTACTTTCGGCACCGAGCAGCGCGGTGCTGGGATCCACGTACGTCGTACTTATCTGTAATCGCAATACACACAGGCTCATCCAATAGACCTATAGCCTCGGACGCTCGAACTCTTCAACTACCTAGATGTGCTTCCGGACGTGTGGGAGAAAGGCATACCCTTCTCTCCCTTCCAGCATTACAAGCTACCCGGAGGCGTTGAGCCCCTCGGTAAACCATATTGGCCTGTTGACCCAGCCACACCGACTCCATCTATTCCCTGGGTAAGTACCTAGGCCCGAGAACAGTGTCAGGTCGTTGCTAACTCGATACTAGATAAACCCGTGGTTGATCGGACAGTGTCATACCGAAGCCATCCTGCGCAAGCATCTTGCAACATACGGATACGAAGTGGAGCTCAATACCGAATTTCGAAGCCTGGAGCAATCGCCGGACCACGTCACAGTTACTACGGCGAAAGGGGAGGATGGCACAGAGGCCATTACGTCTGCGTCGTACCGCTGGGTCATAGCTGCAGACGGAGGGCGAAGTGCGTCAGCTGTCCATGATCTACTTGCAGTGACGCTGATCGTTACCGTTCGACAGGTGCACTGAGGAAGCAACTCGGAATTCCCTTCGAGGGCCAGCAGCTACCCGACCGCATGGTTCTCGGCGAGATGCAGTTGTCCGGTCTGGATCGCGAGGTGGGTTAATCAATGCTTCGTCCGGGACGTCAGACTCGACAACGCGCGTAGCATTGGCATCGATGGAACGATTGGGGAGAGAGAATCAGGCCAACGTAAAATCATCCCACCTCTGCGCAAGCAATGGCTGATCCTGTTGTTCAGCGTGGTCTTCCGTCCCACAGAGACCGAGGACCGGTTCTGGTTCATGGTCGGAGGGAACGTCAACTATGAGAAGATCATATCCAATCGCGATGCCTTGGTTGAGACCATCCGCGACTGCATCGAGCGCAAAGACCTGCAATTTGGTGAACTGTACTATGTGCTCGAGTACAAGTACGTATGGGGCCTTGCGGTTCGTCAGGAGACATGCTAAGCCTGCGTTTGAACTTTGTAGGCCGAGCGTCCGGATGGTTGACAGGCTTTCTGAAGGGCGTGTCTTTCTGGCAGGAGGCAAGCCCTCTGTCTACACATAGGCGCAGTGTACATCTGACACTGTCTCCCCAGATGCAGCTCACATCCACAGCCCAGCAGGCGGACAGGTGAGTGATCAATGATTGGGGCAGATGGCAGCACTTACGCTGCTATTCAGGGACTCAACACAAGTGTTCAAGACGCAGTAAGCCAGTCACTTGATCTACGTCGTAATTCCTGTTCATCAGAACTTCGTAGTTTAACCTCTCCTGGAAGCTCGCACTCGTGGAGCGAGGCGTCGCCCAAACCTCACTCCTCTATTCGTATTCCGCCGAGCGTCTCCCTGTGATCAAGCGCATGATTCAAGAGACGCGGAGAATCTTCGAGCTGACGATGCAAAGCAAGGCACGCCCTGAGGGCATGGCGCCTTGGGGCAAGTCCGAGGGGCTCAGGCAGCTCGGAGTCAACTACCGCTCGAGTCCCATCCTTGTGGACGAGCGACACGCGGATGGCGCACAGCAGGAAACATACGATGCGTACGGCATCGGTCTTGGGGCATTGGGTGGGGTTGGATTGCGTGCAGGCGATCGCGCACCGGACGCCCCTGGGCTGGTCGACGTGACGGAAGCTGGCTCTGAGGTGAAGACGAGATCCCTCTTTGGGATTTTTCGACCCGTCTATCATACCGTCCTGATGTTCGGCGAAGACTCCACGGCTGCGAGCGAGGTGATGGATGGGTTGAAGGCGTACCCTGCGCAGCTCCTACGTGTTGTGACGATCCATCCTCAGCAAGGACCCGTTACCGCTGGTGTAGTCACCGACATCACTGCGGACTTCGCTCTCAGGGACGGACACGGGCACGCATACACTGGTTATGGCTGCTCGCCTGAAGTATTCTCGGTCGTTGTCGTTAGACCGGACGGAGTGGTTGGGGCCATCGTGTTGGGTGCGAAAGGGGTTCAGAAGTATTTTGACCGCGTGTTCGACGCATTCCAGTGAACGCACTGTCACTTGGCAATGGAACAGTATAACTGTCGTACTAGTGTCTCGATTGGTCCTGGCCGCAGTAGTACCCTACCCTCTTCGAAGTGTTGACCTGCCGAAGTCTCTATACCCGGTGTCTCTGCCAGTGTCCTGTCTTCGTGCAATGTACTCACGACGCTTATTTATACACTTATATAATGATCTTCGATGTTGAATCTTAGCAGTTAAGCTTAGACCCTGAGCTAAGCTCAGTATTGCGTGCGGTTCAACAAACCCGGCTTACCCGACTGAACCACACTACTTTCCATATGTGGATCGAAGCTCCTGACAAAGCGCTCCGCCACAACGATCTCAGTCGTTCACTAGCACTGCTCAGGCCTGCTCAGGCGCTCACCGTATACTCATCAGGCTAGCAGCGCTCAGTGCTTGCTCCAGGCTTGTCCATTACACAACGTCTGACGTCCCTGTGTACCCAATCTCCCTCGCGAATATCCTTCAATCGGCGAAGCTTGCTATTTATCTTCCAAGACTGCTCATCGGACGCGGTTTACAGCGTAACAATGGCTACCACTCGCGCGAATGACACCGACTTCCGCAAGAAATGGGATAAGGAAGAATATTCGGAGAAGGCCCGGCAGCGGGATCAGGAGGAGAAGGAGCGTATGCAGGAGAATGAGGAGAGGCTCAAGCAGGGTGCGTAACTGCGTGCGAACGTTGCCTTCGCCTCTAATGCAGAGCACCATCTAGGTAAGAAACCGCGCAAGGGCAAGCGTGATGACCTGCCCAAGCCTACCGAGCTCATGAAGCGTCGGGAGGGCTCACTCGACTTGGACAAGAACCTGGGCAAGACCATGGTTGTGCAGAATGCAGGCACGCGTGGTCCTGGAGTCCCTGGCTTCTACTGTGAGGCATGCAATCGCACATACAAGGATAGCACAGGCTACCTAGACCATATCAACGGTCGTGCACGTGCGTTCCGTCTTGCCAGGCTTCGTTCCAACTGGAGCTGATGACATGCAGATTTGCGTGCTTTGGGTCAGACAACACGTATTGAACGGTCAACCGTAGAGCAAGTCCGCGCCCGAATTGCGTACTTGCGAGAGAAGACCAAGGAGGCTTCTTCTGCGAAGACATTTGACTTCGAAAAGAGACTAGCGGAAGTGCGCGAACGTGAGGCTGCACTACGAGAGGAGAAGAAAGCAGCCAAGAAGGCGTTGCGAGAGCGGGCACGCGTGGAACTCGCCAAAGACGCGACTGCACAAGAGCAAAACGGCATGATGCAGATGATGGGCTTCAGCGGGTTCGGCACGTCCAAAAAATGACCGCCTCCCGATAGCTGTAGCATAGCGCGAAAGCAAATTGTATTTCTAGATGCACAGGATGTAATACACTTTTTCTTCTCTTATCGTCCTTCGTATACTGACCAGTTCTCTCAAGGCCATGCCAACGACAGCACAAACTTGGTATCCGCGACCTCCTGCTCCTCCTCGATCAGCACCTTCTGCGTCGGCTTCCTCTTGCTGACATCAACCGGCACGCTCCTCACGGTCTTCTGGATGGTGTCCGCGTACTCCCGCATCGCCTCCAACAGCTCCACTCCAGTACCATCCTCGAATGCGTAGAAGACGTCGACATCGTCCGTCGCCTGCAGCCCGGCACGCTTACGCATCTTCTGGATGCGGTTGATGAGCTCACGCGTCAGCCACTCGTTCTGGAGCTCCGCATGTGCTTGAATATCGAGTCGGACCACGACGTCGTTATCGGTGTGCGTCGCGTACTGCGCCTGGCCTTCCACCGGCTCCGGGAGGTCGATGTAGCGCTGCACCGTCAGATCACCCTCCACGAGTTCGATGCCGTCCACAGAAATCTTGCCCGTCTGGACGTACAACCGGACATCGTCGCTTGAGACATTGGGGAGCGCGTTCTTGACGCGCCCCAGGTCTTTCCGGAGCTTCTTGCCGAGGATGGCCCAGTCCGCGACTGCGCGGTAACGCACACCAGCGACATGCTCGTCCGACGTGAAGATGATATTCCGGACGTTGAGCTCTGACTCGATGTATCGTTGGAGGCTCCGCGCGTCATCCAGGTACTCTTGGTCTGCATGGAAGACCAGCAGCTCGCGGAGAGGAGTCTAGCAATATTAGTCAGTTCAATGCACAAGACACATGCCTCGGTACGCGTACCTTCAGCGACAGGTTGTGCCGCTCGCGGATGTTGCGAGTGAGCTCGATGACAGACTGCATGCGCTTGACCTGTCGCTCGATCACCGCGTCGAAGTACTCCTCTTTCACCTCCGGGAAGGCCAGGAAGTGAATAGAGCGGACTTCTGCGTTGGGGTCTTCGGGGATGAATGGACGTAATGCTTGGTAGAGGTTCTCGGTCAGGAAGGGAGTGTAGGATGACTGTCACCGTGGTCAATGCTAGTGCTTAACAAGGAATCATGGGATCATACCATTGTGCGGCAAAGCGTGAAGAGTGTCTCGAAAAGGGTGTTGAGGGCCGCCACCGTATCCTCCATTCCGTCTTCACCCTTCAGCCGTTTCCGGTTGAACCGAATGTACCAGTTGGTCAGCTCGTCAATAAGGTCGAGCAACCGCGGGAGGATGGTGTACAGCCGGTATGCCGCCATCTCCTCGCGCACGAGCTTGATGAGCGACTGGCATCGGGCGAGGATCCAGCAGTCCATGACGTTGGATGAGACCGGCGCATGTGCGTCGTACCGGAAGTCGCGGCCGAAGGTCTTCTTGAGCAGCGCGGCTTGGCCGAGGAAGAAGCGTTGAGAGTTGAGCCAGGGGAGGAGGACGCGGGAGATCACTTCGCGGACACCCTCCTCGCGGAAACGCAGGTTGTCACCGCGCACGACAGGCGAGTTCACGAGGAACATTCTGTATGGGTCATGAAACAAAACCGAGGAGAATGGTGTTTAGCGAGACGTACCGCGTAGCATCAGCACCGTACTGGTCGATGATGATGTTTGGATCGGGGTAGTTCTTAAGACTCTTGCTCATCTTCTTGCCATCACTGTGGCCGAGACCCATAAACAATGGAGGCGGGTGGAGATGGGAGTCTGACTTACGCGGCGAGGACAAGGCCGTGCACAACGAGATTCTTCCAGGGCGCAGTGCCGAACAGATGTGTCGACAGCACCAGCAGCGTATAGAACCATCCTCGCGTCTGGTCGATACCTTCCGAGACGAAGTCAGCAGGGAAAGTATTCTGGAACTTGTCCTTGTTCTCGAAGGGGTAGTGGATCTGCGCGTAAGGCATGCTGAAGGAGAGGGCCGCAGTGAGCCACGGCATCCTGTGCAAGGTACGGATAGTCGCACCTTCCAGACTCGAACCAGCAGTCGAACACTTCCTCAATACGCTTGAGCTGGCCCTTGCCCTGTTTTGACGGGATGGTTATATGGTCGATCTTGTCCCGGTGAAGATCCGTGATGCCCATTACGCCGGACAGCTTCTCGAGTTCCTCTACCGAGCCAACGCACACGATCTACAAGGATAGAGTCAGTACGCGTGCATATATGCGTCCACAGATGAACACGAACCTCCTCCATGTCTTCGCTGGCCCACAGCGGGATGGGCGTACCCCAATAACGATTCCGTGAGATGTTCCAGTCGCGCGCGTTCACAAGCCAGTTACCGAATCTATTGTCCCCGACGTTTTGCGGTACCCTGATCATGCTATCAGCAAACCTTCACTAGTCTTCCGACATGTGAAAGGCTCACCATCTCGTCTGCTTGTTGTTCGCCACAAGCTCATCGACAATCGGCGTCACGCGCACGTTCCACACCGGGATAGCACGGTAGATCAGTGGTGTGCCCGAGCGCCAGCAGAACGGGTACGAGTGCTTGAGCGTCGACTGGACGATCAAGCGGCCCTTCTGCTTGAGGACCTTCTGGATGTCCTTATCCGCGACCTTGACGTGCTGGCCGACGAAGTCGGACACCTGCTCCGTGAAGCGGCCCGAGTCGTCGATCGGGCAGGGCGGCATCTCCTCGGGGCTGATGATTCCGTTTGCGAGGGCGATGCGGTGGTCGTCTTCACCGAAGGCGGGGGCTTGGTGGACGATACCAGTACCGTCCGCGCTGGTGACGTAGGCGTCGTTGAGGACGCGGAACGCGCGGTCCTCGTACTGATCGTTGCCGTCAGCACCTCTCGTTCAGAACAGAGCAACCGTAGACGAACCTGTTCAGTGAAGTACTCGAATAGCGGGACATATCTCCAATCTTTCATGTCCACGCCCTTGAACGTGCCAAGCTTCTTGAACTTGGCTTTCTTCGGGTCCTTGTAGAGGGTGGTGAGGAGGTTCTCGTGCAAGATGAAGTTCTGATCGCGCTCCTCATCGTAGATCTTGACGTAGGTGAAGTCCGGGTGCACACAAAGTGCGAGGTTCGAGGGGAGTGTCCAAGGCGTAGTCGTCCAGGCGAGAAGGGAAGTCTTGCGGTCGTCTACTAGTGGGAACGACACAGTGACTGTACAACGCTTATAGTAAACGTCTACATGCAAGACAAAATCGATCAAGCACGTACCGGCAGGATCGCTGACATCCTTGTAATTTTGACCAGCCTCGAAGTTGGACAATGGCGTCAAGCAACCAGTGGAATACGGCATGACCTTCAATCCTCTGTATACCATACCCTTCTTGTATAGCTCGCCGAATGCCCACCAGACGCTCTCCATGAAGCTCGTATTCAGGGTCTTGTAATCATTGTCGAAGTCGATCCAACGACCCAAGCGCTCGACCGTCCGCCGCCATTCTCCGGCGTAACGCATGACGATGGAGCGGCACTCTGCGTTGTATGCAGCGATGCCCATCTTCATCACGTCTTCGCGACCGGTGATACCGAGTTTCTTGTCGATCTCGTGCTCAACGGGCAGACCGTGTGTATCCCAACCGAAGCGGCGAGTGACATGAAAGCCGGACGCATGTGCGTGTCGTGTAACGATGTCCTGCAGTAAACGTAAGTAAGAGAATACTGTTTTTCGACAAGGAGGACGTGGGGGAGAAAGGTCGTCATTGCATGCGCATCGAATGGCGACCTCGAGCAGTATCGGGGCACGCCATATGTTCAGTCGTGTATTTCCAATGGAGAAACCTAAGTGAACTGATGCAGGATAATAGAACCCACCTTGATTGTCCCAGCGAGAAGATGGCCATAGTGCGGCAGACCAGTTGCAAATGGTGGTCCATCGTAGAAAGAGTATTCCGGTCGTCCCTCCGAAAGCTTCAAGCTTGTCTGAAACGCATCTATCTCTCTCCAGTATTCCAAGACCTTTTCCTCTTCCTTAGCGAAGTTGAATGGTGCAGTGACTTCGGAAGAATAAAATGATCATTACTGGGGTGGCAAAACATATTGTGATCGATACTTACGGTCGTGTGGAGGGAAAGGCATGATTCCGGATAGCCTCTTCCACACTCTCAGACTATGCAGAGATACAGAAAGATAATTCTGGAATGGGAGATGAGAAGAGAAAGAGATACGATGCGCGAGACTTGAGCCTGACTTGAGCTGACCAAAAGTTGACTCGAGCCCTGAAGCGATCGTGGATAGCAGGCTAGACGCCGCACATAAGTGCTTCCACGTGATCGTGATCAGCGCTCCCCCGACCGTCGCCCGAAGCTCTCGGATCCGGACTCTCATTGACCAACGACTGCCTGGGAACTGTTTACAGTGTCAATGACACGTTCATGACTGGCATACGGACGAATTGAACATAATCAGTACGTTGCAACGATATTATAACAGGTTAGTTAGTTTCAAGCGTAGCTACTCAAGTCGTTTCGACTCGGACTAATGGATTTCACTCGAGCTTCGCCCTATTACTTAGGAGGTCACTGCGGCATAAGTTGCTGTAATCAGGCCCTGTTGTTCGAACGAGTTGCCAGTCAATATCATGTCATCCTACAACTACGCGGAAGTACCCAATCAAAATCTGGTACGTGCAGTGAGCCCAGAATGCTGCGACATAACAGCTCATCATCTACTAACTTAAAAGGTGTGCTGCATCTGCCGGTGCGTTGTAACACTGGTCAATTCCACGGAAAGGCTGACACGTTTGAAGCTCTCCATTTGTTGACCCATGCACTACACGGACATGCTGCCATACATTCTGTTATGAGTGTATAGCTCGGGCGATCGCCATTTCCGCTCAATGTCCCGTGGATCGTTGCTCACTCAATGTTCACGATCTTGTGCCAGCTGATCCCTTGATACGCAATGTATGCTCTATCTCTACTTGCGTACAAGCCTTGTTACTGATTGACAATGGTAGCTGGTGGATGAGCTTGTAGTGGAGTGTCCAAACAAGGAAGAGGGGTGTTCACATACCTGCCAACGGATGCTACTCCCAGTGCACCTGAAGGACTGTTGCAAATACGTCGAGGTGCCATGTTCTGAGGGCAAGTGCAGCAAGGGAGTGCTTCGTAAGGATCTCGCGTCGCATACTCATGCGCATGATGTCTCTTCGGAGGAAGACACTGGTCGTTCCTCTCCTTGTCTAGACTCGTCCTCTGTGGATGGCCGAGGCGAGAAATCCCATGAATCTCAAGAGAGTCCGCAGCCCTCTCAGGAGGACGCGAGGAATTTCCCGGACACGACAAACTCGTCCTATGAAGCTCTGGAGGTGGAGAATGCCAGGCTGCGTCTCCGACTCTCATCCCTGGAAGGCGTCGTCAACACTCTGCAATACGAGCTACAAGCCGTTCGACAGGCTTTGGGACCTTGGTACAGGACACAGGACACCGACGTGCGACGAGGGTGGGGTGGCACACCGCAGCATCAGGAGCGTTATTCCTCCATGAACCCTGCGCCCTCGACATCTGCAATCATCGATCCGCTTGTCCTTCCTCAAGCGTCGTCAAGTCGAGACGAGAATACATCTGCTGCGTCAGTGTCTGCGCCTCCACTAGCGACTTCACCAACCAGCCCGACGGCCCCCTCCGAGCTTGTGGCAGGGAGCGACCTTTCGTCGTACTTCCCGCCAGCAGAGGAGGAAGACGTCTACTCCCCTGACTTCGTCCGCACTCACCAAGCACATCGAACAACAGCAATGGGATCCAGCCAACCTCGCGACTCTTCCCACCACCCGTATCGCTCCGGCACGCAGCGTATTCCCCTCTCCCAATCACAGCCCGCATCGGGCCACGCCTACCCACCACACGCGTTCAGTCCTACAGGGTACCCCGCCGGCCCCGCCCCGCCGCACCCAGACCTTGGAGCCATCTCAATCCCGCCGCTGGACCCGAGTGTGCCCCTCCCGAGTACGCTTGCGTCTCTCCACGGGTCTATTGTCTCGCTCGCGGGCGCGCTCGGAGCATTGGCGACGACGCGTGCGCAGGATACGCTATATACTGGTGAGGAGCTGCGGAGCATGCGGGCGGGGATACATGGTTTGCGAATGCAGGTGCGTGACCAGAACACTGGCGTTTTTGTCTAGTCTCCTTATGCTGGATAATAGCTACACGACGTAGTAACTGCTCACGTCGCGTCGCGGGACACGTCGACGCCTCCGCTCAACACGGGCGTCGGCGGCACCATGCCGGACGGCGTCGGGTCGGGAGGTGTTGCTTTGCCCGGCGGGCCATCGGCGTGGATGGGCTATGGCCCTGGGCCCCGACCCTTTGGAGCATTTGCCTTCCCGCATATGCCTGGTGGATTTACGAAGCTATGAGAATTCGGTATGGACATGGATGGGTGAATAGGTTGTAGGAACACTACATTATTTGCGTTGTAAGATACGCGCGAATGATCAGACCTCGACTTGAGGGGTAGATTGCACTCAGCACTCGGCAGGTCGACGATGAGGCTCGGATAGGTCAGTGCTGATGCACCGGTCAATTCGCGCGTGCTCAAGAGGTTCAACAGGTTGGGTGACACGAGAGTGACAAGTCTCAAGGAATTGCAGTGGCGAAACCCCGGATCGGTCGCCAGACAACATACAGAGCAGACGCACAGTGCCTTCAAGCCCTAAGACCCAGTTAGGAGGGAATGCAGAAACCGATCGCCCGTGGCGCAATGGTCCAGTGCAGAGCGTGCATGATACAAGCAGCGTGAAATATGGGAGAAGCAGAGTCATACAATTACTCGTCTGGAACCTCGATCTCGCCCGCGTCAATAGCCTCGATGACATCGTGTGGTGGCTTCCCGTCGATGGTGCAACCAACCGACTGCGCGGTCCCGAGAATCTCCTTGCAGCCGTTGGCCAGCGTCTTCGCCAGAGATTTCGACCGCATCGTCCGTGCAATGTCGACGATCTCGTCGAATGCGATGTTGCCAGAGTGCTTGATGTTTTTCTCTTTCTTGCGGTCCCGTGGCGGCTCTGTAGGGAGGCAATCAGGGAGACACCAGTGTTCCGCTGCCAATATACGCACCCTTCAGTGCCTTAATGACGAGCGAGGAAGCAGAAGGGACAACGTCGACCTTCGCTTGACGGTTTTGAATGGTGAGCTGGACGGTCACCCGGAGACCCTTCCATGCGCCAGTCGCCTTTGCAATATCTTCACCAACTTTTTTGGGAGACTGTAGTTCCGACAATGAGATACATTGTGCATCCACATACATAACACGTACGAGACCGAGAGGACCAATCTTGGGTGCAAGGGCCGAGGAGGCTCCGACCTCACCACCGGTTGCCCGCAGGTAGATGATCTTAATTTCGTTGGGGTCCTGTGAGGAGGTCAATGCACAGCACAACGCGCAAGGACACCGGCGAACTCACGATCTTGGGGGCCATGGCGGAGGGAGGGGACGTGCAAGGGCGGAGACAGACCGAAAGTATGAGCAGCGAGCGCCACAGTGTGTAGTCTCGTGTATTCTGGAATTCAAGGTTTGGGCGGCTATCAGCGAGCTGTACAGTGCTGGCAAATGCCGAGGCCCTCGCCACCCAGACTCCTACCTTCCCCGTTGGGCAGGCGCGCTACACTGGCCGCCGGGCTCGCACCGGCTGAGTCTTTCGCTCGCTTCAACGCCCGTGGTCGCAGTCGATCCTCTGCTCACAACGCCCAGCATCGCCAATCTCGGGTGCACGGCGATGGGTGGATGGAGGCAGCTCCTCAGAGGGTAGAACTGCCCGCTGCGTTCGAGGATGTAGAGGCCGATGTGCTCGTGGATCTCATAGGTATGCGGGATGCACTCTTTGCGAAATTACGCCCTCTCAATCCCACTGCAGCCGATATGATGGAGCGGCTGATGGCCCACAACGACCGGATCCCACTGTCGCCGTACGTTTCCCGCCAGCAAACCCAACGATGCATCACCGATCATAATTTCGACAGGGAGGCCTTGACCAGGTTCCATTCGCGCTCTGCACCTGGAATATCCGTCTTAGACTACTTCAAGCGTATAGTGAGATTCACCAAGGTCGAAGTGCGTCGAGCATTGCCTGCGTCAATATCGCGCGTCGCTCATGTCCGCACAATGTCCAGCGCGTCTGCCTCCTGATCACCCTGCATTACATCGACCAGATCTGCGCGCGCACGCCGCTGTTCACTCTGTCCTCTCTGACTTGCCACCGTTTCGTGATCACCTCCATCACCATCTCGAGCAAGACCTTCTGCGACGTCTTCAGTCTGAACAGCCTCTACGCGAAAGTGGGCGGCATCCCCGTGGACGAATTGAACATGCTCGAAAGGGAATTCCTTCGCATGATCGACTGGCAGCTAACGGTCAGTGTTACCTCCCTTAACAAACATGCTCCCCTCCGCGTCACTCTCTATGTGCCAACATCTGCTCATCAGGACTGAACTATAAACTGGTTCTGCCAGTGCACTCGTGAAATACTCCAAGAATACTACGTCAACCTCGTCCGCACCCACAGCAGGGGCATCTACTACATACCTGTCCCCGAGTCGCCAAGCAGCATCTCGTCCGATAGCGATACGGACTGGGACATGGGCGGATCTCCGAGGCCATCATCGCCCGCCGCAGAGAACTCTACCACTCAGCGGGAGCCGTCCACCATTCTTATCGACACCGCCACGCTATCTCCCCAACCTCCGCGGCCTCCGACCCTGGAGCAGAACATGGCATTCGCCGATTTCCACCAGTCTTCACAGGACCAGCCGGAGGGGCACCCAGGATGACACTGTATTTTTACTGTGTAATTAAGTGTACCACACACCTTGCCAGCGTCCGGCCGGTCCTTTGGGGCATGTATCGATACATATCATTCACCTTGCACGCATTAGTGGTCGGATTCCAACATTCATACTAATCCCCAGCGCATGCATTTAGACGACGAGAATATCGTACAAGTCAAACACTGCTTGCAGGAGAAAATCGCTACGCTAGGGCCGCCATCTAAGCTCAAAGGGGTGTACTGTCCATCATGGAAATCAACCATGCGCGGCAGGGAGTGGGAGTGCAAATTAGTTAGGGAGCGATACATGAGTTGTGTGCTGTTAAGAATACCGGGATGCTGTGTCTTGACGATTTTCCAGAATAGCCTACATTCCGTCTCCGTGAATACGTACTGAGTACAACGCAGCGCAGCGCGCGTACGTTTGCCGAACCGTCGAGGTCGCGAGAGCATCCATACCACACCGCCGCGCGGGCTCGCCATGTCGCCGTTCACCGCCGCAAAGCGGACAACATCTTCGCCAACGCATTGATCTGGCCCTTCTGCACCTTGCGCGGACCATCTTGGTCGCCTTCGGCACTTCCCTCCCCATCGTAGCGCTCGCGCTGCCCGGAGAGGTCGGTCGTGCTCGTCGCAGCATCCATCCTGGGGCTGGCTGGCTTGATATGCGGACGCTCGCTGATGGTATCCAGGCCAGACTCCGCCGGCTTGGTGCGACGAGGATTGCGCGGCGGAGGGCCACCGTACCTGTTGTCTACCTCGTGGCGTGGATTGCGGGGCATGTGAGGAGCCATCTGGTCGATCTCCCAAGGCGTGCCCTGAACGACTGTGAAACCACGTCAACATCAATTGAACAACACACTCACATCCGAATCATACTCACACTTGATGTTGGCAGGCATGCCAGCCGGTCTGTTCTCGCTACCCGAGGAGTACTTGCTCGCGCCGGTGTAGTTGCTGCGCCAGCTGCCGGACGACAGGCTCGTCGCCGCCGTCGACACGCTGCGTGTGCTGCCGTTGCTGTACTTCGTGAACGCCGACGTCGACGTGCCCGCGCTGGACATTGAGGTACGCCAGTTCGACGACGCCATCGAGCTCGCGCTGGACGCAAGGGGCCGTCCGCTGCGCGTGCTCGTCGGCGAGACGCCGCGCTTGCTCGCCGGCGACACCGCACGCTGAGATCGCTGGTCAGCGCCGTACGGGCCGCGGCGCTCGGGAGTGCCGTTGGCAGAGAACACAGAGCTCGAAGACGGGCCCCATGTACTGCTGTTGCCCGCGTTCTGGCCGTACGGGTGGTTCTTCGTGGGGCGACCGCGGTGGCTCCAGTTGCCCATCTCCTCGATCTCGGGCTTCGAGGTCGACGATGTCGCGGGTGGTGCGTTGAGACTCATGAGCAAGTTGGTGACGTTGCTTGCGGTGGATGACATCGACTTGCTGGATGTGTTGAGAGGGCCGCCGTTGCCCGCGTCCGAAGGCATCTCCTCGACGGATGGGACCTTGACGCCAGCGCTGCTGGCCTTGCCGAAGGAGAGCTTCCACTTCGACGGCTTCTTCGAGATCGTTGAGGCCGGGAAGGAGGTGGTAGATGCCATAGCGGATGATGACAGCGGGTAGGGGGGCACGAGGATGTGGGGGATGATGGCGGGTGCAGTGGCATCGGAGTGCCGGGGCCTGCCCGAGGTGGACACGCCCTGCGAATGGCGGGAGGTACGGCTGATCTCGCGCGCCAGTGACTGGGAGGCCTCCGCGAGCGTGTTGAGGGTGACGTCCTGCGGGTTTGTAGGCGACAGCGCTGCGCCCTTGCCCTTGCGGGCACCACGCTTGCGGCGCTTCTGGGTAGACACCGAGCGCGAGCTCGCTGCGCCACTTGCGGTGCGCCCCATGGCGTCTTGTTCATCCTGATCCTGCTCTTCGTTCTCCTGGTCCGGAACTGTGGAGAGCATGGAGGTCTCGGCTGCGGATGAAGCGAGGGGAGAGACGATTGAGGGCGCCCGGGACATCGATCGAGACGCACGCTGGGACCCAGACATGTCGATGGGCGTGACGCTCCGAAGCGAAGGGCGACGCGAGTGCGGAATCGACGAAAGGCGGTAGCCGTGGACAGAGGATATGGAGACAGTCCGTGCGTGGCCGGGCTTCTCACCGACCAGGAGCGTGGGCAGGTCGCGCACCCAGATGCCAAACGCACGTGCGCTGATACGCTTGCCACTGTCGCGTGGGCCGTCGAGGAGACAGAAGACCTTCGTCGCGAGGAACTCGGCGACAGAGAGGGTCATACCAGTGAACCGGGTCATAAAGAATGAGACCGGTGCCTGGCGGAACGCCTCGAAGGACCCGCACGCACCCTCGGCAGCATCCGTCCAGGGGTTGTAGTGGTACAACCTGCGGTTCCATTCACATCAGCGACCACAGCACTCACGATTAGATGCGACGTACATATTGATAAGCACGATACCAAGTGACCAGACGTCGGCAGCACGGGGAGAATAAGTAGGGTGTAGGTTATTTCGGCATTCTTCATAAGAGATCGAGATGAGCACGCGAGGAATGACGACAGCGCAAGGATTAACGTACCGAAACTCATGTAAGGAGCGCTACCGCAATCCATGTCGGCGGAATCGGTATCCGTAGTGGACAGTCCAAAATCAGTAAGCTTGACGACGACCTTGCGCTCGCGCCGCCCGTCGGGGAGCGTCGTCCACCCGTCTGTAACAATGAAGTTCTCCGGCTTGATGTCCCGGTGGAAGACAGAGTGGTCGTGGCACACCGCCACAGCCTCACACATCTGAGAGAACATCGACGCGATGAGGCGCAGGCGGGTGCGTGAGAGGAGCTGCGACGGTGCGAGAGACGAGAGCAGACTCGGACTCGAAGGGGTGTGAGAAGTGCTGCAACTCGAATCTGAAGGCGGAGTCGTCGAGGGGTCCGAGGCCATGGGGTCGACTTCATAGTGGTCGCGGGCCTGTTCCAAGAAGTAAAAGAGATCTTCACCTGGCACAAACTCGAGTAGGAGAAGCAAAAAGGAAGGAGTCTCGAGTGTGCGATGTAAGGTGACGATGTTTGGGTGAGCGGGGAGGGACTGATGAATGGTGGCCTAGATGGAAGAATGTCAGAAAGGGCGCATATAGCCACTCAAATGAAGCGTACCTCGAACAACTGTGCGTCCAGAGCGTCCCGGTCAAGGTTAGCCTTGGACAGCACTTTGACAGCGTATTCGCGACCATATTCAACAGCGCGGTGGCGAGCGAAGTAGTCATCATCCATTTCCATGCTTCCAGTAACAGCGACACCGTGCTCATCATCCGAGGGGGGAGAACCAGGGCGCAACAGTACCTCACGCACGAGGTATACGACAGCGTAACTTCCGGTGCCAAGCGTACGGACTACCTCGAACTCCTTCGCCGGTTCATCGTGGTCGGCCCGCGGCTCAGATGAGCTGATGGGGACCCGCGCGATCGTCTCGCCCTGGAGGGAAAGGCCTTCCCCGACCAGGTCGCCTTGCGAGAGGATGTCCACGACCACGGACGAGGACGACGAGCCGAAAGACTTGTCGTCGAAGGAGAGATTGGACTTGAGCGGGTGTGGCGAGCGAGGGGCCGGGCTGGGCAGCTTGCGCGACGAAGAGATCAAGGGAGAGCGTGGGACGTGCTTGTTGGATACGCGGGGATTGGGGGAGGGGGAGGAGGGGGGAGTGGATGCGGGAGACGAAGCGGTTGAGAAAGCAGTGGAAACGTGAATAGGAACTACATGATGGGAGGGACGGGAAGGCACAAGCTTGTCGTTGAACGCGCGCTTGTGGGTCAGAGATCCATTCTGAAAGTCGTCACTTGTGTCCCTGCGGATGAGGGGCGTTCGCTTGGAGGACGTAAGAGAAAGCGGGGGAAGCTGGACGGGATACTGCAACATGAGCAAGGAGAAAAGCTAGCGAGATGAGGTCTGTTCTACACTCCGTTCTCGGGGCCAGAGAATGGGCGAGATGTTGAGACCACAGACACACTAAGAGGCTCGTTGGGACATGCAGTACGGGGGGAGGGCGGTTCTCTCGCGTCGAGCACGATGCGAGCAGGCGAGCAGAACGACGGCCTGCGGCGTCGAGGAGCTGGGGCAAGCCTGGGGGCACCGATAGGCAGGCAGATGGCAGCAAAAGGCAAAAGCTGTGGGCGGAAGCGCGCGGGCGAGGCAACGGGGTCGTGAGTCAGTCAGGCTGAGCACGGCGGCGGCGACGACGGACTCACCCTAGTTTACCTGAGCAGCACTGCGACTGCAGCGACGACGATGGAGGAAGGAAGGATGGCGAGGGAGTGACTGGGCTGGGGCAGGGGAGATATTGAGATTGTGCGGCAGCACATGGTGTCGTGCTTCGCAGCACCACGCGCGCGCGTGCGCTCACCGGATAGGCCCACAATGGCACTGGCACGCCCAACTGTCGCCTCCCCTGCCCAGCTCCCACACTGCCTCACGGCCATCCCCACCACCAGCATCCCACCCGCACACAGTCTGCTCGCAGAAACGGCCGTCTCATCGCCCGTTTGCGTCTCAGGAGCCTCCCAGTCGCCCCCGCCACCGCCGTCGCCCAGGCACGTGCTCCTCCCACCATGTGGGTCCATCCGCGCCGCCCCTTCACCCGCGCCTGCTCGGTTCTCGGCTTGATCAACCGTCGTCTGTACGTACTAGGGTATCGTCCACACTGCGAAGGCCCACCAGCATGTACTGAGCGTCAGCAGAGCATGGCCAACCCTCGCAGCACCTGTATTCGCAATTCCACGTCACCCTAGCCTCAGAATACACGCACCCCAGCCACGTAGGACTAGTAGATATGCGCATGCGCTCCCCCATCCAAACGTGATCTTCACCGCAGCAGCATACGAAATCTTGAGCCTCCGTTTTCCCGGGTCGCATGCACCCATGATCTCCCGCTGTGTGCGTACCACACTCTCCCCATGCCGTCCTCGGCTCCGAGCAGTGAGGCCCTCCACCATATGCACCCAATTCATCCTGAATTGTCACAGCAATCGAGACCGGATGCTGCCCTGGCCAAGGCACAGCACCGTCGAGCGGGCCAGGACGAAGGGAGCGGCTACTCGACGTCCGGTGACTTGCGCTCCCCACCGGGGCCGGGGTCCACAACAACGCATACGGTATCCACTATGCTTGGCTCGCCGATAAGCAGTTGAGTGAGTACCTTCCAGCATCGAACGAGCTAGAATCCAGGCCGCCGGCTTAGCTAAATGCGGCTATACGCTCGAGATCCCCGGATGCTACCGCGGCCTTCTTACAGCCTTCTCGAGGACCCCGAGTCCAAGCCTACCTAAGTATACTCGTGTTCCGTGAGTCTCAGCTTAGTCCAGCTGCTAACCATGAATCAGGGTCGTCACCGAGAACCTTCCACATAGGCTACTCGCGATCGACTTTCGTGTACCGTCAGATAGCAGCTAGCTCCTGTATTGCCTTGCTGGTCTAAGTGGGATGGGCTTGGGCCTTCATGAAATCCTTCGCCTTCACCAGGTGATGCATCACGAGCATGTCACTCCACGGATGCAGAGACCTTGGTGGTTAGACGAATACTGCAAGCGGACTCAAGTTTTCATCCTGTTGCATCCCTATCGTCGATTCGCGCGGCTGCGGTCAACCTGACTGTTGTAGGTAGTGTCGCGCAGATTGCCGTGTACATGTACAAAGCGGTGGATCTACTTAGTAGCAGTACATACTGACGGAGTCCGGCGCAACTCTGCTCTAGTCTCCCGGCCCATAGGCAGACTCTGAACACGACCGTCTTGATTGGGAGGGAAGACGGTCGTAGATCTTCTGCTCAATGCGATATATGCGCGATGCTTCCATTTCCAAGAACGTTCCGAAGGCACTGTGTGGTAGTTCACCCAGTGTGGTCCTCGCACGGTACATGACTCGCACAGGGTCGTGTAAATGCGCACAGACCTCAGCTCTATTCACAAAATGGAATGTATGGTACCCCGACTGGGATTCAGGTGGATAGGGATACCTGGGGGATCGCCTCGAAGTCGTCCGTAGACGAGGCATCGACACCTTCGTCCACTTCTTGCTTCCAGAGGTGCTCTAGCACCATTCTCTCGACGTCGGAGAGCGAGTTTCGCGAACGCATGACTACATCGGTCGCTGCCTTCGCCTTCCCATGTGCGAGCAGCCACCGCGCCCAAGCGACAGTCGCGTGAACGGCGTCCTTACGCTGCCACTGCTCGAAGACCATCTCGAGAACGCGTCCAGAGCACGCGGGGACCTCCTCCGAAGCCGCCTCCTCCTGCGCGAAGACCTCCCGCCACACGGGCGCTGTCACCACGTACGCTGCCCCAATGTGGCGCACGCGGGCCGCCCGCGCGTCCGCATATGCCATCGATTGCGATCTTCTTTCTGTCCCCGTATCCCCGCGCGCCCGTTTTCTCTTGCGAATTCCTGCCGGCGGTACCTCGCCTTCCTCGACCGCCTCGGGCCTGAGTCTGATCGCGAGCTCGACGTCAGTCGCTTTCGCGTACCGCATCAGTAGCGTCTCCTGCACCGCGGCCCACGCCGTCGCGTCGCGCATGCGGTGTCCCTCTCCCAGAAGCCGCTATACACCCGCACAAAAGGGCCCAGAAAGAAGAATGCCGCGGTCGTACGTAGGAGCACACACGGTCGCATCCAATCGAAGACAGCAGTGAACAATGCGAATCACACACGCGCGTCAGCGCCCGTGCTTGAATTCAGAGCCGTACGCACGCACCTCGAGCAGCCGGACGCGCTCTCCCACCTCAGCCTCCGCGCTGCCGGTCCCGCGCCCTTTTGTGGTTTCCCAATCCGGCTCGGGGTCTAGCCCCCAAAGCCACACGGTCTCTATCCCTGCGCCCAGGACGGCACCCCGACCCTCGTCCCACGCACGTTTTGCGTCCTCGCTTGTCGAGAATTGTTTCTCCGCGTCGAACCGGGCGAGCCATACTTGCGCCGAATGCTTTGTGGTGTCCTTGCCGGTGGATTTTCGAGCTAGTCGAAGAACCCGTTCAGGCGTGTTGCTTGTAGGCGGGAGATACTCGTGGAGGCTTTCTTGGTATGTCGTGAGCAGTGTGATTGTTGCCGCCAGTAGCGCGGGCGAAGGGGAGGCCGATTTCTGCTGTGTGAGGAGTTGGAGCGATGTGATGAGGTAGCCTTTCTGTACCGCACGAGATACGCGCGCACACAAGATCAGATCAATGCGAAACATATTTGGGGAATGATGACTGACCAGACTGTCATCGATGTCTTTCCGACACCAGTCTTGCACAAAGCTCGCATACACCGATGCTAGCCGCTCATCTGCTCCATTTTGATCTCGCACAGCACTGGCAAGCCGCTCATTTGCGTCCTTGAGTGTGTCCACCAATGCTTCGCCCTCGAGGTCAGGTAGGAGATGTCTCGTCGCGGATAGTCTGATAGCGGCGGGATCGGCGGGCAGTGTTTCATGCAACAACGTGAAGAGGTGATCCAACAGTGTGTCTCGCAGAGATGGTGGGCATGGGTATCCCGTGAGTAGCTCCTGCAAAGAGATGAAGAGCTCGATCTTTGGCAAAGCTGGAAAAAGCGCGTCTTAGCATCGATCGTATCGCAAGACATGCGTAGAAGACAACCTTTCGCGGCACTCGACATGACGGACTTGGCGATAGCACCCTGCATGATCTGCCTGCGCGCTGCCTCGCCTCCGTCGCTCTCATCTTCCGCGTCCACCTGCATTCTCTCCACCTCCTCGTTGCCCATTTCTTGATCTTCATCTACTTCCCGTGCTCGTTGCTTGCCCTTGCCCTTCGTGTCTTCCAACTCAATACCAAGGACGCCCCATCGCCTGCGCAAGCTCTCTACGAAACCCAGCTCCATCTTCACGTACTCTCGCCACATCTCCGCACTCTCAGGATTAAGTCGGATGCCTCGCTGGAGCAGGGCGCGAGCAGCAGAGGGAGCCAAGTGCTCAAGTTCGTGGGAAGCGGCGAGAATATACAGCGCAGGGACGTTCGGATGCAGCTGGAGTGCACTATTGAGGTGTCATAAGATTCACGCTGAGGCCTATGCTCCAAGACGTACCGAGCTGTGATTCGTCCGACTAGTGTTCTTGCTCCCTCCTTCTTTGCCACCTGTATATACTGTATCCAAAGGCCGACGTCACCTTTGAACTTCTTCAGAGCACGCTCGAAGACGTGAAACTGCCTTCGGACGAGCGCATAGTCGGACACAGAAGGCGGCTGGGGCCCGTCAAGTATCCGAGCGGCGCGTTTCCTGCGGAGGGCTTCCAAACCCATCTCATACGCTATGTAGCGGAGGAAGTCGCCCTTCTTGGGTATACGCCTGACGAGTGCAGTCTCAAATGAGGTGCGCTTCTGCATAATCTGTTTGACCTCTTTCTGAACAAGCCACGTCAGCTGTGCGGTACCGTAATAGGCTCCAGAGTGTGTGCTTACTTGTGTGAACAGACCTTTTCTGACGAGGTCTTTCAGCTCAGTGAGCATCTACGAAGGCACTGTCTTTAGTCGTTTCCTTCAGTACACGGCTTGTGCACGCACCTGCTCCTGCTGGAACTGCACTCTCTCCATGGTTGCAACGGATGAGACTCCAAGAAACACGAAATTATGAGCGTGTCAGAGATCGTCGGAGTGAGGCCTTAGGCGCCCGAGACCAAGGCAAAATCGCTGTCCTCGCTCTTGCCAAAACGGGCGGTGACACGAGCGCTTATGCGATGTTGGTCTCGCCAGCGGCCAGCTTGATGGCAGGCGGATAGAGCGACGTGAGGACGCTCAGGATAGGGTTCAATGAACCCCAATGCGCATTCGGCTTCCTTCAAATTTTTTGAACTGTCTACGACAATGTCAGGCTATCTGTGCATATCAAGCAAATCCCTTGAAGTTCAAGCCGTGCATGACGGCTGAAGCTGAAGCGCTGAAGACTCGGACTGAACGCCACGCGCGGGCTATTTGAATGAATTGGGATCCGAGTCGAGAGCCATATGTAAGTATCCCTTCCTGACGGTCAACGTTTGCTTGCATTGAAGTCGGGGAAGATTGGGGTCATATATTCGACGTCGTTTCCCATCGCAGTGAGGAGGTATCCCAGGTGGAAGTGGTATGGACGTGAGCATGCCACGCGAGTTGCCCGATCGGGCAGCCCCGACGTCGGGCGCCTGGGGGGCGCCGGCGCCGGCTAATCGATGTTGAGTCGGAGCGTCAAACGCCACCGTGGCGCTCTGCCATCGTTGCCGTCGTCCACAAACACCTCTTCCTCATCTTCCATCTCACAATGCCTGCACCCAGCCGTGGTCACCGCGCCCAGGGCGGAATGACTCGAACGCACTCACGCACTAACTCAGGCGGTTCATCGAAGATCGGGCTGAACCTGCAGTTCACACAGAAGGACGTACCCCCGCCCAGACTGCCCGATAAGTCGAAGAAGAGCGCGCATTTTAACCACGAGGTACGGTGTCGCCTCGATGTTGATGCTTGTGGTACATGCTGAGAAGAGACCTTCTGGGGGTGTTCGATCGTGCTTCTAGCCTACTGCGCGTACTGGGACAATATCCAGGATCGGCAGCACGCACCGTCTTCCGTCGCGCGAACAGATCGCCCCTGCTCAACTGCGGCGTGCCCCACCACCTGTCGCTGCACGCACAAAGGATGGCAAGCACCGTGCAGGGTTCACCATCTCTAGTCCGTCGGAAGGCGATGATGACGAGTGGGTGTCCAGCGAGAGTGGAAATGCCACCCCAAACGCTGGCCAGTCGGACTCGGAAGCCGAAGAGATCAAGACACCCGTTGAGCCTACCAAACCACGTCTACCGCCGTCAGCCATGCAGGTTAACGGCTTCCATAAAGAAGATGTAGTGACCCCCAAGGCCGAGGTGCCCCCATTACCCCGGGCAGACATGACGAAGCCAGAGCGGCCCTCATCGCCAACTCGGCGCGATTATGTCTCTCAAGGGCAGACACAACCGTCTACTCCCCAAACCCAACAGCTAGGTCGCCATGATCAACACTCGCATCCGTCCGACTCGTTGCCACCGCCAATAACCAAGGCTCGCTCAGAGACGCACTCCCCTCCCCGATCAAGGTCTCCGCCTCCCAAACGACAGTCTATGACGCGCCCACCATCAACGCATTCAATCACGAGCCGGTCCGATGGTGCATCACTGCGACCGCACCCACTGATTCGTGGTCACTCGTATGGTCAGGGGGCTCCGTTCGCGGCAAAGCCCGCTCCCCTGGCACCCTTGACCATGGTCTCCTCAGACGCTGCGCAGGCTCAGTTATCGTCCGCATCATCGCCAACCAGCCTTCGTGCGGGCTCACCGACGAGCATTCGCACCGCCTCACCCAATCACTCATCGTCGCCCACGTCATCAGAAGCCCGTAGGCAGCTTCGACGAACTTCAACGTCTTCTGCCCGGTCGACTGCGACGATGCCGGCGCAGTCTACCAGCCAAGCACAAGCATCGCTCAGCCGGTCGAACCACGATCGACAGCGCACGCTCTCGACGATCTCGTCCTCATCTTCTTTCGCCGCCTTATCCAGCCTTGCATTGCGGTCAACGCCCTCGCCGCCCCGCGAATCGATTCACTTCACGTCCCACCTCCCCCCCGTCGAGAAGTTGCAGGGCCTCGAGGCAGTGCACCCACTCCTGCCGCCGCCATACTTGAACTCGCACATATCTATTTTAACGCATCGGAACCCGGTGGCAGAGTCTTACGACAGGATCATGCGCGCCAAACAGGCAAGATGATCCGTACATAACTATGCGTCGGACTCGTATCGTTTGGGTACATAGAGGTTCGAGCGTCTGCAGTATGGGTGCGTCTTTTGCGTTTCCGATCGGGTTGAATGAGGGCTGATGGGAGTCGTGTCAGCTATTCATCTGTATCTCTATCGTCGTGCCTTCTGGTCGTGTTCAGGGTCCTTGGATATTTTATACGTCTCAACAGTTGTATAGTTTGTTTTTTAATTCGCAGATCCCGCCGCTGGTCTCGCTCTCTCACTAACGATGTCGATGAAGGGCGGAACGAAACAGTCGATCACCGCATCTGATGATCATATTTCTGCCAACATGATGCCGGCTTCAATTGATCCCCTGAATTGGTCCCCTGCACTAGTACTGATGATCTAACGAGGGCACATTTTCATTGAAAAGCATCGACTTCGCACACGTTTTCTCCTTGGGTTAGTACTTCCGTCGGGGTTTGCTCCCAGCAATGCATCTGACGCGTGGCCATCTTAGGACCCCGGACCCGCTCTTGCGAGTGACGTTCGCGAACTGCCCGTGAACTGTCATCCGTGTAGCATGAGCCGGGACCCGCGCACGTCAGTATAAGAAGCGCACTTGGAGTGTTAGAGAAGGTGAGCGTCGTTCAATCGCTTGTGACGCTCATGGAGGGTTTACACAGGTGAACGAGGTCCTGCCCCGTCACTTAGCGTCGGGTCTTGATACAGCGCTGGGATTCCGGGAAGGCCGTCCGCTACCTCTAGTACCCGCAATTGAGCGTCACCACGTATGTCATTTCATCAATACATCCAGAGTACTGTGAGGTATTCGCTACACGATATGATCGTATTTTCGCAGTAGCGGTTGAATTCAGTCTTTTTTTTTGACGAGGCAGCGCCTCCAGCCTGCCACTCATTCGTACTGATTCACCGACGTTGCGCAGTCATGTCGAGATCTGTTCCGACGTCGTGCATAGAGGGCCGCTCTAGCATCTGCATGGTATGAAAAAAACTTGACACGGTTGCTAGAGTAGGTTCGAACCCAGAATATTGCTACGTATCCAACGTTCAACTCCGCACGGAACATGGACTGAAACTGGGTGAGTGGCGCATTACAATTGTGAAGGTCATGTCTTCGTAAGGTACATGCAGGGAGGATCGGTCGGAAAAGCTCGTAACCGTCGTGGAGATTGGGCCTGCTTTCTGGTGAGTGCTCGGAGTGGCATTCTCTTTGTTTAGTTGTGGCCCATCGCTCATCGCGATTGTCCACATCAGGTAGACCGGCGTGTACAGCATGGATGAGCCAAAATACAAAGATGCGCGGAAGAATAATGCAACGAACAGAAGTTTGTGGCACACTTCAGTTAGTACAACACGGACTTGATGCTGACTCGACAGCCCTCAGATACATCGGCAAGTGTATACGGTAAAGCAGCCTTTTTTTGATTGTGAGGATGACTCGGACCTTATTTCCTTGGCCATATCCGGCGCGCAGGCGACTGTTGTATTCTGAGAATGAAATGCGTTGATGTGACTCGTAGCCACGCCCCGAAACAGTTAAATACCCAAGTGCGTTCGTCGCAGCGATTGCCACTCCAGAACCAACCCTCTGTGACTTTACAAAGTGAGTACTCATGCCACCCATAGGGGACGTATCTGAAGGTCGTCGATAGAATCCACGATGCCATCTGTCAAACGGAAGAGAGCCACTCATGACGAGAATGCACCTCAGCGTGCCACTCTGGCTGCCCCTCGACGCAAGCGGAGCAAGAATGGAGTGTTGAAAAGCATGGCCGAGATGCCCCTCGATGTGGTGGAGGAGGTATGCATAAATCACCTCACCACCATCCTGACGACTGATACAGCGAGACAGATTCTCGGACATCTCGATCCAGGAGCGCTTTTGAACTTGGCGAGAGCCATAAAGGTATTTCATGAGATCATCATGGACAAGGGTAACGCCAGACTTTGGGTGCGCTCTCGCCAAAACGTCCAAGGCCTCCCCGACTGCCCGCCCCACCTTAGCGAACAGTCCTACGCAAATCTTTGCTTCAGCAAGGGTTGCTATGTACGTTCATGCGTTGTTCCTACGCCACTCGCTGACATCGTCATTCCTTATGAGCAGGGATGTAACAAGAGCAAAACGTCCAAGATCATTTGGACAGCTAGTGCTCGCTACTGTGATGATTGCACAAACGGCCAGTATGTCAAGCCAATTATTGTCCGCCTAATTCGTCACTGAGTCAATGAATTGCCACAGCATGCCGGGCGTCTCATTGTTTTTCAGCAACGAAGACAATCAAATGTACGCACGCTACGAGAAGTTGCTCCCAACGGTATGCCGTGCATCTTTTCTTGACGCGCTCAGATCTCATGTGTACGTCACCCAGTTCAGGATTCACTGTCGTTTGAGCTTCCACTTGCCCGATTTGTGGGCAATGCACTCAGCATGGGAGCGGCTGAGCGATGAAGACGGGTCGCGGTCCAAGTTCCTCGCGGAGCAGAAGGACAATATGGACGCACGCCACCAGGTGAGTACGTGCATACGTGCTATTGACACGTTGGCTCATGTAGCCATCCAGCACGCTAAAGCATGCGAGAAGTGGAGGAAAACGATCGACGCGGCTCGAGCGGAAGAGCTGAGGATCACTCGTGACCAGCGCTTCTCTTTGTGAGTTGCGCTTGATCTTCCTTGTTCCCGATGCTGAGGATTGCGTGTAGCATTAAGGCTAGACTGTGTGAGCTTGGCTGGAGCGAGTCGCTCTTGGCGAGTGCAGACAAGAAGCTGCGATCGTTGCAGCAAGTGCGTTCGTCAACGCCGCTTGACAACAAAGGTATGGTCTACCTTGCAGCGTGTGGCCCCTCGATTGTTCACTGTTGGGCGTAGGTTGGGCTTTGATACGTAAGAGGGTGGAGGACGTCATGATAGACATTGACCTCAGTCACAACTTGCCAGCTCGCATCAAGAAGTTCGCCAAAATCTTCGGCGACGTCAAAGCGGAGAACCTGGACGACGTGCACATTCGTTGGTGGCCCGGGACTGTGGATATCATTCTGATGGAAGGGACACCCTATCGTGACAGATTGTCCAACGGGGATCATTGGCCCCCAACTGGGAATGCGCTCGCAGCATTGAAGACCGAGGTACTGCGAGACGTCAAGACCTGGCTAGACAAGCAAAAGAAGGTGCTTGGGGACTTTGTACTTACCGAGAGCGACGACGATAGGGAACGTTTCCCTATCGGGACGGAACCTGCGGACCTCGTTAGTTGCATGCTTGTCTGCTGCATCTGCTCCAACACGGTTTGTTTCCCGGATATACTGGTTCATGCCTGCTTCAGGGGGTGTAGACGGACGATGAAGCGGGATGCCTTCGAACAGGAGCTCCAACGGCGCACGGACATGCTCGAGAAGAACATCTTGGAAACTCTTGGCTATTTTCCGTGGTCTCTCCAAGGCTATTCGAAGGACACGTCGGCGCCACGATCGTTAGCGGTGAACCTTAGGCCTTTGGATACTCGCGAATGCTTCGTCAACTGTGTTTTGACTTGTGGCAAGGACCCATGGCGCATGACCTGGCGTGACATGAACGACGGCAACTTCGTCTTCTGCCGGAAGGAGTCCGAGAGGCGTTTCACTGCAATGGATTGGCGTCTTGCAGTGAGTGTTTCTCGTGCCGTGCACGATGGTTTGTGCTTGACCTGTGGTCGCAGGCTCTCGATTGCGTGTCGCAGACGCAGGAATGGGTGAACGACCCGTTGATTGTCTCGGAGTATTGGAGGAAGCACTCGCGCCCTGAACTCCGTTTTGTCAAGAATGTCAAGGTCTGGTGGTGCGCGCGTTGCCCGGATCCATGGCTAGCTGGGCGCACGTACGCAGGAGTGGAGGCGCACGTTCTTGAAAGGTAAGCATGACCCGCGCAGGTTCTAGGGTCAACATGCTAAGGTATTTCTGGAGTCACGGGAAGGCACATTTGCAGGACGGCGACATCTACTGCGATCCCGATCAGTGGCGGAAGTGGACGAAACACTGCACGGTAGAGTTGGCAAAACCCTCGGCGAACGAGGACGTGGTATAATACGAGCTGTACCGCCTTCATTCTTGCGTGGTCTCTCAACATCATGTTGATATTACAACGAACTTTCTTCGGACGTCACAGTATGTTGTATTTACGTTGTATCTGTGTATGCTGTATGCTAGTCTGCGTATGTTCTGTATATGTGCACGAAAGATCCCCTTTGACCCGTGTGCCCAGAGCTGGCACCGCCCTAGTACTAGCTGAGAATCCTAGGCATACAAATTGAAGTACTTTTGGTCGGCAACAGAGACCACTAGTGGGAGAATCTATGTACCGCGCAGATTTGGTGCGGTCAGGACTGGAAGGGATCGGAATCGTGCTCTGCCTCTCAGCCAACCACTCCTAGTGCCAGACGATCGCCAGACGCACACACGCCTCCTCGAAACGCCACGGTCACGTGTAGCGTGTCGACGCGCGTGGTCGCTGCTCAGATCATAGATGTCCTACTGACAATATAAGTATCCAACCAGTAATTGTACCTCCCGCATCAACATTGAGACGCGGCGTTGCACTGTTCCAAGAATAACAGGTATATGTATGTGCAAGTGCCTGATTGTGACAGCCAATCAGATTCAGGAAAAGCTTAATTCAAAGAATGAGGATGATTCCTCCTCAGCCGGCCCCGCCTACATATGGTATGTACATAACGGCAGTAAGTACAATGCGGTGCCAAATCCTAAACCGCATGTTTTGGGGCGAGACCTGGCATCGCGAAGGTAGGAGCAATCAGTACTTAGTTATGCGATCCGTTGGTTTGACAGCGGGGAGACCAGGGGGAGACAGGAAAATATGCCTGACGTCGCAAAACTCGCGTGTGAGGACATTGTTTTCCCGTGGAATCAATGCTCCTTGCGACTCTGGAGTGAAGGACTCGGCGGATCCCCACAGTTCGAAGTGAGGTGCTGATTTACTGGGTCGCATTGATCCCTTTTGGTATCCTTGAGCGCCAACGTACGTGCAATTGTTGGGATCGTTAACCGAGCTCAGACGACCAACCGCGACACGTACTTCTCACACATTGCTCCAGTGATGCGTGCGGCGCTGTCACCCCGATGTCTTCGTAGCAGTTGAGTTGTCGCCCGCGGTTGCCCTTGTTCCAGTTTTGGGTTTCTGATCGGCGTCGCGTACAATCCCTGCTACTAGTTGCCGTTGTAGTCATGATATGAGGCCAGAACGTAATCGCTTGTGGTCACTCCGGTCCTGGCGCGCGCGACGAATGAATAGTGTTCGAGAGTGAAGGAGGTTGTGGGCCATGGGCGCAGCTGGCGGTCGTGTGCGAGGACACGGACGGTGTGGGAGAGGCGGACGGATGAGAAAGGCAAATGCCGGCAGCAGGGCTTCGCGATGCGGTGGCGGGGGCGACCATAAAGGGCAAGCGTGGTAGATTAGCCGAGCGCGATCGACTCGGGCTGCAGGGATGGTTGTGATAGGTCGCCATGCACCTGCCCCGCCTCCCCAGGCCGTGTCTGCCTCAGGTGCGCATCTCGTTACAAAAGCATCGCTGCGGGGCACGTCCTGCCCCCCTTTGCGCTCCCGAAGGCCCGCATGCCCGGCCTCTCCATGCTCGTGCCCTTCCATACCGCCACGTCAAAACTCAAGTCGCAGATGACAAACACATGGCCGCCATATCCTCCACCCGATGAAACGGAGCTGGACAAGGCCGTGCGCCTGGAGGAGGAGAAGGTCGCGAAGCGCATCAGGTATGGCCCTTCACATGTCCGCATGCGAGTGACTGTTCAACGTTCAACGTACTACGCGATCGCGCGACGCGCGACGGTAGCGAGGAAATAGACCGTCAAATCGAGTATGACCGGCAAGAGCTCAAGAAGAAACGGTCGGAAACAAAGATCTTACTCTTGGGTGCGCCGCGTCGTTGTCTTTCATTTCCGCCCTTCCCTCCAACTGATCGTTCATTTCTCCAGGCCAGGCTGAGTCGGGCAAGTCGACCCTCCTCAAAAACTTCCAGATCCAGTTCGCTCCGAAGGCCTTCGAGGCTGAAGTGGACGCCTGGCGCGCAGTCATCCAGCTCAATCTCGTTCGCTCGGTCAATGTCATCCTGGCATACCTTTCCAAGGCGAGCGCCGCCACCGCTGCGGCCTCGCCGCGCTTTAGCAAACCAAAGGACGACCTCCGGTGGTTAAAAATGCGCCTCGCGCCCTTGCGCCAGGTCGAGGTCATCTTGAACCGTCTGCTGGGCGTAAACGCGGACGACCCACAGAGCCCGAGCCCCGCGGACGTGGGGATGCATTGGGACAGCGACAAGTTGTCTGAGGTGGCTGTGGGCTCGGATTTTGGGTGGAGGACGCTGATGCGTACGGAGAAACCCAGACCGACGAGCCGGTTCTGGGATGACCTGGATGACGCTCGGAAGATTTTGGAGGCCTGTCGAGACGACATCGTGGCAATGTGTCATGACCAGATGGTTCAGAGTGTGCTCGACGAGGAAGGTATTGAGATCTTAGACGAGCCTGGCTTGTGAGTGCTGTCTGTAACATAATGTATTGGAATATTGACCTGGAGGTTCGGGTAGCTTCTTCGACCAAGCTTCTCGCATCTGCGCTTTGGATTATGAGCCCACGGCAGGTCAGTTCTCGTGCATGCGCGATACTAGTGAACTGATTCTTGCGTTCAGAGGATATCCTTCGCGCCCGGCTACGCACTGCAGGTGTAGAGGAACATAGGCTATGCATGGAGTCGCGTAGGTTCCCTCGTTCTGGCAGTCGTTCCATCGCCTGATTATCAGTGTCAGCTCCGTCAGAGAAGGGTCGAGAATGGGTGTTCTACGACGTCGGTGGCGCACGAGGGCAGCGAGGTATGTTCGTTAGTCATTCATTCCTCTTCACTTTGATGAACGCAATCACAGCTGCGTGGGCGGCCTATTTCGAGGACGGTGAGTACTTTGCATGTGTAAGGCCTAGTGTTGTCTAATCTCCTCCAGTCAACTCCGTCATGTTCCTCTGTCCCATATCGAGCTTTGACCAGGTTCTGAGTGAAGACCGACTTACCAACCGACTTGTCAGTGCCCTATTCCTGCCCGAGGAATGGTTCTTCTGAGCCCTTACACTTGTAGGTTGACTCGCTCAAGCTCTGGAAGACCATCTGTTCGAGCAAGCTGCTCGAGAATGCAACATTCATCTTATTCATGAACAAGTCAGATATCTTGCGGAAGAAGCTCGAAGCCGGTTCGTCCTATGCAATGCTATTCCACGCTTTCTGATCTCAAGCTGAATGTCACATCGGTAGGTGTTTGCTTCGCGACTCACGTCGAGCAGTACAAGGACCAGCCTAACGACTTCGAGCACGTCTCTTCATGTAAGCGTTGGATTTGCCTACCATTGCTCGGGTTGGGGGCTGACACGTCCTCCGCAGACATCCGAAAGATCCTCCTCTCCATCCACAAGGAGTGCTCACCCAAAAAGCGTTCGATCCATGCTCATACGACTTGCGCTACCGTAAGTCACTCTTCTTCCTTGCGTCCCCTCGTCTGACGAGCCATTCCACATCGATTAGGATACCATAATGATGTCACACGTGCTGGGCAGTGGTACGTGTTACTGTCTTGTGATTTCATTCTTGTTTGACCATTGTTGCTTGCAGTGCGAGACATCATCCTCATGAACGCTCTGGAGCAAACGCATCTCATCGGCTGAGGCCTGCTGAATCTACCATCTAATACATACCTTGTATAGTCGTGCATACACTAGCTAATCTGCGGAGAGTATTTATATGTCGTGGTAATATAGTCGTGCGCGTGGATAGGATGGATTGCTTGCAACGCATGTAGACTGATGCGGTGTCGTCACAATGGTGCTGTGACAGAGTAGTAGACATGCTTGACTCAGTACCCATGCTTGACTCAGTACCCATGCCCCAGGCCTCAGGCCTTCAACGTTCAACTTGGAGGTAAGAGTCAGTGTGACATCAGTGCCGTGTCCCAGCCCGGAACGCGCAACCCCTGCGTTTGGGCCGTCCCACTCCTTCTGCCTGAACATCATACTGTAACATTGTTCGCCAGCGCATATAGTCTCGTTCGCTTCAGCTTTTAAATTTTGGGAGATTCCATGCTTGATACCTCTAGTCATGCGGCGCAGAAACTTAAAGGCTAAGGCCGACTCGGAGGCTACAAGCGCGCTGCTTCCGCCTAGTATGGCATATTGCATCATCTACTAAGGGTGAAGTACGTCAGCTGAAGACATCACCTTCGAACTGCACAATCAGGTATTTTATATGCTTACAAGCATGACAAAGGGGTCGAACAAAGAGCTGAATATGCTTATTTGCATCCGGACGTAGCGGGCTTTAGGGCCAAGAAGTCTATTTGGCTGCCGCCTAAGCCGTAGTGCCACGATCTGAGTGGTATAGCTATTAATTCTGTCTGAAGATTTCTTGTGATACATCTGTCACCAATGACGAACCATGTAAAGGATACTACTGTATCACTGCTATTCAGAAAGGAGATGAGACTTCGTCAGCGTCAGCGCCTTCGTCTGCCGCGCGTGTGGCTAATACGCGCCTGAACTCATGTGACCGTGTTTGCCCCGTTCAAGTTTAAGGCTTTAAGCGACGCGGAAGCATCCTGCATACATACATCATCTCCGACACCTGCACTCATCTGCGCGACTTCGACTCGGCTCAAAGCTCGTGTGGAACCTTTACTCAAGATTGCAGAGCCTGACTGCGTCTCGAGATGCCTAGAAAGAAAGCCAAGGTCGTGGCCCATAGCGCGCCTCAGCCTGGGGTCACCGCAGCACCTCGCGCGACGACGTTGACGACGACGAAGAAACAGTTGCGCGGCAGACGCGGGTCTCTCAGCGATATGCCAAATATGCCTATGGATATTCTACTAGAGGTATGTGGTCTACGTAGCGACTGCTCACAACGCGGTGGCGCCGTCGTCGTATCTGCGGTGTTACGACAGGTCTGGCCCGGGGGCCATCGTACGGTTGAACTTGTCGCTACAACCTACCTGTTGGGCCGCGTATTAATCTTACCACTAACACAGATATTATCTCACTTAATGCCCATGGACTTGTTGAACTTGGCGCGCACTTCAAAACCGTTTCGAGCACTGCTCATATCTCGTAGTTCCGCTGGCCTCTGGAAAGCTTCTCGGCGACTCGTCGAGGGGCTCCCAGACTGTCCTAACCATCTCAGCGAGCCCGCATATGCCAACCTCGTTTTCTCCTCTCATTGCCACGTACGTCCATGCATGGTAGCAGTTCTTGGTTCAGTCTGACCGAGTCTACCTATGAGGATAGAACTGCTTGAAGTCCAATACTCAGAGCATTCTGTGGGAATTTGGAGTTCGCTACTGTAGCTCGTGCAAGAAGTCTCTGTAAGCTTGGTCGCATGGTGCAGGTTTCATCCTAGCTAAGCTATGGCTGCGACAGCACAGTGACGGATGGAGATGGTAGCGCCCACGCGCGCTTGATCTGCAATCACTTCAGCACTATATATTCACTCCTCAATTGCGTGCGTTGTCTCGAGTTCATGAATCATGGTTATTTTCCTCTCTAACCCCCCCTGTTCAGACAGAAATTTCCGGAAGGAAGTCCACTGTCTATCATGCTCCACAGATAGATGAAGTCAAGAAGGCAATGGATGAGCTGCTATCCGACCCGGAAAAGTGGGAACAGTATAAGCTAGAGCAGTGTCGGAGAGTAAGTGACATTGAAGAGGTCTGTGTCCACAATGTTCGTCGCCATCGAGTTTTACCAAGTCTGCACCAGAATGCATTTGCGTGCGCTCTGTGGGCTGCCAAGAGGGCTGATGCCAGAGCGGAGGAGTTAGATCAGGTCAGACATAGACGTCTACAGTTGTAGGTGGTCATTTGTGCCGTCTATATTCCGGACTTACGAGTGCCCCTCAGCGTTGTATCCAAATTGCGAGACATGGGCTGGGGGGAAGAGATAGACACACTCCCTGACGATCTGTCTCCTCTCAGCTACCACACACATGTTCGCCATGCAAAGGAAATGACTGAGCGTGGTACGCCGTGTCTGATGTCTGCGCTTCTCACCCTCAGCTAACTGATATCAAGCTTGGGACAAAATCCGCGATGAGATGTCAAGCTACATGCAGGATATCAAGGACCGGCGGGTGGCGAGCGAACGATCTGCAGTGCTCCGCGACCGCCTCAAGACCCTGTCCCTCCTCATCACTAGTTTACGGGACATCCTCGGGCGTGGCCCAAGCATGGAGTTGCATCCCAAGTTTGCCGACTACGCGCTCATGCCCGAGTTCCGCGCGCTCGTAGAGGCCCCGAATGAAGAAACGATCGACTGGGAGACAGTGACGGTCTTACTGGAAAGCTTGCCGAAGCTAAACTTGCGATGGCTACGGCAGCGGGTACTGCTATTAGGCAAGATGCTCGAGACTGCCTTAGGACGAGTGTCTGTGGAAACGGACGCAGAGCTTGAGAGGAAGGCGGACTCACAGAATACACCGTATGACCATCTGCTCGATCTCGCCATTGCCGTGCTCGAATGCCGGAAGTGCTCTGAACGAATGCCCGCGCTCGATGCCATCTCGCATCGATGCGCCCGTGGCTTGTCCTGGACACTCGCAGGAGGAGCTTCGGAACTCCGCTACCTGTCCCAATTATTGTCCGTCTCGCGCGGGGTGCGCCCATGGAGCATAGACTGTTTTGAGGTTCCAGACCTTGAGCCCATCAAGCGGACAATTCGTGCGTGCGGGAAGGACCCGGAGACGGTAACGGTGGATGAAATGGATGTCTTGGACGTGCGGCTAGCTGTGAAGGGCAGCTTCGTCGAGGGGAAGAGGAAGGTCATGACGTTGGCTGCTGTGGTGAGTAACGTACACAGCTATGCGAGCGCGACATTGACTGATGCCATATACAGCTACGTACTGGTCATGTTGACGAGACCGTCTGCGAGAGCGGATGGCAGTTTGAAGTCCTTTCTGAAGAAGACAAACATCGAGTCCTTGAGCTTGAACTGGAGGCAAGGGAGGAGCGCTTGTTATTCCCGGCCGTCCTGGAGGAGGACGCAGACTACTGGTGCTGCATGCTGTGCGACGATCAAGCGGCTTGCACGTATCCAGGCATATTGCACCATTTGAATTACATGTAAGTCTTCTCCGAGGTGTTCTATCCAGGTATTCATGTTGCGTTCTGTGACAGGCATGACGAAGGGGAAGGCGACGATGACGAATGTGTATTCTTGCATCCAGACGTGAAGTATCTGATGGCCAATCTTGAATCGGTTTTACTGCCACCTGCTTGAGCATCGCGCAACCCATCATGCATTTGAATCCCAAAACACTGACTCGTTAGTTCCAGAAGCCATTCCGGAAACCAAATCATCCCCTTTCTTGCACCGACTATTACGTGTAGTAATGACAAAATTTGGGTAATCGCTGTTGTCGTATCGTATAGTACCGTGAAGTAGTTGAGAGCTCTTGATATTCCAATGACAGATTTGTCTAACTCCTGAAACACGTCGTCGCCTACTCGGCGATCTCGAAAGCCATTTTGGCTTGGCATGCTACTCCTGACACATGCAGGTTGACATCAAACGGTGACTGCGGCTGTGTCGCAGGCAAGAGCACGTCTTCCCAATCCCTACGCTACTCTGCCGTAGAGCGTATGTCTACTCATGAGGCCAGTCCATCCGGCAGCTACTTATTGCTTCATTTTGCTTCATAAATGTTTACAGCTCTCCCGTTCAACTCCCGCTGGTAACAAATCCGGAGACGGATGAATCGATGAGTGCGCTTATTATCAGTCCGTTCCCACGTGACCGCGTTGTCGCGTTGGCCCGTCCACGCGACGCGGCCGCGGAGCCACTCAAGGGACGACCTCTTTGTACTTGCTCTTTCCCCCCCCCCCCCCCAACGCTCATCTTCCCTGTGTCATCTCTCCTCAACTCACTTGCGAACTACCGCACTCTGCCACAGTCTCTGCGATGCCCCGGAAGAAAGCAAAACTCACTCCTGAGAGCGCAGCCCCGAGTCTGCCTAACGCCCCTGTAGTAGAACTAAAGCCAATGGCATCTCACGCTCTGACGACCAAGAAGCAACTACGCGGAAAACGCGGACGTCTGCGGGATATGCCAAACATGCCTATGGATATCCTATTGGAGGTGCGCAATATTCTTGCAGTGGCCATGCATCTCCGCGCATGCGATGGGCCACAGCTCCCAACCGCGACACTAGTTTCGTCTCGGCTATCCTCCCTTCACCTGCGAAGCCATGATATGGCTCGCTATTTGTGCATGGCTACACTGTTCACGCCGGTTTTGCTTAGTGTAACTGACCGTTTGGTACTTGAACAGATCTTTTCGCACCTGCTGCCGATCGATTTATTGAATTTGGCGCGCACCTCAAAACCATTTCGGAGCCTTCTACTATCTCGCGGTTCCTCCAGTCTGTGGAAGGCGTCTCGGCGGCTCGTTGAGGGTCTGCCCGATTGTCCGGCCCATCTCAGCGAGCCTGCGTATGCCAATCTCGTCTTCTCTCCTCATTGTCACGTACGCCCTCGTCCAGTGGTTTTGACCCTATGCATGCCTGATTGTACTGTGATAGAACTGCCTAAAACCTAATACTCAGAGCATTATATGGGAGTTTGGAGTCAGGTATTGCAGCTCCTGCAAAAAGTCTATGTAGGTTCTATGCCACAGTGAGCGTGGCTCTGCTTGCTGACTAGCGAGACAGGATGGTGAAGCTGTCGTTCGGTGGTCCGTATGGGAGATTCCTACGCGACAACTGGCTGAACGTGCTTGTCTTGCTCAACAAGGTACCACAGACCCGACTTCACAACTGCTACGATCTTGAGCTCATCCTGTCTCAGACGCGGATCAAGAAGAACACCTTCTACCATGGTCTGCAAATAGAACAAGTCAAGCAAGCGTGGGACGGATTGCATGATGATGCAGATCGTCGGTCTCAATACGTGTCGCAACAACGACAAAGAATTCAAGATATACAGAAGGTGAGTGTCATAAAAGGGTAAGCTTGTTGATCGACTGACGAATATACTCAAGCATGCACAAGCGTGTTCTCTGTGGGCTGCAAAGAGGGCTGACGCCAGAGCAGAGGAATTGGAGCAGATCAAACGGATGCGTTTACAATTGTGGGTTCATCTTATCGTGCGCCGCTTATTCCTTACCTTACACGAGTCGTTCAGCATCGTGTTAAAGTTGCGCGACATGGGCTGGGGAGAAGAGATAGACAAACTCCCTGACGACATGCGCATGCTCGCCGACCATGCACAAGTGCGTCCTGCGAAGGAGATCACTGAGCGTGGTACGTCACGACTTATCTAAGTTGCTGCTCTTGGCTGACCCAACTTTGAGGCTGGGAGAAGATTCGCGATGAACTCTCGAGTTTCATGCAACAAATCAAGGACCTTCGTGTTGGGGAGGAGCGGTCTACACTCCTACGTGAGCGCCTACAGACCTTAGCTTCTGTCATATCCAGTATGCGGGTCCGACGAGGGCGCAGCTCAGCCACGGAGCGCTTCCCGAAGTTTGCTGATTTCGCGTATATGCACGAGTTCCGCGAGCTAGTCGAGGCCCCAAATGAGGAAACCATCGACAGAGCGGCGTTTGAGGCGCTGGACGTCCCCACGGTGGATTCACGATGGATGGTGCAGCGATTGACACAATTGAAGGAGCTATTCGAGGAGTCGTCAAACAGCATACAAGGAGACACGCATCAAGAGCAGCGTGAAGTCGGCATGGTCGAATTCCTCGGTCTCGCCGTCGCAGTGTTCGAATGCAAGCAGTGCTTCAAACGCATGCACGTTATCGACACACAAGCGCATCGATGTGCGCGTGACGCGGGCATGTACTGGTTCCTTGACCGTGACGATGACCGAGGGTCAGAGCACAGTTACGAACGGCAGGTGCGGCGCGTCGCCCGTGATGTGTACACTTGGGACATACATAAGTTCCGAGTGCCTGACCTCGAACCGCTGAAGAATATAATACGGATGTGCGGAAAGGACCCGGCGACAATAACGGCGCAGGAGATGGACGACTTGGACGTGCGACTTGCTATCAAGGACGATCTCATCGACGGGGATAGAAAGGTGATGACGTGGGATACCGTGGTAAGTAATGTGCACGATACCCAAGACGGGCCACCTACTAATGCTCTCATAGGTGCGCATAGGTCACCTCGACCAGACCGTTTGCGACAGCGGATGGCACTTTGAAGTCCTATCTGAAGATGACAAGCGCCGGGTTGTTGAGCTAGAACTGCAACAGAAAGACGAGATAATGACAGACATCCTGATGTCTGCGAAGAAATACTTGTGTTGTGCCTTATGCGATGAAATGGCGAGTGGGACCACATTCCCCATTCTCATGGAGCATCTGGAGGCGAGGTGAGTGCTAACTTGAGGCCTCCGGACCTAATGATAGGTAGACTAACGTTTTATCGCCGATTAGTCATAATATAGGGGGTATGGACAGAGCCGAGTATCTGATCCTACACCCAGACGTAATGTCTGCCAAGTGCAGACACGTTTGTCTACCTCCACCATTCGATTAAACTCTACGACATCTACTCTTTTGGACAAGTTGTGAACCCCTGTAGTTCTGTCTCATCCGATGAGGTGTGTGGATCGCGTGTCGTTTTCCATCACCCTTGGCATCGGTAGCAGGACAGAGAGATACGTCGATTGAAGACTGGAGCGACACTATCTTAAATGACACGTCGCGCTGTCTGAGCCTGTATAGTGTCAACTTACATCGTAATGTAGTTTCATTCCAAAAATTTGTCGCAATCTTGTAACTGTTTCAAGACCCTGCCGGCGAACAAATGTGCAGCGGGAAAGCCCCTGTAAAGGTGCCATGATTGAGTGACAGATGGGACCAAGACTAGGAACGCAGCTCTTCGCGCATAGTGGAACAATGAACAGGCTGTGATGCATGTGATGGAGCAGGTGGCTTGTATGTACAGACAGCCGTCTGTGAAACGGAGCGAGTCTGAGCTGATGATGGTAGAGCGCGCGGCTAAGATACATACAGGATTCGAATCCCCACTCACATATATTCTTACAACAACATGATAACGACCTGACTTCAATGACAACAGCTATATCTCGCTCTCGCCAGTGAACGGATGTGCGTAGAAGTCCAGACGGCCGCTTGCGTACGCCTCACCCGCGAAGAGCCCCTTGATTGCCGCGTTCCGCGCCTTGCACGCCTCCACGCCCTGCAGGACGCGTCCTTCGCCCTGGCGGCGTGCGCCGAGGACGAGTTCTGTTGTGCGCGCGATGCGGAGCTGCTCGTACTCGGAGAAGATGGTACCAAGGAGCTCGGTCGAGGGCGGCGCTGCGTCTGGATTGTACTTCGTGAGTAAGCGCACGAGGTGGTAGATGTCCTCGAAGGCTTGGTTCGCGCCTTGGCCGAGGTGCTGCGTGTGGAAAGCTCAGTCGAGGCAGAACGATGAGGGATGGGGAAACACACAGGGCTCGTAGGATGCGCGGCGTCGCCTAAGAGGGCAACGCGGCCACTGTGCCACGACTCGAGCGCTGGTCTGTCGTAGAGCCCATACTGCCAATAGGTGCGCATGATGAGCCGCCATCACCAGTGCGTCATCCGTACCGCTTACCTTAATGTTAGTGTGCGCGGATTTGACGAGCTCCCCCGCACCGAAAGGCCACTGCGACCAAGGGCCTTCCTTGAAGCGATTCTGCTTCTCTTCGACTATCGAGCGCCAGGACTCCTTCGCCTCTTCCTCACGGCGAGTGATGCTGCAATGCATAACATGAAACTAAATAGACCGGAGACAACTGAGGGGTACTCACGCCCAAGACGTTTCTCTGTCATTGACGGGATATGCTACCATGTGTGCGCCGTCTGCGTAGACATTGAGCATGGTCGGATGCGCTTTGAGAACATCGGGGGTAGGTGATACCCCGCCCGTCTGTGTGTTTAGGGGTACGTGAGCCGTCGTCAAGATGAAGTGCTACGATGTTTGTTCCCCACCTGAGTCAGACCGGTAAATTTAGCAGACTCGCTTCCGAAGAGACAGACACGCGTGTTGCTGTGTAGCCCGTCGCATCCGATGACGAAGCTCGCGGTATCCTTGGCACCATTCGCGAACGTCACTTCGACGCTGTCAACCTCCTGCTTGAGCGCCACGAGCTGATGGCCGAATATAATCTCCACGCCGTGGCTCTGCGCGACCTCAATGATGGTTTGGTTGAATACAGAACGGCGGACACCGATAATCGGGAAGCCTGCATATTGGGATAGCTGGGACACGTCGACGTCCACTAGTACATCAGTCTCGTCTTGGAGGAAGGAGACATGTTGCATCTTCTCGACAGTTTGGCCGATGAGCTTCTCCATAAACCCCGGAATGAGCGCCAGTACGCGCAGGCCATTAGGCTGCATGCTGGTATGCAGTGATCAGTGGCTACCCACAGAAATTATGGAAGAGTTGCGAATAGTGCTCACCAGAGACTCAATCCGACGTGGGCTAGCCCTTCGACGCGTTCGTATACGATAGGGTTGTATCCCTTGAGTTTGAGAAATGTGGCCAGGATAGGGCCAGCGATTCCCGCACCTGCGATGATAACCTTTGTTTCTGTGGTCATGGTGAAGGAAGGGGAGATGTGTACGCGGTAACCCTGGGCTGTGAAGTAGAGTACCATCGTCGGCAGCCTTGTATAGTACCGTGTCAGGCAACTCCTACAGATCGCCGCATGACATGAGCACTGGTACCGGTTAAAACGCCCTATGGAACTGTACCACAGCATCTTCGCAGTCTGCCGCACAGTACCTACATACCGTTCGGCCTGATCGGGTTAAGGCCGGCCTGATGGACAGTAGTCTCCGCTGCTGACCAAAAAAGATACTCTTGGGTGAACAGATGTTATGATTTGTCTGTGGCGATGTCAGAACGTCAGCCTTAGCATCGGGGGCGAGATCTAGAATGATCCCATTTAGTCCCAGGAACGCACTAGTACGCCACGCGCTGACTGGGACTGTGTCCTTGAGAGCAGCCGCGCGACGCTCTGCTGTCGGGTAGTGTCGATCATTACAATGCTCGCGCAGTCTCGGAATCAGGACTGTCATGATCTGGAGGCTAAGTCAGTCACTCGCGCAGCCAAACACTTCACAGTCGTACAACTCACCACCGCAACGAGCTGCCACTTGAAGATGTTCGAGGTTCACCGGTACTTCAAAGTCTGTCTTGCCACAAATGTTCGGCAAGTAACCAAGTAGTATGCAGAGACCGTGTGCGTCGAGGATGCCGGACTCGGGCCATATCAAACAAGATAGTTGCAAAAGGAGGTCCACATTTCGTAATGACATTCAGTCGGATCCATTACTGGAGTTCATGCACATGCTTGTAGTACTGCGCTCGCGAACGAGACAGAAGAATGTGAACGTACAGAGGTAGTATGTCAGGTTTGGTCAAATTATAGACAGATAGTGCAGTCCTCCTGTCTGACTAGTCCTGTATCAAAAACAAGAGTAAGTATCTCTTTTTGGTCAGTAACGGAGACTAGTCCTGTCAACGCTATGTATACGCAGCAGTCAGTGACAGAAATTGATCGTCGAGGAGGAGGAGGCCGCGGGCGTTCAATTGTCAGCGCTGGACGCTGGAAGTTCATTTATGACAACGCACCTGCTGGTGAACGAATGACGCCCCAAGCCCAGGGCCTCCTAGTAACCATACCGCTGCAAAGGTTGGTCAACGTCGAGGATATACTTATACTAGTAAAACGGTACTTGCTCACACTGTACCGTGCACAGCCGCTCCGGGGTTCGCCCGATCATCCGGCCCGGCTACAGTGCCCGGGCTACTTTGTAGAGCTTCAGCGCTTCAGCTTCGTCCGCGTACACCACCTTCTGCGACTCGTTGCGTCCTGCACGCCTCCTCGCCTTGTTTGCGTGCCTTCATGAGCTTGAATCCAGATGTACGGGCGATGCGGAGCTGCTTCAAACTGTGCTGGAAGAAGACAGCACCGAACACGGTAGTAGATTTTCTCGAACACTTGGTTTGCGCCTTTGACGATCATAACGGCCAGTGGTCCTGCGCTACTTAAGTAGCGGATACGGAAACACCGCATACCGGACTCGTGGAATGCGCAGCGTCTCCTAGAAGGGCGACACGTCAAGTTGTGCCATGACCCGCGGAGTCTGGCCGGTCGTAGTGCCCGAACTACGACATTGCGGCGTCGCACCGCCAGAGGTGGGCTGGACGCATGTCCATGATTTGGTCCACCGTGCGGACACTGGCAAATTCCCCAGCGCCGAAAGGCTACTAGGACCAAGAGCTGCATCCCTGAACTGCTCCTGCTGCTCATCATCGATGGGCGACCGCCGACGTGGCTCTCTCTCCTCGCCTCGCCATGTTATCCTGCAACTCGTGTCGATAATTGGCTCGTATAGAACAAATCACGGTCTGCAGAGTACTCCCCTCCATGACGTCTACGTGCCGCTGATTGGGAACACGATTGGGTGCAAGGCTTCTGTCAAGGTGAGTCTTCCGTATACCGTTCGGCTAGACAAACGACTTGTCTCTCCGCGACATTCAATTGTCAACCACCCCACGTCATCCTTACCAGAGGCGGAGGAGACGCCCACTACGGCGCTGTCCGGTGTTATGCGCGATAGACTGGGTGTACGCATAGCATCAAAGCTCTTGAGGCTCGTTGGGCGAGCTGCATGTCATATCCCCGCTGATGCCCCATACATATGTTCGCGCAGGGAAGGGAGCGTTTAATAGCGACGACACTCAGAAGTTTCTATTGATTTTGGGCCTATCGTTGTGCCTTGCAATGCTGATGTGTTAAAACACATTGACCTGCGGCATCATGCTACGGCGCAGATGACGAACAAAGCAGTTGACAGTTCTAAGAAGGCGATCACAGCATCTACAACTCATTGACGCGGGTGCGTACAGCAAAAGGTACGAATGCAAAACTTCCTGTGAAGTTTGATCGCACTGTGGGGCTGTTCCAGCGGCCCCGCCTGTGACCGATTCAGAGCCTCAGACGTATTTTCCGAGCTCCATTGACCAGGATACATAGATCGTGCGAGACACGGACGAACCATGGTGTCTCCTCAGGATTGTCAATCTCAGTCTCATTCAACATTGCGGCGGCCAGACGGGTTCATCGTAGGTCATCCGACGCCACCGGAGTCACTTCATCGTAGCATATCGTGAACAGGGAGGTAGTACACTTGCCGCTCTGAGCATGTTGTGCTGACTTCGGGTAGTCCACCACGCCAGTAAACCGATCTGTCAATGTGCTCCCTGTATCAAACCCTCCACGAACTGCCTCAATTCGGCTCCGGTGCCCGGTTCTGCTCTGGTACGCCCGCTACCTGCACGCGGTCACACATCGGCGATGAAATGATTTGTGCTCGCAGAACCATATTCCAGTTTGACAAATAAGTTGTCCTTGGACTCGTACAGGGATTCAGGGGCCTCACCGTGACGTGGCTTGTAGACGTACGCCATTAGACCATCGGGAAATGGAAGTTAAGTAAATAACCAACCACTCGACTTGTTGCAAGGTCCAGGGCTCACGCCGGGGCGCTAGCAGGGACTGAACGGCATGGATCCATCAAGATTCAAGGAACCCCGATGCCAAGCATGAAACCTAGTTGAGAAACACCCTTGCAATAGGAACCCAGTCCCGACGGACGCCCAACCCGTCGCTGTATATAAGCAGGGGGTACAACCAGCATTCCTCAGCTCAGCTCGTTTGCTTCTAGCTCACCGACAGCAGTGGTACTGGTTGGTGAGTCTTCGACGCCGTCTGCGATCGATGCGCCATCATGCTAACGAGGTGGACTGTAGCCCTGCTTGATTAACGACCGACCTTCCACCTCATTCTTCGACGACACCGTTCATAACCTACGAATAACCCACGATGCGCGTTGGAACAGCTCTGTCGCTCGTTCTGGCAACGTTCGCGGCTATCCCCGCGTCGGTGCTTGCCTTGCCCGTCGACTCCCGAAGGTGAGCGCACAATTCCGCCTCGAGTTGTCTTGACGAGGCTGACGTGTCATCGCAGTGTGGACCTCCAGGAGCGTGAGTTCGAGTACGACACGGAGATCATGGCGCGTACCCTGGTCAACATGCTCAAGGCTCGGGAAGTCACCCCGGTGTGGCACGAGGTGCGTACACCTATGCCCTCGGACCCACCGAGGTTCAACAAACACAACCTGATGAACGGTCCCAAGCCGGGTCACCTGGAGAAGATCCCTCGACCGATCCAGAAGTACCACCGGAAAGGCCCCCACACGCTGCCTCAGAAGTCCGAGGGGTCGAGGCTCCTGCAGACGCCGCCCCGCTCGCTTGAGGAGCTCGAAGAGCTGGAGGCCCGCGATGCCCTGCGCTGGTGGGAAGCGCGAGACGTGCCGGCGCACACCGAGCAGGGCCGCATCAACGACCCCAAGCCCGTCCACTCCCAGCAGCCTGAGAACCCTCACTCTCACCCGATCCCGCACAGACCCCAGCCTGAACGCAAGTCGAAGGGCTCGAGGGTCTGGCAGACGCGCCCGCGGGCCCTCGACCTCGAGGAGCGCGCGTACCTCGATGACATGGAGCTCGAGACCCGCGAGCCCTCGCCTAGTGACCCTCCGCCGTACCAGGCGCATGATCCACTTCCTGGATACTCGCAGCGTGATCCTAACCCCCCTCCGAAGTACAGCAAGAAAGACCCCAAGAAGTCGTGGTGGAAGTTCTGGAAGAAGCCACGATCCCTGTATGTCGTAACTATGGAGGATATGGAGTAGATGTTGCGGTTTGCACATTTGTAGTCGTCGTCTACAAGTTCATGAACAAGATGGTGACCATTGTTACTTGGGAAAGCTGAGGGAAACCAAAGTCTCGAGACTGAACTTCCAACCTGCATGGCATGAAGCGACTTCTCAACAGAGCACATTCATAAGACATGCAATACGGCCGGCTACAAGCCCTGAAATACGCCTAACATAGTACAAGCGGCCACTGTGAAGTTGATACCCTCCGTCATATCTCGCTCTTGCCGGTAACGAACGGATGCTCGAAGAACTGAAGCCAGTTCTGCGTGAAGTTCTCGTCAGCCCACATCGCCTTCAGCGACTCGTTCCGTGCCCTGCACGCCTCCTCTCCCTGAAGGACACGCAAGTCTCCTTGCTTGCGCGCGCCCTTCACAAGCTCCGACGTACGAGCGAACCGGAGCTGCTCGTACTCGGAGAAGACGGCGTTGAGTAGCTCCGGGGATGGTGGCGCCGCAGAAGGGTTGTGCTTCCCGAGGAGGCGGACCAGGTGGTAGATGTCTTCGAACGCCTGGTTCGCGCCCTGGCCGAGGTGCTGGCGTTGACAGCCATGTCAGCCGGGGTTTCTCCGTAGAGGCATGATAGGACATACCGGACTCGTGGGATGCGCCGCATCTCCCAGAAGAACGACGCGGCCCTTGTGCCACGACTGGAGTTCTGGCCGGTCGTAGAGCCCATACTGCGATATTATGAGGACGTCAGTTTGGAGCCGCAAAGGTTCAGGGAAGTGCTGGGCTTGGCGAGACGAACCTTCACAATCCGGTCTGCAGTGCGGACGAGTTCGCCGGCGCCGAAGGGCCACTGGGACCATGGACCCTCCTTGAACTGCTTCTGTTGTTCCTCGTCGACCGAGCGCCATGACTCCCTCGCCTCGGCTTCCCGTCGTGAGATCCTATAGCTCTGGTCTTCAGTTTCTCTTGCGTGATGAAGATGATACTGCATTGTACTCACGCCCAAGACGTCTGGTTGTCGTTGATTGGGAACGCGATTAAATGCGCACCGTCGGAGTACACGTTCAGCATGGTACGATGCGCCTTGTGACTCTCGGGCGTCGGAGAGGTTCCGCCAGTCTGGTAACAAATGCGCATGAAAGCTGCTCTCTTGCAGAATCATCGATTCACCTACCTGGGTGAGTCCCGTGTAGTCAACAGACTCTCGGCCGAAGAGACATGTGCGCGTGTTGCTATGCAGCCCATCGCAGCCGACCACGAAGCTTGCGTTGTCAACGACGCCATTCGCAAAGGTGACCTCGACGCTGTCATTCTCTTGCTTGAGCGACACGAGCTGATGGCCGAAGATGATCTTGATGCCGTGACTCTCTGCAACTTCCACGATGGTGCGGTTGAAGAGCGGCCGTCGAACGCCCATCATGGAGTATCCCGTTGCCTCCGGGAGACGAGACGGGTAGTCGACGTCGACTAGAACGGCAGCTTCATCGCCAAGGACGGAGCAGTGCTTGAATCTCTCCAAAGGCTGGCCAACTAGCTTCTCCATGAAGCCGGGGATCAGTCCCAGCACGCGCAAACCATTCGGTTGCATGCTGCCAGCGAGTAGGCGTTTCGACATCGTCAGTCAAAAACAAATACATGACGAACGATCACGTACCATAGAGAGAGACCGACGTCGGTCAGAGCGTCCACCCTCTCGTACACGATAGGGTCGTACCCTTTTGACTTGAGTAGAATGGCAAGCACAGGGCCTGCGATGCCTGCACCGGCGATGATGACCTTGGTTTTGTTCTCCATGCCAAAGCAGTTCCTCGTCACGATAACGATGAATGAGTACTTACAACGAGCAGCAGTAACTTGAACCAGTTGGGATCATGGCGCGTTATATACAGGGATCAGGATTGCACACGCTTCCCGCTCCAAAACATCTTCGGTTGCGATATGCTTGCCTAGTCAGACGGGATACAATGCAGATCCGCGTTCGTTCGGAGCGCGAGGCATGAGGCTGCTCAAACGTTCTCCGTCCTCAGCGCTTCCTCTCGTCCGAGCGGGCGCTGGCCGATCCCGGTCGCCAAATATAGATAAGATGGCCCTATTCGCGTCACGTGCGAACCCGACAAGTAGGTCTATGTCCTAGTGACTAGTCGGACGCAACCACAACCCCGACGTCCGATCCCTATGCGGACACGTCCAGGCAGGATCCGTAGGTCTCACTACAGTGTAGACTACAGTCCGATCGGCATAAACCAGCCTCGCGTGCCTCGTGGTCGCCGCCGACTGTCAAGCCAAAGTGTCGCAGCCATCTTGCCTAGGCCTTTGTCAAGTCTATAAGCTTCAACGAGATTGCCTGCCACGTCGTAATCAAATGGACGTCACACGTCGTTGTTGAAAACCAGAGATAAGTGTGCCGGTATTCAAATAGTGAAGCTTACACTCGCTACTCAGTTCATGCAATGAACAGAAAACATCATGAACATCCGTCAACTAGTATGCCCATCTACAATACTACGCCGGAGAGGGATTAAGAGGAACTCCTGTCAGCTATCATGAAGTACATCCTACATAGGATCTAACCCTTACGATGCAATTGCTTCGAGTCTTGCTTTGACTCAGTATCGTCATCGTATGGCGGCGGAGGGGCTTGGGGAGGAGGAGGGCCCCCAGGCGGTCCTTGTCCACCTGGCGGGCGTCCTTGTCCACCTGGTGGAGGTCCTTGGCCGCCTGGTGGAGGTCCTTGACCACCACCTCCGTTGTTAGGCCCCGCTCCGTTCGGTCCGCCTCCCCCTGGCCCCGCACCCCCGACAGCGCCTCCTGCGGCAGCACCAGCAGCGGCACCTGCCGCGTATCCCAGAGCAGGGAGCGCACCTCCCATGGCGACGCTCTGGCAAACGGCGAAAAGCGATCCTGCTGCGACGTTACCGATGGATGCCTGGATTGCCGCTGCAAGAGTCCCTGACAGCCCCTGACAGCAGAGCCATGTGAGTACGTTGAGATTAGCAGCGGTGTATGGAACCTGACCTATGACAGGACCAGCCGCACTGAATCCAACAACTCCCAACGCTAACGGAGCGACGACCGGTGCAAGTAGTGCACCGGCCGCTGCACCGGCTACGGTCAGGCCTATCGAAATTTCGCTTTTCCCAGCCCATCGTCATTATGGCCCACCGTCAAGTCAACCTTCAACACTCACCGGCATCTCGGACATCTCGCCACGCCCGTAGCTATACACCCTGGCAGGTGGTATTCATGCGCGCATGTCGGGAAGCTTCGCACAGCAGCCTGGGCCGCCGGCAACGGCTGGTTGCATTTTGTACAAAGACGTGCGGGGGCACCCATCGTACAGGAACCTCAGGTAGAGTCCGAGTCCGCGGTGCTGGCATCATGTCGTGAAGTATATGTACTCCACGAAGCTACGCCAGTACTCGGAACCCGATAAGCCACCCTCGCCGCCATCCAAGCTTCGAATCCTCATTGCGTCCTTCTTTGCCTCGAGTTGCTTTGCACGCGGGATTGTTCAGCGAGGTAAGGTTCAGGCCGATAGTCTTCATATTCATTTCCGCCGACTCACTCTCTGCATGCGTTTCAGCACATTGCCTTGCGGCGAACACCGAAGCACCTTCAAGTTCATAACTTCAATTTCTTGCCGTCACATGTCACTCAAGTGATGATCTAGACTCACCGGACGACTAACACACTGGATTCAATTGTACAGTCTCGTTGAAGGAGCCTTGGTAGTATCCGAGCTGCCATTTACGCCTATGCTGCATCATCATGTGTACGGTCACAGGGCCGGGCTGGAAGCGTACGTGGAAAACTCACTGCCAGCCTCGTAGCTCCATTTCATACACGTCTCGACTCGGAAGCTTCGTGATAGTACTTGCGGTCTGCAATACCGTTCTGATAGTACTACAGTCTACTGCGGACCAGTTACCATGAACAGTACGTAAGCTCATTGCTCTGACGGTAGGAAAGCCAAGGCATAGCACCCACCGTTTAGGTTCACGATCCCTATCGCGTCCCTCGAGCAAGGGCTCAGGCTGGAATAAACACGCCCGTGTGGAAGGCCTTCCACGCCCAGCATCTGGAACCTCACCGTCCTTCCAGGGTCGCCGAACCTATACTCTCCCATCATCATCGCATGCAGGGCGGACGATAAGGAGATGCTGACAGTCAGACATCCCAGCCTGTTCGTCGCCTGACTCGGCTAGAGTCGGGACACGACACCGCAGACGCACTAGGCCGCGGTCATCATACCAGCCAGCCAGTTCATGAGCTCGCAAGGACTTGAAGCACCCGTCTCTCACTGCCGAAATCCCGGATGACCCCCTAATCTCATAACGAGAAGAGAGCAAAGCCATTCGATGTTCCGGCAACAAAGCATCCAATATTCAGTCCCCACGCATCCTCCACGCTTCTACTGCAGCTCGCCTCAGATGATTCCCAGCCACGTCCCCAGCGCCCCCGCAGTCCCTGCAATGGCACCCGCACCCGCATACCCTACCGCAGGCAGAGCGCCGCCCATCGCGATAGCCTGGGCACCGGCAAACCAGCCTCCAGCGATCACGTTGCCAATGCCGGCCTGGAGACCAGCCGCGATACCGCCTACAAGGATGTGATGCAGTCAATACGCACGGATCCCAGCGTGAGCGTGAGTGAGGGGCCACTGACCAGCGACTGGCCCTGCTGCGCTAAAACCGAGAAACCCCAGAGCGGGGCCGGCCAGGAAGGGAGCGGCGACCATGCCTGCTCCTGCGCAGACGGCGACCTTGCCGGCTTCAAATAGCCAGGACATCTTTGAGTCGTAGGGATAGGAGGGTGTGAATTCGTCTGAGTGCGTCGTTGCTGCGTCGAGCCTGACGGTACGAGCAGAGCCTGATGTGAATGGCTTTGAGGAACACTCAATTTTTAGTATAAGGGGTGTCGGATCAAATAGGGCAGTGTACACGACGCCCTGTCGACTTCGTGGGACTCTGGGAGGCTCCTCGCGTTTGAACCGGCAGGCGGCGCTTGCGTCGAACCTTATACCATCAAACTCAACCTTATGAACGCTCCTACGCGAGGTCTACGTACCTCGACGTTAACGAGCCTCCCTGCGAAGCTTCATGGCTACCAAAACATAAATCCGCACCCACAAGCAGAGCTTGCTTCGCATGAGGACCGTTGCCAGTGATGTCTAGTCCGAATACGGTCCGATTCAGCCTTCTCGACGCGGGGGCACCGCTCGCGGAGGAGGCGGTTTCGCAAAGCGACCTCTATGCAACTGTTCTGAATTGTTTCAGCACTAAATCTTCCATGCCGATAGCTGAGGTGTGGACTTACACGCATATCGTGCATTTGGTACCGTCTGAAACGGCCGTAACACGGTCGCGCTCTGTGTGGTGGGGTCACAGAGAGATACTGTGACTGTTACGACACTCTGATTTAGCCAAAATTGGATCGCTCTGCGCAGGAATCCCAGTACCGATACCAGACAGGCCAGTTGTCAAATTGCTTCTGCTCGACGCCACCGGAGCGAACCACAGCACCTGCCAAATGCAGGCCACGCGGCGTCATGGTGGCGTCGCTGTCACGCGCTGCACATGACGTTGGTGACGCGTCCTCTCGCCCGACGCGCCCGTCGCGCCGTGGAGTGCGTCCGACAGGCGTGAGCGGGACGCGTACTGAAGGTATATATATATACGAGGCGAGGATTTCGTGACGGACACTCTCCCCTTCTCGACGCGAGCATACCTCCCCACGCAACGTGCCCGAGCATGTTGTCCACATCTCGTCTCGCAACCGGCCGCACGAAGCTCGTTCCGCATGCGATTGCACGCTTCGACCTCGCAGCGCGACGCGTAGCGGGTCGACGTATCGCGCAGCGATTCCAGTCGACGCCGAGTGTCAGTCAGTCAGTGAGTTCACAATCCTCAGCCGGCACACACATCGCAGCGGGAGTCGCCGGCGGAGCAGTCGTTGTCCTGGGAGGCGAGTCCCACTATGTACACTCAACATCCCCTGATGTGACTGACAACGCATATAGGCTACGCATGGTACCATTTCTCCGGGGCAAAGACCGCGGTGAACGCAGCGAAGCAGGCGCACGGCTACTACGAAGACACCAAACGCAGCATCGCCGAAAACGCTCCCAAGAACCCGAACGAGGTGATCGAGTTCCTTCGGAAGACGGCCAAGACCTACGTGGGCGTGATCCCCGGCGCGTCATCATACGTCGACTCCACGTTCGATGCGCTGGGCGAGCTGCACGCGACGCACGGCGAGGAGGTCGAGAAGATCCTGCAGCAGGGGTACGACGAGATCAGGCAGATATTGCAGGATGGGAAGAGTGGCGCGGACATGCAGACGGGGTTGAAGGTCATGGAGGTGCTACAGCGTAGCTCGAGCCAGCTTGAGGAGGTCGGCAAGAGAGCTGGCCAGGACGCGTTCCAAAAGCTCGGCGAGCGCTATCCCGAGCTGAAGGAGAAACTCGGAGGGAAGTACGACGAGCTGAGGAAGGCGGCAGAGAAAAACGGGCCGGAGGCGAAGAGGATCTATGAAGAGACGACAAAACAGGTACGTACAGGCTTCCTGACGCGCGTTCCTCGCAGCAAACCGCGCATATACCCAGATTGGGAAGATATTCTCCTCGGGCTTCAGTCCTGACAAGCTGAACGAAGCACAAGAGCTCGTCCGATCCAAGGCATCGGAGATAAGCGAAGCCGCGGGCGGGACATCGCAGGAGGCATGGGACAAAGTGTTGAAGGAGGCGACTCCGTACCTCGACAAGTTGCCTGACATCCGCAAGCTAGTCGAGGATAACGCATCCGCGTTTATGGCAGCAGGCCTGTCGCAGGGCGGCGCCGCACAGGAGGTGCTTGCTCGCGTGAAGGAGGCGGCAGAGGGTGGTGCAGCGAAGAATAAGGAGAAGCTGAAGGAGCTGAAGGACTTCGTGCAGGCCAAGGCAGACGAGGCGCGGCAACGCGGAGAGAAGGGCTCCCAGGGCGGATTGCAGAGTCTGCAGGAGTGGATACGGGGCATGCCGGGCGGGGAGGAGGCGCTGAAGAAGGTGCCGGACGTGAATGTCGAGGCTCTGATGCAGGTCGCGCAGAGTAGAGGCGACGATGCGAAGAAGCTAATGGGCGAGACGTACGAAGACATCTTGAAGGTCCTCCAAGAGAAGGCGAAGAAGGCGGAGAAGATCGCAGCGGAAGGGAAGGAGGAGGCGAAGCAAAAGTCATCGTGAGCTGTTGGCTCAGATGCTAAAGGCCGTGTGTCGTGTGCTACACATGGGGACGGATGATCACCGGTATGTGGACGTTAGAGCAAAGCAACATACGGACATACGGAGGACTGGGCATGAACACGGCTTGTATTGCGTGGGAGGGATTTGCGTCAGCCACAGGGTCTTGAGGCTCGTGCGTTTGACCACAATGTCTTGTATCAATGAAAGGGGTGAAACATGTTGCCGACCCCGGTCTCCGCGGGTAGTACTGCGCCGGTAAGCGTCGTATATCATCTATCTCGGACATAAGAACGACATAAGAACGACATAGACATGCGGAATCACAGGAGATGTCACTGTGATGTCGAGGACGCACATAGACATGCGATCCTGGATGGGACAATCAGTCACATACAGCCGTGATGAGTCGGAAATGCTGACCGGGGAACAGTGTCTAGGCACCGCAGCAGGTAGAACAAGCATATGGATCAGTCGTGTGCACCGACTCACGTCCGACAACACCCACCGCACTAGCAAGACAGACACATCAGCATTCATCACACGACGAGAACCTCAACCAGATGTCGAAGAGCCGCGCGTCCCACTGGCAGCGCGATATAGTCCACCGGTGCAGTGGACGCACCGCCACCACACCAACAAGCGAGCTGTGTGCCTAGTCCACCCGGGCCCACGTAAGTGCACCGTCGTAGTGGTCCGCGACCAGGAGCATCATCTCGGGCGCGCGCCCCGTGGCCCGTCCGCCGCGTAGCCTGACGGGATCTGCGATGCTCGGCGCGTTCGCTTCGCAGCTCGCGCACAGTGCGCTGATCAGATCATGTCACCGCCGTCCTCGGGATCGGAAAGGTAATCTGCACCGGAATGCGGTGTTGTGGGGGCGGGAGTGTGGTCCTCGGGATCTGTGTCGAGTCGGTGCCTCGCCAGGCGGTGGACGCGCAGGGGCGGAGGTAGGTAGGTGGCCGGCCTAGCGTGAGGAGGTCGGAGGAGAGGTAGGGCCGACTCGGGCTGGCGGTGGAAGAGGATTGCTTACCGTGGTAAGCGGAGACCATGCTGAGCCTGAGAGCGTGCACGGGTCGTGGCCGCGAAGCAGAGTCCGTAAAAGTGTTCGGACCTCACTTGTGATACGCCTTTGCGTCCGACGGTGACTCGGAGCACATCATGGTCGCCCGTCTCGTCGTATCGCTACCCTCGGGCCAGGGTCTCCAACCACAAGCGATTGGGTGAGGCTTTAGTTAGGCTTGCTTGGCTAGAAGTTACAAGGCATCAGCATCATACAATCAGTCAAGGAGAAACTTGAAAGCACACAAGATGGGATGCTCTGTCCTGGTCCAATGTCGCTCTGAATTCGAATATTGAATGAAATCGCGGTGAACATTTGAACGCGCGTTCCTTCTGAGATCCCCGATCTCGCTATCACGTGATGCTTTGTTGGTCCGCGCGACGACTCGGGACAGAGTCCATGTAGTTCACGATACAGATGTATCTTCGACAAATCTTCGACTCTGAGATCTGAGCAATGCCACTTCGAGGACGTGGTAACGTCGGCTCAATAATATCCCTCCAATCAGCATGTGTGTTCCCCGTGATGTAATTCACTATAGTGACTTTCTAGGCTGCAGCATGATGAATTCGTGATTCATTCACAGAACGGCCACATGTATCACAGCGCCCTGTTAGATACCGTGAAGATCCACTGCCAGTGGGTGCGCACGCGAGTCGGGCGAAACTCCGGACGCGGAAAATCAGCACTGCTGTCATCGGTGTGTCGCGTTCTGTGCAATCAATCTTCTGTTGCACTATACTAATTCTTCCTGTTGAAGTGAACTCTTGATGTTCTGGAATACTAGGATCGAAGCAGGTCGGCGGTTTCTACTTGTGTCTAGTATGTAGTCTGTGGGGAGATCACGACTCGGACACACACTCCTCGCCGTCGACATGACCGCACAAACTACTCACCGTTTCGGCTTCTGTTGACGCGCGTACCACATGATTAAACTTCGAAGCACCTTGGCTACCTACACATCTGCTTGAGGAGCTGGCCTGCGGCCACGACGGGACCAATCCGCTTTGCTACTTGTTCAGGTATTCAGTGCCTCGGAGATGCCTGCTATGAGCCGACAAATGTTGGTATGTCCATCCGATCTGTCTTGACGTAGCCAGTGCCGTTGGTAACAGGAACCGCCCATCTACTATTCAGCCGCTTGTAACGGCCAAGTATGTCTGCACATGTCCATGAGCGTCAAGTCCACAGAGCGATAGTCGACGGTCAGCATCTGTCTCATAGTTTCATAGAAGACTTATGTTCTGCGAAATGACCATGATCGCTCATGCTCCCCATTCAATGGTTGTATAATGAGCATACTAAGAGGAGTGTATTACGTCGGTGTGTTGTTGTTGTCTCCACTAGTATAAATTATACACGCAGTATCTATTCACACGACAGACTGGTAGGAGAGAAGCAGTCGGCTACAAATACACTTCTACGTTGTGCGAGGGGGGGTTGGTACAGGAAAACTTCTATGACTTAGTGCACAAGTGACGACGATGCAGTTGAACTGTATAGCAATCTGCAAATATGACATGCACACTTAGTCCCTATCAGTTCACTCTTTGTACGACGCACCTAATGCGGCACACCGAGTTCAATCAGTACTTGCTTAGCAGCGATCTCCATCGCCGCTCCTTTGGTGTTAGCAACGCCTCGTCCATATTCAACCCCTTTTACTGCGAATCACGTTCAGCGCTGCGTTAAAGACCGTGTCAAATGCTCCTTACTACAGGCTATAGCAGTCCAAACGGCTTTGTTGGAGGGGCCCACGGACTCGGGTTGCCAAGTCAGCTGGTTCTGTATCCCGTTTCCCTGTAGGTAATTGTTCAATTTCTGGCGGTAGCCTGAGTCTAGAAACGCAGATTCAATAACCCTGCATCCGTAATATAAAAAAAAGCGGAGATGCTCACCAGCCATATTGATATAGACGTACTATTCGGTTTTCTTGAGGAGAAGATGCAATGTCTGAGGAGACCATTCGACCCTGGCTCTTAAAAGACGTAGAACAGCCGCTCCTCTGCCTCATCGCCGAGCTTCTCGCATCTGTGGCCTTGGTACAGCGCCCCGGATGACATACTCACTCCATCGCTCTGGATTTCCCGGAGACACACAATAAAATTCGAACGCCCTCCCGATCTTAAGAATGGAGACCGGCGATGTTGGACGGAAAGGTCACCAGGAATGAATGCTTAATCAGATGAGGCCATCAGCTCATGACGGCGTCACTACACTGCCCACGATGGTCTGGCGCACCTTGCGGAGATTTTACGGAAAGCGCAACTTTTGCTGCGCCGCTGAGGGCATAGCGAAGCGTTCCAGCCGAGCGATGACGGCACCTCTCCGCCGCCTCCACAGGACCCCCGTCTACGGGCAGTTGAGGGCTGGTGGCGGGTCAGCGCAATTCGCCAGCCTGAGACTCAAGGGGAAATCAGCACATGTTAAGTTGCCGCGACTGTGCGGCCATCATACCACAGGCAACTGCGGCAGAGTGCCAAAATTTCACTCGCCTGTTACCGTGCATAATTTCTTGTGGACTCGCCTCAGACAGATAGCTGCCCCTGGCGCCCAACACCGGAACTAGGTCTGCGTATTGCGAAAGCAGATGGAGATGGAGATGACTCCACGGCCGTAAGCAACGAACGGACACCGAAGTCAGGTCTCTAAGCTCGGACCCGCGCAACGCTTCCCTCTTCCTGCGCCGACCTCGGTGTGTCTCCGTGTCTTCTTACGGCGCCGCATGGTTTAAGTCACAACGGTTAAATCAGGCGGTTCGCACGGTTGGGGCGCACACGCATGTACACAACCGCGACATCGGCGGCTATGTTTCATATGACGCAGCGATCGTGTTCCGTGAGCCTGCGCAAAGTCGATGATCACCACTGCATCTGGGGAGGGCGCACAGAATTAGCGGCGGAGTCCGAGCTTGATGTAGACATGAATGGCAACACCGGATCAAACAAAAAGTACAAGAGTCATGGTGCACTGGCACATCGGGCGTATCTCCCTCTTCGGTGCGACGGGCTCCAGACCTAGCGTCGCCTCGAGGCCTCTGTTGGGCGCATGCCGTTGCGTCGAAAGGTTGGAGCTTTGAGTTCAGCATGCCAAGACAACCGCAGCGGCTCAACGAAACTATTCTTTTAGCAATAATCCTCACTTCCGCAGGGAGACGAAAACAGTGTAGCGAGACACCGTCACATTTGCGGCCCTATCAACTGAGAGCGGATGTCAATGCAATTGGCAACAAGCGGTACGCATGCCCAGGTCCTGGACCATGCGGCGCGAGATCATTGCGTGAGGCGTTCGCATGAGAGGCTTCCGCGGCGAAGGACAACCCATCAGTTGTGCGGGTTGGGCACTCAGGCGCTACGCTCGTGGAGAAGAAAACCACACAACACCGAACAAAAGGCGCAGTAAACAAGGCACTTACAACGCGATCTTCAAAGCCCGTGGCACCGTAAATTATGGTCCGTCATTCGCGAAAAGTGTTTCCTTTGGAGGTCGCAATAAGCGCGTCTGTAACAAACGGGGTTTAGTGTAGGAAGTTGCGACGAAAATGAGCATAGACGCAGTGGCAAGAGAATGGATAATGACTCATTCTCTCATGAGCCATTTCCCATGCATTAGGTCTCTGCCCCTCTGCGTTCATTCGCGACGAGATGGCCCTCGGGCGCCCGATGGGTATCGTTTGACATTTGCGAGTGCTAGGACCGCATTAGCTCCTCCTCCAAACGGTGAGCTAGATGATAGATCTTGCTAGCGCAGATAGACATATGAGAAGGAAACATCGGCTGGCCCAACAAGGTCTGTGAGTCGGATTGAGTCCTCACGGATCTTCGAGGCTGCCGGCGGACTTAGGCTACACCAGTATTTGACCTTGACGTGGCAGCTCACTTTCAAGAACACCATCAATTTGAGGAACGCCCGTAATTCTGGTTCAGGATCTTGAAAGCCCCCTTTCTCGGCGAGTCGGTGAGCACTGAGAAAGATGATGTTGACATATCAATGTCACTGGGGCCTGGGCACGGTGCTGTCACCTGTGGCATCCCGGATTGAAATTCCCTTGCGCTTGCAGCTGCGCACGTGACCATGCAGAGAACGGCTCGTTTACCCTTTGCTACCGTTCAATGTATACACTCAAGTACTGCATCGATCTTCATAGAATGAGTGTGCAATTCCTGCCAATATCCCGCACCATGTTACAACTTGACGGTTCTGCTAATTCATTCAGGATTGACACAGCAGAGTACTACATGGCTGCCGCCTGTGCCAGCTCGCCGGGTCGCGATGCTCTAGTGGTCAAGACATCGCGTTCTTGTGTCATCAGGAAACCCACCCCATACAAATGGACACAATTTTGCGAAATTTTGGGTAAATTTCCTTTACACCCCATTATCTTAACCCCCCTGTAAACGTTGCGCAAATTTCCACGAATTTACAGCAAATTGACGGTCAGGTATATTTACGCATTTGTGACCGACATTTACATCACTATACCCCTAGATTTACCACACTACACTGCATCAGGTATACTACGTAGCATTGTGCACAATGAGCTAGCAGACAGAGCACCAGCTGCTCGTTGTTACATTAGCAATGCAACATTATGAGAGGCATGCAGGAATCCGAAAAGGACAAGAGTTCACTGACCCAGACTGTGTTGAACAGTGAATAAGCACAAGTACGAGTTCAGACTGTGTTGAACAGCGGAAAGGGGAAAGGCACAAGCTCCGACACTTTGTATGCTGCTACAGGTCAATGTCCATGCCAGCAGTCATGGGGTCCACAAAGGCACTGGCAGTGGTCGTACGAGTCTGCGCAGCACCCCTCTTCATATGAGCAGTCCTGGTAATGATCATGAGGTCAGTGCGATCATTCGGGTTCCGAGAATCAGACGAACTTCGCTTCTTTGAAGATGTAGCCTAGGATCTTGTGACGACCCATTGGATGGAGCGTCGAGAGGGTTGCGAGGTGGTCCCGGTAAGGTGTCTCCTGTTTGATCGAATTGAAGCCTTCGTTCTCACGGTCCTGGAGGGGCTCGCGGGTGCCATGCAGGCCCTCTCCAATCGCCGCGCCAGCCTGGAGGATTAAGATAGAATTAGTGAATAGTGCTTAAGGTAGTGATGGGGACAGAGCGCGCACGAATGTTGCAAGGAGCGCAGCCATCGCCTGTGGGATCTCTCGTTTCTCCGACTCAGGTCCCGTCTTGATGGAGGAGGTGAACACCGAGTCTTTGATTGGGCACACTGCTTTCGGCCCGAGGAACAGGATGTTCGTGAGGTTGATGATTGGCTCCGCGCAGAAAGGTAAGTCTCGCTTGAATTCGGTATACTTGCCATTCTGGGAAGTCAAAGTGAGCATCTGAACGACCGTGGAGATCACTGTGATGATCCATACCACAAGTTTACCGGGGCATATGAACTGATGGTTGAGCAGCAGTGCTTCTACAGCCTTCTGCAGGGCCTCCGGGTCGTCCTCAACAGCCTTGAGGCCATATCCCTCCCATACAGCGTCACGGCAGGCACCATACCAGGGGCCACGGATGGAACACATCCTCTTTGTGGGCTAGCAACGTTAAGGCATTAGCGACGTTTGCACTGGCGGGTACGAGAATGTCAGAGAGTCGGTGTACTCACCAAATACAGTAAACCAATGACATACGCGGAATCTTGCAAGAGGCGCTGGGCGATCGTCGTGTAGTTTGAGCCGAGGCGGCGTGTACTAGCGATGAAAATGTCGAGGAACATTTTGGGCCGCTCGCCAACGTTCGGGAAGGCGTTGACAAGCGCGAGAGCTTGCGGAAGCTCTTGGGCGATCGTCGACTTCAACAGCGTGCGTACCTTGAGCGATGTCTGCGAGTTCAGACCAGCCACCTTCTTGCCATTCTCAACAAACGTCACATCCGTGTCCTCCGGCCAGACATTCTCGTCACTAGCGAGCAACAGTTGAGGATGATCTGCGGCTGCATCATCGCCGTCGTCGGACTCGGAGCCTGAGTGAGCACCTTCGCGAGATGCCTGGTGTCGTGAAGTATAATGTGTAACGTCAGTACTCGCCGCAGCGTCCCGAGAAGCGGGAGTACTAGTAGCTTACCTGGCGTTCGTTCCGTGCGCCTGGCGCTGCAGTGTGAGCCAGGGCGCTCGCGGGGATGGATCGCTGTCAGTGTCGACGGTTTGAGCATGAGCGTAGTAAGCACGAGGAAGCTACTAGTACGCACATTGGAAGACACCACTGCGGTCGGCTACAGTCGCTTCTCATTGAGACCGATGGCCTAAGGCTGTGACGCAGATGAATGAGCATACCTGTTTCCCTGAAGCGCGTCGTGGCTTATTCGCTCCCGGGCGGCCGCGGCGATAGGCGGGCGGTGCTGAATCCTCTTCACTGCTGATGAGCCCGCCCGGTGCCTGTATTTCATGTGGAGTCAGTCAGGACTTGTCGATGACTCGTTCATTCAATGATCGTATGGTGTAGAAGGGACTCACCCTTGGCAAGGCTTGATCCACCGACGTTGAGTGCCGCAACTGATAGACGAATGAGCACGAGGTTGGCAACATATTTACAGAATAAGTTGCCTTTTTATAATGCTGATTCCACCGGGGAGACACGAATCAGTTGTCAACGCGAGCAAGGGGATGGTCAGTGTGACGGGATAGAATGAGTGCTGTGGCAGTACCTGCGTGTCATTCTGGCGGAAGCTGCCCTGCCGCTTCGTCTTCGTGGTAGCAACCTCATCATTGATGGTTTGTCTGGCGAGATCTGGATGCTGCAAGAATGGCAGTGTTAGTACTAGTATTGGTCCCAGACACAAGACCAGGACGGAGTGTCTTACCTGCGAGGTGGCACTATGCTTCTTGGAAGAAACCAAGGCCGGCTTACTCGGAGGCTGCGGCAATGAAGCGTTACGGCGATACTCCTCGCTGCTGGGCGTGACGTTCTCGTCGGCTTGTTGTACGTAGTGGCGAATAGCCGGCAGCTTAGGGCGCTGCCCACGGTGGATGATCATTTCCTGCGAGTAAGAATAAGATCACCCTAGAGCTGAACAAACGAACACACCTTCCACTCGTGATCAACTGATCCGTCCAGATTTCGGTATTTCGCAGGACCTTCTTGCGCTACTTGAGCTTCGTCTCCTGAGTCGCGCGCACCGGCGGACTCATGGTCGGAAGGTGACTCGTAATCGGGCTCTAGGAAGTCGGGAGCATAATCGGACCCTCCAGTCTCTGAGTCGGATTGGAGTACACGACGACTATTGCGCCCGTTAGAGACGACCTTGACTGACTAGAGGATAGGCCGTGAGAGAATGGTCATTCAACATGAGGCTGCGCGGTCACGGTACTCACGCCTTGCTTCAATTGTGCCGCCACCTTATCCGTCTTGCGGCTCGATGGTGCGTACCCACCTTGGACACCAAAGTCCTCTTCACTCTCAAGGTCCGCACCTGATTCGTACTCTTCAGCGTCCGACCCGCGACCATTGGACTCAGCCTCAGAGCCTTCACCGTCATCGATGCTGGGTCGTCGATTGCCGGCGGCTACTCTCTCACGGTGCTGTTGATCTAAGTCCGAGTCGGTGCGTGGACTTATCTTCTCTACATCGTCCATGCGCTGAGGATCTACATGAACGTTGGGTTGAGTCAGTCGCCCGTCTCAGGATGATCCCGGTACGTACTGTCCATGGTCACATACTCAAGTTCGCCATCACTTATCTCTGGGTCGACCGTCACGGTTTTAGATCGGGCGGAGGCCTGCGCACGAGACGTCTGCGTCGGCAGGGACGACTTGGACATCTCCTCGGTCACAACCGATGCTGGGAGCGGTGGCAGTTGCTTGAATCATACTAGGTGATCGGTTGATGAAGGCATACACGTACGTTGCCCTTGACCCGTTCCCATTCGCGAAGGTTTGACTTGCTTTGTCACAGTGTCCGAGCCGCTCGCTGGCTCTCCACTGGGCTCAGGCACGTCGGGTTTAGGCTCGCGGGCTTTCGGCTTCCAAACTGCGAAGGCATCAGCTATAGCGATTAGACGATGCGGCGAGTTGGCAAGCCCACTTCTGACATCGTACGCCTTGGTTTTGGCCGCACGAGGCCGGGTAACTATAGACTGAGTCAGCGGCAAGTGTATGTAGGAAGCAAGACTATGAAAATCACTGGTTGGGTTTGCAATGTCTTCCTCGCGTGCCTGCTCGAATGCGTCGCGCTCGGCGCGCTTCAAGGACCTCAGCTCTCTCTGTAAGTCATATATTCCATCGGCAGTGTCAATTGGTACGTTTTTTGCTCGGGGGGCTAAAGAAATGAACGAGTCAGGCTCGGGCCTGAACGGTCGTGACGACGGCAAGTCTAGTACGGTTATAGCCTACCCTCGTGGCTGACATCGCCTTTAGCAGATGTCCCCTGCGCAATAAGTCCCTCCGCGTTGAGTGACCGTTTCTTCTTGCCCCGTTGCCCCTTGGTCATTGATTTCTGTGGGGAGGTTGGAACGGTGGTGGTGGTGGTGGTGGTAACGCAGGGAGGGACGACACTGGCTGACGAAGACTTTTTCAGGTACAGGCCCGGCTGCGCGGGCTCACATTTCGGGTTTGCCCGCCTTGAGGCGGAGTCAGCCACGGCCTTGGAGCGACGCGATCGGTCTCGCGGCGAGATCATCATCTTCTGGTCGAGTTGGAATAGAGACTTGTAGCCTCGAGGTCTCAGTGCTCTCTGTAGGGCCCGACAATCATTCTGTGAGAACAACGGTGAGTAAGCATTGCTATTAGCCATCCCATGGCGAGGCTGACGGTGCGATTCTTAGCTGCACCCTCAGAACAGCAGCCAGGAATAATCGAACACGTAAGTTCTCCTCACCGCAACATCGTCACGTTCATCCTCTGATTATCTTAGGAGCTTCAAGTTCTAGGTACCTCTGCTCCGTGATGATATCCCACCAGAAGATCCAAGTCGCTGCAGACACTGGCAGATCGCGACGCATGAACGGCCCAACCGGCTGGCGCGAGAGAATCCTGGCAAGACTACGCCCGCCCGACTCGAACTTGGCCGTCATGTCGCATGTGCCTCAACTCTTGCTGGTCATCCTGACGATTCTTCTTGTCCCGGCCTTAATGAACGCGTGTCTCTTTGCGACTTATCTCTACGGTCATCAAGCAAATTCAGGGCCTTCCGCGCGACCTGCAGCCACGAACTTGCTCGACCGGGTGGTAGCGTCGCCGACTCTTGGCAGCGCGTCCTCCACCGTTGCTCTGAATGCAGTTTATATGTATGCTTATTCGTTCATTTGGTCAGCCGCTGTCGGTGCGTACATATCTCGTCTGGTGATGTACCGCCACAATATACAGGTTCTCATGTATATATGATTCAGCATGCTTGGCTTGGCCGCAGTTGCTGCCCATGAAGAGGATTGTGAAGGCACTGTTTACGGCGAGGCGGTACTCTCGTCACCACTTCTCAAACATCCGCCTGGATCGACGCAGACGGCTGCTGGCGGGTGACTCGGAGTCGGTGTATACCATATTCGTTCAGCCTTTGAGTGGGAGGAGCATCCCGATAGGTCAGTGATTCAGCTCTCATGATATCGTCTGTGATCTGATAAGTCATGTTATAACTTACAGTTGTGTCCGCTCGGACGACGATTGCAGACGTCCGCCGCCTATTGGTCACGAAAGGTGTTCAATCATCGCTCGCGAGCTCAGTGTGCATATGCGGCATGAAGACGCGCAAGGTATTATCGGATGATCAGAGCATGCGCGACCTTGGAGCTGGTCCGCTTTCCCACTTCTTGATGATTGGGTCCCTGCGTGGTGCGTTCTTTCCGTTGACTCTCGGTGCCTGCCATACCCGTGCTGATCACAGCTTCAAGGTGGGACCCCATTCGGAAATCGGGCATTCACATGTATGGGCTGCGGTACATCTGGGTTTGAGAATGCGACTTCCCTGTCACGCCACGTCGCTCGGTCAGCAGATCCGCGGTGCGCAGCTGGCATTGCCAGTGCTGCCGACCTGGCCCGTGAGGAGGTGCTTGCCCGTCTGTCGCAGCAGCAGGCGAACGTTCGCCATGCGGATCACGGCGAAGGCTCTTCCCACCACAACTCCTTAAACACGGGCGCAGACAACCTCGACGCCGTACCAGCCGAAGATCTCAACGATGGCGAAATGGAGCCCGATGATGACCTCGCCCACGGCGCTAATCTCGGGGTACGTTCTCCGTGTCCATCGTCGAGGTCGTCTTCATCTTCAAGTTCAAGCGAGGAGGAGCGGGACTACGATGTTCCTCCCTCCTCGCCACTGCTCATACCCTCTGGTCGACATTCGAGGTCGATCTCACCTGTGGCTCACCCGGAAGCTGGTGGCGACGACGATATGCTCGTCGATCAGGAAGAACTCCCTGGGCTTCGTGGTCCAGATGAGGACTTTCTGTTCCAAGAGCCGCATGTCGTTCGCTTCGGTGGTCAAGCCGGTGCCATCGCACATCAGCCTGCTGGTGTTGACCGCCCAAATGAAGGGCCATTTGCCCTGTACGAAGCAGGATTGGCCAACACCATCTCCGAGGAGAATGTCTTCGCCCCGTTCGCCTCAGAGAGGGAGTGGCGCATTGCTCAGTGGGCGAAGAAGCGTGGCCCAAGTGCAAGTTCGTTCAACGAATTCCTAGCAATCGGTGGCGTGCGTATGCGATGTGTGACACGTAGGCGACATGAATGCTTATATCGCTCTGTGTCAGGTTCTCGATGCGCTACAGCTCACCTTCAAGAACACGAAAGAATTGAACAAAGTCGTCGATAAGAGCCTTCCGACCCGACCCATGTTTGCCCGACGTGTCCTTGAGGTCGATGGCGAGACGTACGACCTGTGGCTGCGAGACATCATGCAGTGCATCGAGGTACTATTTGGCTCGCCTGATTGGGCTGCGGACATCCTGGTCGCACCCGAGCGACACTACACAGACGAGACCGAGGCAACACGGATCTATGGTGACATGAATACTGGAGAATGGTGGTGGCGCTTGCAGGTGAGCACGATGTTCCCCTTCGCTCTACCTCGTGTTCACGCCGAGCATCTATGACAGCACAAAATCGAGGACAAGGAACGTGGCGGCACAATCGTACCTCTCATCATCTCGTCCGACAAGACCCAGTTGACATTGTTTCGCAATCGCTCCTGCTACCCACTCTATCTGACAATCGGCAATATACCAAAGGCTATACGTCGGAAGTCAAGTCGTCAGGCCCAACTCCTCATTGGATATCTTCCCGTCACGCGACTATCCCACATCAAGAATGAAGAGACTCGCCGCCGCGCGATTTCTAACCTCTTCCATGCGTGCCTGAAGCAGGCGCTCGCTCCGACTCGCAAGCCGGCACGTCGTGGCGTAAAGATGTCTTCAGGCGATGGGTCTACGCGCCGCTGTCATCCAGTGTTTGCGGCATACATCGGAGATTATCCTGAGATCGTCTGCGTCGCCGGGGTGAAGAATGGTCAATGTCCCGCGGGTGAGGTCGACTCAAACTCTATGGGTGAGGCCGTGCCGTGCACGCAGCGCGACCTGAACGCGATTTTGCGTGCCTTGAGTACGCTGGATCGTACAGGTGATCCAGTCGCCCACGTTCATGCATGTCAGGCTGCAGGTATCAAGCCGATCACGGACCCATTCTGGAAGGACTTGCCTTATGTGAACATCTACGCGTCATTCCCTCCCGACATTTTACATCAGCTATACCAGGGAATGGTCAAACACATCATCGAGTGGATAAAGTCGGCGTACGGCGCCCGCGTGATCGATGCACGGTTTCAATGCCTGCCTCCGAATCATAATCTGCGACACTTCTCAAAAGGAATCTCACACCTCTCCCGCGTTTCTGGGACTGAACACCAAGACATATGTCGTGTTCTGCTGGGCACCATTGTCGACCTCCGTTTACCTGGCGGCCAAAATCCCGTGCGACTCGTGCGCGCTGTACGTGCCCTCCTCGACTTCGTGTATCTCGCACAACTCCCAGCCCACACTTCCACGACGCTCTCACAACTAGACGACTCGTTAGCTCGCTTCCATGCGAACAAAGGCGTTTTTGTGGAACTAGGTATTCGCGAGCACTTCAACTTTCCGAAATTGCACTCGCTCCGGCACTACGTTAGCGGAATCAAGATGTTTGGCACAGCAGATGGGACGAACACTGCCCAATCCGAGCATCTTCACATCTCGCTCGCCAAGGACCCATGGCGAAAATCAAATAGGAAGGACGAGTATCCACAGATGACGACCTCTGTCGTCCGGCTTGAACAGATCCACGCGCATGCCCTCTACGTAGACTGGCGGCTCGCCGGACGCCCTGATCTGCCGACAACACCTGCGGCCATCCCACACAAACTCCATCAGCATGTAGCTCGCTACCCGACTCACAAGTCTCTCTCCTTCGCCGCTGTCGAATCGCGCTATGGTGCCGATAACTTCCCATCAGTCCTCAAAGAATTCATTGCGCACTTCAAGCACCCTCATCTGTCTGGGCGAGAACTGGCGAACTTCGTATCCGTGTACGATTTGCCGTTCCGCTCCGTGTCTGTATGGCACAAGGTGAAATTCTGGAATCAAGATCCCTTCAAGCGAAGGGATGCACCCGAGACCTTGGACGTTATTCACGCACGTCCAGCATATCGGGATACTCAAGGCCGCGTGGTGGCAGGGCGATTTGATACAGCACTGGTTAACGAGAAGGGGGAGGGAGGGTTTGCAGGGGTCTCGGGTAAGGCTGGCCATTCCATCACAGAGGTGCTTGCTGAGCGGAGATATAGGGTATCGCGTAGGCCAAGTACGCGTCATTTTCTCGCTATCGAAGAAGGCCCGCGCGATTGTATTCAAGAATGATCCCGACGCGCCATCGCACTTCGTCTATCTAGAATGGTTCAGCAGGTTCAAACCGCGCCCAGAAGCAAATCACCTGTTCTACACGGTGAAACGATCACTTGACGTCGACCTACAGCGCATCGCAGCAATAGTACCCTTGAAGAGTCTGCACCGAAGTGCGTATCTAATTCCCAAGTTTGGCCCGGCGAAGCCACCGGAGTGGACAAGCACCAATGTACTCGAGCTCTGCAACACATTTTTTGTAAATTCCTTCACAGACAGACATTCGTACATTACCGTAGTTTAGTTTGCAATGCAATCAGAGTGCGGAGTTCATTTTGTTTTGACTGTGCGGCAGGCCAACACGCCACTTGAGAGCGAGCACTAGTAGGCTAGTAGTGGCTGTCGGTCACAGCATAAGCGCCCACCTTAACGGCCCTCCCCCACTTCAGCTCGAGGGTATAAGCCTCAAGCTCTGGCGTATGGCCAGTATATCCCTGCCAGACGTGAATCGCACCAAGAAAGATCTCCGGCAATGGGAGTTGCTCAGGCAAGTTGAATACCATTGCTGAGCAACTGCGCCACCGCGCCCGGCGCTTACCGAGGTCCCGGTCAGCGCTGGCATAGCACAGTGGCTCGCCGCGCTGACGAGGCTCACGACTTGCTACCATCATCTTCAACGTCAATTCCACTTCACCGACTCATCTCTCCGGCCTCCGTCTCCTGACTTACACGGTCCCTTCACCTTTTTCCTCTCTTGTGCGGACCCGCGCTGGTATTGTGATCCATCCCGGCAGGTCGTCCCTTGCAGACGAGTCGCAACACTAGCGTCGGCCGCGGTCCAAGAACGCTCCATCGCCTCCTCCCGAATGAACACCCAACAAAACCGCCGCCATCGCACCGTTTGCACACCTGGTCGAATCAAGGAGCCCTGAGGCGGAAACCATGGGGCAAAAGTGAGTGCATGTCGCGTTCTGCATCTTTTCCTTCTGTGCACCCCAGGCCCATGCCCTGGGACGTAGTGATCAATGCCTCGTACGCAGTCCTGCGTTGATGTGCGCGTAGGGGTTCGGCTCTCGTGAAGCATCCGCGGACTACGCAGAGCCATATCCTTCGTCGGGAGCTGGTCGCCTCGGAGTCCTTTCTTGGGCAGAGGCCCAATTGGCCGGCTGTTCATTGTCTTTACTCCGTGTACAATAGGCCTACACTGACTGCCCATGGCATCATACAGTACGACTAGCATGTAAGAGCTTTGCGAGGCGAGATACATGGCGTCTCGCGGGGCCAGTGGCTGCCTCGCAGCTCGCTTGTTCCCCTTCAGTGCATTAACGTTGGGCGCGCGGCGTGCACAGAGGTGGCCACCACTCCTCGCGATCTGCCCCGGAACAAGTTTGCTCACGATCTCTTCCGTAAGTCCTTACCATCGCGAACGGAGCAGCTGCGAAAACTGATATTAGTAATTACCAGCCTCTAAGCTCGCATCCTGCCTCCCTCGCACCACCTCCATCGCATCATCGCCCTCAGGCGGTTGACATCCACCGCTGGCTACCCTCTCCGTGCATGCGGTTCACCATGCTCTCCCTCTTTGCCCGAGTAGACCACGCCCTTGCTACGAGCCGCCCTGCGCGTCCTGCGCAGGCATCCAGCGCATTGATTCTGGCACCATCACTCGGCGGGCACGACATTGTCCCCTCCGCGCCCCAAGCTCTCAGTGTACCATTTGGCTCCGCCCGCTGCCGAGCACTTGTACCTCCGCACCCATGATGAGCGCAGGCGCCCAGTCCTCCCACCCTCTCGGTGCGGATGGCCGCGCAGAAGCGCAGCTGAGGACACTCGCTTGGCCCAGCCGGTCAATGATCCCGCTGTCAGCTCTCGTGTCGGTCTCCGCCTTCCGATGGGAGGGTCACACTGGGCTAAAAACCACTTGGTCGCTCTCGCCCTCTCGTCCTCTTGCCTATCACCTTCTCTTCCTCGCCTTCTCGCCCTCCTCTTCTCTGCCTCGCGCCCTCGTCTTTGGTCTGGGTCTCTCGCCGCCATACTCGACCTCGCCCTCGCCACTCGTCTTCGCTATCGGCCTCGGCCTCGTCTTTGCCCTCGCCCTCGCCCTCGTGATCTTGCCTGCACCTCTTGCTCCCTTGTTGTGGCCCTCACTCAAGGCCTAATCTTCGCCCTCGCATACACATTCTCGAACCTGGCCTCCCACCGACTCTCTCACCACCGCGCTCTCGCTGCAGCCCCGCCATCGCGTCACTCGAGGTCCAGGGGAGCTTGTGGTCGCGCGCGCGCTCCAGCAGCAGCGTGGCTGGAGCGTGTTCATGGTGAGGCCCGCGAGGTGGCTGGAGCGTGTCCATGGTGAGGCCCGCGAGGTGGGTGAAGATGCGTGTCTCGCTTCGGTCACGGTGTGACAGCCACTGCGCGTCGTGTACCCGCCCTTCCTCGCCTACGCCCTCACTGCCCTTGGCGCGCCCATGGTGGAATTCAACGCTGCGGCGCAGCCCTCAGCCTGCTTATGCATCACGAGTCTCCCAATGGCTGTGTAGTCCTCAGCGGTGGCGATGAGCCCGGAAACTCCTTGTCTGCGCCCTCCGGGTTCCCGAGTTCGCTCTTTGGGTCGACGGCTACTCGGTGCCAGCGCCCGTATCCCTATTCTTCGTGCATTGGGTCACAACAACATGTGCGCCTACCATTGCTCATCCAGCATCACCGCTTGCTGACCGCGTTACCATTTGTGTGCAATGCAGGTCATTGCCTGACGAACGTCCCAGGGTGAGTGCCGCCAACCTTAGTGGTCGCTTCGAACAGCAGACAAAATGCCAGTCGATCGTACCAAACGTTCCTACACGCGCATCCAGCGTAACGCCACAGATCAGTGTAACTGGAGACGCGGAGAAGATAGAGCAGAGGGAGAAACGGGAATGGCCTTCGTCGACCTCTAGCGCCTGCAGTCTCTATTGCGGAAGTCCTGCCTACCATAACGGCCCGCCACGAACACGCTGATGAGGCCCTTGCCCTTGTCGGCGTGGGTGTCAGCGCGGGCATCCACATCAAGCGCGCCAGCTCTAACCACTTCAGCGACCCTGATCCGACTGCCACTACAGCGCCCGCTCCCACTAGCACCAGCACCAGCTCTATGAACCTCGGTGGACCCGCTTCGTCGAGTACACCTGGCGCCGCCTCTATGAACGTCGGCGCGGATTAATCTTGTGAACCAAGTCGCGCGCAGAATAGGCCCGCTTGTAGCTGCTGTAGGGTTGTTAGCTCGCGTGGGCTCTGTGCCTGGGTCGCCTGGTAGCAGTGGCGAGGGCCATGCTGTTATTGGTGACGCGAAGATCGCCTGGGTGGCTGATTTGGGTGCATCCTCTGTCGCTAATAACCCACCCCAGGTCGTTGTCACGTCATTGACCTTGTGTACCAAGTGACAGCGATCGTCGCCCGGTGAGCTGTGTGTTGTGCACCCATTGGTATCGATGTCGCGTGCTCTCGCCGAGGTCGTCGCACTCACCATCGTGCGCTAGCCGCCGCCCTTGCGCTAGACACACTCCCGTCCTCGCTCTCTTGCCCTCCTCGTCACCATCATCACCCTTTTGCCTTTATCTTCGCCCTCGCCCGCTCGTGCTCGCGGCTTCCCTGTCACTCTATTGTCCTTGCCCTTGCCCGCGCGCGCTCGCCCTCGTCTACCCTTGCCTGTACCCCCTCGCGCGCTCGCACTTGCAACCTCCATATCCTTCGCCCTCTTGCTTTTGACCTGGACCTCGCCCGCGCGGGCTCGCCCTCATCTGTGCTCGCATCTACTTTGAGTCCCTCGCGCGCTTGCACTCGTCCCCTCCTTCTGCCGGCATGCACTCGTCCCCGCGCTCGCGCTCTCTCCGCTGTTGTCGCCTTCGCCATCATGCCTCAGTCCCAGGTATGGATCGGGCATGCACACCAAACTTCATTGTAGAGAGCTCCGTGATCGTTTGGTCTGTAATCGGTACACTGAGCGCCTCATCTACGTATTTGTCCAATGAGATATATGTTGGCTTTGCATCGTCTGTGAGGCATTGAGTTCAAGTTGTCAAGCAAGCTGTGATGGGCCTGTGAAAGCGTGGGAGAACCGGTGCAATATGTGGACTTGCAGCGTGCGCTATTTCCCGCTATCACCGCAACGACCTCTTCATGAGCCGGGACACACTGGCAACAGCAGTCGACATCCGACATGTTTACTCTGAAGACACCCATACAATCACTCTCCTGATACTCCCGGGAGGGCCTGGTCCAATCAATCTGGTACGTTGTCAATACATTGCTGGGATCTGTGACTCACATGCGATCCACACGACTCGGACTATCCTGACGTTGTAGACCTTGAACCTCTGCCGCCACAACACCGCTTTGAACACTAGCAGACCAGCTGTGACCTCTCGTGTATCTAGCCAGACCCACGCACAGCGCAATCGGGCATTCTCAGACGCAGCCACCGTTCCCGATTCTCAACCGCCGGAATACCCGCTCGAGACACAGGTCATAGACACCGTCCCCATCACAGCTAACCCTCATCCACTCGCACCTCAACCTTCCCCTCGCGCGATGCGAACCTCCTCAAACGCGACAACCAAATCAGAACCTGAGCGTGCTCCGGGACCAGCCAGCACATCCCTGGGTCCCCGAGTCGCTCGGGCACACTGCTCTCCGCTGGGCCCACGAGAGCCGGAATTTGACCTGGCACAGTCCCCACATCCCACTGAGATTCAACCGGCTGCGCAACCGCGCGCCGCGTCGTGTGATGCCTCCGCAGAGTCCGATCAGCAGGCTCATACCCAGGAGTGGCCGGTTGACTCGCAAGGGCTCCCAACGACACAGGCGATGTATGCTATGTTTGGGCTGCCGTGGCCGCCGGTGATGGAGGACGACGGGGAGGACATTGGGGAGCATGGGTGGGACGATGGAGACATAGTGTACAGTAGTTGAACAAAAGATTGATTTACGGGACTCTGGACAGAGGATTTACATTGAATCGCACTGCTTTACAACGGTTTACATCGATTTACGAGGCAGTGGCGCCCGAAGTGGCGCGGCGGCGCTTTACCGCGGATTTGCGCCACATTCGCGCGGGGTGGGTTTCCTGATGGTCTGACAGGCAGGTGCATCATAACAGTCTTATCGTTTCGGGTTGTCCAAGCTGCCTTACTCTTACAGCTATTGACATCTTTGTACGTGCTCCACGCGAACGAAGCGTCGACCTCGGTTGTCGATGCGACTCAGGGTTCGTGTCGATACCTATGACGTGCTAATACCTGATTGTGCACGGGAAACAGAGACGACGCCGACGAACGAAGAAAGTTAGCTTTAGGCCACACATTGAGGACCGCTTCGAAGCACAATCCACAGAACCACTTGTCCGACGCACAGACACTGGTGCTCACCTACAACTCCGTGGTTCCCGGGATACACAAGCGGTGAGATCATCTCCGTGCTCCATTATGGCTCCATTTGTCTTTCGCTCCGCAGTCTGACTTACAGTTCTCAGTACGAATTTTGACTTGCTGGGCTAGTCCGAGGGACGTCTTCGTTGGCATTTGCCGAGACGAAACGGACAGTCGCTCGACGTCGTTCTCTCATTCCTATGGTATAACAGGATGTAACTCGGTCAGTAGCAGTCACTTTTTGCTCTGATATCGAAATTCTTCGTGAACGCCATGCGTTGATATCACCATAGTATCCTCGTTGATGGGTACTCCGAGTCGGTGTGATGCAAACAGGGAGACTGCTTGCCAGCGCTAAATCTTGTACCTCGTGCCTCCGCCTCATGCCTGCGGCACTGAGGGGTCTTCTGGCTCTCTTCGACCGACCTGGATGCCAGAGCGACGACGTAGGCGATAAGTATGAAGCACAATTATTGCGAGCGTTGGGACGGTTCCGCGGGGAGCATCTGCCGCTCGGACTGCTTCTACCAGTCATACACCCATCTTCGCACGGAAGCAACCCACAGATGACCTCCTATTTGATCTGCTATGTTATTCTCGATTGCTGCAGGGAATTCAGCGACCAATTCTTCCTCGTTTCCCGTAACCTGAGTTCGGGTACGCCACACATTCACGATCCGCGTAGGCGAGCAGTACCGTAGTATCAGGGCTTAGGACGAATTCGACAAAGGTACGCGCAAGTTCCACGCCACTGATAAATTCGTGGTACTCAGAGCCTTGTACAGTGCTTGTGGGTATATTCTCTGGAAGTATTTGCAAGTCGTAACAAAAGGGTATATCGACATATAGAGGGCGAACAGCTGCGCATGGACGAATACGATGATGATATGCCGGGCAGTGACCCCGGCGGGTATGGAGACGATACGCCGAAGAGATCACCTTGCCATCCCACAGGCGTTCTTGCGCAGCAGCGACTTCGCCAGACAGTGAGATGTCGTATTCATACGATTGAGGTAAGCCGTGTGCCTCTGTGTATGATTATGCGTCGCAGAATGTAGACATCAAATCACCACCGCAGTGGTCGTCGACTGGGCGAAGGGCGACAAATTCAGATCTGACAGCGATCACGATGATGTTGAGGACGATGAGAGCGAACGATACCCCACGAGCACCCAAGACCTCCTCTCCAAGTAATCCTATCGACCCGGGCTTGCCACATACTGCAGAATGGTCAGGTTTGACATGCTTCGGGTGCGTGTCATAACTCGGAGTCTCTGCGCAAAATTCAAGGCCTCATTGCTCAGATGCCATGCGCTGGCCTCGTGCCCCGGCCTCATGTATGCCGCGTTGCGTTATGAAGGTGTGCCATCCTGATCTCCCTAACACAAAGCACCGAATCTCTTCTCAAGGTTCCCTCCCTCCGTCCCAGTGCTATGTCGGGAGTTGACGATAGCCTTGACCGGGACTTGGCGCCACAAGCTGCCGGCGAGACTCAACCCACCTGGTCAATCACCAGCATGTCTTGTTCAAAGCCGGCGTTTCCTTGGCAAGCCTTCAATCCCGCTGTGAAGCTGCCGGATACAAGAAATGACGCTCTTCGCTCGGCAGTACTCTCCTCAATAGCCACTGGCAACTTCACCGACACCAGGTTCTTCGTCCCTGCCCGCCACTCGCAATCAGGAAATGTCACGGGTCTGCTGCCGCTCTACGTGAACAGCATGATGTTTCGAAGGGCGTCCGATGAATTTGACAAGAGTACGTCATGGTCGAGTGGCAATCATGAATGCATGCAGCTGACGGAGTGCCAGTGCTTAGCGGCGGGTTTTGTGAAAGTGTGTCGGCGAGCTTTGCGGCTGAGCCCACGTTTGGGAAGCTTGAGGTCCCGATAGATGAATACGGCTATGAATCGGATAGCGACCTCGGCGATGCTGAAGATGAACCTTCAAACGATGAAACGACCAAGCATGCTGCCCCTAGCGCTGTGCAGGACAGTTCGACCGAGGAAGATGATCAGAGAGCGAGGAACATCATTGATAGTAGCGGCGAGACCACTGCAAATGTGTGCCACTTCCCATTCCCGTTATGTCTACCGGACTGATTGATGATGCAGCGAGAAAAGAATCAGCAAGCAGTGCAGACAGCACAGTCTGTCAAGGTTGATGCGGCTTCTGGCTCGGCTCAGCGGTCCCCCAGTGGGTGTATTGGTCGAACGGTTTTCGTGAAGGATATGGCGTACAAGACGTAGGTTACCCCGGTAGCACATCGATCTCGCTCAACTGAACCGCGGTATTGGCAGATGGGTTGCACTCATTGCATATCTATACACAGGACAGATAAAATTTTCTCCGCTACAGTCCAGAGCAATATCGCTTCCGAACCAGCCCAATACGTCAAACGACGATACCTCGTACTTCGAGATGAATCAGTGCTCGCCGAAGTCTATGTACCGCCTTGCAGATAAGGTTACCTCCATACCCTCTTGTTTTTCTCATCACGTCAGGCTTAGCGAATATTTTACGCATCATTCAGTACGGCCTCGATTCGCTGAAGTCCCAGGCTCTGGAGAAGATACGATCAGAATTGGTCCCAGACAACATCCTGAAGGAACTTTTCTCCACTTTTACGTCCAGGTCAGATCACTTGTTGAACGACCATGAAATGTGCTCCAATGCTTTTGCTTTAGGTACCCCGAGATACAACAACTCCAAGTTGATTTCCTATGCGATCACATTCATACCTCAGACGCCATGGCTACAATGCCCGAGTGGATTGCTATGATCGCCCAAGGCCACCTCCCACACAGTCAACATGTGGTATCAACCTTACTGTTGAATATGGCCTCCAAGATACCCAAGCCGTTCTCTACAGTGTCTGATAAACGGCCCGTGGCCCCCTTACCCAAGCGAAAATAGCGGGGCGACAAGTTCCCCGCGGCGAGACCGTCAGGCCATCGGGAACTTGACGGAATCGGTGTCATGCTTTAGTCTCTCACGCAGTGCAAGGGAGCTTGATTGTTATACTTTGTAATATAGTGCTAGGAGAATGCTCATGGCTCGAAGATGTGTCGGGAGCACACGAACGTTGCGAACTCGTCGGACGCGATAGCGGGAGAGGGGCGCGTCTGCACAGATACACGTGACCGTAACATCCACCGGTGACTCGCGCAGACTCAGACTGAGCTTGCTTCAGGCTGGCAAGAGCAGCTCAGCACTCTCACCTCGCCATGCAGAACATCCTGGCTAGCGTCGCCCGAAGACGTGTTGCAACAGCGCTCGCGCCGCGGCCTCGCCATCTATCTGTCTCAGCATGCAGACGGTCTGCAGAATCTGGCGGCTCAGCACCCAAGCCGCCGCCTCCCATCGACGACTCGACCTCCGCGCTGGATTATAAGCGGCGGACGACGCTGCAGCATAGACCGCCGCCTCTGCCTGCCATGGACGTCCGCTCGAGGTCTGCGGAGGAGGCAGTAACTAACATCCTCTACAACACACCCCCGCCTAGCTTGCAGCCTTTCAAAAAGTGCGTCACCTTCGATTTGACATCATGCTGGCGTTCTGACGGCTCGCACACGCGCTACAGGCACGTATTGAATTGTCTGGTGCAGAACGAGCCCGGAGTACTATCGCGCGTGTCAGGCATTCTCGCTGGGCGAGGCTTCAACATCGACTCCCTAGTCGTCTGCCGTACCGAGATCCGGGACCTGAGTCGCATGTGTATCGTGCTGCGTGGTCAGGATGGTGTTATTGAACAGGCAAGGAGACAGCTGGAAGACTTGGTAAGTCCATATCCAATTCGAATGTTTGCCAGTGTTCTTGTGTGGCATGATTTCCAGCGGATAGAAGCCACTCTCCTTTGCCTCCTGTCAACACTTCCGATATTGTAATAAGGTCTTGTGCGGTTTAGTAACGCCATTCGCATTTCAGACCCTATCCTTCTCTGTTTAACACTAGGCGTAAGGTTCTCTCACTCGCTTTCATATTCGTGCTGTGCAGTGACACGAAGATATCAACCACGACGCATGTCCCTTCATTTTGAACTTGCTTTTGACGTCCGTTTCTATACATGAGTTCCGACGAGGGAACGTATTCTTGTTGTCCCTAATCTGGCCTTCAATCCACTTGAATGGGCTACGGTCTTCAGTTGCTTCACCGCTCCGCATCTACGTCTTTTCGCTTACTGACTTGTTCCCATGTCAGGTACCGGTATGGGCTGTGCTGGACTACACAGACACTCACTGCATCGAGCGCGAGTTGCTCCTCGTCAAAGTGTCCATCCTGGGGCCCGAGTACGTCGAAGAGCAGCTCCAAGGCGGGCCCACGCACGACCCGCGGCATCGCCATTTCACCCCACACACCGAAGCCGCGTACGGGACCTCCTCCGACACGAAGCTCGAGCGCGAGATGGCGCTCGCGCAGAGCTTCGAGCGCGGCGCACACCCGGACGCGGACGCCCACGCACCGCCGCCGCTCACACCGACGCAGGCGTTGCACCTCCGGAGCGACAACCTCAACGCCGTCTCCGTGCTCTCCCAGCAGTTCGGCGGGCGCATCGTCGACGTCAGCGAGAACAGTGTCATCGTAGAGGTGTCTGGCAAAACGAAGCGCGTCGAGGCCTTCCTTGCGCTTCTCAAGCCGTTTGGCGTCCTCGAGGCCGCTCGCACAGGTATGTGCCTTGAGTTGCCCGGTGAGGCTACGCTGGTCTGACTGTTGCGCGCGCATTACAGGTCTCATGGTAATGCCTCGCACGCCCATCGCGAGGACTCCGGAGGATAGCGATGACGCGGAGGATATTGGGAGCGTTGACGCCAGTCTTCTCCCGCCGGGTTGATACTCACGCTTCACACGGCGAAGCGTGCTCACAATGCGGGGATTTAACAAAAGTATATCATCGTCGACTACCCTTGGTTTAGCGTGTATATGCGTGCTCCGATTAATACGACCGGGGGCCTGGAGCGGCGGCACCGGCGTGTGACTATGCAGGTGCGGTGGATGGGGAAGAGCGAGCGAACGTATGTGCGGATGCGTGGTGCTATCAATACAATATACAAATGCAAGTATAGCGGAACGATAAAAAGCGGTATATAAATAAGAGTGCGCGGTCCGAAGAACAACGTCCCGTCCCAAACAGCAAAAACGTACAACGCACACGGGTACAACAAGCAAGAAATCGGGTTCACGTCCGTGTACGTGAGGTGGAAGGAGTCCGCGCGCCGCCTGCTGCGGGCGCGTGAGTCTCGAGCGCTTCCTGAATTTTGCGAATCCACATGCTAGCCATGGATGGACTCTCAGCAAGGAAACTATGCGATTTGGTGGCCTGCACCAAAGAAAGAAAATAAGCACTAGCCGTCCAAACCGGATTCCCTGCTGACCAACTGACCGTCATGACAACAAACTCGCGCTCGCCCTTAGGCTCGACGCTCGAGATGATATGACGGCCATCCTTCTCCTTCTCCGACGAAGGAGTCATAAAAAGTTCCGTCCGAACTTGCACCGCGCGTCCGATCTTGCGCTTCAAGCACAACAACCGATGCGTGGTGAGTATCAACTCCCGCGTCTTGAGCCGCCGCGGCGTCACCGCCATGGCGAGTAAGCGGCTTCCACGTCGCCTGGGCGCGCTCGCCTCCACGGTCGTGTTGAACAATACGCTCTCGTGCGGGAGCAGCAGCGACGTCCTGTAAACAAATGAAATTAATTCGCCCATCCCCTCGGGCACACTACGCCGGTCTGGAACTCACCATTCCGACTGCACAGGTGCTGGCGGACGGTTGCCCTGTATAGGCGTCTGCGCACGATTGCGGCCCCTATCAATGCCCGCGGCCTCCAGCGCCACACCGAGTTGCTCGATGGGACTGCCGTCCGACGAACTGGTCGCAGAGCCCGTCGAATAACTGTCCACGACCGCCCCCTTGGGCGCAGGCACGTCAATTGGCTGTGCCTTCACGACCGACGGGACGTCATGCGAGGAGCTCGCGCCATTCGCCAGCACGGTGCTGCTGTCGCCAGCTGCGGCGACCGAGCCCACCTTCGGGATGTCAGCGAAATGGACTGATGGCCCTTCGTCTCTCCCAGCAGCATGCGAATTTGAGCTCGGAGAGTTTGCTTTGTCGGTAATGGGCCCGATGGCAGGCGGGAACGCATAGGGACGTAGTTCTCCCATAGGCCCTTCATCTTCGTAATAGGCGTACCCATTCGGTGGTTTTGCTCCTGTCGCGAAAAATTCCTGGCCTTCCGTATCTGAAGCCCAGCTGATGTCGTCCTCTGGGTCGCTGTCACCCACGAGGGCATCCCAAGACGCACCGACGTCGTCGTCCCATCTATTACCATTGGCTGTTGGTGGAGGGTCTTTCTTGAGTAGTCCAGACTCCAAGGGCGGGACCGGATCTGTCCACAGGGTACCCCAGTTGATGGAGGCGAAAAACGGGTGTCCTCTGAGCGCCTGCATGTCGGTACTGCTTCCAGTAGAACCGGCGCCTAGCCGTTCGGCCGGATCGCGAACCTAACCTCGCGGTTCAGTCCAGCCACTCCGACCGAAATGTCGAGGAAAAACATACGAGCAGTTTCTGCACCAAATCCTTCGCGTTGTCATCAAAGCCTTCGGGAAAGGTGTATTCGAGCTTCTTGATCTTTTGCCATGTCAGGTACTCGGAGAGCCCCTGAAATGCAAAGCGGCCAGAGATCATTTGGTAGAGAATGCAGCCCAGGGCCCAGAAGTCGGAGCTGTGACAACATTGACATAAAGATAAGCGATCGGATATGCATCGAGGAAGATAATCACGTCGCACCTTTTGCTAGTCTCGCTGTCCTCGAGCAACTCCGGAGATACATATTGCGCCGTGCCCACGAATGTCTTCGTGCGCTCGCCTAGAAGCCAATCAGCCACTTGTCAATCTAGACCGGAAAGTGCCTGCGGCAAGGACCGACCTCCGGAGTCGAGAATCTTGCCGGTACCAAAGTCCGTGATCTTGATCCGGAACGCGTCGTCCAATAGCAAGTTCTCGGGTTTGAGGTCCCTGTGTGGTGTAGGAGTCAGCGCACTGCCCGCCGCCGTCAATGTCGCCCGTAGCACGCTCACCGATGGATAACGCCCTTCGAGTGCATATACCCCAGCGCATCCACTATCTGCGCAGCATATACCCGCGCGCACTCTATGGAGAGCGAGCCCATGCGAGATATTCGCGACTGCAGCTCCCCGTTCCTAGCGAGGTCCAGCACAAAGTCTGCAGCACCATCAGCTGCAAATTTAGTCTGGACACGCGCGCGCACTTACAAAGACTCCACTCGTCCTGGAACGCCCAGTGCAGCCGCACGATGCCCGGGTGTCCCGCACCGAGCCTGACGAGCGTGTTCTTCTCCGCCAGCGCGGTGGGCAGCTTGCCGTTGCGCCTGAGATGGCCCTTATCGAGTATCTTGATAGCGTACTCCTGCTGGGTCGTTCTGTATTTCGCGAGCATCACCTATTGCGTAGTGGCGCATATGAACCCCTGCAAACCCGCACAGAAGCCGACCAAACGCACCGTTGAGTACGAGCCCTCGCCGAGCACCCGCCCAAAGTCGAAGTCATCTGCGGTTGTTGCTATGCGGCCGTTAACAGAGCTATTGCGTGATTGGGAGTGGTTGCGCGAGGACGGCGGCCGCAACTCCGAGGGTCCGTCGTCTCGCTCGTCCGAGAGGCCGAGTTCGCGTGCCAGGTAAGCGGGCGGTCGCGACGAACGCGGTGTGCTTGGCGAATGCGGGCTCCGCGAGCGCACACCTGTGCGGGGAGACGAGAAAGTGCGCAGCGGGCGCGGTCGGACGGGTGTCTGGAGAGTCAGGTCGGAGGCCGAGCTGGAGCTGCTGCTGGAGGATATGACGGAAGCATTCCTGCTGAGGTCCGCGAGAGTCGGGGTGGTCTGCAGCGAGGACGACTCGGGGGACGGCGAGGAGACCTGGATGCTGAGCATGCGCGGGAGAGGGAGAAGGAGAGGAGAGGTCGGGACCAGGAGAGGACAGTCGGGCGAGCAGGAGCAGGAATAAGTTTCGGATATGTTGCGAATTATGTCCAACGCGGGTGCGGCGGTCCAGGCCCGGATGATGGTGTCGCCGCCTGAATCGACGTCAATCGCCCACAGGCGCGTCCCCGCACTTTTCACACTCCGCTGAGGCGGTCTAGAATTCGCACGATAACACGCCGCAAGTGGCGGTGGCTGCCGCGGCCGGCTCGACTCCTTGCCTCCTCCCATCGCTCCTCGAGCACCGGGGAGCGTCCCGAATGGTCTCTTCATCGCCCTCCTCGGCGTCGACGTCCGTTCGATACTCGCTGCGTCGCCCCGCTCCCCGCTTCTGGCGCTGCAACGGAACCTGAGCGCAGCCCCCAGCCGCAAGCACCAGGCTGTGGGAGAAGGACGACCCGGTCCTGCGTGCGCCTGGGAGGGCGGCTCGCACGCCGGTCCACCACAGTTCATGCTGTCCAGGTGGGTCGCCGTCAAAGCGTGAGCCGCCGCGGCCACCATTACACATCGTTTAGTCGCCCTGGTCAGTGGTCAGTCCCGGACGCGCACATCATGTGCGGATGCGCCCCCCCCTCGGTTAATGACGCGCGTGAGGGGCGTGCCGTAAGGCTCTGGGGTTTGCGACGGAGGTGCGTCATGTCCGTTTGACCCTTCGTCCGTCATCGCCGCAGCGTCGCTCGCGCACCACGCGTGACAGAATGGACCAACGACTCCGGCTCGCACCATTAACCGGGTCTGTATTTAGATACGCCCAGGCTTGTAGTCGTCCTCCAGGCCTCCAAACTCTGTGTTCTTTGCACAGCCCGCGTCGTATCGAATTGTCTCATGACCGAATGTGAAATCACACCCTCGACGCCGTGCGATCAGCGCCGAGATGACAATCGTAGCTGATGAATCTCTTCGCGCGGGGTGCCCGTTGCGGGGCCCCACAAACACGACCTAGCGCAGACCCCACTGGGAAGCGGTGTATGCACACTGAACAGTGATTGACTCGCCGGCACTTGTGCGCCACTTCCATTGCAGTGTGCTGGCTATTCGGTAGCAGTGGTATGTACATCCAAATGTAGTTCCGGTGACGCATTCACAATCCAGTCAGCGAATTCGGATGTCTCGTGGCGGTAGCTATTGACCTAATGGTGTGATTGACATGCAGGTGTCAACTACAGTGTCTACACGACGCTACGAGCACGGTTGTTTGACCAGGGTCCACCGAACGGAGCTTTGATCCCCAACGCGTTCGAGTTGCAATTCAGCTGACCCTCAACATCTTGGGGCGTAACACTGTTGGCAATGAAATTGTAGATTTAGGCAGTAGAAGCACCCCAAAGCGTGGAGCTGCGTACAGGGTGGTGTAGATAGTACATAGTATCACTTTACGTGGCTGCGTGTGTAGGTGAACCTCGAGGGTACACCCTTCGGCGTATCGTCACTACTACGTATGTCTACACGAATACTATGGGGTTCGGGGCACAAAGTGTATTTCCTCTCTGGGTAATAGATTGCGTTTACACTATAATAGTCTCGAGCTTGTCTTGCACCTGCTTTCAGTTCTCCAAGAACAAGTACTTCCATCAACATGTTACATTGACGTGGAGGATTGATGTAGCCACAAGAAGTACCGAGTTGCCATAAATGGGGTACGTTCAAGCGGACCGTGGCTCCGGGGGAACCAACCTGCGGTTCAAGTCAATTCCTACTTATTGGAGCCGTCGTGCAGTGCTACGTTCACCGGCATTTTCCAAGTGCCTGTCCACTGGAACTCATTGGCGATCCGTGTAGGTTGTTATTCGTGTACCAAGCTGTATGCATGGTTGTGTACCTACGATGAACTCATAGGTAGCTTTTGACGACAGCCACAACAGCCACTGGCGCTGATTACAGTATTACTCAATTGCCCCATTTTGTACAGCCAATACTTCACTGTGAGTTTTCTTTCTCAGGAGCTTAGTGACATTGGAGAATGATTGTTACGCCGCAGGGAACGAGTCTATATGCCATAGGATGGAGCCCGTGGCCGACATGAAAGACTACACTACTACATCAACGGTACTCTCTTCGGTACAAGACTTACTGTCCCAGCACGTCCTCACGGCGAGCCGGTCAACGCATCCTTTCGCTTCAGCTCCTGGAGAGACAGCCTCTCTTCTCAATAGCATCATCGAAGAGACGGACCGTATGTCGCAGGCGCTCGGGGCGAGCCTCTCAATGCCACCTGCTAACCCAAAGCTGCTCTCACTTTACCGACAACATGCCTCGATGTCGAGCGCGCTCCATCTGGTCAGAAATTCACCGCATCTTAATCATCTTTCGCGTGCTCACATGTCAATCTCCAGTCAGAACTTAATGTCCGGACAACGCTGGACGCCCTACGCAAACGAGCAGGGATAACCTACGGCGAGGACGTTCCGCTCGACCGCGCCTCCATCGTCGACTGGTGCGTGTCCCGCCTCGAAGCCTGGGGCACGTCCGCCGGGATGGAGACGTTCAGGGAAGAAGAGCGCGAGGGCCGCGTGACCGTCGTGCTCGGCGGAAAAGTGCTCGTAATCGACATCGACCTCGCCGTCGACCGCGCGGACCCCGAAAGGCCCGCGGTCTCGGTCGCGAACGTGAAGACGTCGTATGCGATCCCGAATGTCGCGACGAGCTCGACGACGCAGGGATCCGCGTCGCTGGACGGCTTCCTCGCGGATCGCGTGCGCGCCTTCCTGAAGGAGGTGCAGAGGGAACCGCAGGAGCAGGATAGCGTGGAGGCTGCGCGGCTTGGTGCGCTTTTCTTGGAGAGCCTGAAGTATCTGATGATGTTGGACCAGCTCGCCCTTGATGAAGGGGATGGCGGCCTGAGATGGTTTGGTGAAATCGACGCGCTTGCCCTGGACACGGAAAACTTCGCAATCAGCGAAGCGCAAGGAGTCACTCCGTAAGTGAATCGATACGCGAGCGGGGGCTTGATTTGACTCCCGTTCGCAGGAATCAGATGGGGAGTGTCGCCCCTTTGGACATCTTCCTCATGCGTGCGCATACACTCCCGCTCCCATACCTCACGTCACCTTCTGTGTCTTTCCTCGTCTACATCGCACCCCTCACGTATCTCACCCTCCTGCGGTCATCATCGTCGGCAGGGCCCGGGAGACAACAGGCAAGCTCACCACCCCTCCCCAAAATAGACGTTCCTTTCGACATCCTCCGCCCCGCACTCACATCACACCCACGACCCAAGGGCGTGACAATCGTCTCGCTTGTCCTCTCCACAGCAGGTACAATTCATGGGTCCGACGCCGACGCCATGAACATCGCCGACTTTAGTGCGCGGCCTACCTTCCCTCTCTCCTCCATCGGCGCGACGGTCGACCGTGCCCTGCCGCAGGTCACTCAGGTACCCGGCACACGGCTCGCCGCGGACCCTGCGCCACCCGCGCATGTATGGGTGCTCGACTTCACTGAGGGCGGAAAGCACCCTGGGATCGTGATGAGCCAGTCGCGGATGCGCGAAATCGAGCTCCTGATGAACCCGCTGAGCGGCATGGATCAACTGCACAGCGTGCACCAGATGGCGTTCGGTATGGGGAGCTGGTTGGACTTTCTGGTGAGCGAATGCGCATGTGCGGCGATATTCGTCAGAGCTCATCGTGATCCCAGCTTAGTCCCGAGAACCCTATATCCCCAGAACGCTATACGACGTTGCATGTATGTTCGCCCGCCGTGCTTCCTGAGTGCCTCTCTGAATATGGTGTCATTCAATAGGTGTCCCCGACGGCTGCGCATCCTCCACTTCAGTTGCGCCTCACTGCGCCAGAAGAGCCTGGGTTCATTCTCGAGCGAGTGCCAGTCAAGAATTTGAAAGAAATCTGGGGAGTCCTGGAGGTAAGTATCGTAGTCAGGTAGGTATCCCAGTTGTTTGCAAGGCTAACATTCGTCATGCAGATCGTCAAGGAGCAGTGCTGGCTCAATGAGACCCTGTCCGCCTACCAGTGGACACCGGAAGGCCTAGAGACCGGGCCTATGTCCAGCGACATACAGGACGACGAAGCCAACGAGGCGGACCTCCAGGCTGTTCTGACAGGCGAGCAGCACCCATATCAGCTTGTGATTCAATCTGACCATGTATCTACAGGGATGCTCACACCACGCAGAATACCCGTCAACGTATACATCACCACCTCCGTTCCGGTATCTCTCTTCGACCCGTCGGATCTCAGCTCCATGCCACTCCCACAATCAGCCGGTCACGCAAGGATCCTCATGTCGTCACCCGAGCGGCCGCCCATGCCAGGCCAGGTCGAGATCGCGGTCACCTTCGATCCAAGCAGGCATCGCGGGGTGGCACTGGATATCAACGGTGCGATGGGCGCGGAGCTCAACCCAGACGTCCTTGAGGAAGTGTGCAGACGAGGTGGGATACTCAGCCTGCCCGGGAGGATATGGGCGAGGTCGCCATCGGCAGCTTGACGGTGGAAACGCTGCGATAGACATCTACGACACCAAGATTCGTCCATGTACACTCTAATGCTTACATGTATTTGTGTCGTACACACCCCGCGAAGGAGGCTGCATACAGATCGTACGGATACAGGCTTCTCAAGAACAACACCAGGTCCGGAGTGTTACATGGGGAATATTAGTACATGATCCGCTCTATCCACTACTCGTCAGTGCCAGTGCTATCATAAATCATCTTCGTCATCGCCTGGCGCTGTGAAGCTGTACCACACCGGGGTCGCCGATACGCTGTGCGATGTACTCGAGCCCGCCCCACCAGATGTCGACGTCATCATCGGCGCCGCGCCCACATTCGCAGCGCCCTCTTGTTGGCCGAAGAGCGTGTGGTAGTTCGACCTAAACGGCGGCGGGGCTACGTTGCCTCTTGACTGCGCCCGCCGAGGCGAAGGCAGGAGGTGCGACGGCGGTCGTACGGGCTTACTCGCCACGGAGGCTGCTGAGCTGCTCTGTCCTTTGGTAGTAGAATTGCTGACGCTGGGTTCATTGACGTGGAGCAGGGTCTTGAGCACCTCCCCGGCGTAGGGTAGCTCGCCCTGCACGAGCCGTTCGGTGATAGACGAGAGAGCATCTCCAAGCTCGGAGTAATGCGACCGCACGAAAGCTATTTCTAGCTCGCGCACCCGTTCGTACCTTGGCGACAGCATCAGCTTCTAGGCCATTGCATGGAACAGCAATTGTACTACCTCGATGTGAATCGCGAGAAGACTTCCTGAACGATGTTCTTCGTGGAAAGCCGGATGCGGATGGCTTCATAAGCAAGGGTTTGCAGCTCGACAATGCCATACTACGGTGAGTTAGTCTGAGTTCTTCACGAGGCACGGGTCGATAGTTACCTTCTCTGCCAATCTGTACATTGACTTGGGTGAGCAAGGGGGCACAGCGTTCTCATTATTGAGCGCCCGCTCTAGCTCCGCTGCTCTGTCCTCGTCCTGGGTGGACTTAAGCGGGAGGAAATTGACTTTGCCGAAGTACAGATAGAAGACGAAGGCACGCCATCTAAAAGGACGGACAGGTCTGAACGCCATTCACGTGTCGGACAATTCACGTACGTCAGGTAGGCTACATCTGTGATGATGATCTGTTGGCACTGCACCCCGCCATAGGCTAGGTTACCAGAGTTGGATCCGCTTGGCCCAGCTACACTCCCTTCCCCTTTGGCACTTCTCGTCAGATCAAACGTCACAGTGAGAAGAGGATTGTCAACCTTGGGAGTGTATCTTGACAATGTCCATGTCGTTGTCAGGCGCCTCTTCATCGTCGAGGTCGCTATCTGAGTCATAATCGTACTCGTCGCTGAAGGGGGCCCTGTCGTCGGGGAATGGCGCGTCGATGGGTACGCGAACGGCATTCGATTCTGCGAAACCGCCAGAGAGCACTACACGCAGTGAGCTTGCAAGTTCGACAGAACAGAGACTGCGACCAACAGTTCTCGAAGTAGTCGGTTTGCTTCAGCACGGAGCTGATCGCGAGGACATGTTGCGGCCTGTCTACTCTGATTGAACCGTCTCCCAGATACGACCTGCGCGAGAACGCGAAGAATTTGACATCGAGGAAGGTTGGTGAATGCAATGACTGCTTCAATGCTCTCTCTAGGAATGGCAAGGACGGCTCGGGCTGTTTCTGTGTGTTTGAGAACTTTGACATCATGTTGACGACCGCTTCCGACAGCGTCCCGAGTAAGCTCGCACGCTCTGCATTTTCAAGATGAGTTGACACATACGATGCCTCGTCCGTTCGTCGGGTTGTTGCGCTGATGTCTTCCACATTATCATTGATCGCGAAAGAACCTCGACAGGGAAATGAACACTGTCTGTGCCACCCGGCAGTAATCCAAGTCGCAAGAACTCACTGGAGGATCTGAGAGCCTCAGTACCAGTATCGAAACCGACCTCGCCTTCTGTAGGGCAGCAAAGAGGACGCCACAGGGATAGATGCACTTCTTCCAGGGGCTCGAGGTCACAATACGACTATCGACGATACGACGGTAGACAGCTACGAGCAGCCAGTGGTGCACGAGCTTAGCGCTCGAACTTGGTGGCACGTGCCATGACGCGGTCACATCCCTGTCGTCTAACGGTGTGGTACGTGTCGCAGTGCGCACCGCGCGACGCGCATCGCTCTGGAGTGTATCGAGCGTGCGCTACAAAGAATCAGAGTACATACGCTGTACAACAAGATTCCAGTATTTCTTGTCATCCAGATACTCCACGTGAAGATGCGCAACACCTCCGAGTCCTGAGCACCCGGCCTACGAAGCTCAGCCTCTGGCATGTATTGTTGAATCTGTGCTTCGCGCCGTGTCGGGTGGTCAATAAGGTCAACCGGGCCTCCAACGATCTTATGTGGAGCGAACGAGCTATGGCCGTCACACACGTTCCGCATGATTCAACGCGCTCGTGGCCGGAACTAACTAACACGGTCTGTTCGATTGTATCATACGGATGAACCCGCTGTATGTAAGTGTAGGTGAAGTACGCGAGAAAATTCTGCTCTGTTCATGTCCACTTTACAATGTGGAGTGATGACTAAGCTATGGCGATCACAACTTGGAAGAATTGCGGTCTTAGATCAGGAAACCCCGGTCCAGCATCTTCAGCTTCAACCTACAGATACCACTGGCGCAGTCAGTATCAGGATTGTGGCCCATTTCAATGTCTCCGTCTTCGATCTTGGGGTCAATAACGCCATGGCTAAGAGCACGCTCGTCAATGTGTCAATAATATGTCCTAGAACCAGCAGCCTCACCGTCTTTGACAGTGCGACCTCATATGTTCCAGGCAATCGAAGGCCACGGATTTTGAACATCTCGTGCATCTCCATAGTTGGGCCTTAGCCTGTATCAACCACGTTTCCCGCTGCTTCGCCCTCACGCTTTCTTCCAACTCTGCCATCCGCCACGTTGAGAGGTCATCTTTGAGGCGGAGGGCGTCGATGATCTGCGTATGCACTGAGAAGGAGTCCAGTCTGAGCACTTGAGCAGACTCACCGCGGCACGCCACGTCATGATCATGTTACCTCGTACAAGCCAGGTGCCATTCAATGCATCCATTTCCCTCGCAGTGGCCGTCTTTGGGTTCTTGCCGCAAAATCGTACAACTCTGCGCACGACACTCGAGGTAAAAACCTCCAACGCGTTGACCTCAGGTATGCAGGGTACCCCGATGTACGCGCACACCGAACCGTAATAAGAGCCGCGCGCTGCCGATATCGATGAGACATGGCGTAAACACCTGTGGGCCACGAGATATGGGTAGAATAGCAATTGTTGCCCGGAACAACGTTTGCATCTAAACATCGTCGTCGCGAGACGCAGCCAGTCCATGTCCTTGGGAGGCTGTCCAGTTTGTCGTCCGATGAATTGGCAAAGTTCTGAGCATATGCGCACCCTCCAGCCTTCCACAATTGCGTCTATATCTTCTCGCAATTTCATGAAGCTGTGCTTCTCCACCTGCACATCTGTAGACACGCACATCACTTCGCGAAAAGCGGCCGTGAACGCGAGGTCTGCGAGGTTCAGACCCCAAGTTCTGGCCTGTGGATACTTGTTCAGGTATTCGTCCAAAAGCACCCTTCCTGCAGCTTTGAAGATAGGCCAACGCGTCTTCAACGTTTCACAGAGCTGGCGCTCCAAACGTTCCGTCCGTATGCCTTGCATGAAGTTGATTATCTCGCCCTGGACTTTCCGCCAGCCTGGTCATGCCGTTGAGAATACAGTCGCGTAACAAGCCTGACACAAATACGCACCATGTTCAGTGAGCTTGTTTGTCATGCAGACGAGCCTGTGACTCGATAGTAGTTCGCTCCGGTCTTTTTTGAGCATATCAAGCTCAGGCCCCCAGCCAAGTGCTTGGAGTCTTTGGGTGATGCTGCGTTGCAAGGGTGAGCGACCTGCGAGACCAGTGATGCAGTCGCTACACTTACTCGCTCAAACGCTTCTGCTTGAGAAGATCTTGTTCACGGTGGCGTGCGGAATCCTGTTTCTCCAACCAAATGATGCACGAGTCTTGGAACTATGCACAACAAGATCAAGTATACTTGTCTATCCCATAAGCTCAGATGTTATACCTTGTGTACTTCGTCGACGCTGCGGACTTGTTCAGTAATCCACTTTGACAGTTGGTCATATTTTTGGGGAGCAGATAGATCTTCCCATGTACTGGCAACTTGCTGTACTTCGGATTTCAGGTAGCAATGTCCACTCGTCCGAGAGACACAGCCCTGCGGGGCAATACTGTGAGTCATGTAGTATCCATAGAAATGGTCAGACTATACCCTAGAGATAAGAGTATCTGGAAGACACAATCTTTCACCCACTAAATCATCAATATCATTTACCACTCTGCCAAAACGCGAACATGGACAGGTGAGCATGTGCTGTATCTCAACTCGAAAATTACTCACAGCTGCGGCTTGCAGGAGCTGCACAATCGCATCAAGAATGCCCAATGAACTCGGAGGGCCGTGCCTTTTCCACAAGCCTACATAATCACGAATGTCAGGCGTGGGTTACCCAGTCGCTTGTCGTCTTTGACTCAGACCTACCGTGCAGAAGGTCGAAAAAACCAAGGCGACCCACGCAGGTTCGATGAGCTTGTCTGGACAAGCGGGCAGGCCGTCGACCTTCTTCAGGGACTCTTTCCAGTATGACGCGGAGCTCTTCTTCATTAGGAACGAATGGGTCGTCTTCGACGTTCGTGAGAGACTGAGAAGCTCTCGAGGATGAAGGTATAAAATTATCTGCGAATGAGAAATGTCATCAGACCAACTATTCTTACTTGTTCGCGCTCACTTACTTCGTGCATGATGTCCACCGGCATGTCTGCTAGCACGTCTCGCTTTCCTGACGCTTCGTCGTTCATCCTCTCTGCAGCAGAAGCAGAATTCTTGGGGTGCTTTGCTTTCCTTCGTGCCATGACTTGGCGGTAATATGATGGTGTTAACAGCGAATGGACAGGCGCCACAATGATGTCCAGCAACTTGAAGAAGTTCGTGTAGCCACTCGGCCGGGAGTCGGGCCAGATTCGCCAGAAGTGTGGCCACACCTTTGCGGTCATGCCGAAAACACGTGATTTGGAGACGCGCCTGTGGCTGCAATGTGGCAAAATGTCGATCCATCGCACTAAATATACTCATGTTAGGGCCATGCTGCATCGCTACGTCGTACCCGAATATCGAGAACACTCAAGAAGCTTCAAGGACGTGCATCAATGAGCAGCACGTTCGGAACACCGTCAGCCAAGTTGTACCACCCGCGAAAGCGAACGTTGACCGACACCGTCCAACCGTCGAGTCTCGTTCATCGTGAACTTGGGAACCAACTCAGTACCTCAGGCCCAGAGGAACCAGCACATTATGGCAAACAACATAATGATAGTATCCCAAAGTTAGAATGCAACAATCTATAATACAAGTGCGGCATCGTTCGAGCAACAACAGCAAGCACGCGTGCTTCGGCATCGGCTTTTGAGCGCGACGTGGGCCGCGACACAACGACAGTGGTATCGACCGACGTTTACTTCTTCAGCGCGCCGATGACCGAGTCGGCCGCGTATCTCGGGATGACCTGCCACGCACACGGATCAGCACCTAGCGAAACCCTCTCGTGAGGTGAGCCATACCTTCGGGTCGTGGAGCATGTTGAACTCCTCCGTCGCATCGCGGCCCGCGTACAGAAGGATGGCCTTCTCGCCTCCGGGGTGGTCGGGCAGGAAGCTCGTGACGTCGAGCACCTGGTTGTCGATGATGACCCAGATGTCGTCCTTCGACTTGTGCTTCGCGACCTCCTCGGCCGTGAAGGTCTTCACGCCTCCTGAGCTCTTGGCATCGGCCTTCGCCTCTGCAGGAGCAGCAGCCTGAGGAAAGGCCTTCGTCAGTGACTGCGTTCCGGGGTTTGGCCGAAAATCACGTACCGCACTACTTGACTCGCCACCGAGATGACCAGAAACAGCACCCAAACGGCCCGCAGCCTTCTCGGCCAGAGGACCGATATGCTGGAGAAGGTATGACGCGGCGGAGTCACCGCTGACACGTCCGAAGACGACGCAGCCCAATAGTGATGAACCGCCGAGACGGTTCGCGCCGTGCACACCACCCGCGAGCTCACCCGCGGCGAAGAGACCCGGAACCGGCTTGCCTGATGAAGAAATCACGCGCGAGTCCGCGTCGATCTCAAGACCACCCATGGTGTAGTGGAGGACGGGCGTCATGATGGCGACGTTGAAGTAGTCGTCCAGTCGCCACTCGCCTGACGAGAAGAACTGGAGGCGGGAGTCAGCTTGTGTGTCAGTTGGTCGGTATGACGATTAGTGACTTACCTTCTTGCCGAAGGGATCCTTCTTGGTCCGGAGAACCTCGTTGTAGTCATCAAAGGTCTTCTTGAGCTGCTCAGGCTTGAGACCCATGCCCTTCGCGAGCTCCTCGCCGTTCTCGTAGCGCTTCATGAGACCACGGCCGACGTAGTGCTTGCAGTGCCACTCAATCTCCTTGGAGGCTTGACCGTTGAGAACAAGACGGATGGGGTACTAGACAGGGCCTATTAACCTCGACTTCATGCGCATTAACGTGGCATGCCTACCTTGCCGTTCTCCCACATCTTGCCGGTCACGTAGTCACGGTGCTGAAGCTCATCGACAAACCGCTTGCCCTCGTTATCGAGCAGCAGACCACCGACACCACGGAGAGCCTCCGCAGCCAAGAACTTCACCTTCGCCTCGGGGTCGTTAGGGTCGACCAGACCAGTCGGGTGCACCTGGACCTTCTCAAGATCGATCGCACTTGCACCGACCTGGAGGGCGAGCTTGTGCCCGTCACCCGTGCAGTGCTCGCCGTTCGTCGTGGGGAGATCATAGAACTCGGGGCGGTACTTCTTCAGCAGCGAGTCCGAGGTGAAGTCTGCGGCGTAACCACCTGTGGCAAGGATGACGGGACCATATGCAGTCTCGGTCTTGCCGTTGAGGGCGTACTCCACGCCGACAACGGCCACGCCGTCGCGGATGAGCTTCGTCACGCGCGCCTTCTTCTTAATCTTGACACGGTCAGGCTGAGACACGGACAGATCCTCGAGACGCTCCATCTCCGCGTACGTGATGACCATACCAGGGAACTGGGCATTGCCACGATGTGTACGAGGCTGCGAGTGACCACCGAGACGGGCGACCTTCGACAAATCGAGGCCGAACTTGTCCTGCAGCCAGTTGACAGCGTCACCCGATCGACCGGTGAGGACACGGATGAGATCATCCCGAGCAAGTTCACGCGCCTGCAGTATCTGATTGAGCATATACCAGACATGAGATCCTCCTGGGCTACTCACCGACTTCTTCGTGTCCTCGAAGAAGATCTTCGCGTTGTCCGGGATGTTGGCCTCCTGCTGCGTCTGCGTGCCCGAACCGTTGATGCCAGAGGTGGCCTTGGTAGAGTTACCGCCCATGAATCTGGGAACGGGCAGGACGGTGAGAACGCAACGTCATCCGGACTCGGTCCCAGAATGGAGCAAAGGAAGCCCGCGGCGGCTCTCCTACGGGTGGGCGCTGTCGGCGTTGTCGGCTGGAGCAGCCTGGGCGACACAGGGGCACTGCAGCGACGTCCCTCCTCCAACACCGAACGGGGTGTCAAGTGAGGCGACTAGTAAACTGGCCAGCCTGACTCCAGTCCACACCTTGTGTGATCTAACACACAGCCCCAGTCACCTCTCGCGCACTGCACATCCGGTGCAGAGGCCTCCCACGTAGCAGCGAGACGTGCGGACTGCCGCGACCCTCCCTATCCCGCAAGCAATGCATGAGATCAGAGGAAGCTACTCACGGCTGCTTGTCGAGCAGGAGCACGTTAGCACCACGCTCGAGCAAAGTGTGCGCAGCAGAGAGGCCGGCGAGACCACCGCCTACGACGATAACTTGGGCCATGCTGGACAATGGGAGACAAAATGCGGGGACGGCGGAGGAGGGTTGCAGCCGAGCGCGGAGAGCCAGATGGTCTTATAGGGATGGCCGTCACGAGGACGCGGAGAGGCATGTGAATTCAGCCGCTCTGGCGCCGGAGCGTCCGCCCGGACGACACGGACCCCGCATTCCACATGAATGCGCGCACGCACATTGGCCAGCACGGCCCAGCCCCGCATCCGCACCCAAGCTGGGACACTCGAACGCCAGCAGAGCTTCGTCGGCCATGCTACGGCCCCAACACATCATTTAGTCATATACACTCTATGTTCGACGCTCGTTCGGCCGACCGCCCCAGTCACTGGTCCTCCGTCGCTTTCTCCGCAAGCCGCGCGCACACCTTCTCGACAGTCTCCGCCAGCCCCATCTCCTGCCCGTCGATCAGGATCAGCCCCGGAACGGCTCCGTTCGGGCCCCCGTGTTCGACATCCCCGCCCTCCAGCATCCCCCCGTGCGCCGCGACGTACGCCGGCCAGACGATCTGCTCCCAGTAGTGCGGCGGGTCCCGCCACAGACTGCCCTCTGGATCGGATTGGACTCCCCGTACGAACGTTGTCGGTTGTGCACAGTGGCGGGAGAGCGGCGTTAGGTGGGGAATGCGCGAGCGCAAGGGGAAGCAGGTTAGGATCGGTGCATAGATCGGGATGAACGCAATCTCACTCGACCCCGGTCTCGCTGTGAGACCGCAGCCGGGAGACGCAGGGACGGGGTGCGAGAGTCAAGGGGGGTCTTACCTGCGGTATGGTAGCCATGTCTCTCGAGCCGCCGTTGCTTCAGGACATCGTGCGGCACCCGGAGGAATATCCGCGCGTCGAGCTGCTCTACGACTTCCTGCGGAGGTGCGGGTATGACTGGTGACGTCGTTCTGACAGAAACTAGCCACGTACCGGGTGCCAATACAGAAGGAATCCGTCGACCACCACCCAGATTAGTCGCTCGCCCTTCTCTTCACGCTCCTTCGTTATTCGGCTGAATGTCTCCTTCCACCGTTCAGAGACTTTGCGCTCGATCGGCACATCCCTCTGCTCATTGAGATGGTCATGGGAGTAGTGCTCCGGTGGGATCACACCAGTCTCTTTCACCTGATTCCACCGGTAAGCATCGTGTGCAGTGCGCAGGTTTCACGGAGTATGCTGGAAGCACGTACCTCCTTGAGCGTCTTGATCATCCTCGGCCAATCTATCGCCCCCTCCGCGCTATCCCAGTCTTGCACTTTGTACTCCGGGTGCAGGGGAATCAACTCTTGCGGCTATGGCCACGCCTCAATGGTCGAGCGCACGACCACCCGGACGATGGACTCACTGGCGCGAAATCCTACAGCATCGGGCAAGCAGACGGACAGGGTGAGTTTGCCTTAGAACAAAAACTAACGAAGGTGAAGTATACGGACATCCTGATGGAGGATTACGCTCCCGGGCAAGAGATTGCGTAGATGTTTGGCGAGGGTAGTCTTGCCCGAACAGGTCGCACCTCTGGTACAGTGAGCCCATCCGAGAAGTATATTCATTACGGGAAGGAGTTGACGCACCCTACACCAACAAAAATGACGCGGTTCTTCATCCCGTCCGATCTATGTATCTAGCAGTAGTCTGGTCGCTGAGAAGCGCTGCCCCGGAGAGATCAGCGTCGTACGAACTGGGACCCGGAGTCAGATTGTCAATGGTGTGCTGACTTCTAGTGAGTAAGATAATCAAGGGCAAAGTGAAGCTGAGGTCTAGTACGCCGAGGGTGGCTCTATCAGGCAAGGTCCTAGTGGCCGCTGCGTCGCAGGACTTGGATATGGATAAGGTCGCGCGGCCGCCTCCCTCAGTTGGAGGAAGACGCCATGATCGAGTCAGTCGGTTATCTTATCAGATTAGGCTGCCAGTTGGGCGCTAAGTAAAGGTGATCCCGCCGGCACCAGGCAAGGCGCTAAGCGCTAAGCCATAAGCGAGCCAGCCCCAGGCTCTCGTTCGTGCCACTGCCGGCCAATTGAACTAGGTCAAAGCTACTAGCTAGTATCTCCTCGCAAGTCTTGCGCCACAATCTACTTGGTGTTTCAGGATCCCTTTGCAAGAATATCAGAAGTTCTGTAAACTTTATATTCCAAAGAGCAATCTGAAGCATGTCCGACACGGACGCCGTCTCCTCATTCTCGTCGCTCGATGAGCTCGTCCAAGTTATCTATCAAGGGTCCTCGCGCTTTGTGGTGCTCTCAAGTATAGATGACACACATTGGAAGGTGCGCCTCGGGCTCAGTGACTCAAATGGACGCTGGTGGGAGGGTCGCTGGGGAGAGAAGGAGATCCGACAAGCAGCTGTGAGTGGCCATCCGTCAGGACAAGTTCACGTCTAACCACTTCCGAATGATTTTTTCATATAGAAGTCGGCATCGTGCAGCTCTGAGAAACTTGGAGATACGTTGGCTGCTGCGTTCGCACAAGGAGAGATGTACGTCGGAAACTGGAGCTCGAGGAAGGGCGCAGAAATCAATGTATGTATGTGGCATGCTCAGACGCGCCTGTCGTTCCTGCCCGTTTATTGAATCGCTCTGAATACAACAGTTCGTTCTGGGAACCAACACCAACCATCCTGCAAACGTCGCCTTGGCTGAGATGACGCCGGAGGAAGCAGCCTCCTTCGCAATGCAGGTCTTCGCAGATGTGCGCCTCGCTCAAACCACACGAACTCTGATATCGTACTAACCAAACCAACGTCCCTTAGATTGCGATCCAGGCGCAAAGTCGTGGAAGTCGCATCCACCCTTCCCCGTTCGAGCCCGCACTAGGCAAGCCTGCTGGTGCCGCCGCGACGTCGTCCCCCAAGGCATCAGGCAGTGGGTCTCGTGGTGATAGCGTTCGAAGACATGACTCCCTAGCGGCGTCAAAGCCTGCTGCGAGCACCGCTCCGGGCACGTCGGAGCAGAAGGCTCAAAAAGAGATCAAGGCTCTCAAGGCAGAACTCGCCAGGGAACGAAGCAAGCGATACAGCCCTCCCACATCGCCCACTGGCAAGCACAAGCGCAAGGCGGACGATGACGCAGAGAGCTTCGGAGAGAAGAGGGCGTCGCAACTGAGGAAGGAGAAGTCGATCCAAGAAAGCTCGAAACTGCATTCCATTGCGAGTGGGTGATCTAGTCGCAGCTTGAATGATGTGGTCGCTGATGCCATGCGCGTTTGCGTTCAAAGAGGGGAACCGAAGCTCTGCGGCGACGATGGCGGCTAGGGGCGCTTCGCTCGCGAATCCGTCCAAGAAGGCGCGCAAGTATCAAACGGTAGAGTTCGGTAGTGACGACGATGACTGAAGTCTAACTTTCGTATGCGTTGATGAGACGATTGAGGATGTCACATAGGAGACGTGGTACTCGCGGAAGGAAGGCACTCTGAGGCACAGGCGAGGCTTGTGTCTTGTATGATCCGAAATGCCTGCGGTCCTTCCATTCAGTGCTCGCTTGTCGTCCTCATGCTCGGACCAGACTGTCATCGCTCCCGGTAGACACGTCGGCGTGCTACCACCCGCATATGAGTTTCAAGTGTGCATGCAAAGCGGCTATCTTCGACTTGTATGATACTATGTTGCAGTGCAATGTACCTCGTCTTGTATATATTCCCACTACGCCTGTTGAATATATCGAGCAGAGTCTAGACCGGTGCCTGTGTTGTACACCTCCTGTCCATATGTGCTCCTGAAAAAGACATTGTGCCTCCGCGAGAACCGAAGTTGCGGACGTTGGCGTTGAGCACGAACGTGGCAGACAGGCAAGCGTGCCCGCGGAGATAGCCGCCGTGTGATCTCTGCTCGGTCCAGTGCAGCTGGAACGGAAACCAGACCCAGGCGGCACGTCAATCCCGCAGTTTTATTCATTTCTAACAGCCTCTCCTTTCCTCGTTCCCTTTGCCCATCCTGAACCTGTCCCCATCTTCCACCGCCGCCCGCCCTTGACGATGTCTGCGCAAACGATGCCCTCGGCCGCGAGGCAGCCTGCGGGCCAGGCTAACGGCGTCCCGGTCGAGCTTATGTTCAAGCAGATCATGGAGGCGGTCCACAACTCGGTGAGCATGCCGCGCAAACGTGTCCGGCGCGGGTGCTGACGAGCAGACGTGTCCGGCGCTGGAAAGCATCTCGAAATCGCGGAGCTGCGCTCGGAGTGCCATGAGCTGAGACAGGCGAACGCGAGCCTGGAGCGGATGCTACGGGAAGGACTGGTGCGTCGCATCCGTGTTTAACATGCGTCTCCGACTCCGAACCCTTCTGGGAAGTATCGTCGATTATGAACATCGCGCGGGGATGGCTTTGCGTTTTTGGAGGAGGGTGGATCTCCTTGTCTCGACATATCTTCCATGGACGCTGTCTCGATTATCCCTTGTATTCCTATGCAGCGCGGCGTACCACCGCCCCAGGATTACGCGCATTGTGCACGTCCGCAGCCTGCAGACCGCCAAGTATGCACACGTTGGGTGGGCATAGAGGCTCAGCGGCGCTGGGCCCTGTCACGTCTCGAACATGACTCGAAGCCTCTGCAACGTCATGATGCCGTTACATGCTGCCTCCGTATCCCGACAGAGGCATGTGTACCGGGACCATGGACGTGTCTGCTGTAAGATCCGGCTTGACAATTGCATTGTCACTCCCGCGCAAGCGCTGGACATATCATGACCATGTCCCAGAGCTGCTCTGGATTTGATCTGGGAGGGATTCCTGCGAATTCTCGTTTCTTCCTTAAGGTCACACCTCGCTTGTACATAGCTCGATGACAGTGCTTGTATATCGCACACCTAGAACTTTCGGAGTCGGAGGCCATGAACCGTCGCCTCGAAACCTCATCTGACGTCTTCCGTAGTTCAACAACGGTTCAAGAGCAGTCACACCCGGCTTCGTAACTCCTGTACCAGGCAGTCCTCAACTGCGAGCCAAGTCCCCGTTCCTTAGCCCAGGATCCATCACCACCCTAGCCGTCCCCCCACAAATCTACGTACCCTCCCCCCTGTCCGACCACGCCCTCACGAACGCATTCCCCTTCGGCATCCGTGAGATCCCCGGCTTCTATGTCGTCATCCCCGCCGGTGGTGCGGGAACACGCCTGTGGCCACTGTCGCGCGAGGAACACCCAAAATTCCTGCTTGACCTAACGCTCAAGGGCCGCTCGCTCATCCAGGCGACGTGGGATCGTCTCCTCCCGCTCACGTCCGCGGCACGCACGACGATCGTCGCGGGCCCGGCGCACGTCAAGAGCATCCACGAGCAGCTGCCGGACCTCCTCCAGCACAACCTCTTCTGCGAGCCGAGCGCAAAGGACTCGATGGCCGCCATCGGCCTCGCCGCGGCGGTGCTCGCGCGGCGCGACCCGAACGCCGTCATCGGCTCGTTCGCCGCGGACCACATGATTTCCGGCGACGACGCGTTCCTGTCCGCCGTCGCGGAGGCGGTCGACGTCGCGCGCAAGGACTACCTCGTCACGATCGGTATCGCGCCGTCGCACCCGTCGACCGGGTTCGGGTACGTCCGCCTAGGCGAGAAGCTCGGCTTCCCCGAGGCCCCGAACGCGCGGCTCGTGTCGAGCTTCAAGGAGAAGCCGGATGCGCGCACCGCTGCGGCGTACATCAAGACCGGTTCGTACCGCTGGAACGCGGGTATGTTCGTCACGAAGGCGGCGTTCCTGATGCAGCTCCTCAAGGAGTACAAGCCCGAGCTGCACGACGGCCTCCAGCGGATCGCACAGTGCTGGGACGACGAGAAGCTCAGGCAGAGGGTGCTCGAAGAGACGTGGCCCGGCCTCGAGAAGATCGCTATCGACCACGCGGTGGCTGAGCCTGCTGCGCTAGACAGGAGGGTCGCCGTCGTTCCCGCTACTTTCGGTGAGTGCTGCGGCGGCGGTTTGTGTCGGCTATGGGATATGTTGCTGACGGTGGTGTAGGTTGGGACGATGTTGGAGACTTCTCGTCCCTTGCTGACCTCCTCCCTGCGGAGTCGAACCAGCCCCGTATTCTTGGAGACGCCTCGCTCGGTAGGGAATATATGCTTCTTGAGATGAACAGTGGTGCTGACAGAGAACGGTCTGTAGTGCTTACCGAGCAGGCTGCGGGTGGTATCGTGGTGCCCGGCTCTGGCAGACTGGTCTCGCTACTTGGTGTCGACGATCTGGTGATTGTCGACATGCCCGACACGCTGCTTGTCACCACGCGTGCCCGTTCGCAGGAGGTGAAGCGGCTCGTGAAGAAGTGCAAGGATGCGGGCTTCAAACACTTGCTCTAATCTGCTGCGCCCGCACGCACTTGTGTGTAGAACAATCGACTCGTGGTATAGCCGGAGAGGGTGTGTCAGCTTGGATATTGTAGGGCAGTGGTGATCGCGGACACCAAATAATCTATCGTGCAAGCCTATGGGACGTTGTAGCCGTGGTTGCTAGCTCCATCTCTTTGTCTTGTCAGCGCATTTGACGACTTGTCGCAGAGCCTCTATACCTCTCTTTCTCCTGTTAATGTGGACGCCGTTATTGTCGCTTTGTGCAGGACCTATCTTACGTGCTGCTGGCAGTACTGTGTGGTACTGTAACGCAAACATCTGACAGCCGTGTGTAGGACAGCGTCCAAGGCCAAACTCCCAACTGCCGAGCATCGCAAAGTGCAGCCTAACTCCAAGGAATAGTCTAAGTTTCCTGGAGCCCCGGTGGGCGTACGCTGTACATCGTTCGAGGGGACAATCATTTTGGTGTACCACTGTGGACACTGAAGACATGCCGACTTCACGGCTGGAACCGCCTGCCTTTACGGGGTTCAGACACAGGTCCATTGCCCCGAGATGCATAAGCGTGTACCTGCGTATATTTTTATGTACAGTGTGCCAAGCTTCGCGTCGCTCGACGTTGCTCCAATGTGCACTTTGAACCCTGGATCTTCATTGAATACCGCATAACTGCCACGGAGGTTGCAACTACGTACCACCACGATGCCACCCTGTACGGAAGCTGCTTGCTGTTGGCAGTTGCGCATGGCACGGAAACGAAGTTTGTCCATCGGCGATGTCGGGGAGGGCGAACATCAACATCTGCTCAGACTCATCTCTATGCACCGCGGGCAAACCAGGTTTTTCTGACTCAAATGCTAATCACATCGGTCCTTCATGAGAACCTTTTCGGAGAGCTTGACTGACTCTGAAAATGCTCCCACAGTATTCATGTTCGTAGCATGTTCGCCGAAGACACGCTGAAATCGGCTGAAACGCATCATGTTCGCAGCATTTTTTGACAAGATTCGGAGTCCGTATAGGTTACCAGGCGGGACCGATGTTCGTAGGGGTTTTCGGAGCTCGAAGATTCTGGTGTGCCCGCAGTGATGCAAGATCGCAGGTTGCGTATGTACGGCGATCCATGGCTGTCCATGGCAGATCGTGGTGCGCATGCGGCGCGATCAGAGTGTATCCAAATCCTCTGCGTTTGTCAAACCGGCGTGGTCAGAGCCTTCGCGGTGCGCAAGCGTCGGGGTCGGGCTGTCGCACAAGCTTCAAGGCGAGAATGGCAGATGGGAGGCAGGTGGACGGGGCTTCGCGCGAGATGGACGGGTGTGGCTGAGTGCACGGCGGGCGCCTCGGAGCGCGATCATCTCGGATGGCGACACCTGCGCGCCAAATGCACCAATCCCACACCATTGCCCTCAGCGCCTGCTCAGCGCCCTCGCAAGGGTCCTCGTCGGCGGCGGACAATGCAATGCACAGTGCGCTCACCTTAGACGTCCCAACCGCACAGCACGCCCGGCCTGCCCGACGCAACCTTCGCAGGACATCGGCTCTTCTCGACTCGGAGGCCGTCTGGGATCCGGACGCAAAGTCAAGAATAGGTCGCCGTACTCACCTCAGTAGGCGGTGCTCTGTTTGAAGAAAGATGGGCTCCGACGCAGGCTCAGAGCATGAGGCAGGTTACGGGGCTACCGATGTCGAGGAACGACCGAGGGCCGATTCCCCCGCTGGGGAGCTGCCAGAACTCGCCGCCGGTGCTCTGCCTGTACCTCCAGTCGACAGACTGCATGGCGGACTGCACCGCGGCCTGTCAGCAAGACAGGTCTCGATGATAGCGATCGCGGGGACCATTGGCACGGGGCTGTTTCTTGGAACGGGAAAGTCGCTGGCGGAGGGGGGTCCAGCCAGTATGCTCATTTGGTGTGTGCCTTGGTGGATTGGATGCTGCTAAGTCAAGCTCACGTCAGTGCTCAAGTTATGCAATAGTGGGTGTGATAGTATATGTTACCCTACTCTTGCTCGGAGAGATGGCGACGCAATATCCAGTAGCTGGTGAGTGTACCGTACCAGTCGTCGGAGGCAAGAGCTGCCGGTGTCGGCTCGGCTATGTGCTTTACCCCACTGTTCCTGTCGGTCAACTAACGACCGCGGCTAGGCTCCTTCAACGCATATGCAACACGTTTCTTCTCGCCTGGCTATGGCTTTGCATTATCATGGAATTACTGGTTCAACGACGCAGTATCCGTCGCCTCAGACCTCACCGCTGCTCAACTCGTCCTGCAATTCTGGACGACCTGGCACCCATGGGTCATCAGCCTCGTTTTCTGGGTCTTCCTTGTCGGCATTAATGCAGCACACGTTCGAGCGTACGGCGAGCTGGGTGAGTGCGGCCTTGCTGACTTGGGCTCCACTCCAGAACCGATGCTGACTGGATGGACGCACTTTCGTCTAGAATACTGGCTGTCCTTCCTGAAGGTCTTCACGATCGTCTTATTCATCATCCTCGGCATCTTGGTCAATGTCGGCGTGAACCGAGAACATGAGTACATCGGCGGGCGGTACTGGCACATTCCAGGCGCCCCCTTCGTAGGCGGCTTTGGTGGCTTCGCCAGGGTCTTCGTTACCGCCAGCTTTGCCTGTGAGTCTGAGGGCTCCCAATTAGTAGAAGAGATGCTCAAGGGTTCTCACTAGTCGGTGGTACGGAGAGCCTGGGAGTCACCGCAGGTGAGACAAAGAACCCGTCGAGAAACATGCCGCGGGTGGTCAAATTCGTGTTCTGGAGGTGAGAAGAGTCTAGTCTGCAGACGAGAGCGCTGAAGACGAGGGCTTCTACAGGATCCTCCTTTTCTATATCCTGAGCATTGCTCTGATCGGGCTGAACGGTTAGTCTACCCTGATATGGACAGAGACAAATGCCGTATGACATATACTGACATGCCCATGTAGTTCCGTGGAATTACCCCGGACTGTCTAATAGGAGCACGACGACATCTCCATTTACATTAGTCTTCAAGGAGGTGGGATCGAGTACGTACACCACATCACCAGCGCAAATTGATGCCTTGACTAATGACGACGGTTCGCAGATGTGGCGGGCTCGTTCATGAACACGGTAATCCTCACGTCCGTGCTCTCCGCGGGGAACCACGCGCTCTTCGCTGGCACGCGCGTGTTGTACGGTCTGTCGACGACGTCGCCGCGGCAGGCGCCGTCCATCTTCTCGGTGACGACCCCAGGCGGAGTGCCCCTCGCGGCTCTCATCGCCACAAGCAGCGTCAGCGTGCTCTGCTTCGGCTCTAGCTTCATCGGCAGCGGCGCCCTCTGGGGCTGGCTGCAGAACATCGTCGGTGTGTCAAACCAGGTGAGTCAGCGAACCATGCCCTCGAGGCTCAAGTCCCAGCGCCTCCTCTAACCCACCGCTCGCGCCGCACGCGCCGGCGACTAGATTGCTTGGCTATCGATCGGTATCGCGAGCTGGCGGTTCCGGAGAGCGTGGGTGCGGCAGGGGCGATCGCTCGAGGAGATGAAATTTCGCGCGGCGTGGACGTGGCCGTGGGGTCCGCCCTTCGTAGTGAGCGGCTCTCTCCCTCCATTGCAGATCACAACTGAGGCCGACGGCGCACGACTATCGCGTTTTAGGTAGTCTCCGTGCCGATATTGATTCTCAGTACGTCGTCCTTTTTCGCGCGGTGGTGCGGCTGTTCATAGTCTTTCCTTGCTGCTACTTAGTCCAAGGCTGGTCCTCCGTCATTCCGCGCTTCTCGGCGGTCGATTTCGTCTCGTTCTACATCGAGATTCCGGTGATGGCCCTGATGTACGCCGGATGGCTAATCGTTCGGCGCCAGCCAAAGCCTGCAGGACAAGTGGGCGAGCAGCGATCGCTGCTCCCTGCTGGCTGCATTGGCCCGCGGCGGAGTTTCCGCTGGCACGACCTCGTCGACATCCAAACAATCGACCTGAAACGGGACGAGTACGAGGAGGCGGAGGCAGACAGGGTCGATGACGCACAAAGACAAAAGAGGCTAGAGGGCCGGGTGGGCTCGCTGTGGCGTCTGTACTACTGGGTCGTATGAAATTAGGACGAGTGAATGGATAGGGCGCTTCGGGGCGCCAGGCATCCAAAGAATGATCAATGAATTCATGATCCCTTAACGAGGAAAGGTGGTGCCTCTGCGCTGGTGTGGCCCATATGTCCGTAGCGAGCTCGGGTTGCGAGATCTGCGTCGGCCGCCTGCGCGCTACTTGAACCCGCGCCCACAGGCGCCCACAGCCCCTATCGAGGCACGGACGCGATCCATGCAGATCTCCACATCTTGTCTTGACTCGGTTCGAGTTCGCGCTCGAGGAACACTGTGCTTGCCGCCCTGATTTTGGAAGCCGACTTTCTGGGCGTTCGAGAACTTTGGCGTTACGACAGCGGAAGGGTCCTCGGCCTCTTGCACTGACGCTGATCATTAGACCGGAAATGACGACATTGAGCCTGCAGTCGACCGTGCGGCTGTCCTCTGGTGAAGGTTTTGAACCGACGGCGTCATCGTCGACCTGTATGGCACTCATTTCAGTCCAGGATATGACATGCCGTTGCTCGGATTCGGCGTGTATCAAAATTACACCACAAAAGAATCGGTTCTCGAGGCGCTCGAGGCGGGCTACAGGTAAGTCACTATGACCGGTCCCGAAGTGTCCGGCCGATTGTGTACGGTATTGAATTCACCATACACAAATGATGACCCGTTGCATAGGCACATTGACTCTGCACAGGCCTATCGGAACGAAGCTCACGTCGGAGCTGCTGTGAAAGAAAGTGGGATACCTCGAGAGGAGGTCTTTGTGAGTAGGTGCTTCCGATACAGTCTTCTGGAAGCAATACGGCGGCTGATTACTCTGCTTTTGTCAGCGACGAAGTGTATCAACAAAACTCATGGATATGAGAGCACGCTGAGCGGCGTCAATGCGTCCCTCGAAAGGCTCGGATTCGGTAAGTGTATGACCACGATGAGTCGAATTTGCCCTCAACGCCGTCGAGAAGATTACATCGACTTATTTCTGATACATGATCCGATGTCTGGGCACGAGCGACGCCTGCAGACTTACAAAGCACTGCAAGATGCTCGAGCGGTAGGTAAAATCCGAACCGTCGGGGTCTCGAACTAGTCAGTCAGCATTCTGTGCGCGTCCCGCGAGGATTGACGAGGATTGACGACTCCCATTCTTGTCAGCGGAATAAAGCACTTGGAAGAAATAAAGGACGCTGGTTACGAAATGCCTGCAGTCAACCAGATTGAGGTCGGATAAGGGTCCAATTGTTCTCAGTGAATGTGTGCTGATGAAACACTGAATGCTCGCAGTTGCATCCATTCTGCCAACAGAAGCCAATCGTAGAGTACTGTCGCGCACATTCAATAGTGGTCCAGGCGTATTGTCCCATACTACGGGGGAACATGGATCACCCTGAAATTATCAAACTTGCTCAAAAGGTAATGTCCGGGAAAGCCTATCTCGTCCGACGACACCATCTCACGCGGAACCGTCCCCGCAGTACCAGATAGACCCAGCCCAGGTACTGTTGCGATGGTCGCTGCAGAAAGGGTTCGCCATCTCTTATCGAGGATGCTGGTACAGCGCTAAGATTGGCTTGTGTTTAGGTTCGTTCCACTCCCAAAATCTGCCACGCCCGCGCGGATCCGATTGAATTCGCTTCTCTACGACTTCGCGCTAGACGACGAGGACATGGCGCGGCTGGATGCTCTAGATAAGGGCAAAACCGGATCCATCAGCTGGAATCCAGTCGATTGGGACTGACTCAGCGGCAGTACGGTGTTCAGTATTACTATACGTACCCAGCACATGGCGCTCTGAACCTGAGACGAGACGACAATACAATCGTTACATCATCGACCTCGTTGGCAGTCGCTAACGCTCCACGGACGACAGCGTCTTTGCCAACGCCGCGTGAACCCGGCACTTACATGCCACACGTCGAGGCGCGCAGGCATACCCAACCACAAGCCCAAGCCGAGTAAGTGTGAGCGACTGTCCCGATATAGAGCAGACAACACTGTAGCCTGCTTCGGAAGTGTGCATAGGAACATTGTCCCGCATTATCTCCGCGTCTATAACCTCCCTCCCATTGAAATTGTCGTTGCGGCCTGCCACCTGGTGCCGCTGAGTTTGATCGGAGTGCCACCCATTCGTCAGCTTCAATACATGCGCAGTATACATCGGTCGAGCCAATCCGAGTCTGCAGACATACGACAACAGATATAGTATATTGACTAACTCGATAAGTCCCATTCGAGTCGTGAAGCAGAGATCATCAACAACCTCAGTCTTCCTCCATAGACGCTTCTCCTCGTTCATTCCGCTTCTCGGCACGCTCGCGCATGGCCTTTTTGGCGCCTTCTTTTGCGGTTTCCAGCCTCCCCGACTTCGCGAGCGCCACAAGCAGGGCGTGAACGAAGCCGACATAATTGTGCCGCCTGAGACTGTTTTCAAACTGGCGGGGAAGGACGAAGTTAGTAAGAGTCCACTGCAGCGTGCATGCAAGAGCCACCGCGCAACCGATCATCGGCGGGAGTCAACTCTTGGGGCAGAATCGGGTCGATTGCATTGGCGACGAATACTCACATTCCACCGTTCCCTCTTGGAGTTCTCTGTGGACAGTCGGACGATTAGTTCACTAGCTTCCGATTGTCTTCCTGAGGCTTGAAGCTCGGCAAGTTGCGCTTGCAACCGTGGTACGGGGTCCTCGCGCAACGACAGGAGACTGAACTCAAGCTAGATAGTTGGATAGCACGCGTGAGTCAATACATTATTGGTGTACAAGAATTACTCACCGCGCCTGCGGGATATGTTGCTATCCGTGCTTCAATGACCTCTCTAGGAAGCATTCAGTACGTACTACACGAGGTAGTCGATGAGCATGTACCTTGCTTTGGCCACCCATCCTTCCCCGCTTTCGGAGAAGGGACCATGGTTTACCGGATGTTGTTTGAGCCCGTCAAATTCGTACACACAGCCCATATACGGCATGTATACAATGAAGTGATACGCATCTTCCGTAGTTTTTGGGAGGCCCAGACCATCCAACGAAATTGCGGAGGGAGGGGAAAGCGCGTTGTGCGCCTCTCGCAGCCAATCCGAGCTGGTGATAGCCATGCCGCGCGTCTGAGGGTCCATCCCTGCCGTGAAGCTGATGAGGTCGGAGAGCGGAGACCCCATGGGAAGCCCAGGGATATTTCCTAAGGCGTTCATGACTGCGAGCGTGGCACACGCGTTATTGACCACCTGGTGCGCGAAGAAGCCCGGGAAGTCGGGGTCGTACTGCCCAGCAGTGGGTTCCGCTGATGAACCGACCCACTTGAAAAGGAAAATGAATGCATGAAGCGGCTGCATTTCGAAGAGCGATGCGGGGTCGAGTGAATACAAGTCATCGACGACAAGTGGGACGCCGAGTGTCTTCAGTAGCTCCCTGATCCGCCGGGCCGCGTCAGTTTGCGTTGCGCTACATCGTGACAAGCGGACCTACGTAAAGACCCCTGGGTCGGACTCCGTCAGCTGCCAACCGCTCTGTTCATCCTCAGCGGACATAGCTGCAGTGAACGTGTGATGGTTTTGAGGTTGAGTTGCACTTGACACCGGTGGTTGTGGCACGTCGCAGACGCGTCGAACCAAGTTGTGGCGAGACGCGTCACGCGGCGCCACGCTTGCCAAATTCGGACGCTTTGTTTGGCAACAGCCTCTGGATCAAACAAACAACCACGCACACGTGCTGCGGCCACTGCGCTGCAACTCTCCTCCTCCCGCTGCGTTCGAACGATGTCCCAGCCAGAGGATCCCAAGGCTGCTAATCGAGCTCGTTTTGAGCTGGAGCTAGAGTTCGTCCAAGCACTAGCTAACCCTTTCTATCTCCATTCGCTTGCCCAGCAAAATATTCTCAACCAACCCGCGTTTGTGAATTTCCTCAAGTATCTTCTATATTGGAAGGAGAAAGACTACGCGAGGTTCATACAGTAGGTATGCCCGTACTGAATGAGGTACTGGTACTCATTAAATTCACAGCTACCCTCATGCCTTACATCACCTCGAGCTTCTTCAACACGCACTGTTCCGTTCCGAGATCGGAAAGGACGAATGGAGGGAGTATCTGAATCAAAAACAATTCGATCACTGGAGAACATGGTCAGTCCTTCTGACACGCCATATCATTCCCGTTCTGAAACAAATTCAGGCGAGAGCCCTACAGGATCACGCCCTCCCAAATTGCGGCAGGGCTTCAGGACCAAGCACCGGCTACAACGGCATGAGGTTCAGCTCATGTCGTCGCTCCCGCAGCGCCCCATGGTCCGCCCGTTATGCTTCGACATAAGTAGAGTTGGAACTCGGACCCTCCATTTGCACTGCGCAGACGGGCCTCCTGGCAGACCAGGTCGTTTGTTCTAGACTTCGCGAGGTGTATAATGGGCGCAAGATACCTGTAGCCGCGACACCGTTCAAAGTTTGGGCTCTTGCCAATGAAGTAGTACACAGCGGTCGGCTTTCTCCGCTCGCCTTCGTCGGCAGGTATTGTATTTACTCCGGAATTCACAGCCTTGTACAGTACGATAACGCAACGTGAGAGCCCATGTAATTGTATACACAAACGATAGCTTGGAACGCCTACGAGTTCTTAGGAGTGGGATTTTAGCCACGGCTGCTCCCACCTCATTGCTACTTCTGCCAGTTTCTGCCCGAACAACGCGGGACGGAGGAATCTGAGATCTTTGGCGGCTATCGTGGGCAGGCACGGGTGTTTCCGAAACAAAGCCAAGTCTCAGCCACGACAGCGGTTGCACATGCGTGTCATTCACCACAGGCTAATTCATGGCCCCTGAACAGGCCGCAAACGGCTATGCGCCAATAGGGACGGAAGAGGAAGGCCACCAGCACAGGCGGTCGCTCTCTGGTGACGTGCATCTCGCCAGTGTGGCGGAAAAGCGACGACTGTGGCGGAGAAATGCACTCATCAACGCCGCGCTCATTGCTTGCTGGTGAGTTCTCGCGACGCCTTCTGGTAGGTTTGCTGAGGTGCGCCGTTGCAGGTTCTTGTTTGCCACCGTCCTCTCCGTCTACAACAAATGGATGTTCTCACCAGACCGGTTCGGCTTTCCGTCACCACTCTTTGTTACGACACTGCATATGGCGGTGCAGTTTCTACTTGCTGCGCTCCTCAGGACTTTCTGGCCGTTGTTGTTCCGACCGGAACACAACCCTAGCAGGGCTGATTACCTGTACGTTCACAACTTCCTTTCGGTTAGGACGTGCACCTTTTCGCTACCTCCGGAAGCTGTGGTCCGGAATATGCACCGCATCTGACGAACAACGAACAGCCGTCGCGCTGTACCAACAGGTGTTGCGACTAGTCTCGACATTGGACTCTCTAACTTATCACTGAAGCTCATTACGCTATCATTCTACAGTAAGTCAATCGTGCATTCAGCAGAGTCATAACTGGGCATTGAGACTCCTGAATAACTCGAGCTGACGCATATCCATTTAGCTATGTGCAAGACATCGTCGCTAATTTTCGTCCTCTTATTCGCCTTCCTGTTCCGGCTAGAGGTGTTCTCATTGCGCCTTGTTGGCGTCATGTCCCTCATATTTATTGGCGTGATCCTCATGGTCGCAACCGAGACTCACTTTGAGCTTGCGGGGTTTCTCCTCGTCGAGGTCGGGAGTGCAATGGCAGGGTTCCGGTGGAGTCTCACGCAGCTGCTCCTCCGCAGCAAAAACCTGGGCTTCGACAATCCTGCCGCGACCCTGTTCTGGCTCACGCCGGTTATGGGGGCAACGCTCGCTATCGCTACGCTGATCGTGGACGGGTGGCACAAGGTCTTCGTGAACAAGTTCTTCGACAGTGGTCCGGAGTTTTTGCGGACGCTCTTCTTCCTGATATCCCCTGGCGTCATCGCGTTCTGTATGGTCCTCAGTGAATTCTAGTAAGCACTACCCTCTAGGGTCATTAACACCTGCAGAGGACTGCTGTGCTAACCACTCTCTTCTCATCTATTACCAGCATCCTGCAGCGGGCCGGGATAGTACCCATGTCTATTGCTGGGATAGCAAAAGAAGTTACTACTATCAGTGCCTCAGCCTGGTTCTTTGGGGACGAACTCACGCCGCTCAATGTCACGGGAGTATCAGTTACGATCTGTGGTGCGTGCAGAACAGTGCCGCAGCATCTTCTTGCAACACTGAACCTCGCAACCCAGGCATCGGTCTGTACACGTACCACAAATATCGAAAGTCCATGGACGCGAACGTTCCGCTCGATGCCCACGGCAATCCGATCACTGATGATGACGAAGGTGGCGATGCGGCCGACAGCTTGCCCCTCCAGGAAGGGTTCGCGGAGGAGCGGCAGCCATTGGTTGCAGAGCCTGAACCTAATCTCGAGGCCGGCAGTGAGGAACGCCGGGTGGGTGTCCCTTCCGAAGAAGCAGGTCCCTTCTGCGTTCACTGACGGTGCTTTTCGCTGCCATCCAGGTTCCGCGGCATCCAGGGGGCTCAGAGACCCTCTTTGACGTGGGAAGCGATGATGAGGAAGAACGCCTGGATCGTGGTGCTGAACACAAGTCGTAGCTTGGAACCCGGCGTTTGACTGGATGATATGGTGGGGTCACAGGATGTATAGAAGTGCGGTCATGAGTTCCATATCGAACCACACGATGATACTGTAGTTCGAATGCATGGACATCAGCGATTGAGCTTGCCCGCCTGCGCAGAACCCCTTGAGCTTCAGACCCTGGTCTAAGCAGAGCGCGCGCATGCTGCTCTGCCCTATTCCGTCGGTCGCGGATCTTGGTCCCATACTGTAACCCAGTCAGACCGGTGTCTCTTCTCGCCTGGACTTTGTGATCCCTCAAGCAAGAACCCGAGAGATGCATACGATGTCATATATCGTGCGCTTACTGCTTCGAAAGGAACCAGCCAAGGCGCAACGTTGCATCAAGGCGTCAGGCGTCACAGCTGTACCCATGTAGAATACTTTTCCTCCGCTCTCAGTAGACGTGCCCAGCATTGCAAGCCGTAATGAAGTTTCATAGAAGCTGCTCACTCGGAACATTGCGTCTGTTGAAAAGACGCAGCAGAGATCCTACGTATGGATCGTTTGATCGTATCCTACGCCCGGGATTGTCGTCGCGCGCCAGGCAATAATAGACAGTAGTAGTACTGCCTTCCGTGGGAGGAGTTAGCCAAACCATGCCTTTCTGTTCTGTGTTCATACCGATGCATGCACTACGGCATCCCGTCGCTAAAACCCGACCGAACCCGTTGCACACGCATCGACATTTCGTATAGCACGCATAGGTGTTGGATGGAAGCTAACAGGTACGTATAGACCGGATCTGTAGCATACATTCACAGCATCGCCAATCCCAGAGATCACGATCTGTCGATTGAGCTGTCAAATGATCGCGATCCGACGAGGGCGCATGGAACCACTGTACAGGTCAGGACGCTGACTCTGGATGAGTATGTAGGCCCAGCGCAAGCACACGCAGGTGGGAACGAGATTCGATACGATCCCTCCCCGATCATACTGGACGTAGTGGCTCGTACGCGTCGCCACCAACCCAAGTCTATTGTGCTCGACCTGATAGACTCGGATTATCGCGACCCATTTCATTATCCAGGTTTCCTATTGCTATATGAAATATTCGCCTGCATTCGCGAGAAATGGTCCCCCGTCCCAGTGCGCGACACGCAACTTTCCGGTGCATGCATGCACAGGCCACTATCGCGGCACTCTGGACGTGACTCGATCGAGCTCAGGGACCGACTGCCCAGATGCAGACTTGCCGCAGGGGATCAAGAATTCGGAGACTCAGATCAGCAGAGTAGCTGGTCCAAACAGATAGCTGTCAAAGCCATGCGTCTCGAGAATGAGATCGCAATTTTTTGGGTACAGGACAAGCTGTCTTCTAGTGTCTGCGGGATACACGATAGGTGATCCCGTCGGCATCTCCAACGCGACGCAATGATGGGTGAGGTTACTGACAGTCGGTAGCATAGGGTGAGCTGATCGGTGACATGTCTCTCAGAATGAAGTACTCACAGCCACGACGCTGTACTGCTGCGTGGGACGTACGGGAACTTTACGGGACAATGGCGTGCAGGTTGCACGCCTCGTGGCCGCACCGCAGGCCTGCCCTGTCTGGCGTCCTGGCGGGTGCTTCCTAGGTTTCTGGAGATTCTCCCAGGAATGCACCAGTGACATGCGAGGGGAGGCCTTCTTTGACGCTCGATAACTGCCGGCGCATCAAGAGTCTCGGTCGAATTGGCACGAATCGATGTTGAGCCATAGCGTCTAGGTCCGAATGTCGGAGACTCTCGAGCGTCCTTGAAGAGCAAATTCAGCAACGGGCCATATCGTCAGATACTGTACAATTGCAACCTGCGGCGGCTGCGGAAATGCACCTTGACCGGTAGAAGAAGCCGGCGTAATTCAGCGTTGTTCTTTCCGAGGACGGGGTTGCGCATTATCGACGCCGGCGCGGGCGATGTCAGACAAGTGATTGCAGCTCGCGGTCATATCATGAGGATTTACGTGCAGACATTAGATACGAGGAGGTCCCGTCGCCGAGAAGCAGGAACACGAACAGTTGTGATGACCTGCGCACCGGGATGGGCCTGGCAACATGGCATGCGAGGTCCGAGTCAGAGAGGGATCCCACGAACCACCGTGGAGACTGGCGAACGGCGAGGCGTGGGACGGGACTTGGTCGCTAAGATCCGCCAAGGGACTGAATGGAAAGATAAGCTAATTGGGCTACCCGAAAAGGCAATTCCACGTAATTTGGCGCAGAGCAGTTACTCGACGATCTGGCTGGCGCCTCTTGCTGAGAGCCTGCGTTCGATTCGCTGATGGCAATTGTTATCCAAGTCTCCGCACCAAAACGCCCACAGCAGGATAGCATTTTCAGCGCTCGCCTCTTGATGTGATTCCGTTCATGCCGGTGGCACCGTAGTTACTTAAATAGCCCCTCCAACTGGCCATGTCCCACAAGTCCTCCCCGTCCTACGCCACTTGTCTACAGCATCCCTTGCACCATGGATGAGTTCCACATCGTCTTTGAGGCTCCCCAGGAGGGTCAGGCGAAGAAGAAACGTGCCCGCCTCGTAACCTCCTGCGACCACTGGTATGTATGACATAACCCCGCTACACCAATCCATTGCACTCATGCGCTATTCCGTATTATCACTAGTCGCCTCAAGAAGATCAAATGCGTTCAGTCGCGAAACTCGTCCAAGTGCGAGGCATGCTCGGCTGCCCGCGTGGCATGCCGTTTCCACGACAGAGAGCAATATTTCGCTGAGCGAGGCCGCATCATGTCTCGCAACTCTCCACCGCGCGGAGGCCGCCGAGGCAGCCAAGCATCCGTGTCAATTAAGGACCCAATGCGAGAGCACTCCAGCAGCCCACACTCTGGGGGCTCGTCTGCGTCCTCCTCGGACACCCATGCCAGCTCTCGCTACATGGCTGGATACGGTTATCCCATGTCCGAGTCGTGGGCGAGTATTGCAGACGACCGAATGACATACATTCCCCCACAGCCGATCTGGTAAGAATAGTCGGCCGGCAGTATCCATGTTCCGAAATCTCATGCTATGCTTCGATTTTTTGTCTAGGCAAGCCGCGAACGACTTTGCAGCACCCGCGACGTTCTCCTCTGCACCCAAAGTTAGAGGCTACCACGATCCGGGTCTCTACGGCGGTTCCTCGGATGTCCAGCCCGCTCAACAGTCATACATTTTACCGCTATTCGATCCACAGTGTCCGGACCGCCCCAACGCAACGCTGATGATGCACTTCATACAAACCTACTTCGATCATTACGGGTCGTTCCCATGCCTAGCTTACGACGAGACGGTGAAGCAATTCCTCGAACAAGACTTGTCTCCTCTTATTGCTTCCGGGATCGCGGCCCTCGCAGCGTGGTGGGTAGCTTTCACGTAGATCAAAGATCGCAGTTCACTCATCATTCTCTTCTAGGTACTCTGATTTACCAGAAGTAGTGCGGCGGGGTGCCGCTGATGTTTCAGCCGCATACTGCTCGCATGCAAAGGTGAGCTTCTCTGTCGTTCTCCAGGGGTAACGTCATTGCTGACAGGTTTGGCCAGGCTCTGCTCTCACGGACGCCACAATCAACTTCCTTAGAGACGCTACATGGCTTCATTCTCCTGGCATTAGCAGAGTACAAACGAGCACGTTTTCCTGAATACTGTTCTTATGTCAAGGTATGTCTTCCGCACCGCCGCTCTATACGCGTCGCATTGACACTATCGCTGCAATAGAAATCGAGCATGCTGTCGGATCAGCTGGGCCTCTCCGACGGATCGCTCCTTCAGACGGCTACCACCGAATATGAGCAGACAGTACTGCGCAATACATGGAGCATAGTACGGCAGCTGGTGACGACGATGGACACCTGGCCCGCATAGAGCATTCCTATCATCATCGACTCGCATAACACGCTAAGTTATTCTCTCATTGTCCACATCATCTCGCTCGACGCGAAGGGTACGCCCGTGTATAATAATACATGATAGCCGTATAGGTTATGTCAGGGACACCGCACACGTGAAGTCCACTCCCTTGATACGGACACAGATGCCTACGGAATCATTGTTCGACTTCGACTTCGACGTACGATCAAGGGACAGCGCCCGGCCAGGTTGACGTCTCCGGCGCTCATGTTCAAGGCTTTATATTCATGCTCGCAGTCTGACATGGCTCCTTTATCACGACGAGGGCGGTAAGCTGCTCAGGATGCCGTATCGCACCGCTAGACGCTGTCCCTGTGGTTAGTGCACTGATGCTAAGTCGCCGAAACCCACTGCGAGTGAAATTACGGCACAGCCTTGATGCTAGGGCCCTTTCCGAATCCGTGAGTGCCAAAATCGTCTGCGAGGATCATCAACTCCCTGAGATGCGTTCATTTCTGGGAGTTCAACATCCCGATCCCCCACCCCGTCATCCGTGATGACTGCCGCGAGACTCCGGGTACGTGAGTCCCGAACAAACGACGTGTAAGCACAGGTGAGCACCTGCACCGGGCTATTTCGTGGACGAGAGACGCCAGTCACCCGGCATCTATGCGTACGCGCACACTCGGGACGCACTATTGCTGATAAGTTGATACGCCCAGGATACGCCTAACACTCATGCCCCGATCCCACCCGGAGCGATACTCTTCACGGTGACACTTTGTTGACACTCCCTCCCCGCTCACTTCCAATTGCGGTGAAGACGAGGTCTCCTTATCGGCAGTGTGCCGCGGCATCATGAGGGCATTCACCGTCGTCTCGGGAACTCCCATACGCCTTGTCAATGTCACCTGTGAGAGCCTCTGAATAATAGAGTCTAGTGACGGCACCCTCCCTCAGAGCGTCCGACGCTCGGAACCAACCCGCCGCGCATGAACATGAAGCCCCCCTGGTGGGCTCGTCGCCGACGAGTCCAGTGCAGACCTCTACGTGGTCCAGGGGACTAGTAACCTCGCAAGAGGTGAAGCCAACTGCACAAACGATCTCTGACTGTCATTGGACACAGAATCGCGGGCGGGCAGTTTTGCCAAAACAGTCGTTGTACTGGCCTGAACATCGACGTTGACCACACGTAGATGTAAAACGATCGCTCCATGCCATAGAGACTAATGCAACCCAGCATCAGTCCTAAGACCTATGCCAAGGTGTAACGAACGATCGCTCTCGCAGGGAAAAATAATAAAAGCAGATTATCACGCCGACGAGATCATCATCCACAAAGTTGAACCACTATGCGACGTCTCGCCTACTCCAATAAACCGAGAAGGCAATACTAGCGAGACCTTAAGAATCGAGGCGGCCGACACCTCGAATACCGTGAGCGACATCGGGCAAAAAACGACCTCCTAAACATCCCCTCTCCGCACCATCGGTAGACAAAACTGGTCCTACTCAGACCCTCTAGCCTCTCTCCGACGAACGATAGCCTGCCACGCACCTTGTACGAAACACCGAAGAGGCCACTATAACCCTACATACGCTCCTCGACAACACCATACCGCGCTGGCCGGAACAGCCTGCACAGTCCGAGATACCCGCTTAGTAAGCTGAGAGACGCTATCACAGCCTCATCACGCGCTGCTACCACATGACTGGGATAGGTCTGGCCTTAATCCGACCATCAGGCAGATCAAGACGACTCAGCAGACATCTCTGAACCGCCCGGCTCGAATCATCCCCGACCCGGGTCACAGAAACTCGGCCCGGCCTATCCGAAAAAACCACGTGAAGGAGAACGATCACGCATCCCCACTACAACGCGCTCTCGTATAAGCCACTGTAGCAACGCAGACATCCCCTCCGAAGGACCGCCCCCCCGTAAAATACGATGCCCCCCACTATGAACCACCCTATGCTGCATAATCCTTAAGCCTCGACGCATACCATCGTCTGGCACGCCCTACAGCAAAAATGCCCGTACGACGCCCCCTCCAGACGACCGCTACACCATTAAAACCTAGGCCACCCTCTATGAACCACCCTATGCTGCATAATTCTCCTGCCTTGATGCATATGCTTGTCTTGCAGCCCTCCTGGAGGGCTCTATAAGGCAAACGAAACGCCCGTACGTCACGTCACGTTGCCCTTACGATATACCTATAAAATAAGACCGATCCCCCACAATATAGACGCGCACGACCTACCAGATGTTCTTTGCCTTCTCATCTGGCAAATCCAACCGAATCCCCCCCTACTCGCCTGCCGTCCAAGCGCACCACGATGGACAGCACGTCTCGCGTCCTGGACAACCTGCTACATCAGTATTCGACGTGTCACCACAGACAACCAGGACACGTACCTCGTATATGCCCTGCTACGCAGTCTCTGTCGACGTCTTCGTGAAGCCTCTGCCCGAGACAGACGTCGATAACCAGAGAGAGACGTGGATAGTCGACACCCAGCCTCCTCGCCCACTAACGCGCGGTCACATCGTGACAGTGCGAACAGTTGACCACGTGATCGGGGCTGGGCGCATCTCCAAGACAATGGCGATCACGCGACACTGGATCACGTTGCGCCTAGCAGGACGAAGGGATGGCTTACAAATACGAGTACCGATCCCCTGGGCACGTCTCTGCGACCTAGATGGATTCTCTCACACCACCCTCTTCCGAGCGCTCCCGAAGCTCCCTGCCCCGCACCACTCCTTCCTATCGAAGCCCGCCTTCCAGAACCCCGATCATAACCCATACGAATTTGACATCTCGCCAAACGCCACAGCACGCTCTCGCGCTCGACTGGAGAAAGACACCAAGACTAGAGAGCTTATGGAGTCTCTCTCGCAAGAGAGCGATGTTAGAGCGGACTACGGCGAGAGTACGCCATGATGTACGGGAAGCTAGTGCGAACGGAATATAATTACAGCGTTAGCGTGTACCTGTCTGTCGGGAATTTGAGAAGTTAGGCTACTACTATCACCGAGCGGTGCAAACTGCCCCCGGACGATCGAGGCCCATCTAACAACGGCCACGTGAAACTGACAGTAACACGCGATCCCTGTAGAGATCGACCAAGATATAGCGCCATAATCCCCATTGGGCCAGGTGAGACTCGGGCCGGAAGCGCCCTCTTCCTCTTTGGGCCACATGCTTCTGCGCCTATCGTCCACAACCGCCGGCACGCAACTTCGCCTGTCAAACAAGTATCCCGGTAAACTCACCTCTAACACCTCTGTACAAACCTCGAAGCCCTGCCGATTCTACTGCTGCTCGGACAGCAATCACAAAGAATGAAATAAGACACCTACAAGGCCCACGAAGTGAGAACGCGACCTGTACAGCCGCAAGCCCGGGCCAGCACTGAGGTACGTATCCCACGACTTTACGGCGTACGTGATGGCGCAGACAGCTGCTCCGACCACCGACAGCAACTAAAATTACGAAGACCCTGACGGACCCTTGAATCCGACCGGTGGAGGCTCGAGATGACGCTCAAGGTTATGTCCATCCCGCCTTTGGAACGGCAGAGGGAGAGTTAGATACCGGCTGGAACCAGCCCCCAAACTTAAATGCGGAAAACGTACGTCTACGACGTTCCCTGCATATACGACCATATCATTTCTGACAAGCACTCCATGTAATGAGGGCTAATACAGACAATGCGGGAATACTGAACGACACAACCCCACCTACACCATCCCCGCTGACCCCTCGCATCCACTCGTAAAGCCAATACACGGGGAAGCAGCGTCCGAAGCCCTATTGCGGACACGCCGCCAACTATCAAAGCGCCTTAAGTAACACAGGCCGCCCTCTTCTTCGGACCCATCCCAGAATCCTGCCCGTGTATCTCGCTTGCTACCTACAGTCGCAACTTATCCCTGCTCGCTGCTCTCTCGTAACTAGCCCACTGTCCGAACATCTCCTCTTGTGCCTCTACAACCTGCCTCTTTCCTGCTTGCCCTCCAATTCGCTCCATCTGCCAGTACCTCCCAGTATAGCTCCCACCCCGCGCCGAAAAATGCAGAACGCCTACGATCACCCTCAGCTCTCGCCGAGCGAAGACAGCCACGTCAGCGTCACGGCCAATCAATTAAACCAAGAGTCCAACTCTCAGCCGCAGAGCCCAACGACGTATAAAGAGCTGACCTCATCGCCATCGCCAATGGCGCTCTCTAGGCAGGATCTATGTGAGTACACAACGCAGTATGCAAAACGCGCCAATCCTTATACAATCTCTCCACCTCAGCCTATGCCTCCGTTGTGGCCAGATCCCCTCAGCCGCTGATAAACAATGAAAATGTAACGTCAGTAGTGGATCTATCCGCTAATAAATGTATACTCGTCTCACACTCCTGCGTCCTCGAATAGCAAACATATTGAACCTGCTCCACCCCCGCCGTCTCCGAGCTCGCTGATCGAAGAAAAGAACACACCTCGCCAGAGTACGCACTTCACGTTAGCGCATAACCATTGCCTGATCTAAGAAACTTCATAGCTCCCCAGCCGACCGCCGACACTGCCGACACAGCAGGTGGCTGGACTGTTGTCTCGCGAAAGAAGAAAAATAAAGGCAAAGTGTCATCAGCCGCAATGGTACACCGCGTCGCGTCCTCCTTCAATCCCACCGGCCCTGGAGATATTCTCTTCACGGAACCGCTGAAGGTGGACCAGCGTAAGAGGAGGAGAGTTGCTGACGACCTCGGAGAAGAGAACTCCCCCTCCACCGAAGCGCGTAAACAAAACGTCTCCCCCATCCTCCCTGACGTCCTCGAACCAGCTATCTCTACCCCAATCCCATCTGCGTCGACGCCTAGTGACCACTTCTCCTCTGCTGGCCCTTCGAAGCCTCGTGCCGGTCACTCCGACTCAGACAGTATACACGACATCAGCTTTGCCATCGCGTCCGACTCAGCGCGAGTAGAGTCGCTCCTTGCACGGAGGAGCGATTCCTTCCCAACGCTGCCCAGCATTGACCTCGCAGCGAGTACACACCGCGGCGCCTCCGCGGCCATCAGCAGCAAAGCACCCTCCCGCAAGGGAAAAGGAAAGGCTAAGCCGCCGCTTCGCCTCGGTGACTTCCTTCCTCTCTTCCCACTCCCGCCGTCCTCGATCCCGACGAGCTCACCTCACACGCCCTCCCCCTCCTACCTCAGGCGGCCGAGCGCGACCCCTGTTGGCCCGAAGCGAGGCCACCACTGGGCCGACATCAGCGACAGCGAAGAAGACGCTAAACCTTCGCGCCCTTCTCAGAGAAACTCCTCTCCACCGGAGATAGTGATGGCGGACACCACACCGACTCCGAGCATAGCTCGCTACTCCTCTATCGACAGCGACCCGGAGGAACTGGAGATACCGGAAGTACTTCCCTTCAATGTCGACGACTTCGAGCCTGACGTGGTCATCCCAACTGTCGGCACGTGGCGCCCCTCCCAAGGCGACTCGGCCAACTGGAAGGAACGCGGAATGGTAGTAAAGCAGAGGTTATCCTGGACCAGGATCGCTGAACTTCAGCCTACTCTTGGCCTCCAGATCGCCTACCACGGATCCGAAGAGCCCGGCGTCGAAGCACGCATCACGAAGATGCTCGACGTCTTCCACAACACTCTCCACGCGCCGAACGCCTCAATCTTCTCAAGTTACTCTGCTACGGGGTTCCACGGTATGAACCTCGAGCCTTACTGGTATCTAGTCACCAACCTCTCAATCCTCATCATCATCGAGCTCGTACGCATCGGATGGATGAACCTGACGACGATTACCCTCAACTTCGCCTTCTGGTCTGATCCGAACCCTCATCTCTGCGCAAGCTTCCGCCTCATCCACCGGTTTGGAGCGCAGACGAAGGACGAGTACGAACACCTCATCCGTCGCGAAATCCTCGAATCGGACCTCTACGAGATCACGTTCGAAGTTCTCTCCCGCGACATCGAACGTGGCGGGATGTGGAGTGGCTCGAGGAAAGCCGACGCTATCGGTGAGATGCTTGACTCTATCGACGTCGATGTTGTCCCGTTCCGCGTCGGTACGAACGCTACCGAGCCCATCGCGGTGATCTATATGAAACCGCCCACTGCTGACAGGCGAGACTGGCTGCGCTTCAGCAGCAAGATGAAGTGTCACGGATTCGGCTCTGACCTAACAGGCCACCCGGAACCCTTTGCAGGCAGGATATGGTGTGGCTATTGCCACTCACTCGGCCACACACCGGCTACATGCAGCGTCCGCCAAACGCTTGGCTGGCACGACATCCCGCTGCAACAGGTACCGAACCAACTACCGCCTCCGTACAACGCCGGAAGAGGTGGCCGAGGGAACGGCGGGAACGGCGGCAGAGGGACCGGCAGAGGCCGTGGAGTAGGTCGCGGACGTGGAGGCGGAGGAAACCACTAGCTCCCCCTGATACGCGTCTCCTTGTAACAATGTACGCCTCACGTACACCACCTTCATCTACGTCGCGCCCTACTTTGCTACGTTGACCTCCGTATCTCAATGCACGTATCACCTTCAATGTACTCTCCTCACCATCGAACTACCGGCTCTGGTATTATCATGTCTACCGCTAGTCACTCACACCGCGCGCATGTATCGCCTCAACAAAAGTAACCATAAGACCCACATCTGAGCCAGCCCTGATACGAAATGTGACCCTACACGAACATGGACCTGAAACTTAAGAGTTTAGCCTTATAAGCAGTAACGAACATGATCCACGCTACGACAATAGAATGCGATACCCTCACATAGTAGGCTTATGATAGCCGGCCCACATCTACTGACCGCAATATGCGGGACAGGAAAGCCTTATATCACTAGCTCTACTCAGTACGAACAAACCTTTCCCAACACCCAGGGGCACTGTGAGACTTGTCCCGCCGAGAGGCTTAAGCAACTTTCCTCGATACGAGGGAATTAGCATGTCACCTGAGGGGCTCAGGAGTAGCCTCCACCCGCCGTGGATCGCTGTAGCGGCGGGTATGATCGCAGCGGCGCACAATCACAACAACACACATAACACAACGGACGCGAATATGGCAAACGGACTAACTCCCTCCCGACGGATAGAGATGAAATCGCCTCCTGCCCAATTGAATCCCAATGACCCGTCGGTAGGATCGGCAGGCAGGATACCGGGTCGAGCTACGAGCGAAGTAGGACAACAACGTGCAGATACACCTGCAAGTGTGAACAACCAACGTACACACCCCAATCTAAGTAGATCGAGGAAAGGGCGCAGAACAAAAGCTGCACTAAGAATAGGCTCACTCAATGTCAATGGACGCGGTAGCCTAGCCGGAGACACTCGAAATAAGTGGAACGCACTTAACATGCTAATGAGAACCGAAAAGATCGGCATACTAGCCATACAAGAAGCACACCTTTCAGACGACTTCATACAAGGGATCCATAACTTATATGGACGCCGACTGAGGATCATAGCAGGATCCAACGATACCTCCAACTCTGGCGGTGTTGCGATTATTCTCAATCGCGAACTGGTCGATGTATCCGATTACGTGCAACAGAACATCGTACCCGGGAGAGCAATGGTGATAAGAACACGATGGCACAGAGACAAGACGCTCACGATTCTCAACATATACGCGCCAAACAATGCCACAGAAAACACTGAATTCTGGAAGACTCTCCTTAAGTACTTCAGCACAAATGGACACAAGCTACCAGATATAGTACTAGGAGACTTTAACCTAACTGAGGAACCCATCGACCGTCTTCCGGCCAAAGAGGACCCACAAACCGCTGTAGAAGCCCTACAAGATCTCCTACTCCGCCTCAAGATCAAGGACGGATGGCGAACAACGAACCCTGAACAGAGAGACTACTCCTACCCACAAAGAGCCTCTACAACCCGCTCCAGACTCGACAGAATCTATGTCACTGAAGGTCTACTACAGACGTCACAGGTCTGGGAGATAAAGTCGACCGGAGTCCCAACGGACCACAGACTGATACTTGCCATGCTTAGCACGGCAGACGCCCCATACATTGGCAAAGGAAGATGGACTCTGCCGATCCATATCCTCCAAGATAAGACCTTCATAAACAAAGTCAGAACAATGGGAACAACGGCTACGAAGGATATTAAGAGCATGGCCGCACAAGGAACACGCTCCGAAACGAACAACCCACAAAGTATCTTCAAACACTTTAAGTCCGAAGTCATCGCTCTGGCGCGAACCACTATGAAGACCAGAGCCCCGAAATTGGAATACGCAATCAAAACACTCACAGAAGCGGTTAAGAAGGTCCAGGCCAACGCCGAGTATGAATCCAACGCGTCCCTACAAACAGAATCAGAAGTCCTATTAGACAGAATCGTTGAACTTGAAAAGAAACGCTACCAGTCCACCAGAGAAACAACGTCAGCACGGTATGCATTAAATGCTGAAACGTTAAGCAAATATTGGTCGAACATTAACAAAGAGCGTAAACCAAGAGATATGATCTACTCACTGAAAACGCCAAACACCGATGACTATGTTCACCGATCGGATGAGATGGCGAAACTAGCGCGAGACTATCACGATGACCTTCAGAACCAAGACGCCTCAGACATAACGGAACCTCTCCGTCAAGAAGCGATAAAGACGGCCAATAACAGCATCACTAACAAACTTGATGAAGCGGACGCAGACCTACTAGAAGCCAATATAAGTAAGAAAGAACTGCGTGAAGCTCTGAAAAGATCACAACGAGGGAAAGCTAGTGGCCTTGATGGTCTCCCATATGAGTTCTGGTCCGCCCTACAAGGAGGAGACGACCCGGATAGCGACACTAAATACTTCAGCAGCATAGCGCTGCTGACATACGTCTTCATCGATATTGACACATTCGGTATTGACCCCACAAGCGGCTTTGCAGACGGATGGATGTGTCCTATCTATAAGAAAAAGGACAAACGAGATATTAGTAACTATCGACCAATAACGATACTCAACTCAGACTATAAGCTGTATACCAAAGTCCTAGCAATGAGACTAGGACTCCTCGCAACTAAGATTATCCACCCTGACCAAGCAGGATTCATCCCCGGTCGGCAAATAACCGACCAGACACAACTGTGTAGAACTATGGTCGATTACGCGGAAGCTACTGAAGAGGAAGGAGTCATTATAGCACTGGACCAAGAAAAAGCGTACGATAAGATCAAACACGACTATCTCTGGACAATACTACGCACCATGGGCTTCTCAGAAAAATTCATTAGTAAAGTACAGCAACTCTACAAACACGCCACGACGCGAATAATGATCAATGGAGAGCTGAGCTCACCCTTTCTAGTACGAAGAGGGGTTCGACAGGGCGACCCCCTCTCATGCTTACTCTTCGACCTGGCCATAGAGCCACTCGCATGTGCTCTCCGCCGCTCATCACTCAAAGGATTCCGAGTCCCTGGTGTAGCAGAACGTCTCATCACCTCACTCTTCGCGGACGACACGTCGTCGTTCCTGTCGAAAGGCGACAAATGGTCCTCCCTCTGGACCATCCTCGAAGAATGGTGCACTGCGTCGGGAGCTCGTTTCAATAAGGGCAAGACGGAAATAATGCCAATCGGCCCACCTGAATACAGAGCCCTTGTAGCGCAGACACGCCGTATCGACCCATCGTCCAATGAAACCTGTATACCAGACTTCGTTAATATTGCAAAAGACGGAGAAGCCATCCGAATACTGGGCGCATGGATTGGAAATAAAACATGCGAAGCCGCCATATGGACCCCTACCATTGAGAAAGTCGAACAGTTTCTCAGTAGATGGGGCCAATGTAATCCCACACTGAAGGGAAAGCGCCACATCATCCAAATGGGTCCTGGAGGTATCACTCAGTACCTCTCAACAGTCCAAGGAATGCCGACCTCGATTGAAAACAGACTGACCAAAATGATCCGATCCTTCGTCTGGGGGAAAGACAAAGCACCTCTAGTAAACCTTGCAACCCTACACCTCCCGATGGTAGAGGGAGGACTAGACATATTAGATATTAAGATGAGGAACGAAGCGATTGAACTTAACTGGTTAAGACGATACCTTGACCTATCTTCAACTCGCCCTGCTTGGGCCTTCGTAACGGACATCATCATCGGTATACATGTAAACCGTGCCGCAGGAGCTATCCAGCCGTCAGCAAAGATAAACACTTTCCTCCAAAATTGGAATCCAGCACTACACTCGTCGTCCCTCCTACCACCATACATCAAGCGAATGATGAAGGTCGCTAAATCTCATAATACGTCACTAAATGCGATAAAACTGAGCGACGAACTTAAATCAACACTCCCCATATGGTATCATATCAGTGCGTCCAAACGCCTACGGCGGTTGGACAATACCAGCCTCAGCAAATGTCTCCGAAACATACATATAATTAAATCAGTAGCCGACATCGTCAATATGGCGAAACATACGCACCTCATCACCGGACTCAGCGATGACAGCTCCCAATGCAGCTGTCCCAAATGCTCCGACGCCTACAAGAAAGGATGTAAACACCCTCTATCCTGCTGCGAAGCGGCAGGTCGCCTCCTACACTCACTAGACCCCAAATGGATGCCAGGCACTAACCCCGCAAACGACGGGCTGACGTTGACGACAAAGCGAAGAGACGATAACCAGAAAGCCCTAGATGAGAAGGGTGACGTGACCTTCGACCCATCCCTCACAGAACGCGGAGGCATATCAGAAACCTTCCGGGTATTCATGGACGTCGGCGATATCAACAGCCCCCCTGCAATAAGACACAAAAGGGGTATCCAAGTTGTGAACGAAACAATCACTGCATACATATTAACTGCTGAAATACCGGATTCACCAAGCATCACTGTACAAGCGGGCAGTGGCATTGCGATACTCCAACGCGACCGAGTGGCGGCTGAGCTTCTGAAACCATTCGAAGGTAGCCTTGACCCATCCACAAGCGGCGAAATCTCTGCGGCGATCTACATAGTACAATTAGCCCCCAAAGATTCACCGATACACTTTATCTGTGAAACAGACCTACTACGTGATGTACTATGCAAAGACCTAGGAGCGTCCGAGGACCTAGACTGGCTAGGGTTTAGGAACCGCCGCCCCCTTCGCACTCTAGTCAATATCCTCCGACAACGATGTGCCACTACATCATTCAGGAAAGCAGACTCCAGTGATGAATGGAAATCGATAGTGCTTGGACGCAGCCTAACAATGAAGTTAGCCATCGAGCACGGAGCGATAACTGTTCAAGCCCAAGCGAACCCTGACTTCAACCTATCGGGAGCGAGACTATCGAAACTATCGCAAAGGACAGCATACCGCTTGATCAGACGGAATAGAGCAACAGCAACCCGCACAGCAACGGAACGAATAACGCTGACAACGCTCGAACACATCAACAAACTCCAGAAATCGGCATATCAAATGTCTGACCTTTGGAGAAGCATTCGACGAAGTGACATACGCCGCCCAGTATCTGACTTCCTCTGGAAGTGTTTGCACAATGCATATAGATGCGGCCACTTCTGGGCTCGAATCCCGAACTATGAAGACAGAGCCACCTGCACTACCTGCGGAGTTGAAGACTCCATGCAACACATACTATCGGAATGCCGGGCGCCCGGACAGAGAGAAGCCTGGAAACTCACTGGACAACTATGGAGACGAAAGCAAGCAGTATGGACAAAGCCCAAGCTTGAAGATATTCTGAGCCTAGGACTGAGACATTGGACATCGACAAACGACAAGAAAAGACCCTTCGTTGAACGGATGTGGCGCATCATGATATCTGAGGTAGCTTACCTGATATGGTGCCTCAGATGCGAACGAACCATTGGCCACGCAGACGACCCCTCCTGGAACCACTCTCCGAAAACGATAGCAGCGAGGTGGGAAGCCATGATGAACAGGCGCCTGCATCTTGATGCAGCTATGTCACACAGACGCTTCGGCCGACTAGCGTTACAGAAGAAGGTAGTACTGAACACATGGTGTGGAACCTTGAGAGACGAACAAGCACTACCGGATGATTGGACAGTGATTAATAGGGTTTTAGTGGGTATTAATCCAAGTAAACACGAACGGTTACCTGGATAATTGAGTCCCACACTGACCTAGTATGGTCGTGCGTAATTGCATTTTACCCTGGAAAGCAAACAACGCGGGGGAACCCGCTGGCTGGCTGGGGCTCGGGGCTGACCAATAGTCAGTTGCCGCTCCCCACTAAGAGCCCTCCAAAAAAAAAAAAAAAAAACATGAAGCCGACCATTCCGCTTCGCATTGGTACTACCACACACACTTCGCGGCGTAAGCGGAGATGGGCGCGGGATGTGCTCTGATGTGCTGCAGGCTTGAGGTACGTAGGCGGAATCTACGGTCGACCCGCCGAGATGCTGATTTATATAAATATGTCCTGGTGTACATAATTGCTTGATCGGTTGTGCACAGCGGGTGGGCTGGGCCACGCATCTCAGATCAACGAAGTCGCGGGGAAGTTGCCTGAAGTTCCGACCGCAAGATCTCGGAGGGGATCGGGATCAGGTGAGCAAGAGACCGGGGTGGGGCGACCGTGGCTCTCAGGCTGGAAGGTTAAGTCTTAGCTCTTAGCTGGCTCGGAAGATGCAGTAGACGTGCTGGTCCAAGCGCAATATAGATGACACTACAGCCCAGAGCGAGCGACTCAATATGCTGCCCGTGTTCTTCCCTGTTCTCCCTCCGGCATTCCACGGTGGACCCCCCGGCAACGAAACATGTCGAAGATGAACCCATGAGCCAATTTTGGACATGAATTGTAGGAGAGCTTCTCCCGACATTGTCTTCTCATCACAGTCTGCATACCTCGAGGCCTATGTGGTCGCGACTGACATGTCGTGAGTATTCACAGCTTTGCCGAGTGAATAGTATCAGCGCCGTTAGTACGCTGGGATGAGCTTCGATGCTTGTCGGTACGTGTGGAACTGGAACTTCCCGCGTAGCTTTACGACATTCAAAGCAGGCTGGCTGTCGGGTAGGTCATCATTATTAATACTATACTCGTACTCGTACACAAGAGAGCCTGCGACCAGGGGGATACAATACAGCATTCCAGCAGAACAGACAACAGACATTGACAACAACAGACCTTCCGATCCTACCGGACCGTGGTATCGTACAGCAATACACATATTACAACTTCGGAATGAGAACATGACTGAATCTTCGTGCACGATGGAATCGATGACGAAGTAAGTCAGCGGCGGCTGTTAAAGCTCACACTGCGCGCACGTTGGTGGTGGTGGTGATGGTGTTTACTCGGTCGGCGGAGGACGATCGTCGAGCCAGCAGGGATCTGACCGGGATAGCCGCCATAGCCTGCGGCACCATAGCCCGGCGTGGCCCCGCCCGGGGCGTACGCGGCGCCATACGCATTCGGGGCCACTGCACCAGCCATCGCGCCAGGGACCACGGGATACCCCGCCTGGTACGCGCCGTACTGCGCAGGCTGCACACCGTACGTCGGCGGGGCGGCAGGCATGTAGCCTGCAGTCGTGCCAGGGAGGACCGCGAAGCCGCCAGCGGACTGGGCGTACCCCGGGACGGGCGTCATGGCCTGGGCGACCTGGGGGACCACGCCGGACGCAACATTGTACGGGCTCGCCGAGCCGTACGGCGCGGGCGTGCCACCGGAGAGGTACGCGCCGTTCATCGAGTTGGCGGAGGACCAGCGGCGGAGCGTGCGCGGTTGCCTGTGCGCGTGGCCGTCGTCATAACGCGAGCGGTGATAGTCCTGCTGGCCGTAGCTCGATCGGGACTCGTAGTCGCTGTAATCGCCACCGTACCCGAGCACCTATCGAGCCCAACAGCGCATGTGAGCCCGATGGAGCTGCAGAGAAGATGGAAATGCACCCACCTTGTCGGCGATCTGCGAGGCGGTCGCAGCAGCAGTCTCGCACGATTCGCGGAGCCCAAGGTTGTCGAACGGGCGACCGGTGTATTGCCAGAGGTGCGTCGCTGCCGTGAATGGGATCAGCGGGTGACCAGGCGTGGCCTGCCTTGCGAGTTTACGTACCTTCTGCGACGGCCATACCCATCATGGCGTCCCTCTCGCGCTCGCGGTCTCCGTCAAGCAGTTCATACAGAGGGTGGTGGTATTTCCAATAGCGGTAGGCTTCGTATGCGGCGGCACTTCCCAGTTCGGTCGGGAGCACTGTACCAAGGTTAACCTGTAATGAACAATTAGACATATTTTCACTTCACTTGGGTTCCGTACTGATAGGCCCCTCCCCGACAGAACACATAAGCAGAAGACGCAGGGGCCCATCCTTTCATCAACGATTGGTAGTGAGATTCGACGTACCTGTCCACTATACACGCGGCGATGCCAGTGCCTCGCCTCATGAAATCCAGAGCCGATCGCGACAGCCAGACGTCCCATGACAGACTGGAAGAGCCCGCTACGGTACCAGTTCAGACCAGATCAGCGATCAAATTCTCGATTTACGATCGACATGACTTACGGATCGTCGTACGCTGCATGAGCGCGATAGTAGTCCATGCCGCTCCCTTGGATGGTGCATCAGCGCGAGCATGCTTGATGTCAGCAACATGCGCCACTTACAGTGCGGTTGCGGCTGCCATCTAGGCAACGGAGGGCGCGTGAATTGGAACTGGGAGAGCAGTGAGCACGTAGACGACGGGCAGATAGCACACAAATGGTCCTACATCTTGTGTCCCCCATCGCGGGACACTCGACTGATAGTACGCGTAGGCCATGTTCAGATTCCTTGGAAAGGGTAAGATCGAGTTGGAACAAAGGATGGAAACCCGCTAGAGTCGACGGGGGTGAAAGGCAAGTGCGATTGTGGCTGCGGTGAAGCAGGCGGTGGGTCAGAAGCGCGCGAAGGTGGATATTTGAGGCTAGGCGTAGAAGTAGAGTCCCCGCCCTTCTACGAAGCTAATATGCGTCGGGCGCGGGCGCCACGCCGCCATGTCTCGCAACTTCCGAGTCACCCTCGGCCGTCCTGCCGCCCTCGGAATCTCCATTTCTGCTGACAGTCTCCTCCGCACATGTCCGTTTCGCCTATAAGGCTTTCAGCTGACGTAGGCTGATGCTGTACAAACACCTCTCGAGGTCCGAAATGAATAGTCGCAGGTGACCCACTCCAAGCCGTTGTCAGGCCCCGCTCGCCAAGATGCAGGTTATGTGGTTCGTCTTCCCCGCGGCATCCACACTCCCGAGAAAATACGCAATCCATTGAACGCAATCTGACATTACGCTGCAGATTAGTGATGGACAGCAGGAGAGGGTGCTAGCAGGATCACGCAGACACTGGCAGAAGTCAGTCGTCGCAGTCGCAGCCACAACGGCGATCGGAGCCGAAGTGAACCGGAGCGGCTTTCAACAGGCGTGCGAATCTGGTTCGTTTCGTAACGCGCATCGACCCCGCACGCGCGCTCGTGAGTCGTCGCAGAGATCGTATACGCACTTCGAGACTCTTGTACTGCCCAACGGCAACATCTCCTCTGACTCATATCCCGGAACTTTAGCAACTCTATAATACCAAGCAACATATGAATCGCGTCGATTGAAGTGAGAGCGGGGATGTCTGGTCCGTCTATCCGGCCGTCGGCGCGCGGACGCATCTCATAACTTACCAGCATGTAGATTATGCTGTCTTCGCCCAGCCTGAATTCGAGCCCAATGAATATGCGAATGCAATACTTGCAGGAGAGCCCTACCCACCTCAGACTGGCAAATCGAAATCTGCCAAAGCCGCGACGTTTGAGCCTGCGAACGAAGACATCTCAGTCGCGATCCAGAAGCTGAACTTCAGCATTGATGATGTTGACAAGCAACTCAAGAATGTTGTACGTCTGCGCTTGCAAGGTAAAAGACATGCATGAACTCAGCTTTACTCTGCAGGTCACCACCCACCATGAAGATCTGCTGGTGCAGGCAGCTGGCGTTACGGAGCTAGAGGGGTCTCTCACATCTGTCAGAAATGGGCTGGACGAGCTGGACACGTCGTTCGAGAAGTGAGTCGCCGCGAGGTCTATGTTCAAACTACCTTCCTCACCGGCACCAGACTGCGCACCAAGGTCCGCGTGCCGTACCAATCGCTGCAAGTCAATGTCACAAAGCTGGAGCGTATACAACAAGCCAACGACATCCTCCGCCGCATGTCGCGCTTCGTCATCCTCACGCGCCGCCTGGAACTCCAGCTCGCTGAGATGAACAAGGGCGAAGGCCTCGAAGCTGAAACACCCAAAGTCAAGCAGGAAGTAAACGGCTCTCCTCGCCCTGCTGAAGGCAGCTCGTCCGATCCTGCACATGCGCTAGCGGAGTTGGAAGACGAAAAGGAGCGAGTCATCTCGAAGGCCGCCTTGACGGTGGCTGAGTTGAGTGAGTGGGTGCGGCGAAGGGAACGTACTGATTGCTGACCCATCATTCCTTCGCCATAGATTCGCTTCTGGACAATGCCCCGCCGGAAAACAGCGAGGGGCAAACTGCCTCGGAAGAGCACAAGGTGCCTCTGAGCTCCATCAAGACCGTCGCTGCACACTTGCCATACATCGAGTCTGCTCGGACACGGATTACCGCTGACATGGAGAATATGATCATGACCGGTCTAGCAGAACTGGTAAGCATTTCGCTGGCATTGTATCTCCACCGCATCGGCGACTCATCCGGAAATGTCAGAACCACTCTCTCATCGCATCGTCCCTACAAACAGCGCACAACCTCCGCGTCCTTCCCCTACTCGTACAACAACTAGTGTCCGACCTATCGGAGACGGTAGAAGGGCGAATCAAGTTTGCCTTTGACATGTCCCGTATCTCTAAGGAGGTTCTAGCCAAGGGTATGATCCGTGATGCACTGTCAGGTTCGTAACAACATTGATCTATCTTCAGAACCACAGTCTGCGTCGCACGGGTTAATGTACAAGTCGCGAGTGCGGACTGAGCCCACCAACGTCACCGCTCCTCAATATTCTGCCGCGTTATGGACTAGCTTGGAGGGTCTTGTGGAAGAGATGGCGTCGTGTTGCGTTAAGGTACTGATTATCATGTATCCGCGGACTGGCTTGACTAATCGGCGACAGGTATATGCGCTAGAGAATGTCCTCAAACTCAAAAAGGACCCGATGACCCAAGTTATCTTCCTCGATGAAGCCATGAAGGTCGGTACACCCTCCCGAGTGGTCGCGCCTGCTTTCGAACTACGCTCAATCCCCGCGCTAGACCCTCGAAAGCAAACCGAGTACGTTCTTCTGGAACGCCATCGGAAGATCCCTCGAGAAGCAGGCGAAGGATGCCGCAAAAGGTGCGCCCACAAGCAGTTTGTATGACAGCTATACAATGAGATGCCTAATGTGTCCCTCAGGGTCCTCCTTCCTCCAACAAACCTTGAGCTCCGGGTATCCAAGGCTTCTTCGCCTGTTCCACTCCTTCTTCGCCAAGATCGCCGTGCAGACGGACACGATATACACCCAGACGCACCAAAGGTCTGTTCCGCTCCACCCCCTTGACGTCGACCCTCTGACGATGTGGATACCAGTCCGGAGACGGTCATCGTGCTCCGCGCCCTCTCCAACTTCGAGTCACTCTACCTCTCGCGGTCGTCCAACCGCCTGAACGAGGCGGTCGGCCAGGCCTTCGCGGGCGGGCCACGATCGCCCCCTGGCTTGTCGGAGGGCATTAACATCGCGCGTGTGGCCGCGAACGAGCTCGACTCGGCCAAGTTCGACCCGTTGCTCGTGCGTTCCGTCGCGCAACACGTCGCGTCCGCGCTCGAGATGCTCACGTCGCGCGGAGATGGCATGGTACGATCGCATCGCGTATCGCACGCATTGTTGTAGGGATATTGGCGCTGATTGTGCGTCGTAGGTCATCAGGGAGCGGTCGGCAACGACGTTGATAGGGCCCTCCGCGACGCCCTCGCAGGTCCTGAACGGGCAGCTCGCGACATGTTTGCATGCGTGCTGGTCGCGGTTGGAGAAGCTGCAGGTGGAGTATCCTGAAGGTGTTCTCACGTACATCCGGAATAGCATTGCGGTATGTGCGCTTCGCGATGTACGATGCTCAATGGCATGCTGATGTTGCGATTGTAGAGCCTCAACCGTGCGGTAGAGCGGATAGTCGATCCCCTGCTCGGAGCTGTTCGTCGAGAACTAGGAGCAATCATAGCGAGACTGCACAGGATGGACTTCAGCGATGCTGTCGATCCCATGTCTGCGATGGGCGGAGGACCGAGCCCATACATGAAGGATCTCGTGGAAAAGATGTCCTTCATCCGAACAGAGGTGCTCGTCCAGTACAACGTGCCGGAGCGGATCCGCGAATGGTCAGCATTGTGCATCATTTTCTACCACTATGTCCGCCTGACTGTGTGACTGTGGATCAGGATCATCGGGATTGTGAAGTACGTGATCAAGACGTTCGTGCTGCACGCGTCGATCGCGAAACCGCTCGGCGAGAGCGGCAAGCTGCAGCTCACGAGCGATATGACCGAGCTCGAGTTCGGGCTTAGTGCATTCATGTCGGACAAGACGCAACAGGGGAAGCGCGGTACTGACTGGGAGAGCGTGGGCGATGACTATCGCGCTCTGCGAGCGATGCGGTAAGTCTGCTCCTCCATGATTAAAAATAGCGCCTTGTTGATCAGCGCGACTCCAGTCAACTGCTCTTCCTCGACAACGCCCAGCTGGCGTCACCTGGCCACACGATGGGGCTGCCGCCCTTGCTCGTACTGCATCATATCCTTGTCAGGTCACCGATTGCGCTGCCCCACACGCTTCACGGGTGGGCAGAGGCGGAGTACGTCCGGTGGGTGAACGAACACTCGGAGGAAGAGGCATGGACCCTCGTCGAGGGCGACCTCACGCATTGGGAGAAAATTGCGGAAGCGGAGGGCAAAGACTCGCCCGAGGCGAACGAGTACGTGCAGCTAGCGAGGACGGTGTTGGCTAATGCGATGAAGAAGCCTTGATGCGCTCTGATGTTCGTGCTGCTTGTTGTTATGGTGAGTGTATGGTCTTGTGGTAGCTGAGCTGCATGCTTACGGGTCGTGGAAGTAGGTAGACAGCGATTATGTTGCTTGTCCTCGGTGCATCTGCTAGCTAGAGCTTGAAGCAGCCCGCTCCATCTACATTACGCTTCTATCGTCAGGTCGCCGGTCTGATTGCTCATCCCGCAATGAGCTGTGGGATTGAACTGACACATCGAATGGTTCGCGCTAGCAAAGTGCGTCCTTCCTGCTCGTCCTTGACGGGGTATGTCTTCTGCCCTCAGCGTGTCAGGAAACGATTCGCGGTTTGGACAACGACCCCTGCCGCGTGTTTTCGATGGAAGCACCTGTTCGGAACCATTCGTGCTCCTTCCAGGGTGGTGTATAAACGTAAGTGTGCCTCAACACGTCGTTACCCTCGATTTACGATGAACCTTATCTCTGCATGTCGACCATCTTGCCGTGCTACCGCCTATGTCCCATCCACGGAGCTCAGACATTGATTCCCAACGGACATGTTCTCCGGAACCATCAAGATGGATACATCCCGCGTTTCTCATGCTTTCATGCATGATCAAAGACACGGCCACTATGCAAAGCTCCTACGCTAACCACTATGCATGAGAGCGACTTGTGCGTCAAGATAGAGTGTATCAGTCATGCTGCTTATGCGGAACATTTCACCTCAGAGCAGTCATAATAACAACAGCGAACGTGAGTGATGCTTCATCCAGGAATGTTGATCCTCCGACGATGTTAGGTTCAAGAAGTGACTTCCGCGGCCTCGAGGCATTCAGAAGACTGACTGTACATGCTGAAGCCACAAGGCTGTGGTGAACCCCTTATCTTGACTCTGGACCATGGTATCGTGCAGGCTGGCGATTGGGAAACGAAGTGTATGTCACCGTGAAATGTGCGTCCAGGTCCACGTCATTTTTTCTCGCGGACAACTCTGGGCGCTCCCGTCGTAAGTCATAAAGGCTGATTTGCTGCGGCATCGCATCTGAAAGCGGCGCACATTCCCCTCACACGGCTTCTCTGCTTTTAACTCATCTCCCAATGGACGATCTGCGTCGAGGTGTGAAGAAGAAAGGAAAAAAGGGCATGACCACGCAGCCCATGGCTACACCTGTGCCTATACCCCGCACTGCGACGAGGGAGGAAGTTGTGTCATCGTCGTTGCAATCCGCCGTTACCGGGGGCGATTTCACGAATAAAGTATTCTACGCATACACTCGCAGGACGGCATCGGGGGTTGTGGATAGGCCTCATCTAATATTTGCGAATGAAGCGATTCTGAGGAGCGTATCAGATTACTTCGTGACGCGTATGTCTCGACATGACTCTATTGATACTCATTGCTGATTATTTGACGTTCTATATCCGCAGTCTTCCAATGGGACATCCAGGATGGGCATATGTCTACCGATGACTATGACTACATGTCCGATAGTGACCTTGATGATGATAACGACGAGGTCGATGCAGACGGTAGAGGCACACCTCATGAATACTTAGACAGTCAACGGGTGCCTGAGTCGAGCCAGACTGCCACGGACGGCCCATCGCGCCTCGCCAGGGGGCCGAGGGAAGAAGCCGAGAACTCCAAAACCTCAACAGGGATTGCTACTCCTGTCTTAACAGAGGTCTGTAACATTTGGGTTGAGATATTGAGCAGATCTTTCTGAAGGGGACATCACAGGATTCATCGACGCCGCCGCATACCCTTCCGGAATCAACACCGTCGTCGCTTGTAACCGCAGTAGGCCCTGTCAGAAAACCTATACCCCTCGAGACCGTCGCCTTCAAAACGTGAGTTCAGCCCGTATCAAACGCGGAAGCGGGCTCACTGCCATGTCGTGTAGCTTCCAATCCTTCGTTATTTGGTGTCTCATTGGGAAGATTGCATTCCTGCCGTTGAGATCACAGCCGCCTTCCGTCCACATGCAGTATTCTATGAAATCCGCTGGACCGTATGGGCCACCGCCGTGCTCACCGAAGTCAATGTATCGCCTTGCTCATACGGTGCGGAGCCTCTGCACTGCTCTGACGGCCATTGTCTTGATGTATATTGATGTATCTTTTTAGTTTGGCATTGCTGAGCTGAAGAAGCTCGCGTTGGACGATATCATGACGAAAATCACTCCTGATAACATTCTTTCCGAGCTGGGCTCTTCATTGACAATCAGGTGATCCATCTCAGCTTGCATGGGTTGATACATTTGGTGACATAATTCCACGTAGGTACACGGAACTTCAGGAGGCCGAAGTGAACATGCTCATACAGAAGGGACTCACGCCCGCTGTGCTCAGCACGATGCCTCGGTGGCTCGCCGAGATTAGCAGTTCACTTGGACCGCCGGGCTTGGATATCGTTGCGTTGCTTATCCAGAAGATGGCTCAGAACACATCCGCGTTCCGGAATTCGTCGAATGGCGGCTGGTATTAGTAGGCAGGATGCGATGTGTTTTGTCAGCTGTATGTTGGCCGTTGTAGTTCTGAGTCGGTTCTAGTCTGGTGTACGTAAGCCATGCAGGTTATTGGTGACCCGGCGCATGCCCATGGTCTTGTAATGGCTCAACAAAAATGACGGTTGCATTCAGTACTTGATGCGAGGACTCGTGAGGTGCGCCTCAGTGGCGTACACTTAGCAGGGACTCGGAGGCACACCTCAGCTTGATCTGACGCTACCCGTGCCCTTCTCAGGAAAGAAAACTCTATGTACATGTACAAGTTCCGGCATACAGTCAGATGTCACTCACAGCATGCCGTACAAAACAATTTGCATGGACACCGCGAGTGATGTTACGTGCAGTCGGGTTCTGTGAGTCCAGTAGCTATACTATTAGAAGGCCAGTCTCGTTTCCTAGTGGGAAGAACCAGATGATACTATCGGTTCAGTACCAGTCGAGATTCATATTCAACGATCGTCGGCACTCAGTAGAATCCTAATTGGGTGAAGCGCACTGAATGCTTCTGTTGATCGACAGCAGAGGGTTTTAACTTTTCAGTTTGAACACACAATCGATCCCTTATATATCGTGCTCAGCCTTCCCGTTGCTTGCGCCAGTGAGCGCGAGTCGGCCCCAGTGGCGGCCTATGACTGCCAGTGCCCTAGTAAGTAGGCCTAATACTGTAGCGGTCACCACAACCCGGCGGGGGGTGTGACGTGTGACAAAAGTTTACGACCCGGCGCAGCGGCGGGGGTGGGTGTGACGGATGACCACCGCCGCCCGGAGGGCGGATCCGTAGTTGTGCCCGCCGCAGGCGCCGCCCTCAGCACTGAACACCGCGGGCAAACCAGGTTGTTCGAACTCCGAAAACCCCTACGAACATCGGTCCCGCCTGGGAACCTTTACGGACTCCGAATATTGTCAGAACATGCTGCGAACATGATGCGTTTCAGCCGATTTCAGCATGTTCGGAGGCCGAACATGCGTGTTTTCGGCGAACATGCTACGAACATGAGAAATGTAGGAGCATTTTCGGAGTCAGTCAAGTTCTCCGAAAAGGTTCCCATGGAGGACCAATGTTATTAGCATTTTCGGAGCCCGAAAAACCTGGTTTGCCCGCGGTGGAAGCGCCCTACGACAGCATTGGCGCCGGCGGTGGGAACGGCTGTGACTTGTGACCCGATGGGTTTGGAGCGGCGGGCGGCGGGCCTGTGACATGTGACAACCGGGTTGTATTGACCGCTACAGTAGCCGCAGTACTGTGACATCATGCTCCCTCGAGGCTTTATCATGATTTAGGGCGACATCTCATGGGAAATCAGGGTTCCTACTAACTCGCGTGCTACGCTCTAGAGGTTTTGAAAACCACACTCCTAGGCGTGCCAGCGTAGAGACGTCCCGGCCATACATTGACCAGTCTGAGAGATAGTATGGCCAGCCCGGCTGCGGTAATTCCAGGCACCTCAGACGTTGCTTATGTGTTCTGTCATAAAGTTCAAAGTCTCCCGCTGGCACCTACGCGCATGCACTGTGAGCACGCAGGGGCAGACACTGCTCCATATACCGTGACGAGGGCAGCCTGGCTCATGAAATGACACAGGCGCTGCCTCATAGCGCACAATGGACGTCTCATGTTGAGCTACGAAGTAGCGCAGGCTTGTGGACCAGTCACGGTGGTCATCAGGCGCGCAAGTACAATGTAACTCTGTCGTGACCTGACTACACCCAAAGTCCCTAAAATGACTGTACAGACTTTGAATGGAGAGAAGTAGCCTGCCAACGCTCGTTTGAGCTCCCACGCCCTCGAGCCACAGCCAAGTCAATGTCCTAAGACGCTACGAATACCTAGTCCAGCTCATCCAACTCCAGTTCACGTACTAGTAAGAGCGGCGCGAGAGGCAACGCGTACCCTGCAACCTTGCCCGCGACGCGGCCGACCTTCTTCCATTTGACCTGGCCGACCTTCTTCTTCCAGTTGACGTGGCCGGCCTTCTTCCAGTTGACATGGCCGACCTTCTTCCAGTTGATGTCGCTTCCCGAGAGGCTGGGATTCTCGCGCAGCTCATGCTCTACAGCACGACGTACGGAGTCCTTTGCGACGTCCACCGCAGTGCTTGCAACGCCAGTAGCCTTATTGGCGGCCGTGTACGTGTCGTCGCCGACCGTGTGCCCATTCAGCTCGCGCCGGTTGAGGAGGAGCGCACCCTGGTCCTCGCGAATGAAGGGTCTGAGTGGGTACGCTTTGGTCCCGAGTGAGATCGCATTCAACGCCGTGTTGCCGATCTTCTGAGAGTTGTGCCCGACGTTGGCGCTGTGGTGAAGGTGTGTTAGCAATGGAACAACACGACGCGTACAAATCTGACATACTATGCGATAGGCGCGGCAAAGGCAGGGCCGACAGACAGCAGAGAGAAAACGAAGGGCGAAGCGACGGTGAAGCGCATGGTGCGAGCTGAGTCGTGAGTCGTGAGTGCTTAGAGCGTCGTGCGGGGTCCGAGTCGTAAGGCCGGTATGACAAGAATGGGTATAATGCAGCGAGCAAGGCTTTGCGACAAGCGTTCAGCATTCAGCGTGTTGTCCATAGGTACTACCACTCACCGACCAGCGCCTCTGCTTGATTACGAACGGAGGCCCGAGGTTGAAAGGGGAGCTAGAGAAGCGAGACTCAGATCGAGTGTCTTTATGTGTATCTCCAGCGCGCTCCGATTTCATCGTGAGCATTCGATGAACATCCCGTGTCCTTCTACACAAGACCAACGGACGACAGTGCGGTGCTATCGCACATGATCAATGCTGCTCGACCTGCGTGGGGGCGTTTGCTGGGCGTTTGATTGTTCTGTAGTTGCGTCGCGCGGCTCGTAAGATGTGAACAACCCGCACGACGGCTACTTACTGCCAGTAAGAGACAGGTAAGAGATGATCTCTGTTATATGTGATCGCCGTCTCGACAGCCCTGCCTGTCTATGTTTTGCATATTATACGCTTCTTCAGTTTGGCAGACGAAATGCGCAGAGCTGTCAAGGAAGTTTTCATCCCAGGGGCTCAGTCTGCAGAACGACTGACTCAAGTTTACAAGAACGTTGACGGAATGCATTCTCACCACGGATGAACTGCGTGCAGCGTGATGCGGCTGACTCGCAGCTCTCATCAGAATGCAGGTTCAGCATGTAGCCGTCATGTTGCCGCGTGAGGACAGTGAGCCCCTGGCAGGGCGCATGGATCGACAGGCATGGGCCTCGCTATAGCTTAATGGCTCACCGTGATGCGGCGGACTTGGTATGGCTGTGTCCTGATGCAACACCACGAGCCTTTGGGATCGCATCTGTCTCTACCGGCTTGGCGCCAGAGTACCACGTTCATCCCTGAGCCCATAGCGGAAGGTAGAGCGAGTCGGCCCGGGAGGGGATTATCGAGTTGCGGTTACAGTCTCTGCGGGCCATCCTCCTCCTCCGACACGGAAGCGCCCAAGGATCATGATGCCCCTGGCCGAGCGAAATTGCTGTTCCGAGACGCTTTTGTCGACGTTCGTTGGGCGGCCCGTGGCACTGGAAGCCATCATTCTGAGCTGCTTTGGCCCTCCCCGAACTTGAAGTCGCGTGCGCTACCTCTCCCTACGTACGTAGTGTGCCACGCTAGGAGCATATAACTAGTTCTGGGCCCGGGCCGGGGGCATGACGACGGACTCTGGGAGTCCTGCCCAAAGGTGAAGAGCCTAGGCATGTACGGCTAACGTGGGTGGTACAATGTACTGATCCCAGCTTACCTGTAGCAGTCTGTAGCGTCATATACGACCGCCCTCCTCCCCTCCAAAGAGGCCGTATCTGTGGTCTGCCTACTGGAGACTACGTCGTACCCAAGACATTTAAGCGCCAGTACTTCCGGTGACACTCGCTGCCGTCACAATCGTATGGAGCGATCATCAAGAACGAGCTCTGGCGAGGTTGAGAGTACGAGAATGAATCAGGCACGTAAGCGTGTGTTGTGTGGCCTGCTAAGTTACATCGTTCCGTACGATGATCATGACTATACTACAACAACAGTCTCTGTACAGCGACCGTAATGGTACAAGGTAGTTGTTTGAGCTCCCATCCTGTCGACTCGACCCCCATGACATCGGAGACCGCCTCGCTCTCCTACTCCTACTCCTACTCCCACTCGTCTAGCTCGTCATCGCGGAGGATAAAAGGAGCGACAATCACAGCACCTCCTGCGACCTCATGACCGACCTTCTTCCAGTTGATGTTATCGACCTTGTCCTCCACAGCCTCCTTGATATCGTTCCAGCTAAAGTCCGTCCTAGCGGCCAGAGACTCCCTCTCGCGCGCTGAAAGCTCCTCCGCACGGCGGATGACTTCTTCAACGAGCTCTCTTCTCTGCGTCGTTGCCCTCCAAACGTCCGCCGCGGTGCTAGAGAGGTCCAGGAACTGGTTGGCGACCTTGTCCGTGATGTTACCGATCTTGCCCCACTTCCCCTCTTTCTTGGCAGCCGGTTTCTGCTTCGTGAGCTTGCCCTTGCCCGGCGTCCGCTGCTTCTTTGGCTTAGGGAGAGACGCCTTCTTGGGCTTGGCAGCAGACGATTTCGCTTTCTTGAGCTTGGGAAGCAGTTTCAACACAGCGAGCTTGCCTCGAGGAACGAGGTCCTCTCGGGCAGTGTGATTGTGATGCTTTTGTATCTCGTGCTTCGTCAGGGGATACAAAGTGGCACCCAGCGAGATGGCCTTGAGCGATGCACCTTCGACTTTCTTGAAAGCCTCACCCTTCTTGCCTCTGGGGTGGAGCTCGGCGCTATGCAACACTCTAGTCAGCGACGCGGTGATGGCTAGAGTTTCGTCGACGTACCGGTCGATTGGCGAGGCGAGGCGATCCTCTCGGGCGGTGTGATTGCGATATTTTTGTATCTCGAGCTTCGTCAGGGGATACAACTTGGCACCCAGCGAGACGGCCTTGAGCGCCGCACCTTCGACCTTAACAAAAACCTCACCCCTGCCTCTGGCATGGAGCTCGGCGCTATGCAACACCCTAGTCAGCGACGCGGTGATGGCCAGAATGCCGTCAACGTACCGGTCGATTGGCGCGGTGAGGGCATCTCGGGGACGGGGAGCGTGGTGGCGATGCTTTTGTAGCTCTTGCTTCGTCAGGGGATACAACTTGGCACCCAGCGAGATGGCCTTGAGGGCTGCACCTTCGACCTTCTCAAAAATCTCCCCCTTCTGGCCTCTGGGGTGGAGCTCGGCGCTATGCAACACTCTAGTGAGCGACGCGGTAATGGCTAAAATGCCGTCGACGTACCGGTAGATTGGCACGGCGAAGGCATATGCCATAACAAGGGTGACAGGGAGAATGGTGAAACGCATGGTGAGGGTCGTAAAACGATAAGCCGGTCGTGAAGAATCGTCGTGGGATGTCGTGAGGTATAGGATGAAAGGGACGGGTAAGTCGTATTAGATATGGCTACAACATCCAAGAGTGAGTTCGACGTGCAGAATGCACATACCCCGAAAGGCTACGTACCGACCAGCACCTGTGCTCGTAAAGAAAGGCAGGCTGAACGCGAGGGAGCGGGCCTAGAGTGTTGCAGCACGCACAGGTGGTTTATATATGTCTCGATCTGAGCGGAGGGGCACCGCGCGGTTAGGTCCAAGCCATCATCCTGCTCCGCGATGTGGCTTGCCAGGGCGGCTAAAAACTGTCAGACAAGATAAGGCAGCTGCAGCTACCAGAGGCGTTGAGGCTACAATCCTGTCTTCTCCATGTCGTAACTTTCGCCATTGCAGATGTTTTGCACGTATAAGCAGCACGTGTAGACTTTCTCGCGTTGAGCTTGGTCAAACCTCGAAGACAGCGTTTGACACAGAGGTGAGCATTGTAAACATTGCATACTGCAATCCCAACGTGACTGTCCACTTGTCGCCTCGCCATCAGGTCATTTACTCGGGAGATCCTTCACAGCATGGAGACCGTGGAATTGTTGTCGTGGCGCAGGGTCCACAGCCGGGATGCATGCAAACGAGCACGGGTCCGGTCACCAGTGTGCTCGCTGTGATGAGGCGAACTTTGGCTGTGTCGGGCTAAGACGAATATTCGGGAGCGCATCTGAGCTTTTCCGAATATGGCGCCGACAACGTGCTTGACATCCTGAACGCCAAGCCCAAGGCGTCGCTGTACCCGTATCGAACAGGAGGTGTCAGGCCCGCCAGCCCACTACTTACTGTTACCGCATACGCAGCCACCGACGCGTCATCAACTCACTACAACGTATAAGCGCTCGTTGATGTTGATCGAGGAGTGTACGCACCACGCCAAAATGCTCGATCAATCAATAAGGCTGTTTGGGAAGCGAATTCGCGAGCTATCCTATTGGGCTGCAGTCTCACTTCGGTTGCGGCTGGAATCCATTCGACTCGGAGGTCACCATACAGAGGTCCGCCCGCTCGTTACGAGGAATACCATTGGCGATTGTGACCACTGGTATCAAACTGAACAGCACAGCTTTCCTGGTCAGATCTCAGCTTCAATTTACGCGAGCACGCAATGTGAGTGGTCGGCTCACCTGAGATTGGAGGTAGAGTGCTTCCTGAGGAAACCAGCAACTCAACTGGGGCCTGAATACATGTGATTCCATGCCGTATGATGCTTGATGTCTAAATAATGTACATGTTCAGTAATGAACGTCCAATAGTATGGCGTCGATCGGCTACTCGTCCGACGAGCGTGGTCAAATATTTGTGTATCCACAAGGCGAGGGGACCACACTCCCGCGGATGAAACTGGTGAGTGCGCATGCCATTCGGTAATCAACTGGCGGGTAATGGCGCTAGTACCTTCCATTGGCTTGGTCCCGTTTAATTGACCACTTCACATATTGATGGCATTCACTTTGAAGACAGCATCAGAGCATCCCGCCTCCAGGACTCCAACGCGGATGCCGAGGCCTCCAGAGCTCGCACCGCAGCAGATGAGATTCGGAGCAAATCACGTACCGCGACAAGGTAGACACGGGCAGCCATCCACATGGTGCGCACTCGCGTACCTCGCACATGAACGAACCGAACATCTCCCTGGAGGTTGACCCACAGGGGCGACAGCCGACTCGCAACTGTCAAATCGCTATCTGCACAGCAGGTACGGGGAAGACACTGATGCGCCAGGATGCGCCCCTTAGAGGACATCTAGAGACATGTCAGCGATGTTCCTGAGACGGAGGGGTTACACCTCCGTTTCTGAGATAAATCTTCTAAAGGGGCCCGGTTCCGCAGAGTCGGCGCAGACACGACTCAGTCTGAAGCCTACCTCGAGAGACACAAGCTCATACTGGGCATCGATACCGGTTACGATTGATGATCAAGCGACAAATCAGCCGAAAGTGCGAATCGTGGCGGTGGTGGTGGTAGCAGCGAAAGGGTGGTGGCGGTGGCGGTGACGAACCACGACAGTTTCCCAATCGAGCGGACCTGTCAGGGGATCCGGCCCGGGAATCACCGGTACCGAGTCCTCTCGAGGAACACCTGGCAGAGAAAGGAAATGTGGTAAGTTCAACACATGGTCCTTACACATCGAAAACATTGGTGGTACATAGCATGAGACTAGGATGCCATGAGGCAACGTCTAACATCTGTATAGCGGGGGTGTCCGAGACATGTACTGCACGGAACGCCGCAGCCAGAACATGCGAGGATCACGGTCCCAGCGTTCACAGGTGGAAAATTGACATTAGAGTACACAAGATAGCGGTTTTTACATCCGGGGTGAAACATCGACTCGGAAAGTCCACATGCGAGGGCACCAACCAACAGCTTACTCACGCTTCTCAGCTTCCCTCTGCACCTTCGCCGCCCCCGCCGCTACATCAGTAGCACTCTTCGACTCTGCCTCCTGCGCCTTGCTCTTGCCATAACCAACCCAGCTCCCGAACCACTGGCCCCAACTCTGCTTCGTCTCGTTGGCCTTCTGCTTCGCATCAGCGTACGTCGCCTTGGCGGCAGCCTCAGCGTCGCCCACCTTCGCCGCGGTGGCGTTGTATGCATCTGCCGCAGACGCCTTCGCCACACCGTACTGCTTCGTGACCGTGTTGCGCGTGTCAGCCGCGTAGCCGTCTGCGGTCGCCTCCGCACTGTGGAGCTTCTCCTTGCCTGCGGCCTACATCGTACACATCAAGTTGGCAAAGCGCAATCACGATCTCAGGAGGTATGGCGCACCTTGAGATCGTAGTACCCCTTCTCGCCCTCCTTGACGACATCCTGCGCGGTACGCTTCCCTGCGTCATTTAGCTCCTTCGCCTTCTGCGCTGCCTCCGCTGTGTCCTTCTGACGCTTCCGGTGGAGGTCGTCCCCGTTGAAGTAGTACCATCCTGCGATAGACGCCGCAGTTACACCGGTGAGGATCCAGAACTGGCTCGTCAGGTTATCCTTCTCGGGTTCGGGAATGTCTGACGGCTTCGGCGAGTCGGTCGGGTGAGTTGGGTCAGGAGTGACCGAGTATGCACGGGCATGCTGCGACGATCGTCATGAGCCTATCCGTCCAACTTCCTGCTTGTCTCACGCGACTTACGGGGTATGCTGCACGCGCAACAACGGGCGCCGCACGCGCAGACGCGGCGACAGAGCGAGCAGCTTGAGAGCGGAGGATGGCGGTGGACATGATGGTGGTCGTGAAGGAATAAGATACAAGTCGTGATCTGAGGATGGACGGGGACGGTGAGAAACACGAGGGCGGGACGCGCCTCGCCTTTTGAGCAGACTCTCTTCGCGATGACGACACCCCCGACAGCCCCCGACCCCGCCTTGACGTCACGCGAACCACGCTCCCATGTCGCGCCCACGTGCCTGCGTCACACCACGCGTCGCGACGCGTCCGAGTCAAGCCAGTCGCCCCCGCTCAGGATTGTGACGAAGGTTCTATGTATCTCAAGCGTGTATAATATACAATGGCTATATGATATGATTGTACGTTTCCGCCCTCTGCGTGCTCCAGCTACCTTTCTTCGACAAGTGCAGCATCTCATATCCAGGTAGCGTCATCTTGTAGATACCAGCCGCGTACACGTCCCCTGGATTCAATGCCACACTCATGTCCCCATTCTCTACGCTCGGCTCCTTGATGTCATGCCTGTTCAATCGTAGCTGAGTAAATCGACCGTAGAAAACAACAGGAGAACTCACGCCTTCTCGAGATGCCGCGCTATAAACAGCCATTGGAACCCTCCGAAACTGGATGGCGTTGGGCATTTGTGGCAAGTCCAGCCACCTCGCGTCTCCACAAACTTCCGCTCGGCTTTCTTTGCTCCGGCAAGTTCATCTGCATCTGCCCTTCGCCAGGTCGCCATTTGGTGCTTGTGTTGGATCTGTTCTATGATCTATTGCACTCATCAGGAGCGTCCACACGGCAAGGGATCAGATGAACTCACGGCTGCGCGCCAATTCATGATAGCTTTGCCCTGCACGAGCCTGACATCGAGCTCGTCCATCTCCTTCGCCGTCGTCGTCTCCGGGTCCTTATCACAAAATTGCACGATTTGGTACGCCTGCTTCGATAGCTCGAGCTTCCGCAGCTGGATTGAGAGAGCGTACCCGATTGCAGGCAGATTCAACGTAGTGCGCAACTTGGTATCATTCTTCGCGTGCACAAACTCTCCGTATGCGTCTTGTTGGGCGGGAGCGTTCGAGGGGCGCTGGCACGAGTGTGCTAGGACGTTCGGGAAGAATAGGCAAGGTAGGGTGCAACCGCCACAGCTGAACATCGTCGTCGCGAGCTCTACGTTGGGTTCGGGGCCCTTCCGGGGCTGCGCCTTGCCCGACCGCGTCTTGGGTGATGCTCGCATTTGCTTGCGCAGCTCCTCGCACACACGCGACTTCCACCCCTCCACAATAGCGTCCATATGCGGTTGGAGCGCCATGAAACCCTGGCTGCCGACGTACACGTCCGCATCAGCATGAATGAGCTCGCGGACCTCTGGCGTGAGCGCGAGATCCGCCAGGTTGAAGCCATACGACCGAAGTTCTGGTTGCGCCTCCAGCTGCTGTTTGAGGAGGTAAGGGGCAGCACTCATGTAAGACGACCAGCGTCCCTCCATACGCTGCTTCCGTTCGCGGGCGAGACGCTTTTCCCGGAGGTCCTGCATAAGCTTCACCAGTTCGTCTCGCATACTCCGCCAAGCTAAACAGAGACATCAATTCGCGGATACACGGAAAAGTCTGAGACGAACATGCACGTACCATGATCTGTGAGAGGCTCAACTCCCTGAACGAGTGCGTGACGAGACAGGATCGGGTTCCTGTTTTGCACAAGCATCTGGAGCTCCGGCTCCCAGCCGAGTTCTTGCAGCCTTACGGCGATACTGAGCCGATCTCAATCAGCGACGTACTAGATATGTGATCTCGAACCTGACGCACGCTTCGAATCGTTCCTTCTCCAATTGAACCCGGTAGTCTTTGCGCTTGGCTTCCTCGCTCTCAAGCCAGGCAATGCACGAGTATTGGAACTACACAGCAGAGAGCTCAGTTGTACGGAAGACTACAAGAGGGGTTGCCTCATACAACTTACCTCTGATAAGCCCTTAATGCGCTCAGCCTCATCATCAATATACTTGTTCAACGCTTCTTCATCTTCGGACTTCGATAGTTGGAGCCAGTTGCGGATGGCCTCCTTTGCTTCGGACCGGAGGCAGTAGGCTCGGCCAAACCGAGTAACGCGTCCCTGCAAAACTTGGTGAGAACCTGTGGAACTTGCACATTGCGGCCACGAAGCGCTTACCAAGTTAAGAATGGTTCTTGGGATAGCGCCGATTCGCTCGGAATCGAGAAGGGTGAACTGATCTATCAGACTGTCAAAGTTCAGTCGATGAACGTCAATGTAGAAACCAACAACGCTGATATTCAGCTAAACTCACAGTTTAGGTTTGCAGGATTCACAAATTCGCATGAGGAATGCCCAGTAAACTTGCGCCGCATTCATCTTCCCGCACGACTGTACAAATGTCGAAGACAAAGTTGGTCAGAGACGACAGCGTCAGACTAGGTATGACATACGGTGCAGAGCGGAGAGGCAATTAGGGCCACCCATGCAGGCTCGATCAGCTCCTTCGGGCGAGGCGGGGCTCCTTCAATTTGCTTCAAGACCCTTTGCCAATATGTGACAGAGCTCTTCTTGTAAAGGTAATTATGGAACGACTTGGACACTCGCGCGAGCATAAGTAGCTCTTGTGGCGGAAGGTACAACAGAATCTATGAATTGGCAGCACGGCCAACAAGTTCAGCTGTTCAGCAATAGTGACACAGCTTGTTCAATGAGAATATCCTCACCTCATGTATAATATCCATAGGCATGTCAGTAAACCTGTCCTTTGGGCGAGGCTTAGGCTTACGCTGCCGCACGGCGGCAGGCTGCGATCGTTGTGGAACATGCTCGCCGCGTGTACTAGTCCGTGTCGCGGTTTTTGTAGAGACCTTAGAGGCCGCTAGTCGCTGCGATCTCCTGGGTGGCATTGGTGGAGTATTGGTATTGGTGACGAAGTGAGCGAGCAAGATTGTCGAAGGAAGGACGCGACCCAGGCTGCGCGCGACTGGTTCGACCTGCTACATACGATCACGCAAATCCCACGTGATGCGCGACTGTGGCCAACTTGCCACGGCGGCCCGGCCAAGGCCGCGAAGCCACGGCGCCACAAAGTTCTGCCACTGGCAGCTCTGAATTTGGCAGTGAGCGCTTATATAAGTCGAACATCGCGCCATGCCACCTTTCAGCGCGCCAGCCACTTATATGTCGTGGGAGGCTACCCTGTTGTTCCTTCACGTTACGTCTGACCGTATTGATCACCGTATGGTGGCGCGTTAATCGCTATTACGATGGGTCTACTCCGGCGTACTCGTACAGATCGAGGTTGCGGCTGTAGTCGCCACGCAACTTGGAGACCCATCCTTGCACGCAGTCCTCCCAGTAGACCTCGATGGACCATGTCGTGTCATTCATCCACTTGACCTGCAAATAATCATCCCACCACTCAATGAATATCTCCCGTCGGTCTTCGTTGAAGCGATACTCCGCAACAAACGGCTTGGGTCCAAGATACTCGTGGCTAATAAACAGGTAGGCCGTGTCAGCATCGTGAGATACACTGTGAAGAGCCACATACCGTCGCCTGATGATGCCATCCGATGACACATAATTGGGTCCAGGATACGTTGCAGGCACTCTTTCGTCGTAGAAACCATACAAAACGTAATTCAAGTCATCGTCCTTCTTTATCTTTATCTGAGGGTCATGGCATTTTGTCTGTATAGACATAAAAGTATCAGAATGAACTGTGCGCACCTTGCGCACCCCATGGAATTGTCTATAACTCAATGGAAGGAAGAGATCACCCGAGAATGGCGCCGGGTACGCGGCAATGGGATGCTTCTCGAGCTGTAAGTCGAGCACTCAGACGATAGTCCCATATGTGGCGTCCATCCATCCTTACCGACCATGCCAGATTTCGAGTATAGTAACGATGCATTCGTACAAGCAACGTCGATCGTTCCAGGGACAGAGCCGACTTGTAATCTCTCTGATCCTGCGGGTCGTCAGAGTCTCGCAAAGCAGCCAATGAGGGGAAGCGCCATCTCTCTCGATATTCGTCACGCCGTTGAATCCATTCGCGGATGCTCTGTTCCGTCCAGGTTCGTTTCATCGCGGAGACAACTTGGTACGGTGGAGGCAAATCAGGATGTGAGGGAGGACGGGTACCTGTGGGACTGGTAAGAGTCGAAGACGCGCTCCTTAGATAGCGCCATCGTGAATCGTGACGCCAACTAATCCTTTGTAGTAGCTTTGTCGGTCAGAAAGCTCGCCTCGCGTTCGGCTAACAGTTTGTGTCTATTTGCGCATGTGGGTCCTAGGCGCTTCCTTTATACGGTGGCATGTCCTCTCGAGCGCCAAGACATTCCAATCATACGCCTTGCGGGCGTATCATGAACCGTAGCTACTGACCTCAGTGCACTCACGGCAATCGTGAGTATAGTATAAGTCTGTTCCATAAGTCAATCATGTCTTATGGAAAAAAGGGTCCCGAGAAGTGGAGACATGTACTTAATACATCATAGCACACATGAAGCTTCCATACCTGTTGTATACAGCGAGTTTCGTCTCACATTACTTCAAGTCCATGCAATGACCAGTAACACCCGATTCGCTGACGTCGTACACTTGTCACGAGATACGCAAGCAAACTGTCAACTGCTGAGTTGTGGGGACGAAAGGCGAAAGATCTGACTTGTGGACAGAGTAGAGCTGAGATACTAGTCATACAGGTCCTCAAAAAGGCCATAACGGCTGTCGGCAGGGGTCACGTAACGTCCACACCTATGGGCTAGATACCTCCACCATCGATCACGTTCATAGTTCATAGCTCATACTTCGGCAAGTCCGTCCGCTTGTCGTAGATATCAAGCGCAGGCGGCACGCCGTGTGCCTGGAGGTTCGCTGCGACGCGCTCAACACCCGCTATGACGCGCAAGAGGTTTCGGCCTGTGAGGCCCGCGAGCTCGAATCTGTTCCAGCCACGCGAATACAGCTCTGCGACCTGGACATACAAGGTATTAGCGGTTGAAGGATGCGGATAAAGATCGACTCATACGAGGGCAGGGTACTTGGAGACGTCCTCGAGTCCCTCAGGTGTGCTCTCGATGCCATCGTAGTCACTGCCGAGGCCGACGCTAAAGACGTGGTCAGACTGATGCGATTCGAAGGTGCTGGTAGGTGTCTACGAACTGAGCTTTGCCAGTGATGTTCGCGATGTGATCGACGTGGTCGGCAACAACTTGCACGTTCGCCTTGCCTTCGTCCGCAACGAATTGCGGGGCGAAGTTTACCTGTGAGAAACCTGAGCCTCATCCCTTCAGTCAACAAGAGGAAGTTGCCACGGACCATAATGACACCGTCGACCTTGCCATCAGTCGTGCCAACCAACTCCAGGATGTCGTCGGGTACATTGCGCGCGACATTGTGCACAGAGCGCGCAGATGAGTGTGACCAGATAACAGGTGCCTGGATGCATCTCACTCAATACGACCATCCCGGTGCCATGTGCGAGAAGCAAAGGCTCACTTTCGTGTGCTTCAGGGCCTGCCGGGCGGTTTCGTCCGACGTGTGGCTCAGGTCAACGATGACGCCGAGGCGGTTCATCTCTTCGATCAGCTTGTATCCGAGCGGGCTGAGCCCGCCCCACTTCGTTTCGATTGGCGTGAGGTATCCCCCAGAATCCGCGAACGCGTTGTTGCACATGTGCGTCAGCGTGACGTAGCGCACGCCGAGTTCGTGGTATTGCCGCAAGACGGCAAGTGAGTTGCCCAATTGGTGGGCGCTGAATGGGGGCCCGTTGAGACGGTCGCAGTGTACAGAAGAGAAATAACGGTTTACCCTTCTACGCCAAGCAAGCTGGCAATCTTTCCGTCTGCAATGGCAGACTTCACTTCATCGGAAGTCGTAGCAAGTTGGAACGTCTGGGCGGGCGGGCGGGCGGATGGTCAGGTCTGATACGGGAACCAGCATATGACCTCACCTCAGGGTATCGGTTGATGAGCAGTTTAGCTACATCGATCTGCTCGAGCGTGTCTCTGAAGATGGCATGTCAGTCTATCTGACAGACTGGAAAAGAAACAGTCCATATGCTTACCGGACACGCCAAGTGGCTTTCAGGAAGTCTGGACCATCGTCCAGACCAGCATGTGCGGGACAGTTAACGAACACCGACCTGCGCCAAAGTGAATACATACTTACAATGAAGAGAAGAGGGTTACTCACCAAAAGAAACCTCCAACCTGGCCCTTCTTGAGGCGAGGGATGTCGACGTGCCCGGGTGTCGGTGTGTTGAGGTCGAAGGCGGTAATGTTATTGCCATAGACCGACCGAGCGAACTCGGGGAGGTCTAGAATAGCAAGCTCTCAGAAGCCCGTGTAGTAGCATCAATAGAGCCAGCTCACCTATATGGCCATCCTGACCACCGTCGCATAATATTCAACGGCTGCCTCGCCTGACGGAATTGATAGACGTACGATTACAGGGGCTGACTCGAGCAATCTGTGTGCAGCCTTCTCCGGATCCTTCGGGAGTGCACCCGCAAATCGTCCAACCTTGTCCCACAAGAAGAACATAGATAGTAGGGCAGCGACGAATGCAACGGTGAGCACTCCGTGGGTCACCGCTCGTATGACGGCCGCGCGACGTTCGACGGCACGTTTGGCTGCATGCTCGCTGAGGTCGGTGTCGCGAGCAAAGTTTGGCTCGCCAGGAGGGCCGAGGAGGGGGTCCCGCTCGCCGTTCGTCGCCATCGTGGGTGTTGGGCGTCGAGGACCAGATGGAGAAGACCTCTGAGTCTCTGGCTGTCTCCGCTGTTGCGGGCCCAGGGCGTCTGACGCGTAGCCTGAGATTAGCGGGCACGCACGCGTAAGCGCGTCATTAGCACGTGCCTTGACGCGTCGCGTCAACCGAGGTCAACCGGCAGCCGCAACGTCCGCTGCCTTTCTCCTTTTTGCTTCCTGACTTGCTTCATTTGTGTGAAGTTCGAGGCCGTTGCAAGACCGCACTGAGTCTTGCTCAGAGTTTTCGCATGACCTCGCTATAGTCCATGATTACTCTCGATTCACAGCTAAGTATTTCCCTGGGTGTATATCACTCGCAAGGTAGTACTCTCAGTCGACATCCACTGGGTTCCAGCTTAAAGCGCCTGCTTTGCCGTGATCAAGCTCGTCCAACTTCGCCATATCTTCCTCTGTCAAGGAGAAGTCGTAGAGAGCCGCGTTGGACCTGATGCGAGTAGGCCGGGACGACTTAGGCAGCGGGACGAAACTAGAGGAGCATCAGCAATCACATTGCGGCCCATGAGGCCCCACTTCACGCTCACCCGTGTTGTAGAGACCACCGCAGAAGGACTTGGGTTGGGTCCTTATGACACTTTGTCACGGCTGGTACCGAGATTTTGAGAATATAGTGGACAAATCTTACCTTCTCCGCCAGTTCTTGGTCCATTTTCCCTCGGACGATGGGGCAGTACGCCTGAATCACGATTGGATGGGCCCTGCAGTACTCCACGATGGGCCTTTGCTAGCAGAACGGGTGCAGCTACGACAGGTGCATCTGATTTGTGGTATATGGTTTGAATCGCGCTCACCTCAAGCTGATTGACCGTCGGAGCCTCATATCCTGCCGCTGTAATCTCTTCGAGGTGCTTGACGTTGCTTAACGGAACACGCAGTGAACTGTCCAGAGTGCGATATCATGACACGAAATCGTCACAGCTCACTAGTTTGACATGCCGACACTGCGTATTTTGCCTTGAGCTTTGGCGTCCAGGAGCGCTGATATGTCACCTTCTACTAACACAATTGTCCATTCGTTATGTTGCACAAGGGGCTCTGCGCTTAGGTGACTAGCTTCATTAACAGCCATCTCGCCTCGTCCTCTGTCCCTGCGATTTCCTTTCCCTTCTTGACCATGTCCTCCACATCCCAATTGCACGAGACATACCTAGAGAAAATCAGAGGAACAGCATGAGCGGCTCTCGTTAACCTTCACATGGAGGGTGCTTCACGTACTTCCCTCTGAATACATCTGTATCCGCGTATCTCCCTGGAGCGGTGAGGAAAACGCAGAACCCGCCAGCCAGCTCGGGTTTATCTATGAGGGCAGTGCGAACCAACTCGGGGGGCATGCCATACTCGGCCAACTTGGTCAATACTCCGCCTGGATGGACGTCATGAGTGGTCCGGGGAGGAAGACAAGGACATCGGCGAATACACAGGACTTACCTGGATGGTACGAGAATGCGCGCACACCTTTGTCTCCGTACTCTGTATGCACAAACTCTGCGAAGCGGTTGATAGCGGTTTTCGTGGGCTGGTACCCGCTGAACCCAGGACGCGTTGTCAAACCTCCGATTGACCTATGTTTCATGTAGGTTACATGATAAGCAGCATAAGCGACAAGGCAGGATACATACGATGTACAGATGATGGTTATGGGCGTCGGTGCCGTGGCATTCGATGAGAAGACAGTCTTGAGGAGATAGTGTGTAGGCAGGAACGTTCCCTTAACATTGACTTCCCATGTCTTCCACCATTCTGCGGTATCAGTGACATGTATTGGGACGGTCTTTTCCAGGTAGCCTATTCATGTCAATGAGCAACAACCGAGCCTCTGGCGAGTCGACGGGACTTGCCGGCATTATTGATGAGCACATCAACCTGAACGCTCTCTCTCTCGAGCATGTCAAAGAGCGCTTTGACAGACTCTTCCGAGGTGACATCTGTCACTTGAATGAGAATCTTGGGCTTTGATCCGAGTTGCGACTCGGAGAGTATGTCGTTGCGAGCAGACTCGAGCTCAGATTGCGAACGTGCGGTGAGGACGATATTCGAAGCACCCGCGAGTGCGAATGCGATTGCAGTTGCCTAACCGTCCATTAAGTGATCTGCAATGCCTATCTACCCGACAGAGTAATGAACGTACCTTGCCTATCCCACGGCCTGCGCCAGTGACAAGCACCGACTTCCCCTGGCACGAATCCTTCAATGCTCCTCGGGGATCAATCTATAGCTGTCGGTCAACATGAGCATATGCGAAATGGCCATAAGACGTACAGCGGGGTAGACATCGTGATGGAGGTGTTCGGTTATGTTGACGGCGTTGCTCATTGCTTCGGTCAGGGAGATGGGTACCTGAGGGTAGCGTGTCAAGCATGTTCTCACCTTTTATCACTGCCCCATCGGCAAGTCCGACACCATTGTAATCTCATATTCCCATGACATCGGCGGACGATTAAGACGGACGACTATATCTCCTGTAACAGATTAGATACACGGGCGAAATGAGTACTTAGCAGTGATACCGAAAAAAATCATGACAAACAGTCATGACAAACGGTTATGGTGATGGGATCTCCTTCACTGTGGTGGCTGAAAGACCATGCAAAACTCGGTGCAGCATCGATTCGATGCCGCATGCGCATATAATGTAGCGCCGTGTGTGAGACACGCGGGGTAACTTATACCGAATGCCAACACGTAACTCCGCAGTCAATTTGCGCATACCGGCCCGGATGAAGGCTCTCGACACTGTTGCAGTGCCAGCCTATGTATACCTGCAAGCTCAGGTAGTCTGTTCACCTAAACCTTCGCTATCCACGGTAGGCACGAAACAGTACTGGAGGCTTTTGGTATGATCTCCGGAGTGGAGTCCGACGAACCGGTGAACGCTTGTGGGATCTTGACTGCGCAACTTCGTGAACCAGATTCTGACGCCATAGGGGATTCCTGTGAACCAATCAATTTGTGGTACGCTCACGAAAGACCGTCCGCTGGTGCTGTAGCTTACATTCTCAGCAGCACTCGCAAGTCTCGACCTTGACCAACTGACGAGAGCTCACCTCGCGCTAAGTGACGATGTTCTGCAACCTAGTGAGCTGGGAGTGTATTATCAACAGCGGTCGTGCGTATTGCCTATACAAGCCGACCGTATTTTTGTAAGCCCCATGCGTCGAATGCATGAGTTCAGTCATCCTCCTCCACGTCGCCGAACTCGAACATGCCCGCCCGACTCCGCTTTGCTGTGGCGACGGCCTGCTGCAGTCCTTTGACCACACTGGGGTACGCAGAGAGGTATCTGCAGTCCTTGCGATCAATGGTAGCAAGACCCTCGCGAAGCAGGTCAGCGTTGATGGATACACTAGGATCGCTTTGAGCTGCGGAATCGTTGGGGTCGAAGAGGCGCAAGTGCAGAAGTTGGCTTTCCCGGTGATCGACGTTCGCGATCAGCTTGCGACCCTCGCAGAGCTGGCGGAACCGGTCGACAGCCTCGGCATGGTACTCGCTTTCGGGCCCGACAAGCTTGATGAAGCTGTAAAACGTGGTCAACAAGCTGTAGAAGACTGAAATGCAAAGAATGGTACCTCAGTCGTGCGTCATGTGCTTGACCAGGCAAGGAGCGGAACTTAGGATCCAAGGGCCGGATGTTCGCGAAACTGACCGTATCTTGGTTTCCGTAGTCGATGAACGTTACCTCTGCTTCCCTCTTCACTGGCGAGGCACGTCGGACCTTGGCACGGTACCATGACCCGTCAGAGAATTTCGCTGACACCAGGTCGCCGCCCTTCGGAATGAAGCCTGTCACAGGCGCAGTCCCTTGGTGATGTAGCGAGAAGTCGTGCATAAGCTTCTCCAGTGAGGCAATGCCTAGCAATTGGGTGAGTGAATGATCATTCAGGATAGCAGGAATGGAGGTACCTTCTGTATTAAGGATCTGAATTGAGAATGCGAAGTTGTTGTTGGCCCGGACATCACTGACGATGACATCGATGTACTCGGGTTTCAGCGCATCGCCGTTGGTGTCCTGTGTTACGGCTTGCGCCTGCTCTGCCTCTTCATCGTACTCTTTCCAGACCTAGGGTCGTCGTCAGTCTCGACGATCAAACCAACATAAGAGCGACGCTCGTACATTACGCTTCTCGCGCTTGGCCTCTTCCTGTGAAGTTGGTTGCATATAAATGATATGGCCGTGGAACAAGAAGCGTATGGCTCACCTCCACATCGTACAGCTGACGTGCCCAAGCCAAACCATCTGCAGAATAAGAATGCACCGTCGCAAGACCCTCGCGAACAAGCGTGATGGCAGCGTTCTCCGTCTTGTTGATATATAATGCACCGATGAAACCGCCTGACTTGTCGACGTCATGGACCTCGATGTCCACGTCACGCTGCATGTATCGCCGCGTCGCGAACTCCGAGGCCTCGGGACCATATGGCTCGCTCTTCTCTGAGGAGTTGCGCGCTGTGCGAGGTGCGCGGATGCCTATGCAGAGTGATGATGAACATTGAGTCGGCGCACAAAGAGGATTTATCTTACCGCTGAGGACAAGCGTCAGGACCTGATTGTCTTTAGGCAAGAAGATCCTGAAAGAGCGTGTCAGATGGCAGAGCGATCGATGCTAAGTGTGTCATGTGCTACGAACTTATAACGCGAGCCAGCTGCAACGTATTCGACTACTGCTGGGATCCTGCCTAATCGCTTGAAGCTGTTAAGGAAGGGAGCGGCACGACCGTGGGACTGATGTGGATTGCGGTCAGCTATACTCGCTATGTGCGGGTTCAAGAACGAACCTCAGAGATGTTCAGAGGTTGTTTCAGAGGGGGGTAGTCTTTGCCGGAGTGAATCCCTCTTGACTCTGCGGCAGCACTGCAAACGCAGTGTGAGCTTGCACAGAAGAAGCATATATGCGTCTGCTTACGCTTGCTCAGCGGCCATGAGTTTGTCATAGTCGGGCGATCGGTCCTCATCATCACGCTTATGGCGCAAGGTAGTCGCCAGGCCCTTCTCAATGAGCTGCTCGGCGATGTTCCTGCAAAGCATTGAGACAGACGGCTACTTCTATGTGGAGACTACTCACGAGTTCTGGTTGCCGTAGCAAACAGTAGCGCATTCGCGCTCCTCGAACTCACCCTCTTTGGGACGGATGAAGTCGACCTGCACCTTGACATGCTTGCCGATCAGACGCTTGCGCAGAAACTCGCGTGCCTCATGGGCCCAGTACGCTTGCTTGGGATCTGACGTCCTACAAAACGAGCGCTTGAGTCCAAATGCTCTGTCCTTTGCGCAGAATGACCTACCTCGGAGCCCTCGTCGAGCTGAGCTGCAAACGGCGCTCCTTGCCAGTATCCTTATCCGTGACAGATATCTGGTCACCGCTCCATACCCGCACGACAGTAGCGTCGAACGCCCGAGAGCTACCGCTGACCGTGGTGCCGTTCGTCTTGGCTGATGGTGCAGGGGCGTTTGCGTACATGTACTGCCGCTTCTCCTTCGCAGTCCGCTCCGCTGCACGCAGCCGCTCCATCCCTCCGCTGCTGGCGAGCATACCTGCATGCCAGTCGACAACCCGCGCTAAACAAGATGCAACAAGGAGCTCTGCGATGTTACCGGCAGGATGCAAGACTGAGGGAAAACGGCCGATCAGTGATGTATTGAGTGATGCGACAAGGCGGGACATACTGGTTCCAATGAAGATCGTTGCAGGAGGAGGTGCCGTGTTTGCGCTGGACTGGAATGGCGTTGCCGTAGCATTCGGTAGCGACAGAAGCACGACGCGGACAGGCCTCTGAAGCAAACGTGTCTCGGTGAAGAATTTGGCCTAACACACAAGACACTTCGTCAACATGAACTGATGGACCCGATACTGAGCATTGAGAAGAAGGCATCTTACCTGTTCGCCCCAAGGCTCGGATGTCTCACCCGGCTTGCTCGCGACACGTGCACAGCGCACGCCAGCCATGGCGATATTGGCGAATTGGTGATCACCCTCGGGCATGAGCAGGCGGACACGGACTGTTGAGCCGTCCTTAACCTGTTCGACAATTGCTGTGCATACCGTCAGCCAGAGTTCGAGCAGCAACGACCGCTCGCACGTACCCTCCAGGGGCTGGCCTTTCCACTCGGAGATGAACCCCTGCGAGTCCGTTGGCATCATATAGTGCACCGTCCGCGCCTTCTGTCCGTGCGGGTTCCAAATGCCCTTCCCGGAAGCCTTTGCCTCGCTCTCAAGGTCGCGCTTCTTGAGGTCATCGTCCGTGGGCTCCCGCTTCATGTCCTTGAGCTTCGCCCAACCGTTGCGGAGAAGCTCAGATGCTAGGTCCACGTCGCCAATCTGTGCAGCGCCAATGTCGCGCGGGACATCCTCGTTGGGCGGGAGCGAGTGTGAGACAGTGAAGGTGACTGGCTTGCCTACTGCAAAGCCGCGCAGGAACTCGCGGGATTCGAAGGCCCATGGCTAGACGTAGAGGTTACGCATAGATCGGCAGCATGATTGGTCTGGCACACCTCATCCTCCCTGCTCTGCGTGCCAAGTCTCGGGGCTGCGATGTCTGCAAGGTGGAGGACGCTAAGATGCACGTTAGTTCGCGTAGCTCGGTAGAGCGCTTGACGTTACATACCGTTCCTTGGGAAGTTGCCCCTGAGGCCCCGGGTTTCCGCGCAACACAAGAGAGTCGCCGGAGATCACAGCTGGATACTCGACAATGTTCAGGGCGTGTCAGGGCTGTATGACAGGTCATAATTGCGTACATTTCACGATCTACATGCATGGGTCAACCGAGCACACCACGAAATTCAACATCATACACACCGCCTTCATCGCCATGTCTGAAATAAGCTGAGCTGATTGAGATATACGTGGATTAAAGGAAAGGATGGGCAGTAGAGTCTGGGGAGGAGGATGAGCTGGTCGTGTGGACTCGGTGTGCACGGTATGATATTTTAATTGCCGCCACGTGGACGCGCTACGCCTTCCTCACTTGGCCCAACTGCTTTTAGACTCGCCACCGACGTGCTCGACGGCGACGGCGACCCTCTTGACGTCCTCCATAGGTCACCCCGAAGAGCTTCGCCGCCATGCCCTTCTATCAAATGCTATGCATCACTGCGCACTACAATGAATACGTGAGCCTGGAATCAGCACCACACAGCTCCGTATGTGCTCACAGGTCGCCGACAGAAACCCATCAGGGAACTCGTACAGCGCACAGTTCAACATGTCTGGGACAGAGGGGGTGTTGTGCGCAGGCTAAACTCGTGGGGTACCAAGACGCTTCCGCAGCGTATGCGTCGACACAAGCAGTACCACCAAATCGGCGAGTGAGTACATCATTGCTCGTTCACTGATCGGTGGCTAAGTGACCTTCTCCAGCTACTGGACCCTAGACTTTGACGCATCTCCACGCGCCCTCCGCTCGCTCAATGGCATCATGCGAGGTGACCCTAGTGTCGTACGCTGGACGGTGCTCAAGCTCGGGGACAAGGCCGAGAACATTGTTCAGCCACCGAACAAAACCACACCGCGGTAGTTGACTTGCCGTTCGACCGTCAATGCTACTACTAGGGGCGGATTTCCGTTGGTCTATACGTGTACCCATATATCTCTTAATTGCCAGCGCACCGCACATCCACCGTTTGCTTCCAAGAGCCGTCGACGCCCCTACCAGGGAATCACATTCAATCCTATAGTGCTGACCTTGCAGATAGGCAAAAGCGTCTAGTATATTGATGTCGCCGGACCTCATGACTTTGGTGTACATTATACCAAAACCAGGTAGGTCTATGCGAACTCTTCTGCGATACAGCCAGCCCAAACATCCTGATATTCCAGATCCGTAGTCGGAGATCCAGGTTCCTTAAGCATGCCGGACACCGTTTGCAGAGTGTTATGAGCTCGCTGATTCCTCTTCCATTCCTCCGACGCGACCCAGTGGTGTACCTGCGCCCATCCTTCGCCGCTGGTTGCCCGGACCGATGATATTACGGGGAACAAACGCAAGAGATACCGCGCGACGCCGTGTGGGTCCCCGATTCTCGAGTTACCCACTTCCAGCCTTCGAAGTTTGCAGACACTGCTTCCATACTTAGGAAGCCATCTTGGTATGTACGTCGCGTCCATTACCAGTCTGAGATCCTGGAGGTCGGGACAGTGCTATGCGAGGGACTCAAGCCCCTTCAGGTTGATGCGAGTCTCCTCCCACTTCCGGTGGTGTAAACCCAGATGCAAACTTCGTAGATCCGGCCATGACTGCGCCATCGTGGTAATGTCGTGGTTGTCGATGTCGAACACACACGGCACCCACAGACGCACTCTCTGCAGACGCCAGATGCGACACACGGGCTCGAGCATCAGCATATTGACAATGCTGGGCTTGCCGTGTGGCTCCGCAACCTGATAGACGTTGAGATTTCGCAGGTGGCGTAGCCGGTTCTCTCCGCAAGCTTGGAAAAATTCTGCGAGACCCGTGGAGCTCGTCACGTCGTAGTTGCATGGCTGCACGCACACGAAGACTTGGACACTTTCCAGAGGTGCGCAAGCCAACGCCCGCATTATCGGTATCCCTGTCGAAAAGGTGTCCACGTACAGGGAGAGGTTCTTCAGAGCACGAAACTTGCCTTCGTCGGTGGCGATTTCAGTTCCGTTGGCACCTCCCACATTCCCGCTATCGAAAAGGATCAGTTCCTCCAGTGCAGGCAGCCGTGCTAGTACGCCTAGCATGACGCGCCGCCAACCAACAGGCGGAAGACGGATGCGTATATGTTCGAGGCCAGGTATAATTGACGTGATCGACAGGATGCTTGAAGTTGGCACAAAAACGCGATAGAAAGTAAATTCTGTAACATTCGGCCCAACTACGCCACGGAGGAGCGTTTCGATGACACGTTCGTCGCCTTCCTCTGGAGCGGCCCGGGTGCTTGTAGTGATGTGTAGGTGTCGGAGTGGAGGTGAGACGTAGAGTTCCAGATGCTCGTACGGCTGACCACGCTGAAGCGTGCAACTGAGCCACTCGAGATTTGGCAACAGGGGCACTTGAGCGTAGCGTGACCGTAGGACGGGGATACAACTCTTTGGGTCAAGGCGTACCACTGGCATCTTGTTGTCGCGGTGCCAAACCATGTTAAAGCACAACAGCCTGATTTGCCTGGCGTTGGCATCCACCCTCGCCCACTCCAGTCCAGCCGGTTGTCTCCTGAACTTCTGAATACATGGCAATGTGTCACAGACATATAGTCGTGGTGTAGCGATATGCTGGACGTACGAATATACTTACTAACGGGCCGTGGAGCAGGTTTCTCGCCTGGCGGCGTCATGGGGTACTCGATCACCCAGAGTTCCTTCGGCAGACACTTGAGCAAGGGGACGAGGTCGCCCTGACATGACCAGACAAGTGTCCCAGTGCGCTCATAAATGAAATGGCTAGTCAGCGCAAGGGACACGGTGTTTCGGGGTCGTCTCGGGTCGTCTTCGTCCCAATAGACGTAGTGCGCTATGCTGTCCACGATCCTTTGGATGGTCCAACACCGGCGCTCCATGCTTCATATCAGGAATCCAGTAAGACGACTCTCAGACGAGCTCGATGGGAGAGTGGCAGCTGACGGGACGGTACTCAAGTCCAAATGATACCCGCTATTTGAACATGTGGACCTCAGGCCTCGAGGCCGTGGCTCCATGCTTCATCGTGCTCCCATTGGTCCACCTTCCACGCCTCCTGTCGCTAGGGTCTTCCCATTGCTAGCCAGGATGACCATGATGCATTGTTGAAGATCCAACTCGACAGCCTGAGGTGTTGCATTGAAGACTGAGTGGCACAGCCTGAGCTGCGGGCCGGTTGTTCGGGCTCTTCTGAGGGGTTGTAGAACAGTCTCGCGCGGATCCATTGGACATAGCACGACATTTAGCTCGTAGAAGTCTGTTTACTCGTGCCCATGGTGGTGTAGAGGATGGGAACATCCTCCTGACGCTTCTGCTGACTCCGCTGCTGGCACTCTTGCGACGCGCTAGTCATGTGACCGTTCCCAGCTGAATTTTCATGTGCCCGCTCAAATGAAACCATCCGACACACATCCACACATCCACGACGCGTTGCCGACCGTCGTCGACGTCGACTGGCGACCTCTCGTCTGCCCTGGACCGCCTGCAAAGTCCCTGAGCACCAAGTCCATCGTGGCTGCTCTCCTCGCTTGCTGCTCGTTATCTTGCTGTCTCTCCACTACTCGAGACTCATCCTGGACGGTGTTGCCAACAGACATTCTACAACCTAGGCGCCTCATAATTGCTGCATAACTTATCTCTCCCAGCTATTCATTGTTCTCATTGGGGAGATGTTCAAAAAGGCACTGGGCAGGGTGGCATCATGTAGCACGCCCGTATCGCCCGTAGGCCGGACCCTCTTGACTGCATGTGAGTTATGTACGTTGCCTCCGAGAGCCCCTTACTGAAGACCGGCTTCTTCGCAATAGTCAAGTCCCACAAAACACGAGCGAACGCGAAAGCATGGCACTGCTGCTATTCCACCCATGCCATGACGGCGCTGCGCACACCTACCCCTAGCAGTACACGAACACAGCAGCAGGATCCATCCAACAGCCTGGGCCTCTCCATGGAGGATCTCAAGGCGGAGCTCGCGCTGAGAGACGCTGTGCAGATGCTCAATACCCCACGCCAGCTCCGCATGTTCTTCGTCCATCTTCTTGTCAACGAGTGCGTTCGCAAACCGCGCTCGACGTGGGAGGCTTTCCGGGACGCATTCGCGCAGGACTTCATTCAGGAGAGCGATAACGTCAACGTGGGTGTCAACCAGGCGCTGGAGGAGATTGGCCGCTCTCTCGAGGAGCATGGCAAGTCCCTTGGTGTGTACGGTCTCCCCGAATCTTCCTTCCACAGTCGTGAGGTCGAGGTTGAGATCGCTCACTGGAAGAACCGGGAACTGCTGGCTTCGCGAGCGGGCAAGGCCGCAGCTAAACTCAACGCAGAACAGTACGAGATTTACAGCGAGATTTTGCAAGCTGTGGAAGAGGGACAACCGCTCTGCGCGTTCGTCGACGGCAAGGCTGGTCGAGGGAAGACATTCCTGGTGCATTCTATATGCAACAAACTGCGGTCTCAGGGGCATATCGTGTTGGCTACTGCGACTTCTGGATTCGCTGCTCAGCTTTATCCTGGAGGCAGGACGACGCATTCTACGTTCAAGGTACAGTGCCCTCGAGACACGCACCAATTTGTCTGCTTACACGGTGACGCAGGTTCCAGTCGACGAGGACAAAGCGGATCTGGTATCTCCTATAGAACCCCACGACCCCCGTGGCGAGCTCATTCGAGAAGCATCGGTCATCATATGGGACGAGGCGCCGATGGCGAAGAACGCGGTCCTGAAGTGCGTTGACGAGACCTGCAGACGCGTCATGCGCAACAACCTACCCTTCGGCGGGAAGGTGTTAGTCCTCCTTGGTGACTTCCGACAAACATGTCCTGTTATTCCCTATGGCAATAGACGACAGATTGTCGGCGCGTCCATACGCTCGTCGGCGCTCTGGCAGCACTTCGCTGTGCGCCGTCTCACTCAACCGATTCGTAACGCGGAAGATTTGCCCTTCGCCGACTTCGTTGACTCCATTGGCGACGGTGCGGGGCCTCTCGTGCCGTTGGACATCCTCCAGAGAGTTGAAGAGCGCGATCACCTCATTGACTTCGTCTACCCACCCGACGCGCTCGCCGACCCTGCCAAGTGTCTCAAGCGGGCCATACTCGCGCCAACAAACAGTCAAGTTGACGAGTACAACAACGAGATTCTCAGCCGAATCGGCGGTGCGACACGCACGTACCGCTGCTTCGACATGCTGAAAGAAGACTGCGCAATCGACGGCGTCACCCCGCAAGCCGCGCTCGCAGGCGTTGCGCGTACACCCCCACCCGGACTCCCGGCCCACGTGTTGACGCTGAAGACAAACGGCGTCTACCGCTTGATGTGCAACTACGCGCCGGACCGGGGGCTAGTCAAGAACACGCGCGTCGTCGTGCGCGCAGTGGGCAAGCGCGTTGTGACCGTGCGTATCCTGCGCGGTGTCGGCGGTGTGAGCGTCGTCGACGCGGAGGACATCCTTATCTCGCGCATCTCGTTCAGCACGCCGCTCGAGTCCGGCCACATGCTCATCCGCAGGCAGTTCCCTCTCGCGCCTGCGTACGCCACGACGTTCAATAGCTGCCAGGGCCTCACGCTCGACGTCGTCGGCGTCGATCTCACAAGGCCTGTGTTCTCGCATGGCCAGCTGTATACGGCGCTCTCGCGGATCCGACACCGCAGCCATGCCCGGGTGCGCATGCGACCGGGGCAGTCCATGACGAGGAATGTCACCTATCGAGAGATATTGCCTTGATCGCTGTGCTGCGCTCTTCTGCATCCCTATTACTAGCTCATTACTCTATCGGTTGCTATCGTATAATCTAGTGCGTTCTCGTCCACATCCATAAAACAGACCACCCAGCACCTATGGCGTCCTGGCTGTCCGCAAGCCTACGGCTTAGGTCGCCCGGGATCATACTGAGCCACTGTCAGTAGCTCCGATGCCGAGGCGATTCGTGGTGTGCTACACCGGTAGCTGCTAGGTGAGCCTTCGGCTTTGCTGTGGGTGTATCAAGGTTGGCGTCAAACGAGTAAGTCATCTGCACCAGCTGTCAATCGAAGTGCACACGCTATAAGTATCGAAGTGTACACGCTATACGTCGCGAAATCCGACCAGGAATAGATCCATCGCGCGTCCACTCTAGGGCACAACGACCACCGCTACCGCACCTACGCTTTACATCGCGAATTCACGAACAATGGCAGCTGCATTAGAGAGCCTATCTTCAAGCATCCGACTTTCTTCTGGTGAGTGCGAATATAGTCCGTCATTGTCCATGTATATACAATCTGCGCTCCTGTTATCGATCACCAATGGGGACAGCGTTAGACAAGCTTCAAGGGGTACTAGAAGCCAAGCTTCGATCTGGTCCCGCCTTCATTCTCCTTACCAACAAGCTTAAGGTTCACTGGCATGATCATGATTACTCACGTATAGCACACAGGCCATACGATTCCCGTCCTCGGCTTCGGCGTCGCGTTCGGGAGGGCTGGCAGGGACCCACGCAGCTTGACGAAGCCCGCGGTCAGCGAGGCGCTCAAAGTCGGGCTTCGGTGAGTGCTTCACTACCGTTGTCCGATAGTGCGTCATTCGAACGCGCATTCACCATTGTTCCCCGCAGACACTTTGACACCGCGCGGATGTACAATAATGAGGACCACCTAGGGGAGGTTATCAGAGAGAGCGGCATCCCGCGCGAAGACCTCTTCATCAGTGAGGCTTGCTTCCACCAGATCAGATCCGCTAGGTCACCCCGGCCGCAGCTGACGCACCTCGATCGCAGCAACGAAGGTGGACAGCGCCTTTCATGAGTACAACAAGACCACAGCGAGTGTCACCGACTCCTTGCAGCGGCCCGCGCTTGGTGCGCAGTCCTCCCAGCTCACTGAAGTCAATGAGATATCTAACGGTGTTTGTTGGTACAGACTATGTTGACCTCGTCCTTCTACACGACCCGCGGGCCGGGAAGACGCTCCGGCTAGAGGCGTACAAGGCTCTGCTCGACCTGAGGGCCCAAGGCAAGATCCGCAGCGCGGGCGTATCGAACTAGTAAGTCCTCCACAAACCTCACCTCCTAGTCCAAGAGATAGAGGAACCCCTCTAAGTGGCGTCAAACACCTCGAGGAGATCGCCGCAGCTGGCTACGAAGCGCCCTCCGTGAACCAAGTCGAGGTACGCATAACCCTACATATTCATGACACAACATCACCGAACTCCATTACCGCGATCAGCTCCACCCCTTCTGCCAACAACGCCCCATCGTCGCGTACTGCAAAGCGCACAACATCGCCATCGAGGCGTACTGCCCGCTCGTCCGGGGCAAGACGGACGACCCCGTCATCGTGAAGATCGCGAACCGGGTGCGTCAAGCGAACTCGCTTCGCCTGGTCTCTACACGCGTGCACACTGTAACAGGCTGACGGAGAACATTTTCAGCTCAACAAGGACCCAGGGCAAGTCCTCATCCGGTGGTCCCTCCAACACGGGTTCGTCGCTTCAGCCCTCGTGAATCCACGAACCCACGCATAGCTCACATGCTTGTGCCTAGGTTCATCCCCCTTCCCTTGTCGTCCTCGCCCGCCCGCATCAAGTCCAACGCAGACGTCTTCGACTTCAGCCTCACAGAGAGCGACATAGCCGAGCTCGACGCGCTCGACCAGGGCCCCGCCGGATCGGTCAGCTGGAATCCTGTGGATACGGAATAGACATGTACCAGCGAGTAGAATGGACGTCTCACCAACTGACATGCAGAAATACTGTAGCCGGAGGGAAGTCCGTCGGTATCATTTTTATTGAGTTCGGTGCGCATATGCGCCAGCTCTGCACCCCTCAAATTCCGAAGCACACAGCCATTTTATTCATCATGATTACATCTTGCGTTTGCGAGTTTACACAGTACGTACTCTCCGAGAGCCCACTATAATCTACAGTATACAGTCTACAGTGCGATGAGCGACAGCTTGAGTGTCCGAAGCGGAGACAGCGACAAAGAAGTCCGCGGCTGGCATTACGCCGCCAGAGGTGGGTGAGTAACATCGAAAGAACGTCAGTAGCAAAACAGCTTGCGATATGCGATCGACTAACAGAGCAGTAAGGGTGAGGAGAAATTGCGACGAAATGGAGGAGTGATCAGTCCGAGATGAATACAGCAAATGTTGAACGTTGAGGGGCGGGGAAGAACGTGCGACGACTGGTGAGGAACAATACAACCACCCGGCTGCGCTGCAGCGGGAGCCACGCTGCGACGGAACGACTGCCAACCGAGGGAGGCCGGATCGCCGAGGTGATCTGCGTGGTACTAATATTCCGTCCGTGAGAGGACGGACGGCCGAACTTGCGTCGAAAAAAGCGAGATGAAAGCGAGCAGGCAATTCTGACGATGGTCGACGGGGTATCAACGAGTGTAGGCGAAGTTACGACCTGTTGCGCGAGCTTCTCCAGAAGAGCATGAGCAGCGAGTGACGACTTGCAACGCAGCAGAAAGTGAGCGAAGCCGAACGGTAACTCAACGTCGGCCTAGCGCTGAGCCATACGAGGTGGTTCAGGCCGGTGGTGGTACAAGGTAGAGCCGCCGTTCCCGTCGCGCCTGTCGCCCCGGTAGTTCGACCCAGGAACGAACAACGCGCCGCGGTTATGCGAGCTTCTTTCCTTCCTGCGGAGATGCGTCGGCGGCGGGAAGGGCTCCGAGAGGCCTTGGTTCGGGCCGTCAGAGTAGAAGATCTTGGGGCGCCAGGACTCGCGCTCATCCATGATGCAAGAGTTCTTGAACTTCTCAACGAGTGCCTCCTTGCCTCTGTAGCGACGGTAAGCGAATAACACAGACATGTCTAAGCAATGACGCACTGATAGGTAGCATAGCACATCTGGAGGACCTTCTCGCTCGAGTACATGTTCCTGTATACGTCCATTAACCTTTGAAAGTGCGCAGCAGAAGGGATTTAAACTAACCACTTGACTCCCAACTGAGTCCTCGCGAAGTGCAGCAAGTCTCCAACGGTGATGAAGTTGACAAACGCATATCCAACGTTGCATCCTACGCTCCGCATAAGCTCAACCTAGTGTCGAACAGCCCGCGGACACGCACCGTTCTGGAAGTCCATCCGCAGGTACAAGAAATCGATGCGACGCGGGCAGACCTTTGCAATGAACGTCAACAAGTCCTTGTCGCTCATCTTGTTCGGGATGTTCTTGATCATCACCGTCGTCCGCATGTCCTTGCCCGACTCGATGGCCTCGATGTTCAGCTGGTTCTTCTCGCTGATCATGTTGTTCGAGTTTGTGTGCGAGGGCATGCGACCGTCCACGGCGGACGGCTCATACGACGACCCGCGCGGTATGTGAGGACGCGTCGAGGAGGACGGCGAGTAGCGTGGGTATCCGTCACCATCAACAGGGCTAAGGTCAGACCGTTGCATGTTGCGCTGGGGTCTCCTCGGGCTGGGAGGCAGCGCCGACGGATTGTGGCCGCTCCTAGGTGACGGAGGAATATAATATTCCACAGTCGGAGCAGGCGGCGCACCGCGCGCCCAATGATCCCCAGCACCATTGGCAGTCGGTCCCAAATATTGCTGCGGTGCGTACTGGTAGTCGTACATGGGCTCCAATCCATGTTGGGAGGTCGCTGTCCCGGGGTAGTGGTACGAGGATGGATCATAGGATTGATATGGACGCGGCGGCCTTGTCATGTCATCTGCGTCAGGACCAATGCTGATGCTCCTCGGCCTCAACGGAGTCTGCGGGGCCGTGGGGACCTGCACTAGAGGTACGTCAACAGGCAAACGGAAAGTAGAATTGCATACCTTGCCAACAGCGTCGAAGAATAGGTCGTTCGACGACCGCCTGCTATGCTCCTGCGGGGACTCCCTGCCTCTCAGCCGACGGACAGCGTCGGGTGCGCCCATGTTCTCGCTCGCACTGACGCTGCGCGGACGCACACGGCCTACCACGAATTGGCTGTCAGCAGCACGATCAGATGCCAAATCCGGATGGGCGTACCTTCGGTCCAACGCATCTCTCTGTCGATCTGCACTGAGGCTTCTGCAGACGGGACCGCCAGGGAATATGCTGAGGGCCTGGATGGAGAGCGAGATTGGTACGGCGAAGGAGCCTGAGGCTGGGGCAGCGACTCCAGCTGAGTCGACTTCTTATATAGCCGCAGACGCGCCCCCATGAAAGTACGGTCGTTCAGAGCCCTATAGGCGTTTGCGGCGTCCCGGACGTCATAGAACTCAACATGATAGACCTGTATGTGGGTGGGCTGTGTGAGAAGCCTCCGGATCGATAAAATCAACGCTTGCCTGAGCCTGAGGCTCGGTCGCCTCGAATAACAGTAATTCCCCGAACGACGATAGAACGTTTTGGAGGGAAGAAGGCTGGAAGCGTCTGTCTTCGAAAGACACGTAGAGCGTCCCATCCGTCTCGTCGACGAATGCCGATTTCCCAGTCATCTATGTCGTCGTCGTGGCCGAGATAGAGAATGATGGTAAGGCCAAGTACGGCAAGCCAGTGGTTAGAAGCGGTTCAATGCGCAGGTAGTTACCGCGCACCTTTTCAAGTTCCTCGGGAGCGATAAATATCGCCTCTAGACGCACTCCTTCCAGGCCGTGCATAGCCTGACTCGAGATCTGGCGCCTCGCACGTACAGCATGACGAATGTCGTAGTACGCAAGGATCACAATGCCGTCGGTCTCCTGGAATCGAACCCATATCCCCTTGACATCGCCCGTGGACGCGAATACATCCTTAAGTTTCGCCGACGGTGCCGCCAGCGGAATATTACGAACCTAAGCGCATATATTCAGTATATGGGCTTGAACGCAGTACAGAGAAGAGCTGAGGGGCAACTCACGAGCAGAAAATGGCTGGACTGGGTCTCTTCACGAGTCTCGCCGAAGTCAAGCAATGGTGACAGGACCGAGGCGACGTCACCCGGGACAACAGGGGTGCCCAGGACCGCCTGCCTCTCGTCGCGCGGGGTGATATCAACACTGCCAAGACCCGTCTCCAGGCCACACATAACGTCCGGGCGAGCGCTCGCAGACGACGTCGCGTATCCCGAGTCGGACGACATGGACTGCGAACGCGCACTCGACGGAGTGAGGTAGCCACCGTGCGGGAGGGATGTGTGTCCCTTGAGCGCCGTCGGGGAGTCGGGCATGTTGTGAACCCAGCGCAATGGCGAGTTGGCTTCCGGCGGGGTGGATGGCCCGTCATGGGCATTAGAGGCGAAGGACGATGACGGCGTCAACGGAGGCGTGAGCAGCGCCGCAGGGCGGCAGGGCGAACCTGAGGTGCTGCGCTTGCCTGAAGAAGGGTATTGACTTTTTGTCGGCGTCGTCGGCGCGGCGGCAAGGTCGAGAGGTCGGAGATGGGGTCGATAGCGCGCCTGCAGCCTTTGCGCGATGTGTGGCGGTGCGGAACCATGTTGGGTCGGCACCCTGAAGGCAAATGTGTTAGCGAACTCGTCGACTTATGATGAAGGCGCATATATGCGCGGTGTTCGGCCTACCAAATGTTAGGGAGTGAAGGAGAGGAATGGATCCGTGGGTTTTCCGGGCGCGTGTCAGTATTGTGAGTCTGCGATGTTGAGGGCGCGTACTAGGTGAGCTATATCGAAGGATATGACATGCTACGTGCACGCACCTCTTCGCTCTGAAGAGACAACGTGGGGAAAGGGACGGGCGAGTGGTCCATTAGTACAGCAAGCGAGGTGGGCGGCGACTGGCGGGCTTGCGAGCCGAGAAAGGCAAGGCGAGCGAGCAGACGGCGGGGTGCGCGTGACAAGCAAATCCGGCAACAACTCAAGGTTTACAAAACAACGACAGGGGCAGAACGCAAGAGGGTGGCGGGCGAGAGCAAGGACGGCGGGTGGCAGCGAGCGAAGAGTGGGGAGTATATATATGGGCGGGGGCTGGGGGTGGTGTCACGGGCTGGCGCTGGCGTGCGTCGGGGGCGGGACGAGACGTGCAGCAAGAGAAGGGGACGCCGCGCGGGGAGGAGATCGCACAGATCCGGGCGAGGGCAGCGCCGCGCACAGGCAGCCGTCTGCCCTTTTGAGCGGTGGATCCCGACGCGACGTCTGCCCGATGGCAGCTCGCCCGTCCCACGCGAGGGCAGCTGCGTGGGACATCCTCGCCAGCGCCACCTCCAGTTTCCAAAACACGCGTGCGGCCACCACTCTGGGCGCCCGTCCCGCAAGCGGACGCGCAGTGTCCCCGCCTCTTGCTCGGCCGCTGCTGCGCCACCGACGCGCACCTGTTGCCTGGGCTGGGGGCCACGCATCGGGGGACGACATCGTCGGACGCGCTCGCTGCTTCGCCGCCATCGCCGAGCGTGCTGCAGATGCCCCGTATTTCATCTCCAGCCCAGCATGCTCAAGCAGCTGCCGGCCAAGCGTGCTCGGACGAAAGGCACGGCTGCCGCTTTTGGTCAGATTTGTTTCCGGTAGTTGCAGGGAAGCTCGTCATGACACACATCTTGCATGCTGATCCATGCCAGCCCACGGGGTGTCACGGGCACGTCACGGCGCACTCGCCCAGCTCTATACTTGGCCCGCCAGCCAGCACCCCAGAACGCGCACGGGCTCTTGCCGCAGCCAGGAAGCACTGCGCCCCACCGAGGCTCGAGATCTGGGTGTCCGCAATGGGCGCGATGGCAGCACTCGCTGGGAAAGGCAACGCCGCCGGCAGGGCCCAGATCAGCCAGTCACAGCGCGTGCCTTCGCGGCGTACAAGCACATCAAGCGTCAAGATGGAGCCAGCGAGGGACAGATCGCACGGACGAGGCCTCCACCCGCACAAGGTTCAATGAAACGCACGAAATGACAGCACCTTCCAAACTCGGGAGGATCCCAGACACCTCCCACGCCACAAGCGCGTATGTCTCCTCGCTACGGGAGCAAATCGCGCCCCACCCGACTGCCGCGGTCCACAGCAGCAGTGCAGGGGCGACACCCCGAGATCGCAACGTCTCTCGCACACGGAGAGGACAAGGAAAACAGCAGATCCTTGCGATGGCAGAACGATAGTTTGGATCTGTTCAATAGGCGTCTGTTGACGTGGGCCGCGCGTTGTGGCGTACTTCTCGTGGCTTTCTGGTCGAATGCCTGACTTCGATCCTGTCACTCGCCTTTATGGGCGGCTCGGCTCCTGTCACCTCGTCCTCCGGAGACTGCGCACCCATATCAACCTTCCCGCGGGAAGCCTATAAGGTTAGTTCGCCGACGGCCGGCCACTGTTCGGCCGCCAAATATCGACGTTTCATCGCTGTTACGACGCATTGCACTTTCGCAGCGAGACTTGCAATCACCAAGGCGACGTGCATATGGAGCCTAGAGGACGAAAATTGCTGTCAGGAAGGGTATGACGGGACAACACTCCAGTGGGGGGTTACCTTCAAGTCGGGATGTTTGATCAACCAAGTGAGACATTGTCAGCGCAGAACATTTACTTACGCTGTAGACTGTAGGGTGTATGCATGCGGTGTTCTTTTGGCAGTATCGAATGCTCTAAATGGTCGGATGGTCGCAGAACGCCAGAGAGCACCCTGTAAGCTGCGATTACGCATTGGTCAACGAATTGGTCAACGGATTGGTTACGACACTTGAACATGCCGGCGCTGTTACGCACCACGGGTGAACTTGCGCAGGAACATGAAAGCAGCTAGTAACTTCAATCAGAATGGCCACGGGAGGAATCGTAAGGGATCCGTAGGAATTGAAGAACGCCCTATGCCTTCAACGGGGACGGACGTTTGACTAGGTTGAGATGCTCTCAGCGTAGAGCGTTCGCACATCGGTCGCTGCATGCATCGTCAAGCTGCTCGGCGATATCAAACACCGTGAATCACAATAGAACGGCTGATGAACTAAGTGCCAACCGGTCAGTATGTATGACACTTGAACATTCTACTAGGAAAGGTGCGTACCAGGGTTACTGAGCTCACCTTCTCGGACATAAGTGATGGGCCCTGTAACAGCATCGGACAGTACTCGCTGCTTGTATGCGCGTGGACAAAAAAGCCCCGCGGGTTTGTTTCTGCGTCAGACACTATCCTTTCTCTGACGCAAAAAAAACTTGTCGTTGAACGGTTCGCGACGTCCATGCCAGTCCACAACGCATTCACGAAGTGGCAGCTAGACCCTGGCAAGTGTCACTAGCAGCTACAAATTGATCCGTGTCCGGATCGGAAGTTTTTGTTTACCTTCGACGAGTGACCTGCACGGATTACGACCTGAGTAGACGCATCAGCGGTGAAAATCATTCGGAGTCATGCAATACATGAAGATGCTGTGACATCCTCTCACTGGTACATCTTGAGCGCGAACGCAGATGGACGACTCAGCGCATCAGCAATACAGAGTCTCTACTTCAGTGAAATGGAGGATGGAGGAAGGGTGCAGTTGTGCAACAGTGTTTCAGACTCCGCGACGACGGTCCGCGTCGCGTCGACGGCCGACGCGACTTCATCACGTGATCGTAGTCGAACGCCACAAAACGCCCAAATAAGGCAAGATACGGCACCCCGCCGCTGTCGCGTCCTAAGTTCGGGTCGATGACACAACGACGACCTACTACGTGATACAAGATCATCTCCATATTCTTCAAGTTGACTTATTGAATCTGAAGCAGCGTCCAGAAGACGTTCTACTGCGGTAGCGTGCGAGTGACAGATGGCCATCCGCGCGGTGCTCTTCGACGCGCTCGCCACGCTCGTCGCACCCCGGCTGCCCATCTACGTGCAGTACTCGCAGACCTTCGAGCCCTACCTCGGCGTACTCGCGCCAGACCTGCTCAAGAAGTCCTTTAAATCCGGTGAGCCCTCCCTGGCATCTCCGTCTACACAACCTTAACACCGTTCATTCATTCGCATCATGATATCTGTCCGTCGGCTCGTGCGGCCATGACGCGCTGTCGCGGTCCATGTGTGCATACAGCACTGAAGCAGGTCCAGAAGGAGAAGCCCGCATACCAGAGCGGTGCGGAGGGGTGGTGGGGCGAGGTCATCAGGCGCACCGCGCTCGGGGCGGGCGCGGACCCCCAAGGTGCGCCCACGCCGGCGGGTTCCGCGCGAGCGAGCAGATCCCCGCGCGTTACATGAAAACGGTTCACCTTGTCGGTGCGCCTAAGCTGACTTCGCGGTGTAGCTGTCGACCGCTCGCTCGGCGAGATCGTCCCCCGCCTCCTGCACCGCTTCTCCTCGCGGGAGGGGTACAAGCTGTACGATGACTCGATGCCGACGCGTGCGTACCTGCGCCACTATCGAACGAGCCCCTTGTAACGTGCTCTCTTGCTGTGGCGTGCGGGGCTGTGGACGCTGCTTTTCCCAGTGCAACGCCTCCAGTCTACGGGTATCCGGACGGGCGTGATCAGCAACACCGATGCGCGCATGCGTGAGCCTCGTCCCATCCTATGGCGATGCATATCGGAGGTTGCCTGACATAGTCCTCCGCACGCTACGCCTGCAATTATACGTCTTGTCAGGCGCGGTCCTCGACGACCTCGGCGCGACGGCCTACCTCGGCACGATCCTCCTCAGCTCGGAGGAAAGCATCGAGAAGCCCGCGCGCGAGATGTTCCTCCGCGCGTGCGCACGGCTTGGCGTTCAGCCCTCGGAGGCCGTCCACGTCGGCGACGAGCTGCCTGCGTATGTGCCTCCTGCGTGACCGCTATGATCGACGCTTACGTCTGTTACCGTCGGCGCGTTACACCGGCGCAGTGACTACTACGGCGCGAAGGAGGGCGGCCTGGAAGCGCTCCTGGTGCGACGACCAGGCGCTGAGGGAGAGGATGAGGCAAAGGAGCCGGGCGAGGACCTCAGCGGAGTGGCGGTCGTGTCGGGCCTCGCAGAGGTGGTGGATTGGGTGCAACGCAGAAATGCTGCGGCGTGACCTTGCTTCGCAGGTCGCCGGTGTGTTCTCTGTTGCTGATGACCTCCGTGAGCTTCGTGCTGTGCGTGGCACGCGTTGGTCATCTTCGCGATCATGTACAAGTTAGACTGTGGATAATGTAGCGAATATGTAGTACAGCGGCGACTGTCTCATGTTTTTTATGCGTGGTGGGTCTGAGTACTGCGAGCAGCGTTCACTGGCATCCTTGACTGCTCCTGACGGCACCATGTCTTCGGGTGTGATGACGTCTACTAAGTTTAGGTGTGCGGTGTCTACAAACTGTAGTCGTCTGTCTACAGCTGCAGCCACCGTCTGGCACTGACGCCAAGCGGCTCTTCATCCTCCTTCTCCTCCTCCTCCTCCTCCGGTGCAGACTCTGACTCTTGACCATAATCAGGCCCGTCTCTTCGCTCGCGTCGACTTCACGCGTCTATGTAATGGACGACTCTGTGCGGATATCACCCAGCCTCAACACTACCAAGCGGTCGGGACATCGAGTTCAGCATGCCAGTGCGGGTGCTAGTGGTCGACTCCCAACGGACTCTCAGCTCGGGCACCGCGTGCGGATCCCAACCGACGACCTCGACAGCTCTGAGAAGATGGCTCCCTACCTGGTCGACTCGCCTACCGCCGACGTCTCGCTGTCTGGACCTGCAAAGCTCTGTCGTGCGTTCTCTGCTGTGCCCCAGGCGGTCGAGTATCAGTTCTCGAGGCAGCGCCCTCTCGTGAGGCTGGCGACTATGGTGTACTGCGTTCTGAGCTGTCTGGTGTTCTCTATGGCCATGTATCAACGGTTCTTTGACAATCAAAACCATGTCACACTCTATGCGAGCGAAATATGTGAGTGTATGCTCTAAGCTGGACCCAGTTGGTCTCGTACCCCTCCATGTGGACGCACCCCGCCATCGCTGTGTCGGGTGAGGTGCGTCCACACGGAGGGGTACGAGACCAGTCCCAGTGACGATCAGCACGTTAACCTCTAGCCCTAGCTCAAAACAGGAATCCTCTGGAAAGTCTGCCTATCGAGCACGTCCTTTCAAAAGTCACTTCGCTCTACCCTGCGCCGAAGGCAGTTGACCCTTTCGTCCTGAAGGCCGCCGCGAATCCCGTAGGAATCACAGCTTGCCTCTGGTCCACAGATCAAGACGTCCACTCGGTTATTTCTTGGGCGACACGCTGGACAGGTCGATCACACCTCGCGCCAGTTTATCAATCTGACCACACACACAGGACCTATATCCCTGCTAGTGACCACCACAACCGACCCAGCCTCCCCAGAGCACGAAGCCCTCCTCCGCAAACTCGCCACCCTCCAGCACCGCAGCGCGCTCCTCAACACCACCCTCTCCCTGCACCTCGTCCACCTCGCGCCCTCCACCCCGCCCAATCCCAACGCCTTCCTCAACCTCGCGCGCCTCCTCGCCCAAACCCCGCGCGTCGTCCTCTTCCCCGCCAACCTCACCACCACCCCGCCCAAGCTGCTCTACCCCTCCCTGCTCGCCGCACACCACCCCTCCGTGCCCTCCGCCGCGATCGTCGACGCGTCCACGCCCGCCGGAACCGCGCGGCGCCGCCCTGTCGTCCTCACCACGCGCGGCCAGACCGGCTTCCCGTTCTCGCCGCTCGCGCCCGTCGTGCTCGCCCGCGACGACCCGCTCTGGTGCACGGAGCGCTTCTTCGCCCCGGGCGAGCGCGCGCCGGACTGGGAGGAGTGTCTCTGGCAGATCTGGCTCGAGAACTTTGGGGACGTCGAGGTGCGCCAGACGAGGGGATGGCTGCACGATGCGTTGCCCGGGACGACGACGTCCGCGGAGTCGCCCTCCATGGTGAGTGCCCTCTCGCCGGGTCTGTGCTCGGGGTGAAGTTGAGTCCGTTGTCGGACAGGCTAAACTTCGCCGGCGGCTGGTGGCGAAGTTCAGGAGCGAGACATGCGTGCTCGCTACCAGGCAACTGGCAGCCCTCCGAAGTGCGGATAGGGCCCTCGATGCGAAGAAGACTCGCTGGCTCAAACGCGTCTGCCGTGCGTGGACGACCGGACCACAAGCATGAGAGGAAACAAACCCAGAACCCAACGTACAAGCATACAAGCATAATGAATAATCGAACAGTCAGTGTTGTACTATACAGATATGTAGCAAGGAAGTGGTCCGCAGCACGTTGTGTATGATGAGCATGTACATAAGTGGGGAGTCCAATAATGTTCAAGCACCGCATACAATAAGATCCCACCAGTTGATGCCGCTGTCGCCATGAACAGTGTCGCGATAATTAACTGTCAAACCTCGATAGATGAAGGCGGATGTTGATTCCGCGCCTCCGCTTCCTCGTCATCGTCCTCGTCCATCCCGCCCTCCTCCGCGTCCGCGTCCTCGTCACCCACCTGGAACGCCGACCACACCATCTCGAGCATGGGTCCCTCCACGAACGTCTCGAGCAACGCCCTAGACAAGTCTTCACATGATAGCAGTCAGCCTCCGATGCCAGGCAGGTATACAGAGCACGGCATACCTAAAGCTTGGTCCAACAGGTTCTTCATCTCCTCGGTAGCCTCGAGGGGAGGGTCCGCCCAGCTCAGACGGCCGAGGGTGACCACCGTGATGTCGTAGATCGACGGGATGTCCCGCGGAGAGACCCTCCGGAACTTATGGTACAATGTGAACTGATTTTCCGCAGCGAATACGAGTGTGTACAGGACGGATACCGTCCGGACGGAGCGCATCACAGTGCTGTCGTGAACTGTCAGCAGGCTGTTGAGATGGCTAATTGGGACTTGGGCTTACGCTTCGAGCCGCTCGGGCGCGTCTAATAGCTCTGGGTCCTCCTCGAATAGCGGGGTCGTGATATTCGAGAGGAAGACAAGGATTGAGGGGATAAACAGCTGGGATTGCTGCAGGATCGTCACGGCATCGGTGTGGGCCATGCAAAGTGTCGCGACAAAGGTCATGATAGCGTCCCTAAGGTGGTCCGCCTACGGCAAGTGTCAATTGGTACGTGATACATCTGGTGGTGCAACGCACCTCTGTCCCTGTCCGTGTCTTGTCCCTGAGGTGGAAAGCCATTTGCTCGATGTGAGGGATCTTGGAGTAGTCCTTGGCTGGTGCTTCATCCGTATCCATGGCTATGGGTTCGTCAGGTATAGTCAGGAGACTCCGGAATATGCTGTGATCTAAATAGAGGTCGTCAGTACAGGCGAGATGCATATGGAAGATACACCTACGAGACGCGATCAACACCAGGACTCGAACAGAGTGGTACAGGAACCAAGTCGGGTGGGCAGGGGCGAGCAGGATAGACATGACGTCCTGGCGGACAGGCACGGCTGCCAGACTGCGAGCCGCATTGTAAGTCCGAATGTCCCATAACACATACAACACGACACAGACCGCGACGTATGTTCTTCAGGGATGACCCATGCGACATCTTCCAAGAGGCCCAACGTCTCCTTCGCAAGCGTCTGAAACTCAGGCGACCTCTCCCCCTCAACAGGAGCAACGTGGGCGCATATGATCTTGCACACGACCTCGAAGATCCTATCACCCGCAGCCTCAGCCCCTTCTGGTCGCGCAAACATCAACCGAGAGAACGCAGGCAGCCATAGGACGAGTACCCGCAGCAGATTGAGAAGACTGATAAGTGGGGCCATCGCCGACGATGTCTCGAGGACGTCGGCCATCTCGACGAGGATATCGAGGATAGTTCGGATGGTGTGGTCTTCATCGACCATCTCCGAGAGCATGACGCCCATGTTTTCCAACAGAATCTTGCTCAGTCGACTGTACGCATCACGGTGATCTTGTGATGCTATGTCTAGCTGAGTTGTGCCCATGAGGACTTGCAATGTAAGCTGCGTGGAGTCTGGACACCTGTGTGTAAGGATGATACGGTGTACCTGTTCGCCCCTTGTTAGCTTCACGATGCCATGGATAAGGTGAGACGGCAAACCTCAGCTGCCCAGTCGGTGGTAGGAAGCTCTTTGGCCTCATCAGACTCATCATCATCCTTTGGCTCGTCGAACATCTCCACATCGTGATCAACAGGCCGTTGAGTCTGCTCCTGCGTCTGTGTGAGGCCATTCCAAATTCCCAGCTGGATTTGGCCTTGGTTCTTCCTAGCATGCTTATGACCCAGAGGACTAACCGGCGGACTCGGAGGGGTTGAGTGCAGCTTCGGCGATGACACATACTGCGTCGAAGGTTGCGAGAAGAAGTTGTTGTCGGATACCTCCGCATTCGGCCCATTCCTCGCGCTCTCATGTTGCTTGCCTCTAGCCCTAGCAGCCTGTGACGGCCGCGGGGGTGACGAGTCGAAGGCGTTGAAGAAACCAGGTATCTTCGGCTTTTCTACCACGGCCTGTCCAAATTCATGACCTCTCCTGGAACCATTCGATTGCTGAGTCGAGGTGATCGCGTCATTGAAGTTGATGAGACCAGCGTCGTGGTCAATGCCGAGAGGATTCCATTCACGCATCTGAGATGGCACCCGGATAGGCGTCGGAGGTGCTTGTCTGCTGATCTTCCGAGAACGACCGCTCCAGGGAGAGCTACGACCAGACGTCTCCAGTTCATGTTGCTGCATCGAGCGATCCACAGTGTAAGTATACTTTCGAAGCGCTTTCGAGGGCAGCAAGATGCGTACCTTGAACGTATACTGTGTCTTTAAACGGTCGATCTCTTCCTTCTTCTCATTCTGGATCTTGAGCTGCATCGCTTCGGCCGCCTCTTTTGCGGCTTTGATCTTGGCTATCTCCGCTGCGTGTTCTTGCGCAGTCTACAACTGTCCTCAGAGATGCACAAGACTTAATAAAGTATATGATCGCACTTTCTGGATGCCCTTCCTCAATATACTGACTTCACCTTCCTTGGCCATCCGTACGTCTTCGGCTCGTCTCAAAGTTTCCTGCAGTTGGGCCTGCTCTTGCTTGAGCTGAGGGGGAGTCACGATACGCGCACATACAGACTATAATGCATGATCTCACCGCTTCCATTTGCACGCGCAGCCCCTCCATCTCCCTTCTTAGCTTCTCATCGTCTGTTGTCGTTCTCTCTCGCAATCCCGACGGTTGTCGTTGGATATGTGGAGGTCGTAAAGCCGATGTTGAGGGTACTCGTGACACAGGAGATGGCCTAGCAACCGGCGGTGTGGCTGTCCGTCCATGGGCAGCATACGGAGAAGAGGAGGGAGTAGAACCATGTTGAGATGATATGGGTCGAGCGACAGGAGGTGTAGGGGCCCGCTGGGCTATAATAGGTCTAGTGGTTGGCGGTGCAGGAGCTCGCTGACCCGGCGCAGGTCTTCCGGCATAGTTAGGTGCTCGTTGGGCCTGGAGGGTGACATGGTTGTTGTTCCGGGCTATACTAGAACTCTGGGTACTGTCAGTGGTTGCTGTAGCAGACCAGACAGACCCCAGTGCACGGGAACCTACGTCTCGGGACGCGCAGGATGAAGAGGTTGTTGTGCAGTGACATGATTGTTTGTTGCTGGACTTGCTCTACCATTCCCCCCAAATTGTACACCTGGTTTGAAGTATCCATTTGCGAGAGGTACGTCTGGCAGTATTGCCGCTGCACTGTGCAAAGACGACGACCGCGCCAGTCGGTCATTGGTGGACATCCCTGAATTGGCAGGCCACTGAGGGACTGCTCCGTTGGGCCCATTCCCTACGTGCACTGTCTTCTGCCGCTTTGCAGGAGGTAATTCCGACTCGGACGGCGTACGCTGCAGGGCTTGCGTCCGCTGAGACTCGACATACTTGTTCTCTACCTCATCAGCGGCGGCGAGGTCAGCCTCCGTGAACTCGTCGAAGTAGTCATAGTCGTCCGAGTCTTGCATTCGTTAGAGGCAACAGAGCATGAGCGGCACACGGGAAAAGAGGGGGTGAGTACTAAGAGACCTTCGCCGCCACAGACGCGTGCAAATCGCGTCCTGTCACGCCTGTCACGGACGCGTTCCCGTGGGCACACATGGCGACACACCCATTCTGCACAGGAATGCGACTAAAGAAAGACTGCTACTAGGACATCTAATCTACAGGATGCTTATCTCTGGGAAGTGCTACAATGTATCGTGAATCCGTGATGCTGTATAACCTCCACGAGCCAGATGCGACAGCGCCGGGCTGAGCGACCGGGCTGACAACGTCCGCGAGCGTCGACGTCAACTACGAGGGCGGCGCAGTCGAAAGCTCCCGGCCACGTTTGGCAGAGCATAGACAGACCCAGCATGCAGACATTGGACATTGGTAAAGGTACGCCAGGTCGAGGAGCTGATGCCAAGCAAGAAGGGATGTGGGGCTTGCGCCGGCCAGCAGCCCGTGCATGACCTCGGCGGGGTTGAGGACCGGGCAGCCACAGCAGACGGTGGGCATGATAGCCTGGAGCAACTGAGGCAGAGATTTGCAGAGTCAGCGGCAGAGCAAGCTTCGCAGCCTAGGTTATCCGCCGTAGCGTATCTTGATGGCGCCGTTGCGAGTGCGAGCTTCCAAAGCTAATGCCTCTTTCAACATCGGCGTAATTTCCTCATATGAAGGAGGGTTACCTTTCATCTCTTCCGTTTCCTCACGCTGCTCGTACTGAAGGACAAGCCGCTTCAGGTGCTGCTGTTCAACCTTGTCTTGCATCTGAGCTGTACGGGTTTGTACTGCGAGAGTTGACTCCGCAGGAATAGCAAGTTGCCGGGCCTAGAGAAGTAAAATCAGCGCCATTTGTAGCAATAGTTCTCGGGAGACACTACCTGAGGCTTGTTTCCACGCTTGGTGAAGAGGGTGAAGGTCATGGTACCGGGTTGATCGGCTGCATTCGTCGCAAGGTTGTCCTCCTCTTCGACATCCTCGTTGCGCTTCTTCCGCAAGACAGGCGGAGGAAGACTAGACTCCCACATGGCCAGGGCAGTCTTTTTGTCGACCTTCCTCCCATCCGCGGAGGTGTCTATCTCCATCTTCGCCAGCTCTCGAGCGAACTCTGCGTCATCTTCATCTGAAGGTCCGATATTCTCCTGCGAAGCCCTGAGTACGACCGCATCGGGAGACGGAGCGCGCTCGTCGAGCTACGTGCCGGCATATCAGTATGGAATGCACGCAATCGAACAATCGGACGTACGGGAGATATAGTCTGCATTTGGTCTTCGTCTTCCTCCTCCCCGCCGCCACGCCTTTCCTCGCCATCTTCTCCGTCGCTCTCATCACCGCTGTCCTCGGCGGTGGTGACTGAAGCGAGGCCGTCAGTCTGAATAGACATACTATGAATGCTACCACACGTACTGCCAGCATTCTGGAAGGCAATATTGAACATCTCCTCGACAGCTACCGCAGCTTCCTCGAAGGTCTTGTACACAGACATCTTCGGACGCACCGCCTATCGTGGAAATCACTTGAGATACGGCCGTGATGACTGACGGAGATCACACGCACCTCAAGAGAATCCGTCAACATGAACTCAACGTCCATCGGAAGAGAATCCTTGCACAACACATAGAACTAACCGCACTCATCAGCACGTTGTCTCCGGCTTTCAGGACAAGCGGTCCTCACCTGGAAGAACGTTAAGAGGTTGTCTAGTTTCTTCTGCTGCGTTCCTCGGTCGAAGCACATGCCGACTGTGTCAAGAACAACACAGACCAGCCGGACCCGGAAGAAGTCATCCGGCATGTCAACAGGGCATGGCTGGCCGGGCGACGGCCTGCCCTCGGCTACAGAACATCCGTCAGCATTGCGAGAGCATGCAATAAACAGCATGTAAGGCTTACGGTGGCCGAACGTCACCAACGTCCACAGCGTGTCGAAGATGATGCCGGAGCTGATCAAGCGATAGATGTACAGCTCGCCGAGGTATTTGGCAGTAGCGAAACGCCGCTGGTTGATGCTGTACACGTTCTGCTCCAGCCCGCGCCGGATGTCCTCCAGCACCTGGTCCACGACCGCGACGGCGAAGGCCGGATGGTACCGTTGTAAGTCATACGTCAGCATCGCAAGTAGCGCGATGTTGCCGAATTTGACTTTCCATGGCTTCGTGAAGACCTTGTGCAGTGTGCGGAGCACGGACTCGTCGTCCCAATCGAGCTTGCGCACGAGTTTGAGGACTTTGTCTATGGTCTTCTTGGTGAGAACGTCGTAGATGAGGTGTCGGATGAAGAGCTCCATGGGCGTGCGTTCTTTCTCCTGTCTTGCTGTGCGTTCGGGCGGATTGCACTAGGAGCCATGGTTAGACTGGTTGACCACATACATCACTCAAGTTAGTACCTGGTAGTATGCGTTCTCCAAGACGAGCTGCTGTCTCTGGTCGAAGTGCTGCATGCTTTGCTTCCTCCGCATGAGCTCCAGCTACGATATGCGGATTAGATCCATGCGCGTAAACAATACTCGTGACGCTGGACTCACCATCTTGCCAAAAGGCTCCCTGGTCTCGTCACTCCGCAGCAGGAAGCGGCCGCAGCATTCCAACAGGATAGCAAAATTGTCGACGTTCGTGCCGTGGAAGTCGTCCAAGCACACCTTGAACATGTGCAGAATGATATGAGGAGGTATCACTCGGAACTTGGTCAAATTGGCAATGAAGGTCAGATTCTATAGGAAGGTGGCAGCACCAAGATTGAGTCTAGGAAACAAGCACCATGGCGGGGGAGGTTACCTTGAGCCGAACCTCAGCAAGTTCGATGACAACCTTCTTCTTCCGCTGCAGATACCGAAACTCTTCGTCGAGCTACACAAAACATCTCAGTGACAGCGTGCGATGCAACCAATCGGGGAGACTCACGAAGGCTACGACGTCTTGACCGATATCCGGCATGTACTTGTTCAGAGTCGCAATAAGCCTTGAATAATGGGGCAGAAGGTCTATGCGACTCTTCGGGATTTGCGTCATGAACTGCACGACCACGAAATAGACTTCAGCCAGCAAGCTATAGATCGAAGTAAGAGACACGAACCCTTCCCAACCGCTTTCGGGCAGCCTTCGAATTCAGGAACGCGAAGTCGACTGCAGCTTGATCGATCATGGTTCGGTTGGTCGCGTCTGGAAGGCGCGCGAGCAATGCGGTCAACATCTGAGAAGGTCCCTGAGGCGCAAGCTGAGGAGTCGACGGGGGCGAGGTCTTCGGCGTTCCCGCCGTAGGGGTAGGCGCGCTGTTCGAGAACGTCAATACACCGAGAAGCTTTCTATGAACGCAGAACGCTCACTCATCCTCATCCTCGTCTTCTTCGTTCTTCAATGCGGCGCCATCTTGAGCAGCAGACGCATCCCCGTTAAACTGGCCTTCCTCATTGACCTTGAGGCCGGCGAGCTCTTCCTCTAGCTTCCTGACTTCCTCCTGCACCCGCTCTTGTTCTTTCTTCTCCTTCTCTTTGCTATCCGTGTCTGCTGTTTCATCGCCTTCACCCTCCAGACCAAGCACACTCCGAGGAACGTAGTCCTTCAGATCTGGAATCTCCTCGAAAAATCGGCGTTCCTCCTCATCTTCCCACTTCCCGGCGGTCACAGATTCGGCATCGCCCCCAGACACCGAGATCCCCGTGTTCGAGCCGATCAAGATAGACTCGCTCTTCTGAGATGCAGTCTTGAGCTCCGGCATAGGTAGGTAGAGAAGCTCGGACAAGCTGGGCACACCAAGCCAACGTTAGCTACGAGACACGCGACATAACGAGGAATCCTCACGTCTGGCAACTAGCTAGGAGCTTCTCGTAGTTCTTCGTCATCTTCTCGTAGGCCTGCTGCCTATCTTCGAAGATCTCTCCTGAGCGTATATATGCTTCGTGATTACGCCTGTCTTGTTCTTGCAAGCGCTGAAAAGGGGGCTCAGGCCTGTAAGGCATATATCCAAAATATGTGGGCGTACGTTGTGCTCATGCACCAGCTTCCTCGCAACGTTCTCAAAGTAGCCCTCGCACATCTTCTTGAACCTGTCCCGAACCTCTTTCTCGACCAGCTCGTCCTCTTCCTTCACGAGCGCCGGGAACGCGCCGTTGACCCTCGCGTTCGCCTCATCCGTGGCGGCAGACGAGAGCGTGCCAGGTTCCGAAGAGGCCGAAATCTGCTTGGCGCTTGCAGGCGGTGTGATGCCTAGGTACGGGCGAGCAAAAGATTTGAGGAACGTCGACAAGAGAGGCAGCGACGAGAGAGTTGGGTCGTTCGACAACTACACTGAGCGGTCAGCTAGCACACAGCTAGCATACACGGTGAGGCTCACCAGATCCTTGATGACCTTGATCATCCACTCGCCACCACTCCTGTCTGGCGCGTCTCTGATGATCCCAACCAGTGCAAGCTCAGCGCATACTCGTAGCACAGGGCGCTGACGAGTCACCCGCGCCGCATCCTCCTTCTCTCGCTGTTCAGGGGCCAGCGCGGCCAATGCGGCGCGGTTTGGCGGGACCAACGCTGCAGACAGTGCAGATACAAGGACTGGAGTGAACGTCTTGGGGAATCGGCGGTGTAGTAGAGCAATGATCTTTTGAATCGCATATATGCGCAAAGTGAGTTGTCTGGGAACCGCGTCCTGCGAGCGGTCAAACGATGCGCACCTCCGCTGCACTCCATACATCTTTCTCCGTCTTGCAACGCGATATGCCCTCCAGAACAGCACTTGAAAGCTCGTCCACATATTTCTCGAGTGACAAGGTCTCGATGTCCTTGACTATTTGATCGCGGTGCTCGATGCCGAGGGACTGGCGGATCCGCTTGATCAACGCGGTGTGCCGTTTCAGAGAAGAGTCCAACGCCTTGGCCGGAGCTGCAGCATTCGGCCGGAAACGTAAGTTCCTCGACCATAACGCAGTATTACGATGGCGCACCTTGGCCGGCTTGGGTCTCGTTGAGCTCCTTCAACTGCGCCCGCCGCAGTCGCCTGGCTTGTTCGTCGTCTAGTTTGGGCGGTAGAGACCCATTCTGGGCTGCTTCCATCGTCTCTCGCCCGCAGTTGCACGTCTGAAAATGTCGACGACGCGTGTTATAAGGTCAGAAGGTGAGGGTAGGAGCACAAGTAGAGTTCACATAGCCTCGCCGACCAGTTCCCGGAGCCGCACAAGTCAAGCGCGGCGACGGCACCAAGCCCGCCACATCTGGGTTGACTGCGACCAAACTGCGACCTCTTGACTCCGTCGACTCCCTGTCACCTCCTCCTCTGCATCACATTCTGCGGTCTTCGTCTGGCTCTGTGGCTCTGTCCTGCTATCTCTAAGGCTACCTCATCGGTCGGCAACTCTGCCGGGAAAAATCGTAGTCCTACTAGAATGGCATTCTACCGTCGACATCGACGTCACTTGCTCCCGTCTCTGTCTGCGACCTTCCGGAGTCCTGTCACAAAGAAGAAGATAAAAGTACCTATGGGAAGCTAGTCAAAGTGCAGGGCTGCCTCTGTTGTACCTGGAAATTCTTCGAAGGGGCTCGTTCGCTGAGACTTCAAAGCCTCAAAGCTTCACGGCCTGTTCCCGAGTGCACGTAAGTCTCACTGCAGTCTCGGTGATGCTCATATGATACCAGCCCTTGGTATGTGTGACGTCGACGGAATCGAGCAGATGTTCTGATCACACGTAGGCACGATACGCCATGACTTCATTCGGTGGTGGTTATGACATCTCTTCTGCATTGTCCGACATCAGCCAACGACACCGCTGCCATCCTATGATCACTGTGCACTCCGCTTTGCGTGGTTGGGCCCCAAAACCTCTACCGATGTGATGCAGCAGGTTCTTGGAGTGTTGTTTACGCATGTGCTTGCTCTCGCTGCTGAACAGATCGGAAAAACATCCCGGCAACCTGCAGAGTCTCATCGAGATACTTGACGAACGCAGCGTACACTAGGCCCGCTCAGACTGAACGGGTAAGGGTACGGGTACGGGCAAGGGCAACGTCACGGGACGTACCCGGGCGGCTCAGCCACGGTTGCCACGCAGCCACCGCGCTAGGGTTAGCGGCGGGTGGCTGCTAACCCTAGCCTTTTTCTCGCGGGCTTCTAACCATGGCAATAATTGTGGTCTCGAGTCTCAGAATAATTTACTTACATCACGGCCTTTCGGTGGCACTAATACGAGTCCGGTCGCACACTTGTACATGATTTTGACTTCTATCTTACTGTAGTGATTACCCTACAGACCAATGTCAGCCTGCCGAAACACTGCCAAAATAACACTTGCCTAAATCGGGTAAATGTAAATGTAACCGTAAAAAGGAACCACTCCCCTCGCAGAGACTGAGATAATTACTGGGTATGTTATTTTAATTGCAGACGCTCTGACTCGCTATCCACACCGTCTGTATTCTCTGGTTTGTACGTATGCCTTAAATGAAAGGGATAACTGGGAGGTAGGTTACAGGCGCTGGAGAGAAAGGCTAGGGTTAGCAGCCACCCGCCGCTAACCCTAGCGCGGTGGCTGCGTGGCAGCCGTGGCTGAGCCGCCCGGGTACGTCCCGTGACGTTGCCCTTGCCCGTACCCGTACCCTTACCCGTTCAGTCTGAGCGGGCCTACTAGCGTACAGATGCTGCCTTTGAACTCCGCGACCGCGATTATTGACGGGCTCGTTTGCCTCCGGCGCTGTTCGACGGAGACATCACGAATTGGCACCTCAATTACACGATGGACGCGATTTCGACTGATGGCTAGACAGTCACTGGCTGGCTTCGGTGTAGACGGAGGCAGTTGTTGGCTGCAGTCTTCGAAATCCAGTACTCTGCAAGCCGTCTGTGGTGTTCTCAGGGAGGACTGCTATCCTCTGCTATCGGACTGCAAGACGGGAGCATCCTCGAAGTATCCACACCCTTGGCTCGGTGCCTGCGGCAGCCATCAGATCTACTCTCGACTAAACTGCGATACTCTGTAGGCCACCAGGTGCGGCGAAGGCTGGTGAAACGGTGCTCTTACCGCATCGGAATACTTCCGGTACGGGTCTGCTATGCCTATCTCGGCTCGGCATTCCGTCGCGTACACAAACTCGTGTCTTTGCCGAACACGTTGAAGACAGACCATGTTCGCGGTCTCTATCACCCCGCACGCGCGGGTGCCTCGAACTAAATAGTCTGACCACGACTCTGCGGTGTGCTGGCACTCCCGCTACCTGACGTCTCCCAGGACTATGAGCACCATCCATGCATCATCCGCCCCTGCAGCTGGTCCTGCTTCTCTGCTGATGAGCCCCGCGGCGTACACTCCCTCTCTGGTGTCCGCGACGTCGACCGACACGGAGTAAGCATATTTTTCCCATCTTCTCCGCCTCCGACTCACCAGCATACGGACCGCTGGTGGGCACTCCACCTACTGGGCGGTACGACGTGATGCACGAGCTGCGCGAGGCGACGGCTTCACCGACTCCACTGGGTGAATTCCTTCGTGATCCAGCCGTGCTCACGTCCCTCTTAGGCCGTAAGAAGTCGCGCCGCGGTTCGACGAGCAGCTCGCACCGCGAGCGGGTGCGCGAACACAGCCGAGAGCGGAGTCGCGAGCGCGACCACGACCGCGAGCATGGCGGCAAAGAGCCGCGGCGGGAGAAGAAATCCAAGGACACGTCGGACACGTCGAGCATCCTCACGCTCGTCCTCGCAGAGGAGGAGCGCCAGACGAACCGTCTCAAGGCCGTCCTGCGCTCAACAGGTGAGCGGCTCGACTACGAGCTGCGGCGCGCGGACCAGGCGGAGCAGCGCGCGCGCACCGCCGAGGGGCACACGCGCGAGGTGCAGCTGCGCGTCGCTGCGACGGAGTCCGGTAAGCACCAGGCCGAGTTGGACGCTGCGCGCGCACGCGAAGAGACGAAGCGATATCAGATCGTCGCAGAGACCGCTGAGCGGGAGTTCCGGCGCGTGCAGGCCGACATGCGGCGCCTCGAGCAGCTGCGGCAGGAGGCTGAGGACAAGGCCTCCGAGGCCCGTGACATGGCGCGGAAAGCCCAGCAGACGCTGCGGGAGTTTCAGGCGCGCCAGGAGGGCCGGGAAGAGGGCCGGAGATTGGAGTCGACCAGGAGATACAACGATGGGCGGGAAGACGGCTTTGAGGATGGCCGTGCTGAGGGCTTCGAGCAGGGACACGCTGAAGGCTTTGACGAGGGTCGTGCGGAGGGTTACTCTGTCGGTCGATCCGAAGGCCACAATGCCGGGCGTTTGTTCGGGTTTGAGGAGGGTAGGAAAGTCGGGTGGTCCGAAGGTTACACCGAGGGTCTGGAGAAGGGTCGAAAGCAGGAGCGTGAGCACGCTCTGCAGGCCTTCGATAAGTTCATGGACTCCGAAGTCGGGCGGGAGAACATACGTGAGAGCGTCATCACAATGACGACGGTAAGTCTCCTATTTATACGAACTTGCTTCACGGCTAATCTGAACGGTTGTCTAGGAGGATGAAGACGAGCGCACACAGCGTTGGATACAGGCGACCCAGGTCAGGGAACCGAGCCCGCTTCCCCTCCCGTTGCGCGCACCTTCTCCGGTAGATGCCAGGACGCCATCGCCTCAGCCAGTTCGCATACCCAGCCCAGCACCCGCACCCATGCCGTCCCCACAACCTGTCCACGCTGTCCCTCCGCCCGCGCCTAACCCCGTATGGTTGCATCGCCGTGTCAATCCCGTTCCTGAAGCGAATGCGAATCCCCCTCGTATCTATGCCTGAAGCAGGCAGCCGTCACAGCCCTCGCGTTGCATTGGACGCGGGAAGTCAGAAGAAGTGGAAGCCCGAAGGGCCTATGTAATGTATGTATAGCGAATATGTGTAGCCCACTGACGAGTCTTGTAATACAGAACGCAGGCGTCCTCGTTTTCATTGACCCTTTGACCCTACTATTGTAGGTAGATAGACAATCGTATGTAATGTGTGGACTGCATCCTATTCAGTCTTCTCATAGATGTTCGCTGCTGCGGATCTACACAAGGTCTACATAAAATCAGGAGAAGGCTGGCGCCTCCGACATGGCGGCTAGCAGTGATGACAGAGAGCATGAGTCGGCCGTATGTCGAAGGCGGAAAGCATTCGAGTTTCATGCGGGTGGGCTCCACATAAAGCCTGAATCGAGTTTAAAACGAGAAAGAACCTCCGGTAGCCAACCTGAATCTGTACGACTATCATTCAAGGCCTAGGCCTGAGCCTGCATCGACGGACCACATACCAATCCAAGCTTTGGCACTGAAAGTATGCACCAAATTGAGTGAGAGCAACGATTCAATTCAACGGATCGTCGGGAGCAAGTACGTCAAGTACGGGACTGCAGCGTTATCCGCATGGACACCCTGCCACCGGGATCCCCCGCCGTAACTCAGAAGTTCATTGATCGCACAGCTTCGATATGCAGTCATCTCGACGCAGACTGCTGCTGTTGGACTTTTATGGACCAGTTGGGCAGATCCTACCGGGAAAGCGATACTTCTGTGGGACAGAGTGTGGTCGAATGGCCATATTACCGATCGCGATGCTGCTTTAATATAATGTACCTGGGTCCGCATGCCGGCCTCGACATCGTCGACAGCTGATGGTCATCAAAAGCACAGCCTACAAGCAAGGAGAACAACCTACCTGTTCACGCAGATGTACACTGACAGCGATGATCAGGACTGAGCTTGTGTTTCGATAGCAAAGAATAGGATCCTCAGCCTACGCCGTAATTAACTGTAGACAGTACTTCGTGGCATGGTGCCACAGTGGGCAAGTATGATCGATGCATATGATGCTCCTCGAGACTCACTGTTAGAAGCTGTTGAAACCTGTGTGAGCTTGGTTTGATGCGTAGCAGCGTTGGGTTGTACAAGCCCATGTCAACCGTCCCTTTGCACAGCCTGCTCTGGGGGCTCCGAACTCGGAGGAGGGATAGCGCAGGCGGTGGCGACCAGTCAGCCAGAGAATTATGATGCATGGACCTGTCTACTCATGGGGGTGCCTCCAACAGGCTCGATACTCTGGCACTCAGCTCAAACAGTGAGCCGACAGTAGTGACCACTGTCAGCGAGCGAGAGGGAGGCCGACATGTCGGTGCAGGATCAAGAGATGATGGGAGGGAGGCGATGGCCGTCTTCCGCTGGTGGCTTGATCAGGTGCAGATACGATCTTGAGCGTCCGCCGCGTTGAGCGAGAGCGTATAAGCGTCTGGGCATAGCGTCCCCCTCTACTATCGCTGCCATCTTTCTGCCCCTCCATTCCCCACCGCCGCACAACAGAAACAACATGGCCCACACAGAGCCGCCGACCCCGATGTCGCCCAGTGTCGGTGCACGCCGCAAGGGCGCGAAGATCCTGCCCAAGCTCCCGCTCTCCGCGTTCACTCCTCCGAACACCGGCACTTCCGATTCCTTCCCGGGCCCACCGAGCCCGAGCACGCTCCAGCCGGAGGAGATCGTCGACATATACGGTGGATCCGATCTGAGCCAGTGGAAGGCCGAGGCGGCGCGCGGGATCGGGGAGAAGGGCAAGGGCGTCGTCCTGTCGCTGTACGGGAAGGAGTTCGCAGAGGTCGAGAAGGAGCTCGAGAGGTGCGTATATGAGGCTCACGGGTGCTAAGCGAGGCACTGACTCGATCGCCCCCAGCATTAAATCCGCAGCGGATGGCCCATCCGTTATTGCCGTGCTCGTCCCGATCGTGCACCTCAATGATGAGGGCGCCTTCGTCCCGCCTGCGTATCTCGCGACCAAGAGCACAGCCGGCCCTGTGCTCGTGCCCACGGTGGTGTTCACGAAGAGCGACCCGCTGGTGAAGAAGGCCCTGCACTGGGCGCTGCTCGAGGGCTACACGATCAACATCGATGTGCAGTGCGACATCCGCGCGACGGAGGGCGGGTGGGATACGCTGGAGGATCTGCTCTCCAGCCTCGAGGATCCCACGTCCCCGAAGAAGCACCACGCGAACATTATCGTCTGTGCGTACCTCGTTTCTCATGGCCAAGCTAGCGTTCACGCGTTTGCGATGGGCAGCGAACATCCTGCCGCCGCCCGATGACATCACCCTCCCGATTGTAAAGCTTTTGACGCACCCGTCCTACCGCAACTACCAGGCGCATACCGCTGCGCTGTCGCTCTATGCAAACGTCTTCGTTTCCTACCTCCCGCCGGCCTGGGGTTTCCCCACCCCACCCCAAAGTGCACAGAGGGACCGTACAGAATGGAAGAAGCGCATCAAGATGTACAGTGCGTTTTCATCCCTTTCTGTTCGTCTGTCTGCAAGCCCACTGACCGCTGTATTCCAACGTCCACAGTCAGCCCCGCAGTAGAAGCCTTCGGTTTCGAGCGCGTCGTCTTTGGATCTGCCCCCTCCGCCGCCACACAAGCGACGTCGAACGCCAGCGACTGGTACGAGCTCGCACGCGAGTCCTTCGCGGAACTCGGCATCGAGCAGGAAGCCATCGATGCCGTGTTCTCCGGGAACGCGAGACGTATCTTCTCATGACCTCAAGGACGTCTTCGAAGTGGACAATCAGGCGCGATGTAGATTGGATCTAGTCGGATTTAGTGCTGTTGGAAAAGATATTGTATACTAAGTACTCTTGTTGACCGTGGATCTGTCATAAGTTATTGGCGTGACTGGTGAATGCAATGGAAGGTGGGGAGACGGCGTACGCCCTCCTCTTATAAAGGTCTGAGATTTCAGTCTGAGCCAAAAAGAGCCATCACAATCAACGGAATGTACTCCATAACACGGATCGTAAACACACACGATTACGGCACCCCACAAATACCATATCATCTCCGATGAACCCAAAGGGCTCATGTCCGCGAACGGCGGACTCGAGCTCACTGCTTTTTGGCTTCGCGCTCGAGCTTTCTCAAGTAGCGCTTGCGGATGCCGACGTGAAGGTTGTGCGTGTACCGGACGAAGAGCATCTTCCAGCCGAGAAGGTTCTGTACTGCGCGTCAGCGCTGTCAGATGGTGAGAAGAGGTGAAGGGACGGACCATGGCGTAGTCGATGATCGCGTGGCTCCAGAAGGGCGTGCAGACGTTGGGGCGGCCCGTCCAGAGCGCACCGCAGGACAGACCGACCTGTGTGGAGGGTCGTAAGGGCAGACTACTCGGGGGATTTAATGCAGACGAACCTTGTTCAGGACCGAGCGGACGTAGTTCTTCGGCGTCGGCGTGGTGACGTTTGCGCGGCGGATCTTCGACATGTTCGATACCTAACGAGACATGCAGGGTTATCTAGCCGCCAGTCGGGCTAGGAGGGGTACGCACGACGAAGTAGGTGTTTAAGCACTGCACGTCGACGCCCTTGCCCTTGACCTCCGCCGCGAGTGACGCCGTGAACGCGGAGAGGAAGGCCTTCGTGCCTGCGTATGTCGCGAGCATGGGCGAGGGGATGCCCGTGCCCGAGAAGGAGCCCATGTTCAGGATCAGGCCGCGGCGGCTGTCCACAAGGCAGTTAGCTATGGTGTAAGGGCAGGGGATTTGGAACGCACCGTTCGACCATCCGCGGGAGGACGAGCTTGGTGACGCGGACGTTGGCGTTGACGTTGATCCGGAGGATGTCTTCGACTTCTTGGTCGGCGGCCTCGGCGAAGTAGACGGGGGCGGTGTGCGACTTGCCTACATTGTTGACTGGCGCCCGTAATCATGTTACTAGATTGCCGGCGTGTACCATGAGGGTGATGGAACGTACCGAGGACGCCGACGTCGATGCCCTGCAGCTCCGTGGCGAACGCCTTCCACTTCGCCTCGTCCTCCAGCTTTGAGAAGTCCATGACGATCGCCTTCGCCTGTACCTTCTTGCCAGCTGGGGCGCTCGACTCTGCGACAAATAGCCTCAGCACTTTCGCGGACCCCGCACCATACTGAGTGCAACTGACCGATCTCCGCTACAAGTGCATCCAAGGCCGCTGCGTTCCTCGCGGAGACGAGGACGTTGAAGCCCTTCTTGGCGAGCTGCAGCGCAAACTCCCTGCCGATACCCTCAGAGGCTCCGGTCACAACTGAAGTGGGTGTGAGCTCATCCCCTCTCGTTGCCCATGGCTGGATGGAGAACGTTCAACGCGCACCTGCCCAAGCACCCTTGCCAGCACCATACTTGTTCAGCTACAATCCCTGGCGGTCAATCCATCTCAAAGCGCAAGATAGCGAGCAGAGCACTCACGCTAGTCCCAGGAAGCACGAACGTCTGCAGGAGCACCCCAGCCGCCTTCAACGCGAACTTCGCGCATGAGAGCACACCGAGCGCGAGTAAAAAGAGCGCGACATTCGGGTGTTCCGCCAGCTTGTCCAACATAATGGTGTCTGGCAAAGTCGTGAGCTGACGTTCCGTGGTGGCCAGGAACACCTACAAGGTTGGCCGGGCAGTTGGATGTCCTACACTCGCGCGCGCTGTGGCGGACACCGCGGGCAAACCAGGTTGTTCGAACTCCGAAAACCCCTACGAACATCGGTCCCGCCTGGGAACCTTTACGGACTCCGAATATTGTCAGAACATGCTGCGAACATGATGCGTTTCAGCCGATTTCAGCATGTTCGGAGGCCGAACATGCGTGTTTTCGGCGAACATGCTACGAACATGAGAGATGTAGGAGCATTTTCGGAGTCAGTCAAGCTCTCCGAAAAGGTTCCCATGGAGGACCGATGTTATTAGCATTTTCGGAGCCCGAAAAACCTGGTTTGCCCGCGGTGGGAGTCTCTGATGCACGCTCGGCGCTCGGCGCTGACCGGTGCGATGTTATCACGTGCCCGTCAATATCGCACGACGCAACACACCGTGCCCGGCGCTTATGATTTCACCTGCTATTTAGTACTGAGTACACCTTTGCCAAACCCTGACTATATCGTTGTCATTCGCAACTATCCAGCAGAGCACAGCAGAGAGAAGAACACGTCACTTCTGAAGCTCACATGGGGAGCGAGCGCAGCGTGCTTTTAAGTAATGGTCTGAGTCGTGGGCCACGGTACGGTGCCAGCAGTAGTGCGCCATAGTGCTTCGATGTGCACATTTGCTTAAGTATTAAAGGCATTCTACATATTCCCACATTTTAGTAGTACATGTCACAACACAAATTGGGATCCTCGTTGTGGCCTTGTTGCGGTCAACGGGCCTAGGTTGCCACCGCATGAGAGCCACCGCAGTTGCACAGATCGTTATCTCATCTCAGATCCAAGTCACTATGCTTCGTGTGGGGAGGCGCCACTTCTCAACATCGCGCCATGTCTTCCTATCTTTGGCATCTCATACTTTCTTATACCTGTCTAGATCGTTCCTTCGACATTGAAAAGTGCGCATGCACACCCAGCACGGTTCTCCTCGCCGTTCTGGATGGAGCCGATTTGCAGTGACTGTGACAGTGTACCCTCCGCGAATGGCCTCGGAAACGTTCCAGACCCGTCGTGCGTATTCACTGACGTCGAAGGTCGAAGCGAGGACAGTGCGATCACCGCACAGGCATATCCTGGGAGCACCCACCGGAAAGGAGCCCGCGCATGAGGGGTACGCGGGAGTTACATCATCGTAGTGGAGCGTGCGCCTTGTAAGTTCTCCTCGCTACTGCAAGCACGCAAGGACAGCTTGCGAGCTGCTCGCCTGATTCGGTCGAGGCGGAGACGAGTGGTGTTCTGTGTTGATGTGGCTGTCGATTTGTGGGTCCGTCTCTGTTGCGCCCTGGGCGTGGACCACGATGACGTACAGTACACAGAACTCTGCTGTGGCGGCGACCGCTTGCATCTATGACGAAATGCGTCATGACGTCGCCACTCAGAACCTATATAAGACCCAGGTGCGCGCCGTGTCTCCTCACAAGTTGCTCACGATTTACGACCCACTTACGATCTCAAACACAGCACTCTCTCTCATCTTTACGACTCTCACATCACCATGTCTCTCGCACCCGCCAAGCAAGACATCCGCGACCGCCCCGCCCTCGACGCCGTCACCGAGCCCATGAACCGCGACCAGAAGAACGCCGACGTCGACCGCAAGCTCCACCTCTACGGCGTCGCCACCGCCCTCCGCGAGTCGCGTCTCCCCGCCAACGACCAGATCGACGCCGCCCTCGAGTATGCGCTCAACCACTCCCCCATCGCGACCGACCAGCTCTCCGAGTCTGGCCAGGTCCTCATCCAGGACACCCGCCAGGTCCTCGACACCATGCGCGCCATCGTCCGCGAGAAGAACGCCGACGAGCTCCTCCAGAACTTCGTCTGGCACACCCGCCAGACCGACACCGAGCGCGCCAAGAAGGACCCCAACGAGGTCATCCCTGTCGGCCAGGACAAAGTCCAGAACGACGCCAACCAGGCCGCCCAGCACCTCCGCACCCTCGCCACCCTCGTTATCACCAACGGCGAGGCGCGCAAGCTCATATCCGACTTCGGCGTCATTGGCCGCGACCTCCTCGCGCGCGGCGCGGGCAAGGTCGCCGAGATGTCCCGCCCCGACGAGGACGCGCTCCGTCGTGTCGACGAGCCCGGCCCCGACCACCACTTTGTTACTCAGGGTGGAAGGAACGCTGGCACTGACGAGACTCCGGTATGTGACTTGCGCTACGTGTTCACTAAGCGTGTATCTAACCCATCATCCAGATCCCCGAAGTGCAAATCCCCGGCACTGGCCACCGCGTCGCGCAGGACCCTCGCAATGAAGTCGGCCAAGGTACCACCATCCAAACCGAGAGTGGCGAGCAATACCGCGGTGACGAAGCCGCCGACATCGCCACTCAGAGGGCGAACGCGGCCAAGGAGCGCGCTCGTTCCGAGGCTCAGGCTCAGCGCCAGGAGATCCAGCAGAATGTCGTCGAAGACGATGCTGACCCGGAGGCTAAGAAGAGCCGCTTGCAGAATAAGCTGTCCGCCGCAAAGGTTAGCATACGGTTCCATACTACAGCGCGGTTTCTCACACGCACGGTTGCAGGACAACGTGCTCGGCCGTGTTCCTCAGGAGCACAAGGACAAGGCGAATGAGCACAAGGACCGTGCTCGCCAGTTCTTGAGCGACGAATATTTCCCGCCAGAGCGCCGCGACCAGCTCATCTATCGGTTCAAAAAGGTTGTGATCGAGTGCCAGAACCACAAGGACTACCAGGAAGCGATGCGTTGGCTGCTCGACACCGGCGCGGAGTACGTAGGGCACGGCCGCGTCGTGGCCGACCATGGCAAGGACTCACACCAGCAGCTTACGTCCGACGACAACCTCCGCCAGGCGTGGTCCGAGCTCCGCACGCTCTTGGAGCGCTTTGCCAATGGCGCGAGCCTCGACGTCATCGCCAACGCTGTGCGCGCGTTGTACGATGACTCGCGCAACGACGAAGGCCTCCGTCAATGGTTCAGCGAGGTTAACGAGTTCGGTCGCCGGGTACGTACTCTGCCCTTGACAAAGTGGCAAGCACTGATGAGGTCTTCTTGCAGTGTCTCATGGAACCGGGCTACATCCTCGATGACCAGGCCAACGACCGCGCGAACGAGCTCCGCGACAACGGCCGCCAGTTCTACGACGACAAGTACAACGACCACTTCAACAACCTCTGGAACAGCTTCGCGGACTGGGGCAACGCCTGGACGCAGGACCCGCTCAACCGCCGGTTCGGCCAGGACTGGCAGCGCCTCGCGAAGGACCTCCTGTTCGATAGCGAGGGCAGCCTCAAGTACAAGCCCGAGCTCTGGCGCGACATCCGCAACGTCGTCGTGCCCGGCCTGGTCGCGAACATCGGTTATGTCCCCATCCCGCGCATCGAGTACACGGACGACTCGCTCGACCTCGTGCTCGAGAACCTGGCGCTGTCGGGCAAGAACGTGTTCCCGAACATCGTCAGTTTCGAGGCGCACAACTACATGAAGTTCTCGCCGTACGATGCCATCAAGTAAGCATTTCTCTGTCTAGTTTGAATCATTTCAGATTCTGACAACCTCCCGCAGCGACGAAGGCCATCACGAATTCACTCTTACGCTCGGCCACATCCAGGCCGACTTGCGCGACGTCGCCTTCTACTACCGCCGCAAGACCGGCTTCCCGAAGATGACCGACCAGGGTCTCGCCGACGTGCTGCTCGGCGGCACCGGCCTCACCATCACCGCGCGCCTCGCCTCGTCGCGCGACCCGACGTCCGTGTTCACGGTCAAGGACGTGCAGGTGAAGGTGGACACGCTCAAGTTCGCAGTGCGCGACTCGAAGCACGACGCACTGTACAAGGCGCTTGCACCGCTCGCGATGAACCTCGTCAAGCGGCAGCTGCAGCGCGCGCTCGGTGGCGCGGTGCAGACCGCGCTCGAGTACGTCGACGGCGAGCTCGCGGCGGTGCGCGACCAGATGGCGGAGGCGAAGGCGAGCGAAGACGGGAACCGCGTTCAGGTCCTGAAGGACCAGCTCGCGCAGAAGAAGCAGGCCGCCCAGGGCAAGGCGGGCGAGGCCGACAAGAAGACGGGCGAGTTCAAGGTCGTCGCGCAGCCCGGCGCGGAGCTTATGCCTGAGCATGGGCACCCTGAGGGGTGGGTCAAACGTGCGGGCGAGCGCGTTGCGGCGGCGAAGAGCGGCGAGGAGTGGAGGAGCGATGCGTATAGCGTCGTCTGAAGTGTTCCTCCCTCGTGCTTTGATTCGGATATGTAAAATGTTGCCTTCGGACGCTGGTAGTGTTACCCCGACTCGCTCCGCATCTTGTAGTATGCCGTTCGGTGTCATTGTAGCGTTGAGATACCTGTATTGTTACGTTTTCTACTACACAATGTAATGTTTCTAATCACGTTGTATCGAACACTTGCTAATTTGCTTGCCATGGAGCGTGATCTGAGTTTCGTCTCGACACATCTTCGTTGTGACTTCTCATTTCGTCACTGCCACTGCGGATCGACGAGAACGTGGCGTTCGTACTCCTAGGTGCCTTCCGCCACCTCGCTGCCCACTGCCAGAGTCCTTGGAAGCGCAACCGAATACGGAAGTCATACCCATACCCGCTGTCTATTCGCTTCGCGCAACACATGTCTCCTACGAAACGGAAGGTATCCGACGTACTAGAACAGGAGGACACGCAAGAACGGGCGGCGAAACGTCGCGAAACCACCCAGGCCACGGCCGAGCACCCCATCCGCAGGCTCTCCTACCCCTCGACCTCCGCTCCCGCGCGCACAGTCCCTTTTCAACAGCCCGCACCCCTCCTGACGTTCTCATACACCCCCGCACGCGAGCTCGAGTTCACCGACTCCGCGCTACGGTACTACGTCGCGCCCCCGCATAACGCGGACCTGCGCTATGGCTACGAGCGGTGGGAGAAGCGGCCGGAGGAGAAGGGCCGGGTTGACGGGCTGCTGAGGGCTGTCGCGAAGATGCGTGAGCGGATGGAGAGGGGCGAGCCGGGGAGCGGGAGGAGGTGGCTCGAGGGAGTGGGGGTCGTTGCATGGAGGGGCGTCATGACCAAGTGAGCTTCCGTCGTTCCGGACTGCGAGCCGTTCCCTGGATCGTTGGGGCTGATGCGAGTGTTGCGTGAGGGAGGATACTTACCGCGCCGTACGAGGAACGGGATGGGTGGGAGATGAACGTTATGGACGTCGGTGGGACGTTGTACTTTGAAGAACACTTGTCGGATGCGAAGCTCAGGGATAAGTGAGTCTGCGCAGTGTGTTGTGCATGGCTATTTGAAGTGACGTTTGTCTGTGATCAGAGAAGACATGGCACCCCATCACCGCCTACAGTCTTACTATGGCTACTCATTCGAGGCATGGTCGACCTCAAGTCGACCTGGTGTCCGCGAACGAATGGACGGGCACCCTGAAGGGTGGGGAGGCGACGTGGACACGAACGTCCAGTGGTGTTGCGTTGTCAAGACGAAGCTGGGGGACACTCGGCTTGTTATTGGAGGCGAAGTGGATTGCGCGCGAGGTGACACTCTGTCTGCCTCTGAGACGTCGCTGGGAGACTGATGGTGCGTTCACAGAGAAGTTCACAGGGAAGACCAACGGTCTAGTTGAGTTGAAGACTTCTATGGTGATACGTGGTGCGCAAGATGAGGCAAGATTCGAGAAGTGAGTGGTATTGCCACTTGCGAAACTGACTACCCTGCTGAAGTCACTTCTTGTAAGGAAGCTGCTCAAGTTCTACTTTCAGTCATTCCTCCTCGGCGTGCCCGTCAGTATACTCATCAATTGTGCTTCAAAATATTCTCTCATGCCGGCACAGGAGATTGTTGTCGGCTTCAGGACACCCGCTGGCCAGCTGACTACACTGCAATCGTTCAAGACGATGCAGATACCTCGTATGGTTCGTGGCAAGCGCGGCGCCTGGGACCCCATGGTCTGCTTCGACTGGGGCCACCACTTCCTCACGTTCCTCAAGTCTGTGGTACGCGGTCCCGACGCAGACGTACGAGCGGCGGATCAAGAGAAGGACGAGACTGGGAGCGAGGACGCTGCGGACATGCCACGGGTGTGGCGAGTGGCGTTCCAACCCAAGGTTGGGATCAGTGTGACTCTGCTGGACGACGCGGCCGTGCGTGAAGTCGAGGCAGGCGAAGACAGAGTCGGGTTCCTTCCAAGGTGGTACCACGATGAGTTGGCGAGCGCCAGCGAGAACGACGCTACTGCAAGCAACATCGCCGATGGCGCAATACATCGAGGGGATGCAGATGCCCGTGTCGAGAAGAACACCCATACAGCGCCCCCAGATAGCAGCAAACTTGTGCCATCGGGTTGGGTGACATGAGCCGTTGTAAGTACAGTGCATTGTCATCAAGCAGCCTCGATGTCACAGTATTGTAGCATATTGTAGGTAGTCTTATGAAACATCTGCCGCAAGAACTAATTGTCCGGAATGCCGCGAGCAGGCCGACAGTCCTTATAAGCCATCCGTCGTTGCCAGGCCATACAGCTTGGACTCGCCCTCATGTGGTCAACGTTGAACGAGTGGCACCATGCAGGAATGATATGATCAGATGGAGGCTTCTTGTCAGATGCAGCCACGTTGACTATTTAGAGCAACAAAGGATCCACCGCAGGTGGTTGAATATCTCGGAGGATAGACGCGCTCCCGACGGTGCTGTGGCGAGGGGACGAGAATTTGAAGGTATGTGCGCACAGGATATCTGCTATCGCGGTTTTGCTCAGGGTGATTTACATTGGAAAGGACCATCTGTAGGTAGCTGAACCTGTCGGCTCGCCGCTCGGGCCTAGTCATGGCCAACAACGCGGCTTCCAGAAGGAGAATAAGGTCACCACTCGCGAGACGCCGAACATTGTGGCTCCCAAACCCGTGGTTCAAAAGCAAGTCGCGCTCAGAGTTCTGCATCAAACAGCTCCCTTCCCCTTCAACCCGACCTCAAACTTTACGCATATCTTAGAGATCGTGAGTGTTCATTCAATTACTGTCCCAGATGTCTGTCGCTGCACGGAACTCATTGTTGACCCGGCAGACTACCCGCCCGATGACTTGGGGGTTCAGTTCTGTGGCTCGAGAGAAGGCGTACGTTCGTCGCCGGAAAGGAGACGCAGTAAACAAATGTAGCACGGAGATCAAGCGTGGCCTCCCGGTCCTTGACTTCATTTCGACGGTCTGGAGCTTTACGCCACAGGCCATTCCGGAGGGACCATACGAGTTGTCCCACGAGCTGGTTAACCTTTATCTCCAAGCGAGCGAACGGCAGTCTTACATGCACATTGCGGAAATCCTGAAGGACCTGCTCGCCCAGCTACCAGCATGTCCGGACGACGACATGGATGGTGGCGACTCCGATTTGGGATCTCCGCGCAGGCTGCCGACTTTCATCGTCAATACGCGGGTCATACTCGACGGGAGCATGGTCCGAGAGGGTGGAACGACCCCAGACCTCATGTGGTCGCACAATAGAGGAACGACACAATGGAGGGACAATTGGGAGTCGTGTCTGGCCTTTGTAGAGATCAAGCATTCCCCGACTGCGGACTTCTTTCTCAGCCAGGATATCAAAATCGACCTATCTGCCTTCTCCAAACGCCCCGCCGGCAAGCAGAGGCTGAGGTCTCACACTCCCTCCGAGTACACGGAGTGCGACTCCGACTCGGAGATGGTCGACGGGGAAGCGTCCGATGACGAAGAAGACAACGAGCTCAAGAGATCGCCTTCCACGGCGTCGGATTTCGACGAACCAGCCGCCAAGCGACCCTGTCGACGATCCTCTATCTCGTCTTTGACACTCGTGGACGTGCCATCGGACCAGAATAGGCCGTTGGACGAGTATGAATTCCACGCCGCGCTCTATATCGCGGAGATGATGGAGCGTAGCATTCGTTCGTACGCCTCCGGCTTTTCTGTCGAGGACACGACCGTGACGCTCTGGTATGGTGATCGCATGGGACTGGTGACTTCCGCGGAGTTCGACTTCCTGGAGGAGCCCCACTTGCTTCTGCTGACCGCCGCGGCGCTGGACGCTGCCAACATCGAGCGCTTCGGTGTCTTGCCATTCCTCAGGACTCCGGGACATGGCAGCGACGACGCGACGCTCGTTTTCCCGAAGGGGAGGGCTTGCGACGCACTCGGCGAACCCATCGGCGAAGAGTTCAGATTCAGGCTGTGCGATGACGAAGCACCGTCCTGCAAGACCTCTGACACGATGGTGGGAGCAGGAACGATGATATTCTATCTGGAGACGATCCCGGAGAGGCGAGACCTGGACGGCGAGGAGTTCGTCGCGAAGGTCTCTTGGCCACTCGAACGCTCTGTGACTGAGACAGCTTTCTTGCGGGCGGTCACCACCGGGCTGAGGAACAAGGCTCCCCGATATGTCAAGCACATCACGGAGCTGAAGTGCTACATCGACGAGAATATAGAAGAACACTGGCTCCCGAGGGCATTCATGACAAGTCTACCCGTGGCCTCTGAGACACCTCGACGCTTCATGCTCATGGTCATGAAGAGGTATGAGCCTCTTTGGGACGTGGAGCATGTGTCAGAGTTCAGGAGTGTCTTTGTAGACGTCGTACGAGGTGAGTTCGTCTATACAGTTGATACCGCATGCTCATTTGTTTATCGATTTGTCAGCGCATCATTGGGTCGCAGAGACGTCTGACATCCTGCACGGCGATATCAGCCTCGGCAACATCATGTTCTACCGGCAGTACAATGGCAAGGTCATCGGTGTACTCATGGACTGGGATCACTCGCTCCGGCGCAACCGCGAGGAAGAGGCCATGTTCGACCTCGAGGTGCCGTCGAGCGACGACCCATGTACGATGTGGGTATATCAGTTTGGCACGACCCAGTGGTGGTACACCGTGCCCTACCTGGATGTCGCTCGGTCATGCGCGCAGTGTGACGGCTCCACGTGGATCCCACCGCACCGCTACGAACACGACCTGGAGGCGTTCTTCTGGGTGCTCATCCACTTCCTGCAGCAGTTCGAGCCCGGGGACCATAAGGTATATCCGACCGACTTCTTCAACATGCGCGACAGCCACGATGTCCTGGAATGGAAGCAGTCGTTTCTCGCCGCGGAGAAGTCGGAAGAGGTGTACCAGGAGGCAGAGGAGCGGGTGGAGTGGCATTACAGTCCGTTGTGGAAGGAGTGGGTGCCTCGGCTCAGGGACCTCGTTGCGCACGCCCATTCGTTGCGCACACCGTGTACTGTGTCTGAGAGAGACCTCCGGAAGTCTCTGCCGGAGGCGTCAAGGGTGGGATACCAGGAGGAGATCGACGAAATCGTTGGGCAGCTGCGGGAGAAGATTGAGCAAAGGAAGACGGCCTTTACTTACAAGAAATTCATGGCTGCACTGGGTGAACCTCTGGACATCCCTGAATAAGGGTAGGTGACTAGGTTCATGGACTTATGATCAATTCCGCTATCCCCGTCATGGAAGCTATAGGAGACTATGATTGCTATGCCATATGTATACATGTATGATTACAACAGATCCTGCACATGCCCAACCCACGACTAGTCATAGAAGACGAGCATACGGAGCTCAATCGACTCCCTCGGCGGGGCGTCCTTGGGCGTGCTCGGATCCTCGAAAGCAGTGTGAGGAGTCAGGATCGCGGTGTTGTCCTCAGTCTTCGAGTCGAAGCTACAGAATATCGTCAGCCAAACTCGTGCAGATAGATGTCACTAGCGATACTCACCACTTGATGAAGACGAACTCCTCTGGCGTCATGCCCCGGAGGTACTTCCACTTGTGGTTCGGGTTGAACTTGACGCTGTTCGTCTCACCCACCCTGTCCGGGTAGATCAGGTCGGTGGAGACAAGGTCCGCCTTCGTGTCGACGCTGCGGTAGTCGCACAGCGCGAGCGGCCAGTCGTACGCGGGGTGCGAGATGGGTCGCCAGAGGTTGATGATCTGGAAGCGGCGCTGGAGGAGCGCGGGGGCCTCCGCGGGCGGGAGGTGTCGGTGCACGCGCGCAATCGCCGCGGCGGTCGTCTGGTCGACGTGCGCCTGCGGGACGGGCTGACGCGACTGCGGAGTATCTGCCACGCCTGGACGGCGGCGGCGGATTGCTGGAGAGAAAGCAAGTCAGTATACGTTCGTGCGAGCGAGATTATGCAGGACTTACTGTGATCGAAAATGACGGCACGGCTTGCGCCGGTGAGCTTCTTCACGAGCTCAATGCTCTCGGGGTAGTACTCTGCCTCGACCTCAGCATCGTTCGTGAACGTCTTGTGAGCGGCGGCCTCGCGACCGAACAGGAAGCCGGCGGTATCAAGCGTCACCGAGTCTTCCTTGCCGCGGAGGTTCTCGATCTCGACAGAGCGCGGCTCGGAGGACCAGTTGCGCTTGATTTTAAGGGGGTCCGCATTGACGTCATTGTAGGGCTTCGAGCCGTCCTCTGGGGGCACGAAGTAGAAGACCGTAGCGGGAACGGATTGTGGCTCAGGCTGATCAGACATGGCGAGGTAAGGGGAACGGTTGATATGACGGATGCTTGTGAACGATGATGAACTCAAGTGAACTCATGCCCTCCGCTTTATATGTCTGAGCAAACGTTCCCATGGATGGCGTGCTCTCTTGACATGGAGTTGGCTGACAAAGCCTCTTCGGCCTGGTTCCCCACTAAGGCTAAGTAGGAATGCCGTTATGAGCCTGTGGACGGAATTCCGACCTGCCGGTAAATGATGAAGCAAACGTACTGTATCGCATATTGCTTACCGTGACTACATATCGCAGTACTTACATGTAGCTCCGTGCTCGGTGCCACCCCCTGGCAAGCTGAAGCTGAATCATCCACTGCTGATTAATGTAGACATCTGTTGCATTCGGAATCTTTCCACTGGATCGACAGCATAATATGTAAGCCAGATGGACGGTGCGACTCATCTAATAAGTACCCTGGTTCACGCAGAATCGCATCTTGGACTTCTTCGACTGAGACAGTGATAGCGACATAAAACTTGAAATGTCGGTGACTGTCTTGCATACGCCTATACTTTGTATGTCAGAATTCGTTATACGGTACGATTATCCTAGTGCATGAGAGTGAGAGCCCGTCTTGTTGTGGCCTTGCGAGCCAGAGGGAACAGCAGCGATGGTTGCGGGTGGCCAGAACTGGCGAGGCGGGTCGGTGACGTCGCGACAGCCACCGGGTTCTGCCGGCGCGCTTGATAAGGCTGCGTTACCCCGCAGCGTCGCTCTCTCCTCAACCACCACCATCTCTGACACCTCTTCTACACCCGCATTTCCCTCTACACGACGTGAGTGCAGAGCGACTGGGAGTGGATTCGAAGCATTTATCTGACATTGAGCCACTGCAGTATGCAGATCTTCGTGAAGACCCTCACCGGCAAGACCATCACCCTCGAGGTCGAGTCCTCTGACACGATCGACAATGTGAAGGCCAAGATCCAGGACAAGGAGGGGTGAGTGCTACTTAGGCTCGCCATGCACGATCCAGATTGCTGACGGCGATTGGGTCCCCGTCGATCAGTATCCCGCCCGACCAACAGCGCCTTATCTTCGCGGGCAAGCAGCTCGAGGACGGCCGCACTCTTTCTGACTATAACATCCAGAAGGAGAGCACCCTCCACCTTGGTGAGTCATCAGCGTTTGTTTGATTATCATGCCACATCTTCCTGACTGGCGCTGTCAGTCCTTCGTCTTCGTGGCGGTATGCAGATCTTTGTGAAGACCCTTACTGGCAAGACCATCACGCTTGAGGTGGAGTCTTCGGACACCATTGACAACGTGAAGGCCAAGATCCAGGACAAGGAGGGTATTCCCCCGGATCAGCAGCGCCTCATCTTCGCTGGCAAGCAGCTTGAGGATGGTCGGACGCTCTCCGACTACAACATCCAGAAGGAGAGCACTCTCCACCTTGGTTCGTGTTTAGATATCATGGCTGCCGTCGTTCAGATTCTGATACGCGACACAGTCCTTCGTCTCCGCGGTGGTATGCAGATCTTCGTCAAGACGCTCACGGGCAAGACCATTACCCTGGAGGTTGAGTCTTCGGACACCATCGACAACGTTAAGGCGAAGATCCAGGACAAGGAGGGTATCCCGCCGGATCAGCAGCGCTTGATCTTCGCTGGCAAGCAGCTGGAGGACGGCCGCACTCTCTCCGACTACAACATTCAGAAGGAGAGCACGCTTCACCTTGGTAAGTGCGGTCGTGCGCGCATTAACGATGATATTGATATGTGCTCCAGTTCTCCGTCTCCGTGGAGGTATGCAGATTTTCGTCAAGACGCTGACCGGCAAGACGATCACCCTCGAGGTCGAGTCTTCGGATACGATCGACAATGTCAAGGCCAAGATACAAGACAAGGAGGGCATTCCGCCAGACCAGCAGCGCCTAATCTTCGCTGGTAAGCAGCTAGAGGATGGCCGCACTCTCTCCGACTACAACATCCAGAAGGAGAGTACTCTGCACCTTGGTGAGTATCCAGTCCCACGATATTCGCGACGAGCGCAGCGCTGACAGCAATTTGCCAGTCCTTCGTCTGCGCGGCGGAATGCAAATCTTTGTCAAGACGTTGACCGGAAAGACGATCACTCTCGAGGTCGAGTCTTCCGACACGATTGATAACGTCAAGGCAAAGATCCAAGACAAGGAGGGCATCCCGCCAGACCAGCAGCGTTTGATCTTCGCCGGGAAGCAGCTCGAAGATGGGCGCACGCTTTCTGACTACAACATTCAGAAGGAGAGCACGCTGCACCTTGGTACGGATCATATTGCCTCGCATACAATACGTATCTAATCGGCATGAACAGTCCTGCGTCTACGTGGTGGCATGCAAATCTTCGTCAAGACGTTGACGGGTAAGACGATCACCCTCGAGGTGGAATCGTCCGACACAATCGACAATGTTAAGGCGAAGATTCAGGACAAGGAGGGCATCCCGCCTGACCAGCAGCGCCTGATCTTCGCCGGGAAGCAGTTGGAGGACGGTCGCACCCTGTCGGATTACAACATCCAGAAGGAAAGCACCCTCCACCTGGTGCTGCGTCTCCGTGGCGGCTTCTGAGCGCACGCCCTGCCTGGTTTATCCTGTGGTTGACGTGTGGTCCTGTCGGGAGGATGGCCGGTGTCTTCACCGTTGTATCATCGTTGTATTGTACATTCTACGCACTGTGATGTCATGACATTCGCTATGTCTGTTTGTTATGTTGTCGTGAGTGATCGGCGTAATGCCTTCGAAGTTCAGCAGGCGACAATTAATTGCAAGACCTGAAAAGGCTTGCGGGATTGTTAACTTGCTTGGTGAGTTGTAGTCCCAAGTGTCTCGCGCATCTACCATACGTCTTACCGTGCACCTCTTTCGCCAGGCACAGCCGCGCTACAAGAATAGCCCAAGCAGTCTCTACAACATACAATTATCCGTCCGTCATGCCGCGCCACAGTAACTAGACAGTAACCGTCCGTCAGTAGCCGTCAATTGTGCACATCCTTCTTCCGCTCCATGACCGGTGGGTGACCTGTAAGTGTCTCTCCTTCCGTTTCGCGCGCGCGAGCTGATTTCGTGTGCCGCGGCCGTACCAGGTACGTATACGCTCGCCCTTGATAGTGATAGGATGAGGAGGCTGTTCGGTTCCAGTGCTGTGATGCGCTGCTTTGTGATACGAACCCCGGGCGCGATAGGGAGTGAGTTTACGTTCTGAGGGGGTGCGGGTGGGGGGCCGGGGCTGACATCGCCAGGCCAGGGACGTAGGAGGGGAGGGGAGGGGAGGGGGCGTATGGTGGGCCCGTTCTCCTGTAAGTTGCGATCGCATATTCGACGAGGCTGATCGATGCGCTGAGCCTCTGTGCAGCGTGTAGCTCGATGTCATAACCAATCAGGGTGCGCCATTTGCGCGGTTCAGGAAATCCTCTGCGCACTGTTCTGCATAGCGCCGATACTTGGGAGACGAAGCTATCAAGTACTACGCGTGCAGGGCAACGGAATCCTGGTGCGCGAACTTGTCAACGCTAATCGTTGATACACGTAGCGAAGGATTGTCGACAGCGTGATTAAGTTCTCGCATCAAGCCATGAACTCTTGTATGTATCGTTTTACCAGACGCTGGTGACTTCTAATCATACGGGTGCAGCGCTGCTATGTGTACACCTTCGTGCAGGTGTCCGGCGCGAACGTCAACATTAGGCAGTGAAACGCGATTGCGAAGAACTGTCGGGACTCGCGGCTGAGAAGCACGCCTCGGAGGGCGGGAGCCCAGGGACGAAACCGATGACGAAACCGACCCCCTCGGTGATTGAAGATACGCTCTGAGTCTGGCCAGTCGCGACTGAAGCCTCAACAATCGGAAGCGGAAGATAGGACGCACTTCGCACAGGCCGCGCGCGATTGGCCACTCGTCAAATTGCATGCGCACACAGGGGTCCACAAAGCAGCGGCCGATGTCAGCCTCGGTGGTCACGGTGCTTTTCTCTCCTGGACTCTGTTCACTGATTGGAGGGCCCTAGGTGGGATGCGACTGGCTTGTTGCCTGAGTCTGGACCAGGGCGATACGTTTGACTGCTCGCGCGAACGGTTGGATGGAATCGTGAAGGGTGCAATGACAGAACGACGGGCGAACATTCCCCCCCGGCACATCCCCCATGGGGCCCCCTTCGTCGACTGCTAGGGGCTTGTTCACCCGCCTCTGATGTGGGGGATTCGCAGGTAGACATGCGTTCTAATACGGCGTACCACTCGACTTGATTTGATTACAGTTTCCACGGCGATGTGAACTAGGTAGAACGACAGACTGGCGCGTTCTCGAGGTTTCTCTTCCGTTACTTGCGGGCCGCCTCGGCCTCGCCCCGGCGATGATGCGCCCACGACGGCTCGGCACCCATGGTTCCTGTCGCGCGCACTACGTTTTTCCGTCGCTCGGTACCAGTCGCCCATTGGCCACTCGACGTTTGGTTGCCGTGCCAGCTGCACTGGTGTACTGTAGCTCCGCGCTCACTCTGCCATGATGCCTGGAAGCTACCGTAGCGTCGGCACGCCAGCAGCACCTGCCAGCTCGTCTTCCCTCGAAAAGCCCCTATCTCAGGCGGTGTCGACGAATCGAGCAGCCTTTTGCAGAGAAATTATGTCTGAAGGAGGAGGTCCAATACTAGGTACACGACCAATTCTATGGCATTCCGTGATGCTAATCGTACTCCGAGGTTCAGGCGGAAACGCAATAGCGGCTGGGCGCCGGAGCAACGTAACTCGACTGTCTTGGATCCGTCCGATTGGTGATTAAAAGCCGCCCGCATAAACATGGCCCGATCCAGATTCAGATCTTACCTGTTCCATGCTTCTGACCCCGTTGAGCAATCCCCGCCGCGCGGGGCGCCTTAAATCTGCCTGCTCGATGGCGTCGTCAAGTCTGCCGTGTTTCTCTCTCTGCGCGTTCCCCTCCAGCTGCCCCCCAGTGCATGTAGGACAAGATGGTGTACGGCTTCGACACCAATCTGGTCACCGTCACCAGCCAGAACCTCCACACGAGCCTGGGGTCTCTCATCATCGGAGGTCTGGTGGCTACTGCGTAAATTATCTCATGTTGTGATCGCAACGGAAAATGCTCATTGATGGGCCTGGCACAGACTCTCCGGTATTGTGTCTATGCAGACTGTACTATATGCCCGTCTGTTCGAGAATGACTCCGGCATTCTAAAGTCTGTGGTGAGTGGCGCTCATCTCGATGCTTCCGCGACTGCAATTTATGCTCCGTGAAGGTCGCGCTTGTGTTGTGGGTACACTTCAATGTTCCAGTGTAAGCATGTCTCATGCTGCGTCCCGGCAGCTTCTTGGATATTCTACATACATGCATGGTGTGGGTGGCCGATTGGGAGTACTTCGTTGCCAGTTTCGGCAATACAGAGATCACGGACCATGTATTTTGGAGTGCTGGGGTATGTTCATTGTTGTCATACACGAGATGGCAGGCTACTCACGTAGAACTTACTTCGCAGCTCACGATAGCTCTCACAGCTATCACGACCGTCACCGTACACTTGTGCGCATTGAATCCCGTCAATCCCTTCGACTTACCGATTTGACACTTGTGCTTCAAGTTTCTTTTCCTATCGGTTGTACCGGCTGAGCAAGGGCAACTGGTTCGTCGTTGCACCTATGGTCATCCTTGCATTAGCGCGAGTCGGTATGTGACTGGCCACAATTTTTCATCACGCATCCGCGCCTAATCTATAACCTCTAGTGTCTGCCATCGGTACGTTCGCTGCTCAATTCAGATACACACGCCGTCGCTGAAACTGTGCCATTCATGAAGCCACCTCTGCGGAACTGTACGTGCTCCATTGACAATTTTCTTTTACTCTGACACTCACAATCACGTTCAGCATCCGCCTTGGGAGCTTCTATGAATTTTATGTACACTACCGGGTAGGCGTGCTTGCCTGTCCTCCCTTCGATGTCTGGCTGAATATGAGTTTGCTCACAGTGGCTGTTCACGCTCGGCCTGGTCCTCTCAACGGCGCTGGACATTATGATTACGGGTAGCCTGTGTCTATATCTCAGAAAAAGCCGGCACGGCGGCAGCGGACGGTAAGTTCGGAACTTTCCTAGGCTGCATAGCGTGTTGACGAGGCGCTTCCAGGCTTGATCATATCCTCAACTCCGTGACGCTGTACACCGTCGAGAACGGCATGATTACATGGTGCGTGTGCTCCAAATCAACAAAATACCGACTATATTTGACTTCTTGCCCCTCCAGTGTTGCTACGGTCTTGTCGTTAATTCTCGTGAGTACCGCGTCCCTTTGAATATTGAAGTGTTGCTCACGAACCGTCTAGTGGCTGGCGAAGCCGCATGCTCTCATTTATCTTGGACTTCACTTCGCTATCAGCAAGCGTACGTTGGCCCATCTATCTCTGATATGCCTACAACTCACACGTCTATCTTATCCAGTCTACGCGAACTCGTTCCTGGCATCGTACGCCTTTGAGATTCGTGAACCGGCTTGCAGTCTAACGCTTGCCGTACAGTATGAACGCTCGCAAGATGCTGAGAGTACAGAACACACAAAGCTCGGGATCAGGCCATCGTTTGCCCGTCATCTTCGCGCACCACTTCACCTCACGGGGTGACCGGCGTTCATCGGTGCGTACCCGTTCATAAGACATCTCCGCAAGACATCAACGTCTCTGACACAGAGGATGACTGCTCTCACCCAGCCCGACGCTGTCGACCTCACTGGAACCAAAGTAATGTCCTTAGTTGGTCATTGGACCATCGCGCTGACATGTACACGGTATTGCAGCTGCAGATAACTGTAGACAAGACGGTGGACTACGTCACGGACGACGTGCCCGTGTCGAGGCACGACCCGGACGAAGGCAAGGTGGAAATGGATATGGGTAAAGCCGTATGACCTCGACACCGTGGTGCACGCACCGCGTCCCTCTATCGATAGGTGTATCCACGGCTAAAGGTACCTATGCCCGACTCGGGGACTCGTATTGTAACTGAGTACAATACCGCCCGACGGAGTGTTGTTGTAACCACCACCGTTTCTCCCGTCTGCTTGCACACGCTACGATACCACTACTTCACTTACTAGGACTGAATGCGGATCACGTCGGACTGGCTGGATGGTGTGGCGCCGGATCATGGATGCAAATTGAATGTCAGAGCTTCGGGTTAGTCTGGAAGCACGATGTGTCTTCTCCCTCGCAGGTTCAGCGTACGGAACCCGTTCTACTAATTGCGTGTGCTCCGTGGAGGCTACGGTGCGTGTATAGGCGCCCATGAGGTAGACTCGTGTGCTGCACGTTCAGCGGAGACTTGCCTCGAGCCTTGCGAACATGGTCGAAGGTATTTAAGGTACATGCACGACGGCCGTTCAGGTAATAGCGCATGGCAGAAGTGCAGACATGCCGACATGCCCTTGCCCATGGAAAGAAGTCATCCGCTTGCGCCCGCTCATCATGCCCGGGACTGGTCGAGAGGATATCGTTGTGGTGTAGAGGGCTCGGTGCTCGGGCCTCGAGGATGCGTAGGCAGGGGTGAGTGCAGGAGAAGAAGGTTTTAGACATACATTAAGTGGGAGGGTGGTCGAGGCACTGCGGGCGAAGGCGTCCATCTGCAGCACGAGGAGACAGGGAGGCAGATAGTCAGTCAAGGCGCAGGCAAACATGCTCGTAGGACCTTATCGTCCGTATCGGATGCCGAGGAGTGAGCTCTGTATAGCTGAGTATATGAGCTTCCCCGTCATCCGCGCATTGACACGAACCCGTCTCCGCCATTCAATCTGCTACGACACTTGATTCGAAGGCAACCACATAACCTACTTTGCCACGGTCTTTCGCATACCATGAGACGCCGCGCTGCCATGCCAGACTTCATCTACGACTTCCCAGCGTACTGGACATCCGCTATATATGAGGACCCCTCGGGGGTGGGCAGCAGCTTCGCGCCGCCGCGAGGTCCCCCCTCATTTCAGCCACGGAAGACTACGTACCACCGAAGTCCTAGTCCCCACTCGCCTCCTTCACGACCACGACCGCGTCGCTCACACACGATGGACTCCCCGCGTAGCCCCCGTACCGAGCAGCCGCCCTGGACGCACGTAGCGCAAACATACGCCTGGGTGCTCGACCAGAGCTTCGCAGAGATGGCGCGCAAGAACGACGAGACCGTCCGCTGGATCATGGAGCAGCAGCGCCGCGACATGTTTCACGCCATGGATGCTACGCGCGAGGCGATGGCGTTCGTGCAGAGCGTAGCCGCTGGGGTTCAAGCTGAGATGGAGGCCGCGACAGGGGCGTATCGCTTTGAGGAAATCTGGACGACGCCGATGCCCGCGAGGTGGAGACAGGAAGCGGAGGAAACTGTGCAGGAGGAGCTAAGGCGCCTGCAACAGGCGCGGCAGAACACGGAACGGTGCCGGAAGGCGTACGAGCGGCGGAAGACAGAGGAGGAGGATATGGAGAGGAGACGAAGCGAAATACTGCAGAGGTCGAAGGAGAAGCGGCAGCAGACGGAGAAGCAGCTGTGGGAGGCGTACGAGTCTCGTTGGGCTGCAATTTCGGGCTCCTCGTCGACGAGGAAACACATCGATCAGCTAAACTTCCGGTCGATACCGTGGCCTATGTTCGGACAGCCGGATAGTGTGGAGGACATCACGCCCGCGCGCATCGCGCTGTTCGTCCTGTCAACTTCCCATTCTGAGGGTCAGTCACGAAAGGAGAGGATCAAGGCTGCGCTCAGAAGATGGCATCCCGATCGATTCGGGCGATGGCTCGCGAGAGTTGACGAGCACGATCGAAGGAAGGTGGAGGAGGGCGCAGGCACCGTCGTCCGTTGTCTTAACGATCTGCTACAAAGGGATAACGACAAGGTGTAGGTAGTCTTGGGATCTGCTTGCAGCTGTTGCGCGTAGGAAGGGAGAAGACGGCCGTCGCCGAGGTTCACCAGTGGCGTCAGGTACGCAGGCTGTAGGAACCGTGTTATATGCAACCACGACACTTTTGTTGGAAGCATCCTTATATCCATGTAGTTCCTATGTTACATGCTATCATCGCTGGCGCTTTCATAGGCTAATAATAAACGAGTCTCGCACCGCTTAGGATTTCACTGTACTATGGATTGTCTTTGAGGTTCGACCTTCGAAGCGCACTGGATCGTTCGTCCTCAATCCAGAATACCGTCACTGGTGTTAATCTGGAATATTTTGACCCAGAATGTGCACGATAAGTACGTTCTTTTGCATGAGGTGGGAGGGTGGCGAGATGAGCGTCGGGAGAGGATGGCGGGTTGAATGACATTGGCGGGCCGACAGTGGACACGCGGCTGGGGAACGCGGCAAGTGGGGTCGCGTGACCGCGTCACTTGACCCTTGCCGCCCAAACGCGGCCTCGAATCTCGATGAAGGTCGCGCACAACGTCGACGGCAGTCCTTCGATGCCGTAGGGGCACAGATCGATATGAGAAGTACTCACTCTTGCTTTACTGCTACCAGGTCCATTCCGACTGCTCGTGGTAGCATTGGTACGGAGATACGGCCGCTACTCCGCGCCGTTCAGGGGAAACATGACCAACAACAGAGAGAACTCGCAGTATGCCCTCAAGTTCGCAGGAGCGGCTCTCAGCAGTGAGTGTATAGGGTTTCGAGTGTCTAGCCGTTGACATATAGAGGCATGCTCCAGATATGGCTGCGTCAGCGGCTACTAATCCGTTAGATATGTAAGTCTCATTGCAGATGGCCATGGCTCACGCAAGTGAACACGACCAATTCGATCTCTAGCGTGAAGGTCAGACAGCAATTGCGCACACAATTGCCTGGAGCTCGCTCCAATGCTTTCTGGACCGTAGGCGTCGAGATGGCACGCACGGAAGGCGTATTGAGCCTCATGAAGGGCTTCTCGGCGAGTATGCTCCGGGAACTCGCATATTCCGGTATGCGGCTGGGTTCATACGAGTACTTCAAGGATGTGTGCGTTTATTGAGTTACTGTTGCGTGAAGCAAGACGCTGATGGGGTGTCACATACTACTAGGCTGTATGACCAGTCACGGGGCGCGCTGAGCAGGGAGGGAATTGGGTTGAAGGTGGCTGCGGCTACAATCGCGTCTGCGATCGGGTCGTGCGTGTCTTGTTACCAATGAGCATGTTATGCATACTGAGTGCGTCATAGAGCCGTTGCGAATCCGACAGACTTAGTCAAAGGTTGGCCCACTACTACTCTCCCCATGGTTGCACATCTGATACCTGATTTTAGTGCGCATGCAGGCCTACTATCCTGACGGAGGCCCATACAAGAACATGCGGCACGCGTTTGCGACGATATGGAAGGAGGGCGCAGCACCGACCACTGCATCAGGCCCTAGCTCTATGTTGGGCGGTCTCCGCGCGCTCTACCGCGGGGTGAATCCGACCACCGTGCGCGGGATCGTGCTGTCGGTGTCGCAGATATGCTCGTACGATCAAGTGAAGCAGGTATTGAAGCGTCGGAATCTGATGCAGGAGGGAGTGGGCCTGCACTTTGTGGCGAGCATGGTTGCTGGGTGAGTTTTAGATAAATTGCAGCCTGAGAGAACAGCGAGAGCAGGTCGCTGACATATTGACCTGGACTTGGTAGGCTTGTCTGCTCGATCACCTCTAATCCCGTAGGTGGGTAGCACTGTACTTTGCTCCGGAGAAGTCGAGACTCACATACGCGCTTATCGTCTAGATGTCGTGAAGGTACGACTCATGAACGACAGCGAACGCGAGTTCCGCGGCGTGTCCGACTGCGTGCGGAGCATCATGACCCGGGAAGGACCCCTTGCGTTCTACAAGGGCTTCGGTATGTGTTGGGCACGCGTGAGTCAGGATCCCTTACGTAGATGTAACCAATTTTCACTGATGGCACTTGAGCGTAGCTGGGACTACACACGGTTCTGACCTTTGTTGTTTTTGAGCGATTGCGGTTCTTGTTCGGGGTCGGGGCGTTGTAATGGGATAGTATTGTATGCATGTGATACTACACCATCGCCCGGACCGCCTTTGTACTTCTGAATGGCTTCTGAACACCTTCTCGACGGACCATGCGATTGAATACAAGGCATTGCACTGAAATTGTAGTGGAGTAAAGTGGTCGCTCCCAGCAGACAACAACTATGAGTAGGCGCCCTCCCAATTCCCACGCGCACGACGCGCGCGGCGCTGTCTTCTCACGTGACCGTGACTACGCGTGGCTCATTGTTCACCGTTTCGGAAGTACAAGCAGATTGCTTCTTGCATCGCATCCACCACTAGCAACGTCGACTGTCCATTGTCTCTGGCTGTGTCTATCTGCCTATACCCATATAATTTGCCGATAGTCAGCAGATCAGCCTCCGTAACTCGTCTCTGCTCTCTCCAACCCGTTGTTCATCTATTCTGTGCTATAATCTTGGGCTAATTTATAGGTATACGTGAAATCCGCGCGATCGTCCCTCGTTCCTGGAAGTGATATGAGTAGTGATTCGTCGTAAGTGTTTGAGTCATATATAAGCGGAGGAAGCGTGCGACATAGCAGCTGTGTGCTCGCCATGGCCTCTGCTGCTATTTCGTTCAGTTTACTTGAAGTTGATCACGAAACTGACATATCTGGTCTCATACAGAAGAGAGAATTCACCTGTGAGTTTATTGAGCGCGCTCACCTTCTGTGCACCAGGATTGATCGTCTTCTCCACCAGAGACGGTACCGTCGTCCTGCGTCCCCACGTTCGGACGATGAGTTGTTCAACGCTGCTAAATCACTCTCGTCCTTCCGTGCAACACCGCGCACCGTTCAGCAGCAGCATTATGCATCTGATTACCCGCAACATTCTCACCGACCTTCAAGCTCCTACCAGAGTGCAGGTCCACCGTCCACGTCTTACCAGCAAGCCGGATCGGCATCTACGTATCAAAGCGCTGGGTCGTCTTCCATGCCCTATTCGAGGTCTGGGCCGGGATCTGGGGCGTATCCGAGTACTACTGCACGGACATCTGAGTCCTACCCAACCACACATCCATCGTCTACCTCAACGTCTCAGCCTGCCGCACCACCTTCATCTTCACGCCCGCCGGCCAGCTTCAGTTACAACACTCCTACCACCGTTCCTTATTCTTCCTCGCGCCCAACGCAAACAGTCCCGCAACCATCTCAGTCGACTGGCTATGATGTACCACAACCGGAGAAAAGTTCGAAGAAGAAGAGCTCGGGTTCGAAAGGAAAGGAAAAGGAAAAGGATAAGCACAAATCAAGCTCGAGCTCGTCCAAGAAGCACAAGGACCGAGATCCGTCACGGGCGCAGAACCCGTATACCGCCGCTACGAGCCAGGCTCCTGGTCCACCCCCATCGTCGCATTATCCGATGCCTCAGCCTCCCATACCTGGAACCCAGACCGCATTTCGGGTGCACAGCTATGTAAACGACCCGCGGGCGGGTCCATCACCGACGCCTTCGTCGAGGGGCCCGTACTCGTCCGACTTCCGGGCGACACCTCCAGTACATCCGGATAATTCTGCAAGCGCCTCGTCGCACCGTACGTCGACGCATGGACCCCCCGTGCCTATGTATGGTGGTCCAGCTGTGACATCCCCGGGTTCAGGCATGAGCTACCAGGACGAAGAGAGACGCTCGTACTATCGACACGATTACGAGAAACAGCGGGACTCTGCACCCGCGAACCGTCGCCAGACCACCAGCAGCGGTAGCAGCGCACGTCATGACTCTCCTGCATATGCGCATCCTTCCAGTCATCACACGTCTGCTCCGCCTCCGAGTGCGGCTGCATATACGTATCCCGAGCCCAGCGTCCACCATTCCAGTAACAGCCACGACTATGTGCCCCCTCCACCCTACCGCGCACCGAGTCCTGTGCCAGAATATGCACACTATGAACCTCCTAGCTTCCAAATGGAACACTATAGGGCGCACTCACCCGGCCCACCGGCGAGCAACAGACATAGTTCTCCTGATCGTCACCACCGCTCTCGATCCCACAGACACGAGCAGGAGTCTTACTCTCATCGTGACACCCGCCCTCCGTCGTATCGTCACTCCAGTCCCCCACCCCGTTCAGCCGAAGTATATGTGCCGCGTCCTGAGTCAGGTTATGCTGCGGCACCACCACCTCCACCCTCGGCACCAAAGCCCGTACATGTCAGTTCCCTCGAGCTCGGTGGGGTACCCACAAGCACGCGCGTTTTGCGGACTCTGACCTTACTCGTCGAGGACCAGCGTCGCAGCGTTGCTGGACCGAACGGGGAACCTGTGAGCATGCTCGCAGAAGTGCGGGTGCCCCTCAAACAGGCAGACAATCCGGAGGATGGGTACTGGGCGAATGCACAGGAGGTCTCGGATGAGCTGCAGGCGGGGCCATCAAGGATTGACGGTGAGTGCAAGTCTTGCACGAGAGTCGCCATCATTGAAATGCTGACGGCTTCTGATCCCACTGTACAGGCCGCGCGAAGGTGTACGCCATGCGAGGTCGATTTCGCCAATACTTCCTGCGCATCACTCCAGAGAACGGTCTAGAGTGCGATTCTGCGAATTTGAAGTCATCGCTTGAACGAGTCCTCGAACTGTTCGTTGAAGACGTCAGTATTCATTCTGCTCACGTTGTTTTTGTCTACTGAACAGTGGAAACTAGTTGCCACCAGTAACGACTGCTCCACCGGCACCAAGTCAAGCTCAAGGCCAAAGCCAAGCATATCCTTATGCGTCTCCGCGCTACGAACGTAGGCCCTTGACGCCTGTGGCGGACTCTGCGCCTGCGCCTCCACCTCCTCCAGCGCGGATGGTCACGCCGCCACGACTGCCACCACCTGTCCCCGCTCATCAATATTATTCCACGGTGGGGGAGCAAACGCCAACTTCAGCACCTCGATATCACTACGAGAGCGATCCGCCTCCACGAAAGCCGAAGAAAAGGCATCGGTCACCGCGCTCCTCGATCGTTAGCTATGCACCGCCGCCATCAGAAGTGTCGGCCGCAGCCGCAATACCCTACGAGCGTCAGCAGCGACGGTATGAGTCGCCACCGTCTGGATATGAGTCGGGCGCACACATGTCTTCCGTCGCACCAACCTCGCCGCCGTCGTCGAGGTATTCCCCAGTGTCCTACTCGAAGTCGCCCCCACCGCCCGCCTCTGCTCCCACCGTCCATGTCATCCCGCCTTCGCGGAGAATGTCGCCCTCGCCTACCCCTCGATCTCAATATCGCGCTAGCGAATTCCAGGGCTATCATAGCGACACAACCCCGTTGCCAGGACCTTCGTCTCCCAAGAAAGCTAGACATAGACGTGAGGAGGGCGGATCCTCTGGTGCGACTGAATACCGCAGACGAACGCCTCCCATGCAGACTGCAGTCCCTAGTATATCATATACTCACCCGCCGGTTCCTATGCCATCTGCAAGTTCATCATATCGTCCTCCATCGGCAACTGTGCGACCTCCAAGTGCATCATATCCACCACCGGCGCGCACTCCCATATTTACCCCGCCTCCCGCTCAATCTCCCGTGGCCACCGCATCCGGCGCATCCGGCCTAGCGTTGCCAACCCCATCTCAGGCCACTGAGAATCCGACTACGAAGCAGACTTCAGCAAGCAATGCACCTGGCGCACCCTCCCAAGAGCCGACAATCGAGTACAGCGAGGAGGTCAACATGGCCGTGGGCATGTACCTACGTGGACTTTTCACAAAGGACACAGGATGGGACGCTTTCGTGAAGGGGCGCAACAGCCGTCTGAAGATGTCGCAACAGCTTGACCAGTATCGCTACGTGACGGGCAAGTTCGACGAGTATGTGGGAATGAAGACGTCTGCAGACGTGGCGGGCGCAGCAGGTGTGACCATCAATAAGGTGCGTGTATACAGATAGGTCCTGTATCGGGTGGCTCTCACAGTGGAAGCTAACCATTGACGTTCATTTACAGACCCAAGTCATGAAGGCGTTCAACCTGCCTGTGTCGTGGGCGGAGGAGGGCCTCGAGGCGCTCGCGCTGACCGGGATGTACGGGCCCGGCGGATCACGATCCGAAGACGCGAAGGTTGTCGCGATGCTCGACGAGGTGCCGCCGACAACGACGGGCATTCAGCTGAAGAAGTTCCTCTCGCTGTTGAGGGAGATACACAGTCGCTGGACGATTGAGCATCCTTAGACTGGCCGGAAACATGAGGCGGTCGCTATGCACTGTGAATTCAGTGCGTTGTTATATCGGATGCCGAAATGATCTCATGGATTAGAACGAGGCAAGATTATGTATAGGGTATGGACGATGAGAATGACGAGGGTTGTAATCGGTCCCGTTGATCCCAAGCCCACAGTAGAAATGCATTCACCAACATTGTCATTCTACCCAAGCACGTTACATGGTATCAAGAGCGTTCGGATGGGAGCCGCAGGACCGTCCAGCGTGCTCTAGTCGTAGAAAGCGAGCATCCTGAGCTCAATGGACTCTCTGAGCGGGGCATCCTTCGGCGTCGTGGGATCCTGGAAAGCAGTGTGCGGCGTCAAGATGGCAGTGTCGTTCTCCGACTTGGAGTCGTAGCTGCGCGGCTCTTTAGCCTTCAGTCCACGCCTTACAATTCGAAATTCTCACCACTTGATCAGGACATATTCCTCCGGCGTCATGCCCCGGAGATACTTCCACTTGTGGTTCGGGTTGAAGAGCACGCCGTTCGTCTCGCCCGTCATGTTCTCGTAGATGAGGTCGGTCGGAACGAGGTCGGTCTTCGGGTCGACGCTGCGGTAGTCGCACAGCGCGAGCGGCCAGTCGTACGCCGGACGCCCGATGGGGCGCCAGAGGTTGATGATCTGGAAACGGCCTCCGAGGAGCGCGGGCACCTCCTCGGCGGGGAGGTGTCGCTGCACACGCGCGGTGGCCGACGCGGCAGTCTGGTCGACGTGCACGTTCGGCACGGGCTGACGCCTCTCGGGGGAGTCGTCGAACTCGCCCGGGCGACGGCGACGGATGGCTAAGTAGCATGGCGGGCGTCAGCGCTGCTCATCCCGAATAGAGGGGAGGGGGTTTCGCTGGCACTCACTGTGGTCGAAGGGCACAACGCGGCTGGCGCCGGTGATCTTCTTCAGGAGCTCGATGCTCTCTGGGTAGTACTCGGCCTTGATGTCGTCGTCGCTCGTGAACGCCTTGTGAGCGGATGGGCTGCGGCCGTAGTGGTAGCCGGCGGTGTCGAGCGTCACCGAGTCCTCCTTGCCGCGTAGGTTCTCGATCTGCACGATGTGCTCCTCGGGCACCCAATTGATGCGCCGCTCGCCGGTGACGGGGTCGTTGTTGACGTGAGTGTAGGGCTTCGACCCATCCTTGGGAGGAGAGAAGTAGAGGAGGTGGGCGTCGACAAACTGCGGTTCGGCGGACATGGGGGAGTATCTGCGAAAGGCGCTAAGAGTCAAGGATGGGGCTTTGAGAGACAGTAGAGTGCTGCGAGTGCTTGAGTTCAGCAGCGTGCTTGCGCAGCGTATATATACTGCCATACTCGCCTCCGATGCTCTGAACCGGATATGATTACATTTATGACGTGCTTCTAGATGGTGGCTGACAAACCTTATGCACTCGCTCACTAAGGTCCTCGTCGCGCTGACAGACGGTCTAGTCATGAGAAAGGAAGTAGTAGCGGCGACATACGTTCTCCGGGAAGTACATACGACCGCAGAACGTATCAGATCAGCGCTGTGGCCTCGCCTTGTCTACAGTTTAGGACTGAGGGTTTCCATCATGGCGGCTACATGTCTTCGAGGTGTCCCGTGTATGACACAGCAGCGCTTCCAGTCTTGCGGCTCACCTGCACCACCTGTTATTCTATGCAGAAGGTTTGAACGCTAGAGTGGGGATTGAGCAGCAGTGTTTCGGGTAATGCATTCCACAAGAGCCCAGATACCGCCCCAGGGAAGCAGTGTACGCATACGAGGGATCCTTCAGCCCTATAGATGACAGCATACGTACATAGTGGACAGCAGGTTCAGTCATCCGTCGGTACATTATGTAATGCGTTATGTATCGGCACGCGACCTCGTGACCGCGTCCACACCTCGCGTCGCGTCGCGTTGCCGTGGTGCCACGGTGGTGGCCAGCTTCCTCACAAGCGCGTACATAGATTTCCGTAGTATTTTTCTACTCTAGACAACGGTCGTTGAATAATTTCAGACTGCAAGCATTTCTTACTTCCCCGCGACAGTCTCCCTGTAGTACACTGTAATAAGTACCGGACCAGTCGCAGGATGTCTGCTGAACTGAGCACACTGTATGCCACACGAACTGCTTCACACGTTGCAACCAGAATCGTTGTGTTGATATCGTAGTTTGGTTTTATGTTCGTGCAGTGCAGTGAAAGCACTGCACAGTTGAATGCAACGCGCCCCGCTGGATGTATGCACCTCTCGCCCGACGCATTAGATCACGGGACAACCTGTCAAACTGGCTGTATGCGACCTGGGAGAGACCAGGCCTTCCAAAAAATCCTCATCCAGAAGTCATCCAGCAAGATCTACCGCAAAATATGGCGTGCGGAAACCCTGCAGCTAGTGAGTCGACACACCGGACGTAGTCGATTGAAGATCGCTCGTACTTACCGGTACTCTAGCCGGTCGTCGATGCCGCTTCAGATTCAGATGACTCTTGTGATATGTCAGTGCTTCAACATCATGTAAAGGATGTTCGTCGCCTTTTCGAAGAAGCGATAGACCATTCCAGACAGCTCGAACAACTTGAATCCAGACAGCTCGAACAACTTGAATCCAGACAGCTCGAACAACTTGAATGTCTGCATGCCAGCTTGGCAGAGGCACGGGGGGAAATCAGCGAACGTGTACGTCGCAGTGCCTAATAACTCCATCTGTATCTCGACGGGAAACGCGCAGGACGAGACAATCAAGAAATTGCAGGAGAAGCTGAAAACATGCGAGCAGGAATTGGTGGCGGAACGGGCGCAGATGCAGACCTACAAAGCTAGAGTACACGAACTCACAGCCGGGATATGTTCGGAGTGTGACACTACAGCCGAAAACGTATGTGTGCTTCTTATCTCAACTCAAGGCAACGACGATATTGATGCGCCGATGGACTGCGATATAGTGAAGCTCGACATAGACAGGTCGCAGTTCAGTCGGCTCTTGCACCGCAGGCGCCGCCATTCTGCTCTCCGCCGAGTCCCCGTGTACGTGTAAGATACAAGCAGCAGTGTACGAAGCAGTATTGTGTAGGTCCCGCAAGTACAAGACCTTCGCGGGGACCGCTAGTGGTGATCCTTAAGCATGCATGACAAACCAGTGAGGGCGAGCATTTCTGGATCAATCGAGTGTGCTGTCTAGACAAGTACTGGTAAGTATGTATGCGAGATATTGATGATGCTTCGTCCTGCACGTGTGCCTTGAGGACTGCCTCCAAAGCTCGTCTCTGGAGAGGCGATGAAGTACGTCGTGGACTCTCGAGAGTAGACGTTCAGCAGAGAGAAACCCCGCTTTCATAATTTGAAGATTGGATTCTTGCCCCGGTATTGCCGGAGTGCTGAGCGCCGAGATCTCAGATCTCAGATCGAGGTGCCCCGGTGCCACTGGCAGCTAGTGGCACCAGAACAGTGGACAATGCAAGCCACAGACGCGCCATGTTGCTTGGATTCGACACACAGCCCGCCCTTGTCACATTCCTCCTATATAAACATGCGTCTCTACGGCTCAACTTACCTGTATCTATCAACGAACCATTCTCCAGCCAAACGTCCGCCTTAAGGCGTGGCGGGTAGTATCAACCTTTAGGTTTTTGGGCGAGAACAAAGCAAAGGTGGGCGCGGAACTATCAGCTTTCTTGGGCATGCAGCTGACGTACTATCCGGCTCTGTAGCCACCGGGGTATCGCGATGCCAGCCGTCAAGAACGCCACTGACACCCCAGTCCGAGTAGAAAAGGAGTACGTTGCTCCTCATAGAGCGGAGACAGTATGGACGACGTGCGCAAACCAGGTCAGACGTGGCCTTCCTGTGATCGACTTTGTACAGTCGGTATGGGCATTCACGCCTGACATGATACCCCGCCCACAAACCGGACGGCCATACAAGCTCCGGTACGATCTCCTCCGCGCGTTTGCCTACGAGGAAGAGCGCAAGTCCTTCACAGCACTTGCGCACTTGATGGAAGATATTCTTGCCCAGCTCTCAAAGGAGAACAATGGCTACCTGCGCAGGACGCACGCGAAGGTCGTCAATGCACGCGCCACTCGGGATCGGTCGATGGAGGGTGACGGTGGCACTAGGCCGGACTTGACGTGGACGATGTCTTCACCAGAATCCATGCGCGCCTGGAGGGAAGTCTGGGAGAACTGTCTAGCGTTCGTGGAGGTCAAGAAGACGGGCATTAACCTCCGGAGAATAGACTCAGACATTGTGGTTGACCTCTCGTCTTTGTCCCTCGCCTCAGGTTCGACGCCGGAGCCAGACACACCTGTGGTCAACGAAACGAAGAAGCGCAAGAGGACAGATGACTCCGCACCGGTCGAAGACGAGGGGCCGCACAAGCGGCGGCGCGGCCTGCACGTCACATTCGCAGTGGCTCACAACGCGAGTCGTCTGCATGATGACGAGTTCCACGCCGCTCTGTACATCACGGAGATGATGTCGCGTCACGTCCGCTCGTTCTCCTCTGGCTTCTCCATCCTCAAGTCAACCGTCACGCTGTGGTACGGCGACCGGATGGGACTTGTGGCCTCCGAACCATTCGACCTCCTCAAGGAGCCGGACAAGTTCCTCCTAGTCGTCGCCGCGCTCGGGTCTGCTGGCATGCACGAGTTCGGCTTTCCGCCTTTCTTCGAGGGGACGAAGGTGATGTTTCCGTCTGGCACGGCTCGGGGACTTGACGGCTCGCTGCTGAACGAAGACCTCGCGTTCGAAGTCCAGACAGACCTGCCAACGTACAAAAGGTACGAAGCCGTAGGGAAGGGTACTATGGTCATCCCGGTCCGGGCGACGGGAAACGCAGAGAGCAAGTTCGGCAGTGGCGTCCTCGTCGCCAAGCGGGCGTGGTCGCTGAGGTCCTCGCCGAGCGAGGCGCGAGCTATTAAGACCGTTATCACAGCGTTGCGAACGCACGCACCACGCTACCTCAAGTACGTTGCGGACCTCAAGTGCTATGTCGAACAGACCGCCACCGAACACAATCTTCCGAGAGTGTTGATGCTGGGACTCATGGAGAAGGAGCGATGCTACCGTCTCATGGTCTCGAGACGGTACGAGCCACTGCAGAAGTTGAAAAGCGCGGCTGAGTTTGAAAAGGTGTTCGTAGACACGGTCCGCGGTGAGTGAGCTACAAACCCTACCTTTGTGCCACACGGCTGATCCGCGCATACAGCCCACCGGTGGGTGGCGGAAGTGGCGAACTACTTGCACGGCGACATCAGCCGCAACAACCTCATGTTCCACCGGCAAGGCGAGGAGGTCATCGGCATCCTGTGCGACTGGGACGCCGCGCACGCCCGGGACCGCGTCGACGAAGCCGTGTACGACCTCGACCCGCCCGAGGACGTGCTCAAGTCGGGCGTGAGCTGGTGGGTGTACGACTGCAAAGGCAAGCGGTACACGGGCACGCCCGCGTTCATGGACATCGAGCGGCAGACGGGCACGGCGCCCCACCGGTACGAGCACGACCTGGAGTCGTTCTTCTGGGTGCTCCTCGACTTCCTCAAGCACTTCGATCCCGAGGACGCGGTGTTCCACGACGACCCACTCACCGGGTCGTGGGACCACGAGGACCGTGCAGTGTGGAAGGTGCAGTTCCTGCTCGACAGCACGGCCTCCTTGCGGGTCAGGACACACGTGCACGACGATTTCCTATCGGTCTTTGACGAGTGGGTGCCGAAGTTGCGCACCATCTTCCTCTCTGCTTTCCGGGCGAGGACGGACCACCCGAGCGAGACGCTGCTCAGGCAGCTCCTCGAGGACGCGACGCATGCAGGAGATGACCAGGCACAACTCGATCTGAGCACGAAGCTCGAGTGCAGGATTAAGAAGAGGAAGGAAATATTGTCGTACAAGACATTCATGCACGCCCTGAAAGCGCCACTTGATGTCCCCGAGTAGTCGGTGACATACTTACTAGCGATTCGGCTTGATGCCGTTGTTCCCCATTTTTATCAGTATCTATACAATCGGCGCAGAAGTCGTATACCCTCCATGAAACCTTGAGCTCCACATGGTTCATGCAGTACCAGCTGTCCGACGACCTTGGGCGCCGGATGAAGTCTTCACTCAGACAAGAAAGCAAGGGATACATTCACAGTGCATAGATACATTCCTGTCAAGCGAACGATAGTTGTGCAACGTCCCTGGCCAAAACTCTAGAGGCCTCCAATCCAGCTCCAGCAGATTACAGTCCATGATGATACATGTCGAGAGATTCTGACGTACATTTGTCGATACTTACACGCCATCGTGGAAGTCTAGAGACGCATTACGGTCTGGTCCGCATGCTCAGGGAGTGCGGAGGAATCGTCGAACACGAACTGCGTCAGCAAGGGTCAGCTACAAGGCCACGAGAACGCCATGTACGATTAATCACGCACGTCCTGTTCAGCGGCTTTCGCAGCCATCCTGCGCAGGATCCCGCCAATACCCGAGCCTTCGCAGGACCCCAACTCCGGCGCAAAGCTCGAGTGGCCATGGCCGTCCGGGATGCGGAAGACGGGGCCCGATTGCTGAGCCTTTCAAACGCGTCAGCCTCCACGGCAACCGAGCTCGACGGTCACCTACACAAACATCCGCGCGCAACGTGCGCATCTCGCATAGCGTCCCGTTCTTGCACGCGCCCTCGCACGGCCGCCTCACGAACTCCCGCCCGCGGTGCTTGTGCGCGATGTACGTCTGGAACGCCGTGTCGTTCTTGTAGAAGACCTCGGTCAGGTTGTGCCAGAACGCCGGGCTGAGCGAGGCGTTCGGCGGCAGCGCGGGCACGAGGGGCGCGTAGTCCCGGCGGGCGCTGTACAGGAGCTGCCACGTCGCTGTGTTGGGTTAGGGTCAGGGTAGTGTCCGCGCTGCATACGGAGGACTCACGGTTGAGCTGGTAGTTCGGGTCTGAGATGTTAGCTGCGGATGGGATGAGTGTCAAGGTCAAGGCGAACGCGACGGCGGACGCGCACTGTAGTAGCTTCGCACGTCCATGAGCTCGTACGTGTCCGGGTCGATGTCATACATCTTGAACGCCGGGTTCCCACCTGCAACACCCGCGTCAGCCCCCAACACCCCTCAACACTGAAGGTTAGACCCAACCACTCACTCATCGGCGTCATCGCCGGCCCGATCATCGCTACGCTCACCGCGTTCTCCGCCGTGCGCGCGCTGTAGTTCGCGTACCCGATCGCGAACTCGTCCGCGTGCGTGTGCCCGTAGAACTGGCCGGCGATCGTGTGCTTGTAGCGCTGGACGACCTGGTCGAAGTACGCGGACTGGTCGCGCACGACGTCGCCGCGCCCGGGCGGCATGTGCGCGACGATCCACGCGCGCTGGCCGGCGTCCTCCGCGGCCTCGAGCTGTTCCACGAGGAAGGAGAGGATGCCGTTCGGGTCGGGTCTGCGGGCCCTGTGAGCTCGTTTGTCGCGATGGAGGATGAGCGATGGAGACGCACTGGTGCTCGTCGCTGTCGTACAGCCAGAAGCTAGGAACGGGGGATGAATCTGATGCTGGACGCCGAGATGCAACGGTAAAGAACTCACTTCTGCTTGTACCAGTACTGCGTGTTGACCGAGATAACTCTGTAGATTGTGCTCAGTACATTTGTCCCACCAGGCATGTGATATGTGTATTCACCGAAGGTCCATGCCGGGCGCCATCACGGCATAGCTCCCTGAATGATGTTGTATTTGCGCTGTCGCGTTCTCACCTATCCATTGCTGCAAAGCTTAAGAGTGAGCTGGGCCTCGACGGACGGACATACTCGACACGCACACCCCAGCCTTGCATTTGCGCGTTGAACACGAAGTCGGCGGTGATATCATGCTCTGTCGTATCTCGCGGGAAACTGTTTGTTGGTGCGGACTCGCTAAAGCACGCCAGTGAGGACTAGGCGAACATACCACGAGTCGAAGAGCAACGTACTGATTACCTGTAGCACGTGGAGAGCGTCAACATGATAATGATACTTGTGAATGCAGACGGACCTAGGGCAGGGAACAGAGGTGCACTCAGCTTCTGCGCAAACTGATCCGTGAATTCGAGCATATTCCTCGGTACGTTCCTGTCAACCCAGATACTCAGTCTCGTTCTCAGCCAAGACTGGGACGGAGATTCACGTACTCTTCGTCTACGTCCCACACGGCATGGTCGATCACGTCCCCGGTGAAGATCGAGAATCGCGCGCCCGCACCGAGCCTCTCCGCCGCCTCGAGCATGGAGTCTGCGAGCAGGCCCGGGGCGTCGCACGTCCGCATGCCGAGGGGTAGGGCAGGCGACTGGACGTGTTTGGGCCGCTCGCCAAAGTCCCGGCAGCAGATGGGCTTGGTGCACTTCGCCTCCGAGTTGAGCTATGGGCAAACGGTGAGGTCTTGCTCGTCGTTCCCATCCGCTTGACTACCCCCCCCCCCCAGACGAGCACAGGTACTCACCGTGTACTCCCTATCGATGTGCACGTCACTGAAGTGCATGGCCTTCACCGGCTCGCGTCCACGACTCTTCCACACCCTCTGCACGTCCGGTATCGGCTTGGGGAAGGGCACCAGCCAGGGCGTGACGGGCGGGAGATCGCACATGCCAAAGACGGCATCGCAGAACTTGGTCGCGGTGTCGCCGAAGAGGGAGAAGTGGCGGAGGTCGTGCGCGAGGATGGGGCCCTGCGTGCGGATCGCGCCCTCGCACACGTCGGCGTCTTCGATCTGCCCGAGCGCCGGGTCAGTCTCAGTCTGCGCGCGGAGACGGAGACGGGGACGCACCTTGAGGTCGATGCATGCTTGGGTGATGGTCTGCACGAAGCGTTCGTCGCCGAGGGCGGCGAGGGCCTTGAAGGTGGGCAGCGACGAGTGGCATGTCGCGCAATCTACGACGCCGGTGAGCGCGCGCTCGACCACGTCGACAAGCCCGGCAGCGGCGAGCGTCGGGAGCAGCAACGCTGTTCGCAGGGCGGCGCGCATCGTCGGGGTCGGGCAGGCTCTGCAGAGAAGGTCGCCGTGCGTCCTGCGGTCGTCAGGGAGGCTGGCGAGTCGCTGATAGCGCGAGGTCGGAGTGCGGGTGGTGTAGCCGCTGCTAGGGCGTCCGCGGTCGGTGGCAGCTGTCTCCTGGCGATGGTGTTGCACTGCCCGTCAGGCAGGCCGCAGCGGGTGTGGGATAACAGGGCGGCCGGGGAGCCCATGCCTCGGTAGTCGATGTACAGTAAGCTCCCCGGGTCAAGGGTGAGCAGAGAATAGATACCAACAAGATTCCGTACCGGGGCGATGCACGCACGTTCTCACCATGTACATGCCTACGCACAGTCAATGTTCCGTAGGCTCTCGCGAAGGTCTGATCGCGGTCTGCCACTGCCCGTAACGCTCTGCTGTATGTGCCGGTCCAAATTCCGTTGAGCATACAAGAGTGCCCATGAATCAGATTGCAGAGTCTGAGTAAGTAGTGCATGGTGCATGAGATGCAGGCGGTCAAGCAGACGCCCGTCGTAAGTACTCGACGAAACCGGTCTATAATCGGATAATAGTCGGGCTCTATGCACAGTGAAGGCAAGATCGCGGGCAACGTCAACCAGAAAGTGCATCGTTCTGAGCACTGCTTTGTCGCGCGACAGATAGATACATAACACAGTGAGGAGGCAAGCTACAAGGTGACAGACAAGTCATGTACAAGAATGCGAGGACCGTGAGTCGGCCATGGTGAATAGTACAAATGAGTTACAGCTTCCTTCTATCAAACAAGACACAACAGCAATTGCTCCGAACTTTGGGGTATGCCTGCGGGGTGCGGGGTGCGGGGTGCGGGGTGCGGGGTGTGTGGTGCAAGGAGCGGGTACGAGACCTAGCCAGAGTCCAAGAGACAGCGTCAACGTCAAGGCCAGGTCCACGAATAATAATCGTTAAACAGTAACGAGCGGCCGTCGTCGTGGCATTGTAGCGATCGAGAGAGCGTCAGGAGCGAAGAGAGGGAGGGTATCGGTATCGGTATCGTCTTCCGAGTCGTGTTTCGTTTCATCATGCAGGTCCTTTCCACGTCCGCGTCCGCGTCAGCGCCCAGCGAGGACGACGCTCTTCACGGGCACGCTAACCGAGCCCCGCCTCGCCTGCCCCTTCGCACCCGCAGCCCGGGCGTCCTTCCCCTCCGCGCCGCCTTCCTCCTCCGGCCTGCGCCGGGGCCTCGCCCGATGGTCCTCCACGACCGCAGGTATCTCCCCGCTCCGCACGAGGTGGTGCCAGTACAGCACGTCGCCCGCCCTCAAGCGTTGCGCGTCCGGCCCGGGGCGCGACACGTCCGGCGAGGGCGGCACGCGCGTCGGCGGCGGCGGCGGCGGCTGCGGGGACGCCTCCTCGCGTGTCCGAGCCCGGCCCGCCGGTGCGCGGACCTGGCGCAGGTCCAAGAGCGGCGCGCGCTGAGCGGCGTCGAGGGGGAGGTCGACCACGAGCGGCGGCGGGAAGCGCGCGGGGGAGAGCGTCGGGCGGGCGCCGCGCGGGGCGGCGGGCGACGGCGGGGCGGACGTGTCCGACACGGAGACGAGCGACGGCATCGAGTCCGTCGACTCCGTGCGCTCGCGCTCTGAATCCCTCGCCTCCGCGCTCGGGCTGAGACTGAGGCTCGGCCGCGCGTGCCGCGCGACGGTCTCGCGGTGCCGCCGCAGGTCCGCTAGGAGGTCGCGTTCCGGGCAGGGCGCGGGCGCGGGCGGCGCGCGGTACGGGTGCACGCCGCGCTCGCCGGGGACGTGCCCGCGCTCGCCCGCGGCGACCTCGCTCGCGTAGAACACGAAGCGGTGCCCGTTCGTCGCGCGCTGGCTCGCGCTGATGCTCGAGGTGCACCGCGCGCACGGCGTGACGATCGTGTACCCGACGCCCGCGCCGCACGTTGTGCAGTGCAGCGACTGAGTAAGGCAGTCGCACGTCCGCGGGACGGCATTCGGCGGGAGAGCGTAGGACGGCGAGCTTGAGCTGGGCGAGACTGGGGGGAGAGGCGAGGAGGAGGAGGAAGACGAGAGAGACGGTGGGGACGCGAAGATCGGCGAGGTGGGCGACGGGGATGTGGGCGATGGAGAGGGCGACGGGGAGGGTGCCGTATAGGCAGCGCAGTTGACCGGGAGAGCGTCGGTCGAGTAGAGTGGTACGTTGGGACGGAGGAGCAGAACAGCCTTGAAAGGTTTGTCATTAGTCTCCTTGATTCGGTAGTACAGATGGAGATGCGGATGTGTATCGGACGTGGACGTGGACGATCCGAGCTCAACGTCACTGCGCCTAATCCCGAAAAGGCTAGCATGGCATTGTGCGCAATGTACATTACATCGCCCGCGCTGTACACGGCGTAAGGTACAAATAGCGTAACAGACAGGCGCGTCGGGCGACTTCGACTTTGAGCTACTCGACCTGGATCGTGGTGCGGCAATCTGCAATGAGGCAGCACCCGCCTCGTGTCCGTAGTTGTAGGCCGGAGCATGATTCTCCCGCATGCCTCGGTCAATTATGACGTGCTGACGTCCACAGGGATCTACACTGGCACGGTACTCGAGGAGTTGTTGTCCAGGATGGCGAGCGCGGGTCTACCGAAAGGGTACTCGACCAAATAGACGCGATAGCGGGTGATCGCTGGCACATCGGGAGAGACGGTACACTCACCTTCATCCCTCGGTTCGTCAGGAACGTCCCGCACGACTTGCAGTCGAGAATCCAGACCTTGTGGACGGGGGCCGGGGGCGCAGTGGCTGGTGGCGGTGGCGGAAAGTACTGCATGCGGGCGGTGTACCAGGGTGGCGGCGGGTGGGACGACTGCATGCGAGACGTGTCGAGTGCAGACCTGGAGGGTGGGAAGGCGTGGACGAGCTGGTGGGGAAGGATGGGCTCGTGAGGGGAAGGCGGGGCAGGTGATGCCGACGGGGGAAGCCTCTGCCCTGGGCGGTTCGGAACGACACCCGGAGGATGCATTGGCAGCGGGCGGGCCTGCTCAAGCGCTGCCGCCGTGTTCAGTGCGGCTGCGATGTCCGCCGTGCTGGACGACACGCGGGAGGCGCGGTACGTCGCCCAGAAGTCCTCCTCGTTGAAGTTGGCGTGGACGGTGGGGAGACGGAGGACACGCTCAGACCGCGACTGCTCGGAGACTGGCGGCGGGGAGCGTGTGGGGGCGTCGAAGTGGACCATGTGAGGGATGACTGCGACGGGCACGCTGGCTGCTGGCGGGAAAGCGGCGGGCGTGCGCGGTCGCCGCGACCGGCGGTGTTATGGGAGGAGGCGAGGGCTGGGAGGGAGATGCCCGACTGGCACAGGCTGGGCATAAGAACGCGGATGGCTTTCCTGGCGATCATCTTCCAAACCCGGCAGGCGCTGCCATCTCCTCCCGTCTTATCTAATCCATCGCCAGATCTCAGGCGCCCCGCATTCGAGTCCGCTGAGTTGCCGGCCGCCGGCATCCCCACCGGTGGCGTGCCATTTCCCCGGACGTGTCTGCGCCACAACGCCCGCTGCCACACCTCACACAACTCGGAAGCAATGTGTTCTTCATTGCGCTGAAGACAGATCTTCCGAGCACTGCGGTCTCTGTGGAGCCACGACGAAACCTCCCTCGAGCCGAGTAAGTATGCAGCAACCGCATACAGCGGACGCACTGTCACGGTCAGCCTTATTTGACAGCTAACTTACAGAGCGCGGTCACTGTCAGGCATGATGATAAATGTCCTCGTTGATCACCTGCTCATACAAGTCTCTAGCTATGCGGGCATTTCAGAACAGCCCCGGGTATCCAGGAAACACTCTCGCGGGCATACGTGAGTATCTTCTCGCACAAATGGAGCAGTCTCGAGTACAACGCACCTCGCCGAAGCCTCTACATACTCCCAGCTCCCCGGTAAACTCGATGCTGAGATGTCATCGCTAACGAGGTGATGCGCTTATACTCCGCGCAGAGCGTAAGCATGCCCGTCAGAAGCCTTGCGTTCTCACTCTGCTTCGGGGCGCCTTCCGTATGGCTGGTCAATATTTCAATACCAGTGGTCCTCGATCATTATAATCACCGGGAGCACCGCACATCGCTGTTCGCATCGCCCGGCGTCCCACTGTAGGCCTTTCTCGTGAGGCGGCCGCTTGTTCTTGGAACGGACTTGCCTCAACCCTGTCCTTATAGCTCCCGCTTGTTGTCCGTCGAGCCTGAGAACAAGTCCCGGCGCGCAACTGCGACGTCGACGGCGTCACGGTGTGCGCGGTCTCCGTTCAGGAAGGCCGCTTATGCAGGTGCATAGCCAGGCTCCTTGTTCGCTCATACTCAAGGACCGCGACCATGGCAACGATAGTCTTCGGACCTACATAATGACAACGACACACTCGAACAGGAGGAGGGCGTCCGGCCCGCTGAACTCGTATGTCCTGTCGTAACGTTTGCTGACTCATTCACGCAGCACGCCCCTTGTACGTACGCAGCCCACAGGCATATACCCGGGGTGAAATCCCGCCGGCGACGAGTATCATTCGCGGTATGTAACACTGAGCGTACCTCGACAGGTGCGTCATGTCGCTGTGATGCCAGTGAATGCAGCGTCAGGAAGCGGACCCCTCGAGCACCGGCCAGAAGACATGTCGCGCACGCATCTCTACAAAGTACAAAAGCCATGCCCCGATTGGCCAGGCAAATGCAAAGACACGTCCAGATCCATACCCGAAAGACCCCGACGGCGTGGTCTCGCGGGCTCCTCGAAGTCAACACCCAGTCCAAGTCAACGGAGAAGCACCCCCACAAGCACGCAAACGTGTCTGATGCACCACGCTACGAGCCTATCATCTCAGTACCACCGTGTGTTGACACATGCATGTTCCCAGCCCACTCAGTCATTCAAGTTCGGCCTGTGGTCCCGCCGGATACGCTGTGGGTAGCAAACGCCGATCCATCATGTCGTCCCCAACGAGAAACACTGACTATAAGGTTGGACCACCCGTCAATGGTTCCTAGCCTGTGGCCTGAGCGCTGAGCCCGAGGCGCGGGAAGTCGAAGGTCGCCGTTCCACATAGGTGGCATGGTATGATTGCTTCTAGCAAGGGGAGCTGTTGTATTGTTTGTCTGGAACAGGTTGTCTCATGTCGTTGTGTTCAGCGGTTCCGCTGGTTTGCGCGAGGCCCTAGGCCATCCCTGGGCCACCTCCAACAATGGGTGCATACGGGACTGTGGAGTCTTCAACTCGGTCAACTCGGTATTCGTTGTTCTTCACGTTTCTTACCCGTAGCTGCCGAAGACAACCGTTCACTACTCGATCGCATTACTATTCGTCTCATTTCGTCAAATACAGACGTTTGATCCTTGATTACCATGTGTGCAGAACACCGTCCCGGACTGCACGTCCTGCCAAGACCGACGGGCCACCGCACACTCTCACACGAACTGCGGGACGCCGGCCACACACTGCTTCGGGTTGCTGAGCGTCCCCATGAGCTTATCCCAGAAGACCGTCGTGTTCAGGCCAGTCACGTAGTTCACCTTCCGCGCGTGGCTCGGCGCGAAGTCGGAGCCCCAGAGATATGTGCCACCGTAGAAGGGGCTGTCATACGCGGTTGAGACGTCCATGTAGACTTCCTCGGAGCTCGCGACGACGTCCGGGTAAGCCATGATCATCGCTGGGACCTGGGCTGAGTACTGTACAAGAGCCATGCGAACTTGGAGGAGCATCCACACTCACCGGCGGTCTCGTCCCACAGCGGGTAGCCCGTGTAGTACACCTCCAGGAGGTCAGAGTACAAGTTCGGCGACTGTAGCGTTGTTTGCGTGATGTTCTCCGCGGTCAGGTACTGCGTGTTCGCGATGTTGCCCGCGATGGTGATGCTCTGCCAGTCCGCGGTGAGGGCGATGTGCGCGGCCTCGGGGTCGACGATGAAGTTGATGTCGGCGCCGAGGTCCTGGCCGAGCGCGCTCTGCACCTGCATGAGGTTCAGGTCGACGTAGCCGCCCATGATGACGAGCTCCTTCGCGGTCGACGCGAAGGTGCCGTTCATCCGGATCGCGGCGGCGACGTTCGTGAGCGAGCCCGCGGCGTAGATGGAGACTTGCCCTGGGTACTTGAAGACTTGCTCGATCATGAACTCGGGTGCGGATTGGGAGATGTAGGTCGTGTTGGGGTAGCCTGTTGGTAAACCGAGAGTTAAAGAGAGTTTTTGGGGCAATCAGAGGTGTGCACGATACTGACCTTCGATGAAGGCCCCCTTGGAGATGCGATATGGGTTGCCCCCGGTTGGATCATTCCCCTCAGCTTCGTACGTGAGGTTCTCAGGTGTGAAGACGCCATCCCAATCAAGCGTCCCCCACAGGGTCGTCCACATGTCGAAGCGTTGCTCTGTCATCATAAACGGCTACCCCGATATTCAATCTCAAAGTCCATAGTTGAAGGTGGGCTTAGCGCTTACATAGGGCTGGCCGAGAGCGACAGGAATACACGAAAGGTTCCCATGTTCAAGCGTCGCGAGTGCGTGCAGCGTACATTGCAGAGCCCACGAGTCCGCAGTGTTGCCCGTGAGCCCCAGGACGGTCATGTTCGCGTTCAGCGCGATCAGGAACGGGATAAAGCCCGTGCTGCTCCAGTCGTTATCCATGATCCTAAAGCGAAGCCAGTCAAGTCCTGAATCGGTATGGAAGAGATGTTACACACGTGTAGCGCACCTCGTCCTCCCATGGTGCGTCCTGGGGAGGGAAGTCCTCAATGACTTGCCGTTTCGCGAGCGCATTATCTCTCCGATTAGTTCTAGGAGCTCGCGGGGAGGCTTCGCGCCGGCCCGCCAGGGCCACAGAACTGAAGGCCAAGGCACCGAGCGCATACCTGAGGAGCCGCATCTTGACGTCGAAAGCTGTGGTTGTACGCCTACAAGCCCAAGGCTATCTCCGAGAATGCCGCGAACGACTGCACGCCGTATACATACGTACAGACGATGTTCCCTCGGTCGCTGGTGTTATATCATAGTCTATAGGAGGATCATATCGTCCGAGATAACGGTGCGCATGGGAGTATGGTCACGGCCGGCAGACGGCTTCCGGATAAGGGCGTCCGTATGCTTCGATTCTGGCATCCTGCGCGAGATAAGTAGTAGACTGTACTACTACTGTAGTAGAGCTGACAGCCTGTTGGTCAATCCTGGTACGTTATTCGGCAACGCAGCGTCGCAGACAGACACATTGCGGCAATGTGCTGTGTCTTCGAGGATGTATCCCAGGTGGCGCAGACTGCTGTGCCGGGATAGCGAAAACATCGGAGAGCAGCTCAGTGCGTACAACTAGCACTGGAGCGATTCAGTACCGTGTCACATGCAAGCTATGATCTGAGGCCTGTACATACCTGCCCGAGGCCTGACAAGCGCGATCCGCGGTGAATCGACGATGAGCTTCGTGGATAGTTACGGCGACGATCTGGATGGTCTGAGAATTGTCACGGCCTGCGCGATTCCTGGGGCTCATTTTAAGCTCGGCCTCTGCAATCTGCGTGCGCCGTGCCGTGCTTGGTCCTAGACAAATTCAACAAGCAATAAAAACATGAAGCCCAGTAGGTATAGATACTTTGAATCGCTTACTGACATGACGGAGGAGACATGCAGTACTGGTAGCCAGCAATATTTTCGAGTTGCACGTTCAATTTTAGCCCGGGGAGGAACCGGCGGCAGGGTCCCCGGATCAATGATGAGAGTAGATCCGGATCTGCGGCTTCGAGCCTCAGCGCTCAGCTTGGGCGCTCCCGTAGCCTTCGAAAATCACAGCCACCGACGACCGTTGCTCGCCACCATCGCAGTAACTGCATAACTCGCCTTTGTTCACCTCCTCGCCTTTGCGCAAAATAGCTTTGACGAGTATTCTCGATGTTGTACTCGATATACACTCTGACGGTGACCAGACTCGAAACTATCGCGACAATCCAGGTCAACATGAATATCCTTGGAATATCCCGACATTCCGGACTTAACACACCCTGGTTCGAGTTGACGCTAGGCTATGGACACGCACCTCTGGTGAAGTTGAATCAGCGTGAGTACGCTCTCAGCTTTCGTTTCATCAAGGCAGTTGAAAGACAAGAATCTCTTGGTCATAACGCAGTGGCGGTCTTGTGCGTGCTCGGTGGTGCAGTCGGAAGACTCGGAGGTCTGAGAAACTGAAACCTCGAGACACGGTACCCGATGAAGGGCACGCATGGGTTTCTTGCGAACCGTATGATGCGCTGATGTCTCTGAGCCGTTGTCGCAGCTTGATTAGAGCTGGTGATTATTGGCGCTCTGCATGTTTGGCTCCGACGCCCCCGAACGTGGACAGGGTCAGACTCAGAGGTTCTGGGAGCGTAAACATACACCGACCACGACCTCAAAAGCACTTTCCTCTGTTCTGAAACAGATGGGTGATGCATACGCAAACTTTCGGGCTCACCGGGGCACAAGAATGATGCCTGCGAAGGCACTCTCCCCCCCTCCCGACCGTGGTTGAGCACGAACTTCGTACGGGACTTCAACGTGTCATGCGCCATCAGCTATGACTTGATTCCATACGCGTGCTCGTGTACTGCTCAGATACGCGACTGGTGGCGCGGCGTCCTCCGGTCTGGGCGATGCGCCCGTCAACCACACCTGAGCGATTGCCGCAGTTGCGCTCCTCGTTGATCAACGATTGTGTGTCTATTTTGACACAGTATCCGCGGTGCTCTGCCTACGTTCGTGCTTCCGCTGGTCATCTTTAGCTTCTGGTGCTTACACGTTATTTGTAGATACCAACAACCCTTGACACCTGGCCGCTTGTCAACTTCGGCGTGCCGCGATACTCAGTAATGACGCCCTCCTAGCTTCGGAGATTTCAAAACTCACACCTGGCCGCCTGAAGTCATACGACGGAGCCAATAGGCCCGAATGGTGACTCGGTCAGTCCCGCTTAGATCACAAACGGCACTTCTGCTACCCGAACTCACAGCGTTGCGTAGTGGGGGCCACTGCACCAGGCACCTGGCGCTGGGAAACTTGCTTCGTTACACTGATACGTATGAGGGCAATTGGACGCTGAGAACCCCGCGGAAACGTTACTCGACAGGGTTGCTCCGGATTGGCAACAGTCAGGAGCGAGGACCTAGGATACGAAACAAGCAAGACGACCGAGTACGATGCTATTCGCACTCTAACTTCCGCGGAACCGCCTACATCCCGTGGATGAAGACACTGGGGTGAGCTCATCGGCCCTAAAGCGACGCAGACCGTCATTTCCGTCTACATGGATCGAGGGACCATCGATCCCGCATGCACCTCCTCGGTCTATGGACATGCTAGTCCAGTTTCAGTACGTCCTCCGAGCCACACTTGGCTTTCCCCCCAGAGATAATGTACGTCACCATCATCCTTTCTTTCACGAGATGTTGAGCCCTTGATTCAGGTTCCTCGCACCTCGGAGCGATATCCGTATCCGCGGGTGTTGGTCCTCTTGTAGACCTTTTGTTTCTTCACTCGTACCGAGTTGTTGAAATCACGGCATGAATCTTGCATTCATTCTTCATCTCGCTACAGAGAACCACAATGGGTTGCTCTGGCCGCGGAAGTCAAGCGGTGCGACCCATAGATTCGAACCAGTACGTCCATTGGACTGAGTTATACCGCAGTTCCGCGGTGGGCTCTAGCCGTAAACTCCACTCCAGAGTTACTCATGGATGGCGGGACTTTTGCTTATGGACATCATATAACTCTCTCCATGAGAGAAAGCAGTGCGCCGGCACAGCATGTACCTAATATGTCAGCCGGAACCTAGTTCACATGGGGAACTGACAATCTCTTCTCTCGTTTAGGTGGACTATCCGCGGCTGCAAATATGTGCGCAGTTCCTAGGCCTATGCGATGACCTTTCGCTGCGTACCTCGAAAGTGATCGGACTTGTCGGTCAGGCGTCACTGGTTGGTCCTCCTCCTGCCGGCGTTCTTGATTGCCTATCCGATAACAGTTATTGCAAATGAAGATGTGGGCCGCGTCGATGGATGTGGTCTTCTGCGGTCCTAGAAGATCGCCATAGGCCGCCCACACTGCACAGGGTGTCGCAGATGATGTGCGTTGGATCCGGCGGGATAGGCGCTTACCCACCGGCCACCGGATCAAAGTGCTACGATCCCAATCTATGTTCGCCGACGTCTGTGCCAGACTGTGGCACTCCGGAAATACCCTGCTTATTGTATGCGACTTCTCGACTTCAGTTCGGTATCATCAAGGCATCCGGCTTCTGTCAATACCAGGACAACATCCCACGCCACTAGGAGCATCTCAAGCGACGCCGTCGGTCTGTTCCCTTGCCTCAGTACTTACCGTGTCGGCATCGATTCGGCAATGTTCAGGCTTCGACGGCATCACTCTTATGGCGAGTGAGTGCCATGCGCATGGGAATGTGGTCATGCATGAGCTGACAACCTATGTAGCCGGTGCGTTAGTATCAGGAGAAGAATTGTCCTCGCGTGCGCACGTGCAGGCAGTCGTGGGCGCATGTGGGTGCTCCGCGCACAGCAAGGACATGAAACTGTCCGACATGCCTTGGGCTTGGGCACTCGAGCGATTCATTGTGTTCTTGTGCTGTTTTCTTCTCCGGGAGAGTGCCCGGTTGATTCACGGATCTTCCCGACTTTAGCCTCCTGAGCGACGCGCCCGCGAGATCGAGCATTGGGACTCGACGCGTCGACGAATCTGGACGCTCATCACCTCATCACATCCACGTCTCGACTCGTGCCCTTTTCTCTCATATCGCGACACACGGCGTCAAGGCAGGCGTGATGGCGTTCGGGATATGCCGCAGTCGCTGGAGCACCTGGCGCACGATATCGTGGCGAAGGTCATGTTCCTCTCGCAGAATACCCGGCGCAAGAACGCGGTGTTAGCGTTATCGGGCTACTGGTACGTCTACGTTACGTCCAAACTCCGCCTATTCTTGGAGTTGTGCGCTCATTGGTCTTGAATTCAAGGACGGTTGCTACTGCAGTGGAGGCGACCATGCTCTTACAAACCGGGGTTAGCTCTCTAGTACTTCCCCCGCGGAATTGCAAAATCGCTGACGTTCGCCTCATTATTGTGCGTGTGCTCAGCGATGCAGATGTAGACGAAGTCGTGCTTCTTCCGGTCGAAAGGGTAACCGCGTGTAAGTGAATAGAGTCGGAACATGGCCGCTCCAAGGCGACTGTTCTCGTCACGCTATCTAGTGGCGTGTCCGCAAAGGCGCCTTCGACCATGATCCGTTGTACGCCATGTACGCCAGATCTTGCTGATCACAACATCGCGCACTGGCCGCATTCGGGCCACGTCGACCGTGTGGCAATCGTGCCCACGGGGGTTGTGCTGCAACCAGTCACCACAGAAAATCCGGCTAGGTTTGTGAACCTCGATCTCTGTAGGGTCATCAGCACTCATCACGATCCCATGCTAGTGCCAGCATCCTGGGGAATCATTGCCAGTTGTGCTCGAGCGTGGCGGAAACGCGTCGACCGTCGGGTTACACTGACAGGAAGGGCCCCCAGTCCGCGGACAGGCGGTAGCTTTCCCATGGGTATCAACCATACACTGGTTCGGCTTCTCGATACGTCACATCTCGCAAGATCCCGGACCAGCTCGTGTTGTCGCAATGCATGCAACCCATTACGCTGAGAATTGACCGAGATGAACCTGCCTATACTCACCGATCTGCTTCTGTAGGTTGGCTGCGGCCTCCGGGAGATCGCATGTCCTCCGAATCTGACGGCTTCGATTCAGGGGCTTGTGGGGAGGCGTTCGTTGCGGCCTCCAGCGTCTGGCCACGTTATGTATACCGAAGAATCGGGATATGTTGCCTTCTGCTCGATTTATGGTGACGTTGTAACCTGGTTGGTACACAAGTTGTCACAACCATCTCTAAGAATGAATACGACGCGAGGCCACAGCGTCGAGCGAGGCGAACGTGCGTTCTATGCGATAGGAGCCCCATTCAATTACTCATCCCCTCTTCTTTGACGACAGGCTAGACCTAAGAGATTATTTCATTCGTGGGGAGACCCGCGAATGGACTGTCTGTTTTGTGCTCTTCTCCACCGTAAAGACAGCGTTCTCATGAAGAGGAAGCCGCGACGTAGGCAGATGGTCAGCATGTGAAAAGCAGAAGCTTCGCAACTATTGCCCACGATGATGCCGTAGTCGTATGGCTTCGGAGATGCACCAGGCCCTCTCATGTCGGCGGGGGGATAGCACGGCTACCTGATGGAACTCTGGCGGTCAAGCAACGTCGTCTGGTACAACCTGGACCGCGAAGGCATTTCGTAAGACCTTCGCTATGAGTCTTGTGGCGAAGTTTTGTTGGTATTCGATCAGTAAGCATCCAAGTCCAGAGACTCATGCATGTCTCATGCGCCTGCAGCAGGTCGGGGAACCCGGGCGACAGCAAAGGGTCCTACTAGAACGCCACCCCTAATAATTCTGTACGGTAAGTAGATGCAGTGCCGTCGTGTTCGCTCCCCGGTTGTTCGCATCTTCACACCGGCTAGACTGCGATCCGAAGCAGAGACGATGGTGTAACTCCCATCCCCTGTACGTCACGCCGTTGCTTTGCGACTTATTGTGCCTACTGACAACATTGCTGTGTTGCCACCCGCAGGGTTTGGTCTGGACTGGTGACGGCCGTATTGTGGCGACGTGCCGAGTGATCATCGAGTCGTCCGAGTCGAAACACGCGTGGTGTGCCAGGCTACCAGTGTCACCGCACTCGGTGTCTCGGTTTGCCAGAGACCGTCTGAGCCCCGAGCTCAGGTGGACACATGTTTTCGCACCCTGCCACTGTGCCAGGCTGTGAAGGGACTTTGGGACGTCGCTCTCGACTGCAACGTTGGGTATAACCATGGCAATTCGCTAAAGAACCAAATGTGACTCGGGACACATGCAATAATTGGGGAGTATCCTAGAGGGAAGCACGCTTCCTTCTCGCCGTTTCGACAGAACACTACTGCGACTAGGCGAGACAAGGGTAGTCCCGGGGTTTTCTAGTAACAACTTTGGTGTTTCGAAATATAATTGATTATGGTCCGAGCTTCGTGGAATTCACCTTCAATGGGTATCGTCGAACTGGTGAACGACATTATAGCACTCTATACGTTCTCGGTGTACACCAGCTGAAGTGGTTGTACATCCCAAAGCGAACCACATTCGGTGATGATGAACACACCGGCATCCCGCTGTGCAGTGCATGGGCCGTGACGTAGACCGTGATCGGTCATTGTTATTGCCCCGGCAATGTCATCTCCCTGATCGTAGTCCGGACCTTGGCACAACCTTGGCACCTTTCGTCGCCTTCGGCGTACACAGCCGCGGAGGTCGCGTCGTTTATGGTAACGATGGGGTCCCGGTGGAGCGGCTGGACGTGGTGATCTATGAAACAAGGGTGAATTTGTCGTCCTTGACTAATCATGAGAAATAAATCTTGCGGGATCGATGGCACGTCCCCCGCTGGGAGTCCGAGGAGCTCAAGACGCTTTTGGCGAGATCTGGGTGCCAGAGGGAAGCAGCAATCTAGATAGCGATCTGCTCATCCGTCGAAGCGGCGGGACGCGGCGGGTGCTTCGCGCAGGTGGCGCGTGTTTCTTACCGCGCGACTCACAAAAATGTGATGCAAATCCGGCTGGCTGTGTGCCTTTCGTAGCCCCTATGAAGACGGGACGTACAAATGAATTTTTGGGGGCTGTTGGGCTGGTTGACTCCCTACCATCGTTGTCTTGAGGATGCTCGTCGCTCTCAACCCGTTCCAAGCGCATGTCGATGTACTTGACTTTGGTACTCAACGCTGCAGCGCAGCGCTTCTGAGCACCACTGTCCAGTACGTAGTCTGTGTTCTGTGCATTACTCAAGCTTCACGAATTTATGAGGTGAGTATTGTTGCTTCCGTCCCTTCAAGTGATATTTGCAGAGACCAGGGACTCTGTCCTCGTCAAAGACATAGACGGCAACGTCGAAAGGTGCAGTGCTGCAATTACGCCTTTCCATGATGCTACAGACTACCAGCAGAACATACACGGGATCCCCCGTATCCTACATTGATTCGCGTCTCGAATTGCAGCGTGAAGATCTTCAAAATGATCTCAGGCTCCCGGGCCAGAATATACAGAGAACTTCTCTCTCTTTCTCCCGGGCCAGAATGCACCTCCGCCTTGATTCTTCTCATACCACGGTACGTCATGCGACAGCATCACCCTGACCCTCGGCTGTTCCGCAAGGGCTCTAATCTGTGCCACCATCTTCGCAGCCGTCTCCTTGTCCCTATGCGCGCAGCCGAAATGAGGGCCGTCCGCCATGCTGGCCTCGCCGGTGAGGAGCCGCCAGTCGTGGGCCGCATCCCCAGCCATAAAGACCCACCCGCCATCCGCAGACGTGCGCGCGAGGAGCGAGAGATGACCAGGGAGGTGTCCGGGCGCGTCGACGATGTACAGACTGCCGTCGCCGTAGTAGTCGAGCGCCTTCGCGAACGGGCCGATGCACACCATGTCCGGGTTGTCCGGAGAGACGAAACGCGTGCGGCCTTCAGGAAAGAGGTCGCTATGGAAGTGTGCGTTTGGGTTGGCGGGGTAGCCGGGCATCAGGAGGGCGCGACTACCGTCCCCGGCGATTACGGTCGCGTTCGTGAAGACCCGCGGGTCGCCTTGGTGGTCGAGGTGGTCGAAGTGGACGTGGGAGATGCAGACGTGTGTCACATCCGCCGGCTCGAGCCCGCCTTTCTTCAGGGAATCGACCACGTCCTGCGGGACGTCCACGCCATACCACTTCTTGATCATGGCCACGAGCGAAGGCGCCAACGCGGTCTCCCAGTCCTTGCGGACGCCTAGGTCGAAGACGAATGTGTCGGGACGGGAGGAGTGCTTGAGGAGGAAGACGAGACAGGGGAAGCGGAATATCTCTTCCGAAGGTGCGGTGTCGATGATTTGTGCCATAGGCACGTCGACAAACCCTGCGTCGAGCACAGAAACCGTGCAGTATGCCTGGTTATCCCCTGGTGGTGGTAGACTCATCGTTGGTAGATTGTTATGAGTATACTGTCTGTTGTCTACTCCCGGTGTTGGGGGGACTATGACGTCCCTGAGGGACGGTGTTGGCAACCTTGCTTCCCGTGTATGGCGTATCGTTTCCGGGAAGTGAACCGTGAGACTTCTCACATGGTCATGGGCCCATGATTTCGCGCGAAAGCAAATGCGGAGCTCACGATAAAGACCTAAAAGCATCCAGAGACGAATAAATTGGGCTCTCTGCATTGAGACAAGAAACTAGATCAGTAGATCGCAATCAGAGTGGTACACTGGCGGCGATGTGAGAGAAGAATTGGAGTTTGCCCTGTACGTACGGATCACGCAAGCGTGATGCGACGGAGACATGTGCAAATGCAACGAAGCATATCTGTGCGGAGATGTCTTCTAGGGCCACTAGGGCGACAGCGGTGGCATACGCCGGCTTCCTCAACTGGACTGAGATGGCCGCTCGGACGAACGGCGTACTCGGAGGTACTCGGCGTCTGTAAATGGACAAACCCTAGGCTAGGGTTTGGCTATATTGAGCCGCGCGCCTGCCCGTTGCGGAGAGAGGCCGGCCGAGTAGACAGGCCCACGCCCGGCGCGGGCCGCCCAACAAACCGGGGAGGGAAACGCGCCCACTTGCGCCCGCCGTTGTTGCCCTGGAACGGGCGGACAGCGGGAGGGAAGGACGGGTTCGCTTGCCGTCAGACTGTTTTGGGAGCGAACCGGCTCGACGAGCGCCGCGGACAGCCATGCATCATCAGGTATTTAGACCCGCGGAGTCCATCCCTAATCGATGTCTCCGCACTCCCTCGCCCCTCAGATACATAAGCATCAGGACACCAGATCCTACACCTTCTTACCTTCCGAGTTTCTGTGTCCTTTGATATGTCTGTCCCTGCCGTGCCAAAGACGATGAAGGCCCTCGTTGTCAAACCGGTCAGTATGAATTTATGCACCATGTACCACTTCTGGACTACTCACGCGACCGCACCATGTTACAGGGTCCAGCTGCTGTGGTCGAGGAGGTCCCGGTCCCGGTCGTTGGCAGCGATGACATCCTTGTCAAGGTCGTCGCTACCGCACAAAATCCTACGGACTGGAAATGTGCGTCCCTGTCCCTACCTCTCCTTCCATCAAGCTTGCGAACTCGTTCGTTCTCCCATGCAATAATCCCCCTCGCATGATCGAGAGGGAGGCCATCGAAGCCAACAGCGCCCATTATATGGTCCTAGTGCTTCGGGGCTTCTCTTTCGCCATCTCATTGGCCTCTGTTGGATTGCGCTCCCAGAGGAACGCCACGATCTTCGGCGCTCAGCGCTCGACATGTTGTGTATTTCCAATCTCGGTGGGGATCTTGTCCATGTGCCGTCATCCGCGGCCTCTGCCGCCTGACGGGAGGGATCATTGGAGGCATGTTCACAGCCTCCTCCAGAGCGTTCACTTGCCCGTTTCGCTGCTCCCGACCGAATGGGAATTTCCTGGCCATATGCATCGATCTGTCCGTTTGAGCGACGCGACCGGTAGCCTTGCAGCGGCCAGTCGGATGGATAGGCCGCGTCAAGTCCAGAGTCCTGCACAAGCTATGGAAGGTCCAGCACTGTGAATGTCTACACAGGCGCTCACCGGTGGCTTTCTGTCAGGACTCTATCAACGCGCTGTAATGTCCAGCACGTTTTGGGGCGACCATGGACACACCAATGACAGTATTGGCAAGTCACTTGAGTCGTTGCACCACATCCATTCATCCTGTGGCCGATGACGGTGGCGCGCACTGCAAGGCTACCGCTGGGTCATCTACGTACGGAAAGCTCGTCGACGAGAAGGATGACTTACTTTCGGCCAGCGGTTGCTTGCTACGTACGTCAAGCCACGCGGGTGGCGTACGACGGAGTTCCTCTGATACGCTCGGCAAAACATCAAGGGTATCAGAAGCGACTGTACTATGCGCCCACTGCTTCCAGGATGGGTGTCAACACAAGAATGAGCAGAACATGATTCCCTAGCGCTGTACGCTGAGAACATCGATCTGCGTTTCGACGCAGTCTATGTTCTGGCGCGCACGCGCGCTCGGGTGCTCTATGCCCTGGCATATCTTCTTACTTCCTGCTTGGAATCGAAAGCAACCGGCTGACATGTTCCCTGCCTGTTGATAGTTGTCGACTTCGTGCAGAATCACGGCACCATCCTGGGTTGCGACTGGTCAGGATACGTCGTGGATGCGGGGAAGAACGTCACGTCGCCAAGGGTTGGCGACCATGTCGCGGGCTTCGTCCAGGGCGGCACGTTCACCGATTACGGCGCATATGCCGAATACGTGCGGACGCCTGCGGAGTTGAGTTGGGTCGTACCAGAGGGCACTGTAAACCATGAGGAGGCGGCGGCGTTAGGTTGCGCGTACGTGGTATTGCCTTGACTATACGGATGTGAGTCTGAACTTACCTGTAGGTTCTGGACGGCTGTACAGGCACTGTACAACCCGACTCGGCTAGGGCTCGTTGAGCCACCGTCTAGGGTAGAGGCGGAGCAGTGGGTATTTGTCTACGGCGGCAGTAGTAAGTGTCTTGCCTGTCATACTTCTACCCTCACTGATGTCGTCCTGTTCCAACCGTAGCCTCTGTTGGCCAGTACGCTACCCAACTAGCACACCTGTCGGGCTACAAAGTTGCGACAGTTGCCTCACCACGCAACTTCGAACTCTGCAGGTCGCTCGGGGCCGACTTCGTCGCGGACTATAACGACCCGGAAGCGGTGCAACAGATCAAGGCCGCCACTGGCGACTCGATTGCCCTCGCAGTCGACACCATTAGCTTGGCACAGTCGGAAGCCTTCGCGTCCAGGGTGATCAAGCCGGGCGGCGGCAGGGTTGTCCTGCTCCTGGCGCCTGAAGAAGAGGGGCAGGTACGGGAAGACGTCGTCTTTCAACGTACGTCCGTTTGCTTCTGCTCGCTATATGCGCGCGTTAATACGTAATCCCGTGCAGCGACACTCGTATACACCGTCCTCGGCCGGCCGTTTTCCATGCTGGGTCAAGACTTCCCCGTCAGTGCGGAGGACCGCGCACACGCAGTCGCCTTCCTTAAGAAGATCCCGGAGCTCGTGCGCGAGAAGCAGATCATCCCCAACAAGACGAAGCTGTGGGAAGGTGGTCTGCAGGCTGTGCCGGATGGTCTTCAATACATGCGGGATGGGAAGGTCAGCGCGGAGAAGATCGTGTATAGTCTATGACTCACATAAGAAGACATTGCTATCTGACAATCATGGGAGGTTCCTCTTTGCATTCATTATGTAGTTGGCGATACCCAACCCGATATACCTCGATTTATGTAACATTTATCAGTAGAAAGCAAGGCAAACAGTACTTGTTGAACGTCTGAAGTCGTCAGAGTAGGCAGCGCTCGGGTGTTTGCATGAAGACAAGGTCAGTACCAAACAGTCTCGCGCGCTCTTGTCTTTGCGGCCGTCCACGTGCACCCTCCGGAGGCCCGGAACAGGCGGCCCGCATCTCGGAGGTGAGACTGGTGAGTCGCATCCCGTTGGTCCCGCTTTCACTTTCCCTTCATGAACGGACGAGCTTCTCAAAGGTCTTCAGGACCGCACGGCCTCCCTGTACAGCCCTATCCATACCAGTTGAAGATTTCATTGCCTCGAGAAGTGCTGTTGGGAAGGCTCAATTTTACACGTGGTGTCGGTCAGCGCTGTTCCGTGCGGAAAAGTGTATGCGCCCGGGTTGATTTGTGCGGGCCACGGACGCGGGGCTGTCAGTGTGGGTTCCTCACAATCGGTATTCAGTCTCCTGTTCTGATTTCACTGACAAAATTTAGTCAGGTCTACGTGCGGGAATGGTCATCCGCGTGGCGTCCATGACAGGACCATCGAATACCAACGACGTCGCAGAAGGCAGCACGAGTGTCTCTGTATCACCTGCAATTTCCAAGATGGGCCATCTTGTGCGGTGAGGCAAGCGGCTGCTTGCTGAAACATCCCGACGTCAGTCGGATGGTGGTGAGCATGGTCTGTGAAACGGCCCCCACTTGCGCCGACGGGCAGATGACTGGAGCGGCAGCTGGAGCAGAGGTGACATTCTACATCTATGGCTCGGAGATACTACTGTAAGACATGTAGACCATCTTCGGACCATGTCGCCTCGGCGATGCGGCAGACTTCACCGGCTCCCCGAAGGCGTGGAGAACCTCGTAGATGGAGCTCGGCTATTCGGGTAAGATTTGTTGACGGGGCTTGTGAGAGCATGTAGTAACGCATGTTCGACACAAAGCGGTGAGTTATACATGATATATAATATGATGTATCGCACGCGTTGACTTGCTGAGATATCACTAGTGCGATACGCCGCTTCCTCAGCAAGACGGGTCTCCGAAGGGAACGTCAGCCATGGACCGATCGGAACCACACGCCACCGATGAGACCATCATACGTTCCAGGTGCGTGACCCCATTCATCTGACCAGGGAGAAGACTACTTGACGGGCTGATCCCGGCATGGTAGGACATAGAGCGATACAGTCATTCCGCAGATTAGGAATCAGGTATACACAATACCATTGAAGAACCATTATTACTCTCACGACAATGACGGTGCTGATCGCTGATCCATATTGACGGCCACATGGCAGCATCACGAGTCAATTCGACAATTCCCATGTAACCTTTACTTCTATGACTTTGGGAGCCGCATGCGCCGGAGCAGGTTAGTGTATCAATGCTAAAGGGAAGTATTCCAAGCGTAGGAGTGCTTCCAAGTCCCGCACATGCCGGGCTTGTCATCATATGAAGGTCGGCACTGCACACTGACCGACATGACGGGCGCAGTCTGACGACGTGTCTAACATGCTCTCTCTATACAGCGAACCACACGTCCCACTAAGCTTCTGTCAGACACGCAAATTCGAATGCAGGCACGCCAGTACTATCGGGAGGTACTGCACTGAAATCTGGCAGATCACTCGAAGGCGTCAAAGGAACCTGAGCTTAGATCGCTTCCTCCTCGAGATCTACACGAGCCATTGCCAGTATCTCGCGATCTATCAGTGCCGGTCTTCCTCGTCTCGCGAGGAAGATCTGGATGGACACTCAGTCGGAGGAACACGTTGTAGGCGCGCGGGCGTCAGTACCGGGCATGCTGCCTGCCGTCTCAGAACCTGCTCAGAACACTGAGTTTGGCTACCTTCACAGCGGCCGAGATCCGTATACTGGGCCACTGCTGGGTATGTACCGATGCGAGTTCTATGCATATGCACGTTCCTGGCGCGATGCATCGTTACCCCAATGGAGATATTCGTCGCCGTAATCATCATTATGGAGTCTCTTGATTTCGGAATCGAGGGATGTACCAGCGTCAACGACATCAAAATGATCGATCGAGCCACACGAACACTCAATTTCATATCGTACCCTCCGTTACAGTTCGTACAGGCATACCTACTACACTACAGGATTATCTATGAGGGTACACAGTGTGCGCGTTCAGTTCTATCATGACCAGGTCTCAGGCCTGAAAAGACGGTGATCAGCTGCGCACGGATCGGCACAAACGAACTAACTCACCCGAAGTGGCCACCGGCGGGAATAATGTTGTAGCTCTCAGAGCGACCGTCCGCGTTGTCGAAGGGGACCGTATTGCCCCACCACGCCTGGATGGTATCCTTGCCGATAGCACCGGCCAGGGGGTACTGCACGCAGAAGAAAATGACGATGATGGAAATAGCAACGCCCGAGTCCAGACCCGCGGACAGGACATCTTATGTGAGCAGTCGGCGTCAGCCACCTCCCTCATAAAATGCCCAAAAAATCGTATGGACACTCACAGTTGTATTTCGTCCACCAGGAGAAGTGGCGGCGGCGAATGACGTAGTTGAAGATGAACCCCATGATCGCCCACGGAACGTAGTTGATCGCCGTCGCGGGCGGGATGGCTCCGGTTCCGCTGAAGATGACAGGGAAGTTAACGTATTTGATGAATGAGTTGGGCCATTTCAAGCCGATGAGGTAGGCCGCAAGAGGGCAGGCGGCTCCAACCAGGAAGAACCAAACAAGACCACTATGAGAGCGAGCATACATCAGCTTTTCCGCCTGCAACGTGTGTGAAGTGCTTGGACGTACTAGTAGATTTGTCCCTGCGAGAACTGGCGTGCAGGACCGATGACACCCCAGATGATAGACGCAGTACCGAATACTTCGGTTGATGGGCACTAACGAAGGCATTAGCTGATGTCAATGACCGGTAATGTAGCAGACTTACGATGAAACCATTCGCCTGACTGGGAGCGCATATGTCCGGGATATTGGTGAACATCCACGCTTGCACACCGAGCTGCACCGTGCCCGCAATGACGGTCGCGACAACCTGTGCCCAGAACATCTCGCGCGGGTTGATCTTCATGTAGTGACCCAACTTGAAGTCTGATGTGAACGTCAGCGCTTGGGCCATGGTGATGTAGCCCCAGGTCTTGAACATCATCATTGCGATGGGACGGCCGGGCAAGGCGTAGCCGATGATCAGCTCGGTGATGACGCTGTGAGATGCGGACATGAGCTGGAAAGAAATGAGCAACGAAAGTCTGACGTACTTCAAGCCGAGTTGCTGATTAGTGATAGCCTGGATCATGCCGACTGGGATACAATACACGAAAGCTGTAGTGGAAGCAGCGTCAGCTCGTCCGCGAAGGACACATGAGTCATCTCGAATGATCTCGAAGGGCTTACCAATGACCAAGCTGAGTACGAATGCCCAGACGGGGAACTCTGTGTGCCACACCTCGATAGACACGACTCCGAAAACGAACATGGTCGCTACATGACTCTAATTCAGCGTGTACGTCTTCACAAGACAGTATCGCACTCACCAAAGATGCACATGTACCACCACTCAGGGACCTGTCGGTACCGCGACATGAGGCGAGAGTGGATATCCGGCTGATCACTCATGGCACGGCGGGACTGCACCCAGATCTGCTTGCGGAAGTAGAGGAACGTGTGCGTGATGATCGACGTGATGGACGCGAACGAAAGCCCATAGGACATCGCGAACGTCGTCGAGAGGAAGAGCGGGCTGTATGACTCGTACTTCTCCACATTGAGGGAGGCGTCAGCGTTCGTGATGGCGGTGACGTTGTAGCTGTTACCGTAGCGGTCGAAGGAAATTCGGGACGATATTCTGCGAAGACGACATCGTCAACTTAGGTATATTCGTCGAGATCGAGCTGAACGTACGGCAGGAAAGAGCTGTACCAGGTATTCGTGTAGTACAAGATCGGCGTGAGGATCCCTTCATACTCGCATAAATAAACATCAATGGAGGATGTAAAGCCGAACTCACAGAAGAAGAACACGAATCCCACGGCAATGTTCGCTTCTGCCCACCAGGGTGTTGCAAGCGGAGAACCGATGTATGAAATCTGGGCCCAGTCGAAGGTGAGCAGCGACATGCCCTGCAAGCGATGTCAGCTTCTGGGTGTTCACTTGGCGATATCGGCAACTTACCAAGCCGCTCGAATAGCCGAAGAGCTGATTGATGACCACGTTGTTCGGGACAATCCAGCAGACCCAGTTGAAGTACGACATGGCCTGGAAGATATAGTCCGGGAACCAGTACCAGCAGAACGACCCCAGGAAGACAAATGAGAAGAACCGCTCTCGACTGATGCCACCGCGGTTACCGATCCCGGAATACTGCTGCTGGTGTAGGGTGTTGAACAGCGCGCAGGTTACTAGGTTGGTAGGCCAGACTGGTAGTTGGACGTCAATGAGCGCCGATATAGTCAAATCGAACGGAAAAGCACATACTCATGGATGCAGGCTGAACTAGGAACCTTCGCAAGATACCACCAATAGAGAAGCCGATCAACTGAGTGCTCAACACAACCATCCATTGATCTGGCAACACAGTCAATCAGAGCCGAGTAAATTAGCTATATCCCGGACGTACAGATGAAGTTATACTCCTGGTTATAGTAGACTCGTTGAACGGCAACGATGTCGGTCTGACGGGACTATTAAGGCGCATCGACATTTGGGTATCGACAGTACTCACCGCATACGCTGAGCCTGCACCGACACCGGCCATGATCGTGATCAAAACGTGTTCCTTGATGGTAAATGGTCCAGGATTGAGGGAAACACCCAGGACCTTGACCCTGGGCATGAACCTTGCCCAGAGGCGTCCGATAGGGAACGACAGCAATAGAGCAACATACTATGAATACAGAGCTGAGTGGGCGAGATGGTTGGTGAAATTTGTATACGTACGCTGCCGACGCTGACGGATGGATACCGGAAAAAGAAAAACTGGTTCATGCCGGGAATGATCACCGCCCAAATGACTCCGATGACCCAAGTACGGATGGTTGATGACGGCATCTCGAAGTCATCCGTGTTGGCGACGGCAGAACGAACCTCAGGATACGGCGAGTCGTCCTCTGGGTGGGCTATGTCAATAAAGAACACGCCAGATGAAGTCATACGCCCGTACCGAACTCAAGAGCTTCCTTCTCGTCGAGGTTAGGATCCTCAAATTCAGCGACCGCGACGTTGTCCTTCAAAGCTGCTATTCGGGTTAGGATTCGCATATCAAATGATAGTAAAGCGAGTATCACTGACCACCCTTCTCGGCCCCCAACTTCTCGTTGCCGGAGATGGAGCTGGTGCTCGAGCTCTCCGGATCATCACGTACACTGGCCATGGCGGTGTGCGACGTGGGCGAGGACGGAATGGAGGTCCGGGAAGACGGGAGGCGAGGTGGGCTTCCCTCCGCCATGTGGGTTCTTATGTGCGCCCGAAATTTCTCCAACGCAGATAAGGTGTGCTGGGAAATGGCGCATACGGTGTGAGTCAGTATGTCCGTTTGCATATGACAATGGCTTATCGTGCCGGAAACTGAGTAGACCAGGTACGAGATGTTTACCAAGACGTTCGAGATCCAACTAGATGACAGTGATGCTTGCTCCAATACTGACAGTGAAGGGTTCCGACCCTTCTCACTTGGCTCAACCGCGCGTGGTTGGCGTAGACCGGGTGGGACGCATCGTGCACCTGTTCAACTCAGTCCCCTCCCCCTTGTATGAAAAGTGGGTGCACCTGGGGCAATGCGGGTGCTTCATGGAGAACCCTTCAATGACATACGTCCGATACGCCGGGTTTTCCTTCGATGGCTCCGCTCCCTGTCAGTGGTCAAATCGGTGAGCTAGCACGCGCCGAGGGAGACGCGGGAGGTTCTGCTGAACGATAATAGACGTACCAGCGTCAGCATTCCCATGTCCCGCGTGCTCACGAAGTACTCGACACCACCGTGCCAGGGCGGCGAATCCTCATTCGGGATGCATGAGATAGCATGCGAACGCAATCCTAGGCTAGGCGGACTGGATAGCGGCTTAGTCGGCGGTTCAGGGAAGGAGCGGACCGCGGCGAACCTGGGTAGAAGTATTGGAGTAGAGTTCATGTGCACGCGACCGTATGGGCCGCCGGGAGAGGTTGCGCTGTATTCCGAAGGAGTCTCTTCTCGCGAACCCCAACTTGCTATCTAATCGCTAACACCGTCAGGAGAATGTCTGGCTGGGCAGGAGTGGTAGGCTACGGCTGCGATCACCTTTGCAGCCTCGTCAACAATATGGCACAGAGGGCGCGCGATAGCAGGCGAGCCAGGCCTGAATTGCAAACGCAGTGTCAATTTCGAAGGTACGTGGAGGCGCTCGACGTCACTTTTGGACACAACGGTGAGAAGCTCGTGTCCGGATAGCCACTACATACCAACTCAAGCCGCTGCGGAACATCCGAGGCGGACATTGGTGCCGATGTGCGCCGCGTGCTTTCTTGTGGCCCAAGGCTGCGCAGTAACTTCGCTTTACTCGCGCATTGCAACATCACGGTCGATCGTCACTGCGCCGAAACTTGAATGCCTTGACAATGGGCTACGTGATGAGCCTGCTCTATCTGCTCGTAAGAAATAAGCAGAGAATACGCACTCATGGAATCGTCGGAGTCTGTACTTACCTTCCTGAGGTAACTCTGAAACACAGCGCTGTGTGCTAGCTGAGGTTATCGTGCCGTAGCGAGTGGCGGGTACTAGAACTTGAAGGAACTCAGTCACCGCCGTGACGCTGACCTTGCGTACGAACCTCATCAGCTTCCGAGCACGATATACCTATTCTGATAAGTGAAAGCACATGTGTTCCATACCGCCGGCCGTGCGAGTGATTCCTGGCTGAATGTTCAAGACGAAATTGCTATCGCGTGTGGGCTTCCTATTTTCCATCTCAGACTCCAGAGTCCACGACCAGTACTTGTCCAACCATTTCCTTCTCGGGCGACCCGTGCTGCAATCGGGAGCCCGGATCTCCCTAATTGACTGCACGTGGTCTCCACTGGCAACCGGCGCTCTGGAACGGATACAAATCGTTCCTACCCCTTGTCAGTGTTGTCACTTCTCTGCCGCTACTGCATGCCATGGGCTTCACGCGTTTCACAAGCGTATGACGCGGACAAGAGGACAAGAATGACAAATGGAACAGAGGCGCGGAAATGTGGCCCAGTGCGCATCCCACGGCAAGCGAACGTCGTTTCGGATGCTGATGAGGAGGTCAGTCTACTTCGTCAATGTCTTCGAACTACAGCCCGTAATACGTGTATCTCTCCTCTCAATACTTCTAAATGCTTGCGTACACTGGTTGAGTCAAGAAGTATACGGCGCGTGAAAAAACGAAAGTATATGTATCCAGGCTGTACAGATGTCCACCTTGAGAGGTGCCCCTCAAGACACTTTTTCCATTCCATCCTGTTCAAATGACGGCTCCATCGGAGCCGTCACTTGTCAGACATCCTTGTCAGTATGTCGTGATCCTGTGGGCGGCCAGGGCGACATTCACCGGTTCTCATCCTGACTAGCGATTTGCTAGCTCAGTGAGCGGACTCCTACGCGCCATGCTCTCGATCCGTTGGCCAGAATAGTATTGACATTACTTGCGCAATAGGTGTTTTTGCTGTATACTCAGTTAGCTGCACGCGCACCAGACGACGAAGCTATGGGCTTCCGAGGGCTCGGACACGTCGATTCTCAACAGGACACGCTCGCTATCGACTTTGTCATTGACGAACAATCTGAAAGAGCTGCCACTGAGCCGGCTGTGTACCAGACCAGGTCGAGACGCTCTATCAAGAAGAAAAGCAAGGTTCCGACAGCGTCCCGGGAACATGTCATCTCCATCGAGCTCCTGCAGGACAAGACAGCTCTCCGCTCGCGCAAGGGGGATACGGGGAGTGTTGTTTGGCGCGCAAGGTGAGTAGGCCATCATCCTGCCGGTCAGGTATCCCTGTCGCCCTGGCGTCTCGGCAGGGACGACGCCAGGCGCATTGACGTAGTCCAGCGTTGATTTCGCACAGTACGTTCTACGAAGCTATCACACCCGGGCCCCGGATGCGCTCTTGGATGCAGATTCGCTTTGCGCAGCACATGTGCTTGAGCTGGGGTAAGGAATTACCGCTTTGCTAGCCTGGAGATGCGTAGCTTATCGCACAGATGCTGCTCCTACTGTCTGTCTGTGGCCGCTGTTGTATCGCCCGCATGATCCGGTCCACGCCCTTCATCGCATTATTGGCAAGTGCTGGGACGGGCCTGCTCGGCATAGCACTATCGCCCATCGTAGCGCGCTACACGCTCACAGACATCGACGCCCTCATCCCGTTAATACAGAAGAACCTCGCGCACAATCGCAGCCTACCGAGTTTATCCCGCAACACCGTAGGCAAACGACGATCTGCACATGGTGCAGGCGGTTCCGCACCAAAGGACGAGGAGCACGCAAGCATTTCTATCGAAGCTTTGGACTGGGAGGCTTTGCGCCATGCCTCACCGGCCCTGCGCAGGTCTACATTCCAATACCCGGCTATCGACGTGCTGCTTGTCGTCGACTGCATTTATCACCCATCACTGCTGCCCGCACTCCTTTCCACCATTGATTACCTGACAACTCCGGGCGTAACGTCTGTCCTCGTGGTCGTCGAGTTGAGGGCGGAAGATGTTGTGAGGGAGTTCTTAGCAGGATGGTTGAGACTAGAGTCGGACGGGATATGGCAGGTGTGGAGCGTTCCAGAGGTGCTAGATGGTCCATATGCAGTTTGGGTTGGGTGGAAGACGCCTCGCCGCAATGACAATAGATAGCAAGCTGCTCTAATTCTGGCTGGATTGAATTGTTCGGACATCTGGACACTGAACCATGATGCTTGCCTGTACTCATAATGCCTGTACTCACAATGCCTGTACTCACGATGCAATGTCAGTCTGTATGACCGATCGTGTGCCTGTGCTGTACATGTAATCCGCCAAAAAACATGGTCTACTATCTCCGACCCACCGGCATCATCGTCGCGTGCGGCCTCCACCGCTCTTGCGTGACGCCTTGCCCCCTGCTCGCTCAGCCTTCTCAGTATGTCGTCTGCGCTGCTTCATTTTGTCAGCCTTCCTAGCCGCGTTCGTCTGGTACTTGATATCTTTTGGCTTTGGCTTTGATTTATTCCGTCCAACCACGGCTGGCCCGTTCGCAGACGGCCGTGGGCCCATGCTCGCACTCGCGATTACGCCACGGGACGGACGGTTCTGTGCCTGGGACTCTGAGACCGGATGAGACGTTGACGAGCGATTTGCATCCACGTCGGAAGGTAGAGGTGTCCGGCTTTCTGAGTGAGGCCCGTGAATCAGCTCGTCTGGGTCGAAATCTTCGACTACGGTGACCGTCGCGATTTGCTCCTCGTACTCGTATTCTTCTTCCTTCTGCTTGCCCTTGCCCTTGTCGACGGGGCCTGACACAGATATTCCGTCCCATTCTTCTTCGTCTTCGACTATACGCACATTCGACACTCGGCATCTCAATATAGGATGACGGACGTACCAGCTCCACCATAAGCCCGCTCCGTCTCTGCCGCATTCTGCACCGCACGCTCAGCGAGCATTTGGCGTTTCTGTGAGACGTTGTGGTCAGGCTACCATGCATCAGTCTGAGTATGTACGCACCTCTCGCCGGGCCTCTAGTCTCTCCTGCTTCTCTCTTTCCAGCGCCTTCTTCTTCGCAGCCTCCTTCTTTTCCAATTTGCGTTTGTGGAATCCAGTCAGAAATTCTCTATTCTGGCCGTCGGTGGGACACTTGTTATCACATACGCTCGGTACATACCTACGAGCGGTAGCGTCAAAGACAATTTCTTTGATCTGCTCCCTCTTCGCCCGTCGCTTTGCGGCGACGATCTTGTGTGAGTTGGTGAGAACAGCCATATTCGACGACCCCATTTTGTGGTCAGAAATTGATGTGGGTTTAAAGCGTGAGGTTTCGAGTCCAGTCAATTGTATGTGAGTGGTAAGAAAGCAGGAAATCGAAGGCGGAGAACCACCCCAATCAATCACGTGAGACAGCCTACCCGAGCAGCAGAGCACTGCGGCAACAGCGCATAACGAACCTCAACTGCGTGGCTCTCTTGCCTTGTTCCTCCTCCCCTGTGTACTTGTACTTCGCGCGAATCCATTTTGTTTTAGCTCAACCCAGACTGCAAACCTCTGACACCATGAACTCGCTATATACCCTTGGCGTACGCCAAACAAACTCCATACAGGCGGACTTGGAACGGTTACGGAATGGCGACAAGTCTGCTGCATTGCTAGGTCTGTAAGCACCTCCCTACGCGCGCCCCAGTTTCCTTGTTTTGTGACATTGTGTACGATGAATTGCATCCTTACGTCTGACAGGGCAGATATCTGCATCGTTGGCTGCCATGCACCGGACCGTGGATGACTATGACTCAATGGCGAAGAGGGAGATCATCAAGGCGAAACAGGAGAAGGCTATGATGTACGTTTCTCGGATTGGCTGTATATACAGGCCTTGACGCCAGCGGAATAGCTGACCCGTTGGTCAGGCGTGTCCAGAGATTTCGAACCGACTATGCAGAGTTCCGTGGGCAATTTGAGAAGTTTAAGGTTGAGGTGAGTAGTTGACGCGTTCTGAAATGCACGTATGGTCTAACGCTTGTACACGTATAACAGCAAGAAGCAGCAGCGCGTTCAGAACTATTGGCTGCATCGTCATCATCCACGACACCGTTGTCAGCCGGAATGGCACGACAACGATTCATGGCGGGTCAACAATCAAATTCGAGCGACGTCTCGGGGTCACCTTTCCGAAATCCGTCCGCAATGCCAATGTCCGACCTGCGCGAGCAACATGCTCTCCACGAACACACCTTCATACATAATACCGAGTCGCGGTTGGACGACTTCATTGCGCAGGGGCGCGCAGTGCTCGACGACCTCGTGGAACAGCGGACAGTTTTGAAGGGTACACAGAAGCGTTTATTAGATGCAGCCAACACGTTGGGTCTGAGTAGGGATGTCATTGGATGGATAGAGCGGAGGAGGTGAGTGACCAATGTGATTGTGACTTATACGAACTGACAATCTCGCGTTTCACAGTACACAAGATATGTACATCTTCTTTGCTGGGGCGATCTTCACATTCGTTTGTTTCTACCTGATATGGAGGTATTTTGGATGAGGTTGCTAGGACTTCGAGCTATCTGGGATGGACCATTGCATGTAGCTACTTAGTACGATACTATCCTTCTACATATCTACTCCGACGGCGACATCGTCCTGTCTCTTCCGTCATCGAACAAACCTGAGTCAATATCAGTTGCCGCAGTGCTGCCAGTGGCTAGCACGATAGCAAATATCCCAGGGCCTGACTGAGTGTCGGGCGCTTGTGCGATGATGAGCGCCATTCCTCGACGCCCACTAACCGAGCAGTGAACGTTCTCTCCCACCTCCGAGAGTCTGTATATCTCTCGTCTGGGGCTCGAACAATCCTTGATACCGGCCCTCACTTTCTATGGCATCATCTGCAGGCGACGAGCGCTATGACTACACTGAAGGCGCCTCATCCATAGACATCCAGCAAGTCTTGACGGCAAATGCGAGAGGAAGACGAGATTCTAGATATGGGGCAGACGGCGAAGGGACGATGTTCGACGGGCCGGGTCACTACGTGAACCCCAGCAGTGTCTCGAGGATGTCTCTCGACCACCACCGGCGAAGCAGCGACGCTTGGTCCCGAACGTCGAGGTCGCGTAGGAGAAGCGAGGACCAGAACGGCAGTCCTTCCGGGGCCAGTCAGCACCGTAGCCACAGCAAGACCTCGTATGGATCCGTCGAATTAGGCGACGCAGACTCTGCTGGCGAAGATGAGGGTGAGCCAGAGAACCATGGTATGTCCCGGAGGCGTAGAGCGAGTAGGCCCTCGTCTCCCCCTCCACAGAAGCACGGCGTTCTCGAGAACATCGCGAGTATCTTCACCAGGAATGCTCCGCTGACAGAATCACCGCCTCGTAGTCGCCGCCCGTCAGTCGCGAGCCGCACATCCAGAACGAGACTTCTCCGGCGACATAGCAGCAGGCGCTCGGAAGCCAGTTCTGACTACGCTGTCGAATCTGAGGATGAGGGAGACAGTAGATGGGGCTACTCTTCCGGTGAAGAAGACGAGAGCGAAGTCTCCGAGGATGTAGACGAGCTGCGCGCTATGGCGAGCGGCAGTGAGCTCGACTTTGGCTCGTATCCCCCGTCACCGACCGGCGGAACGGGCCTACCCCTACTGGCCGGTGACGATATCTTCGGCGGGGAGACCAGACTAGAGATGGGCGACTTTGAGGTGATGGACCCTCCACCTCCCGGGCCGCCCAGCAGACAAGTTATCCATTTAGCGGACGAAGACACCGACATACGCCTCATTGGGTTCGACATCATCCCATGGCGCCAGTGGGCATGGACAGCTTGCTGCGTGCTGAGTTGCGGTATCTTGGCGCTGCTTGGACATTGGTTCCCTCGACTGTGGTTGCAGTGGGTCGCCCAGGAGAAGGCATTCAAGGATGCGCACCAGGGCTTCGTCGTCGTCGAGGTGCGTTGAGTGTTGTCCTTATGACGCTCGCAGTGCCAATGGATCAAAGACTGTATACAGAGATATCGCCTTGATCCAACTGCAATCACTAGACTATCCATATGAACTTTCGACGGTATTCATCACCCCTGTTGATCCTAATGCTCGCCTTCCACTGTCGAGACGGTCCTCGCATACGCAACTGCAGAACGGGGATGGCGACGCTTCTCAGAAGCTTGGCAATCTTCTGGTTGTCGATTACCGGTATACGCGCTTTGCATTGGATCCTCGTACAGGTCTGTTCTCTTCAGTGAAGTACGTGCTCGCGTATTTGTACTACCTGAATACAGTATTAAACGCAAACATCCAATATCAGAGAGTGGCGAGATCCGTTCTGGACTGGTGTCAAGTCTGTTCAGCACGGCTTACCCACCGACGTGCAAATGCAACGACGCACGCTCTTTGGTCTCAACGCCATAGAAATAGAAGGGAAATCTACGATCGCGCTGCTAATCGACGAGGTATGGTTGTGCTCTATTATCCCACTTCACGGAAATTGTCTGAACCGTGGACAGGTCATCCACCCATTCTATGTGTTCCAAATAGCCAGCATCGTCTTGTGGTCCCTGGACGACTATTATTACTACGCATTCTGTATCCTCCTTATCTCAGCTATTAGCATCACTACTACTCTGGTCGAGACCAAGAAGGCGAGTACACAGCACCTCATGTGATCGTTGTCCTGACATTGTTGTAGACGATTTCTCGCATGCGAGAAATGTCCAGGTTTTCATGTCCCGTCAATGTTTTCGTCGACGATGGATGTAAGACTTCACGTCTACCGCCATGAGACCTGTGCTTACTCCGAAGCTGTGTAGGGGTAGAGCGTGATTCGTCAACTCTGGTTCCTGGAGATATTGTCAACTTGGTCGATCCTCCTTTGCCTGTCCTGCCTGCTGACATGTTCCTTTTGTCGGGCGATGCCATCGTTAACGAGAGTATGCTTACGGGCGAAAGCGTACCGGTAGGGAAGATACCTGTCAAGGACGCAGACCTTGCTCGGTACAAGGACGATAAAGACATCACTGGCGATAGCGCAAAGAGCTTCCTATATTCAGGAACGCGCGTGGTCCGTGTGAGAGGGTCTTTGGCTGCTGACGGAAGCCTCAGGACACCTGCTCTAGGTCTTGTGGTGAGGACCGGTACGTTCTGAGACACATTCAACGTTATATCTTGTTCATCTGTCACTTAGGGTTCAATACCACGAAGGGCGCCTTGGTTCGCTCTATGTTGTTCCCGAAGCCGATGGGATTCAAGTTCTATCGCGACTCCATAAGGTTTATATTGGTTCTGACCGGCGTTGCTGGGTTGGGCTTCTGTGCCAGCGCTGTCCAGTTCATCAGATTGGGTGTGCGTACCACTTCAGATCATTCATTCCCTTAATATTAATTGAGCCCGTCAAAAGGTCCCATGGCACACCATACTCATTCGAGCGCTGGATCTCATTACGGTGGTCGTACCACCTGCTCTCCCAGCCACGCTCTCCATAGGAACAAGCTTCGCAATCGGACGACTTCGCAAACTAGGCATCTTCTGTATCTCTCCAAGCCGCGTCAACGTCGCCGGCCAGATCAATGTCTGCTGCTTCGACAAGACCGGCACGCTCACAGAGGACGGACTCGACATCCTCGGCGTACGGGCCATCGAGCGCAATACGGGCCGCTTCGGCGAGCTGCTTGAGGACATCCACGACTTGCCGCACAGTCAGGACAGGGCGAACTTCCTGTACGCAGTCGCGACCTGCCATTCACTGAAGAAAGTCGATGGAGAAGTCATTGGCGACCCGCTTGATGTCAAAATGTTCGAGTTCACCAAGTGGACGTTGGAAGAAGGCGACGTCGCTGGGACTGGTGTCATCAAGAGTCGCGCTGGAGGTGGTCGCCCGGCTGCTCTGGTGCAGACGGTTGTACGCCCCCCTGGGAGCGCGCAATTCAGAATTGAGGACGCGATGAAGGGTGGTAGAGTAAGTCATATGCTCTAGTCTTGTATTCGTGACATAGACGGCTGACCAGATTGCAGCATGCACATTTCCTGGAATTGGGTGTAATTCGCACATTCGAGTTTGTCTCTGCTCTACGCAGAATGAGCGTCGTCGTGAAGCGGCTGAAGAGTAACAGCATGGAGATCTATGTCAAAGGCGCTCCCGAGGTCATGGCAGACATTTGCGACAAGGATTCATGTAGGCCGACGCATACATTCCGAGCGATCTGGAGGCTTACATGACTGAGCAGTTCCGCAAGACTACGACGACCTCTTGTCTTACTACACAAAGCGCGGATATCGAGTCATTGCTATTGCCGGGAAGAGTATCGAAGGGTTGACTTGGTTGAGAGCGCAGAAGCTCAAGCGGTGAGACTCGTGTCTGGTTGATGTCCGTTCCACTCAACATTGTCGCGCGATATAGGGAGCAAGCTGAGTCTGGCCTCCGTTTCCTCGGCCTAGTCATCTTCGAGAATAAGCTCAAGCCCGGGACAACGCCCGCCATACAAGCTCTACGTGCTGCGCACTTCACATGTCGAATGATCACAGGTGACAACCCCCTCACTGCTGTCAGCGTAGCTAGGGAATGCGGCCTCATCAATCCCGCTGCGCACGTCTTCTCGCCGTTCTTCATTCGAGGTCAGGAAACCAATGGACTTCAATCTCACGACCCACATACTAACAGCCGGCAGGTAACGCAACGACGCCTCTATCGAAGCTGAGGTGGCCTTGTACGGACGATCCTGCCTGGGAACTCGATGACTACAGCCTCAATCCTCTACCGCCTCCGGCACACCATACAGTCGACGAGGGCGAGCTTGACTACCATGATTATACACTGGCGATCTCCGGAGACGTATTTCGCTGGATGATCAACCACGCGCCTCTGGAGACCCTTCAGCGTGTAAGCCAGCTGTTCGTCCCCTTTTGTACTTGCTGAGCTTAGCGGCGATCAAATATAGATGCTCGTAAAGTGCCAGGTGTATGCACGGATGTCGCCCGACGAGAAGAACGAGGTTGTCGAGCGACTACAAGGTCTGGGGTATACCGTCCTGATGTGCGGTGACGGTGCAAACGACTGTGCTGCACTTAAGGCGGCGGACGTCGGATTGTCGCTTTCAGAAGCAGAAGCGTCTGTAGCGGCGCCATTCACAAGTCGGACTCCTGATATCCATTGTGTACTTGAAGTGATCAAGGAGGGTCGCGCAGCACTCGTGACGAGCTTCAGCTGCTTCAAGTACATGTGAGTGTTGGCCTTACGTGCTAGGGACGTGTTACTGATGTGATCGTCAAGGGCTCTGTATTCTTTGATCCAATTCACGACTATCACGTTGTTGTACTCCTTCGCGTCGTCTTTGGGTGACTTTCAGGTACGCTCGAACGCAACCGTGTCGCATTATCAGTCGTTCACCGTTCCTCTAGTTCTTGTACATCGACCTGTTCATCATCATTCCCATTGCTGTCACGAGTAAGCTTAGAGCAACTGCTTCAAGGTGCCTTGCACTGACATCGCCCAAGTGGGTCGAACTGCACCCTTTCCGAAGATACATCCCAAGCGTCCAACTGCTAGTCTAGTCTCCAAGAAAGTCTTGTCGAGCCTTGCCGGTCAAATTATCATCACGTCAGCCTTGCAGTTCTGGGCATTCTTCTGGGTACGACGGCAGGAATGGTACGTATCAACAGTCAATTCTACAAGCTCTATTCTTACAAGCGTATGACAGGTATCAGCCGCCACCTCCGAACGATCCCAGCGCGGATGACAACAAGCTGGAGGCGACGAACTTCGAAAACTCCACGCTGTTCTTGGTGTCGTGTTTCCAGTACATCCTGGTGGCAGCAGTATTCAGCATCGGACCTCCGTACCGCCGGCCGATGTGGACAAACGGTGATAGTTCTATCAATGCCTCTCGGAACCGGATCATCACTTACACACCGCACAGGTCTTCTCATATTGTCCATCATCGTTCTGTCGCTGTTCAACATGCTGGTGCTGTTGGCTCCCCCGCGTCCGATTGCCAGCCTCTTGGAGCTCGTCCCCTTACCCTCGTCTGCACGGACATCTATCCTGGCCATGGTCATCGTCAACATTGCGCTGTCCATGGCGTACGAACAATGGGCGACGCAGGCTGTGTCGAAGATTGTTGGGTATATCATGGAGCTTCGTCAGCACCAACGTGTGAAGAACGGCAAGATGTACAAGGCTGTCGAGGGGGGCATGCGATGACGGCGGCGATGTCTTTGCATTGATGAGATCCTGCCACTGGCCCGTACGTGCACCGCGCCGAGCAGTGCCTCTGCGTCTCTTTATCGTAGGGGTGATTGACGGTATGTTATGTGTAGTTGGCTTTATTGTTCAGTTCATTGCTATCGTACAGTGGTGTCTCGACGTTGCTGTCTCGTGTGTCGGTATTGAAGGAGAATTCGACCGACCACCTAACGCCAAATTGTTTGGGCCTTCTTGACCGTGACAAAAAGTCGATGTCAACAGTCGCAGCTGTCCATCCGTCACATCTCATTCGTCTCACGGCCGCCAAATGCCAGTGGCCCATCCTCAGGACTCAGGACTCCCACGGAATTAAGTTTCTTTGACGGAGGCGGTCCGCAGTCGAATCTCGACCGCCTGGTTGCGATGGTCGGTGTGATGCCTTGGTAGTTGCCGGTTGCATCTTTCGCTGCCGGTAAGCAGGACACTGATCGGAGTGCGAATACGTCCTTCGTTTCTTCGATCTCCGAAAGGGCAGCTTACATCCGGGGGCCGAGGCATTGTGCTGGGCGATCTGAGATACGGTGTAACGCACAACCCATAAACATGGGTTGTACAAACAGGGCGGGCAATTGGGTCGCGCTCGTCTTCCATCCCTTTCTCCTCCGTATCTCTTCCGGGTCGACACCCTTTCTGCCCTGGGGGCTTGTCCATTCCTTGTCTTTCTTCCGCCGTCCTAGTGTCGAACGCAGGAGCCAGTCTCCACTCATTTGCACCCGCTCAACCCACTCTCCTCAGTGCTTGAAGCCTGTCCCAAGATGCTTGGCTCATCTACATCAGCATTCGCCATCTGCCTCCTCTCCTTGTGCTTCTCTGGTTTCGTCAATGGCGCACCCGTAGTCCAACCCGACCCTGTCCTGATGGCCCCGCGCCAGTTGGCTACGCCGACCACGGTCACGACGACTGAGACTATACAGGCGTGCGTAGAGGACGTTGTTACCAGCATATCTTATCCTCACATTTCACGACATTATACAGGCCGACTGGTCCCATGCTGCAGACCTGCCAGATCACGCTGACCCCGAATTCGGACGGCAGCTACGAGGAAGTCAAGTCGTGCAGTCTGTCCGCCATGGGTTCCAGCTCTGCAGCCAGTGGCGCAGCTTCCTCGAACGCAGCCCCCGCGAACGCAGGTCCCCCTGCCGTTGTCGTCGTCGTGAGTATTCTGTCGAATCGTTTCGTAGCAACCACCAGCATGGGCCATATCTACTAGTACTATCTTCGTGCTATCGCCGGCAGGTCACTTCCGTGGCCAGCTGCGGGATTCCCTTTCGGAGACACGAACTGCTGTTAGCTCCCGAAGTAGCCACATTGCTCAACTCTGCTGCCACTACTGACTGCGCAGCCTCGAGAACAACGAACGCTCCGCGTTGACGGCGTTGCAGTATCTGAAGGCTATATCACGTGCGTGATATCGCATGGCCAATCACATTGGCTCCGTTGTCTAGGTTCTCCAGGCTGCGTGTCGTCTCCATAGTTGCCAGTTCTTCGCCACGAAGTGCGAAGATCATGGTGGTACCTGATGTTCGCATATTATTTATATTGTTTTTCACGATGGACGTGGCCCAAGCTTGTGCTCTCCACCGAAAACGTATATCATTACTCACAACGATTGTCTAGGGTACTTCTTCCATCGCGTCCTCTGCCATGTTCGCGACCGGTGCCGCAGCAACATCTGTTGCTGCGAGCATCTCCGTACGTCCAGTCCGTCCCATATTTCCTGTTGCTGAATGCTGATGTATCGCCACAGAGTGCCGCCGCAGCTGCGGCCACCAGTGCCGTCGGTGCCATCAACAATGGAGCGGGCGGTGCAGCTGCCAGCGTGAGCGCCGCGTCCTCGGCGAGCGCTGCTGCTGTGAGCAAGACGGCTGTGTCTGACGCCGCTGTGACGTTCACCGTTCCCGGACGGCACATCCTTATTCTTCCTTACGGCCTCATCATCTTCTGCGTCATCACTGGAACAATGTTGCTTGTGATTGTGTTCCAGCACTTCGAGCGCATGCGCTACCGCAGGGTAGGTCAACTTCTTATGGTGTCTGCGTGTGCAATTCATGAACACGCTACTCCCCATAGGCGTTCCGTCAACGCAAGCAGGCCGAGGCGGGCTACGGCAGCATGTGAGTGTACCTCTTCTGTAGTGACCCCGTCACTGATGATGGTATACCGCCTTGCAGGAAGGCGTAATGGTGATATCAGTGGGTTCCATCTAGAGTTGTTCGGCGTAACCAGGATTCGGCTCCTTCACATTTGCTCTGTTTATTTGTCTGCTCTGGAGGATAGACAATCCTATGGATGCGTGTACTCTAGCCGCCTGGGTTTGTGCCAACTATATGTTAATATCTCGGCAACGTTGATGACTCGCGCCAGTCTTGCTCGTTCCGACGTGCGACTGACTGACAACTTCCCTGGACTGTGACTTCGTTATTGACGTTGAGATCCCCAAGGCCCGCATGATTGACGCTGCTTGCCTAAGTACAGCTCAACGGTCACGTTGTCTATGACGCGTTGTCCGTGCTCGGTCGAACCGCATCCCATTCGGAATGGGCGATCTACTAAGCCAGAGGTTCTGCACGTCTCAGTGAAACAACCAGCACCGGCGGAGAGCAAAAAGCAACTGGCGGACTGCGTATTCTTGAGCGATTCGGAGTCTACGTACGATACTCATAAAGCGTTTTCAACGCACCCTAAGCTGCATCGCCTGGACTGCGCCGACACTCGCAGCGTTTCTGCATGATGGCTAACCACTCCCTCAGATCTGTGGATAGGTTCGCGGTCACCTTCTTGGTGGACAATTGCATAGAATGGTACGTGCTCGCGGTATGCGGATTCATGCACCAGAGCTGATGCGCCGGTACTCAGGATGACGAAGTTGCCTCCGGGCTTCACCCATGAAGTCAAGTTGCACCTCGCAGATAATCCACCGATCGACGATGTGACCGGGGCGCCTTTCCTGGATCTCGAAAACTATTGTTGTGGTGAGTGCTTCTCGAGGCTACAGCCAAGAAACCACTTCAAGTTGAACATCGCTTCGTAGGCGCGCACGGGTTCTCAGCCCTCATCGTTCGTCACTCATATCAAGCCTGTCCCACGATGCTGATACCTTCAGACGTTTAGGAGACGCAAGTCGGCGGCGAAGCGTCGCATTTTACGCTGTTCGACACGGGCCCCGACTCGCGCGCGATCGCGCGGAACGTCGCCGCGATGCACATCGACACGCACAAAATCGAGCGGATCATCCTCTCGCACTGGCACTCCGACCACAGCGGCGGCATGCTCTCCTTCCTGCGCATCCGCACGCAGTCCGCGTCCCAGGAGGCCAGCCGCTCACCGTGCGTCGTCGACCTACACCCAGACCGCCCCGTCGCGCGCGGCATCTCCGTCCAGGGCAAGGTGATCGGGAGGCTGCCCAATGACCCGACGTTTGACGAGATTCGTGAGCTCGGCGGCGTGCCGGAGACGCATGCGGAGGGCCATGTGGTCGCGGATGGTACAGTATGGGTCAGCGGAGAGATCCCGAGGGTGACAGACTTTGAGAGCGGTTTGCCTGGAGCCGTGAGATGGCTCGAGAACGAGGGAAAGCCAGACTGGGTTGCCGAAGAGGTCGGTTTCCTCGATTGGTCGCACGGAATTGAGCTATTGACAGTTCACAGCACATCATGGATGAGAGATACGCTGCTATTGATGTTGCCGGTAAAGGGCTGGTTCTCTTCTCTGCGTGAGCACTGCTTGTACTACTGAACAGTGTCACGGCAAACGCTCACGCTGACCCATTTCACGGCAGGTGCTCTCATGCAGGCATTGTCAACGTAGTCAAGGATGCAGTGGCCCAATTCTCGAGGCCAATCTACATGGTCAGTACTACCTGTGTTCGTTGGACGCTAATCATGTCGTTGATGTTGAACCGCTGGTAGATCATCGGCGGATTACATCTCGCAGGCACAGACCTCGTACCACGCATCGAGCCTACCGTCGATTTCCTGGCCAACCGCCTTCGCCCTGCGCCGACGTATGTGCTGCCCATGCATTGCAGTGGTTTCGCGGCGAAGGTAGCCTTGGAGCATGCGCTGGGAGAGGGATGTGTCCCTGCCGGAGTTGGGCATAAATTCGAGGTGACGGGTGATCGCGAAGCGGAGAAGCTCATATTCGCGCCAACCATCCAGTAAGCTGGGTATCTCTCTAGAAGTGATTTCGAGACGCAGGTTGTACCAGTACTTGAGATTTATAGCATGAGAGGCACTGGCAGATTGTATTATTAAGTTGTTGTCACGTAGGATCGAAGTTGTAGGCCATTGGTATACGACCGCCCTCCTCCCCTCAACAAGGTCGTGTTTAGAGTCTGCCTAGGGGAGACTAGGCCATTGGGCAGCCGGAGACACTTCACTGGACACGGTCTGTGTTACTAAGTGTTACCAATATTTGTGTTACTTACTCATCAGTAGCTTGGTAAGCCCGGAATGGCGATTGGGTAATTAAATGCGAAGGTCGCCGAAGCCGAAGCCTGGCCGGACCGACTCGTATTCTCCTCTTTGCCGCCACCTCCATCCGTTTCCACGTACAGTCTACGCTACCTGCCTCCTCTCGCGCTCCGGAAGCATGTTCAGGACACTTGCTACAAAGGTACCACTCCGCCGTTGTCTGCACACGTCAGCGCCGCGTTCAACGGCAGCCACACGTCCTAGCCGCACCGGTGCCGTCATAGCAGGGTCGGCGGTCGTCGCGACATATCTCACTTGGAGAACATTGCAAGGCGATAAGATCGCGCTGGACTCCGTCGCTTCTTGTACGTACGCGTTGAGCATCGTCATTACCTCGAACTGAACGGCTGTAGCCTCAAAACATGCCGCTCCAGGAGCCAAGGCTACGGATGCACCCGACGCCGTGGCAGGTGCACGTCAGGCAGCAGCAGAGGAGGCATCACTCGAAGAGTCCCTGACCGACCCGCACGACGTGCGCGAGCACGCGGAAGAGGAGTCCGAGAGTAGCGGCGGCGCGTACAACCCTGCTACGGGAGAGATCAACTGGGACTGCCCTTGTCTCGGCGGAATGGCGCACGGTCCCTGTGGTATGCAGTTCCGCGAGGCCTTCTCGTGCTTTGTCTTCTCGGAGAAGGAGCCGAAGGGTATCGACTGCGTGGAGAAGTTCAAGGCCATGCAGGACTGCTTCAGGGAACATCCGGAGCACTACGGTGAAGGTGCGTCCCAATTACCTGGAAGGCTGCCCCAATTCTAATCACAACCTACTGCAGACATTATGAACGATGATGATGACGAGGACGATGTTGCTCCCCCCACTGGCGACTCTCCCGTTGGTGGGCACACAACTGAGCCGATTGCTCAGACGCTGTCCGAGTCCCAGGCGGAGCAGCCCACCTCGTCGTCCACCGCATAGCCTTGCCCCTCAAAAGTACTAGACACATTCGTGCTATGAATATTGTAATCTGTGGCATCCCTACTCTGTACAGTTGCTTGCATCACCTCATTGCGCCTAATTGACGTACACATCTAGAGCCAGACGTCTGAGCATTCACCGCTATCCGCATGCGTGTGCATCCGTGTTGTATCAAGCGAGACGAGCTTCAGCCTGAGGCTTGAGGCTACGAACATTGAATCCGTCGCGTTCGGCAGCGCATTGGGAGGGTAATGCCGCTAACTCTCGGTATGAAGTGTCGTGCTTTGCGACTACGTGCATCTCGCTACATCATGGCGAATTTGGTAAGTACTACATCCACTCATGCGGAGTAACCGAAGTTACAAAGACCACACCTCTCGTGTCGCATCCGAAGCCACCTCAACATAACGGTTGTGCATATGTGCTGAACAGAGTCTGGGATACGGCGATCGGTAATGAGCACAGTGTCTGGCGATGGCGGAGCTCACTTGCAGCTCGAAGCCATGTCAGTCTGAGCAGGGCGCCTGACAGCCCTCCGTAGCACTGTACATGGTTTCCGAGGACTCTATATCCAGAAGACGCGTGGTCTGGAAGCGGAACAGCACAATGTGGCATGGGTGAGAAGTACAATTTGCTGCCAGGTAGCCGGGGACTGAGTACTGAGTACTGGCGTCCTGTTACAGTATGATGGTCAAGATTCAGACGCGTTTATAAAAACCTCTCTTGCAGCCTTGATCAGCCCATACAGTGTACATTTGTATGAAACCACAACTCATGTTCAAGAAACCGCAATAGTCCCTGCGAAGGCATAGTCAATGTTGTTCAAATGAATTTGGAAGACATGTGTTATACAGTGTTAGCAATAGACTGTCTAGGTAGTATTGTACAACGTCACTTAACCGATAATCGCCAGCTCCCTCAACCGAAGTGAGTCGTTAACAGCCCTGCCATCACCATGTCGATGAGTTCAGGAAACTCTTCAGCGCGCGGGAGCCTATCCTGTGGACGCGCCCGAGCCGCAGCCAAGCTCTCCAATGGGCCAAGTCCTTCCTCTCGTCTCCTCTCGTCGACGGTGACATAGAACTTCTCCAGAGCCCGCCGGTCCTCCCGTTCAACAGCCGAGTTCACCGGCTCGCCCCGGTTGTACCCGTAGCCTGACGTGGATGTCTCGTAGGTGAGTGCCATCTCCGTGCGCGGCGAGGCTTCCACATCCAGACCCCACAGGTACTTGCACATCACGCGGACGTAGGTGAGCTCCGTGAGCCCCACCTCGAGGCGATCAAACACCTGGGACCACTTGCGCTGCGGGATTTTGTTCCGGAAGGTGGCGCCCGTGTGCATGGGGCAGGAATCGAGCACGAGCGACGTAAGAGTCGTTTGGTGTCTGAGGATGAAGTCCTCGAGGTTACTGTCGATGTCGAAGCAGAACCCGCCGAGCTTCAGACTGCACAAGGAGGGGAAGTGGAGGCTGGGGAAGTTAACTCCCGGCCATTCTGTGCCGACAGGCTGGTCGCTCGTCATGGACAAGGATGTGAGGCTGCTTTGCGCGGGGGCAAGTATGTAGTCCGGTAGGTACTCCTGCCAGAACGCCTCCCAGTACTCTTGGCTGTCCAAGGTACGCGCGCGGTGCACCGTGAGCGTCAGGTTCTCCACGGACTCCATCAGCGTCTTGAAGCCTTCCTCCATCATTGCTGGCTCAGGGCATGGAAGAAGGTTGCGAAGAGACAGCGTCTTGAGGCGCAAAGGGGGCGAGTTGCCCGCTTCGGTTAATGCGTCGAAGACATTGAATTGCTGCATGATGTATTTGGAGACACCCGCAATGATCTCCTCGCGCGTCATCGGGACGTGCAGCGCTTCAAAGTGCCTGCCCGCAAAGAGGCGAACGTGAAACGACTCGAGCAAGGGGAAGAGCCGCGTGAGGTCCGACAGGATCGCGGTGACTGCTTTAGTCACTGGGTCCTGTTGGTTAGCTGCCGCACCGAGTGAGCAAGCAATATTCGCACAGATTCTGGCGAGAGGAATATGCGTACGTGGGATCAGTGCAGTGTCCCCAAACGCTAGAGGGGCCTGGTCCCCAGCACGGTATTCCAGCCTTTTCGCCCACTTCGCCAGCCGAGCGCGAAACAACTTAATCATTCTCGCGACGCCCTCCTTTGTATGTTCCAGCATGAGGGAATCGAAGGCAAGCGGCGTCGCTAACGTCCTCCAGACCTTGTTCACACCGCGCAGGGTGCGGCGGTCGTCGTGTTCTGAAGCCTCGATGAACGCAATGAGCACCTCCGCCGGACATCGATTGATTCCAGGGTTGGACATCGATTCCATCGTGTTCGACAGGTTTTGTGGTACCACAGACCCTGGGACGGGCAAGTAGTACTTGGACGAATCGAGGGCGTGAAGGTCGTAGTTAAGCGAATGTGGCGGGAGGTGTTGTTGTCCGATCGATCGCCTCGTGGCTATCAGACTATTTGCATCTGTGGGTGATAAGTCAGCGGTTGCCCAGTGTTTCACTGTAGTCAGATTTGTCGACCGTGGACGCTATAGCTAATGTCGAGTATGAGATCGTTAGTGTAGCACTGATATACAATGTCAACCACGGCCGGGAAGTCGACTGAGCGCAACAGAAAGCCTTATAATCAGTAGTAGTACTTAGTACCATCCGAATTGATCAATCCTGTCCTCTCATGCGGCCAGCGGGCCTTCTTGAGCAAACAACTGGATCATCACGTTTGAAGGTGGTATTTCAGCGTTCGCATGCAGCTTGTAAGTATCCTAGCACTTCTATACACCTCCCAACGGTCGCGCTACAATCGCGGCACGGCACTTCGGCCATTCCAGCGACACGGTCTCGTGACCGCGTTAGTTGAGTCTGTTTCGACCAAGACTATCAGTGAGTGATCAGGAAGACTCGCGACCGTCTCTACGCACTAGCCTCCGCAGACATGGGCGAAAACATCTTGAAGGGGATATCGACGTAGCGTTTACCGGCAGCATGCCCGTAGAGCGGAATTGGCCCTACAGACGAAGAGGCTGTGGCAACGCATCATGCATGTCTGTGATGCGCGTGATTTACTCAGCATTTCCTCGTAACATAGCCTTCTCTACACAACACGCGTGCCTGTCGCTCGTCCGAGATGTTGGCAGTTGGCAGCCAAGATCGCAGTGAGTTTCGCAATTCGACGATTTGCGGTTTGCGGGTGCATTTGCACCGACGGGCTACGAACCCTGCGGCCATTCATTGTTAGCGTACTGAGCCGCCGAGTACCGCAGTGATTGGTCTCGATCGTGCACAGTTTGTAGGTGATATGGATCTCATGGGTAGTCCCGCTCCCCATTCTGCTGTACAGATCTGCGTTCATGCTAGAGATTTAACACAAACCGGTAGAGAAGACGGAGAACACACCAGAATTGGCGTACACAGCATGGCCTGACAAAATTCATCACAACGGCCGTCCTCGATGAGGCTGGTTGACCCTGAAAATAGTCAAACCTCGGGAACATAGTACATGCCCTCGTCAAGTTTTCGGCGAGCACTGTCCGTCCATGCTTTACGCATACGCAGATTTTGCATCGCCGGGGTGCTGAGGTATATAAGATTTACTGTCTTTGTCTCTGGCCCAGCACCAACATCGTTCCCCACTCCCTCATCGACTCCGAGCCGACATCCAGCTCTCAACTGCTTCAGTTAACGTGTTTGCTTTCGCGGTCCTCGCCCTCGCCCTCGCGTCTGCCTCCCTGGCCATGCCTGCGGTCACCAAGCGCCAGAACTCCTGCACGGCGTACGGCGCGGGTGTCACCGACAACCTCACGTACAACTTCACACTCTCGGTCGTCGACCCCAACGCTGCCGAGGGTAGCGCTGGTGTCCCCGTCGAGATGGCCGTCGGCCCTCTGACCACGAGCAGAGAGGCTAGCACCTGGTGGCTCCAGGTCAGTTACAAACATTTTGCAGTGATGCATATTGGCGCTGACTGGTACGGATAGACCTCCTCGGCGAGCGACGTGAGCGACTTTCCTACGTTCGGCATGCAAGGCGGCGCGCTTGTCCCCTACCCCGGCTCAGCCGACTCGGACCTCGAGGCGAAGGACATGCCGGTCAACGCTGGCAGCGTTATCGAGTTTACCGTCGTGAACACCGTCCCCGGCGAGACACCGTTCTGCACTTCCGTGAGTGTTCCAAAGACCGCGCTTTGTGAGATGATCACTGAGACATGCCTTGCAGTCGGATGTGGGCGACAACGCGTCCCTCGTCGTCAACGGCGGGAACACGACCGACTTCGCGCTCTGCGAGTCGTCGAAGAGCAGCTATGTCCTCGTCTTCCAGCCCTCGGACAACAACGGCGGCCAGTACGAGTTCGACACGTGCGTGTCGAAGCGCGTGGAACTGGTCAAGGCTTGAGGCCCAAAGGATTCTCGGCGAAGATCGATGTCGTTCTCTGTCGGATCGGACTGCTTTAGCTTCTGTTTCTCTTCACGGACTCCTGGACTTACCTACATGGACTTTTGCATCATGGTTCTTCTAATGATGTCACGCTCGCTGTGTTTTCATCTATAGTGTTTGTAGTGCTGTACGACACTGTTAACAACTCGTCAGACATCCTCATGCAGTCTGGAGTGACTATCATGCACAGGGCGCAGCGAACCGAGATGGAGAACACTCGACTGAGATGATTTCCCTGGTGCGGATTCAGCCAACTTGGACTGGCGGGACCTGAGAGTAGAGTCCAATGTTCCACAGGTACCCGGGTGACTTGCTCACCTATCATCCGAGTCGGAGAAAGCTGAACGGATGTCTCACTCAACGGGTGTTAGACGCCAACGTGTTCGTTAAAGTTTTGATTGATGCCCGTGCATCTCCGTAGTACATAGTTGTACCACCACGAAGTCGGGCAGACTTGGGGTAGAGAAACCTGCGCAAACTGAGCGTATATATCAATCCCTGGACCACGTAAGACCTGACCAGAGCAAGCAGCAGCTTGTCAGAGGAGAGTGTGATAGCGCACACGACCTCTGCGCTAGCAATTGAGACCCGTCTACATACGAACCACGGCCTGTACCGAAAGCTCGTGTACCAGCCTTCTATTGGCCCGGTGACCAAGTTGCCGTACGGCCAGGCAGCTTCCCTGGCAGAATCACTCTTGGAGCGCGCGTGTGCGGGGAAGGCGCACGAGGTGAGCGGTCATGGCGAAGTTATGAGAGGGACCGGTGCCTCGCAAATGCAGAGGGCTGGGAAGATACGCAGGAATACCGGAAACGACCCGCAGGGCGTTGGCAGCCCGGAACAATGCCTGCACATGCTTCATGCGTTCTAGGCATCTGACTCCCGAGGCCGTGGCAGGTTAGAGTCGTGGATTGCCAGACTGCGATGTGCAGAAGTGCAGGCATAGACGTTATCACGAGGGATGCTTTCATTTCCGTCTAGGAACAGGACATGAGCGAATGAAGGGTCGACTCACCTCATTGTGCTTCTTCTCCGCCGTACCTTCACGGACTAGATGGACGCCGATGCAGAATTACTCTTCCCCGGGAGCAAACACCGTGTCTATTGGCATCTAGCAAATGCGAAATGAGTCATGGCCCAGAGTTTTGAGATTGGTATAAGAAGCGTAGAACGCCTCAGGGCCTCATGCTCATTGCTCAGGCCTCAGGCCCCAGCGCTCAGCCGGTGCAGCCTGCCACAGCGCACACAAATAGCGTAGTGCTATGGTCACCGGCCAGACTGAGATGAGGTGGTGGCGACAAGGGGCTGAAGCAACCGCTACCAAGAGACAAGCGGCGTAACGATGGATATGCTCGTGAACGCCGGGGGCACCGTACATCGGCAGCTGCGGGCCATAGATTTCCGTGCCATTTCGCGTGGTAGAATTCATTGTGAGGACGTCTTTAGGAGCTTGGATACAGAGTACGCGCATGTAGTGGTCATAAGGGAGAACCGAGGAGGAAAACGGGGAGAATGAAAAAGGAACGGAGGACACGAGGCGGTGAGAACGCCGAACAAGGTTGAAGTCTAAATCGGCGATATCCATTTGTGGCTGCTGTCTAAAGTGACCGCGCCGAGCTAGAAAGCCCCTTGTCCTCTTTCTTCTTCCTCAATTGGCCGTCTTTATGTCTTTGTGCTCGGTCGGTGTTCTTCCCGTTTCGCTCTGCTTGTTCGCGTCTCATCACTTATGTTTGACTCGCACTGGCAGATCCTGCGACCCACGAAATTTCTTGATCCAGTGTCCACTCGCAATTTACTGAGCCACGCCAGTCATTCTTACAAGTCCCGAGGGCTACTGCTGCCTCTTCCATCCCTAGATTCGGCTGGATCATGGAGCCGTCGACCGTCGCCGAACAACGCGCAACTGCTGTCGCAAAGCTCAAGCGTGCGGCGTCACTCCCTCGTATGAAGGACGGGCGCCGCCCACCGATGCACGTCGAGGCCGTCAGCGAAGGGGAGAGGATGGAAGATGATGGGCGGGCTGATGAGGAGATGGAAGATGAGTCGGATGTAAGGCGGGGGTCGCAGGAGGAAGGGTCGGACCAAGGGCCTGGGACAGAAGTGGCGGAGGAGGCGAAGGTCGAGGACACACCGCCACCGCAACCACCAGAGACCCCAGTGCAGTCGGAAAAGCAGTCGGAGAGCACGCCGACTCGCTCGAAGCGGAGATCCCGCTCGCGGACGCGCTCACGGACCTCCAAGGACATGAAGAACAAGGCGACGAAACACTCGCCACACGTCAGCTCCGCCAGCCATACAAACGAGTCTTCCGCGGACGAGTTCTATCCCTCTGCGCCAGGCGAGGATGCGCCTCCGTCACCTCTTCTAGTCTCGCCTATACCGTCTCAGGCGTTTATGCTGCCAGCTTCGCGGCTGCTTGCATCCCCGCTGTTCAGGCCAGGCACGCAACCACCGACACCTCTGCCCACGCTCAATGACCTGCAAACTGTCGCTCGGATGGGTCTGTATAGATCAAACAGTGCGGGTGCGGCTAGAGCCATGGCGATGTCCAAGTTGACTGGCGAACCTATGGACCTCGGATTCATCTCGCCTTCGGCTACACCACCGCCCGGCGGGGCGCGACTGCAGCGTAACAATACAGTCTCCGGAGGTGAGAGGCTAGCTGCGAGGAGGCTCATGCTGAACAGACTGGGCAACCGAATCAATGCGGCGGATGGTGATCAGACTAGTGGTGGCGAGGAGGCCCCAGCGCCGGTGCTTCCGCCAAAGCGCAGGAGACGGCGGTCGAAACGCGCTTCCTCGCGTGCGTCGACCGTGGTGGACGATCGAGAAGAGCGCGAACCTCCTTCTACGACGCCTAACACGCCAATCGTGCCGCCGTCGCCCCTACAGCCTTTCAATCACAACGCCCCGGAACCACCACGTCCACCGACAGCCAATGGAGATGCTGGCCGCGCATCTCCGTTCAGAAAGCTGAATGGGAGCGTAACTTACGACTACGAGAAACCCACTGGCCATCGGGGCGTGGTTGTCGAAGAAGAGGATGATACACCGGAGCAACTACCATTACCCAAACTGCCCACAACACCCGCGCGGGGGTTCGCACAACCACCTGGTACTCGCCTGCCACATACGTCCGACGCGCCATCAAGCACGTCGACAGACTCGGCGCCCGCAGGTGCTGTAGGGGTACCATTCTTCCTGTCACGGCATCCTGGACTGGGACGGGAGCCGTTCCCAGCGAGCCCGTTTGCTACTCCGTTCAAAGAGAAGCCGTTCCCGGACGATGATGAACAGGTGCTTTACCAGGAGACCAGGAGTCGGTCAAGGCTCGCTTTCGAGCGCGAGAGTGAGATCAGTTGGGTCGCTGAGCCATGTAAGTGATAGGGGTTCGCTAATAATTTTGCCGAAACTCAAGCGCCTGCGTTTTAGTGCCCGTTGAACGTTCACCTGTGGATGAAGACGAGCAGGCGGACGAAGACGAGGATGACGGGGACGCAGATGAAGAGGAGGAAGATGAAGAGGTGCAGGAGCCTGAAGCTGAGGCCGAAGAGGGTGAGGAACCCACTGGTGACATTGAGCAACCCTCGCAACCCTTGCACGATCGGCCCCAACTCACAGCGCGGACCGACCTCGTCGTTGATCTCGAGACTTCTCCGGAACCGACTTCTTCACATATCGTCCCTTCTCCTATTTCTCCAATAGTTCCCCTCTCGTCTCCGACCCCTGACCTGCAACTGAACACTCAGGTCTCTCCCGTTACGTACCCGCGGGCGCTTGCTGTAGGGACGCCCAGTCAGCTCGATCGCCCTCCTAGTGTTGACCTCTCTGATTGGGAGGAGCGAGCAAGGCTGACTGACTCCACGATCAAACGGACACCAGGGGAGTCTACCAGTGCTTGGGAGCGCGTGAAGAACACGTTCGGTATCAGCCGGAGTGGTTCTATCAGCGGCCGACGCTCACGCACGAACAGCATCAATGCGCGGGATCGTCGCAACAACACGGACTCCAGTGTTAGTCGTGACAGTCGTGCAAGTCTGTCGAAGGAAAAGGGAGATCATGCTCACCCTGACACACAGCCCCCCTCTGCGTCTACGTCTATGTTATCTCTTCCTGCCGGTGCTCAGATGGGTCTGCATTCTCCAGTGCCGCCCGCTACTCCTGTGGACATGCTCATGTACGAGGCAAACTCCAAGTTGCACCCGTTCCCTGGTCTCAAGCCTTCGTTCCCCAACATGAAGGCTGACGGGAAGGGCGGGAAGCCCATGACGCCTTCTGCCTCGAGCCCAGATGTTGCATCGCCCAATGGCCTTGGTGAAGCCCTCAGCTCAAGCTCGTCGAACACCGCGACATGGCAAATAGAGAATGGTAGGGAACGCAAACTCTCCCACCAAGCCTCCGACAGTCGCCTCCTGCCGAAGTTCAACGGCGCCACCTCGCCGCCCCCTGTATCGGCCGTGAACTCGAACGCTTCCCAAGGTGATTGTTTCAGTATGTATCCCATGCCTACTCCCGTAAACGCAAGTACCACAGGTTCGATGAAGCTGCCAATGAACCGGGAAGGCGTGAAGAAGTGGCTGAGCGCGAAGAAGCTGTTCTCCTCGCAGACATCCCCTGTCATGACACCTAGCGGTTCTAGCTCGCCTCCTTCGGATAGCCGGCCACGGATGGCTGACAAGAAGGGTTCGTTCTCCGACATGCTGCTGAACAGGAAGGAGGCCGAGAGCGACTGGGAAGAGCTGAACCGCGCCAAGTCACCGACGTCGGTGAACTCTCCGGGCAGTGCGGGCACCTCCACTCTGGGCAAGCCACGAAGAGAAGACGGCAGATTGCCTCCTAGGGGACCGACTCCTGTCTTCCCGAGCCAGGATTCTAGCCCAGAGACAGTCTTATCCCCCAGGCCTGATGTGGACTACAGCAGGTCGAACGGTGTTGCGTCACCGTCTGACTTCTCTGCCTCGTATCCATCCCCACCTGATCCGCCGTCCTCAACAACCCCAGATCCTCAATCCTCCCTTGACGAATTCCCGATCCGCTCGACGTCAGAGTCGTACTCTGACTCGTCCTCCCATCGGTCAACAGACCACCAGCGCTTAGAGTCTTCACAGAGTGCATTCATCTTCGAACGGCTCGAAGAGGTGCTCGGGCGAGGCACGAAGACTTCCATGTACCCCGACGACCCTCCAAGGAAGCTCGTCATGTCTTCGCCTGTCCTTCAGGTGGCAAACACCAATACCGTCAAAGATCGGTTCCTGTTCTTGTTCAACGACATCTTGGTCATTGCGAAGCCTATCGTGCAAGATCATGATGCTTTGTTGGATACGATGAAGCCCAGCCCGCTGGACAGGAAATTCATCGTGAAGAGTGTCTGCCGGCTCCGCGATCTCCGTCTGTGCAGTGACCGAGATGAACAACGCTCGAAGGCATCCAGCAGCTCCAATCAGATGCGTCATCCGGTGATACGGACTTTCGTGACGCAATTCTCCAAGGAGCCCGACCATGCCATTGCCGCGTTGTTCACGAAAGCGAATTGCAGGGATGACCAGGCTGCTCTGGGACAGTTGCTCTTCCGTACAACGGATCTGGATAGAGCTCGACTGGGAGAGTACCTGTCTCGTCGGACATCTAAGGTCGCCCTCAAGTCCTTTGTCGATACTTTTGGCTTGACGGCTCTGAGGATTGACAAGGCGTTGAGAGTGTTCCTCCAGGCAATGAACATCCCGAATAAGCCTGGCGCGCTGGAGTACCTTCTAGACTCCTTCGCTAGTCGGTGGTACGAAGCAAATGCAGGAATCGTCGCGTACGATAAGGACCTCGCCATCCGGCTTGTGCGTGCCATCGTGCAACTCAACGAGGTCATGCACGGGGCTATCGCGCAGGAGTCTGGTATCACAGGTTACCCGAGACGCAACATCTTGTCGCACGACTTCATCGAGGCTTTCAGGAAGTTCGACAGGAGGGGTCTGGTCAGCGATGACCTGCTGGACAAGGTCTATACCTCCATCCGGAAGGAACGATTGACGCAAGCACGCAGTCCGTCGGCGTCCATGTCCCAGCCTGACATCCCTGTCACCGTAAAGCGCCCCCTCCCATCTCGCCTCACCTATCGCATGCAGTCGGAGCCTGTCGTCTTGCGCATACCGCAGCCGGATCCACAACTGACCATCCAGCTGTTTGGCCAAGATCTGGTCTTCGATCCACCTGTGCTCAACTTTGCCAAGTCCTCGGAGGCGTCATTCCGCGTCACCGGTACGTCGCTGGGTACGAAGTCGATCATCATGTGGCGTTCCGGGCCAAATGGTATCCTGTACTCTGGACTGCCTCTCAGCAGCACCATCGTCGTCGAGCGGGCCTTCATGCGCAACACGTTCCAGCTGGCGTTCGTCGACCGCCATGGCTCGAAGCGGAAGTACATGTTCAGCCTCGATGATCCTCTCATGCGACACCAGTGGTCGGTTTCGATCAAGCGTCAAATCGACATCGTGGCGTCCACGGTGTCGCCCGCTGAGGCGTCGGGGTCGTCCTCGAAGACGTACAGGGCGAACGAGAGACTCGCGTTCAGGGTCCTTCAGGAGACATTGAACAGCTCCGATGACGAGGATGCGGTTCCTGCGTCGCCAATTGACCAGGCGCTCGCGCGATTGAACGGTGCGCCTTCGCCGTGGCATGCCCCCCATGGCAGCACGTCAAGCGGGCGTGGCGCGTTGAACGGTTCATATGGTACAGGACGGCCGAGTCCTGGACACATAGGCAACGGTGCGAGCCCTCACGTCCGCTCGAAGTCTCGGAGCAAGGTTTACCATCGGCATGGCCCTGGCAAGTTCGAGTTGGAGCTGAACGATAGCTCGGACGCGCGGACGGACGACGAACAAGTCCATCCGGATGGTTCGGCCCATTCGCAGCAGCAGCGGTTGTGGAGCGGGCGTGATCTGGAGATCGTTTGCCGGCAGAACAGCTTGATCACTCCGATGCTGGCATACCTGCAGGCCGGTCGGAGAGATACAGACGTGCCAGCTGGTGCTGTATCATAGTACAACGATGCATCCCGTAAGTCCACTGTGTAATGTTTGGCGTGCCTCGAGAGTTGATTTCTGATCTCCTTCGGCACAGATATTATTTAATCCGCTATGTCTCCATTGCTATCGTGTTGTATACCCTTAGTGTCGCATCCACATGTTCTGATGGACTTCGCTGAGGATAGAGTATCCCTCCTCTCCTTAATCTCATGTCGCAGATGGAATCGTCTCCCTGTTTATGTTTATTCGCTCTTTTTGTGTCACTACGTAGTCCCAAAGCTGCTCGATCTATGCATTATTCATCAAAATATTCGTAAAGTATGACTTGTGCTGTCTTCCGCTTGAATCAGCCCGCCGTAGACAGAAGCGGCATACAGTCCTCCGTCTGAAGCCACACCCTTTTAAATTAGCGAAGGTACAAGTCTCAGAAGTCTGCGCAGGAGCTTGTCGAAGGTTCTGGTGCAACGGTGGGCCGTTGATATCATGATCAGCGAAGAACTCATCGTTCGCTGGACTCGGATTCGATATACAGTACCAGCGCCGCTGACCATGCGGCGGTGCCGATGAATCCTCGCGGGTAGAAGACTTGTGCGAGCGAACAATGCCCTATCATCTCCGAGTCTATTTCGTCAGGTTCGAATACTAGGCAGCAAACGTACTTACTCCGCATTGTTGTGTCTTGAGTAGAGGCGGCGACAGCGTGACCTGGCTTTATGTATCACAGGCTGTTGCCCTGAGATTGCGCTCTTGAGCCGAAGGAACGCGAGAACGAAGCACTGGCAAAATGGGAAGTATATACTTCTTCGCTTATGCGGCCTAGAACAGGGTCTTTGAGTGCGGGTCGGAACGAGTTGTTGCCTCGAGTCTTCTCGGAATCCAGCCTCGTGCCCTCACTTCGACTCTTCTCAATTTAACACCAAGTACCGCTCGCATCCAAGGCTGGACATAACACGTCTAGAAGTCAAGCTGGTATCTGACGCACCTCACTGCACATGCCATGGACCGTATCTCACGACCAAAATACACCGACTGCGTTGCTGCGTCGCGAGTCGCAGTGTCAGAAATGACCCTACAGTTACGGGACGACGATGGAGTGCACTGGCAGGTTGCGGTAGAAGACGAGTGAGAAGCTCGATATGAGGCCCTGGGTGGGAAGCCCGGGCCACCATCAGGCGGTGACAGCTAAGTGACAGCCTAGAGCAGACTGTCAGCTCCGCTGCTAAACACCACCATCTCCATAAAGGCATAGCGACTCGTCTCTGACGCCTGCGTCCCTTTTTGACACTACGCCCACTCGCGACGACCGTCGTGTACACTCGAGACTCGGATTCAGGCGACCCAGCCATCTGTGGGAAGGTTCTTCATCACGAAGAAGCTGTCCCCGATATGTCCGGAAGGCAAGACTACGCAGCAGAAGATGTCGATGAAAGGTCGGAGGATGAAGCGTTTGGCGACGGAGAGGCGGGGAATGCTAGCGGAGTCGCGAGTGGTAGTACTTCGAAGCGGACACCGCGAGGTAAGTCCGAGTCTACCAACCTGTTGGGCATGTAGTGCCGACCACTCTGGCTGGCCATAGCCTGCGACAGATGTAGGAAATCTAAGAGCAGGTGTGAACCGGCTGCAGGCGGGGGAGAGCGCTGCAAGGGATGCATTGCGGCAGGTACAGGTACGAGAGTCTTCCGCCGGGCTCATTTTACACTACGCGCATGCAGTCTGACATCCATGCCCTTCAACCCTGCAACGCAGAATGTACTTTCTCAAGTGCGCATACAGTAGTCAATGTCCGACATATGTATAACTCAATGTCCGCGCGCAGGTCCTTCCTTCCGGCGAGGCCCGCCAAAGGGTTATATCAAAGCACTGGAGCGGCGGCTTCACCAGATGGAGAGCGTGCTCGCCGCCATCATGTCCTCCAAGGATGCGCACGCGACCGGGCTTGTCGCCGACCTGCGGCGGGACCGTCTCGCGAAGCACATTCTGGACGGAGTTGACGCGGGTCCATTCGTGCGAAATTTTTTCTACCTACGCCCTTGCGAACTATGTCTAAGTGTTGGGTCCACGACGCCTCGCATTCACAGGGTCCAGGCGGGCGACAGCAGCGGTCGGTCGATCCTACGCAGGACAACTTCTTTGCGTCGATCGTAAGCCCGACGCCGCGGCAGCAGAGCGACCGCTCGCGCAGACAGTCGCGCTCCACGCGTGAGGGCGTCACAAACGCGAGGGAAGGTGGGTGTTCCTCCGACTGGATCGCATATATGCAGGCGGCAAACCGACCGGCCTCGTAGACCCCGTTGCTACGGAGCGACCGACGCTTGAATGGCAAGACCGCCTGTCGGAGTCGCTTGCACGATGGTCCCAGTCCCGTCAGTATGAGCAGCCGGTTCCGAGTGACTCCTCGCAACTGCTACCTTTCCAACGTAGTGCCCCTGCTACGGATGATGCCCGGGAGCCCGCGCGACACAAGCGAAGATTGACGGACTCTGCATCCACGCACCACGAACTGTCATGGGACGATGTGCATGCCACGCCAGGTAAAATTGCACGCGTCCTTGTGATCTCAGAGGACATGACGTTTGGCCTTAGACACAGATGAAGATGAACTCGACGACTGTGCGGACGCTTTTGGACATCTGTCGTTCGATGAACATCGTGAGGTGCGTTTGTGTCTGCTTATACTATCGCGAGCCGCGTCGTCACAGAGCACCTTTATTTTCAGGTCCGGTACCACGGCAAGTTGAGCGGTATCCACCTCCTTGCGCAGCATCAGCGCGAGGATAAGCGCAACTTCGGTGGCGTCTGGTATCTGACCGTACTTCTCTTCTGCAACTTCTCCTGCTAAACATACCACTATAGGAAGTTCCCTATGGCAAAACTCTGGCCGCCCGTGCCGGCGGGCGAAACGGAGTATGGCCAGCGCGAGAAGTCGAGGCTCAGCCTGGAAGCGAGTATACCGATGCCCCCGCCGGATGTGCGGCTACACCTCATCAGGATATTCTTCACCTATGCGAACACGGCGTTACCTGTCCTGGACGAGGAATCATTCATGGAGCAGTATCATGCAGAGTATGGCCCGGCTCAGCCAAGGTGTGCTGATGTGTCCATGGTGACTATATGCTGCACAAGGCACTCACCGTCGTTCAGTGCGCGCTCAGCGGAGGGTGTCATCCCGGGCCCCAGCGGCTCTGACCCAGCTGGTATAACGCAGCCTGAGCGGATGCAGAAGTTGTCGAAACTGTTGCTGTTTGCTGTGTTTGCGTTTGCAGCGCAGTACTGGGATACGAACCAGGCAGAACAGTATGCCGCGAACGCTAGGAGACTGCTTGGTGCGTTTTTCGTTCGAGCGTCCTGTAGTCAGCTGACAATGTTAGACTTGGTGTATGGCGAGAGTCGTACCTCGACTGTGCAGGCTCTGGTCCTGATGGGAGTGCGCGAGTTCGGTAATGGTGGGGTATGTGCGGTGGAAATGCAACGTAGCGCTGACCAAACTTGGATATAGCGAGCGTGGAAGAAGGCTGGCTGCATGTCGGTAAGTTGGTCATAAAGCGGATATGTCAAGCAGATCGGCAGTGTTTGTTCCTGACATTGGGCTGGACTCTGCTGACCTGTTATAGCCGAACGGATGAGCAAAACTGAACAATTCTTATCACAGGAATGGCCGCACGCATGGTACGAATCACCGCACGCAACGAGCTTCGTTCCACAATTGAAACAAAACAACCGTAGGCCGTTGACTTGGGGCTCAACCGGAACTCCGAGAAATGGCTCAACAATGGACGCGAGATGTTTTCGCACAAGGAGCAGAACATCCGGAGGACGATTTGGTGGGCATGTTGCTTTGCAGATAAGTCAGTCTCTGAGACTCTTGAGTGGTGTGTTCCGTGCTTGACCTTTTTGCGACTTGGTCCGCGATTAGATACGCATCACTTTTCCTAGGTAGGTCTCCGGCCACTTGCCGTGTATCGTACACTGTACGATTGCTTGCCTCCCAGGAAGACCGATCATTGTGCACGAAGCCGACTTCTCGACTTTGCTCCCTGAAGTTTCACAGGTGCGTCTGGCTTGCCTACTCAGGCATTTGGGCTCATCAACTACCGTGTGTACATCTAGGAGGACGAACATGTGTGGGTGCCGATGAGCAACAATCCTCAAGATCAAAGCATTCCGGCTATGCCTGGCTTACGGCAAAGTTACCATCGGGCGGCGTCAGCATTGAGTAGATACCCTTGGCTCCTGCTTCTAGTCGTGGATTTTATTGACATTCGTTCTAGCGGTCATCCACGGCGAGATAGTCGAAAAGATCTATCCGGTGACTCGTGTCCATCAGCTTCCCCGTCGTGCTCTCATGGAACAAATACATTCGCGGCTAATACAATGGTCACTCGATCTGCCTGAAGTGTTGCAATACTCATCGAAGAGCAAACGACCATGTCCCCCGCCGCATGTCCTGGTGCTACATATTCAGTTCTGGGCGATGATGTTGCTGCTCCACAGGCCATTGTAAGTCGACATCTGCATGTTTAGCAAGGTCGTGTATATCTCAACAAATCATCTCCTATCAGCATTCCAAAAAGCTTACGGTTCGTGAAGTTTGTCGTCTACTAGTGACTCACCGCTCAAACATAGTAGCTCGAAAACACCACCCTCTCCTTCAGGGGATGATCACGTACCCTGGAAGTCATTTGATTTCTGTCAAAGCTCCGCTTCCCATATCAGCGCCTTCGGTAGGTCCCCAGACCCCTCGTAACACGGATTCGTACCAATTGGTATCAGCTACATTGTATAACCAGCATTACGACATACGCTGGGCCCCACCGTTGATATCTTCAACCCTTCAAAGTGCAGGGTGAGCGGATGGTTATTATTAGGGTGTAACGATGACTAATTGTACCTTCATTTCACAAGCATTATGCATGTCGTGGCATGTGAGTTCAATCCACACCCCCTTGGTTGGGATTACTGACCCGACCCGACCCTTATAGTGAGGCTACGGTCAAATGACGCTCGAGCAGCGACAGGCTTGACCCAATGCATCGATGTCTGCGATCGAATGCGTGTGAGATATCTCCCATAATTTACAAAGGTACTGACTCATTCCTAGACGTAGGACGTTTGGCACACTACTGCTCGAGTAGCGGACCTCCTCCGAGGCGCTGGGGTGCAGATCGCAGTAGCATTGACAGGACCGGCTAACCCGTCGCGCAAACGTCCCGTGGAGGTCGCGCTGGAGGAATACTCTGCCGAACAACCTGCAGACACCCCCCAGCCTCAGCAGGTTGTCGCTCCTGTTGTACCCTCCCACGGGTACGCCGAGGGTTCTCGTGTTCGGCCCATACCAACTACTGTGCCGCTTCCTCAGCCACAGCCACACCAGGACCCTCAGTACGGGCCTAACTTCATGACTGCCCTTCTTGGTCCGGACTACGTTCCAACAGCCTCTGTCGCTCCCGGCTACGATTGGTGGCCACTGGAGTCGACGAGCGAACCCGCACCTATGCCTGAACCACCATCACAATATGTCCCTACCTCTCAACCACTCACGATGCCCTCGCAATCGTTCACCTTCACACAGGAGCAGTTCTCGCAGGACTTCTTGCAAGGAATGAGAGATCCTGTCCTGCACTTCCCTTCAGCGTATCCGCCCCGTTAACTCTTCAGATCCTCAACTTCGGTGTTTACCTCTTTGCTTTCCTGTGTTTCCCGCGTTTATATCTCAAGCATGGAAAAAGACAAAATGTAGCTGCAGGTGTAGTATTGCGCTGTCGAAATAGAAGAGGGTTTGTCGGATGAAGCTCAATAGATCGCGATATCTGCAATACAGGGTATCCTAGGAGCTTAGGAGTCTATTAAGCCGGAGGTGCGTCGCATCATGTCCAGCTTTACTTTCCCAGCATCACTTCAGAGCTCCTCGAAGTGGTATGTCTCTCTGTCACTAGGAACATGTTTACTGCGCTCCGTGAGCCGGCTGTGGTGGATTCTCACGCAGACGAGACCCCCTGTGGACGGAGGCCGGAGCACTTGGATCCGATTGGTCAACGGTACAGAATCTCAACGTGATCTTCGCCTTCGTTGGTCATCCCTTGGGAAAGCACATCGCATCCTTACTCATTCCTCGCGTTAATATTCATTCATGTCGCTGCTCTGACACAGGGACCACTGACACTTCCGTGCGTCAACCAGGAGAGCCTCTCACGATACGGTGCATAGCTACGTGCGTGAGTACTATCTCACCTCTACGACTCCGCGTTCCTCGAGGTAATACTTTCCCTATGCGGGTCCTGTGGGCAGCTTTCACGACCAAATACCTTTGCTCTGAATGGCCCAATGCCTCGCCTGGGATGGCCGTCGGGGTGACGGAAGTCCCGGAGTGCATTTCCGTCCTGTATCAGCTCCCGTAATCGTGTGGGGGAACGAAGGCATTGCGGCGGCCGCCATGGGTGCCATCACTCTGCGGGTTAATGTCTAGCAGCGGCGGCCACAGTACATAGGGAGACCTGAGAAGCCTTGGGTCGCACTGTCTCTTTCGCGTCCCGGGATACGACGCTTGTCAGCCCTCATTTTCCTCAGCCATGTCTACAATGCAGCGTCTCATGCAGGCTCCCGCACGCCTGGTGCGGAGCTTGAGCACGTCGCCGTCCCGGGGGTCGGATGGCGCGCTTCCCAAGTTCAACCCCGCTCCTAACTTCAAGCTCACGCAATCGCCCAACCCGGGGTGGAAGTGGGGAGAAGGACTTGCGCCTGAGTCGAGCCCATTGGCGAAGGAGTGGAAGGAAGACGAGGCGAAGGGCTGGAAGAGCTTCACTCTCAAAGAGACGCATGGCAAGTCAGTACATTCTTTGTATCGACTGACTCAAACATACTTGGGAGCTAAACACCGCCCTTTCGTTCGTAGGGATGTGTACATGCTGTTGACTAGCTCAATAGTGCCTCGTCCCGTTGCGTTCATCTCGTCTTTGTCTGGGGAGGACGTACCAAACCTCGCTCCTATGAGGTAAGCGCGAACTATGTAGTAAGCATCGTAGCTACTTGCTGACCAGCGCTCGTCAGCTACTTCTCCTTGGTACGATCGATTTGCGCAGCACTCTTGCTGTGACGCTTATCAAGCTTCCTTCTGTAGTTGGCACACGATCCACCAATGGTCGGTGTTTCATTCGCAATCTTCCGCGGTATCGGGAAGGACACTCGTGACAACATCTTGGCGACGAAGACGTTTACTGTCAACATCATCAGCGAGCCATTCCTGGACGCTGCCAATGCTTGCTCGATCGACGCACCGAAAGAAGTTGACGAGTGGCTTGTCAGCGGTCTCACCCCTGAACCCAGTGTACGTTACTCGATACGTTGCCGCTGCTTCCCGTATGATTGATTTTTCAATACAGACTGTCATCAAGCCTGCACGAGTTCGGGAAAGCGCTGTTAGCTTTGAATGCGAGGTTAGCCCTCCTTTGGGCGTCTCGTTCAGCGTTGACCATAACTTGACATGCAGTACTTCCACCATCACGATCTCGTCTCCAACTACGGCCCTGAGATGTCGAATACCTTCATAATGGGCAGCATCAAGATGATGCATGTCCGCAACTCGGTATTATCGCCGGACGGCGTCAACGTCGACCCCGCCAAGCTGCGCGCTATGTCCCGCCTAGGCATGTTCACGTATGCTCGTGTCGGCGACGGCATAGATATCCCGATTCCTATGTGGGCGCAGAAGGGCGAGGAGGTCTCAAAGGTGATCGAGGAGAAGAGCAAGAACAAGCTGTGATCTCAGCGCTCCTTTCGTATACATAGACCGCTTCCCATTCACGCTGGTGTTGCCTTCTGGGCAACCGGTACTTACATCACTTCATTCGCACAATCGTCCCTTCAGGTTGATCTCCATCGAAAGTGTGCGTTACTGTAACGAGCATTTGCGGCGATTCTTGTATAATTGAGATCTGGAAAGAGCTGAACATCTAGGAGGCTATGGTATTGGACTCCAGTCTACCTATGAATCTTGAGAGATACGCCTCGAGTCGGGGTTCTTACAGTACCCATCGGATGTAGAGTCCTGAGGGCGACTTGTCCTAGGGCCGTCGTTTGCATGTTTCTCCCTGTTGGTCCATTCCTGTCATGAGTGGCCTCGTTCAGGCGGCCCGTCGCCAAAGTGGTGCGCCTCTGCATGAATGCACTCATGTCTGAGGGGGCTTGTGCATGTTATGTTGTCATTTGTGCCGACCATGATGCATGATACCCGGGCCCTATCTTATTCCTGTGTCTGTCCGCGGGTAATGCAGTGCACCTACTCCGAGACAGCCGCTGGGCGCTGATTTCAGTGAGTACTTACCGTCCAGCGGTCTGCAGGTACTGCACTTATCGATATCACCTCAGATCCTGAGATTTGCACAGGGGACTCTAGTCACCGAGTGCGGTGTAGCCATAAAGTATATAACCTCTGCAAGTTCTTCCAGGGTTCAAGAGTCCGCTCGCCGAGTCCAACTAGCAACAGCTCGCTCCCTGACAATGCAGCCATTCGCCGATCATCTTCGCGAATTTCAAGTCCCGGCTTTGGCCAACCTCCACTTCGCCATAGCGCGCAAGGACCATATCAATCGAAGCCAGTACATGCTCGTCTGTGCTCGCCCATACGGAATGGCATATGACCAAAGGATCGTAACGCTCAACGAGTCCACATCTGCCGACGAAGCACCTATCCTTTGTGGGCCTTCCGGCCATCCGCTTATATGGTTTGACTGCCCCGACGATCTCGGGACAAGCCAAAGGGTACCCGGAGGCCTGCTTTACGCATTACTCGAAGCGCGACCGACTGTCCTGCGGCTGACCGGGCGCACGCGCAAGGTCTTCACTGACGCTGGAGGCCTGCATCCGGTCCGCGAAGTCGAGATCCTACTCAGGGAGGAAGAGCTCGCACGCATGTGCTGTTATTGTGGACAGCCGGAGTACATCAACGGCTGTGACCCAGTCCCATATCCCAGTAGTAACCGCTTTACGCGATGTGGCAACGATCCCACTAAGCCTCAATATTTGTGTTCAACGGTACGCCTGTGTTCTGTCTGAGCTTGTGTGCTGATGAAGACTGCTGACATACCCCTGTAGTGTAAAAACCAGTATACAATCATGAGGGTTTTGCGATGGGCGGTGAGGCGGTACCACATTCGTGGAGTGTTCTGGGAGTGATTCTGCAAATACTAGCATGGTCGGATAGCCGCATTGTGTATGTTTCAACTTGGTCAGCATGTAGATGCCCGAGGAATTCGGCATGCAGGTCATCGGCGCACAGAATTCGAAAAAGTGCTTGATCTTCGTCGACGACCACCATATTACAACACAGCAGATGACAACCCGAGTCCGAATCACCGTCCACAGAACCCAGAAGGAAGAAATTGCAAACGAGATCGTATGGACGGATCAGAAGTACAGACCGACCCATCCGTTGCGCGCCTCGACAACCATCTTGTCCTCGCCGTCCTTCTCGCCGACCCAAGGGAGCTGGTCCGCGATCCTCGGGATCGCGTCGTGCAAGCCAGAGGCCGAGAACGAGCGCGCCTTGAGGTCGACCGTGCCGCTGAACGACGCGTCCTTGTACGTGAGGTAAAGGTCGCCCGTGCCTTGCGTGCGGTGGGTGTTGTCGATCGGGCGGTGCGGGTGGCCGGGGTGGCTCACGTAGAAGACGTCCGCGCGTCCGTTGCCCGTCGACGTCTGGAGGTGCGCGACGGCGGGCGGTTCGGAGGTCGAGGGCGCGGGGAAGACGTGCACGTTCATCGCAGCATCGCCGCGCGCGGTCAAGAGGTTCGCCTCGTTCTCGATGGTGACGTCGCCGACGAGCCAGCCGCGCTGGAGGTCCAGGGTGAGCGCACTGGCGTGCACGCCACGGTGCGGGAGGATCATGCTGGTGTCGTCGAGGGCCGTGACACGGATCTTCAGCGAGTCGAGGTCGAGGTTGGACTCGTCGTCGAACTTGATCTGCGTCGTCGTGCGCGCCTGGACATTCAGCTCGCGTACGGTGTACGGCACGTAGACGGTCATGTCGTAGCGCATGCACGACTCGGTGCCGAAGAGCGGTGTCGAGAGCTCCATCTTGCTAGCGATAGACTCGCCGTCGTCCTTGCTCGGATACTGCACGCTGACGAGGTCGAGGAGAGCCTGGTTGTTCGTCCGGACGGTCATCTGGTAGGTTAGGTCGCTGGCCTCGTAGTCACCTTGTGCGATGACAAGCGTGCCAACGGCTTTGCCCCTGATGTCGATAGTGTGCTGGCCCTCAGAATCGACGGGCACCGAATATGTGATCTTCTCAGAACCCTGGTACAAGTGCGGAGCGTTGGCGCAAGGCAGAGACTTGCTGAACTCAGGCATGTTCTCCAGACCAGTAGGCGTAGGCTGGAACACATACATGGTCGTCACACTAGTCGGAATACCTCACAAGACACGTCCTACCTTGACCATCCAGATGATGAACTGGATCAGCTGCCAGCCAAAGAACAGCGCACAGACTATGCCGAAGGCCTTCCAGAATAGGCCGCATCTACATTGCATGGTCAGCTTCTACTGATGTCCCCGTCATGAGATATACTACGTCACATACCGCAAGCCGCAGCACATGCAGCAGTCGGACCTCTTGCGCGTTCGTCTGGCGCTTGTAGCAGGGATGTCCGTATCGAGCATTGGCAAGCCTGGGTGTTCGCCCGAGGGGCTGTGCAGAGCCAGAGGCCCAGTTTCACCATCAGGCTCAGAGGGCACCTGCCTATCTGTTGCGAAACGACGACATTAGCACCACATAGGCAGGTCCGTGCACCATTGCCCTTACAGTCATCCCATTTTTCCTTGAGCTTGAGCGCGGCCATCACGCCCACAACCATACCCCAGAACGTAAGGCCCGTCGAACGACGTTGAGCAGGCGGCATCGAGGAGTTTCAACGATAGACGAGGGTTAGTAGAAAAGAGTGAAACCAGCGGGGAAGGGGGACAAGCCGTGCGGCCAAAACGAGGGTTTTATATGAAAGCGGCACGAATGATGGAACAAGAGCGTACCCAAGGCAATGTTGACCTTATGAAGACGGACCTGAGGGGCTTGGTATAGCTTAGTTGCACGCCCACGCTGCCATCGTGATTGTCCTCGCCCGTCGGCGCCAGGCACCGAGCACGATCAGTATAAATGTTCGCCCAGGCTCAACCCAGGCTCCCCAGCCCTGACCAGGGCGGCGTCTGCAAGAAACGCGGTTCCGCAACGATCCCGCCTTGTTGAGTCAAAATCGACACGTCGAGGTCATGATCATCCAATGTTATCGTGCACCGTGTCCGAGTCTGCGCGGAGCACAGATGCTATGTTGGCCGCGAGGACGAGTTTCCGATCCACGACTCACATGTCTACACTGACCTAGACCTCATCCGGCTATGAAGCCTTATTCGAATTCCGTACAGTATGCGCTGGCTCAGCCAAGTCGTTGAACGACTTCTGCAGGGCCGGGACGTCGTCCTGTCTGCACCCCGACGGCCGGTCCTCCTCCCTCGAGCCACTCCAGGTGAAACCGCGCGAAGACGGGCGCCAGCAACCGAAGGCTATCGATCTCGGGATAGCGGGAGGAGGGCGTCCCGACGTCTCGGGACCCGGCACCAAACTGCCCTGTATGAGCTCGCGCAAGCCTGCGCAGGTAATGCTTTACACGGACGCACATCCTTCCCAAAACAATAAGGCTATGTTTGTATGATACTTGCATGCATTCAATGTTCGTGGTCGTGTTCGTGTTCGTGCGTGTGCCCTCGCTCGTCAGGCCGGCACACGATTCCCTCCTTGTCCACGGGGTGGAAGCGCACCCTTACCTCCGTGATCTCCTTCCTAGCCCCCTTCAGCGAGCGCACAATCTGCGCCTCAAGCGCGCTCGTCTCCTCCACGCTGAGCGTGCGGGGTACATCCGCGATCAGATCGACGAACATCATCCCACCAGCGTGCATCGCGCGTACGTCGCGAATCCCGAGTAGGTTCTCCGTGTGCGCCTGGATTTGTGTGGCAGAGGGCGTGAGCGACTCGGACGCGGAGGGCAGGATGGGCACGAGCGACTCGATGAGGATCTGCCGTGTCCGCGCGGACACGCCCCCGTCTGTCAGCTGGTGGAACCCGCCAGCAAGGACGCCCCAGCTCTGCCTGACAATCAGGATGGACACAAGGATGCCTGTCGCAACATCAGCGCTACATCCTCAGAGTCACATCATCACCCGCGCGCACCTCCTATCGGGTCCAGCGGCAGATGTGGGAACCACCACGTCCCCAGGATCGCAACCAGCGCGACCCCGCTCCCATACACGTCGCTCCGGTGATGCAGCGCGTTCGCGTACAGCACCGGGCTCCGCTCGTCGTCCGCCACCCGCTTCGTCGCCCGGTACAGCCACTCCTTCCCCAGCACGCTCGCCAGCGCGAACCACGCTGCGTTCGGGTCTAGCGCGTGTCCGTGCCCGTGCCCATGACCGTGCGCACCCGCAGCAGGCAACGTCTGCGCGACGGTTGAGACGACGTCGTGGACCGGGCCCGCTGCGTGCGAGAGCGCCTCGAGGAGGAGTGTGAGTGAATGGTAGCCAATGCCAAGTGCGCCTCCGGTGAGCAGCAACGAGACCGTCACGGAGCCCAGTACTTCGAACTTGCCGAAGCCGTATGGGTATCGTTCTGAGGGCGGCTGGCGCGAGAGCTTCCAGGTCGCGAGGGTGACGAAGTCGCCCAGTAGATCTATCATAGTAGTGTAAGTAACATCTCAGGCTAAGACGTTGATACGTTTCGACCACGAGCCCAGTGATGCTCGCTTTCCACATGCGTCTCTGATATATTCCCCGTGCTCTCACCCATTACTGAAGCCTGTGCATGCACTCGTGGCCATGTCTCAATTGAGACGGATGCTCATGTAGGCAACCCTACAGAGCTCATGGCCGAAACAAAACAGCGACATAACACGTTGTACGCACCACTGAATGAATGGCCCGCGTCGGCCAGGAGTGATGCGGAATTCATGAACCATCCTGCTAGACCCTTCGACGTCATCAGACCAATGTTCGCAAACAGCCCTATGAGCGTGATCCGGCTGCCTCTATCCGCTGAATTACGCCCACTGCATCAGCCGTCCGCAGAGGCAGCACTCGGGGAGACGTACACAACTGACGTACCTGCGCCTTTCTGAAGGGCCTCTACGATCTGCTCCGCCTCGTGCCCATGCCCATCCTCGCCCGGTCCATGCGTATGAGTCATCCCCCCGAAGAACGACGCGGGATGCGAATGCGAATGTGAGTGTGAGGGCGAGTGTTCGTGCCCATCTTCGTGAGGACCTTTCGGCGTCATGGGCTCCTTGCCCTTCGCCTGGTTCGAGTGCGGTCGGCGGGAGGCCATAGTATTCATGATGGGCACACAAGCCGCCTTCGGGGTGTTGAATATAAGTGAGAGCGCGAGCGTCGCCGGAGTGGTGGAAGCGAGGACGGTGAAGGTCCTCCGCGCGCGGTCGGAGCGACCGCTCCGGACGTCAAGCTTGATCTTGCTCGAGCTCGAACTAGTGCCAGTAATCAGAGGCGTTCCGCGTCGGGCTCGAGAGGCAGCTGAGCGTCGCAGCATGGCTCAGCCAAGCCAATACGGTGGGAGGAATGTGTCAGGGTCGGATATACCGAGGTCGCGGTCGCGCGTTGGTGTGAAAGCGGCCTGGCCGTCGTTGGGTATCGTCGTCTACGGTTGATTGGAGGGATGGTTTATAATGGGTTTAAAGCAAGACGCAGCCCGCGGCCGAAGACGTGGGGATGCCGCAATCGTGGGGTGTCGAAGGCCATCGCGCGCGCTGCAGCGCTCGGCGCTGCCGTATCGCGTCGACCTCACGGCAGACTTATACAACGATTAGTCACGCCCTATAGCGTTGCACCTATTCGTCTACAATATCTGTAATCTTCGTACATGTACAGCTTACATCTCGAGAAGAGTACATGGTACATGCTATAAGTAACTTACAGGTGAGGAATGCCGACGATCTCCTTCCGTACAGTACCGTTCCTTTACCTAGGTGATCGACGCTTGCCTCCCATGGGCGGCCCGCATCGTAGATGAGATGGGCGCTGTGTTCGGCACTCCATAGAGCATTGTCGAGAGCACTGGGCTGAATATTTTCTGGACGCTGTGCTCGTTCGTTCTGTACCCAGAGCTAGAACTTGAACACATTGCGGAGGAGGAGTGTCACGCAGAACCGCTCCTTTACCCAGCGTGACATCACGTCAACTCGCGGTGGAGTGTGAGTCACAGCTAAGCACTGGATGAAACTTTCGATCCTTCAAGTGAAAGATCGATGAAATTGACAAGATCTTTTTCACAATATTTTGTATGAAAGATTGTTGATAAATGTCAGAAACAAACAAACAAACATTCAGACTCAAAGTAAGATAGGCCTCAGCCAAACCCTGGCCATCACATGCGGTGGCGTCTGTAACGCCTCCGGCGCTTACGCTCGATTTGGCGGGCAGAACCAGCCTGAACCAGCTGCATGTCTCTAAACTCTAGATCAAAGACAAAAATAAAAATTCTGCTCGCAGAAATGTGTTCCTGAGCCTTGATTCGAGCGATGTTCGCGCCAGAATCTTTAGTTTCTCCCTCGTTGCAATGTTGAGTGCGAATCAAGACCGAACGTCGCCGGCGCCTCTATTAGTCAGCGTCACCCAAACTGAGACAGCGCGCAGGCGCTGTTCAGAGCCACTCATCGAAAAGACCACCTGTAGCTGGCAGACTGATACATTATATACTGCTAAGTAGAGTACAGATATAATACATGTATACCGCTTATCGGCCATGAGCCCCCATACATCCGTTGTCCGCGCCCGCGATGTATCATGTAGTGCATCCATGCATTCATGGCTCGCACCCGCGATGTATCATAAACCTCGCAACAAGCGCACCCGCCGTCTGTCAGGCCCGCGCGTCATACATCGCACATTGTATCATGGGGCACGGCCTGCCACGTATCAAGCAGCATACTACCCCTGTAATGATGCGGCACGGCCGATGCTCCCTTATACATGGTTCCTCGAGCCCCCATACATGACCGTGCGCAGCCATCTTGACCGCATATATGATCGCAATATCGCATGCTGGGCTTCAAGTTCATGTAAGTACTTTCGCCAGTAGCAGCCTCATACATCGCACCATGCCCGTCATGCAATCCTGTGGCGATCACCCGTCCATGACCTTCCCTGCGCCGCTATGCATTGCAAGCCTAACCACATGTATACTTAAAGTATACAGCTGGTACCATCTCCCCACTCCTCCCATCCCTCCTTGCTCGTCGCCGACTCGCCTTCGCTTGCATCTGCGGTCACGTGTCCATATTGGTGCTTGCAACACTTCGTCGACTCGTTACTCGTTGACTCGTCACTTCGTCGACTTACCAAGTGTCGCTCATCATCGCCTCGACTCGTCGCCTCTCGACACCGCGCCTCGACGCCCCGCCTCTCGATGCCTCGCTTTTTCACCTCAACTCCTCGCCTCTCGCCTCTCGGCTTCTTGCCGTGACTCCAAGGTCGACAGGAGCCAAGTCCACGAGATCGTCCTCGTCGGCGGTTCACCTCTCGATTCTTGACCTCTCGATCCTTCGCCTCTCGACTCCCCGCCTCTCGACTCGACTCCCCGCCTCTTGACTCCCCGTCTGTCGCCGCGACTCCAGGTCGACAAGAGCCAAGTCCACGAGATCATCCTCGTCGGCGGTTTGCCTCTCGACTACCCGCCTCTCGATTCTTCACCTCTCTTTGCCCCTCGACTCCCCACCTCTCGACTCTCCGCTTGTCGCCGTGACTCCAAGGTCGACAAGAGCCAAGTCCACGAGATCTTCCTCGTCGGCGGTTCGCCTCTCGCCTCCCGCCTCCCGCCTCCCGCCTCCCGCCTCCCGCCTCCCGCCTCCCGCCTCCCTGCCTCTCACCTCTAATCTCCCTCGCCTCTCGACTCCCCGTTTCTCGACTCCCAGCCTCTAGGCTCTCGCCTCTCGCCGTGACTCCAAGGCCGACCAGAGCCAAGTCCACGAGATCATCCTCGTCGACGGTCCGACTCGTATTCCATGCATCTCAGGCTCGTGTCGGACTTCAACTGCAAGGGGTCCAACAGGAGCATTAACACCTATGAGGCCGTGCCGCCGTCCAGGCTGCCATCCTCTAGGGTGACACCTCGGAGAAGCCCCAGGATCTTCTGCTCCTCGATGTCGCTCCTCTCTCGCTCGGTATCGAGACCGCTTATGTCTTCATGTTCGCCTCATTAAGGGGAACACGACCGTCCCGACGAGGAAGTCGGAGATCTTCTCGACATACTCTGACAACCAGCCTAGAGTGCTCATCCAGTTCACGAGGGAGAGCGTGTACGGACGAAGGGCAAGGGCTTGTGATTCCGATACCGATGTCATTCGCGACGGTGAGCACTTGTGTGTTCTTATCTACATTGTCAGTATTGACCCTGAAGTCTTTGAAGACACTCGCAATACCATACAAGACAACAACCTGCTCGGCAATTTCGAGCTCGTCGACATCCCTCCAGCGCCCCATGGTGTTCCTCGGATCGAGGTCACATTCGACATCAACGCGAACGGTATCCTCAACGTCTCTGCCGCCGACAAGACGACCGGCAACTCGAACCGCATCACCGTTCCCAACCACAAGGGCCGTCTGTCGAAGGAGAAGACTGAGCGCATGGGAAACGAGGCCGAGAAGTACAATAGTGAGAATTCATATGCTTTGCGCATCTGCGATTTGATCCTAAGTCTGCTTTACGGCTCAAGGCGAGGCTGCAGCTGTTCGTATCACCTTAACGTCTCTGCCGCCGACAAAACGACCGGCAACTCGAACAGCATCATCATCACCAACGACAAGGGCCGTCTGGCGAAGGAGGAGATTGAGCGCGTAGACAACGAGGTCGAGAAGTACAAAGGTGAAGAGTCATAATGCTTTGCGCATCTGTCATTTGATCTTAACTTTGTTTGACGGCCGAAGACGAGGCTGCGGCTGCTCGTATCACCTCAACGTCTCCGCTGCTGACAAGACAACCGACATCCCGAACTGCATCGTCTGTCAAAGGAGATTGAGCGCATGGACAACGAGGCCGAGAAGCACAATGGTGAGTAGTATCAATGCTTCTGCACATCTGCGACATGAACCTGACTTCACTTTACGGCTGAAGACGAGGCTGCAGCTGCTTGTATCACCTCACAGAATGGTCTCGGGTCATACGCGTACAACCTCCGTAACTCGCTCACCGACGAGAAGCTTGCGGGCAAGTTCGACCCGGCCGACAAGAGCAAGCCTGAGTCCGCCGTAAACGATGCCATCTCATGGCTCGACATGTCGCAAGAGGCCCCGAAGGAGGAGCACGAGGATTGCCAGAAGGAGCTCGAGAGCATCACAGGCCCCATCATGCAGAAGCTCTATGCTGTGGGCGGCGGCGCATCGGGCGGGTAGTGACTCGGTGTACTATATAAGTGGTACCTTCCTGTTGCGGCACAAAGCTCTTGGCGATCTGAGACCGCAGGCATGCCCGATGGACACACTACTAGACTGCCTTCGACGCTTAGACAGAAATACTCATATATTCCTATATTAATCCTATGTAGTACTGTTTAGTAGTTAGTCCTCTTCTAGCGTTGCACCTAACAATAACCATTCAGCGGTACTGGCCCACGCTTTCTGACAGAGAGCTCTCATGGAGGCTCGTATGTGTGCCTGACGATGAGCGTACGCGACCAACCCTTCCCGATGCTCTGCTGAGCGGCCTTCCCAAGCATCAGCGCGCTCCGTCCACCAGTTTCTTTGCCAGTCGTGGTACTGCAATACCCGCCTCATCTCCTCCTGAAGCAGCTGGGCTTCCTCTGTAAACCTGTGCGCGCGAGCACGCGTCTGGCACCACTCGATGCGCAGCACTGCAGTACGTTCCCTCATGAGTACTGCGTCGTGTTGGCAAGACTATCACTCACTTTCCTGCTCATCCTCATCGTCGTCACCGCTCCGTGCGCCCTTCGTCGTCCATATCCACGAGACCGTTCGTGTACCCTCCGTCTGCTCGTCTTCCTCCTCTGGATCGGGGTCGGAAATGTGTCGCACGTCCTTGTCTTCGAGTTTCTGCAGTCCAATCTCTCTCCTCCAGCCTGTCTTGTCCAGCGCCGGAGCCAGCCTGGTGAGAGCGTCGTAGCATGCGTCGTACTTTGACCTTGCCTGGGTGATCTTCGTTTCGCACCTCTTGATGACACCGCGCGCACGTGTATTGTGGTGTTGGCCACTGATGAAACGACCCTTCACCTCGAGTAGCTTCCGCCTCGCGCAGACGAAGCGGCGAACATCCTCCAGTGCGTCGTGGGCGATCCCCACTCGTAGCTCCCACTCGATCTCCTGCAGCTTCTGGTCGACAGGGAGCAGGTCTACAACGTCTGACGGCAGGTACAGTGGGAGGTCCTCCGCCAAGGACGAACGGTCTGGCAAAGCAGCGTCCCGAGAACGATGAGCCGCTACAGTCGGCATATACAACTGCTGTGCTGTCTGCCAGGCCTCAATCGTACGTTGTAAAGCGTTCCGGGTGACAATCACATCGCCTTTCTGCAAGTCTGTCGCGCGCGAGCCGAGGTTAGCTTTCTTTGCCTTGAGCCTGCGTCTGCACTAATTTGAGCTCAATATTCATGTCAGGAATCTGAATACTTACTGCTCTTCCTCGTGATCGAGGCCTTGGGACAGGAGAGCGTAAGGTGAGATGAGGTCGTCAAGAGAGGCAGCCGGCAGCGTATTCTGTTTCCTGGCCTTGTTTCGTGCGTCTAGTGCATTGCACGAGTACACCCCCGGGTACTCGGGCGCCTACCCGTACCCGTACCCGCAGGGGTCAGGTACCCGCCCGGGGGGTACGGGTCGTCCGCGGGTCTTGCGGGTTTGCGCGGGTCACGGGTATCCGCGGGTACCCGCGGGTACCCGCAAGGACTTCAGTGGGTACGACTTCAATCGGTAACATTCACACTCGTACCATACATTTGAAATTGTATACAACATTCAATACTAGACAAAAAAGACTGCATCATCTCGTGGGTCCTCAAAGCCCCAAACGTCTTCTACATCCTCAGGCAATTCTCCAGATGGGTCCTCGCGAGCCACAGACAGGATATCCTCGTCCTTGATGAAGCCCAGGAGACTCCAGCTGTTCAGGCACATAAGGGCCCGGATTGACGCCGCTGAGAGACCGTTTCGCAGATGGGAGATGAAGATGCGCCCTTTGCTGAAGAGCCGCTCAACGGCAACGGACGTAGCTACCGTGACGACAACAACACAGGTCAACGATGGCACAGCATTAACTGTCCTGTACTTACGAGGTATTGTGAGATACGAAATGGCCATCCGCGAGAGGTTCGGGTATGTTGTGCGCGACTCGCGGCTTGTCCACCACGCGAGTGCGTTGTCGATTGTGGGGTCGGCATCCAAATTCAGATAGTGATCGAGTTCATCGATGATGGGGATTGCGGCCTTCTTGCGGCTCGCGCGGGCGGCGTCGAACATGTTCTGCTTCTTGGCTGGGCCAGTCGATGAGGTCGGTTGCGCGTCCGAGTCCATCGGTGGCTACACGCCGCACGGTGACGAGCCAATGAGTGATGTTATAAGGCAAATAGAAATGTCAGGACGTACCTGCAACTCATCTGCGCCCTCTGGCTGCTCGCGCGGCCTGGCGTTTCCCTTCCACTCCTCATCGTACGTCTGCCGCACCAAGAAGCGCGCTTGCGCGATCCACTCATCCGGCCATCGATTGTCTCGGAAATACTGTAGCTTATGCCGAGGATCGAGGACTCAAAAAAGCGTGTCAGAGCAAGGGTATGATACAAGGTAAGTTTCACTTACTCATCGCAATGCGATACACGGCCGACTCATCGCTTTTGTTGTAGTAGCGATTGATCGCCCGCTTGCCCAGACCTAACGCGACGCGGATGGCGGGGTCAAGCGTTTGATTGAGAGCCTCAGTTGCAAGGCGTTGGTCGATGATGTCCATGGCGGGGATCACGTCCGTGAGGTCAGGAGCATCCTTGCCCTCGCGTGAGAAGAACTGTGTCGCGTCGTAGAACACCTGGTAGGTGAGTCGATGTCGCGATTGGGATTGATGGTGCGATGACGAGTTGGCAGTGGACGGCAAGGTGCAAGTCGGTGGCGGCGGGACAGAGGATCAGCAGAGCAAGTTGGCAGCAGCAGTGGGATGTATGGGAACAAGAGCGCGAGCACGAGCGCACAGCCGTCCCGAAGAGGCATTGTTCAACGCATTTGGTAAGTCAACGCTGGACCCACAATGTGACTGACGGTGACTTGCCTGCAGGATGTCACGCAGTTGCGCGGCAATCTTCCACTCTCTTTCGTCCAGCTCCCACTGGCGCAGGTTGTTCACCTGCGCCTCCGTCATCTTCTCGATCGCACCTCTATACGTCAGTGCAACATCCAACATTCGAAACGTGGAGTTCCACCGCGTGCGGACGTCGCGGGGAAGCTTGCGAATGGCCAGCTTCATTTCTTCAAGGAGCTTCCTCCACGCCGGGAGCAGGAGCGTCGTCGAGCGGTGTATGGAGATGGAAATCTTTCGGAGCTTCGGAGGTGTTCATACCAGGGTGAGCAGCTGACTTTACCTCGTGCTTACTGGACGAACTCACCTTTAGCAGCATCATCTTTACGGGCCTAACCTCGGCTTCCATCCTCGCTCGGCTCGCAGCGTCAAGATCGTCCCGAACGTCGTAGAAGCCGTCTACCGAGTCGGTGCCTGGCATGCCCTCGTCCTCATCATCGAAGTCGAGGTCGTCCATGAGGCTTTGCAGTTCCTTGTCCCAGTCTGTGAGGTCGGGATCGTCGTCTTCGTCAAGGTGCGCATCTGATCCTTTCTTCTTCTTCCTTTTGGGCGGCTCGAACTGACGAAGAACCATCTTGGCAACTAGGTTAATAATATGACAGAAGCAACGGCTGCGCGCGCGGCCGCCCCGGAACGACAAGATCATCATCTCCATCTCCTCAACCATGACATCATTCGCCGACGCGTTGTCACAAGTGACCGCGAGCATCTGCTCGCAAAGGTGAGTCTCGAAATAGAAGCAACTTCCTTGCATGTCATGATTGTGCTCACCTTCGCATCTAGCTTAAGATCGTGAATCAAGTCGGAGAAGGCTGTTGCGAGGTTGAGTCCGCTATGGGACACTGCGACCTCAACAACATCAAGTACCATCGTCATCGGAGCACCGTTGTGCTCGAAGTGCACAGTGAAGGCTACCATCGCCTTTTGGTTCGGCGAGGTCCAGGCGTCCGTAGCAAAATTCAACTCGCCGTCATATTCCTATCGGTACGTCTATATCTATGATCGGATAGATCTCATGATTGCTTACCTGCAACCAGCGCGCAATACGATCACGCACACGGAGGAACACCTTCCGCACATCACGCCCAACCGTCGTAGGCGACGGCAACTTGTACTCGGGCCGGCCCGTCTTGATCAAGCTCTCGAACCCGCGGTCCTTCACTATGTTGAAGGGCCGCATGCTCTCAGCCACCCAACGCACAATCTCCGCGCTTGGCAACGTTTTAGACGGGTTGTTCCACCGGGTAAGTGCATTATTGGCTCACCGAGTTTCCGTTGGTGTATGCTGAACAGTGGAATATTTGAAGGTCTTCTTGCTCGCCGCGCCGAACGCGATCTTAAGGTTCTGTGTCCGTCGATACTTCTCAACACTATCCTTGGCTTTCGAGGCTGTCGACATCCGATCAGCCGCTGCAAGAGCTTCCTCTCCCCAGCATTTCCGCGCGTGCTTTCTCAGGTTACCTGTTGACGTTGCATCCTTCGACTCCAAGTACCGTCTTACATCGTGCTTGCAACCAGAGTTTGCGCATCGGAAGACGTGCACACGTCGTCTGTCGATGTACGCGATGGTGGGGTCAGGCTTGAAGAACGCGTACACCGGCGCCGTCCACTTGCGCCGCATGCGCGCTGTATTAGTAAGGTGAGTATTGTTCTCTATGGTGAGTTCCTGCTGACCACTTGCCTAGCTCCTGCTCTGCAGTCTCTTCGGCGAGGTCTTCGCCACCTTTGTCTGTCTCGGTCCCACTGCTTTCCTCACCAGACTCGCTCGACGACCCAATCTCAATCGGTTTGTGTCCCTTCCCTTTCGAAATGCTATCATCAACGTCTTCGACGTCTTCAATCTCAACAGAGCGCCGTGTGGGCGTCCGCGCGCTGGCTGTCGAACGGTGCGCGCTGGCCGTCGAACGGTGCGCACTCGTTGCTGCAGACCCTGCGCTTGCCACCGAAGTAGCTGCGCTCACCCCCGAAGCCCCTGCGCTCGCTGCCAATGGCTCACGGCGGCTGCTGCTGGCGCTCGGCTGAGCGTCAACACTATCGGTACGTGGCTTCTTTGACGTCTTCACAGCTCTCGTCGGTGACTCGGCGGCCCTCCGCTTTTCAGAAGCTATCTTGGGTCTCTTGCTGACACGGGTGCCGGACATGTTGGGCGAGTGAGGGAGTGGGAGGAGGAGGACAAGGCAATGGCTTGTGGGGTCCCTGATGGTTACTGAAGCTTACGGCAGCATTCCAATTGCGAAAAATGTATATTTATTCTACCGGGACCTGAGCGGGCTGGCTACAAACGGTAATAGCCCCAGATCGAAATCTGAGCAGGTGGTGAGTCGCCCGAAGGCCGGCAGCGTGACTTTCCATAAAGGGTAACTGGCGGGTACACGGGTACGGAAATGGCTACCCGTACCCCTACCCTCGTGTACCCCTACCCGTGACCCCTGCGGGTTGACCCTACCCCTGCAACGCACTACGTGCGTCGATCTCTTCTGCCTCGCGCTCGGCGAGCTTCAAGCGAACGGCGGCCATGGTAATTGCTACAACACAAGCGTCGGATTGTGTATGCCAGATAGTATGCTGCGAAGCAGACTCACGCCGGCGTGTGATGGCAAACGGATTGGGACTTGCGCCGCCGGTAGACTCCCAAGTCTCAACCTGGGTCTTCCAAGCTGACCTGCGTTCGGGGTCCATCTTCTCATTGAATGCCTCGAAGGCAAGTACCTTCTTGCTGCGCTGTTCGCCGACATTCTTGACCTTCGTCAACATCGCCGCCGCTTATGAGGCAGTCAGACTGTAGAAAAAGCAACTACCAAGGAACAAACGTACGTAGCCGAGTGATCTTTCGCCAGTTATAATCGGCGAAGACATCGTCGAGCAGGTCTCGGCGCGCGCCCGGCCCCATGTCCCGCGTGCTTCCCGAGAAGCCGTTTACGGCGGACCATCCGCGTTCAACGGCTTCGCCGTCAGTGCGACCGACATACTTGGTGTAGTTGAATGAGTAGTCCTCGCGGCAGCTGGCCTGGTGGGCAGGGAGGTGAAACTTAGGGATGAGAAATATGAACTGGCGACGGGCGCGGTCCCACTGCGGGTCATACTTTTGCATGCGCTCCCAAAAATGGACAGACCATTGGCACGCAATGTCATACGATACGACCAGTACGACGTGATCGCTATCTCGAATGCTGGACTGAAAAATGTAGTCAGTGTTCACGTATCTGCAAAGTGA